TCGTCTTCCTCGCCAGGGCCACCCTCCGTCAACGAGACTTGCTCTTGAGGGGCCTCGGCGTCACCATCCTCGTTCTGGGTCTGCGGTTCAGGTGTGCCATTCACGGGCGTAGTGCCCAGACTGGATGGTATGGGCATGGGGGACCCTGCGAGGGGCATTAGTTAATGGTCTTGACAGGATTTCTCAGTGATGATAGAACCTACCTCCACGTGTTGAGCCTTCACCACCTGGAAGCCCCAAGCCTCCAAACAGCCCGGTCGGTTTCGACGCACCAGAATCCTTCTGGGGAGTGGCCTGCGCGAAGCTGAAAGATGGTCCACCGTTGGTGGTGCTGCTTCCGTTAGGTTGACTGCCAAACATCGAGCTGCCGGGAGCCGTAGTTTGGCTACCCGCACCGAAACTGAACGAGGTCGACGGCTTGGCCGCAGGTGCAGATGCAGTCGTGGATGAAGCCCCGAACATAGGAGCACTGCTTCCCCCGCCGTTGGATTGCGCAAAGGGATTGGAGATCGGTGCGCTGTTGTTACCACCAGCGCTGAAAGTGAACGACGATGCCCCAGATCCCGTGCCATTGCCACCACCTGCGCCGAAGTTGAATGTGGAAGACGCTCCACCAGGTGCGGAGCCCCCGCCACCAAAGTTGAAATCGAAACTCTGCGATCCGGGACCCTTTGGCGTTGCACCAAAGGAAGTGGCCGGAGAAGCGTTGGTACTGCCTCCGAAGCTGAACACAGGGCCTGCTGGCGCAGCAGGTTCTGCGGGCTTGCTTCCACCAAACATGAATGACGGGGTCGCGGGCTTGTTGTCTGTGGCAGGCTGCGGCGTTGACGCTCCAAACTGGAACGGACCACTGCTCGATGGCGCTGCGTTGGCAAATATGCTCTTAGTCGGTGCCTCGGCAGGCTTGGCAGGGGTAGCAGTTGACTGTGAACTTCCAAACTGGAACGTCTTTGAACTGTCACTCGTCGTCGTTCCAAACAATGGGGCTACAGCCGGCTTCGGTGCCTCAGATGTTGCCGACGATGCTGCAGGGGCGGTGCCAAATAGTGGCTTCGGCTTGTCAGAGCTTTCAGACGGTGGCGCATTGACATTGCTGTTCGCAAATATCGAACCAGACGCAACAGGCTTCGCAGCGGCGCCAAAGACTGAGCCTGCAGCCTGGCTAGCTGGAGCCGCAGGTGAAGCACCAAATGCGGGTGTCGGGTTGCCGAACAAGCTGGTGCTGGAGGTCTTTGCTGGGGCCTGCCTCTTCGCGCTTGGCTCGTCATCGTCGTCGGCACCCCGTTTCTTGTTTGTGGCTGCCCCAAACAGTGGCGTGGCTGGAGTTGGGGTGTTGCTCTTCTGGCCAAAGCCTGCAAAGATGCCATTCGCGGAATCCTGCTTAGGTGGCGCGGAGTCTTTGGATTGAGTGTTGCCAAAGATGGAGTTGATGGAAGGCGCTGGGGAGGCCGATTTTGGCGCGCCGAAGATGGACGCCGCTGGCGCCGCCTTGGGCGCTGTAGCCTCGGACGGGTTGCTCAGAGGGCCGAACAATGGCGACGCGGCAGGTGTAGCATTGCTCGAAGCGCCGAATATGGATGTGGGCGGGGCGCTTGGGGGCGCAGTGCCGAACTTTGGTGGTTCGACAGACGTTGACTTGAAGTCAGAGACGGGGGGCTTCGATGCTGATGCACCGAATGATATCGGGGCTTTAGTGGCATCAAAGGTGAAATTACCACCAGTGGGCTTAGCTGCCGTATCAGAGGGCTTCATGCCAGCGGCTGAGTTTTCCTTGTCTTCCGGTCCTGGCGTCAGTCGCACCGGCTGGCCATCGGAACCCATTTTCACTCGGCCGAATAGACCACCCTTTGGCTCAACGCCATTAGACGGGGTGCTCGTGCCAAAAATGTTGGATGCGCTTGATGGCGTGCTTGTGGGAAACAGGCCAGTGCCGCTCTGGACTGGAGGGGTATTCGTGCCAGTGCTGGCGGCGGAGCTTGCGTTGTAGCTCGGTGCTGCTTCTTGGCTATCGCGCTCGTTCTGCGACCCAGGCTCGCTAGCCTCGTCGTCGTCGTCTTCTGGCTCATCACCCTCGTCATCGTCGACCTCGTTCCCACTGTTATTGGAACTCTCCGATAGATAGCTGAAGATGCCAGAGGTATTGGATGGAACCGTGCCGACCTTGTGACTAGAAAGAATCGATCCTTCACTTGCGCCCTTCGCAGGGTTGCTGAAAATGGACGAGGCCGATGCGGCGAAGGGGTTTCCATTCACCGCGGGCTTGAATGGATTGCTCTTTGTCGTGGAAGCGCGATCCTCCTTAGGCGCATTTTGGCTCGAGAAGATCGAGGATGTGGACGACTCTGTCGGGGAGGGTCGTTTTGCTGGAGACTGCGTCTTTTCCAGTATCTTTGCGAAAGCGGATGTCGCAGCAGAGGGTGTAGACCGCTGCTCATCGTCATCAACAACCTGACGCTTGCTGCGGGGCAGCTCATCCGTCGCCTCGGTGGCCAGATTGCGGCGCTTGTTGGCATTGACTGCCGGCGCACTGCTCTTACTTGTCAGGTCATCGTCGGCCTTCCGCTTACCAGCAGAAGCACCCGTCCGTCGTGAGCCAGTGTCTTGGGGTGTATCGACGCTCCCATCTTCTGGCAACTCTGGGAGGCCGTTCGCGGCGCGCCATTTCCGCATGGTCTCGGGATTCGGTTTCACGTTCTTGAACTCGTAGAGACCGTAGCGCAGCAATATTATCGATCTGCTCTTCTCGTACTCCTTCGCGAAGTTCAGGATATTAAGCTTCCAATCCTTCTTCAGGAATATCTCGTCTGCGGCATATTTGAGCCGACGCAGGTCGAGAATGCAAAAGAATTGCCGGCGCTGGAGGTCGTCGAAGTGAGGAGGGCATTTGTCGGCAAGGTACTGATCTGCGTACACAGAGCCAGCTCGGCTGGGGTCCTCGGGAACCTGCTTAGCCAGTGCTTCGCCAGATAGCTCGGGGTCCGGGGATGGAATCCGCATCGGAAACAAGTCCTTCGCGCCGGTGGTGTTCATGCCGTTCAGGACACTCCGCTGAGCCGCGAATTTGCGAGCGCCAGAGTTCTTCGACTGTGCAGCGGGAGACAGCTCGGGGGCGAAAGGCTGAGCTTTCGGCGTCGACGTGGTTCGGAAGAGGTCGCGCTGGGTCGTAGCGAAACCAGTAAGTTTGCCGCCAGATTGCTGTGCAGCTGCGGATGGTCGAGTCGGGCCTGGCGACGCCGTCTGGCGGGACATGGGAACGAGAGATGACCGAAACCGATTCGAGCTTTGAGAGCGGAAGGGAGTCGATCCGGGTTCGCCGGCCGCGGGCCGGGCCCGGTTGGGTGTTCCATAAAAGCTCATTGTGAAGGCCAACTTGTTGGAGAAGGGATCTTGGTTTGATTAAGGTTGTGAATGTCTTGTGGGCTGGAGTCGAGCGCGAAGACCGAGACGTTCGAGTCGCTCTGATAGAATGCTGGCGCCGTGTGAAATGGCAGACCAAGAAATGGATGTCGCTGTGTGTGGAAGCTAGCCGATGACTAGGCTCGTTCCATAACAGGAGACTTTGTGTGCAGGATCACAGTGAGAATGTGATGATTATATGGTGAGGCGAATTTGATGTTGTCGAGATTCCGCAAGATGTGAAGCTGCCGACAAAGGTCAAGGCAGAGGGAGAAGGGAGCCGGCGAAGGTTGTTGGGGTTGTGCGAGTAAGGGTGGATCAAAGACAGAGCTGGTCGTGGCAGCGCGTCACCCAGAAAAGCCTGAACTGATGGCGCTGCAGACTGGTGGAGGGCGAAACGGGCACGGGAAGAAAGGCAGAAAAGGAGCAGTCGGCCGGGGGGTTGCCGATGGAGATGTGCGGTCGGGTCTGGCGATGGCAGGATCGCTGGTGGGCGCGAGGGAGGACGAGTCGCGACCGACAATGACGGGCCTAGGAGCTTGGGCTGATGATGATGGAGCCAGGTAAATTTTTGGCGTTGAAGAGGAGCGCGTGCAGCGGGAGCCAAAGGTCCGTGTGTGCCTGCCCAAGTCGCACACACAGTTGCAGCTGCCTTCCCTGCTTGTTGTGGGGCGCCTGCCTGGCCTGAAGCGCTCGAGGACGGCCTGGTTGGTCCAGGACGCGCCGCGTGCTCGAGGTAGCGCCACGCCAGATCTGGGCGAGGAGCTACATTGATGTCCAGCTCCAGAGACTCTGGCATGCGGACACCTCGCAATTGGCTGCCACGGGCTCGTCCTGCGTGCACCCAGCAACTGGCCATCCCGAGTCCAATCGTTTCACGCCCTGCAGCTGTTTCATTGCGTACATCTTGCAGCATCCGTAGACCAAATCAACGGAACCGTGCTTTGTGGAAATGGCTTTACTGACTGTACACAATGGATAAGTCGGCCGAGCCCAGGAGTCGCGCTGGGCAGTACTCTACGACAGAAGCTTCGCGAGGCTGGGCAGGCCGCGTCATGGGCGCAATTCCCAGTTACCGCCAACCGCGCAACCATGGCGAGTCAAGCCAGTTGTGGCTCTGAGTACTTATACAAATGAGCATTGTGGTAGTGTGCGTATTTCACAGCAGCCGGACGCGCCTCCCTTGATCCAAGTCTCGCTTGCAGTGATCACCTATACCAGAACAGGCTCCGTGAGAGTATTCTTTTCCAATTCCTTGACTCATGGACTATCGTGGTACGCTACAAGACGCCAACCAATTCCCGCCTTTGATGCACGCTGTGTGCAAGTTACGGCACAAGAGGGCGGTCCGTCCCAAAAGGTATCAATAAAATAACAGATCTACTCCGCCAAACGCGTAGAATGCAGTTGATTGGGCATTCCTCGAGTGGTATCCCTGATGCTCCATCATTTCGATTGTCATCCGCACGGCGCTCTTCGCCACTGCAGTCCCGCAGGCGTGGCAGAAACCGGTTTGCGCGTGCGCGAGGGACATTCGGATCGAAAATGGGGCTTTCCATAGCACATCAAGGTGAGCAGTCAGGGTCGCTCGGGGTGTGGACTGTCTATAGCTTGGCGCTGCTGCGGGCCTTGGCGAGGATGGGCTGCATCTTGGTGGCCTTCATGATGTCGCCCTTGGCCTTGAGCTTGCCGCCCATGAAGAGGCGCTGGGGGTCGGCTTTGCCAGCGACGAGCTTGCCAAAGTCCTCCTCGGAGAGAGAGAGGGTGACTGTGGTGACGACTAGTGGTTAGTATGACGTTGCCTTGGTTGCCGTGGAGCGCGTGCGCACACGTGGCGGCGGGAGAGATGAGACATGCCTGTGGGCTTCTCGCCCGTGCCCTTGCCGACAGCACCCTTGTCCTTGAGGTCGATGTGCCAGCTCTCCTCCTTGCCGGCCGCGTTCTTGAGGGTGAAGGCGAAGACGGCGTTGGCCTGCTTGATGGCGCTCTTACGCTCGGCCTCGTCGCCCTGGAGGACGGCGTTGATGGCGTCGAAGGCCGCGGAGGAGGGGAACTCGTCTACGGGCGGCCGTCAGTATGTTTTACATGTGACGCCATCGGGACTGGGCTGGAAGGCGCAAGGACGTCGCGGGACTTACCGTTCTTGACAGACATGGTGAAGACTGGCAGAGTACGCAAAAGGGGGATATGTGATGTGCGATACAGGCTAGTGTGGAGGTGGAGGGAAGAAAGATGGGGGGAAGGAGACAGGCCAGCGGTCGGAAGAGACGGTGACAAAGGGCCTTCTATAGGTACAGTAAGGAAGTGGTGGTGACCAGCATTGCGTAGCAGCTCGCAAGGTCGGCCTGGCAGTGCTCGTTGCAGGCATGTGAAGTTGCCGAGGCGCCTACCTAACTCGGTTCAGGCGTAGCGTGCCCGGCCCCGGCGGGGTTCGCCGCAGCGCCACAGGCAGGCTGTCCAAAGTCCGGCCTCCTTCAGGGAGCCCGGGCTGACTCGTGACCTCGGAACCTCTGAAGGCCTCTGGCGACAGCCACCACAGCCACAGCTCATCCACTGCGACCCGCGGTGGCCGGCCACGGCTGACCCCAACACTGGGCCGTTTGGAAGTCACCGAGGCTCCCCCAGGTTTCGCAGCTCCATGGCTCCACTGGCCGAGTGTGGGGAACCAAGGCACGTTAAGCATTCTTGCCTGCCTTGCTCGCTGCCGGCCAGCACGTCACAGCGGCCGTCGCAATCTTCGTCCTCGGCTTGCTGACAAGATCGCCAGGCGTCAGGGCCCCTTGCCGCCGTGAGGGGCTGTTGTCGACAACTGGGCCGAGCCCTTGCCTCGCAGACTCTCCTCATTCTGCGTCGTGCCATCCCGAGTCGTGCAAAACGCCAACTTCGCTCTGTGCGGTTGGCTTGTGATGCGGAGCGGGACAAGATGTCGGGCCCTTGGGGAGATCTGCAGCACGCGACAGCTCGAGGACGTTCCGGGCGCTTCCAAATGCAGCGAGATATGGAGAGCATGCCCACCAGCCCTGGACTCTTCATCCACCTCCTGTTTCACATGGCCATGGGCTGCCAATGGGGTTAAACTTGACGCTATCCCCGTGGCAGGCGACTCCCGTTCAGAGTGGCACACATTATCGCGACCGCTCTCCACGACGGGGGCGTAAATGGGCTTCCTACTTGAACCCAGGTGTGTAAGGTAGGCTGGTGGTGCCCGATAGTGGTACGTGGCCGAGAACAAAACGGGATGGGGGTTGTTTGTTGACCGAAGAGGCGGATTGCCGTAATGTCACCGAAGCGGAAGTGAACCCGCGTGGGGTAGCAAATGGTCCTCCTGCTGAGGTGCCTGGGAAGGTCGGCTTATGGAAAGCCTTGCTGGACTCATAGTTGACTCCCGAGAGGTCTGTGGTGGGGCGGTGGTGAATGGATCAGGTGCTGGATATGGCTATTTGCTGCAACGCTCATTGTCTGGAAGACGGAGCCACAGGGAGCACTCGAATGCAGTCTTGAAGACAATTGCAAACACCAAGATGGCTCGTGCTGAAAGAGAGGCACTTCCGGGCGACGATACCTGCAAGTTGCAAGTGCCTTTGATATAGCGTCCACCTAGATAGCGTACGCATCCACACTGGCTGGCTGAGCCTGGCCCCTGAATGAACGAGCCGACGGCATGTGCGAGACCCTGCAGCTTGCAAGCACACCTTCCCTGGCTTCCCACCTCGACTCTGGCCCGAATGGAGGCAGCACCGCCGAGACAGCAGCACCTCGCGACCATCCCGCCTGCAGTCCGCAAATCGCAAGGCTGCTGGACCTGCAAAGGTGAGCTCACCAACTCGCCAGGAGCTGCGGCTCCCGGGGCCGGCCAGTCTCAAGCTGACCCGGGCCCCCGTCACCTCGCGTGCGTGTGCAGCCCGCAAGATAGGATGTGACCGCGGCGTCCCGGAGTGCAACAACTGCCGCCGCTCTGCGCGACGCTGCCTGGGCTACGGCATCCGCCTCACCTGGCCGGATCAGCACGATGGCCGCCGCAGGCCCAGTGGGCACCCCTCGCCTGCCATGAGCGGCATCCCGCCAGCCAGCTCTCCTCCTCTCTACGCCACACAGTTCCTTCACTTCACGTACATGGACATCGCTAGTCAGTATGCAGGGACCAGCTTCTACAAGCACATTGTCGTGCCCCAGCCGAGGCCATGCCGCGTCATCCCGCTTTTTCGTGACTTACACGAGAGGGAGTCTCGTTTGTTGCACTACTGTAAGATCGATCCTACATACCTAGGTAGACACGGGGCAGCTTGTATTACACAGTCCCGATCCTCAGACAAGCATGCCCACATGACCTAACATGTCTGCTAGATAGGGACAAGCTCTCCAAGATGATTTCGACGATTGATGCCGGCAACGGGTTCCGCGATGTGATTTTGCCCATGGCCCTGGTCATGCCAGACCTCGTGATCTCCCGGGCTCTCCTCAACGCGGTGCTTGCAGTGGCGGCATGCCATCTCTGGGGCAGCCACGAAGCACTCCTCTACAAAGCCAGAGCCATCCGCGCCCTGTCTTACGCGCTGAGGGAAAACCGCCACGAGGCCCTCGAGGCACAGCTCGCTGCATCGATGATGCTCTGCGTTTATAATGTATGTGTGTGTTGTGACCCCTGGCGTGGCGCGCGCACACAGATGTCTAAAAAGAAAGGCGGCGGCACAGCTGATGGGGTGACTCGCTAGGTTTTCGACGAGCAGGAAGGGAACTGGAATCTGCATCTGAGCGGCGCTGCTCACATTCTACAACTGTACGGACCAGCCGTCAGTAAGGGACCAGGCCAACAGTTTCTCTCCACCTGGCTGCTGTATCACGAAGTCCTCGGCGCCTATAGCCAACCATTCCAGGAAGCGGCTCCAAGGTCGTTTGTCCTAGACATCATCCGAACCTCCAACCTCGATACGAGCCTGGTTAGCAAACCCCCTCCTCGCTTTGTCTTTCTCTGGGCATCAACCCATCACGTATGATTAAAAAGGGCAAGAAGCTGATAGAGAACCAGATTATCGGCTCCCTGGGCTGTTCAGTGGAGGTAATGGAGGCCATCCATTTCGGGAACACTTTCCGGGCTCTGCAGCTTCGGCGGCGCCGTCGTCGTGGGTCTGCATCGCACGACGACGACGTCCAGCTACGCCAATGGCACAGAACCTGCACAAACCTCGAGTCCCTCCGGCAGCATGTAGACCCTCAGGCAGAGACCAGCCTCATGACCCACGACCGAGCCCATGTCCTCGCGACCGCAGAGCTATATCGGCTCGCGGCACTCGTCTATCTGCACCAGGTCCTTCCCGATGATGATGACCACGACCTGAGCACGGATTTCATGGCAGCACAACAGCGACAGCGACAGCAACAGCAACAGCACCTCGACCAAGCATTCGCGGTCCTCCGCAGCCTCGACACCTGCACGAGCCCATGGCCCTTGTTCGTGCTCGCATGCGAGGCCGGCACCAACGGCACCGACAAGGCCCCCGACGACAGCGACCACCGGCGTGTCGCGATCCTCCATGCCCTCGACAAGATGGACCAGCGCCGAAACATAGGCAACGTCTTTGTCCTCAGGCGCATCATCGAGTCGTTCTGGAAGCAGCGGGACTTGCGCCAGGGTCGTCGTCCCAGGCGACGACGCACCAGCGGCGGCGGCGATCTGAGGTGGTGGGACGTTGTTGATGTCAGGCATGCGGCGCCATGGTTCATATGATGATATCCTAGAGGACCCAGCCCCGGTCTTGTGGTTTCGCCGCCGGGCGCAACAGCGACGACTGACATGTCAAGAACCATTGGATGACGCGATGCGTTGGCCATAATTGGTGGCTTGAATGGCACTTTATCCAAGAATGTCTCTCGAGACTATGGTTGTTCAAAATTCACGTCTGAGCAGCCAACGGTGCAGAAGATATATATATATATAGCCACTGGCGTTCATGGGGGGGGGGGGGGGGGATGAATATCGATTTGAGGATAATTGTGCCTCGCGGCCAGTAATTAGTGGCTCTGTCTACGTACGGAAAATAAAAAGGTGTCGTGTTTTAGGAAGTTCCAGCTTCCCTAGAGAGTGCACTGCGGCACTTTGCATGTTCTGTGCTCTTCCGGACCACCCTATCCCTCATCCCTTTCGTGAGTACAAGTCATTAGAAACGAGACGTACGTCACGCTGCTTCTGCTGGTCATACCAGGTTTGTTTCTGTTTGGACCCTTTTGCCTTTTGGATCAGTGCTCTTCGTGATGGCTTTCCTGCTCGTGCGACCATAGACGGCGGGCGGTGCTCTTCCCAAATAGCTCATTGCTTCTGAGGCTGCAAGACTACTCTCTTGTCAGGCTGGTAATTCGCTGGCGAGGACCACGTTCGTGGCCTGAGCTTCAAAGCTAGACATCGGTCGCAACGCGTCACCGAATCTCCCAAGCACGATCAAACCCGCTAACACGGCCTTGGTACGGCGCAGGTGGTGTGGTTTGAGACCATTTTTGAAGCTTCAAAGCAGCCCCCATGATGCAAAATTGCCCAGGCAGGGTCTATGCGGACGGCTTCCGGAGCGGTCGTCTCATTGGAGACAGCCATCACCTGGGGGCCTGGTTGCCAGTCGTGGTGATGTTACCAATCGGCCTCTGCAAATAGCGACAGGACAATTGAAAGATCCCAACAGACCAATCGCTCACTGGTGAAGCAACATTTAGCTCATTGCAAGAACTCCACCTCAAACCAAGTATCGCGACAACAACTGTCCGCCACAAATAGCAAGGCAGCTCAACAACCAAAGTATATCGAGAGGCCGAGACCATCATATACCAGCACGTTCAACGACTACCACAAGGAGGAAGCCATTCAAGACAGCGACAGCTCCAAACGCCGCCCACAACGTAGAGCAATAAATCCACGTGACCGGATCATCACGAGCAAACATCGCACCAAGACCCATGCAGGCGCAAAACAGGCTGGCTACGGATGAGGCGGTGACGCCAGCCCCAAGCTGCAGACTAAGGCCCGGGCCCGCTGTTACGACCAGGACGCCTGACAGGATCAGAAGGGCAAAAGCGGCTGTGAACGCGATGATGGACGCGCGTGCCATCATGGATTCGCGATAGTCGTCGAATCGTTGGTTCTCGAGTTTGTCGAACGAAGTGTACCGCGGATCGTCATTCCCAACAGACTGCTCGTCGGAGGATATGTATTCGTCCTCGGTCGCCTCATTGTCCGTGTGGATGATTGCTGTTGGGCGTTGTCTGGCCGTAAAATAATCGGTCTGCTGCTCGGCCCCATCGAGCAACGGCCGGGTTTCAAATGATGTGTGCTGCCTCGGCTTGAACCAGGTGCGGAGCTTCCCAAACGGCGCGATGATGACCTGCTTGATATGTGTAAGGTCGGGGAAGTCAGACTGGTCAGGATCGATGTATATCGCAAAGCCATCGTCCTCGCGATGGTCGCCGGCTTCACTACCACAGTCATATTCGTTCCAGTAGGATGTTGGGGTCTGTGGTTCGAAAACATCTTCTGACCTGCAACGTGACGCAGTCGGCCTGGTACGAGAAGACGGGCGTTCTTGCCAAGGCGCGTGTGACGGGCTCCGGGGATCGTAGACAGACTGGCGGTTCGGTGGAGCCAGCAACAATGGAGGGGCACTTTTTATGAAAAAAAGCAGTTCCTGGTGCTCGAGCTGTAGCGCATGGAGGTCGCGCTGGGTAAAACTCTTTGGTGAGCTCAGGACATTGTGTCTGAAGCGGCTGTTGAGCGATGTCGAGCCGGTCCATTTCTGCGTTTGATTTGAGCCGTTAGCATGCCAATTCTGCGCGTGTGATCAGCGGACATTGCGCGTACCCTATATTTCTTGAGGATCTTGCGAAACGCAACTATCTGTGCATCGACGAAGTGGATGAGGGTCTTGATGTCGTCGCCACATTCCGCAGCTTGCATCGAGTACTTGGCGAACTTGCGTCTCCGCTTGATCCAGGGGCCCGTGCTGCCGTTCCCGTTGCCGAGGGGATTGCTGGCCTCGGAGGCAGCCTCGTTCTGACAACGCGCAATCAGGCGCTTGACCAGTCCAGACAGATGTCCTATATAATCACGCTGGTCAAAAAAAAACCAATGTTCAAGGCCAGGCGCAATGTTGGCGGAGGAGGGTGGTGGGCTGCTTACGGATCCGCCTGGAGATCTCGTCGGCCTTGCTGGAGACGAAGAGCCCGACGCGGTCATGCTGGGCGCAGAGCTCGGCATAGAAGCCGTCCTCGAAGCGTTGCAAGGCATAATCAGTCTGGCCAGGGATGGCAACGGCCGTGGCCTGGTCGCGGGAGGTGTGCGTCTTGATCTGGTACTTGAGGGCGTTGTAGTCGACGTTGTGCAGACCCCAGCCGGGCTGCGAGGCCTCTTCGAGGTGCTGGCCGTACTTCATGCTAGGATGGGCGGTAGCTGGTGCAGGGCGGCAGCTGAGACAAGAAGGGGCGCTGGGCTTGTGTTGGGTGAGCCCGGCGCGCGATGAGCGGCCGATGACGTTGGCGTGCGTCGGAAAGCTGTGCGGACCGACCAGGAATTGGAGGCAGAAGGCCCTGGAAGGGGTCCAGGCACGCTGAGGATCAGCGGGCGGCAGGCAGCGGGCAGCGGACCGCAGGTGAACAGAGCGGCGCGAGAAGGAGCAAAAGAATGAATTGCAATGCAAGAGCGGAGGGCAATGCCTCGAGCTCAAGGAATTGGCGACGCAGAGAGAGGAGAGCTTTGAAGGAACACGAGATGTTTGGAGCGCTGGCCGTGGCAGATAAAGAGAGACAGCCACAGCCGGGCCTGGAGCACGCCGCTCCTGCCATTGCAGGCAGGGAACACCTGGGCAGTCCTTGTTGGTGCCAGGCTGGATCCGGCTGCTACCAAGACCGCCCAGTCGCAGCACGCGCACGCGGGCGTAGATGACGCTGCGCTGCGGGTGCGTGCTGCTAACTTAACGGTGCTAAGACTACTGCGGGCGGCCGGGCCCACTGCACTGGCCAGGGACCCCGGCCGGGACAACAGGGCCGGCCGTGGTGCCAATTGGATGGGGCCGAAGTCGTGCCTGCGTGCCCAAAGGCAGAGGCAGCTGCAGGCGACGCCCGCACCTACACAATCACCTGGGCATGCCGGGGACAACGTTAATCACAGTAATAATACCTCGTCGTGACAATGTCGGCCGCAGAACCAGCTCGCGGTCGCTGTCCCTCGGGCGGGGTGGCGAAGAGGCAAAAACAAGGGCACAGAGTACATGGCCGTGTGCGAGCCTGTCTGTACCAGCCCAGGTTGCATCGACGATGATGGTGATGATGATGATAAGGGCGTCAGGCCCAAAGCTTAGCCTGGCATGGGTTTTCCAAGGTTCGCCAGCAGGCCGGGTCTGCAGCATGGACACGGCGCTAGGCTGGTGAAGGCGCGCATGGCAGCATGGCACACGGCAGTCTGCCATCCACCACCTGCAGCCTGTCCGAGACCGGTTCCTGCGACGACTGGACGGACAAACAGGAACGCCGCGATCCAGAACCTCGAACTAGAACTTTGCTCAAGCCACCCATACAAAAATGGTGTGGGTGCTCCTCCACCCGGCTGCTGTAGGGCGCAGCAGGCGCCGCCTTCATTGGCGGCCTGGTGATTAGTAACGTGGAAACTCATTGTTGTTTTGACTTTTTCCTTCATCCTGATGTTTTCTATTAGCAAAAAAAATTAAAAAAATCGAATCTGACCTCCGGTTCGGCTCCGTGTCTTTGGCGACAAGTGAGACTGCCCAAGACGTCTTCATCCGCAATTGCGAGGGGTTGTCTTGTGTTGCTGGCACTCAAGATAGTCTCTGCCGCGACCAGCACGCACCTGCGCGGTTCCGTCCTCAATCCCGCGGGCCGCCTCCACGGACGGCAGCAGGTGCTGCTTCATCCAGCCTCGCCCCGGCCCAGTATGGAGCAGAGCTGCGTCCCCCCTCGACGGGCACGTGGTGCCAGCAAGCGCTGCGAGTGGTTGTTGAGTGCCTGCATGAGACTGCAGCTCCAGCGCGCTGCAGCAGCAGGACGCAGTAACAGTCGCAGCAGCAGCGGGGCCGCGGAATCGCGGGCGGCGGCGGCCTTCAGGGTCCTCCTTGCTGCCCGCGATGCCTCCATCCCTCTCCACGCAAAGTGGGCTGCGCTGGCCGGGTCGTTGGTGGTGGATTGCTGATTAGCTCGGGGGGGCGTCGTCCTTTGTGTCGCGTGCTCCTCGTCCGGTTCCGGGTGCCAGCGCAGCCCCTCCCCAATGTCTTTGTCTTATCTCCCCAAAGTCGCGTGCCTGCATGCCCAAAGCATACCACCGCCCACCTGTCATAGAGAGGGAGCCCATCAAACCTCCGTGGCATCCGAACGTTTGCCGCCATGCTCAGCAAGTGGCTCCAATCTCGTCGTACCGTTTGGCGGCATGACAAGCAGGCCCTCGTCAATACATCATTAGCTCTCGCCTTCCACGACCAAGTACTGTACCCAAGACCACCGGCCCCCCGTAGGGCGGGAAATCTCGACGGTGCAGGCTGGGCCAGATCTGGGCCCTGGCCACTTGTCCACCAAGAGCCCGCTGTTCGCATGCTGCCCTGCCTCATGCGGCTCTGCTCGTGCCAACCGGATTCATCCCCGGGCCTTGATCCTCTGCGGCGGCGGCCCGGGCAAGAGATCGAGACGCTGCCGCCCTGTCAATGTCGTCCCACCGCGAGCCCCTCATCTGCCACTGACCACTGCGAAAACGACAAGGCCTCGCAGGGACCGGTGCCCATTCGAGTCTGCTCCGAGAATACGTCCGCAACCAGTGTCTTGTCACTGTACAAACACTGACAATTGTGACATCCAAGTCGCTACAGGCGACTTGCTCTGCAGCTCGCCGGCGCCCAAGCTTCTCCGCGTCTGGCTGGTTGTGATCAGCCATGTTGGAGCGTCTTGAATGAAAGGGTTTTTTGCCCCAGTGTTTAAGGTCAAAAGTAGAAACAAGCTAGAGCTTGAGACGTTTATGGTAGGGTCCGCTGAGACGTGGTCTGAAAACATGCCACCGGCAAATGCCGTCATCAGCCGGCCAGTCAGACATTTCTCCCCCATCCAGGGAACGTACTGGTACGCCAACCAAAGAAAGGACCCATTCTTCTGCCCCCCCCCCCCCGGCCTGTGAACATGCCGGCAACATCACCGAGTCAAACGCCCCCAACCCGGGATCTTGGATGGCAGTGCTACTGTGTCTTACGTCGAAACAGCATCGGCCGCCTTGCTGCTGATGCCACCCAGCACTTTGCCAGGGTGGACATCATACCGCGCAGACGAGTTCATGTCCAACTCTTTACAATATGGCAGAGATGACACCTCGCTGCCTCAGTGGCAGGTCGCTTCTAGCTAGCCTGTTTCAGGTTCACACCTTGTAGCTCGCCAAAGGGTTCTTGCCGCCACACTCGTCAAAGGATTTGGTTTGCCCTTGAATTGATGGTGGTAACACAAATGTGCTCTGCACGCACCTTTTGACCTCGAGACTCTCGCTCTACGCCAGGAGAAAATAGCGAGCGTGGGCGCATGAAATAGGCCCGACAGGTGCCCTTTGCCTCGCCTTGCCTCCGGGCTTCGTGATGCGACAGGCTGTGGATACATGTCAGGAGGGAACAAGCTGTGGTTGAAGAAAATCCCACGCTATAGCCTGCGACGGCTGGCCTCGGAGTAAGATCCGAGAGGACTTCCCCATTTGGCTACTTTTAGGGGGACAGCATCAGCATGCCGCTGTCCATGGCGGCCCAGACCACGCTCAATGTGAGCATGCCGATATTCTTCCTATGAAACTCAATTTGATGACTACCGTCCCCTGTCCGCCGCTCAGTAGAGGTCAATTACCCTCACTTCCCCTGACGACGGCGTTTCGCCGCTTGCTAAGCTTGTTGGACAAGCAATCACATACCCGGGCCCATTCCTTCTTCGCCTTAAAATCATATGCTTACTTAACCCTCCCATGCTCCAGACTTGATCGCCCTCTTTCACTTCTCGTGTTGCAAAGCCGGGCGTGCCGTTTGTGGTTGTAAAAAGGTGGTGTTCGTCCTCACGGGCAAACTTGACAAACGTCGTGAAACTCCAGACACCCAAGTAGTAGGGCTGTCGCCATAGGTAACTACTCTCTATTTCTGTCCGAAGTTCGGACAACCAATTTGCAGGCAAGGGCCTATGCCGGTCGAACCTACGACGCCACAAGAATTTCCGGATCAACATAATGTAATATGTTATCCCGGGTTTTGACGAGGAGGCGCTCCCACCTCGGTACACAGCGAAGACCGACATGCGAGGACCAAATGTCTTGCCGATCCAATCATCAAAGCGCCTATGGGAACCGTAGAGCCACAGGGCGATGCGTTCCACCATCGCCCAGAGCACGCTCGAGGCCGACTGATGGCTCGAATAGGCTCCAGTTGTGGTACAAAAGAAGATCTTGTATGCCCGGCGTGCTTCGACACGCAGGATAGTGTTCTCGAGAACTTCGACAGAGATACCAGGGGCGCTGGAGGCAGATTGGTCGATTGTTCTTGGCGGCGGTGTCGTCGTCGCTATCTGAACGTATCGATCATCGGTGCCTGATGACCAGTCTGGCACCCAGGAAGGACCTCTTTGAGCTAGACTCGACACTGCATCTTCGATGAGAAGCAAGGCGCGTGTGTCCCAACCAAGAAGATTGACAAGAAAGGCCTTGTATACTTCGTAGGGTTCTTTGGAATAGTCGGGAGGTTCTAGGGTGGCACCACAACGTTCCAGCACTCCGAACAGTGCAAAACACTTGTCATGTGGTCTGAGACAGACTCGAGTTCTGAGAGCGTGCTGGACCACGAGAAGAGTGCCCAAATTCGAACCCAGTCCCGATGGATTCGTCTCTACCCAATCTGGACGCTGTTTGAAGATGTTGATATATGTGAGCTTCAAGTTCAACAAACATAAAGTCCCCACGCCGGAGAAGCTTAAGACAGCCGACCAGGCCAGAGTGGGAGATCCAAGTGGGGCAAGGACAAACGCTACCAAGCAAGCAGTAGTTATCATGAGAACCACGAAAAGTACCGCATGAGCCAGGTAGAAGGTCCGTCGGGTAATCCGGGGTTCTTTGTCCAGATCATTGTATGCGGCGACAATCGCGTCTGCGTACGATTTGCATGTAGCGGTTTGAGACTGTTCGGCACCACGTGCGCCAAGGTGAGAGCGTGGGAAGGCCAGCCATGCTTCTATCAAGGATGAGTCCAGCGTGAACCACCAACCCTCCGGTGCTCTCCGATGCCATGCACCGAGGATGGCCTCGAGAGTAGCTGATTGATCGCCATCTAAGAAAATCATATCATTTGCCAGAAGGCACTCTTGCAGCGTCCAAGATCTGGTTATCCAATCGGATTTTGCAAGTAGCTGCATTGCTGACGAAAGTTTGTTGAACTTAACCGCGCCCGTTCTCCAGCCATCTAAACGATTAATCAGCGGCATGCTTGATGAGACGCATTGTGTTGGTTGGCGACTTACGTCTGGCATCTGCCCAGAACAGACCTCGATATCGTCGCAGTTCATTCTGGTAAGTCTCACGTGAGGTTGCCCGAGCCATGGCCAGTGGGACTCTCCGATACCTCCTGGCTCTTCTTTCCACCACCCATGGATATGTCAACGGCACGCGTCGTTTGGCAGCAGGGGACAGCCAGACATAGACACAGCTTGCCAGGCTGTAGATGTCTCCCATGTACCGAACTTGATGCCCACGCTCGCTGTCATCTGCCTGGTTGATACAAACAGCGTCCACCCAGATGACTGCCCGGGGCACTCTGCAGCGGATATGGCACAAGGCCTGATAGCAATTCTCGGTGATCTCGATGGGGAAGCCATTACTGATGATGTGTCTCGGACTTGATGTGTCGACAACGCCCCACACATACGAGAGCGCGATGAAATCCCCGGCGTTGTCCAAATCAACCAGTCGCAATTCAGCCTGCAAGGGGCTGTCGACGAGTGCGCTCTCAGCTAGGATAAGAAGCCTGAACCACCTGCCGTGGGCTGGTATGCTCGCCCCAGGGTATGGACTCGCTGCAGGTGGAGTTGGTGTAGACTGCACGGACGGGTTTGTGGTGGTTGCGGATAGCTCCACGCCGACGCCGTTGTCGTTCATTGTGCAGTTGGATGAAGAGGCTATAAGGTGGTGGGCACAATGTCTCGTGTCGTGCTGGAGTCTTAGAGCGGCAGTGGCTCTGAAACAGACAGCACATCTTGACGAAGCTTGCTGTGGCCAAGGGAGAGAGGCCGCAATTTAGTGACTGCCGCGGGATATGAGGGCCGGCCATGGGGAAAATGTGAACCACTCGTTGTAATCATGTCTCGACCTCCAGCTCACGGTTCTTGCCGTGAGACTGCCTCGTCTTGGGGGGAGTGAGTATGCCTGCCAAGCAATGTGCATGGCAGGTGCGGGGCTGACATCTTGAACACTCGACCCTCGCGCCAGGGCTGCGCTGCCAGCTTCAAGGCAGAGAGATCGGGCTGAGTTGGGCTGTGTTTGCCGTTTCAATAAGAGTGTGGCTGAGCCTTGCTGTCAAGTAATAGTTTCTGCCTGGCAGCCTGGTCACCATGTCTATGTCACCGCTCGCATTTATTGAGCTGATCTGCAATCCGAAGCGCGGTGTTCTTACACGTATGAACCAGCATTCGCAGGATGAGCATGGAATATAGGAACTGCCCGCCACGACTTGTGTTGCTAATATTCTGAAAACGCAGATCTGTTGCCACCTTTTTTTGAAAGCCACGAACAAGGACCAAAAGGAATGTCGACGTTACAGTGATATCCCGGTCCGGGTTCCGCTCTGTGCGGTCCGCCTCCTCCCCCGGCTCCCGTCTATGAGGGGCGAATCAGAGAGCAAAAGTGCTGGGGATAATTTCGATCCCGTTCGAAACGAGCGGGCATGTTCCAAATTCCTTACCGGAGACTCGGTTCTCATTCTTCCGAGCTCACAAGGCCAAGCTGGCCGGCTGGGCCTGAGAAGGAAATAAAGTGGTCTCCACGACCGGACAGGCCCGGGGGGGGGGTATGGTAGGCAGATGACAGAAAGAAAAAAACAAAGATTGCCAACCAAACACACCAAACACCAAACGTCAAAGCCAGACAACTGAGACAGAATAGCACGTGAATACATATGCAATGATGGGCAATCAAGCTTTCCTCCCAAAGGTCAGAAAAACCCGGAACAAGATGTATTCGCAAGAGAGAGTTGACCTCCCTAGGAGCAGGACGACGACGACGTCTAGTCTTCTTTGTCCTCCTCGTAAAGGACTTTTATCCCGCGCTTTGCGTTCTGTTCAACCCCCCGCCCAGAGTCTCCATGTCTTACATATCCATTTCGCTATATTACACACCTTCCACGACTTTTCCCCGCGGATCATGACCTTGTGAAAGACTTTCCATCAAAAAAGGCCAAGATGTTGCGCAGCACAAGACGGGACGTGTCCCCTGGCTTCAAGACTGCGCATGGCGATTCTCGACACATGCAAGCCCACATTCTGTTGAAGCATTGCAGGCCCATGAAAGGAACAGTATACACGTCGGCACAGAGCAGATATGTGTCTGGCATGGCGTGTGCGACGCACGTGATGCCCGGTCGCCAAGTTCGCTTGAAGCGTCTGGCGGCGGGATGGACGCATAGAGTCATCTGGGTCAGAGCGCCAGGATGGTGGTCAGGGTGTGCGTGAATTACCACAACAGCCAGCTTTCCACACTACCCTTGGCTTCTTGAATTCCGGATCTCTGCTGCAGGCGTGAGCTCGCTCACTTCGGGGCATTGAACTGCTCGACCCTGCTACTGACTAGTCGTCCACATTACCATACTCGCTGCTGTCTCCACTCGCGCGTCATTTCCAGACAACGATGCTGATGACCTTAGGTCGCCTTTTTCCATTACCCCTCATGGTCCCAAAGTTCCTGGCGTCAAGTATTCTTCTCTGTAGATCCCGCGCTTCTGCTCGAGCAGGCGCATCATCTTCTCTGTTGTGCGGAAGGAATCCCGGATTAGCACTCCGTGCACGACGAAATCAAAGTGCAAAGGATACTTACCGGCGATGCCCCAGCGATTGCTGAACAGCCGCAAACTCTCGAATTTCTCCGCGATAGCCCGCTGGCACTCGAGGTTTTCGTCGGGGAATATCCGCCGGAACGACGAAAACACAATGATGACTAGGTAGCATGTGGCCCCTACGGGTGCCGACAGGACGTCCACGTTGGAAGGGCTGTCGCCATTATTGACAAATTCCGAATTGATCTTGCAGGATATGTCCGTTGACATCTTGCAAGCAAAGCGCAACGCCGCCAAGGCCGTCTTGAGTTCCGGATCAGCCTCAATCTGCTGGGCTGACATGTTTTCTATCCTTGGCAGATACGGCAGGTAGAGAGTAAACAAGGCACTGTTTCAGTATGGTCAGCATATGCAAAGGCTGGCCATTTTGTTGAGCTGCGAGCCGCCAGAGGCAAGAAGTGATCCCATACGTCCAGGGGATGAAAACCTCGGTACTGAACTTACCTAATGCACATGGAAAAGCAGTCAAGCATCAGCTCCCAATGCATGGACCTCTCAATGAGTGTCTGTGTGGCCCTGCGCAATTCCTGGTCGAGATCAGAGAATATCGTCGTGCTCATATGCGGCAGGCTCGAGCGCTCCTTGTCTAGGCGAAGGGCACGATGCAATAAGCTGCTGCACTTTGCTGATAGCTGGAAGGTGCCAAGCTCTTCGTTACCCAATACGACGCTCACGGGCTGCCGTCTGATGGTGGGGGCTGGGAACAGCGAGTTTCCGCTGGTACTGGTGGTCCATCCCGGAGCGGTGGTCATAATTGGCATTTCAGGTAGCAGAGCGTTGTATGCTGGTGTCTCCAGAATAAAAGGTAGGTGAGTAGCCGTCTCGTCTCTGTGAAGAAACCTGATTACAGTGTCAGCATCGCCGAACCATGCGAACAATACCGGGAATGGTATCGCGGACTTACTGGTCAAGGATGAATAAACTCCACCAGATACCCCCTCGCTCTTCCTTGTCCATTACCGACAGCTCTACGGGCTCGTCGGCGAGGATATGTCTCTGTGCAGGTTTGTCTCCGTATCCAGGTGCCACTCCCACGACACTAGCGTTCGCAGCAGCCTGCGCAAGTGTCCGATAGGCCGTGTGTGACTCACCATGGCCGTACTCGTACAGCGCAAGGAGTGCGCCGCACTGGACCATCTCTATGCTGGGTGGTGGTCCGTCCGCGCCGTTGAGGCAGACGAGCGAGACTAGTCGCTTGAGAACACGATAGGTCTCGTCAAACATCTGTACCACACCGTTGTGGTTCCGCCTACACCTCGTGACGAGATGCATGGCTACGATAAGCAGCGCGAGATCTTTGCCTCGCAGCTCCAAGTCAGCCTCGGACTGAGATGGCGACCTCTTGAAAGACGGATGCAAGTCAGCTTGCCCGTTGGCGTAACCTGACGAAGATTGCGACCGTGCTGGTGAAGGGTAGTCTGGGTGTGACTGAATCTCCGACACGCGCTGATCGAATAGTGCCGGATGGACCACAGCATACCACGGATGGATGTAGGTGAAGTATGCATGTACTGGCGCCTTCCAGTCGGGCTCCGCGTCAGTGTCCGGGCCGCCCAGGAGCCCTAATATCTGAGACACCGAAACGTTCTCGAGCGGATCTAGACTGCGAAGCATCGCGTCGCTGGACAGCGGTTGTGACTGATAGACGACAAAGTGAGGTCCGTGTGGGTTGGCGCTGGTGGCCAGGGCGTCCTGTACGTAGTGGCATTTCGCATTGAGGCGGACGCAGCGGTCGCAGTGAGGCAACTTTTTGTCACACCTGCGCTTCGACAACCGACACTTCTCACAAGCCCGTGGCGCAAAGCCCGGCGTCTGCCCATCTGCCATCCACTGCATGTTGTTAAAAGAAGCCGGTTCGGCGCCGGTGCCAGGACCGGCGCCAGGAGCTCCAGGACCGGCACCGGCAGGGCCAGCCATGGCGGCGGAGCCCATGTACGCGTGCTGGTTTGGTGACTGGCTCGGAGTCGTGTCGGAAATAGGTGAGAGCCCTTGAAACTGAAAGCCGTTGCCAACGCCCGGCTTCCCGCCAAGAGCCACACTATTCATTTGAGCGTGGTGTCAGAGAACCGCGATAGCTCGCAAGGAGAGCGACCAGCCCACAGGCTTCTCTTTGGGACAGCAGAACGGCGTTCTATATCGGGTCTGCACAGCCCTGTGGTGCGACTCTCTGAGCGTGAAAGGAGTGGCGAAAAATCAAAATCGGTGCGTATGCCGACTTTGTACGTGCTTACACGCGATGGCTTTGCCCAAACAGTCCACGCCTTACAACACTGCGAGGCCTTCGCAGCGTGCCGGATCACGGACTGAATGAATGAAGGACGCTCGCAATGCGGTAGGCCGTGGAAAGGGAGGGAATTTTGGCAGGCGTCAAGGTACAAGCACTGACTGGCCTTGTGGCTCGAGGTGATTCAAGCGCGGTGTATGTGCACTGTGCTGTCTACAAGAGATGCGCTCGTGGGTGGCAGGCGCGGGATATCTGGCTGTCTACTGCGCAGGGTCTGTCTGATGCCGTCGTGGGCGCGGATGGCGATGAACCGAGTCTACGCCTGGCCGTGTCGAGCTGTACAGCGGAGAAGGCGGATAGGCCAAACGAGCAGGCGGGCAGTGGCGAGACCTGGATAGTTGTGCGTTTGAGTCACGCAAACGGGCTGATGCCGTCAGGCCGACGACACTGCTGGGCTGAGCTGCAGCAGGGGCCTGGCGCTGCGGGGAGAGCAGGGCCGCGTTGCGATGGACGGTTTTGCGGCGGCGAATGGTGAGACGAGGAGAGGCGATCGCAAGAAACCTTGGCTGGGTCGTCGTCGTCGTCGTCGTCGTCGTAAGTGTTGTTGAAGGTGTTGTTGCGTATTGGCAGTGGTGATGGAGGGAGCGTCGCGCGTGTGGTCGTTGTGGCGGCAGTCGGCTCCGTGCTAATTAGCAGGCGAGGGCAGGACGTCAGGGAAATGGGACGGGAAGCTGCTCAAGTGCTGCTGCAGGTCTGAGGGGGCCTAGACGGCTGGATTGGCGGGCTTAATGGGCGCCATCCGAGTCGCCCGTGGCGCGTGGGCCTGGCGTGGCGTGTGGAGGGGCACGAGGGTCCTGGCTGGTCACTGGTGTGTGTGGTGTGGTGTGGTGTCCTGTGGGTGCTTTTCCGGCACGTCAGTCGCCTGCGCTGCAGCCAAGCCAGGAGTAATTAAGGCGGCCTGGTGGCACAACGTGCATGCAGTGGCGCCCCAAGGCCATCAATTCCCCAGCTCCGCGGACTTGGCTTGACTTGCCCGCCCCCAAACACCGACGCCCATGTGATGGGCGACATCTGGTACTTTGAAGTGAATGGCGACTGAACGAGCTGGGTGTGTACGACTTCAGCCAGCCAGCCAGACAGACAGACCTAACCATGTTCACCACCTGGCATGGGCCTCGCCCTCGGCAACCTCGACCGAGATCGGGGCGGCAGATGCCAGTGTGGGGTGGGGCTCCAGTCCAGAGCGGATGGTGAATGCCAACTCTGATCATCACCATGGCTGGACTCTGCCTTCGCATCTCTAGATCGGAAAGCTCAAATGCGCCTGGACAAGCAAACCACAGGCGTCAAGTCTGCCCTCCCTCCTCCGTAGACCACCCCCCCCCCCCCCCCCCCCGAGTCTAGACCCCCGGGCCCTTAGCCCTCCCGCCAAAAGGCGCAAGCCATAATCATCATGTCTCAGACCTCTCTGCCGCCCGCCGCCAAAATACATCTTCATTTCCCAGCCTTGGAATGATGAGGAATCCTCCTCCTGGGCCCCTGTCCCAAAACCCCAAAAACGTCACCGTGCATCGAGCGCCCTGTTGAGAAGGCGACGAGCGAGCCAGCCCACCACGAAGCGAGCTCAAAGAGGTCCCGTGACGTTTCGAATCGAATTCAGTAATCCCAAAGGCAGAAACCGGGCACACAAACTCAAGGAGCGCGGCAACCCATAGAAACACCAAAAACGCAAACCGCGTGGCCGGCTGCAAATATTACAGGAAACTTTCGGGCCGGGGGCGGGAAAGCGTCGCTGTGCTGCCCTGCCCTGCCCTCGGGCAACTGGAGAGTTGGTGATGATGACGAATCATGATTAAAAAGCGCCATCCCGCCTTAGCCTCCTCCTACAGGACGGTAGAGCGCAAGGGACCCGCCAATCAGAGTTTGGCCAGCGTCGATTCCGGCCTTGTCAAAAAGCTGTTTTTTCCTCCTCGCTCAGCCTCCGTTCGGCCTAGCAGGCTCTAGCTTTGCAACGAGTATCAGAGTAGGGCAGGTGGCTGCCACTGAATTTGGAATTGGTTGATCCTGCAAGCATTGCGATGGCGGCCTCGATTCCCGGGACCATCTTTTGGAACTTTAACTCCTGGAATCAATACTGCCAAGACCCGGAATTTTTGCTCGAGACGCTGCCCAGTGTGGAGGGCTTACTATTTGGAGCATCGACACCCCCTTATGTAAGTACCCTTTCCTATGTGTGTGTGAATACCCAAAGCCACCTCCCATAACGCCCAGAAAAAGAAATCCAACAGAATTCAAACAGGCCCCATTGCCATTGCGCCAATTAAATTCACAGCTTCAGAGTGCCTTGCAGCGGCAGGTCGCGGCTGCTGGCACCGACATAAACCTGATACTCGCCCCCCTGCAGGCGCCACTTCTGTGTAACGACATCCCATATGCTCAAGTCCCGCCTGGTGAGCTCAAACTCGACCGTGGCCGTTTGTGTAGCATTGATGAACGGCTTGTCGAAACCCCGGAGCTGTCGCACGGGAGATCCCTCTCCCGGAATGCCCAGGTATAATTGCGCTGCTTCGGCACCATCGACGTCGCCCACGTTGGTGATGTTGGCGCGCACCGTCGCAATGACGTCCCACAAGTCTACCTGCCCGCCCTCCTCAATTGAGCCAGAGGGCAATTCGTCTAACCTCGCTCCTTCTTGCAGCGACACCTGCAAGTTCGAATAGTTGAATCTCGTGTATGACAGCCCAAAACCGAACTCGTAGCGTGGAGTGATGTTCTTCGCATCGAAGTGGCGGTAGTCAATGAGGACACCTTCCGTGAAATTCGACTGCGGAAAATTTGCGAATATGCCCTCAGGCAGATTAGCAGATAATAACTGCTCGTAATCAGACTCCTGCTTCGCGACCGTATAAGGAAGTTTCCCGGATGGGTTCGAGTCGCCGTACAGCAGGCTGACCAGAGCTCGCCCAGACGCCTCACCAGGCAGATGTGCAAAGATCAACGCGGTGACGTTGGCATGATCAACCCAGTCCTCGACCAGCCGCGCACCGGTATTGTGGAAGACAACGATCGTGTTATTGCAGCGATCTGCGACGTGTCGGATGAGCCTGTCTGTGTACTGGTCGAACAGACCTGTCCTGTCATATCCTTCTGAGGCATAAGCATTGCCGATGACCAAGCAGGCATCCGAGTCGGAGTAAACGTCGGGGTCTGGCGTGAAGAAGTCCCAGAACAGGGCAGTTCCATCATCGTAAGCCCGGGCGGCAATGGCATCAAAAGGCGAAGAAACACTGGCAGGAGTGACTGCGCCACTGCCACCACCAGAGAAGATGGTGCCATTAGGCGCAATCTGGGACCAGTCTTCGCCAACCACGTTTGAGAACCCCAGCTGAGTGTCTCTGCCCAGGTAGGAGCTTTCGCCTCCAAACGTCCAGGCTGCCACGCCGCCATTTGATTTGTAGTTCCACTGATCCGGACTCTTGGCACTATATCCAAAGATTGAGAGGACCATGGGCTTGCTCAGAGGCAAAGCGCTCTTCGTGTTCTTGAGGAGGACGTGGCCTTCGACAGCCCCGTCGAATAGCACTTGCCGCGAAGAAATGTTTCGGGCGTCTACGATGGTATGTGGTTTCGTGAGATCTGCCGGCATTCCGACACCGGGTTCGGGGAAGTCGCCGTCCTGGTTCATTTGGTACCACGATGCCATGATGCGTGTCGCCATGTCGTCCAGGCGGGCCCCGTCGAGCGAGCCGTTCTTCACGGCGACAACCAGCTCGTCCCCCCAAAGTTCACTGCTCGGCATGACCATGTCCATGCCGGCATCTGCGACGGGAAAGCCCCCATGAACCGCGCCCCAGTCAGAAAGGACGAAGCCTTGAAAGCCTAGCTCGGTTTTGAGCAGGCCTAGGGTACTGGACGTCAGTGAAAACTGTTGGAGGTTTTGCGTGCCCTGATGTGGGACAAAAAAAGTGCCTACCGTTCTGGGTTTTCGAGTTCTGGCAGCCGTAGGAATTGTTTACCCGGTTGTACGAGCACATGATGGAGGCGGCTCCTGCTTTAAGGGCGTCTTGGAAAGGCCACAAGTAGAGCTCGTGCATGGTGCGGTCGTCTATGTTTGACGAAATCGCAGCCACGCCGTCGCTGTTGGGGTTGCGATGTGTCTCTTGCTCATTGGCGATGAAGTGCTACAAGCCACATGTTAGTTGCAGTGAACCATCACAACAGCGACCATGGTATGTCCTGACCTTTGTGCTCGTCATGACACCCTGAGCCTGGATCCCCTGCACTGTCTCGAAAGCCAACACACCGGTCAAGTAAGGATCGCTCCCAAAGTTCTCCCAGTTCCTCCCTCCAGTTGCAACTCTGCCCACGGGTCCTACGACAGGCCCCAGCGCGACATTGACACCCTTGATGCGGAACTCTCGCCCCAAGCTATCCGCGCGCTTGCGAGCCAGCGGCCTGTTCCACGACGCCCCGACGTGGACCTCACTGGGGAACCCACTGACAAAATCCGTCGCGCGGACGCCTTGGCCGGCATCGCTGAGGCACAACCCCGTGAAGTTGAGCCGCGATATGGGCCGGATGTTGCCGGAGCACCCATTCAGGGTTCCAGAGCTTCCTGTCGACGACTCATCGCCAGAGACCAGAGTCACCTTCTCCTCGACCGTGAGCTTGGCGACAAATTGCTTGCCTTTGCGGAAGGCGTCGGCCCAGGCGCCAGACCCGCTCATCTGAGCTGGATTGTCGCAAAACGTCGGGAGTCAGTCAGTCCACGTGTGAAGAGTGATATCGAAGAGTGCCAGTCTGAGGGTCACTCACGAGACGGATATACAGGCTCCGACTGGCCATAAAAGTAAGTGTCATCCTTGATGACGGCGTTCGCACCAGCCCCAGCTCCTCCACTGCCTCCGCTGATGCCATCGCCACGCAGAGCCAACAGGCCCAAGAGCCCGAGCAGTGGCAGCAGGCATAACGCGACTACGAGGAATTTGCCTCGCCTCGTGTGCAGTATGGGGAAGCGGTCCTTGAGATGACTTCGCCAGCCGGTATCTGCTGGTGGGCCGGAGAATTTGGAGCTGTCACCCATGCCGTTGCTGCTGCCACCCATGTTGAGCGGCTCACGGGCATAATCTGTCGGGTGCCGGTGTTCTAATGGCCGGCCCATTGTGCTGTATGGTCTCTTGTGGTGCTGGAAAAAGAGAGTTCTTTGTCCTACACATGCAGATGGTGGTAGTGACTCTGCCGACTTGATATTGTGCCCTGCATCTGTCGATTGTTGTTTCCTGGAGCTCTGGACCCGCCTGCGCAGAAGAGTGTGGAGGTGCAGGTGTGGAGGGTGGAGCTCAATGTTTACTTTGGGCTCATTTCACCGCAGCCCAGAGGGTTGATGGGGCAGCGGGACTTGGAGCTACAAGGTACCTTGTAGATCGGGGAGTCGCACACACTCCCGAGGTCCTCCGTGAGGGGGTGACCAATCAGCCAACAAGGCCGCCATTACTGTACAATAAAAGTCCGTAGCGCTTGAGCCATGTTAATCACAGCCGCTGAAGACGGCATAGGGCAATCTTCAGCAGCGTTAGCGCGGACCCTTGGACACACAGATCAAGTGGTGCTTGCCACGTGCTCTCGTGCAATCAGCAGCAACATACACACCTCTTCACCCAAGGCTCTGCTCAATTTTTTGGGCAACCAGGTGTAGTACCACAAAAGTTTTTGCAGTGCCCAGGGTGTCCCGTCGGTGTGGTCCAGGATCTGTCAGGTACGCCCCGCAGCGACCCAGACAGGAATTGGGTCCGCCAGGAATCCACCTTCTGACCTGGCGATGTCGGATGATGCCGCTTTACGAGGCCCACCTCTCCAGGTGCTGCCTCGGCTGGCTTCACCGTTGACCGCATCCATCAATCATGATAAAAGGATGATCGGCAGGCGTGCCCAAGGATGTGCATCATAGGGGGCTGACAACCTGGATTTCAACGTCCGCTTGGGGCACATCTCTTCCACGCCCATCCGAGCCTGGCGATGGGCGCTTTAAAGTGTTGACAGCCAAAACGTAGTGTGTGCAGCAACCACTCTCCAGGGTGGCACGCAAGAATGAAACGACCATATCAAGTGGCCATGCTCTAACATGCATGACCTAGAGATTGTTTTCTCCTATCCAATGTGATTTATGACAAGAACGTTACGTACAGAAAAAGAAAACCCAAAACTCGTAGTGGTATCAACAGGACGCGTGACAGATCATAAAAATGGAACACCTCTTTTCAGCGCGTTTTCCCGCTCGCCTGCGCAGATGTGTCCCCTCCATGCTGCATGCTGCAGGCGCGGAGGTAAAAAGAGAAGGTTTCGCCGCTCTGATGCTACTCGACTTGTCGTAAATGGTACAAGATCTAACAGCCGGCTTTCAAGGTCGTTCTTGATATGCAAATATCGTATCTGCGACGGCATTGGTGCGACGGATGTCGCGGACCGCAAAGCTCGGCTGCAGAAATCCAGAGAGCCCAAAATGCAAGCCGCACAAGGTTTTCGAGGAGAGGAGTTGATTTGACGGTTGCTGATATCATACCCTGCAGGACCCGATGCCGGTTATTATGAATGTAATTATGGTGCAGGCTTTTGCGTGTAAATGATGGGTACAGGGACGCACAAGAGACGGGAAGCGTGCCTCAAGCAAAATCGGTCACGCTTTGATCCGTGCCATCTAGATCGGAGTTCCCAGGCGCCGTGAGGGCCAGACTGCCAGCGCTGAAAGACGAGCTGCGCAGCACTTTCTGGCCCCCGCGCCATCCACTTCTTTCTCTTTCTTTCGTGATCACCCCGACCCACGACTCCGTGTTTGGGAACGCCTCGGGAGATGGCGTGGTCTCTGTCCTAAGCTGCCTTGCTGCCAAGGGATTGCGCTTGCAACCACGATAAAGTCGGTGACGCGCCTCTGTTTGCACGTCAGAGCTCTAAAGTAGGTGACTCACAGTATCAGCTGCTTCAAGTTGCGCTGGATAATCATGTCTTGCACAGAACCCATCGTAATCTTGAGCAAGTTTGTGTCGGTGGCGTTGGTGAAGTGACCGTAGATCTCCTTCTCTGGATTCCGGTTGAGGGCGCGGAACTTGTCCATGAAGTATTTGCTGGCCTGCTTCCAGTCCTCCGCCGGGCCCTGGTAGTCTACAAAGCCGTGTGATGTAATTGGACTCGACGCTAGCTTCTCTTTGAAGAGATCCATCTTGTTGAGGAAGAGGATAAGAGCCGACTTGGTGAACCAATGTGAGTTTGCTATCGACTCCCAGAGCATAAGGGCCTCGTTCATTTGGTTCTGTCGATTGCGGCTCGTTAGTGTCTTGAAGCATTCCCCATGCTTGGAGGGGTTGCGATGATCGAGCAACTTACGCCGTCCTTGTCTTCAACAAGACATTGGTCGTAACCACTGATGGCCACCAAGAACATGAGACAGTTGACATTTTCGAAACAGTGTATCCACTTCTTCCGTTCGGAACGTTGGCCACCGACGTCGAACATGCGGTAGGTGAGCTGCCCGAGGTCGAACACAGTCTCGGTGATGCCCGTTGTCCGCAGCCGTGAGCGAAGAAGATCCTGGTCCGAGGGAACGTAACCCTTTTGCCATAACCGGTCAACATCTTCGCAGAAGCTACGAGGCCGTTAGCATCTCAATCCGGTAGAATACTGCCCTCAAGGCATCCAGGCCGTGCATCCTGACGTACTATGCAAGGTTGTCGTGGAGGGCAAATTCGTTTCCTTTCAGAATAGCTTTTTGAACACCCTCATCAGCCCATAGGCTTTTGATGGGATCAAGATAGTCCGGGGGCAAAGGCTCATTCGGAGAGATTTCGTTGTCTACAAGAATAAGAGCTTGGTTTTTCTGTTGCATGCGCAGATCAGTGGCAGGTTCTATTTCCTCCTTTGACGCAGCAGCCGAGGGCGCATGGACAACGTATGCTGACAATGCTTGTACCAGCCTCACAGTGCCCTGATGGCTGCGCGTTGATGGAGACTGACCTCATTATCTTTGTTCTCAAACTCGAGCCCATAGTCGGCCATAGCATCAAAGATCTGGCGCATTGACTGAATAATATTGTTGAACACGACGGGCTTCCATTCGAGCTTTTCGTTCTTGCTGAAACCGGTGGCGTAAATCAACTTCATCTGCTTGAGGATGGTCGACTTGCCCGACTCGCCAGCACCTGCATGCAAAGAGATAACGTCATGTCAGTGGGCGCGACTTAACGCCTCTGAGGGCGTGGGGTGCTGTGGCTCAGTGCCGTTGGGGGGTAGCTAGATGTTGAGACCCGTCTGCGGCAGCGCAGGGTGGACGTACCAAGCAGGAGGAGCTTGACCTCCTTAGCCAGGCGCTTCTCATCTTGTCGAATCTGCTTGTCGAGCTCTCGCGACCGGGCGAGGCCAGCCTCGTCTGTCTTTCTGCTGCCGAAACACATGCTTGCATGTGAGCCTGTCGCAGAGACCCAACTCGAAAGGGGGGCGGGCGCGGCGGGACGCTGGGGTGGGAGGACAGGTGCCGGATGACTACCTGGACCTTGATGTTCCGCAGACGGCAAAAGGCGAGACGAAGAGGCTTGCGCGGGAGCCTGGCATCAACTCGTCTTGTTCTTCGTCGTCGTCGTCGTCGTCGTCGGGCTGCGAGCAAAATCGGTAGGAAGGAGTGAAAGAGGAGCAGGGAGACGGCCTGGCAATGAGCACTGGGTTAAAACATACGAGCTATGGATTAGAGCAGGACTCGGACTCTGCATGGCCGCCGCCCGGCATGCTGGCTGCGCGGAGACAGGGAAGGGGGCCCGAGAGGGGGGTGGCGCACGATATACATACTGGGTAGAGCTAGGCGACCCATGCAGCGCTTGGGGACTGGCGTGCGAAGCTAGCGCGGGTTCGATGGGCCTTCGAACAGGCTGCCGGGCCGGGTCTGGTGCGGTGCAAGCGCGCTGGGGACATTCTGTCTCGGCGTGCTCACTGAGGACTTTTTCGTTTGTGGCAGCAGTCCGCCGCATCGGGCTCTCAATACGACGGACGGAGACGGTTTGGCGCGTGCTGGAGGTGACGGTTGGCTCCCAGCAGCCCGAGCGGATAGCGACAATTAGACGGACAACAGGCACCCCGTTTGGATGTTGTCATGTCCGGCCAGGCTCCTGGCAGGCCTGCAAATCACCCATCAAGTCTTCAGGCTGGCAATGCCGTCACAAGAAGTGTGTCGTTGATGGCGCCCTCCATGTGACCTGTCCGCTCGCAAGCAGCGCTTCCTTTTGTCGACTATAAATGCGCTAGTCGTAGCCGTTGGCTGGTTGCGTTGTTTTCTTTTCTCTCTCTGTAATGCTGTATTGCTCGTGCAGGGGGGGGACTGGCAGAAGGAAGACCCCGACACCCCTGGAAACTCAATACGGGAGGCTAGAGGTTTTGACGAGGAGGTGTGGGCATGCGCTGTAGCACCAAAGCAGCAAGCAAGACGGGGCCGGTGGTGAGGACGGCCGCGCCACCGGGGGACAGAGAGGGAACGGCAGAGCTGAGACGGAGCAGCCACACGACACACAAGACCCCGGGGCCTTGCTGGGCGGAAGAATTGGTTTTTCCCTGGACGAACCGCCTGCGCGCGTGGAATTACAGTATGTGCGCGCGCGTGCATTCATGGTGGTTGCCACAGCGCATGCCATGTGGCTCCCAGAGTTGGCGACAGGGCCCTGTGCAGAACGTACTTGCGTCCCGGCCCTTCCCCCGAGGGTCTCCCCTGCCCCTGCCCTTGCCTCATCACCAAACGCACCGGGCTTGCCAGCATCCTTCAGCGTCGCCCGCCAACCAGCATGTGGCGGAATCCTTTGCTGGCAAAAAACAAGGGTGGGCCCGTTGCTGCCGCAAGTCGCCCGGAAATACCACCAGCGGCCAGGAACACCTGCCCAGTAATAAGTGCCATCCTGAGATCCGCAGGCGCAAAATGTCAACGCCTCCCAACGTGGAATCTTCAGCATTGGACCCATCATCGCGCTTAGGTAAAACAAAGTGTTCAGTGTGTCGTTGCGTGAAACATAACGTATCCAGCCGCGCAGATCGGCCCTTGCTCTTGTCGTTAACCCCTTTGGTTCTATTGGGTGCCAACTACGAGGCACCCACGGGAACTCTCGTTGGTCGTGCCGGCTCTGCGGCATCCCCAGAATGCTCCCCAGGCAGATCACCGAGTGCGTGCCTGCCTATGGAGAGATCAAGAAGAAGAGGCCCTGTCAAATCAGTCTGGCTGGCAGACTGGGGTCGCGCCACGATCGGCAGCCAAGGTCGCTGGGTTGTCGCCGCGGCAAGCCGGAACCTCATCTGCGCAATGCATTGCATGAGACCAGGCCCAGGGTGCGTGATGCATGCCCTGCAGTCTTCGAATTGCTTCCAAGCCAGCCCTCTGGTCAATGATCTGGGGACCTGGTCAACACCCCAGCCCCGGACAGAAGAAGCCTCCGCCTACCAGCACGGGTCCTGATGATAATTACTGGCAGAACTAAAGTTTGCAGCCATTGCATGTCGTATTGGGCTGCCACCACACGTAGCAATAATTGCCTCTCTGGGGACTTCTGGCATCCACTTGTCCCAAAACCACCCGATCCACCGTGGAACCAAAGCACTTGATACCTTATACGGAAGACAAAGGCACCGTCGAGTCATGACTGGACCCGTCCGGGACCGCCAGCACGCTCAACTGGCCTCACCGCAATCGTCCAGTCCACTCGATCCCCAATAATCCTCGATGACGACAGCGTCGCTCTTGCAAGCCCATCAACCTGGCTCGTGCAGGTCGGGCAAGGACACAACTGTCAAAAGCAGTCACAATTGTAGATTCCTTCCTGAGCCATAAGACTCGGTATAATTAATTGCAATCGCATCACGGTCACGCAAGTCCCAGGCAGCCCAGGCGGGTTCCACACCCCAGCCTGTGGTGAAACGGAGCCCTGGCTGCCGCACTCCACTCGGTGGACTCTGACGACTCCATGGCCAATGCGCCCTCTCCTCGGGTTCCAACAGCGCAGCCCTGGTCCCTGCTACTTGCCCTTTATGGTTGGTGATGATCCGCCGAGATTCGCTTTCCCGATGTAGCTTGAGCTACACTGCTCCGAAGCAGTAAGTACTTGATCGGCTCCAAGCAGCAACACATTCCGAATGGCATCCCCCTTCGGCTTCGGACAGAGCTTGAGTTGATATCATGGGGAGTCCACTACCCACAGCACTCACCATGTGGGCAGGTGCGTGCCCAACAAATATGATTGTAGGGAATAGATCCAAGAAGTATCACGGCTCATGTTTGACAAAATGATGTTCGGCGCTTTCCAAGACGGCCTACACTGAATCAGTGACTCGTCACTTGCAGGTTGCGGGCATGCACCTGGAAGAGGCCTCTCCACGACGATGCCTTCAGCCCTGCAGACTAACCCTTTTCAGGCGCGCCACCTCCGAAGCCCCTATCTTGCGAGGTTTTCTTCTGACAGCAGCAGGGAAGGGCAAGTCGTCAAAAGCAAGCGCCGGCATTCAAGATATCTTCTGTACCTAGCGCGGTCACCAACACGCATCTTTAGTGCGTTGCCTAAGGTATTGGTAAGGTGGAGCGCTCAAGCCAGTGACAGGCAGCCAATCTTCACGTTAGCGGTCATAATCAGATCCCCATTACTCAGGTGCATACGTCTCGGCAGATATTGTGACCAAGAGTGCTGCCACAACAACCGCGAGTCTGTACCCGAGCCCAGTGGGTCGTTCGGCCGTCTCAGCGGAGGACATTGGCCGCACAGAAAGCCAGCAAGGTCAAGGATCCCTACTACGTAGGGCACACGATTCATGACGTCTCTGTGCTAAACTATCGACCTTCCTCGAGAGAACCAGACGAGCGCTGTGTTTGAGTTCATGTCCAGGTCTGACGCGCTTGGGCACCACCCATGCAGCCCGCGTTCACGATCGACCGACACAGAGCACATCCTGCCTGGACTAGTGGCCGCGAGTACAGTACTGCCTGCAGTCCGTGGGCTCACAACAACGTGGTTCGACGACCCTGGGACCCACCAGCCACGAGGCGACCCGGATCCGTGGAGCTCGGAGGACAAACAAGGCACAGATGGCCGTTCTTTGTAAGATCAGTCAAACTAGTTGCATGGCCAATTGACAAAACGAGAGACGGACTAACGAAAACAGCTGCACACATACTACATGGGCTCAATTGCTTGTCTCATCATGCTGGTGGACTGCAAACATGGCAGCCAGCTGGGTGTTTCGCGGTGCCGGGAAGGACCCGAGACTAAAGAGAAGGCGCAGTCTAGCGGGAAGCCACGCTGAGCTGGCAGGACAAGTGAGTTTCGAGGTGCGAAGGACTAACCTGGGTACCCGTGAGAGTCCAAGCGCGAGCTCAGGGTTAAAAGATCCCGGCTTAGCTTGACGATGGTGGTTCGGATAGCTGGATGGCTTCAGTTAGTTGGTGTGGATATGATGGCGAGTGGGTAGGCTTTGAGCGCGATTGCCAAGTCTAGGAAGCCGGCTTCGATCTTGATGTTGCAGGCATTGAGGCTGCCCGGGCATGGTTGCACACTGGCTGAGCACTATCTGGCACGAGGAGCCGCCGAGTCTTGATGAGTGCTGGCTGTGGTTGGACATTGTAAGCGCGGCCCTTGAGGCGGATTCTGCATCGCCAGCCGCCGCCCACTTTGTAGTGGTGCAGTGGTTGGAACAGCGCCAATCAGGAAAACCCCTACGCCCAGACAACATGGACTGCCCGAGGCGACAATGAGGCCGCCGTGGTTTCGCCCAAGTCCTGCTCTCGAAGCACTTGAAGGACCTGCTCGTGGCAACTGCTGCCATTGCACGCCTTGCCCCCAAGCACGGCCCCGCCGTCGGGCAGAGATTGGGCGAGGATGACGATTCTGGCGGGCGGTGCGCTTCTCCACGGCGTCGTGCCGGGCGTTGCACGGCGTCTGCCTCCTCTGCCGGCGCTCCGGCAGCACGCTGGAGCTTGCCGCCGCAAAATTTTCACCGTTGCGGCCACACGGCGGCGCCTCACGCTGCAACCAGCCCAAAAGTCGCATCTCCCACTGGCTTCCCCTCTTGCTCCTGCACCACCATCACCATCATCACCACCACCACTACCACTGCTTCTGTCCTCTTGTTGTTCAGCGTCCTCTCGTCGTTTCAACCAGCACTCCTATTCCACAATGGCCGAAATTGTTCACCCCACCATCAAGGGTAAGCTCTCATTTCTCGTTTCGTTCTCGACGGCAGCTGGTCCTCTACTGCCGGCTGCTGTGCCTTCCCTCTCGCCTGCGATAGTATGTCAAGGCTGTTGGTGTCGTCACGATGCCATATGCCTTTGAATGCATATCCATGTTCTTTTTCCATGTTCTTTCATCGAAAGCTTTTGCAGGCGTTTTTTCAAGTTTCACTTGCTTGTTCTGCCAGCTGCCATTATCGCTGCGCGGGATTGCAGAGACATTTGAGCTTCGTGAAACTGCCCCTCCAAAATTTTAGGTGGGGCACAAGGGTGACATCACAGGCCAGCCCAGTGCAATATCGGCAGCCGGGCCTCAACCGCAGCAGCCGTCGCCGCTATGCAAAACCCCATCACTTTCCCATTGGGCTTCATGTTTTCCTTTTTCAAGGGCCCTTCATACTGTTATGATTGTTTTTCCATGCATATTCACATATTTGCATTGGCTAGAAGCTAACAACCCGTCGCAGATGGCTGGTTCAGAGAGATCTCTGAAATGTGGCCTGGTATGTTTACACGACTTCGTCCATCCTGATAACCCCCCCCCCGACAGCTCATTGACGTCTTGTCGCTTCCCTCTTTCCAGGCCAGGCCATGACTCTTCGCGTCAAGAAGGTCCTGCACCACGAGAAGAGCAAGTACCAGGATGTCCTCATCTTCGAGTCCACCGACCACGGCAACGTCCTCGTCCTCGACAACGTCATCCAGTGTGTCGAGCGCGACGAGTTCTCCTACCAGGAGATGATTACCCACCTGGCCATGAACTCCCACCCGGACCCCAAGAAGGTCCTTGTCATCGGCGGTGGCGACGGCGGTGTCCTGCGCGAGGTTGTCAAGCACGAGTGCGTCGAGGAGGCCACGCTCTGCGACATTGACGAGGTACGTATTCTTCAGGCCGCGTATCTTTGCGGGCTCGATCGCTGACAGGATCGCTCAAGGCCGTCATCCGCCTCTCCAAGGAGTACCTTCCCCACATGGCCGAGGGCTTCAAGCACCCCAAGTCCAAGGTCCACGTTGGCGACGGCTTCAAGTTCCTCGATGACTACAAGAACGCCTTTGATGTCATCATCACCGACTCGTCCGACCCCGAGGGTCCCGCCGAGAGCCTCTTCCAGAAGTCGTACTTCCAGCTGCTGCACGACGCCCTCCGCCCCGGCGGTGTTATTACCACCCAAGGTTGTAGGTCTCTTTGTCTCACGAAAGCCAGGGTCTGTGGGCTAGCTGGGATTGGCTGAGCTCTGCTTGACATGGTTTCTTGTCCTTGGACATGGTTACTTGCAAGCCAGCGAGTCCTTGCTTTGCCCCGGATCCGGCGACTCACTTCCCAACTTTTGTCACTTCATGTTATGTTTTTCTCTCCAGTCATTTCATCCATCATCCATGCCCAAGTATTGTTGTATTGGAAGTTCCAATCTTGTCTACTCGTTCTTCGAGCTTCCCTCGCATTTCTACAAAAACATGCACTAACACAGTCTTTTACCCCAATTTCCAGCCGAGAACCAGTGGCTGCACCTGCCCCTGATCACCCAGCTCAAGAAGGACTGCGGTGAGGTCTTCCCGGTGGCCGAGTACGCCTACACCACCATCCCGACCTACCCGTCGGGCCAGATCGGCTTCATGGTCTGCACCAAGGACGCCGACCGCGACGTCAAGAAGCCCCTCCGGTCATGGAGCCCCGAGGAGGAGGCCAAGCTGTGCCGCTACTACAACGCCGAGATCCACAAGGCCAGCTTCGTGCTGCCGACCTTTGCTGCCAAGGCCCTTGCCAAGCAGTAGACTGATGGCCTGCGGGAGGAATTGCATAGCTGCTGGACCTTGGGAAACAAGATTGATAGTGCAGATCGAGGCTGAAGGATAGCTGCCCCGATTATCTTGGAAAGATCGGAGCATGCAAAGTGGTCACGCAGCTGTCGAGGTCGCAACTAGAGACGGCCCAAAGTACCAATGCGGCGAGTGGTAACTCCAGGCTGAAAAAAAAAGGAATAAAAAAAGAACAAAAATGATCAGAGCAGGCCCACGTCTCTCCTGTGCCGAGTGTGTTCATCCCAGTGCAGTCATGTGTTCCGAAATGCAGAAGCCGAGCCTTCGAACCACCCGATAGTGATATATAAAACAAGCGGCGTCCAGGTCTCGTAACCAAGTGGTTTTCTAATCTGAAAACAGTCCCGCTATACTTTTAACAAACGACAGCTTGTCATTCTTTCCGGCCAGACTATCTTAGTCTGTTGTGGCGTAACATACACGAAGCGGGAACTGAAAGCTCTCTTAATTTATTGGCTTCATCACCTATCGTTTCAGATCTGGTATCTTAACCACCTGTCCATGGGGGACTGCTCATAAGTTCGCCTGTCGCTGTCATTGGCGCCTTTCCCCTTGACTGACCACCCCCCACACCCCTGGAGAGAAAACATTACAACACACATCGGAAGCCCAAAATCACTCCTCCCACCGCACCTTGCCCGCCGCGACATCCGGGTAGACGTCGAACCGGCGCTGTCCGCCGAGGGGGATGCCCTTGCGCGTCTCCGCGATCTTGCCGCCATCCAGGTGCGCGACCGCAATATCTTCACCTTCCTCGAGCTCGACGAGCACCTGGGCCATGGGGTCCACGACCAAGGAGTGGCCCCAGGCGTGGTACGTGGCCTGGAGGTCGCGCGCGGGCGAGCACAGCGCGACGTAGACCTGGTTGTCCACGGCGCGGGCCTGGCCGAGCAGCTTCCAGTGCAGGGGGCCCGTGGTGAGGTTGAAGGCGCCTGGGTAGATGAGGGCGAAGCAGCCCGGCTCCTGTTCCTCCTCCTGCTCTCCATCCTTGCGCTGCTGGGGGCGGCGGCCCCGTGCAGCTATGGTCGCGAGCTCGGGGAACCGGATGTCGTAGCAGATGGCGACGGCGATCCTGCCGTACTCGGGCAGGTCGATGACGGTGACCTTGTTGCCGGGGGACAGCACGTCGGACTCGCGGAACGTGATCTTGCCGGGGATGTCAATGTCAAAGAGGTGCACCTTGCGGTGCGCCGCGAGCAGCTCGCCCGACGGGGAGAACGTCAGGGACGTGTTGTAGTATGTCTTGCCTTCGTCTCTGCTCTCGACAATCTCCGGGATGGACCCGCCCACGAGGTACACCCCGGCCTCGCGCGCCATCTCGCTCAGCGCGTGGAACGAGGGGGACTGCTCCCTGGTCGGCGGGCTGGGCAGCAGGGTCTCGGCGTACGAGGGGAAGTAGTCGCACCCGTAGGGCGAGTTGAAGCACTCTGGCAGCACGACGATGCCGGCGCCGTGCGTCCGGCTCGCCTCGAGCACCTTGTCCCGGGCGTGGCGGAGGTTGGCGGCCTTGTCGCTCCCGCTCGCGAGCTGGATGCATGCTAGCGTCACGGGCTTCTTCAGCACCGGGCCTGTGGTGGAGGACGACGCCATTGTGCGCGGGTGAGGAGGGATGTGGTGATGTTGGTTTGGTGCTCCGGGGTATATGCGTGCTTGGCGGGGCCGGCTGCGGGGGAAGAATGCCGTGGGCGGCGTAGTAGTGTGTAGTGCTCGAGCTCCTGAGCAAGCAAAGCCGGTTCTAGAGATGGAGGGGACTACGGCAGGGTGAAGCTTGGTACGGAGCAGCGGCCGCATCTTATGTCCCGGCGTGACGGAGGCGGATGCGGGGGATGGAGGTGGTTTGAAGGCGTGGTTGACATCCGCAGGCGCCCGGGTTCTCGGAGGGGTCGGCCCGATCGAGACAGGGACAGAGCTGCGAGATCGGGCCTTCGGTGTGGGGCCGGCTCTGGGAGTCGGCGGAAGAGAAAACAGCTTATCATTCTCGATGCCACCTTTTTAATCATCATGCCTCAGGCACAGGGGATTGCGACTGATGGCCTGGATCAGGCCGGGACTGATCTCTTGGCCCTCAGCAAATGGCCTGGCCTGATGGGCCCCGGGCGTATAGTTTCTCAAGTCCTGTGCGACTTACACGTCCGGCAAGCACAAGCACCAGCTCCATGCAGGGTCCGACACGAATCCAAGCTCGCATTCCCGCATTCTATCTTCTTGACTGCCCCTCTCGTAACTGAACTCTATACCTGTTCTGATTCCAACCAGCAACTCCAGCCTGAGCACACTCGAGGACCCCATCCACACGATGCCTACCAGTCGCAGCTGCGCCCCAGCAGCTCGGCCAGCTCCTCGAGGTACTTGCGGTCCACCTCATCGAACCCACCGACGACCGCACAGTCGATGTCGATAATGGCCACAACCTTCTTCTTCTTGATCTCGGCTCCACCGTCCTCGCCGCCCTGCACCTCGAGGTCCTCCACCAGCACGGGGACCACAATCTCGCTGCGGCTGTCGCCGTCGCACGCAATGTGGCCCGGGAACAGGTCCACGTCGTGCACCAGCTGCGTCTCCTGCGTCGCCGCCGCTGTCCCGCACACGCCCCGCCCAAACAGGATTGTCTGGCACGCTACCTTGCCCTGGAACGGGCCCAGAACGAGCTGTTGCTGCTGCTTGGTGACTGTCCGCCCATTTGTGTGCCCATTGGCCTTGTTGCTCGTGTTGTGTTTTGGGTCGAGGGTGTAGAAGCCTATAGTTCCCAGTTAGACACTGCTGCTTGCCAACCAACACATGGTAGCAGGTCGAACATACCTGCCCAGTTGACCTCATTGCTGGGGCCGCTCAGTGAATGGTACGCGTGCCATAAGAGCGACGCAGTGTTGGACAGGTTGCTGTGCATGGAGAAGAGGGAAGTCAGCATAGATTTCAATGCTGTCAGACAAGGCCGTCATTTGACCGTTGCGTCTAACGGGCTGAAAATAATATGATCACTGGCACATACCAGACCTAGAGAAACATGATTCTCGTCAGTAAGCAGTTCTTACGATCGTCGTTGGCAATCCAATTGAGTTGCAGTCCAATTTGAGAGCGCCCCGCTCCACCACCCAGTCCAAGTTCCGATGCATGATGCACCAGAGCCGTCGAGTAAAACCAGCAGCCAGCGTGGACCAGAGCACGGCAGGACCCCATTGGGACATGATTGCCAACAAGAAAAAACACGCAGACCAGAACGGAAAGCCACTTACCCAGTTTCTCTGCCCGTCAAACAGGCCCTCGGCCTGCAGCAGGACCTGCTCATAAGCCTCCTGCTTCGTGACGCCGCTGGCGAAATTCGAGGCGTCGGCGTGCACCTATTTGCAATGCCGCAGTATCAGCTCGTAGTGCCCTCATATCCCAAGCGGCGGGACGCTTGCCAAGGACCGGGCCTACCATTGTGACTAATCTGAATTTTGCACGTGTAGGCGTGTGCAATGTGTGAGAGTTGATGTTGCGTATGTGCGTGTGTGGGTGCTGCGTGACGTCGTTCTGCTTGTCCTTTGTCGTTGTTGTATCTTCGTGCGGAATGGGATGGTCCGCTTGCGCTTAGCTGCAGCGAGCTGATCCTCTGTCTATCTGCCGTCCGCCCGTCCGTCCTAGCGTCCGTAGGGATATAGATATGTGTATGTATATGCCGTGCCCTCCCTCTTGGCGTCTGGTTAAAGTGATTTGCAATGCGATGTCGCTTTCGCTTCTTCGAGTGAAGAAAGAGTAGGTAGCCCGACGATAATTTCCCGACCCGCTAATAGCTCCAGTGCCTGGTCTGACCTCTCTCGCGCGCGCGCAAGCACTTTTTCGCTCTCCAGAGATATTTTTGTGGGGCGGCCGCCCTGGGATTTGCAAGTCGACGAACGATACCAAGCCGAGTGTGGTGGAGAGTCGGTCGAGCCTTGGTCCTCGCCTATTGGCACGAGAACCGGATTCGCGTTGTGTTTCTTTGTGCGAAGAATGAAGGAATGAGATCAACAAATATCTCAAGAGGTGTCCCACTTTCAAAATAAAACAAAAGGGGTCTTGCTTTCATCAGGACCTTTTTTTTTTTCCTTCCTTTCGTCCACGGCCCCAGCGGTGAAGAAGTTCTGGCTCCTTCCTCTTTGCTGATGGGCTTTCTTGTACATACAGGCTGACAAAGCCAGCCCCAATCACGCAATTTCCCTCTTCTGGAATGCTGCAAGGGACCTTGCCTAGCCGTGTTGTGCAACACATTTGTAGGACCAGCCCCTCCCACGCCATCGTCATTTAGACCCCTCGGCTGGTCCCGAGGCCCCACGCTGAGAGACACCCCTCCTTCCCTCTGGGGGATATCATGACAGCCCGTCAAAGTCCCATTGCGCCAGACTTCACCAAGCGAACTTTTGCAGCTTCATGAGTTCAGAATTCTTGATACATCTCAGCTCCGTATCTCATAAATGCCATGGTCCACCTCCAGGCCCCTGCCTTCCAAGTGATTATTTACGTCAAGCCTCCTGCTTCTGCGCCTCTTGCTCTTGACTAACAAAAACTCCCAAATGAGATGACGCCGCCTTTATGCTACTATACAGATGATTTCTAAACAAAGAGAAATTATGCCAAAACATAAAAAATCCATGGCCCGATAATGCAAACAAATAACAATGGACAAAGGAGAAGCGAATGCCATGCAAGGTCTTACTGGACATTCAGGTACAGGTCGTCGCCGCGCCTGGTCGGTGTGAGTCTTGGTCGCCAGCCCGGCGTCATCGGGAGCATCCCCGTGCCCAGCGGTGATGCCAGAGCCTCTTCGGGGCTCAGGAAGTATGCCCGCTGCCCGGAGCCGTCAGTATCCTGTCGTCTCCATGGCTGTTGCGTTCGCTTTCGGCTCCCGGCGTTTGGATCAAGGGCCAGCGCTGCAGCTTTATCGTTCCCAACACGCTTGGCCAACAAGGAACTGGCCGTCGAGCTCACTGTCACGGCGCTGTGTGGTGATCGCATCTGTTGCTGTTGCGCGGACTCAGGAGCCAGATGGTATCGGCCAGGATCGTCGAGTCGAGTATCCAGCCTAGGCGGCTGCGGCGGCTGCATTGGCAGTCGCTGTGGATATCGCACCTGCTCAGGCCGAGACTGTTGCAGCCCTCTAGGATCCTGTTGCATCTTTGGAGAGAGCCTCGTCCGTTCGCCCGGTCGAGATTGTGTCCGCTGCGGCCTCAAAGGGGCTGGGTAGGCACCCGGTGTGTCCGGGACAGGCCCAGGTCCAGGTCTCGGGGCCGCGTAGAAGCCAGGGCTCCGCATAGGAGCCGGAGGACTGCTCATGCCATAATCTGGCCGTCGGGGAGGCGGCACTAGTCGCACAGTGGCTCCGCCAAGTCGATCCTGTACGGGAGGATTTCGCGGCGGTGATCTACCGGGCACAGGTGTCATGGGTGAAGGTGAGCGTCTCTCCACGACTGGTGACAGATTCGACAAGTGGCCGTCCTGAAGTGCCACATCGCGTTCCTCATCGAATGACGTCTCGAACTCTGTGTCAATCGTGGTCGCAGAGTCATTCGAGACCTCTGAATTGGATCTGACATTGCGGCCTTTGCTTCCTTTGTTTGAGGAGCTGTTGCTCCTACTTGCGGGCGGGTATGGCCTGGCTGGTGGGCGTACGGCACTGACTTGAGAATACACACTGGACGTGCGAATAGCTGTATTGCTTGCGGGATCAACCAGGAGAAACGCCGGTGGAGGCCGTGTAGGTAGATTTTGTGAGGTGCCTTGCACGTTGCTCCGAGTCGAGGCATTTGTCGGTTTTGGTTGTGGGCCAGCCGGGATGGCATAGTTGTTTGGCTCAGTCGGGTTTGGCATGGGTGGCATCGAGGGCCCGGCAGCACCACCACCGCCACTGTTGTTGCTGCTCAGCACCCAGTTACCCCATCTGTCCGCAACATAGAGAGCGGTAGCAGACTGTGGATCTGATGGCGGCGGTCGCCATACGGTCCCCTCTACAGCCGCACTATCGAGGTCCGCAAAAGCAGTATTGTTCGTCAACGTGCTTGTCCTGTCGGTCAACGGTGGTTGCGAAGAGGTGGTTCGCGTTGCAGCTGCAGGTGGGATTGCCAACGTCAAGGTTGGCTTTGCTGGGAGCAGTTTAGAGGTTGGGCGTTCGACGGGAGCCTTTGCAGGCCTCTTCTCCTCGTCTGCCATCTGTGGTGATGGCCGCTGAGGCGTGGTCTCCTTTGCGAGAGCGCGCATATCATGGTCCGCAGCTGGTCTCTGCTTCGATAAACGTGCAGTGGCTGTACTTCTCGGCCTCGAGATCGCTACACCAATGGTGCTTCTGTCAATATTCTGGTATCCATTGTAGCTCTGCTGCGCGTTCAATGGCCGGGAGAATCTGAAGATGGGTGGCGAGATGTGGAACACTCGAGAAACCCTGTCCACCACTTTTGTTTTCCCCTGCTCTTTCTCCGGTGCGAAATGGTTGCCATCGAGATCTGGAAAGTTACGTCGCCGTGTCCGCCGCGCAAGGAAGATAGCTATCAGGGCAAGGGCGATAGCGCCTGCGATTCCGATCGAGATACCAATGATCTGGCCGTTTTCCAGTGTGATCGCCGGAGAGTTGTCACCACTCTGCTCAGCAGCTGGCAGGCCTGTTGCATTGGCTGTCGATGTTGACGAGATTGTTGTTGAAGCAGTCAGGCTTCTGGTGGTGCTAGTGAATGTCGTGGTTGCAAAAGTTGAAGACTTAGTACTAGCTGAGGCCGTAGTGGGTTGTGGGGTCGAAGATATGGTTGTCGTCGTGGTTAACGTGGTAGAGTGCGTTGTCGTCGCCGTGGCTGACGGTGTCCCTATAATTATGACACCAGACCCTGCTGATGGGATGACGATGGTTGCCGAGAGTGTCTCGTGAGTGTTTGGCAAAGCATTAGGCACACCATCGCACATAAGGTATGCATTGTTGATTGTGTCCGCTTGGGCACATATTAGCCAAAGCTGGCCAGGAGCCTTGTACACATTGTTCAGAGGAAGGAAACTCACCTGCAAGGACAGTGTCCGGGCAGATGTCGACACGATTTGCCGCGATGATGCATTGCACAGCGGCCTCTCCGATGGTGTAAGACGAGGTCGAGCGACGAGCGCATAGGCACGCCAAGCTCGGCGTTGCGGAGCAAGCTTCCTCGGGCCACTGTGCCTCCAGAAAGGCCTTTACACAGTCCCTCGAGCACGATGGAATCTTGGAGCTCACGCCAGGTGGTATGAGAACGCTGTATGCAGAGGCGAACGATGCCGATGCACTAGCCCAGAGCAACAACGACCTAGGCCAGAGTATTGACCACATTCTCTTCGACACACCGGACCTCTGGATGTGCAGACGCCACCGTGTAATTGTATGGGTGACCTTTACAGCGCTTGGTGTCGTGATGTTTCCATAATAGAACTCTGCTTCTGGACCCCGCAGAAGAGTACTGGACGGCCGGAGGTTGTGATATGGGGGCTCCTTTGGCGACACAAGCCTTTTGGGATTAGAAAGACGCTGCAATGCAGAATGAGGACCAGACCGTTGGAAATGTTGTCGCCGAATAGGAAAGGCTGGAAAAAGACCGGACTGTTTGATTACGGTGTTCGCGTGTAAAGTGGTCGACCCGTTCTCGCGTGAAAAAAGCAAGGCTGCTGCCGGAAGCGAAACAATAATGGAAGAACGTCAAACCAGAAACCAACCCACTACAAGACCAGGAGAGAAAGGAAGAATGTGACGATGAGGCAACCAGCAAAATGTGTGAAGAACAGGGGAAGGAAAGTTTCGCAAAGGCACGACATGCACGGGAAACGGATGCGCGTAGAGTCCCTCGTGCTGCCGCCTGATGAGCAAGAACCTTGGACGTGACTACGGCAAAGTGCGTAGCGCCAGCCAGGCTCCCAAGGAAGCAGCAGCAGCCACGCGCTACCGTGACCGCCTCCCGGAGCCAGAGCACGGCATCATGCCCTCTGCCCGGCTCAAGATCACGGCGGCCTGTAAGGATGATCCGCCTTGCCGCCCAGGAGCAGTGGGTTCGCGCCGAGCAGCCTGGCGTTTACTGCAAGAAAGGCGGCAGTGGCAGGCCGGCACTGAGCACGCGCAGGGCGAGCGACCCCCAGCATGCCCCAATGTTTCACAACGCCATGTGTCATTGCAGCGTAGACGGTCCTTCGCGGCCGGCGAGCCATGCAGAGTCCAAGCCATTGAGCTCATCGCTATCTTGAGATCAGGCTCGCGGGTCTGCCATTGGGCCTCCCGCGGCTGCTGCATGCCTGGGGGCGGCTGGGAATCCCTGCAGCGCTGCAGACCAGTCAACGGGCCCAGCAGCCTAGCATTGCAGCCTGCGAACATGGCCTTCGTCGCTCGCGACAGTCTCGCGGCGAATGGGAGGGCACCAGCTGGCGGATCGAGTGGCTGTGGAGGAACGACGGTCGATGGCGGCGTGCCTGGCCTCGTCGACGATTGGATGGTGCTCCTCAGATTACATGGGTCGGAGTTTATTTGCGCGCGGCTAATCAAGCTCGAGATCCGGGGTCTCATGTGGGGCCCGTGCCTGTCATGGTGAAGAGCGTCGGCGCTTACGACCAGGGGTTTTTTCGTTTTTCAGACGATCATCTTGAGTTCACGTCAAGTCGCGGGCGGAACTACTCCTCCTCCTCTAGACACAAGCTTGGGAGGGAATATCTTCTGCATGCTCACAAGGGGCAAGATTGAGACAAATGCTATTTATCCCTCGTGGACGCGTGAATGACATCAGTCCTCCCAGACCACCCCGCACGCCCATCCTGGATGTCTCAATGGTTACACCACGTCAGTGTCCCCCAAGGCTCGTTGAGCGCAATTGGTTTTCCCCCCAACAGTTCCCGAGCCTCAACATCATGCAAAACCACTACGGACACGAATGGGAGCATAGCAGAAACTGGACGTCGTCAGCATTAGACTGCTTCTGGTGTGACGCCACTTGCTTCAAGTGTACTTCACCATGCTATCACATTGCATTGCTGCGTTTCGCTCATGACTCGGCCAATCAAATCTCCTTCTCTTGACATGGTATCTACTACAGAATCTGGCCGTTCTATGCTTCACTTTTCTTCAGACATGATGCGAGCCGCGATGGTCATGATAAGCTTTGCCCGTATCCATCACTGTGGCTATTCCTGGTACAGTCGCAGTGGGCGCTTCCATCTGATGTATGACGGTGATAGCGCCGCGACCCGAAACACGGCCGCATGACAGTTCCATTTTCGGATGATTCGGCAGCTTAGGCGGCAGCTGTCGGCACGTAAGTGGCCTGAGCCCTGCTGGACTTGATAACCCTGTGCACCTTCTCCTCCGTCTCGTCCCAGTCATCCGGGCTGAGTTGGACGAGCTCAATCTCGAGCTCCTCGGCAATCTTCTTCATCGACATGAAGCTCTTCTTATCTGACACAAATGTGATACTGACACCGACGCGTCCGAAACGACCGGTACGCCCGATCCGGTGGAGATAGGTTTCCGTATCGGGAGCTCCTTCGCCCGGGCCCTTCATGGGAATGTCGTAGTTGATAACCATCGAGACGGTCGAGACGTCGATGCCACGAGCGAGAACGTTGGTGGTGATCAGGACTTTGGAGCGCCCAGAGCGGAAGTCGTCCAGAAGGGCATCTCTCTCGGCGCCTTCATAAGCTCCGTGGAGCACAGACACCTTGTGTCCATCGTTGGTCATGCTTTGCGCAATCTGAGTCGCACTCTCACGAGTCTAAGAAGTATAAGTGTCAGTGGCTGATCACAAGGAAGGTGAGCCTCATGTTACAGACCTTGACGAAAATGATAGACGAGCCAATGTTCATGAGACCGTAGAGCTTGCACAAGATGGCGTACTTGTCTGCAGTGCTCGGGCAGTCCATGTACATCTGAGCAATACCCTTGACGGTGAGCTCATTCGCCTTGAGCCTGATGACGTTCGCACGCGGCGCGAACTGGTCCGCATACTTCATCACACGGTCGGGGAAGGTCGCGGAGAAAAGGAGGATCTGGGTCGTCTTTGGAAGGACACTGGATGCTGACGTTAGCGTTGAAACCCCACAAGGACCGGGATGGCTTCACTGCCTACTTTCTAATTCTCTTGCACTGGTCGCCCATTCCTTGCAGGTCCAACATGTTATCAGCCTCGTCGATAACGAGGATTTTGATTTGTGAAATGTCGAGCTGGCGAGTCTTGCATACGTCCAGCACGGTGCCAGGAGTGCCGACAACGACGCTGGCTTGGATCGGCTGCTTCTCAACAAACGCGCCCTTGATGGCGGCGACGACCTCGAGCTCCTCGATGGGGTTGCCGATGTGCTGGATGACGCCCTGGATCTGTCGTGCCAACTCGCGGCTAGGAGCGAGGACGAGCGCTTGAGGCTGCTTAGGCTTCGTAAAGTCGACTCGCGAGAGGAGGGTGGTGACAAAGGCGGCGGTCTTGCCAGTGCCGGACTGCGACTGGGCGATCATGTTGCGTGGCGGGTTGGCGAGCAGGAGCGGTAGGGCGGTCTCTTGAACCTTGGAGGGCTTCAAGAAGCCCATCTCGGCAAGGCCCTGGCGGACCTTGTCGGGTCTGCGCAAATGAGTGTGAGTATGGCGCTTGAGGAGCCATCAGCATGCATTTTTGGGCTTGAGCGCACTCACAGGCCAAGTTCATCGAAGCTTGCGACAGAGGCGAGGGGATGGTCGGTGTCCTGGTGAAGGTCGCTGAGCTGGACCTGCACCTCGTAGCTGGACTCCTGGAGATTGGACTCGGGAGCCGCAGCGGACGCGTCGACGCCCATTTCTTGAGTCGGTTCGGCCATGGCGCGAGCTGTGAATGGAGGTTTTCGATACGGGGGATGAAGAGGTGAGTCGCAAATGAGCAGCGACTCGATGGGGAGTAAAGAGTCAGGAAAGCTTCACCCCACAGGGATGTCGTGGTGGGGCGCGAGTGTTTGCGCAACAGACCGCCACTGTTGACTGGTTTACACCAATGCTGAAGGAAGTATGCACGCAAGCGCAGGCACGCGGTTCAGAAGGGCCAAAAAAACAAGTTAAGAGCCTCTGATAAAGTTCATCAGCCGAAGTCGCGGACAATTTTTCACTGGCAGACTGTACGATTTCAAGCACAATGCGCAAACGAAGGACGAGGAACAAGGAAATGACGAAATGGCAGACCCCTGGCAAAATGCCATAAGGTGGTCGTGATTGCCTGAGCTTCGACGAGTGGGGTCTACAGGACTCAGCTCGTAGCTTCGCGGGGCACTTGGGAATCTGGTTTGTGGTCAAGCAGTGTATGCTGCGCTTTCTCGTGAGCTGCAAGTAAGGAGATAACTGACTTAGTGATTTACCCTAAGTCCCCTCAGGCCTCAATGCTTTCTAGGCCGCCTTCCGTCAGGCACGCCAGGCACAACCGATGGTTCAGGGTTTGAGCCGGCATAAGCCCACCAAGCGGCTGGTAAGGGGGGGCTTGGGAATACACAGGCGTCGTTGAAGGGTGACTTACATGTACCTCAGGTGGGCATTCGGGAAGGCTCTGGTTCCTGCCTGCGCCGGCGTCAACCCAAAGGACGGGCGTGTATGATTGCATATTGGACCGATCGACCTGGGGTAACGCAACACAGGTAAGCATGCTGCAGCAAAACAGGGCGGGACGATGTGGACTGTGGCACGCCCAGGGCAGGCAGCGCAGAGGGGCCAACCAGTGGAGATGGTCCCGTCGCGGGCCCGTCAGCGCGCTGTGCTGCGGAGCACCAAGTACCTTACGTAGCAAGTGGGCTGAGCATGTGCGCCTCCACGACCGACTTGGCAGTGCCCGTCTCCAAGCCTTCGAGAACCACCTCCCTCATGGGGCTTCTGCCACGCTTTGTTCCCGGCCTTCTGACTGCCAGATCCACGCTCACTCCCGCTGCCGACTTTCCGGTGCCTCTCTCACTTGTTATGGCTCTCGTCCAGGCTGCTGCGTTGCCTGCGTCCTCGCTCCCAATCTGATTCCATCCCCCAATTGCGGCCCTAGACATACGGCCCTGCCATCGTGGCCCTCCGCGCGTCCCCAACAGCGCCCCTCACCCCTCTCGACCACCCCCAGCGACACATTGCGCCCGCGGGCGGACAAAACATCAAAGCATGGCCGACACCGAGGCCATGCCGACCTTTGGGTCTGAACTCAAGGTGAGCTTCTATCTTGCACCAGGCAATTTGCCTGAGCACACCACTGTGCCGGTGGGCTGGCCCTCGCATGAGAGCGGGATAGCTGACATGGTCCTGTTCTCTCATCCTAGGATGGCTTCAAGCCGGCCAACGCCTGGGTCGCCAACGGTATAGCCTGGCTCGACGACATTCAGGGCTTCTACCGCGAGCGTAGTGCCATCGAGAAGGAGTACAGCGCCAAGCTCAATGCGCTCGCCAAGAAGTACTTTGAGAAAAAGACCAAGAAGTCGTCCAGTCTGAGTGTCGGCGACACCCCGGCCATGACTCCCGGCTCGCTCGAAAATGCCTCGTTGACGATTTGGACCACGCATCTCTCGACCCTCGAAGCGCGAGCCGACGAGCACGAAAAGTATGCCAACGACCTCGTCAACAAGGTTGCGGAGCCTCTCAAGAACCTCGGTGCCCGCTTTGAGGATCTGCGCAAAAGGCATGGCGAGTATGCTGCCAAGCTGGAAGCCGAGCGGGACTCTTCCTACGCGGATCTGCGCAAGGTCAAGGGAAAGTACGATGCGGCCTGCCAGGAGCTCGAAAGCAAGCGCAAGAAATCCGAGTCATCATTTGACAAGGCCAAGGCCCAAAGCCAGTACCAGCAGCAGACTCACGAGATGAGCAATGCGAAGAACACCTATCTCATTGCCATCAATGTTACCAACAAACAGAAGGAGAAATACTACCACGAATACGTCCCGGAGCTGCTCGACAGCATGCAGGACCTTTCGGAATTCCGCACGATACGCCTCAATGCTCTGTGGACGATGGCAAACACACTTGAAAAGAGCATGCTCGATCAGAGCTCAGGGCTTGTAGATCATGTCACTCAGGAAGTGACCCGAAACCAGCCTCACCTTGACTCGATGATGTACATCCGCCACAACATGGGCGCCTTCCAGGAACCGCCGGACAAGGGCTTCGAACCCAGCCCAGTGTGGCACGACGACGACTTGATGGTGACCGATGAACAAGCCAAAGTGTTCTTGCGAAACGTCCTCAACAAGTCCAAGGGCCAACTGGGAGATCTGCGACGTGAAGTCGACAAGAAGAGACGAGAGGTGGAAGGTGTTAAACGAATCAAGCAAGAGGTTCGCGAAGGCCGAGGGAAGAATGACGAGGTGACTGTGATCTCACAGATATTTGCCCTACAGGAAGCTCTACACCAAGTGGAGCGGAAGAGAATCTCTGCCGAGGTCGAAACGTCAACTATCACCTCAGTGGTGGGAGATGTCACCCTGGGTGCCAAGAACCACAACTTCAAGGCGCAGACGTTCAAGATTCCCACCAACTGCGATCTTTGCGGAGAAAGGATATGGGGCCTGTCCGCGAAAGGCTTCGATTGCCGTGATTGCGGCTACACGTGTCATAACAAGTGCGAGATGAAGGTCCCCGCTGAGTGTCCAGGCGAGCTGAACAAGGACGAGCGGAAAAAGTACAAGGCGGACCGTCAGTCAGCTGCGGGCGCGCTTTTGTCGCCTTCGGCTGCGAAGTCGACAGATCAGGTCTCGGAATTGCCAGATCTCACGCGATCCAACACCATGACGTCTCTAAGCTCCGGCTATGCGGCGAGCGCACATAGGTCTATAAGTGGTCCTGTTACCTCTGCACCGCGGTCTCCTGTCGAGGAAACTCCACCCGAAGCCCCGGCGCCAAGCACGAGGCCTGCCCCTTCGGCGGGGAGGAAGAATAGGATCATGGCTCCGCCCCCAACGGCATACATCACGGAGGGCAATGGTGGACCAACCAATGGATCAGCAGCGAGTAGGGTGACGGAACAGAAGGGCAAAATGCTCTACGGCTTTGATGCGAATGGCGACGGAGAGATCTCGGTCGCTGAAGGCAAGGAAGTGTCCGTCCTTGAACCCGATGGTAAGTTCTTCCAGCAGCCCCTCAGAAACTTGCTATTTAGCACGTGCACGACCTGACACTGACGTCGTCCCAGATGGATCTGGCTGGGTCAAGGTTCGCAATGGCTACAAGGAAGGCTTGGTGCCAGCAACCTATATAGAAGTATTTGCCGCGCCGATTATGCCGCAAGACACGGGCTCATCCCTTGGCAATCGACCGCCATCAACGTACTCAAACTCTGGGTCATCCATCGGCACCACAGGGCCTGCTGGCAAGAAGAAGGGCCCGGCTGTCGCCCCACGCAGAGGAGCCAAGAAGCTCAAATATGTTGTTGCCCTGTACGACTACACGGCACAGAGTGATACCGAGCACAGCATGGCAGAAGGTGAGAGGTTTGTCCTCATCAAGGAAGACCCGGGAGACGGTTGGGCAGAAGTAGAGAAGGGTGGTGCCACCAAAAGCGTTCCTGCGAGCTACGTGCAAGTAGAGTAGGCAGTTTGAAGTTGCCCAATCAAATCTAGAACCCCCTCGGAGGCTCTTTCTTCGTGCAAATTAAGTGAAGACAGGCATTGGTGGTGGACCAGGTCTATCCAATTTAATGAAACATTCATTCGAACAAGGATATGTCGAAATACTATCCACTATACTATAGCACTCTCTTTGCCTCATTGCCTCTTGGGCAGGATATAATCGACGAGTACCCTATTGTACGCGATGTACGTGTGTAAGTGGCAGGTCCGCCCACTGCTCGTGTGGGGCGCTGTCTGGCCAAGACCCTGCCCCACCCGTCACTTTCCCCAACCTTTTTTTCCCATAGCCACTGCCCAGGTGGTCCAGATCTCCATCCACCACTCATCACCGCTTCCCTTTTTTTTCTCCTTGACCAAACCACGAGAACAGTCAAACCCAGGAGAGTTCGACCGCATTCTCCTTCCCCGGCGCCACCAAGCAAGGATCAACCACCTCTACCACTACCGCCGCCACCCACAACAGAACCATGGCGCAGGGCACAATCAAGAAGACCTCGGTCCGCCCAGCCGTCTCCTCGACGGCAGGCGGTCGCAACAAGCCGCAGCAGCGACGTGGCGCCAATGTCGCCAAGTCGAAGCGCACGACGAGCGCGGACAAGCTGCAGAAGAAGTACGCCGCCGGGCTGACGTCGCGGACGGAGAAGCTGCTGGGCGAGCGGGCGGGCCACCTGGAGCTCATCGGCAAGGGCAAGAAGGCCAGGCTCGAGAAGGGCAAGGACGGCGCCAAGAGCAAGACTGGCGGGACGAAGAAGTTTGGCTGAGAAGGCGCACAGGGATGCTACATTCACGACGCCCCGAGGTTCATGGCAATGAGGCTGGAAGAGACGAGCTCGGTCTCGGTGTGGGGATGGAGCAGAGGGGGCTCTTGGTGCGAGAGTGTTTGGTTGCGGCGTGGACAAGAGACTGTCTATCATCCTTTGCGCCGCAGCTGGGACGGCTGTAGGACGGGCATCAGGGACACAGACGGCGATGGGTGGCTCGCGAAACACAATATTTGACGCCGAGAGACTGGAGTCGCTAGAAGTCCCTGGCACGAAAATGAAGCATCTGAGAATGGAGATGCCTGCCGACGACCATCATCAACAGAGGAGTTCTATTGAGTCCTGCTGACTCCTTCCACAACGCCAAGCGCATGCCGAGCACCAGCCCAGCGATGCGGCTGGCCACGCGAGCCGTCCCGCCAACAAAGCTGTGAAGACCATGTCAAGCACGCTGCCCGGACCAAAAACATCTCGGCTTGATGCGAGCTTACCGGACACATTGTCGCGATTCTCAGAGCCTTTAAAACCACTCTAGGCTGTAGAAACCTGTCAAGTCATACAATAGGCCAGCATGTGCCTCTTAGTGGCAGAGCTAGATCAGTCATAGAGGGACTTTAGACATGCAGCTATTGTAGTTAGGACAAAGGCACCACCACTCCATACACCGCTCATCGTGGACAACCGAGCCCATGTCACATAGAAAGCCCCTGCAACTGTTTTGCGAATGATTTCTACATGCCACTTAGTGAATTAATTACATCCTTGCCGCTGGCTGACTTATCAAGCGCCGAGTTCCCTCGCCAGCTTCTCCAAGCTCCTCTTGACAAACGCCGCGTCCTCCTCGACGTCGACCCTCCAGCTCGACACGGCGAGCCTGCAAGCCGGCCGGCCGTCCCACTTTGTCCCGCTGACATACCACTCCCTCGACTCGTGGATCTTTTGGACAAGCACGCTGTTGAGCGTCTCGTCCTTTGCGCGGAAGAGCACGACAAACGCCGTGCCCGCGAAGTTCCCCGCTCCTCCTCCTCCTGCTCCTCTTCCGGCGGCAGAAGAAGAAGAAGAAGAAGAAGCAGCGAGTAGCTCGTATGCATCCAGGCCCTGCACGATCCCGGCGACCTTGCGGGCCAGCCGGACCATGCGGGCGACCATGTCGGCGACCCCCTCGCGGCCCTCGCTGAGGAGGGTGGCGTAGACGGGCAGGGCGCGGAAGCGGCGCGAGTTCTCGAGGCCGATGTTGAGGGGGCTCTGGATCTCGAACGCGGGAGCCGCCGAGGAAGACCCAGCAGTGGCAGTGGCAGTGGCAGCGGCAGTGGGCGGGGGGGTGGCCAGGTAGGCTGCGTTTGGGTTCTTGCAGACGTCCGACATGATGGTGGCGGTGCGGGTGAAGAACATGCCGCAGTCGTATGGCTGAGAGTGGAGAATGAGGTTGTCAGCGTTTTGTGTGCGTGTGTGTGCTGTGCTCTTGATGTGAACTCGGGGGAATTTGTCTGCAACAGCAGATATGGGATGGTGTCCACACACAGGAGAGAGGCGTAGAGAGTCAGCGCTGGGGGGGGGGGGCTTTCTATATAAAGTACATACCACATTCAGGATCTTGTGCCCGTCCACGGTGATGCTGTCGGCAAGCTCGATGCCGGTCGTGAACTCATGGAGGAGTGCGAACTCGGGCGTCTTGGGCAGGGCACGGGCGAAAATGGCAAACGCTGTAAAAGAACATGAATAGACATTTTTAGTAGACGGAATCCCCCTTGGCGAGAAAAAAGGAGGCCAATGTCCCCCAACAACGACAACCCCAATGTTTGAGAGGCAGAACTAGAAATGAAATATACGCAGACAGACACTTACCTCCGTCGACGTGGATCCACGCCCCATACCGGTCCGCCATGTCCCGGAGCCGCTGCATGTCCGCCAGCCCCGTGGTCGCAAAGTTGCTCGTGTTGACCTCGCCCGCGCTGACGGCGATGATGCTGACGGTCGCCCTGTCCCGCTGCGTCCTGAGCTCCTGCTCGACGGCATCCAGGTCCAGCCTCCATGGCTCCTGCTCGCTGTGCGGCAACTCTTTGACCGAGCCCCTCCCCAGGCCGACGATGCCCGCAGCCTTGAAGAGTGAGCTGTGGCCCATGCTCGTGAGCACCTGGATGTTGGTGACGCCAGCCTGCGTGCAGGCCTGGAGGATGCCCAGCTCGCCGATGGAGGCGGTGGCGCCAGCAGCGGCGGCAGAGAAGGAGTCACCATCCGCCTGTGCGCGCAGGGCGGCTGCCTGAGCAACGACGTGCTCCCTTGCGCAGGTGAGGCCGAGGGTGTTGCTCCCCGTGGCGCCCGTGGTGAACGTCCTGCCCTTCCATGTGTTACGGTCCCCGAGATCCAGCAGGCTCAGCAGCATCTCGAGGGCCGCGTCCTCGACCTCGGTGGCAATGGTCTGCTCCGGCAGGTGCACTCCGACGTTCTGGTCAAGGGCGCTGACAATGTTGTCGGCGACCTCTGCGATGGGCAGGGTAGAGCCCGTGACGAAGCCATAGTAGCGCCCGGAGAGGTTCTGGCCCGTCAGGGCGGGTGTGATGTCGGCGAGGATGTGGTCGAGCGTGTCGTCAGGCCCGCGGCCGGCCAGGTAGCCCCCCGCGCCGGGTCCGGGAGAGAGCGCCGGGCGGCCGCGAGCCGGTCCGGGCCGGGCAGTGTGCGGGCTTGTTGTTGCTCGGCAGAGCTGAGTTCCGGCTTGGCACAGGCCGCGACGGCCTGCCGGATGCGGCTGTAGGCTCGTTCTTGCAAGGCTCCCTCGACCATCTTCTCGGTTTGCGAAATGACTGCTGGTGGGTCAATGTGGTTTGTGCTACTGGGGATACAATTTGTATGGAGGCGATCTCGCCGTGCGGGGAGCCCTTGGATTTAATTAGGGGTCCAGTCAATCCGATCAACGGCAGCAATGTGCTCTTGTCAACGTGTTTTGAACAGAGACCTCAAAGTCTGAGATCACGAGCTCCAGAAAACAACTCTTTTGTAGCTGCGCAGGCCATACGATCAGAGAGCGCTTCATCACGGCTTCTGGTCTGGCCTTCTCAACTTTGTGTATCGTGTCATCCCCGCTGATCGCAAACACCTTCCTCCGGGCGGCCGCCCCCGACTCCCGACTCCACCTGACAAGCTCACTTTCCCTTTTTGCGAGCGTCCAGCCGAGCCTTCTCTCCACACCCCATAGTGCACACCGGGCCTGCTTAGGACACCATTTTCCGGCTTCCGCGGCTCGCAGTCTGCCGCATGGCGTGGGACAATGCGCAATCAGGTTTTACAGCTGCTGCCTGGATTCACTTAGGGGAGGGGGACTGCTACGGCGGCCGCCTCATGGCCTGGTCGCCAAACTAGCTGCTGCTGCTGTTGAACAATGGAATGATCTGTGCAAGTCGTAGCCACGTCGTCGCCCCAGTGCTCGTGCACCCGGGCATAACCCCGTAGGCGATCCGCTTTCACAGAAACCAACAGCACCACGGGCCTATCTATATCTTGTCTGAAGGCTCTTGTCCTGTCGATTGTAAGCAAGCAAAAGCACAGGAGGCCAACAAGAACGTCTCACGCGGGCATCCGATCTCGCGTGTTTGCTTCCAGGTCTTTGTACGCAAGCAGTGACAAGGTCGTTACCTACCATGTTCCCTGGCACAAGCTCACCGACGTGTTCCGCGCCTCTTGGCCTTGCCCCGAGGTGTGGACGTATAGTTTAGTAAGAAATGCTAAGAGAGAAGAAGACTGAAAAAGTAAAAGAAAAGGGGGAAAAGAAAGAACGCCACAAATAGCTGCTATGTAGCAGTGCATAGGGCGCCGCAGGATATCAGACTTGGCACGAGGCTAGCTCGGCAGAGCACCTCGATGATGGCTAGGCGGTTGAGCTCGACCGGCCCGGCACAAACTACATTGCGCCGTCCCAACGGATCCGTCATGATTGTTAACCGGCCCCCTTACCAGGAATCTGGTGAATATTAGCTTGGGGGTGAGCACGACTCTTCATTTATGCAGAGTCTAGAGATTGGCGCGGGCGAAAGAGGTGGGTGACATCAAGGCCCCTATGAAAAAGCTCGACCACTGCAAGCGCTTTCGTGTCGTGTATGATACTGTGCAATAAATGATCTTTTCATTTAGATCGATCTCAGAGGCACTGTGAAATGGGGCCTTACGAAATGGCGGTGGAATACTGCAAAGTCAAACGGTGTATGTGTCTTGTTCGCGTGGTCCAGCATATAGCTAAACAAACGATGTCTCAAGCCCGCGAGCGTAATCGAGTCAAGTTTGCCTGATGCTGATTTCTGGATACGCTGTAAGTCGGTGGGCTTCTCAGCGTGGGCATCGAAAGTATCCCTCTCCAGAAGGACCAACCCGAGGGTTCCAAACGGTTCCTACGTAAGCTCTAACGGAAAGAGATCGAGTCGTTACAGCTATTCGTGAGGCAGCCAGTTCCTACCGGATATGCTCTAATTTCGACGCCAAGACGCCAAGAGGGAACAAGAGAACTGCAGGTCTAGGTTTCCAAGGCTCCGGTAGTAATGATTACCAGGTTGGTTTTGGTAGCATACAAGGTATGTTATGGTATGTTATGGGATTCTGTCGAAAACGGCCTGTCTCTTGAGTGTAACAGGGTGCAAATCAGCTGGAGCAGACCCACGCACCACAACCGCAAGGTATGAAGTGTTCAACTCCCAAGGGCCACTCAGATCTCTGTGGCACAGGCACCTGGGCGTCTGCATCGCCATGCCTTGCATCTCAACGCTGATAAATATACGCTCGGAAACCCCTACCTTCCCAGGTCTTTGAGTTCCAGGCTTGCATGGCCCATAATGGCGGTGAGTGATGCCCGCGGAACACATCTAAACCAGGAGTTCGGATGCAGCGGCTGAAACCGGCACCGAGAAGAAGCAATTGTGCACACCCTTTCACTCGCTGCAGCTGAACACGTCTGTTGTCTCAAGACACTCTGATAACCAGCCAGTCACGAGCCTGGACCTGTTGGGGTCACGTTGCGGGAGCATTGATGGAAATGCCCCGTGCCACATATGTATGACTCTCGGCGAAATGCTTTCTCCTGCGTTTGCCGACCGCCCTTACGAGCCGCATGGAGCTAGCAGCCAGGATGTTGAACCCCCGTGGACCGTTACCACGGCCTTGGGCCCGAGGACCCACAGGCCACCTGGGCATGGTTTTTTTGACAGGTATTAATCATCAAGACGGACAAAACTGGTGCTCACAGCAACAACGGTTGGGCGAGTCAAAAAATGATTAGTGGAAAACAGAAGCAAGCGGGCTCGCTTCGCATATGATCCGGCTGTCAAGACCATAGAATGACGATGGTGACCGCCTGGTGACGCCTCTCTAATTGTACAATGTTGAATATCGGTACGTGTCGTCTTGGGGCGGACGCAGACCTCGCGAACGAATGCGTTCTTGCTAAACGAACGATGTGACCTCAGGCGCTGTTATGGTAACATGCATGCAGACGTGTCCGTTCCAAGGTCGTAGGTCTCAAGGGCCATGTGAGACTTGCGGGACCCGGGACGATACGTGGTCTTGCGACACGAATACGATTGTCTCATATGGCCTTGAAGGTGTTGGGCATATCGACATTGGCCAAGAGTCCTTCCACCATGGTTCGTGCTCGAAAGCGCGGGAGCGCGGGAGAACGGCAGTTCTAGAAAGCTTCCAGTCGATCAGCGACCATGTACCGCATTGCTGGGTTGCCCGTGCATTAGTTCTCAGAGCTGAAGACACTAACGCCGCCGATCTTCAGAGGCCAGAACAGGCTGGCTTTGGGTGCAATTCTAGCCATGCTTCAGAACGCTTGCGGCCTTTACTATGGTATATGAGCAGTCAAGCACTCCAGTGTCTGCAACAGCATCGTCTATGTCGCAGTGGAGGATTGGAAGACGCGCGCAAAAAATGCCGTGGGGCACGGTGTTGCGGAGCAAGACTCCCGTCGCCTCGCCAAAGGCTCGTCTGACCGAGTCTGAAGACGGCGTTCTGGTTCGTGGTCAGTGCCGGTATGCAGGCCCGCAGGACCAGGATGCAAAGGTCCCAAAGGTTAGCTGCTTGAGAAGCAGGGGGCCTGAGGAGGTATCCCCGAACACGCGCAGGGTCGCAGCGGGAGATACCGCACGACCTGGGCCAGCGCAACCTTGGATGACATGGTCTCTGATTCGAACAGACGATGGCGCACGCATGTTTGGAGTCGGGGGAGCTTGGGCAAAGGACGGGGCGGCATTGGGGCCGCATCTGGCAAGCGCTTATTGGCATGCCGAGGAGCCAGGGAGGTTGACGTGTTGGGGATCTGCAGCACCGATCAGAGATTGCGATTTCGTGTCGAGTTCTGTTTGGCCGTTTCGAGAAGCAGAGGGGCTCGTCTAGAAGCCGCGACGAGTCAAGCCGGCTGGTAGAGCAGGGCGGGACGAGGCCGACCTTTGACGTGGTCGGGCAGGTCTGGCAGACAGACGGCGAGGCGGGGAAACTCTAAAGCCGCTGAAGAGAAGCCATCTCCATGCTGCTGCGAGGGACGAAAGAACAAGGGTTCGCTGGTATGGCAGTTAGCCGCCCGCCAGGCCTCGGGCCAAACCCCATGGCGTGCAGGCACGGACCATAGCTTGTGAAGGACCCTTTGCATTTCCGTCGCCGGCGGCACGTCATCAACCTGACCCAAGCAGACGGACGTAGAGTACGTGCTCACTCGCGCAAGTCGCCATGGCCATTCGTCCCCAAGGCATCGATTGTCCTTGCAAGTGTGCACCGGAGCAGGCGCTCTAGCACGAGCGCAGTCACGGCAGGTTCCAGTACATACCACCTGTGCCCAAAGAACAGCAGTCTCCATCCACGGCTGCAGAATGGCAGCCGCCCCTCCTGTCCTGTCACGGGCCCTGTTCAAGGACCTGGCCTGGCCTAGACCGGTTTGGCAGTCATCAAACAAGGGTGTGGAGGGGCACAACCCACGATGCCCCTCTCTCTGCAGATGCTCGCTCCTGCCGGGCAGCATCGCGACTGTGCCCACGAATGCATTAGTCAACGCAGCGGGATGCCAGCATGTCGAGGGTACGCAGGCAGGCTGTGGCCCCATCCTGAATGCCATGAGAGCCTCGCCTGCTCGACTTTGGTTATTCCCGGCTCGGTAAGCATGGGGTCCGGGCCAGCAGAGCCCCCACCCCCCTTCGTATGAACGCTCGGCCATCCACAAGCGAGACAGGAATGCCAGCTACAGTACTGTCTCATCGCCAGGCGTCTCGGAACCTCGAGCAGACGTGGTCAGCACCCTTTCTGGTCAGGGCTCCCACCTCCATGGAGCTCAACCGGCACCGAAGCCACACCCCTCCATCACCGCCTCCACGGCGCCCGGCTCCATAGACCTGGTTCCTCCACCACGCAAAATGCTGGCCCAGGGTGATGGTGCAGTAGTGCCATGCAAGCTCAACATGTGCCGCGCCATCAGGGATCCTTTTTTGGATACCCGCCCATCTTTCGACGTGTCAGTGGCCCAGTGTCCATGGACCCCGGGTCGGCTCCTGCGCCGCAGGCTGCTTCTGCGTGGAGTTCTGGCCTCGACTCCTTGGTCCGCCCGCGTTCCAGGGCCCCCCCTTGCTCACCCAGGTGCCGTAGCATCGGGCCTTCAGGCTAGTCGTGGGCTTGTTGGACGGTTCGTGGAGCGATGAATCCGCGCTGCTGGGTCCCAGCCCGCCCGCTCCTCGTTTTAAACCGCCAACCGCAGCCGGTTACCAGCGAGCTGGGTCGACTGACAGCAGCCAACTCCCTCCCTTTCCCTCGGGACACTCCCCCACGAGTCAGCCTAACGAGTCCTCGAGCTCCCGCATGCCTTTCGGGCTGGCTCGTGTCTCTAGGTCATCTACTCGAGGTGGGCGTGCCGCCTTTTGTTGTTTCACTAGCCAACTTTCTGGTCCACAAGCCAGAGTTGCTATCGAGCTTATATTTGGCGCGCTGCGTGCCCTCGGCGTAACCTTAACCTAAGACTTCAGATTTTTGACACCTGCCATCTTCGACAAGCATATCGCCACCACCCGTTCTTTCAGCGGCTTGCTCCCTGATGACTTCTAGGGGCTCCATTTCATGACCCGCTTTGGTACTACCACTTTTCCGTCTCTGCTGGTCCGACGGATAGTTCTCCGTGCAAAGGCATTGGCCAGAGCCTAACTTGGGACGAGTGGCAAGGCGTTAAGCTTGCCGTGAAATCTCACGGTTGGAACACGGGTACGATCCGCTAGCTACGGGCCTGTTTGACAGGTTATTCTTTTCTTTCCCACGCTTCAGGCGTCCTGTCATCCTTTCGTCGCATCGAAACATCGAAAACAAACATCGCAAAATGGCTTCCTTTTCGTCGAGTCAGGGGTCTGAACCACATGGGATGGATACAAGCGACGATGGTCAAACGTCAAGTAGCTCCCAGGTCGACATTGCCAACTTCAAGTTCACATTCGAGCACTGCAACTCGTCGACAGGGCAATCTTTCAAGATCGAGGCAGATGTAAGCCGTCCTCTCTGACCGTGTACGCAACAGAACATGGAGCTGACTCTGGCGCTTCAAATCCAGGACAATCCATCGCCCTCAGACGCAAGCTTGTGGGTTGTTTCCTGGCGCAAGGCGTTCACTCCGTAACGAAACTGCTGACACCACCATTGTCCCAACAGAGATAGCTTCTCTGTCACGAGCAGTATTTATAGATATCGGGAAGAGAATGGGCGCACTTACCATGGGTATCGCGATGGCTGTAAGTATACACGTATGTCCTGTGTCTCGGACTATAATGCTGACCCAGGCCTCTGCCATGGATCGTAGCGTACCATTATCCCAACGATGTCCAGGAACAGGACCGCCTCGAGTGGCAATATATATGCCTCAAGGAAGTCCTCAGCCAACGAAATTACCTCTCACCCTGGTCTGAGGACAACCCGCCGCGGCGCATCTTGGAGGTCGGCACAGGTACAGGAATCTGGGCGCTTGAAATGGCTACCGAATTCCCCAATGCAGAAATAATAGGCACCGACTTGTCCCCGGTACAACCACAATACGTGCCGGACAATGTCCGGTTCCTGATTGAGGATGCGTCAGTACCAAGTGGTCTCCCTTGTGGTGGGCAAACATTTACTGATTCGTCAACCTAGCTTGAGCGAAGAAGGCTGGGACTGGCCCCAACCATTCGACCACATCCATATACGCATGGGGCTCGGCTGCTGGGAGGACTTTGAGCGCGACGTCGCCCACAATGCATACCGCAACCTCGAACCTGGTGGCTGGTTTGAGGTTCAAGAGCTGCTACCGGCCATGCACTGCGACGACGGTACCATGCCCGAAGACTGGCCGCCGAAGCTCCTCTTCGAAGACCTGGACGAATGTTCGATCATCGCCAAGCGGCCGCTCATGTTTGCGCACACCATCAAGCAGGCCATGATCAACGCCGGCTTCGTCGACGTCGCCGAGAAGATGTACAAGCTTCCCGTCAACCGCTGGCCCAAGGAGCGCAAGTGGAAGACGCTTGGGGAGATGTGGCATGCGGCATTCGAGGGCGGAGGGATTCAAGCCTTCACCATGGCTCCTCTGACTCGGATACGGGGCCTGAAGCAGGCGCAAGTAGAGGTAAGACCCAGCATTCCCGGATCCATGTCGGTCAAGCCCGTTGGTGTTTGCACTGGCTGTCACTAACACTGTTCTTCGTTGCAGATGCATATTATGGGCGTAAGGAAAGCTCTCAAAGACACTAGCGTACACGCCTACCAAAAGTAAGTCGTTGATCTTTGGCTCTTGAGCCTTGTGCTGATGACTTACGCCTTGTTGCAGATTCTATGTGGTTACCGGACGCAGGCCCAAAGATTGGGAGATCCCACCGGGCCGGACCACCTTCAATCCGAGATGAGTGTGCATTGAGGGGGTCCATGAAACAAGCACTTTTTTACTTCTTTTTGTTTGGTGTTTTCCCCCCATGTGTCGGCATTGGAATCCAGGTTCAATACGTTTTCGCGCACGCCGCTGCGGTAACTTTGCCTGCTCGGCTGGCCGCGGCTATAGTCACCATCATCGTGGTAGCTCACGCTTTACTGCTAGCCCGGGGGAAGAGGCAGGAGGAAGAAGGGGGAGGTGAAGGAGAAGAACGACCCGGGATGCAGCAGGAAACGCGTGCAACCGATTCTAGTTGTCTCTGGGACTGCGTGCACTGGGGGTCTATCCTCGTCATGCTGTGCGGTTTGCTGTGAGACTGAGCACGTCGCTATAAGTCCTCCAGCCAGGTATGACCGGTTCGCAAGGAAGTGGTACACACGGGCAGAATGCGGCGTGCTGGAAGATGATTCCCCCATTAGATACCGTGTCAAGGTCTGCCTCAGAGATATGAGTGCACATGAAGGAATAAATGAATAAGCATGTCCTTCTGGTCACATTGTGCTCGTCCAGTTTAGATCAGCGCACTAGAATGCAGCATACCTGCATGTATGTCTAAGCGACACGGGCTCGATCTGAGGGCAGCACGTGGATATGCACGACATTTCGCACCCTTTCTTCCTGGGGACAAAGTTCTGGCCCCTCTGAGAAGGTTCAGGCCGACATGGACATGGACTCTCGTCCGTATAGGACGGGAGAGCACGCGGAGTACGACCGCCCCCCTTACCCGACCTTGGCGGCGGTTTGCCGCGCCTTTGGGATTGCAGGGGAAAAGGACGGTGGATTGCAGGGAAGACTGACACCCTCAACTGGTGTGGCTTGTTATATCACCGCATTTAAGGATGGGTAGTATTTTCTAGAACGTGGGCTGTCGGGGGCTTGCTTTGGCGGAGAGCTTCGGTTGGTCAACAGATGGTGGGGAGCTAAGCTTTTGCGAGGCGATTGAACAGCACATGCGAAGCCATCGTGACGGGTCTGATCAAGAGCTGGGGGTGTTGTTGTCCTGGTACTCCAGACTGGCACAGAAGACGGGCAATTGCCCTGGTGTCGTTTATCTGCTTGCGCACATGGCCCTGCAACCGGCGGCCCTAGTCTAGGGCAGGAGTTCATGGCGTGATGCTGGCATGGGGGCCCCCCTAGCACACGACTCGGGACAGCCAACCTCCACATTGGGCGGCCCCTTTGCGGCCAAGCTTCAACCTCCAAGCCAGCCACCAGCCAGCCTTTTTTTTTTAATAGGGGGCCTGGGGGGTTGTAGTTCCAGGGTCTCGCTGCTCTCTTTCGTCGCGACCGGTGCTCTTGTCTGTGTCGGCGTTTGTGTGCTCCGAGTTGGCCTTGGATTGTCTCTTCTGCAGCTCACGCGACCTCACATCTCTCCCACAGCCATCGACATCGTCATCGTCGTTGCAAGGACGTGCAGGAATAGGCGCGTGCACGCAACGCAACAGACGGAGCCGCCGCCCCCGCCAGCCGACGGGCCAAGCACGATCACCACGCTACTCCTCCGCGCCGCCCGCCCCTTACTGGCGCGCGCCAGGCCCAGGCTGGACCCTCCTCGACTCGACTCGACTCGACCTAGTTAGCGGCAAATCATCCCCTATCACCACCACCTGTGCCTCTTGCGTCGCGGCCGCACCACACCACACGAGCGCCCTCACAGGGCAGACGACCTGCGAAAAAGAAAACCACTTTCTTCAGCCCGGCCCAACCGTCGCGTGTTCCATCCTCCTGCAGAACAACCCCGGAGAGATTATTCCCTCCCCAGATCCGTCAGCCGCACCACCGTTGTGCCGAGACGTCATTTTCCTTACCGGCGCGCTGCACACGCTACTCCTGGACGACTCCATCGCCTGCGGCTCCGTCCACGTTGACCATCACCACAACCGCCCACGAGATCCTGACCGGCCGAATCCCCCCGAATCGAGGTTTCCGTCTGCCGCAACGTCGGAGCACCGACTCTGTTCAGCACACGGCCCTGCATTTGTGTCCATTGCAGGACAGACAAGCTGTCTCGACCACTGCCGCAATGTCAGGCCTCATCAGCAAGCGGCAGCAAGCGCGCAATGAAAAGGTCCTCCAAGACCTCGTACACAGCGTGCCTGGCAACAATGTCTGCGCCGATTGCGGTGTCAGGAACCCTTGTGAGTGCTCGCTCTTCGTTGCTGTGCCCACCATGGCTCTCGTCTTCCACTGGGCCTGCACTCCTTCCAATATGCATTCATGCTGACGGCCGTCTCTCGCTCTCTAGCATGGGCATCATGGAATGTATGATTCTCCCCCAGTGATCTCCCCCGCTTGCGTCCACGACGACCATGAACGAGTGTCTTAAGCTCAAACCGATCGCCGTCTCGGCCGCGTCAATGCAGATACAGCTTGGGAGGGGTCTCGTCACGAAATTGGTTGACTAACGATGCGAATAGTTGGGCATATTCTTGTGTATGCGGTGCGCCGCGATCCACCGCAAGCTCGGCACACACATCAGCAAGGTCAAATCGCTGAGCATGGATAGCTGGACAAACGAGCAGGTCGAGGTATGTAGCTGCCAATGGATGGACAGCGCCGGGGCTACAATCACACGTGAACCAAGAGAGAGAGAGAGGGATAAAAGCCTAACCGTTTCTGCGCGCAGAACATGAAGAAGACCGGCAACGCGGCGTCCAACAAGCAGTACAACCCAAAGAACAAGAAGCCGCCAGTGCCTGTTGATGCAGATGAGGCCGATGGCGCCATGGAGCGCTTTATTCGGGCCAAGTATGCGCAGACCTCCTCGCCTGGTGGTGCCACGCGCCGCAACGGCGCCGGCAGGAGCGACGACTCGGATGAGGGTACGCCGCCGCCCCTTCCGCCAAAGACCGGCGGCCGCTTCGGTTTCGCCAAGTCAAACTCGTCCACCTTCCCCATCTCGTTCCGGTCCTCGAAGAAGGAATCTCGTTCGGGACCTTCGAGCCCACACGGCTTCTCATCCGAGAGAAGCCCGAACCACCTGAGCAACAAGCCTTCCAAAGTGTTTGGTGCCAATGTCGGAGCGGAGACGCCAGAAGCGACGGCCGCGAAGCTGGCACAGCTGCGGGACATGGGTTTCATGGACGACAAGCGCAACGCCATGATTCTCAAGGGCGTGAACGGCAGCGTGGAGAAGACGATCGAGGCACTGGTCCGCTTGGGCGAGGGAGGAGGTCATGGCTCTGTTCCACCCAAGGTGCCCTCGCGCGAGAGCTCGTTGCCGGCACCGAGGAGCCTCACGCCGCAACGATCATTCGACGTTTCGCCTGCCATCACTGGGCAGAAGGCGCCTTCGGCGCAAAGCCCGTCAGCTGTCAATAACAACCCATGGGACATCCAGCCGGCCCAGCCTCAGTCCTCACAGTCCACCGGAACGATACCGAACAACAGCAACCCTTTCTATACAAACACTGTTGTCAACACCAATGACCCCTTTGGATTGGGCGACGTTGGAGGCCAGCAGCATTTGACACACTCCATGCAGAATCTGTCCCTGGCGCCACCAACCCAACAAGCCTTATTTCCTCACCACACAGGAGGCGTGCCTGGTCCTCAAGCTACAGGAGCGGCGATGATGCAACAGCCAATGACCGCACCGATATCGCAGATGCAGAACTTCTCATCCAACCTGCACCCGCAGCAGGGCTACAACCCATTCTTGCAATCAGCATCTACCCAGCAAGCGCAGTCGTTAGCCCTCAACACATCTCCTTTCCAGACGCAAAGCCAGAGCCAACCCCAAAGTCCAGCTTCCTATGCTGGCAATCCATTCTTGAGATCTCCTGCGACGATGACATCGCCGTTGAACCAGATTCCGGAACAGTCACAGCAGAACATCTACACATCACCACAATCTCCGTATGGTAACAACCCATTCATGTCGGCCACATCGCCATTCGCACAGGGTCCCGGTGCCGCGCAGCAGCAGCAGCATAATCCCTTCCAGGCCGCGCAAGCTCAAAACCCCTTCCAGTCACAAGCCGCTCAGCAAAACCCTTTCCAGACTACTTTGCAGCAGCAGTCCTCGCCACAGCAACCGCAGAACCCGTGGCAGACCCAAGGGACTCATCAAACGCAGCAACAAAACCCGTACCAGGCACAGCAGAACTACTACCAGCCACAACAGCAGCAGCAGCAGCAGCAACAGTATGGCCAACCACAAATGGCAGGCTCTTACCAACCGCAGGTGGACAAGGCCAGCATCATGGCCCTCTTTGGCTCCACGAACCAAAACACATCACCATTTGCCCAACAGATGCCCCAACAGCAACAGCAACAAGCTCAGCAGCAAGCTCAGCAGCAGCCGCAGCAGCCTCATGTGCCTCAGCGAAGCGTATCCGTGCCCCTGACATCATCGGCTTCGTCGAACCCTTTTATGGGTGGTGGACTCGCCGCCAAGGCCGGCATGGGAACTACAGGTGTAGCTGGGTCCACAGCTGCACCAGGCCCGAGTGCTCCTCTCCCAACGACGATTGGCACGGGTGTAGGCAGCGGCCGGAGCCGGGAGAGCATGATGGTTGAGATGGGCTGGGCGAATGGGCGGCACAGCCCTGACGCATTTGCGAGCTTCAGCGCCAGAAGCTGATGTGGTCATTTTCAGCTAAGCATAATCTCGCACAGGTCGCAATGCTTGAACTAGGGTAGATTTTGGGACAGGAAACACAAGTTGTGGGAAGGGGAATGACATGTAAATGTAGACACGCATATACGTCTCGGGGCGCTACGCATTGCTGAGGTGTACATTATGACGACATATGATGTCGAGATGCGCCCGCGCTTTGACGATGCATTTCTCTTCTTTGTCGATATGTCAAGCATTCGTGGGTTTATATATAGGTATATATCTTTTCATTTGTCGTCTGTGGAGAATACACATAATCAACCATACTGCAGGAGCGAGTGTTGTGGGAAGAAGCGCTGTCGTCTCTTGGTCAGGCTGGCAGCAGGTGGTATCATATGCGGGACACGGATACATTTGATGGAGGCCTGCTCTTTGGTTGTCAATCAAAATAAACAGCACAGCAATAATCTATCTACCGTGTTGATCAGATAATAGCAATTTTAGAACCTTATCATTCAAAGGTAGCGGGATTAAGGGTGTGGGCGTAGCAAGACAACCACGGCTGGCCAACATTCGACGTGAGCGTCTGTCAATGGGAACACGAGTGAGAGTGTGAGCTCCACACCACTACTTTGCAAGGAAATTCAAGAGGGAGGAGAGCTTGCGCGTCGCCAAGCGCTGTCCAAGCAAATGGCCGGGACTGCGAATCGGACGTGGGGACTTGGCGGGACCAGTCCAGTGCTTTTCTTGATGGGCGGCATGAAACCTGAAAAAATGGATTGCTGGCTGTGGACCACTCTCGTGTTTATCGATATGTTGGGCTGGCTGTGCGCCCTCCTCGTCGGGCAGGCCAATGCAGCAGAAAAATGCATGACGACATGTCTGGGTGCTCCTAGTGTATCAGATGGGTATCGGACCCAGCAAGGTGGGAACAGCGCGGATGGCCCGTGGGCGCGTTGTGTGTGAGTGTGGCTGCACAAGACCCGGGGCGAGGGTGGAGGATGTGGTCCGTCCGTGGTGGCAGGTTTGTCTTATGTGAGGGCCGGAACGCCGTGATACCTGATTTGGGAATGGATCACAAGAAACGGGCATGGGTCGCGACAGGCCTGGCGTCCCGGATCCAGTGTTGGTGCTGGATGTCTAGAGCATTGCCAATGGCTCGCTGAAGGGGAAAGGTGAGGACGATGAGAAAACCTGATGCAGGCCACGGCGAAGTGGTGTTGTGTGCTTGGCGGCGCACACTTAACTCGCGCTTGATGGGCCAGGCCCCCAACACACTTTCTGGACTCTGCAGGATACGAGCTCTTGGAACACGCGCCGAGGCCTTGGGGTTTGGGGCCGTCCTTTGCCACAGTACGCTATGGATGGCAATTGGAGAAATGGGATGTTGAATTTGGGGGGATGTGAGCTTTGAGGGCTGTTGTTGTTGTTGTTGCTGCAAGCTAAGGCTAGAGCACCCGCGTTCTTCTTGCAGAGGTCTTTGTTTGTTTGTCGCGACAAAGTGGACGAGGAAGAGCATTGTCCGGGGCTGCCAACTTGCGTCAGTCAGATGAGGATTGGCGATGGCCGTGGAGCGTGCTTGGCACACACACCCCGGCCGGCTGCGTGGCAGCCCGCAAATCCATCCGTGCGCTGCTGGGCTGCTGCTCGATTGCCATCCCGGCCAGGCTACCACAATCCCCCAATGGATCCTGGCTTGACGAGATGAGGCGTGGGGAGGGGCCCATGCCCTCTGCGTCAGCAGTTGATGCTCTCGTCATTGTCATGCATGCCCATGGTTGTTGTTGCTGAGAAGCAAGATCGGGTGTAGGTAGATGCGAGCCTTGCCATGTTTTGCGATCCGCCTTGGTTGGAAAGTCTAAATAAAAAGCACAAAGCGTGAAATGGGCGCAGCCAGCGACAATTGGCCGGTGCCTGAGGTTGCGCGTACGTTGTGTACTTGGTGCTCCGTAACGACGCCCCCTGGCGATCGTGCGGGTGCCCGCCCTGGCGCGCCCCTGGCCTGCAACGCCCGCCGCACGCCAATCACGGCCCCATACCACCGATTGGGTGGGCCCAGAGCTTAACGATACACGCCCCCAGGCTCCGCCGCGCCTTCCATTCTTCAAGCCCACCTCGTCCTCCTCCTCGCGACTGCCCGCGCTCTCTCTTTGCTCTTGCTTGTTATTAGATTCCTCAGTGTTACCCGTCGCTTTCTGCCGCCTTGCCCCCCCGTTGCTTCTGTCTGGCAACTCCCGCTGGCTCCCCTTCGGCCTGTCCGACCTCAGCAACTCACTCGCTCTCGTTGCTTTCCGCCTTCTTTCTGCCCTAGAGCCGACTCGACGGGCACTACCACCATAACTAATTCTTTTGGTCAATCCGGACGCCAACACGCTCGCTCCTCTCCACGCCGCCGCAGAGGGACGCATCTTGCTTGCATAGCTCAGTGATTTCAGAGCCAACCCTCCACGACACATCCATATCCATTTCCACCATCATGCGGTCCTCGACTCTTCTCTCAGCGGCCCTCGCCGCTGGTGCCGCCGCGGCGACACCCTCGCGGACCACCGTCGAGCTGCCTCGCCGGGCCGAGGCCCTACCCGCCGTCTCCGCGTCTGGCAACGCGTTCTGGGCGAACGGCAAGCGCTTCTACATGCGTGGCATTGACTACCAGCCGGGCGGTTCTGCTGCCAACCTCGACCCTCTCGCCAACCCCACCATCTGCCGGCGTGATATTCAGCGGTTTGCCGACCTTGGCGTCAACACCATCCGCGTCTACGCCGTCGACAACGCGGCCGATCACACCGTGTGCATGCAGGCCCTCAACGATGCCGGTATCTACCTCGTCCTCGATGTCAACAACCCCCAGTACTCCATCAACAGAGCCAAGCCGGCCCCGTCGTACAACGAGGTCTACCTCCAGAGTGTCTTCGCCGTCATTGACGAGTTTTCAAAGTACAGCAACACGCTCGCTTTCTTCTCGGGAAATGAGGTCATCAACCACGATGAGGGTAGTACCCAGGCTGCGCCTTATGTCAAGGCGACCACTCGTGACATGAGACAATACATGCGCAACCGTGGCCACCGCGTCATCCCCGTTGGCTACTCCGCCGCCGATGTCTCTGACAACCGCATGCAGTCGGCTCAGTACTTTAACTGCGGTACCGATGACGAGCGCAGTGACTTCTTTGCCTTTGTAAGTTTGGGCGAACGAGATGCTCCGGGGGAATATAGGGGAAACCCTCTTTTGGGCACAGCTAACTTGCGATGCAGAACGACTACTCGTGGTGCTCCCCCTCCAGCTTCACCACCTCCGGCTGGGACGTCAAGGTCCGCAACTTCACCGGCTACGGCCTTCCCATCTTCCTGTCTGAGTGGGGCTGCATCACAAACGGCCGCGACTTCTCGGAACTGAGCGCCCTGATGAGCTCTCAGATGACGGGAGTCTACTCGGGTGGTCTCATGTACGAGTACAGCCTCGAGGAGAACAAGTTTGGCATCATCGACTTGACCAAGAACCCCGTCTCTGAACTCCCAGAGTTTGGCAAATTCAAGTCGGCTCTGTCCAAGTACCCGGCCCCCACCGACAACGGCGGCTTTGTGTCGACCACCAACTCAGTCGCCTGCCCTACCACCGACTCTGTGTGGGATCTCGGCTCGTGGGGCCCGACTGCCTTGCCCGCCATCCCCGAGGGTGCTAAGAAGGTAAGCTGGGCATCAAATTCCACTTAGCATTTGCTATCACTGACATTTGGATTTCAGTACATGACTGAGGGCGCTGGCAAGGGCCCTGGCTTGGACGGCTCTGGCTCGCAGAATTCTGGCGAGGACGTGCACACGACTGCTTCCCCGGGCTCCGGCCAGCCTACAACCACCCCTGGCAGTGGGAACGGCAACGGCCAGGGCGGCGCTGCTGGCCACCTTTCCCCACCGGACTTCAGCATCTTCGCCGTGACTGGCGTCGTTGCCTTCTGCACCCTTTTCGGCACCCTGCTGCTGTAAGGCTGTCGCCGCGCGACTTGGGGAAGGCTTGTATGTGGAAGTGGATGTAATGACACCGAATCAGGAATGACGAAACGGAGTTTCTTGTTCTTGCCCATAGGAGCGCTATCTCCTGGAGCATACCCGGGTGCATTAACCCGGCAAACATATCAACATTTTAGACTTTGTAAATTGACAATGATTTATATTTGGCCCTGTTGTTTTCACGATTTTGGTGATTGTACGTCTATCGATCCGTCTGGATGATTACTGAAGCAAGGGCATTAGGTATGATTCGTCTTGGACAACAAGCTCGCTCCAGGGATCATCATGATTGTGGCGTGCGAGACATGCTGCTGCGCATCTCTACCTTGTACACGCGATTCGATACCAGGCTCGACCCGAGTTAGGAACTGCGCTGCCCGAGACAACAGCAAAACACCCGGCCCGATCAAGTAAGCAACTCCCGGGTCAGCCGGCTTCATTAAGTAAGCATCGTTGTGGCCATCCCTTTGGACGGAGGTACGAGCCGCGCACTCAAACCTCACTCCTCTACGCCTTGAACGCAGGCATGTGCCAGGATGCCCGCGTAGGGCTGTCAGATCCGCTTGGGTCCATCCTCATTGAAACAAACCACTACCGCAGCGGCCAAGATGCAAGACTTGACAACACCGCACTCTGCGCCTCGGCATGTATGGATGGATCTGCGGGATGGGTGTCTGCCAATTTTTTTCTTTCTCTTTTTTTCTTGTATGGACGAGCGCGGAAGTCGAAGCAAGTCGCGAGCCTGGAAAAGCGACAAGCAACACGAGACCGACCACAAACGAGACCAATTCAGATAGGGCTTGTCTTGTTCTTGTCTCTACATCTTTGGGTGTTTGGGGAATTGGGGGGTCAGCAGCGCCTCAGAGGCCGTGTATTTGGCCCTACTTGGTATAAACCAAATAGCCTTCCTCTTCCCCCCTGCTGTTCGGCATGTACTGTGTAAGCCCTAGTGTCTCTCCTATCTAGGGCTCACTCTCACTCTCACCCGCTATCTCTCTCTATGTATCCCGATCTCTCTGCCTCGTTTTCGCAGCTGTGAGAGGGACGGGATGTGTGTGCGCGCAGAGCAATGCGTTTGTTGTATATATAAACGGACGGGGGGACCTCTTCAAATCCTCCCTCCTTTTTCTTTTCCGTGTGGTTTCTCCATCCCGGGAGTTTGGAAGACAATACAGCCCACAGCCTCGAGAAGAAAAGCTTGTGTATATCTTCTGTGCATGCTGTCCTACTATCATCTCTCTCAGTGTGTGAGCCCAAGAACGTTTTATACAATCATCCCCCTTCTGGCGTATCTCCTCCTTTCTTTCTTTGCGTTTTCCCCAGTTGTTGCAGCTTCGTTCAACTCATACTCGATCGGTAAACGGGAGAACTGGATCCCTTCGGCGGGATAAGACAAACAAAGAAGCGCTCATCTCAGAAGAGGGGGCGTAGGGAGAGAACAAGAGAGAGAGAGACACCGAGAAAGCCTATCGGGGCTCGTCATCAGTCGGCGGAGGGGATAGCCTAATCGAATAGGCAGACCACTCGGCAAGGCCTGGTGAAGCCTGGTTACTCCTCGGCCTGTTAGAACAACAACCGAAACAGACAGAGAGAGAAAGGGATCCAGAGGCAGTAGCACACACCCACAAATTCAACGACAATGGCGTCCTCTCCGCCGCCGCCACCCAGTTCAACCACGTTATCTCCTTCATCACCGCCATCATCTTCATCTTCATCGTCATCGACATCACCTCCTACTGCCCCCTCGACAACATCGCCCACACCAACAACAACAACCATGCCGACGGCAACAAAGTTCCCCGGCTTCAAGGCAATCATCATCGGCGCCGGCCCCACGGGCCTGTCCGCAGCCCACGCGCTGTCCCTCGCCGGCGTGGACTTTGTCGTGCTCGAGCGCCGCGGCCAGATCGCAAAGGACCAAGGGGCCAGCCTCGTGCTCGCCCCGGGCTCGATGCGGGTGATGCAGCAGTTCGGCCTCCTGGAAGCGCTGGACGAGGCCGGCTGCGACGTGGTCAGGAGCGTCGCGTTCACCAGGGAGGGCGAGGTGATGGGCCGAACTGAGACTCAGCTGGTCGTTAAGGAGTGGTAAGTCTCTCTCCCCGATCCTTTTATTTTCATACCAGTGCTTGGGAGTTTGGAGTTTCTTCTCATCTCAGATTGTCTGTGGGTTCCGTGGACGAGTATCTTCGACGAGATATATGTCTTTTGCGGGACATCCGTGTCAGCCCCTGGAGAGCCAGCCTCTCGTGATAGTAGCCACAGACGTACAAAAGCTAACTGGCCGGACATGTTTGAAACCCCTCCAGTCACGGTACATGCCCGATCTCCTACCACAGAGCAGATCTAATCCGGATTCTCTACGAGGGCCTGCCGGCCGAGAGCAAGAGCAAGATCCTGCTAGGCCAGCAGATCACCGACATTCAGCACGTTCACGGCCGCCCGGATAACAACAGCGACCACGGCGGTGGTGATGGGGTCAGAGTGACTTGTGCCGACGGCACCGTGCACACGGGCTCCATCATCATCGGCGCCGACGGAGTCAACAGCCTCGCACGCAAGACGATGCGGCGGCTTGTGCTGGACGGCGCCGTGGGCGGTCCCTTTGACAAAAATGGCAAGTCCGGAAAGCCGACAAAAGCCTCCGGACCCGTGTGGGAGGACCCCGAAGACCCCTTCGAGAGCACATATAGGTGTCTCTGGGCGACCTTTCCCAACCCCGATGGCAAGACGGGTGTGAACTGCAACTCTCATGACGTGGGCCGGTCGACAATGTACATCAGTGGGACCGACCGGGCGTGGTTGTTCTTGTACGAGGAACTGCCTGAAAAGACCAACTCTCCGGGGGTCAAATATACCGAGGAGGAAATACGGACCGCGGCGGAGGAATTTGGAGAGTATTTCATCACCGAAGGGGATGATGTGACCGGCACTCGGGCAGAAGGACTCAGGGTCAAAGACGCCATGGCGAGAGCCACCAGGATGGGCATGACCAATATAGCCGAAGGGGTCGTCAAACACTGGAGCTTGGGACGGATCGTGCTCGTCGGCGATGCCTGCCACAAGTTCACGCCCAATGCGGGTCAGGGGTTCAACACGGGGCTGCAGGATGTCGTAGTGCTGTGCAATCTCCTGAAGAAAGCGCTCGTTCAGCATCACCGAGATCATCCGCAGCAGACGACGACGAAGACGACAACAGTAGCACCACCACAGCTGCCCATGGCCACTCTGGCGGCCTTGTTCAGACAATATCACGACGCCCGCCAGGAGGAGACCGCTTCGATGCTGGAGCTCTCGGCCACTTACACGCGCATGCAGGCCATGGCGGGATTTTGGTGGCGCTTGCTCGGCTGGGTTACGTTGACGCCCTGGGTCCAGAGCTTCATGGTCCGCAAGGTCGTTGGGCCAAGGACAGCAAAATCAGCTATCCTAAGCTACGTGCCATTCAAGGACAAGTACGTCGGGTCATTGCCATGGGCAATGACTTGCAGCGATGAAGGAAGCGAGTAGACGGGACAAAACCCGGGTACTCCATGTGTGTCGGATGCGCACGCAGTAGTGATAAGTGGTGAGCTGTCACAATATCCTGTCACGCCTGTTAGCACGAATCTGCAGGCAGACATGGCAATAAGAACAATACGGCCAAACTCTGCCAGAGCCGCTAGACGCTCTGTGGGTTCAGGACGCAGATATTAAACGTGCCATAGTACGTGGTTGCGAAAGCCAGCGAGCAAGTTGCCCAATAAAGTCTGGGACCGCAGACATTCGGTCTCGTATATAAGTCGGGTCTATCTGTTCTATGCATTACAAGCAAAATGACCAAATCAAGCTGAGCATGAAGTGCGTATCATTAATGCGCGAGGCACAGGAGTGGAGGGCGTGTAAACAAATTCAGGGTCCGTCGCCCGGGTATACTGCTTGAAACCAAGATTGTCGCTTGTCGTCGGCAGATCCTCCTCCGCTGATGCATAATTCTTTTGGTGTCGTCGTCTGTCGTGAAAAGGGTGTCTCATGGTTTCTCATTATCCGTGGCGTACTCCGTCTGTCACTGCGGCGGGCAAGCAAACTTGGTGCGCTAGACTTGCCAGGTAGCCCCGCTCACGCAGTCATGAATCGAAGAGAAGTAAAGAGATGACGAGCTCGAAAGGCGTGAAAAATGGGGAAGTGTCGTGATCGGTGCTTTTCCTGGATTGGTTTGTTTTGGTGGATTGACAAGTTGCGCCAAGAACGCACCCAGTCTTGTCACACTCGTCGGGATGCATTACTCTCCAGACGAGTTCGGCCTTCTCCGGCCAGCAACGGCCAAGTCGATCATTGAACGAGGATCGCTGCTGATGCGAGACTCTTCAGCCTCGTCGGTGGGGCGGCGTCTCGGCCGACGACGAGGGCTAGATTGTCTGCTCGAAGATATCCCGAGGCCGGTCTGTGTCTCGAGAGAAGTGCTACGGCGGTGAGAAGGACGGGTGACATAATTGGTCCACTCCTGATGGTACTCTCTGTCTTTCTCTTCATCCTTGCTCAGGCGTTGAGAAAGGCGGCGAAACCAGTTTGGGCGGCTGACGCCAGACTTCTCTGGCTCTTCCTCGAGTGGCAACACCTCACGCGAATGGCGAGATGAGCGTGACGTCCGGGAGACTCGTCTCGTATGACCGTGACGATACTGGTGGTCATGCTGCTTCTGCCGCCCGTCGAACTCGTCACTGTCTTCCAACACATCATTTGCCTCAGAGTCAGGCCTCTCGCGCTGTTCCTCCAAGCCCGCTATGGCCTCGTCGTGTCTTTTGGTTTTCTTGTGGTCGGTAGTGGCTGCGGCCGCATCATCCTGACTCAACGGCTCCTCGTAGGGCAGCTCGTCTTCGGACCGCTCCTCGACGATGCCTTCCGGGCTGACGAACCGTGCAGGATTTGCCTCGATGGTCTTGCTCCTCAGATCAAGAGTGCTTCCACGAGCTTTACGCTCACAGTACTCCTCCAAGGACCTCCTCAAGATTTGCCTCATGACAGCCCTGTTGACGTTGCGGCGGAGGCGGTCAAAGTAACGTGTGACGGTGCCGACAACCATAATCTCTGCATCGTGATCCACCTCGACGATGTCTGCGTAGTTGGCGCGGGAGTCGTGGCTGACGCGGAGCTTGCCAGGCTTGAGCTCAATGCCAATGGGCGAGTAAGGCAAGGGAGTTCCGCCACGTGGTTGGCGCACACCGGGGTTCCTCTCGCCATCCGCGAAAACGAAGCCCTGCTGGAGATGGTCGATTCCTGGCTTTGTGAAGTCATTCATGCCTTTGCCGCCAACCGAGATGGGACTGCGTGGGTAGTGTCAGTCGGGTCGTCCAACAGGGAACACAGCGGCCACCATGCATGCGCTTGGATGTGCGCCTAAGGACAGGGAACTTACATGCACGCGGCATAATGTGGGAAAGTGTCGGTGTGCCTCAGGACAATGAAGCGCACATAGCCCAGGCACTTCCACTCCCACTGGTACTCGTGGGCATCTGCCCATAGAAACTCGAAGACCTGGCGTCGAGGTTTACTCGTCAGCGTGTGGGGTCCAAAAAGGAAGAAGGTAGTCTTGCTGGCTGGCCATTTGCATTGACTTACATCGCCGACTTGCAGAGTTGCCGCGGTGGCTACATCATAACCCCTTCGCGCTAAAGAGAGTAAGGGCATTCGCGTTAGCCATTGCAGATGAGAACTGTGACAACGGCCAGCCAACCGCGGAAGAGCGGCGTCTGCGGATGGTGGCGAGTCGCGAAGGAGACAGAGAGCGCCAAACATACTTAGAGGGTGGTTCTGGTTCTGGTTGGCGTCCTGCGCCGATAGGGAGGCGGCGTCGTCGCCATACCCTGAATCGCTTTTCGAAGTTGAGTCCTCTTGGTTTCCCATATCTCTCTCGAGACACTGGAAGGGGAAAGGGAGGAGGAGAGAGATACAAGAGGTCGTTGCTGGAAGGCGGGGACACTCTTGGGGACCAGAAGTAAAAGAAGGGGTCCCAGAGCGAACAGTCTGGATCTCTGTCGAGCTCCCCAGGAAAGGAAAGGAAGGGGGCAGGCACGAGACCAAACAAGGCCAGGCAAGCGAGGCGGTAAACCGACGAGCAGGCGGGGCGGGACGATCAGGTGCTGGGATTGTGAGCAGCGAACATGCCGGCGCCGTCGAGGAATTCGAAGATGGCAGGTGACGGGCACTCGACAGCCCAGAGGTGAGGTCGTTGCTGGCAGGGTTGACCTTGGCAGAGAGAAGGAGGTAGGTGGTGAGAGGGACCAAGGCAGTCGTCACACAGAGCGCGGATGATGGATCGGGAGGAAGCAAGTGTAAAGTACGAGGCACTGTGAAGAAGACTGGCCAGCACCGACGGCATCGACGGGCAGAAAGAAAGAAGGGGCAGAGCGGACCACGATGACCGGCCCTCGTGCTGCCTTTGCCGGCCGCATGGGCAGTCCCGGACAGTGCAGCACGAGGACGGCGTGGGTGAGTGAGTGATGCCCAAAGCTGCGGTGGGTGGGACTTGTCGAGCGTCTCTCCCCACCGTGATGCATCGGGTGCGTTGTCAGTGGCCGGCGTGCTGGGGGCCTGCTGGCTCGAGCAGCCTCAGCGCTCCCGCCACATAGCAGCGCCCCACTCCAGCACCCTCGCGCCGCCGTCGACTGGCTCCTCCCAGCCCTTGGCCCTTAACGCGGTGCCCATATCCACCACCGCGAGCAGGGGACGGCCCGCCGCTGTCCGGTCACCGCCATTCTCCTGCCTCCTCGCCATACAGTACACCCACGACACTCCTGGATCTGCCTCGTTTCCTTGTCGATAGCACGCCCGCGCTTTGTCATCCTCCCCTGTCCTGCTTCCTGCCCTCTCGCTCTGCTCGCCAGTCACTCCTTCGAGCCCAAAGTCAGATATATGCATCATGCGCGCCCGCGCACATTCCTACAGGCTCGCCTCGCAAATACATATGCGCCGCCGTCGCAGCCCAACCCATCCCGCCTCAAATTTCCGCATCATCCCACCTCCCTAATCCGTTCTCTCGTTCTCCAATCCTGTCTGTCCGCGTGCGGCAGCACCTCGGCTCGCGTTTCCCCCGTGTTCCCAACGTGACTCGGAAAGGACCAAGGGAAGACTAGGCTCACTTGCCGTTTGAAAGTGAAGAGAACTCCAACAAGTGAAAAAGAACCGGAGATTAGCAACCCTCCACTACGATTTCGCTCGTGGCGCGCCACAAGTCCATATGCCTGTCGAGATGACCAAACACCCGCAAAGCTAGTCAGTAAGAGCTCCAAGTGATTCGGAGATCTCACAGCCCAGAACAAGATTTTTAGAATGAGCCCCGGGAAATGAGCAACCCTCCATTTCAAGTCACTGATTGCAAACGCACCACATGGACAGAGGGCACATGCCTGTCTGCCTCGGCGTCATTTTACCACAATGTAAGCCAGACTTCGCAAGGTGTGTCACTGTCCGGGAAGTACAGGCTGCAGTCTCCAGCCGTGACGGCCGAGCGGGGATTTCGGCCCAGCCAAGTATGTTTTCCCGGAATCCAAGCGCGGCTATGGGCCATGTGTCCTCTTGCATGTCTTTTGCGCCAAATAGTGTGACATGTCGAGCATGCTCCGATGCAGGAGGCCATACTACGGAGTTTTCTAGAAGGAGACCATCCCTCCTCATCCCCAGGGTGCGGAAAAGGCCGGATATGGGTAACCAGCAGCGGCGGATCGTGTGGTCCTTGGTTTTTCTTGCTGAGTCATGATTCAGAACCTTGTACATGGAAAACTGGCACATCGTGAAGATTGGCCATGAGTTTGAATTGTCATCAAGTAAAAGTTCCGAAGATCTAATAACGCCAGTGTGGCCACCAAATATTTACAGCGAAGCAGAAGACCTCTCGTAAGCTCATCAAACGTCATCCATCATGCATCGTCGTCCTTGTCGTTGTCGTCATCGTCGTCCTTGTGAGAAGCCATCGGAGACCAGATGCTGGCCAGCTGCCCAGCCCTACCCCATGGTCATGTGGGTCTTCGTCTGAAAAGAAAATTGGAAACCCCAGTGCAAAAGACGATCTCATAATCGTACAGGAAGAAGAAGAAAAATAATAATAAGAAGAAAGAAGGAAAAGTCTAGAGATATGGGAGAAGTCAAAGCTATGCCAGAAATGAAGAGGAAAAAACGAAGTCCCAGAGGAAATGCCCCTGAGACGACTCATTGGCTGGGGAAGAAGAGAAGAGAAGAATAGTGGAAGTCAACGAAAGCCAATCTCGTGCTTTGCCTCACTGGCAAGCGACGATCCACGCCCCAACCCCATTGGTGAAGTCGGCGTCATCGCCCACGCCAGCCTGGAGGTACTCTAATTCGAAGCCTCGGGTGCTGGACGCAAGCCACGACATGGTGCGGTCGCCGACCTCGCCGCCACCAATGTCGGCACAGTCAAAGGTGCCCAGTATCGTGTTCTTGCCTGGGAACACCTGATGAAGAGCCTTGTTGTCCCACGTGATGTCTCCGCCGTTGTGGAGCAGCTCAAGCAGCATACCCGCGTCATTGCGGACCTCCTGTGTGGTGCCCGAGAAGCCGTAGCAAGGGTAGCCGGGTGCTAGGTCGGAGCAGAAAGGCATGCGGAACTGCAATGCACAGACGCCGTTGCCGGTGATCTTGTCGTCAGGGACGCTGGTGGTGCTTCCGACCATGGCGGGCATGCCAAAGTTGTCAGGGATGACATACTCCAGGACCGTCGAGTTGTTGTCCGTGATGGCTACCTCCGCAGCATTGCCAAAGGTCGGGTTCGAGCCAGGATTAGACGAGGTAATGCGCCAAGGAGCAATAGATGGGGCAGAGATTGGAACGCGGCAACGCTGCGTCAGCACCGGTGTTGTGTCGGACAGCGTTTCCGCAGGCGTCGGAGTCGTGGGGACAAACGAAAGCGGTGGTACTGCAGTCACGTTGGTTGAGATGGTTCTCGATGGGGATGCTGTAGAGTTGAGCCTGACACTGAATGTGTAGTTGGAACTCCCGGTGAAGGAGCTAAACGTGGTAGGGACAGGTCGTCTCTGGGAGCTGGTGAGCGTGGCAACGCTGGTGGTGCTGTAGCCTTCCGTGGTGAGCTCAACCTCGTCGTCGTCGTTGTCCCCGACATGGAGACTCGTTGTGGTCGGTGCAGGGGTCCTGGTGATGGACCTCCCAAGTGGCGACGTAGTAGTCTCGTCCTGGATTGTGCTGGCAACAAACGTGTTCGTCGTTGTGCTGGTGCTAGAAGTGGTGTTGCTGAATGGTGCATCGTCACCAGAGCATGAAGCTTCTGAAGGCTCCAACGTCAACGTGACTGGCATGCACACAGACCCGAATGGAGCACTGGCCGAGAAGATGTCGAAGGTGTAGTCTTTCTCGCTGTCGGCAGGGCAGGCGTAGAAAATACCAGGGGCAGTGTCGTAGGTCAGGTAAGGCGGACCGTCGGCGGCCGGATAGCTGATTTCAAACTTCGTAGTACCATTCAGATTGTCGTGGCATTCTAAGCGGTAGTCAGGAGCTTCCATTGAACACTGCTGGTGGTTCGCATTGCGCAAGGTTTTGAAGCGGTTGTCAAAGCAGAAGTTGCCATAGGTGAAGTCGCGGCCGAGAGGTATCTCTTCGGCATCAACAGTCCAGGGTGCGCTGCGAGCTGAGATGTGGAAGCAGAGCTCGTTAAGGGTATGCCGAGCCGGGAGCACAAGTGCATTGGTAGTTGCAACCAGGGCAGTAGTGAAGATGGTGAGCTTCATGGCGTTTAGGGAAAGCCGATGTTATGGAGAAGAATGGATGAAGACGGCGCAACCAATTTTACTCTGGCTTGAAATTATCGAAACTGGTTCTCCGGTAAGCAAAAGTTTTTGTGACGTAGCTAGTGCTGCTGTGCTGTGGTTGTCGTGGTTGCGGTCTGATGGTGATGGTGATGGTGATGATGATGGATTGAGTTGACAAGAAGCAACGAAGACGGATCTGTCGCTTTTATCTTCTGATTACTCTTGCATTGCGACTGAAAGAATTGCCACCAACCTCTGAGTTCCATTTTACTATGTGGTTGTTGGTGTCATGGAATGGTTCAGTACAATATTCGAAGGTTGGTCATGCTTCGCAAGTACGGCGGAGTCTTAGATGGCTGCCCTGCCTCAAGCCTGAGCGCTGCTGGGTGTGGCGGAAAGAAGAACCATGAAGCCACATTCCCGTGTTCAACCCCCTCCAAGTGACCCTGATGCGCCACAGTCGACGTTCTCCAGTGCTCTGGAAGGACTTGGACCATGCTTGCCCTCCACAGCCGAGGTTGGGCTGGCTCCGAGGCTCATTGTGTTGGATTGCGTGTCTGCTGTCAGGGGCTGGGCGTCTGGTCTCGAAGCCACTCAGGCCACCTTCGAATGGAAGAGGCTGGCTGTTCCAGACTCTTTGCGGGGATATCGCAGTGAAGTTCGTCATCAGTCACCAGGTCGCGTGTAAGGAATGCAACTCACGTTCCAGACCATGTTTTTGGAATGTTTTTGCACGACCATGGTTGGTCGACCCAGTTGAAACCTTGTGACAGTGGAACTCTCGCGTGAGACCTCACATTCCGATCCAGGCTATGGCGGAGGCTTTGTCAACCTCCCACTTCTGGCAGGAATATGTGCCTGACTCTGGAGGAGGAACAGAGTATGGAGGTCGCGGGGGAAACCGGGGTGACAAGCAAAAGAACCCCCGGTCGCCAAATCTGAACGCGATTTGGCATGGGGTTAAGTCTCAGGTGCTAGTCCCTGAATATGCATCTTTTCTGTTAACCTGGGGTATCACATGAGCCAACACTGCTACGGTATCCTCATAACTCGTCATCGCCGTCCTCGTCATCTGATAACCACACAATCGTCGGTTTTGAAAGTTCCGGGGTCAGGTTCGCAGCTGCGCCAAGCTCATCCTTAGGTTCCTCCTTGATCACTGAGCGGGTAGTCGTGGATCCAATCAGACCAAGGGCCGCCATGTCACCGTTGAAGTTGGCATTGTCGAATAGCTGCATCCTTTTGTCATCTTCGGACGAAGGACCTCCCTCATGCTGTCGCCCAGGAATAGGAACCTGCACCTTGACGTCCTCAGGGAGGTTCATTTCCTCTTTAGCATGCCTCTCAGATGACTCCTCGCCCTTGACCTCTGATTTGAGCTGGCCCAGGCTCTTCACCTGTTGCATCCTCTTCTCATAAAACAGCTCGAGTGTGTTCCGCCGCTGCTCCTGTGTCATACTTTCGACTGCTAAGGCGAATTCCGTCGCGGTAGCAAATCCAAACGTTCGAGCCATTGTACAAAATTGTCTCTGGCGGACGTCCTCCGGCGGATTGAACTCGCAGTTGAACTTGATGGCGCTAATGTCTTGGCTGTCAAAGAACAGGGCTCTGTCGTCCTCGATGTCTTGACTCGTTGCCAGTTGCGCTCGGCGTGAGAGTTTGTCCTCAATTTTGGACGATCCCACCACTTCAGAGTTCTCATGTGTATACTCAACCCCTGCTCCAGCCAAGATCGCTCTAATTTGGTCACTCTCCTTGGTTGCAGTCCTCTCTGAGATGGCGCCTTCGGTCTCTGGAGAGCTGGTAAGCATATTAGACAACGACTTGAGGCCACCATCGTCTAGATCGGCCTCATCCTTGATGGCGATAGCAGGTTCTTCTTTCATCGCTTCGTCTGCTTTAAAATCGACGAGCTGCACGCCGGCTCGAGCTTCAGCTACGTTGGTTTTGTTGACAATGTCACGCAGGACAACCTGATCGCCATGGTAGGAGAGGAGATTTTCGATACCAAAGATTTCTCCTTTGCGCTCTGAATCCTGCTGAACACCTTTGAAGTATCTTCGCTCATTCGAGGCGCTATAGCCGATATTCGCTTGCTGTTGTTTGTAGATCTGTCTCGCGTATGTGATTTCCTCGATTGTGCCAATGGATATTAGGCGGAACACATCGACGTCGCGAGTCTGGCCTATACGGTACGCGCGATCCTGGGCCTGTAGGTCATAGGCTGGATTCCAGTGCGGATCCATGATGACCACCTTGTTCGCCGAGGTAATGTTAAGTCCTACGCCTCCAGCTTTGGTGGAGATGAGGAAAACGAATTGGTTTGGGTCGGAGTTGAAATCATCGACCGTCTTCTGGCGATCCTCGTAGCTCAGTGAACCGTCCAGATAGCTTACCGAATAGGACGTGTTGTTGAACAGATACTGCAGGACCCGTAATAGTCGAACACTATGTGAGAAGACGAGCACCTTGTCTCCAGCCTCGAACCAGAACTTGAGGAGCCGCCTTAAGACCTTCCATTTGCCGCAGAAGTCCGGGTTCGCGAGGTGCAGAAGTGACTCGCGTTGTCTCAAGAACTCTTCCCACCTATCGGGTTGAGCAGCCTGTAAGAAGCGCAGCTCTCGTTTCTGCTTATCAACTAGGTCGACCTGCTGGGGAATGAGTAAGGAAAAGTGGCTGCAGAGTTTCTGAAGCGACATGATGATCGGAAACACGAGTGACTTCCAGGATTCCCCGTCCCTGGTGACCACATTACAGCACCAGCCTCCTTTCTTTCCCGAGCCGCACCGACATGGCTGAAAGGCGCTACGAACGAAATCCACGATGGGGCTCTCTAGGAGGTTCTCATATGATTCTCTTTGGAGATCAGAGAGAGGGCAAAAGACCACGCGATCACTTTTCTTCGGTAGTTGGTGAGCGATCAGGCTCTTCATGCGTCGTAGAAAGAAGCGCGGCAGGAGATTCTTGACCAGCTTCTCCGCAACATCTCGTGCATCCCTAAGCTGTTGTCTTGTTGCATCGTGAGACTGGCCGACTGCGAGAGGCCTACTGATAGTGCGCTTCCATTCACCCACAGTGCCGAACTGGCCTGGGTTAGTCCAGTTCAACAATGTCCAGAACTCCTCGTACTTGTTCTGGATCGCCGTCCCCGTTAGTCCGATGCGACATAGGGCATTGATTTGGTTCATCGCGACCGTCACCCCCGCCGAGCTTTCCTTGATCGTGTGGCATTCGTCAGCCACGACGACATCCCAATCCACGCGATTGATTTGTTCGTAATGATTCTTATAAGTCACGTATGTAGTAATCATGACTTCAAGCCGACCAGCCCGCGCAGAACCTAACACGTCGTCTTTGCCTGCGCCGTGGTAGAGGTCTGCTGCCCACCAACCCCACCTGTCGAGCTCGTTCTTCCAATTTTGCGTTAAGGAGCCAGGGCAGATGATGAGTGCGCGCGGATACCATTCGCATTCGTCCTTGTATCGCCTGAATTTACGCATACGTTTGGCGTCGCGATTGTCACCAGACTTTCCAAAGGCCGCTGTCAAGAATGCAGCGACCTGGACCGTCTTTCCAAGGCCCATGTCATCGCCCAGTATACCGCCTCGCTGATAGACAAACAGATGATGGAGGAATCTGACGCCTTCAATCTGATAGTCGCGGAGGTATTGAGCAATTGAAGCCGGGATAATGCCTGCGGAATGCTCCAGTACAATGTCCTTGTACTCATGGCTCGGCTTTATGCCGCTTCTTTTGTCGAACTGCGGTTTTTCTTGAAGCTGCATTTCGTCGTCTGAGAAGTAAATATCATCATATGTGGGCGGCAGACGCAAGCCGGCTGTCCGATGCGCGCGGTAGCCTTGATCAAATTCTCTCCGCCGTATCCGCAGATAGCCAGGCAACGCCTGCTCAAGTATGTCATCCTCCGACAGGCTGTCGTCGTTAGCGGCCCTGCCGGCATTACGAGCGCTCTTTACCGAGCTGCTCCTTGCGACTGATTTGCTCTTGCCATTGCCATTGCCGCGGCCGTGGCCTCTGCCTTTGTCGTTGGCGATCAGCGGCTTCCGCGACGCCTTGCCCTTTTTCCGTTTCTTGAAGGACGCCCAGTCGCCCTCGGAGTCGTCCGACCATTCCACCTTAAAGACTGGCTCGGAGTGGCGCTTCCGTTTGGTGGTGAGTGCTGTCTCGGGTTTGAGGCCTGCACCATCATCGTTCTCATCATCGGAGATGGTCACTACGGCGGATGACCTCATCTTTGACTCAGCATGAAGGGCTCAGACAGTCTGCCATGATACGAAGTTGTTCAATGGGTTGTTGTGGCGGTGCGACAATGCGACATGGGTGGCGCATCGCGTTGGTTGGTGGAAGTGGCGCGCTTGGTGGTCGATCTCGAGTTTGGAGGTGCATGCACAACACGAGGCCGGAACGCTAGCACGTGATCATGTCTGCATTTGTCCAACCACTCCAACCACCAAAACTGCAAGCACTTGCCCGTGGAACGCTTGTATTTATTTGCAGAAGGCATGCATTGCATTAGTACAACCGATATGATCACGCAGACCCCCCTCATGTTTGGTCCATGGCTGCCTAGCCGGTTCTGAGCAAATACTGGCTTGATTACCAGAGTATAATTCCTCAGAGCAAGTACGATTCTAAGCGGAAGAGAAAGCCATAACGCCGTGCCATGCCGTTTTATAAATAACAGTATCCACCATACGAAAGACGTCCTCCAAAAATTAGCATGTGCCTCAGGCCCTCCCCGATTACAACAGCTCGAAGTCGTCGAGCTTGTCGCGGTACTTCATGATGTTGCGCTTGATCTTGCTGCCGACAGTCCACGTGACAAAGTCCTCCATGCCTCTCGTCACCAAAAACGCCGGGTCCGTCACGGTCTCGGTGCCTACTCTGACGTGGCCCTGCTCGACCATCTTGGTAGCCGCGGAGACCGTCTCGGCCATGCGCAGACGCGTCATGACGACGGGGAGTCGCCGCCGGGCAAAGGCAGAGACTGTGACACCGTGCTCGACCTGGCTGAGCTTGGAGGCCGTAGGCAAGATGCCCATGTCAAGCAGCTTGTTGAGGAGAAGCTCCTCGTGCTTGCGCCGAACAGGGCTGTCCGGGGGAAGCAGGGTGAGACGATGTGCGAGCTGGCGCAAAGAACCGCACAGTTTGTTGTATCTGTGGTAGTCCTCAGGTTTCTGGATCATATAACGCCGGATGACCTGAAAGTGGTGTTAGCTATCAGATTGGACGAGACTGTATGCTACTCAAGGAGACTTACAGCCGCATCTCTGTGGTCATTGTCCTGCTTCCAGGTGATGAAGTCTGTCTTGCGCAGAAGTCTCTGCTCATGATGCTTGAGCTTGCGCACCATGTTGACTGGATGTGTGCGCTGCGACTGAGGTCCGTTGTATCCAGAACTCGATCTGAGTATCTCGTCTCGGAAGTATCAAAGATCATGTCAAAGCCTGGGAGCGTGGACGGAGACCCCCATGTTGAACTTTTTGTTATCGATAACGCTCCCTCCCGCGCCGCTCAGTTGTAGGTCTCTAGGTTGGCGTGGACAACCCTGCCGGGTGCATGATGGCACAGTGGACAGCAGCAAGTACCGGGTAGCTTAAACCCCTGCAATAACGGCACTGGGAAAATCCACCACCACCACCACCACCAGCCTGCGTGCACCTATGGTAGCTCGCCAGCATCTCGAAGACCTCACCACTGGCGGCCGCCGCAACCTCGTGCGATAACCTTGGTCCTCACCCACAAAGCCAGCGCCAGCCACGATGGCGCCCCGACTATCTTTCGCACGCGCAATTGCGCAGCCTCTGGAGCAGCTGCGCTGCCAATTCGCCCAACTCAGCACATCTGCCACGAAGCAAGCCCGTACGTGTACCCACACATGGCCGCCACCACCATGCACCGAGATATCTGGCTAACCTGAAGCTCGGAGATACAGTTCGGAAAGATGGCCCCAAGACGGCGACAAGCAAACTCCTCGATCTCGGATCTTCCCCCTCGGGCAGCAGCAGCAGCGGCCCGCTCTCGCGCGACAGCACCACCGGCGTATCAGACCTGTACGCGGCGATCCGGCGACCCGGCCACGCCTCGTCCCGGCGGCGCACGCGCGAGGAGTCGCGGCAGGACCTGGAGGAGAAGCTCAAGCTCAACAACCAGCGCGAGGACTACCTGCGGCAGCTGAGCCGCAAGTGGGCCACCGGCGACATCTACTCGCCGCACGACCTGAGCCCCTCGGAGATGTCAAAGTTCCGCCAGACTAGCAGCCGCAAGCAGGACCTCGTCGACGTCCTGGGCCTCCGCCCGCTCGACATGTACCGCAACTTCAGCTTCGTCGCCGAGGCCATCACGCCTCACGGCAGGATCCGCCCCGCGTCCATGACCGGCCTTCGGCCCGTGAACCAGAGAAAGCTGGCCAAGGCAGTGCGCAGAGCAGTCGGGCTTGGGATCCACCCCTCGGTGCACCAGCATCCCGAGTTGCTGCTGCGGAATCTGCAGCGGACGAGGCGGCAGAACGAGGCCACGCGGGCGACGTATGGTGCGTAGAGAGGTTGTGGGATGACATCCAGAAGGCATGAGGCGTTTGGCTATGATATAAGGAAATGGGACTTGGGCCACCGCTCAGACTGGATAGGAGAGGGCCAGATTCAGCACATGAGGGGGCCCAGGGCTCAGAAGAGCCTGATGTTCCGTCACAAGCAGCATGTGACACACCACCATGGCGATAATTGGCACACCTTCAGGAGTGAGCATCCTTGCTCCTTGCTCCCATGTACAACAAGACGCAGGTTGTGCCTCCAATTTCCCGACGTGCGCATGTATCAAATACTGTAGAAAACAAAACAAGTTTGTACAAAAGCTTCCGCCTGTTCGAAAAAAAATGTGACCAATGATTCCTCGTCCCAAAGTCTAAATCCGCAGTCATTCATATACATGTACATATACACTCCACGGTGTTCCCGGAACAGATCCTGGTAATATTGTCGATCCCGTCACGGGTAATTTTAGACATATGATACAGTTGGCTTTTGTCTCATGCGCTTTCCTGCGTTTCGACGGACTCGATCTTCCACGGCCTGGCGAACCGGTACTTGAGCTCTCCTTCGATTTCTCGCTTCTTGAAATTCTTGTTCAGAGCCTCGTAGACGGGAGGGAACTCGCGCTGCGCAAAGTTGCAGAACGCCTCCCTCTCTTGGTCGGACTGGAGCGCGTTGTGGATGATAGCAAGGCTGGAATCACATGTCAGCAAATACGATCCCACCACATCAGATCAATGAGACAAGGTTATGAGTAAGAGGCTCAACAACTCACGTAATGGGTTCCGGCCGCTTGCCCACGACGCCCTGCATCTCTTCCAGGAGCGTCTGGGCCTTGTCGAGGTTCCCGTGCGCCGCAATCGCCGCGACATAGGCGCCGTACACCTCGGCGGGAACCTCGATCTCCATCCTCTGTATCTTTTGCCACAGCTCTACGGCGAGCTCATCGCCCCCAGATGTTATTTCGTACGCCATGAATGCCAAGTGTAGTGATTCGTACGACGGGCCTTCCGTGGACACGGTGATGTCCTTCCAGAACTCGAGCGCAATGTATGAGGTGTCGCAGGCAATGTATGCGACCATGAGTGAGTTGTAGAGCTTCGTGTTTGGCTGCGTGGTCGTGTCCATCTTCCACATGTTGTGGACCATTTTCAGACTGGCTTCGTCTGGCGCGGTGCCGAGCCCCTCGAAGAACGCCGTGTAGTCCTCGACCGTCGGACGGATATCAGTATTGGAGTGCGCTCTCATATGGCCAAAGACATGGCATGCCATGTCGGCACGCCTGCGGCCGAAGAAGGAATTCATGATGCGCACGCGGTCTGACCTCTCGAGCTCGGGGAAGAATTGGCGGAGCAGCGAGTAAGCGTCCCAAGCTCGGGCAGTGCTGTTTTGTGTATCGAGGCAATATTGCACAAATGCCTTACGCACAGTTCCTCGTTCTGCAATGCTGTAGTACGCAGTGTGCAGAGATAGAGTGTCCATGACCTCAAACTGTTCATCGTTGCGCAGGAAGGCCATGCATATGGACACAACCGTGTCCGGCTCGAGAGTAGCGCTCCTCTGCTCCAGGTATGACGTGATCTCCAGAATCTTCTCATAGTCAGGACTTGTGATGGCCCCCAGCTTTCGAATGAGCTCGTTCAAGATGGGATGTGATTTCGTTGTAGTGCTGTCGCCAAAGGAACGGAAGGCCTTGACAGCACCATCCAAGTCGTTAGCTCGCAACCGGTATTCGATCTGCAGCATGACGGTTTCTTCGTTCTTCTCAAAGCCCAGCTTCTCGCCAAGGGCGATAAATCGCTCGCCGAGGTAGGGGTCATTCTTCTCGATGGCCGCCTGCAGTATCCGGTTGATGGAGTCAATGTCCGGCTGGGCAAACTCCTCCGACACTCTCTCTGTGCACACTCTAAACATGTGCTCGATATGCTCAGGGCCCTTTCCTAATAGCAGGACAGCCCATTGGAAAGCGACATCCCACAAAGCCTTGTGCCGCTTCAGAGTCCCCGTCTCCAGCTTCTCCACAAGGTCTTTGTAGATCTCGGTAGCCCATTGCTGCTCGCCGTTCCGTATTGCGAACAGCAGCACCTCAAAATATGTCGTCCGCGAAGGGGGCTCGTTCCGCCGGATGGGCTTGCTCCACCATTGCTTCGTCTCCTCGACCATGTTTCGCTTGGCAAAAAATGTCGTGATGACGCCGTGTATCGTCCTGTTGAACTCGACGCCCTGCTTCTCTGACTCGTTGATGAGCTCGACAGCCTCATGCACCCTCTCCTCCCGGGCCAGGCCATGCAGGACGGGCCTCCACAAGCTCGGGTCCTTGCCGCGGCCTGACTTTGTACACTGCAAGAGAATATCTCTCGCCTCGAGAGCATTCCCAAATGTCGAGAATGCCACTATTAATCTCAAAAGATCCGGCTCTGCGTGCCGGCCTTTCAATAGATCGCTCTTCAGTTGTGGCCATAGGTCTTTGATAGGCGTGTCCACAGGAAGGCCCAGCTTGTTCCGGCGCATGACCGAGAACAGGCTCCGCGCAAGCTCGACATGGTTCTCGGGCGTATCAGTCGGCGATATGGACAATGAGTCTCGGGCTAGTCGCAGATCGTCCTCGGATAGTGTCGCTGAGCTGTCGCTGTCGTCGGGGTTCTCCTGCTGCTCCTCGAGGTACCGGAGCACTTCCAGGGCGCAGTATGCCTGTGTCGAGTTTATGGTCCGCTCGTACTTGGTCTTGTAGGCGAAGAACTCGCGCCAGGCCTGCAAGAGCTCTGCCCGCGAAGGCAGCCGGGTGCCTTCTTTACGGTTGGCGAGGAAGAGGAGCAGAGTCTCGTAACCGGGCTCGGCCTCGACGTCCTTGAGCGCCCGGGGCTCCTTCTTGAAGATGCCCCCGAGAAACGTGCGCCGTTGAACCGGCGTCCGGACCACGCGGCAGCCGACGGGATATGGCCGGAATATCGGTCGAGGAGCTATGCACAAGCATTGCGGCGTGGCGGCGAGCCTGCCCGTCGAAAGCTGCAGTCGGCGCAGGACATGCCGGGTCAACTGGGACCGCATGGTGGGAGAAGCGCCGCTCTATGCGATCGTGGCTCTGGAGTTTCGGCGGGACTCGTTAGGATTTTTGGACGGGGCCGTCGAATTGCCTAGGCGGGCTTGCCGGGAGAAGCTCACCTGGACATGGCTGTAGGTGAGCACGCGCAATTGAAGAAGGAGGTTTGGCTGCAAGGGAGGAACCTCCTGTCTCTCGCAGACAACGCTCGTGAACTTGAGAAGATGGCGGGATGTTTCTGTAGTCGCGTCCTGTCCACTTTGGCCACCCTCCACAAAATTGCCGGTTCTCCAGAGCTGTGAGAGCAGTACCGATTAGCCTGATCCCAGCATTGTAACGCCGCACCAATGAGCGTTTAGCGGGCAGCTGCATGCCACTTGATGCTATTGTCCCCCCACTTCACTCCCGTCTTCCTCGTCTAAGCCAAGTCGGCCGCACATCGTGCTGAGCCTCAAAACATTGAGCCTGGACCGCGCATTCCCTCGCAGATGCTGGGTGGACTTTTAGCTCTGCCACGCACAACTAGTCTTCACGTCAACATATGCGAGCTTGATCTATAGTCGAAAGTGAGTAAATTCGCTCCGAATGTTGTCTCTCTGGCACTTGGCTTTGGGCAACATCGCGCCTGTGGTTGTGGTTTATCGTGGCTGTGTGAAGCCCAATTACTTCTAGCACCAGAATTGCGGTGGTTAGGCGCCAGTGTACGTGGGATGATAAACACTACAACGTGAATGGCTTTTATCCCCAGCGTGAGGCAGTTATTATACCGAAACATGACACAGGTCAGTCACCATGGAATACTCGAAACATCGTTACGGATAAGTATCATTATGATATTAGTCATTACGGTATGGTAGCCGCAGTTCCTTTCCCAGTAGGACTGCTGAGCCGCCTAATCTAAGCTAGGAGCCTGCTTAGAAAGGCAGGCTGTGGCCGTGGTGACCAACAGTGGCGTGCACATCGCGAGGAGTGACAGCAACCGGCTCACGCTCAGGGAAGCCGGCCCAGCTGCGGCCGTACGAAGCGACTGCATGCGCAATGGCTTTACCAGTGGTGATGTAGGCCTCAGGGGCAAGGTTGTCAACGGTGTCCTTGGCCGAGTGGTAGTTGGGGTCGTACCACTGGTTGGCGACACCACCGAAGATGGCAACCTCCTCCTCGGTCTTGACACCGTCAGCACCAGTGTCGAGACCACCGCAGGGAATGCCGGCGTCGAGGAACGGGCCGTAGTCACTGCGGCCGTCGAACTCGGACGAGGTGAAAGGGATGTTGTTGGCAGTGTAGTAATCCTCGAAGAGCTTCTCGGCCTCAGCAGAGCCAGCAGGACCAGAAACATTGAAAGCGCTTCCGTCGCCGTCGTAGATCGACAGGACATAGTTGGGCGAGGCAATCATGTCAAAGTTGAGGTAAAGGCGGATCTTGTCGAGCTGCTCCTTGGCAGTCACGTTCACAAAGGTCTCAGCACCAATGAGGCCCTCCTCCTCGGCGGCCCACCAGGCGAACTTGACCTGGTTGTTGGTGCGCCAGTTCGAAAGAGCCTTGGCAACGGTCAGAAGGCCGCAAGAGCCAGAGCCGTTATCGTTGATGCCCGGACCCGCGGCGACAGAGTCGCTGTGGGCGCCAAGGAACAGGACGTTGTCGGGGTCACCGTACTTGGACGTGGCAATGACGTTCTGGCTAACCGTGTCGGTGACGAAGGAACCGAAACTGCCTGAGCTAACGACCGCCTCGCCATTGCTGATAGCCTCGGCAAGGCGAAGGCCATCTGCGCGAGAGATACCGCCAACAGTGATGAGCTCGTTAGGCCCACCAAGTGTGCCACCAGTCTTGCCCACCGCGGCGTTGTTGTAAACGAGGGCAGCAACAGCACCAGCCTGGCCAGCGAGCTCGCCCTTGAGGGCGAATGTGCATTCGCCACGGGCAATCAAGGCAACGCTGCCGGTGAGGTCGGGGTAGTTCTCGGCAACACAGCCGAGCTCTGCAACGACGACGACAGGGACATCGGTCCATGTGCCGTTGTTGGAGAACTCGAGGATGTTGGCCTCAACCTCGGCGCCGTTGACCGACAAGTTGCTAGTCGACGAGATGGTGGCCGGGGTGCGGACTTCCTGGTACTCGAGAGTGTAGTAGTCACCAAGAGACTGGAGGGTCTCGGTGATGTACTGGACAGTCTTCTTGTGGCCGTCAGTGCCGACGACACGGTTACGAAGCTCGGTCGAGTAGGCAATATCCTGAAGATCCTGAGAACAGGCCATGAGATCCTCAAGGTGGATCGATCCGACCAGAGCCTTCTGCATTGATTGTTAGTATGGTTTTGCAATTTGCTACCAAGGAATGGGAGTTTGCACATACGTCCTTGACGAGAGGCTTGCAGACGGCGGCACGGCTCGTAGAGACGAGCAGGCTGGCCGCCATGCCGAGGGCAGAAGTCGAGGTCTTCATGATTGATAAAGAATGAATATCAAAACAGTAACAAGCGAGCGTACTGGTTTAGGTCGGCTACTCTGGAGGTGACGCAGAGCGAGCTTGAGGACAGAAGAGGTCACACAGCTGTGCCTTGGCGGGCCGCCAGTCCTTTATATTCAGTCGCGTGCTCATCTTGTATCGATCGAGGATCATGTATGCGGGGACCGCCATCCACCAAGGCCGCCTGCCGTGCAACAATTCGAGAGATTGCTTGTGGCGCAACCCCTGGCTCGCGACTCGGGTGCAGCTGTCCGGTGCAGCCTCAGCCTGGGAGCCTCGTACGGGTCGGCCGCTCATAGGAGTCGAGATAAGATGCTGGATGTTGGTTCCGTCTAGCTGCAGGGGCAACATGCAGCCCGCACGAGGGCGCAATCTTGGAAGCCAGGAACCACCCAGGCACACAGTCTTGGCGTGGGACCCGGCACGCGATCGCCCCTCGGCACCTGCCTCTTAGGGCGCAGCCCCCCAGAGCTTGGCCCATCATGCTCAACGGGCAGGGCCTCGTGCTGACACCATGTCTTGGTAATCTCCTCGCTGCGCAATGCATCCAAGATAGCACGGTGAAGTCGAGATTCTCTCTCACGCCTCACATCTCACAGCACGAGGACTTGTCAGAGGCATGCCTTCTGCTCGCTGCCAATGTTCACCGCGGCGTGCTCCAGGGACTCGGCTCGAGATTCAGCAGAGCTCGCAGCTGCCTCTTGCTTCCGCCAGTACGGCAAAGACTCAGGGGCAAGCCTTTCAGCTGCTCCCGCCCCGTTGCTGTACTGACTCTCCATGAGGCAGGTCAGCGACCTTCGAGGCGGAGCAGTTGGTAGGTATCCATGACGCTCTTGCGGCTCACTCGGCATGCCCAACTTATTTGCGCGAGGCGGGCTGGTCGGCTGAATCCGCTTCCATGTCGTCGACAAGGCTTCCACTCGCGTGCTGCCGGTCTACCCAGTACAGTATTAGCTCCGGCGCCTCGCCGCTCCCGCCACAGTTTAACTCAGAAGTTAGAAGTTAAAATCAAACTGTCCGGGGGGGTGGCGGTCCCGCTATCAGCCCCTTGTCTCCCTTGCAGCATTGTTCAAACGTTCAAAGGACGACATGCTCCGTAGCGCAGCCGAACGAGGCTTCGTTGGCCACAGATTGTGCCCAGTCCATATCTACTACCAAAAGGTCTTTCACGGACGTGCCAGAAACCTCGAGTTACCCTCCACAGCGTAATAGCCCAAGATGCTTGGCCATCAGGAATCCAAGCCTCTGCCAAGAAGACAAACCCCAGCCGTGGTGAAGGATCATCATCAACGATGCATGCCCACACAAAACAAGCTTTCTCGGAGAGGCAGCAGCGCTGCGACGCTGTGGGGTTACCAAGTCGGCGAGATCCGAGATTTCTCGATGCAACACCTCCGTCGTGACGCTCCATGGCCCGCGCAATTGCTTTGCTGTGACTTTGTAGCCGGTAGGCTGTTGTGGGTAGGCCGCCTGAGGGAAATCATGAAGATAAGACCCAGTCGTGAGCGCAATCACCAGCCGGCATTCTGCACCATACTTCAAGTGCTCGCTTATTTCCAAGCATGACCGTGCAGATGACATTGCGTCAATTGGGCAGCTCTGTCGTCCGATGCTTCCGTGATCCATTCCTGAACATCCAGAACTGAATTGGCGGGTTATTCGCAAGTGTAACATGGGTATTCGATCCCGTGCTATCCCATTCAGCGTCACCAGTCAAGATAAGAAGACTATGCACGCAGAGCATCTGCAGCACGAATGCCAACTTGAAACTGATAGAAAAATTGATAACCGCTAAATTTTTGAGTGCGACCGAGCAAACAAGATGAACGCCTATATAGAAAGAAATGAAGTATACCTAGAACCCGAAACCATCACCAAACGCCATCTCAGTCGAGATTTCATGTTTCCATGGTCTATGCTTCCCCCGCTACTTGCGTGCCTGGCGCAGCCCCAGCTTATTGTATGCGCATCGATTTTCTTCGTCTCGCTTCTACCATCTGCACAAGCGAAATCTAGTTATCCAGCCAATCCAGGAACTCTGGGGTAAAGTAGCTGACGATGATGGTCGCACCGGCACGCAGAATTCCCTCGGTGACCTCGAAGGCCATGGTCTTCAGATCGAACACGCCCGCCTTCGCACCAGCGTGCACCATGGCAAACTCGCCGCTGACGTGGTACGCAGCGACGGGGAGGTCGCGCCCGAGCTCCTTGGCGTCGCTGATGATGTCGAGATACTGGCTGGCCGGCTTGACCATGATGATGTCGGCGCCCTCGCCGATGTCGCGGGTGATGGCGCGGCGGGCGAGGCCACGACCCCCCGGAGGGAGCTGGTAGCACTTGCGGTCGCCGAAGCTGGGGACCGACCCGGCGGCGTCGCGGAAGGGGCCGTACAGGCAGCCCGAGAACTTGGCGGCGTAGGACATGAGCAGCGTCTTGTGCGCGATGCCCTCCTCGATGAGCTTGAGCTTGATGGCGCGGATGCGGCCGTCGTTCATGTCCGAGGGGGCGACGCAGTGCGCGCCGGCGAGGGCGTAGGCGATGGCGACGTCCGAGATGCGGTCGACGGAGAGCTGGTTGTTGAGGGTGGAGTCGTCGCGCAGGATGCCACAGTGGCCGTGGGACGTGTACTCGCAGAGGCAGACGTCGACGACGATGAAGAGCTGCGGGAAGCGCTGCTTGATGAGGCGGATGGCCTGCATCACGGGGCCCTGAGGGTCGTCGGCGGCCGTGCCGAGGGCGTCCTTGACGCCCGGCTTGAGCGGCACGCCAAAGAGGATGACGGACCTGAGGCCCTTGCGGACCAGGGGCTCGAGGAAGGGGACCAGCTTGTTCAGGCCGCGGCGGTACTGGCCCGGTAGCGAAGGGATCAGGGTCTCGTCGTCCTCGAGGTCGGAAACGAAGAGCGGGTAGATGAGCATGGACTGTAGTGTTGGGTATTAACAAGTTAGCCGAACAGGTCGCCTTCGAGAGGGAACGCGCAAGTGTGTCTAGGAAGGCTGACCTTTGTCAATTGGCGCTCGGCCTGCCACGCGCGAGCGAGCGGGTGGTGGTAGCCGCCATGGAGCTGGCTAGAGATGTCGCCCGAGATGCTCACGCTGGTGGCGGCGGTGCTGGCGTAGGACATGGCCCTCGAGATGTGGGAGGTGCGGTCGTCGATGGTGGAGACGGAGGGGGCGCCGCCGCGAGCGGCAGGGCGGCGGTCGCGGACCGACAGGTCCTGGACGAGGCTGGAGAACGACATGGCGGCGGCGTTCGTGGGATGTGTGTGTGTGTGTGTGTGTCTGTATGTATGTTATGGTGGTCGACACACGGGAAAAGGATGTCCAGAGAATGGGCTCAGGCAGGCGGGAGAGGGGCGAGGAGGAGGGCGGCGAAACGGCGAAACAGCCAAGGTGGGTCGCGACCGGAGCGATGCGGTGGCTGGAAGGCCTTGATGATGAAACACACAAGCAGCAGGTTTCGACACAGGGCGCGTGCTCCGACAACAAGAACCACGAGTTTACAATCAAGAGCAGAAACGTCAAGGACAGAGATCGAGAGGGGGAAAAGGCAAGAAGAGCCAAAGATGTTGAGGTGGCGGCAAGAAAGTCTGCAAAAAAGAAACAGCATGTGGCATTGGCCGCTACCGCTGGTGTGGCAGGAGACGGGCCAATCCGGAGCTGGGCCATTGGGAATGCACCAGAAACAGCAATAGAGAGCATGAGGATTTGCGGGGCCCCTTGCATCGAACGATGGCGGGCTTGAAGCAGCAACTCGGAGGACCCTGGTTCCGGCCGCTCCGCACCCGCTCGCCTTTCTTCGGCCTCGGCTTCGGCGGGCTTCCACTCCCTGATGCGCCCAATCAGCGCTTACGCGATTGCAATTCCTCAGAGCAGGTCTAAACTTGTAGCACTGACAAAAGAAACCTCCGAGGCGGACAGAGGTTAGACCACGAATGCATGGGCTTCCAACTGCAAAGCACTGACATTCTCATAACCCGGGCTCGTTTGAATGCAAGACCACATGCGTCGCAGATTCTTTGCCGTTCTCGGTTAGGCTTTGGATGCGCTGCAGCTGGCATCATCATCTTACGCCACTTCTTACTCAAGAGGCAAACACTCAACTCAGCTGGAGAGTGTGTGCCAGGCTGATTTACCAGGTCATGAGTGAAAAGCTGCATTTTATTTGATTCATGAGTAGCCGATCCCGAAATAATGCCGGGACTTTTTACAGTCTACGGCTCAGTCCTTAGACACCAAGGAAACTATCCCATTGCGTGTCCGAATCCTTGCGTGCCGGTTCAGGGATCATGGGATCTTAGACATCTACAGCAGCCCCAGCCGCTTCCACACCCAGCTCCCGCCTCCCAGCAGGGCCGTCACGCCCGTAAACACAATCAGGCTGCCGTAGCCGCTCCCGTACCCAAACCCAGCCTGTCCCTGCCAGGGGAGGCCCCGGGCCAGGCTCTCGCTCAGCGGACCAGACACGATGTTGCCAATGCCCCGGCCGGCCGCGAGCCAGCCAAAGACCATGCTGGGGTCGACGATGCCGTGCCTCTCGCGGTCCGAGCTGACAAGGACATCCTTCATGATGCCGGGCCAGCAGGACGTGAACGAGCCCGCAAAGAGCCCGTACACGACGCAGAACGCGTACAGCATCGGCAGGCTCGCCGACAGGCCCCAGAGCAGGAATATGCCCAGCGTGGCCCCGATGGTGGACAGCAGGATGCACGTCGTGACGTGGAACCGGTCCGTGAACCAGCCCATCGCGACGCAGCCAAACACGCTGGCGACGTTGATGAGCAGCACCGTCGTCGCCGAGGCGTACGACTGCGCGCCAAACGCGGAGCGGGCATACATGGGCAGGTAGATGCCCGGCAGGAAGAAGCCCGTGGCCTCGATGATGTTGGCGGCCTGGTACATGACGAAGCTCGGCATGAGCATGAACCGGAGGTTGAACGGCTTGGCGTGCACCGTCGAGCTCACCGGCAGGCGCGGCTTGATGAAGACGGAGAGCGGCGCCGTCAGCAGGAACAGCAGGCCCGACCAGAGCCGCAGCGTGCTCCGGAAGCCGATGCTCGCGAGCAGGGATTCCATCATCAGCGGCAGCACCACGCCCGCCAGGCCCGTGCCGGACCACATGATGCCGTATGCGAGACCTTTGCGGTTGACGAACCACTCATCCATGTACTGGTGTGCAGGCATGTCAGTATATCGTGACGGCAAGGCATAGCCAAGCTTCGAGTCTGGGGCTGCGAAAACCTCCCAATCGCAGAAGGGTGGGCAACCCGCTCCGACAATAAGGACTCACCAAAATGCAAGGGCAATAAGCAATCCCACCGCCAATGGCATAAAATATACCCTGGGTGACAATCAGGTGCGGGACTGTCTGCGAGAACGAGCTCAGCGCTAGGGCCAAGCACATGAAGAACAGGCCGAACATGGGCATCCAGCGCGTCCATCGGCCGAACATGCGCGCCGTACCGAGTATCAGCGGCGCCGTCAGGTACATGATGCCCATGGCGCAGGTGCCCACGACGGCAATGTTGGGCTGCCCGGCAAAGGGCTCGTGGGTGCTGTAGTACTCCTGAAAAACGCCAAAGGAGAACGGGAAGCCTGTTGTATAGAGAGAGAACACGCAGAGGAGGTCAGTATAGGGCAAATGTGGCTTTGGCTGCTGTGGTGTGCTGCCTGCTGCGACTTACCCCAGACCAGGGCTTCGACGGCGAAGCACGCAGCGAGGAACAGCCATGCGTCTTTTCCCCCGTCTACCGGGGGCAGAGAACTGATCTGTCTCTCGCTCTCGCCCTCGCTCAGCCCGTTGACTGGCGAATCACCACTGCCGTTGGTGGCGACGGCATCATCGCACGACGGCGCCGCGGAGCCCTCTGTGAGTTCGTCGAAACGAGGGTTTGGCAGCTCAGTCAGCTCGATTGCTGCAGCTTGCGCCATGATTGTATGCTGTAACCTTTTTTTCTTCTGACTTGGACGCAAGAATTGGCTCCGCGGATTCTCAATATGTCATTGAAGAGAACCCTGCCAGTGATGCTTTATATCCTTGGCTTACTGATACTGGAAACTGTTCGGTTCCACAGTTGTCGGTGAGTGGGCGTGCCATTCTCCACCTGACACCGCAGTTATCCGGGGGCCCAGATTGTAGGTGGGTCGTTTATGTGCCAATTGCTCGTGCCGGTAACGGAGCATAGGGGAGTTGGGAGGGGGGCTTCTCAAGCCAACGCCGCTACTGGCCGACTGTGGAGTACAAGTTAGCTCCTGATAGATGTTGTTAAATTTGACCTGAGAAGACGAATTCAAGATAAGTGACAATAACCGTGAGGGCGGGTTTGTACTCAGCCTTGGGAGCAGCAGGCAAATGAAACATCACCCTGTACTGTGTGGCATTCGCATACCAATACTAGGCCACACTCGTCCACGGGTGATAATAAGAAATAACATGTTTAGTTCTCTTAGAATTGAAATTCATGGGTCATTTAATGGGTCACTTGCTATGACAGTAGCTTGACGGTGTCTTGATATATTTCGTATTGAAATTGGTCGCTATGGGGTATCGTACAACTCATAAATCATGAGGCCAGACCATTCTGGCACACGTGTTTCTGCTGCCAGCCACAACCTCTGCTAATTATGATTACACGCCTATATCATATGGCAGGCGTGAAATACTCGCATCATCCGCACTTGACTATTTAGTAGTGGCGGCGAGTTGTGAGGCGGGTGCTGCGTCTGCTGCCACGGCCGTCAGTGCCATGCATGCGCTTGGTACCGGCAGCCTGGTGTTTGATAAACAATGTCAGCATATCTCATTCCAACAGTGCTTGTTTGTGGCTGCGAGCCTGGGGAAGAGCCCCGGTGGGGAAAAGTCATACCTTCTGGGCTGGGCGGTGGGTGAGGGTGCCCTTGAGCTTGAGCATGGCGCCGCTGACCTTGTCCTTCAGGGTCGTCTTGCGCTTGTGGTGGTGGACCGGGGCCGCGGTGGTGTGGTGGGTGCGGTGGGTGCGCGCAGGCTTGGAATGGCTGCCGCTGAAGAGACCGCCCCGGCGGCGGGTGGTGGTGGTAGTAGTGTGGCGGGTTCTGTAAGGCATGGTGGTGGTTGGTGGTGTTGTAAAACTTGTGAAGTTTTCAAGTTGGTTGTAAGAGTGTGTTGGGGAAGAGAGTTTGCACAGAGAACTGTTTGCTTGTGTTATTGATGAGAGTGTTGATGATGTGAAATGTGATATGAGCTGGAATATCAAGGACAGTTATATACACAAAAGGAGGCACCCTCAGCTGCTCCCAGACGCGCATATGTCATATGAGGGAGGGTGGGTGTGATGCAACAGGTTGGCTGCTTGGACCCTGCATCTCTTCAGCCATGATGTCAAGTGAGGGAGCCAGGGCCCGTGATCCCGGCGATCCTCTTAGGGATGCTGTGGCTGCACGAAAGTAAAGTCCCAAGCAGGACCCTGAATGTTTGGGTTCGGACCCGACTGGGCAAGCAGATTGTCCACGTGCATGATTGGACATAGGGCCTCAGCATTATCGTGCGGCTACATCATCGAGATCACCGGCATGCCAGAGCAGCACTTGCAGGTTTGGGGTGTTGCTGGTGTGAACGCTCTCTGGACCCTGAAATCTTGGAAAGGTGGGGCCGCACGTTTCTGGCGTCAGAAATGACGTCGGCTCCTGCGAACCCTGGATGGATGCGGGGGTCGTTCCCGAACGTCGAGGGCCAGGGAGTCGAGGTACGTACATGTGTGGCTTGACGCGATCGATATGCCCAGCCAGGAAACAGGTTTTGGTGGTGGGTGAGGCACAGGCACACGCGGGCGCCATGATCTCAGCACCCCCGAGCAGCCAGGTAGATCCAGATTGTGGCAAAGGCACACGACAACAACCCTTTGAACATTGACGTGTAAAGTGGGGGCCATTGTGGACGGGAAGGCCTCCCACTTCAGCCGCCCTACTGTGGAGTTTGCAGTCACATTCCATCATTATACACTTGGCAAGGCCAGATAGGGAAGGAGTTGGAGTCGCTCCCAGGATTTCGGCTTCTATCTCCTGGGAACAGGCCTGTGGTCGTCTCTTACCGGCCTGCGTACAAAATCATACGGATAATCGGCAGGGTAAACGTTGTCTTGCGCGGAACATGTCGGCACCACCATTACGTGTCGTTTCGTTGTCTAATGCGAGTCGATGCGGACGAGGAGAAAAGATAGAGACATGGTTCTATTCATTCCGGCCACGGATAGTCCTTGCTGGTAAAAACCAGGAACGACCGCCTCTCCGACTACTAATGGCCCAAGTCGCAGAGTTGTCTCTTCCCGAAATCAGCTACGTGGGCTGGTTGCGTTCTTCTTGATCGTGGCAAGATCTTCTTCAGAGAATCCGAGCTCCTGCTTGGCAAACTGGATAAATCCCCCATACTTCTTCTGTACGCCATCGGTGAATGCCTTCCAAGAGGAAGCGCGAAGACTGCAGAGGTTGTAAAACCCCGCATCTTCTTCGCTCTTTGCATCGGTCTCAGTAAGCACATACTGGAGCAGCATGAGCCGGACTGGCTCAGTACCGACTCTGGATAGCAGGTAGTCTAGCGTGACCGTCTCTTCGGATGCACCCGCAAGTGTCAGGAGCAGGCCGCCGAAAACGCCAGTCCTGTCACGGCCAGCTGTGATGCCAAAACGTCAATAGTGTCTCCAGCGCAAGTCGCGCTCGATTGTGGGAGGGCATACCTGTGCAGTGCACTAGGAACGGCTCGTCGGGGCGGTCTCGCACGTGCTCTAGAATCGCTTTCCAGCTTGGAACATAGATCTCAATCACTTCCAAGTACATATCCTCGTACCCAGCCTCACCACCACCTGAAGCGAACAGTGCCAGGTCTGGCCTCGAGTCGGTTCGTGTACTTGGGAGCCACGTGGTCTCTACGCCGTCGAAGACCGGCTCGGGCGCCTTTTCTCGTTCCGGCTGAGACCGCAGGTCAAACACGCGCTTGATGCCAAGCTTACCCTCGAGCACAGCCCTGCCATTGTCTGTAATGTTGGACAGGAGGCCAGAGCGATACGCGAAGCCTGCGCGGAGCGGGCTGTCGGGGATCAATCCGAGGTCTCTGGTGTTGAAGGTCCCGTCCAGGTAGACAAAAGGCGGGCTCGTGATGACCGGACCGTACTGTTCCTTTGTGATCTCCAGGGACACCTCTGTCTCGGCGAGCTTGAGGAGGCTGGCGTGGTCGGCCATGGTACAGATCTTGGGGCTGTCTGGTTCCGGGATGAATGAGTCGATGGCTGGCCGCAATTGCTTTGTGTGGTCGAGCTGCCGTTGATGGGTGCCTTGTGCAGGGCCAGATAATCTTGTTCTGTTACGAGGGCCTCACACGCAATTTGTAGACGATGAACGCCTCGTGATTTACTACAGACTGTAAGACCGGATGGACGACCGCCCGGTGTCCTCGCGTCCCGATACGTTCGTCAGCCCCCCGCCCCCGCCCTTTGTTTGACAGGGTTGTTTGTAGTCGCACCGGCCTCCCCGGAGGACATGTGATGAAGAGGTCTAGAAACGCCTGCCGTGCTATTATTGCCTGTAATTAGCACACTCTAAGCGGGGAGAATACCTTTGCAACTCGTTCCACGATGGGCCATTGAAGCAGCCTCATCCAGGTGTCCTGTAGACCGAGCCAGCTGTTATCACAACTGTTCGAGGCCATGCTTCTCAAGGCCGTCCACATGATGGTTCTGTTGATTTGAGCAAGGGTCATCCGATGCGAAAATAAGAGACTGAACGGTGGCTTGCCAGAGAGGTATGCTCGCATGGCCGTGTGCGTATTCGCAGATTTCCCAACTCGAGCACCCAGTAGCTCAACTTGTAGCCGGTACTCGCCTAGCGAGACACGGAGCAGTCCTTTGAATTGTCCTTTTGAGATTAAACCCAGGTTCTTCAAATTCGCTCTCCCTGTGGGCACCGCTAGGATGCTGTTTCTGCTTGCATAATGTTTCAAAAGGTTGGTCGTTGCAACTGAGTTGCCTGGATCTGACCACAAGAGGCACCAGTCCCTGCCAAGCCGCCGCTGGCCACCAATCTGGGTGGGTGGGTCTCACAACTTCCGCTAGCCGACGGACGGTGATGCATCAAATCGGCATTCGACCAAAAACAAGGCCCAAGCTCAGAACCTTCTTTTCCACACAAGCATGGATCGATTTTGGCTGCCGAGGGTGGGCGGCAGCTCGCTGCTGAGCTACGGCTCGGCGGCAGTCGTCAGCATCGCCGCCCTGCTAAAGCTGCAGGAACAAGCCACCAACTATTTTGGTTCGGAAACGCATTGCTTCAAGTCCGTGCGGACAAACTGGGACGACATCCCCACGGCCAATTGCTTCACGGTCTCTCCCAAGGGCATCATCACCAATGTGTATGCTGTGGACGACAGCAAAATCGGCAGCGGCAGCGAGGCACTCAGCAAGGGGTATGCCATCCCGGGCCTCTGGGACGGCCACGGACATCTTCTGCAGTATGGCGAGTTCTTGCACTCTGTAGATCTGTTTGGGACCACTTCTCTCGACGAGGCCCGGGCCCGGGTACGCGAGTATGCCGACAAAAACCCACAGGCTGGTTCAAAGATGGAGTGGATCACGGGTGTAGGCTGGGATCAGATGGCATACGGGAAGATGCCCATGGCGGTAAGCCCATCATTTGAACGTGAGGAATATGGACAGGCCTCTAGTCACAAGCTAAACATTTAGTTGACAGGACGATCTATCTGCGGACGAGATTCTAAACGGCAAGTTTGTACGTGCTTCTAATCATGAAAGACATCGACAACGTGGTGGTTTTTTTTTTTTTTGTCTGCGCCGTACGAGCAACTACTGACTGTGCCATCCGCTCCAGATCGCCCTATCACGGGTGGATGTACACTGCATCTGGGTGTCTCAAGCAGTCCTCGACCTTCTCCCCGAAACAATACCCGACGTGCCCGGTGGAGAGATCGTCCGCGATCCCGGCATGGGTGTCTTCTGTGACAATGCCATGGACATCATCATGGCCCTTTGGCCCAAGCCGAGCAACGAGAAGAAGAGCACTTTCATCAAGTCGGCCATGACCAGCCTGAACGAACTTGGCATCGTGGGCATGCATGACGCGGGCGTGACCCCTGACAACTTGGCTTTGTACCAATCCCTGGCTAGCGGTAACGACTGGACAGTCCGCGTTTACGCCATGGTCGAATGCTTCAAGCGAAACACTTTCTGTGCCGATGAAGTTGAGCGTCATGTGAGAGCTGATGGACGACTGAGCATCCAGAGCGTCAAGCTCTTCGGAGGTGAGCTTCCCATCTTCCAAGGCAGAGAGTTTGGGGCGGATGGCTGACAGCATCATCTCAGATGGAGCCTTGGGAAGCTGGGGATCGGCCATGATTGACCCCTACAGCGACCGACCAGACACCTCCGGGTCTCTCCTCGTCAACGCCACGGAACTCACGTATCTGGCCACCGCGTGGTCCCGGCGAGGATTCCAAGTCAACATCCACGCCATCGGCGACCTCGCAAATCGCTACGCGGTCGACGCCATGACCGTAGCACTCCGTCTGCTCTGCCCGGATCTGACTCAGCCCCTTTCCCTCTGCCAGGCCAAGCACCGCTTCCGCATCGAGCACTCGCAGATCATCCACCCTGCCGACCAAGACCGCATCCATGCCGTCGGCATCATCCCCTCCATCCAGCCGACCCACGCGACGTCGGACATGGCCTACGCGGAGCTGCGGCTCGGCCACGAGCGCACCGCGGCAGAGGCATACCGCATGCGCTCCCTGCTTGACCTCAACCCCGTCCTGGGCAGCGACTTCCCCGTCGAGCCGGCGGACCCGTTCCAAGGGCTCTACGCCGCGATCACCCGCAAGAGCCCGCATACCGGCCAAGCCCCCGAGGGGTTCCCGGATGGGTGGTATGCCGAGGAGACGCTGGACCTGGACCAGGCCGTGCGCGGGTTCACGCTGGGCCCGGCGTACGGCGGGTTCATGGAGGGCAGGGCTGGCGTCATCCGGCCTGGCGCGTTTGCGGACTGGGTCGTGATCGATCGCCCCCTGGAGGCCATCGAGAGCGTGGAAGAGCTGCGGGCGTTCAAGGTGCGGGAGACGTGGGTCGGTGGGAAGAGGGTGTTCAAGAGGGAGTTGAGAGTCGCGCCGTGAACATCAAAGCGCCAGGGGGGTGGTTGCTTGTGTGTTAGTGCGTTCGGTGTGTGTGTATTACTTGGTGACTCACAGAATTTCCCGAGACTTGAGCGTTTCAGGAGTTGGGATGCCTAGAACTGTTGATAGAAGTACATGTGGCGGGGTCTCGTGCGTTAGAGCAGTCAAGTAGAAAGCCGACAAGCGGTATAGAGATCAGATAGACAAGACAAGAAGACGACATATGGACGCATCGAACCTCATCGTTCTCTGTATTTCACTCATCATCACATCGTGGGTAGGTTTACTGGAGTTGTTTCCCACGCACAAGATGCAGGATAATGTGATGATCGACCACGCACAAGCCATATGTGGCCTGCTCAGGGCTTCTTAGGAAAAAGAGACATAGCAAAAAAAGAAAGAAAGAAAAGAAAAGAAAAAAGGCAGGGAAAAGAAAACACCCGAAACCATGGTTAGCATACCTGAATTGCGATTTCGATGGTCATTTTGTCCTCCAAAGTAGACATCTCAGGTATCGATGTTGTCAAGCTCGAACAAAATATGCCACGTCGCAGGCATCTGCGAAAGGTATCAAAAGGTAGACGTGGCGAGTACGGCAGTAGAGCACTGATTCTCGCAGCGGCAGGGTGAGACAAGCCCACATTGATGACGCAGAGTATCACTTTCACACATTCACCCACTTCCGCCAGGCAACTCAAAGTCATTGTAATCATCCCCATAATTTCGTCTCGAAGCTATGCGCACAGACAAGCTAGATACAATGCAAAAGCTTTCCCACACCCTCCCTGCTGATCGATTCCACCACCACCACCGCCACCATGCCTGGCTGTTTAAGCGAGCCTCCCAAGGGACACGCCGAAATGGATATGCATGTGTTTGTAAATGAAGAAGAGTGAAAAATAAAATGAAAAGTGAAACAGAAAAACGCCTTCAGATGCTCATTGTTCGTCCAATCATCGTCACCAGTCCCTTTCGTATTGCCGTGGAAAGAGGAAGACATTCGCCCGCGGAGAATGCGACATGCTTTATCGTCAAGCAAGAGACATATGGAAGAAACAATAGGACCTCTCAGGGCCGGGAACTCCCACCGGATGTAGTAACGCCTTTCGTTCGCCGCCCTCCCTGTGCGGACTGTAAATGCTAGATTTGTTGTGATGCAGCGACGCTGGTTGGCTGAATGGAAGAGTCTTGTCACAAAAATACGTGGTCGTATGGTATTACGTGTGACGTGTCCGCTTGCCGTCTCGCCCAAAGGGATCCTTGCCGAAGCTCGCTATGCTGCCGACGTCGAATAGCTCGGCAAGGTTGATGGTGCGTTTTGTGCCAGCGCCCCTGCCGAGGTTGTTGCTGGCAGTGTTGCCGCCATTTCGAGCCCTAGGAGGCCGCCTGTCCCGCCGTCCTCGCGCGTCGCCGTGAGACAGCGATGGTATTGTGAGCCCGGCCGCCAGGGATGTGCTGTTGTTGTTATCGGCCGACTTTGACGAGTCGGAGAGGTCGAGGTTGGCAATGTTCAGATACGACTCTGATGGGTAAGGATGGGCGGACTGGAAGGTGAAGTTGTCTTGGGATGGGACGATGACGGGCTCGTGGTGGTTTGGCGGCGCTTGTGATGTTGACGGTGCCGAGTCTGTGGGGATTGCAGGAGGCGGAAGGTGTGTTGTGCTCTGGGCTCGTTGAATCTCGGGTGAGGAGATGGGCTCAGGCCGTTCTGACTCGTCCTCGCTCTCGGTACCGTGGGAGTTGCCGTCGCGGCCCTCGAGCCTCTCGGTCGCCCATTTCCTGATCTGCCAACCCTCGCCGTCGCTGACGCCGAGGTTGCGGCGGTCGAGGAAGGCGAGGAGGTCGTCAAGGCAGTCCTGGTAGCCATCGGCGCGGGCCTTGGACTGGGCGGCAGCTGACGTCTTGTAGAGCTTTGTGACGGAGAGGGCAGCCGCCTTGAAGGCGTCGAGGAGCTGCTCGGGGGAGTCGGCAGCAGGGGCCTGCTTGATGGGCGACGAGCCTCGGACGTGGTGATCCATGGTCGCAGGTCTAGGCGCTGCGCAGTGGGTTGTGCAGTGGGTTGTGGTCTTGCGGACGTGCCGAGGCGTCAGTTGCGGTGATCCGTGATGTTTGTTGCTGCTGTTGGTTGGTTGTCGAGAGTGCTCCGACTCTGGGGGTGGAATGTGCTGATGCTGGTCGGCGGACGGATGGTGGGAGGGGGCGTTGTTTTTGCAGTGGCCGAGTGGTGTGGGGTGGCAGCAACGAGGGTTTGAAAGGAGGTGACTGATTGCTGTGGACTGATGACTTCAGGCCTGTGCTGTTGCCCCAGTGCAGTGCAGTGCAGTGCAGTGCTGGCTGGCCGTCCTTGCTGGGAGCGTCTAGAGGTTCACTGGTGGAGCCGCCCCATACAGGACCGCAGCAATGACTGGATGGAGGAGCGGGCGGCAGAATGCAGCAGAAGGCGGCCGACAGAGGAGGACGGGTAAACAGAACAATGATTGAATGATGATTGTAGCTGTAGTTGTTGCCGTAGTTGTAGTTTCTGTCAGCAGCTGAGGGATATTCAGGCACATTGGCCGGACTCGTCCTTGTTATCAGAGCACCTCGTCCATCAAGTGGCGCAAGTAAGCACCCAGGCCAGGCAAGACATGAGCACTGGCGGGCGCCGCCTTGCCGCTTCACAGCCTCGGGCACGCCAAGCCAGCCCATCATGGATGGAGGCGGGAAAACCACATGACCTGTCCGCATGCAACAACCCCTGACCAGATTGATCGATCCAGCCCGGCCACGAGGATCCGACGTGGCATCACCATGGGCCGTGTAGGGCGACGGCTGGTTGTCTTGTTGTAACGCCCGCGCCGACATGAAACGCTGCTCCTGAGCTGTCACTCACGTAAGGTAATTGATTACACAAGCTTGTGAGATGACGCCGGTGGAAGCATCAGTGTACCTCTGTTGTCTCACTGTGAGGCACCACGCCAGCGCACGGGCCGACCACTCAGTTGCTTGCCGCCCGGGCGGCCGTGCTCTGCCGATGGCCTGTGCTTCCTCGTCCTTCCGGCCATGGCTGGGCTCCACCTCCCACCGCCCGGGCTTCGGCCCCCCCAGAACTGCCGTCCCGGCGCCTGGGCAGCTGGCACAGGCCGCCATCGTCGTCGCCGACGGGCTCGCTGGCCTACTCGAAGCTCAACAGGCACCGCTCACTTTCTCGCAAGCTGGAGTCCAAACTCATGTACAGACTACACAGCAAAGGCTGTTGTATCTCGACAAGAGAATGCTCGCTCCATCTCATCAACATGCGGATAATGGTGTCAGTGGTCGGGACGAGAGCACATCATCAAGTCAAGCCCGTATACCATCTCTAGTCGTGCCCACACCGTGATATGTTCTTTAGTACCTCTGCACAGACAAGCGCCGCGGAAGGTGGAAAAGAAAGAGGCGAAGCATCACAGATGGCTCTCCGCTGCTGGACGACCGCTTGTTGTTCTGGATGAGGCTACAGGGCGTCTTCGGCATCCATGCTGTGCTCGGGTTGTGCATGCAATAGTGAGATAGCCAAGCCCCCTGGTCCGTTTTGGCTGAAGTAGGATGTTGCTTCTATGAATATTTTGTTACTCTGATGTAGACATCGCGGGCCATTTGCTGTAAGGATGCAAAAGTGTGCTCTTGCTGGGGTGCCTCTGTTTGGTTGCTGGCACACTCCAGCTGCAGGCCGTGCTTCCTATTCGCCGCCCCATCCATGTCTTGCCTTAGTTGCCGTGATCCAGAAAAAACCGCCCGCCCACCTGCACGGCGCCTTTAGTCAAAGTCGCAAAGCCAGATCAGCACGCCTCGTCTCCTCACGCGTCAACCTCTCATCCATCTTTCCAGCTTCGCGACATCACCCCTCCTCTGGCACACCTCACCAACACGGCTTTGCCTGTCTGCTGTCGCCTAAGGCAAAACACAGCGTCTTTCGCGAGCACCCCTGGCCCCACCCGCATCGACCCGGGACTCGAGGTCGCGTCTCCGTCGCGTTGAGTGTTCGCAGCACGCTTCTTTTCGCTGACCATTCCACCACCTCCGCCTCAACCACCGCGGAGACACAACACCACCACCACAATCATGGCGCCCTCGCGCTCAAGAACCAGCGCGGTCGCCGATCCAGACGCGTCAATGTCAGATGCTGCCCCAGAGGTCTCGAGAGGACCCGACGAGATGGTATGGCTAAGCCGCTGGCGCGCCCCCAGGGCAGCCTCCCAATGCAACCGCAGGCACCCAGGCCATCGCTGACTTATGCATTGCAGGAAGTGGATGAGACTCCCGATTACACTGACAGTGACACAAATCCCAACACGACAGCGAGCAGTGTCGCTGGCGATCACGTCGATGGTCGCAGGAAACGCTCCGAGGCCAGCCAGCTGCGGCGCAGCATCTTTGGCAAGAAGCACGATGCGCTTGGTTCCTCAAAGGTACGATGAAAACCCCCTGTTCAGTGACGAAAACCTCGGTATGATACTCGTACAGGCACAGCACTGACGCGATTTTCACGACATAGGAAGACGACAGCATTCGGCGTTTCAGATACCTCCTCGGACTGACCGACCTCTTCCGCCACTTCATTGAGACGAACCCGAACCCAAAACTGCGCGAAATCATCCAAGAGATCGACAGACAAAACGAAGAGAATGCCGCCAAGCAGAAGAAGAAAGGTGCACGGCAAGGTGGTGCGGCTACGGGCCGCGCCCGCCGGACCGAAGCCGAGGAAGACGCGGAACTGCTCAAGGACGAGCGGCACGGAGGATCGGCTGAGACCGTCTTCCGTGAGTCGCCATCATTCATCCACGGCACGATGAGAGATTACCAGGTCGCCGGCCTCAACTGGCTCATCTCACTGCACGAGAACGGCATCTCTGGTATTCTGGCCGACGAAATGGGTCTCGGAAAGACCTTGCAGACCATCTCATTCCTTGGATACCTCCGGTACATCATGGACACAACTGGACCACACCTCGTCGTCGTGCCCAAGTCAACACTGGACAACTGGCGCCGTGAGTTCGCGAAGTGGACACCCGATGTCAACGTTCTTGTCCTGCAAGGCGCCAAGGAGGAACGAAATGCTCTAATCAACGATCGCTTGATTGACCAAAAGTTCGACGTTTGCATTACGAGTTACGAGATGATTCTGCGCGAGAAGTCGCATCTGAAGAAGTTCGCCTGGGAGTACATCATCATTGACGAAGCCCACCGTATCAAGAACGAAGAATCGTCACTGGCTCAGGTCATTCGTGTGTTCAACTCTCGCAACCGGTTGCTGATCACTGGCACGCCGCTCCAGAACAACCTGCACGAGCTGTGGGCACTGCTCAATTTCTTACTGCCAGATGTGTTTGGCGACTCGGAGGCGTTTGATCAATGGTTTTCGGGCCAAGATCAGGATCAGGATACTGTCGTCCAGCAGCTCCACAAAGTATTGCGACCTTTCCTGCTCCGCCGTGTCAAGGCGGATGTTGAAAAGAGTCTTCTGCCGAAGAAAGAGATGAATCTCTATATTGGCATGTCCGAGATGCAGATCAAGTGGTACCAGAAGATCCTTGAAAAGGATATCGATGCCGTCAACGGTGCTGGTGGCAAGAGAGAGTCCAAGACTCGGCTGCTCAACATTGTGATGCAGCTCCGCAAGTGCTGCAACCACCCATACCTTTTCGAGGGCGCTGAGCCAGGACCTCCGTACACGACTGACGAGCATCTCGTTTTCAACTCTGGCAAGATGGTTCTGTTGGACAAGCTCCTCAAGCGGATGCAGGCTCAAGGAAGCCGTGTTCTCATCTTTTCGCAGATGAGTCGTCTACTCGACATCCTGGAGGATTACTGTGTATTCCGCGAATACAAGTACTGCCGCATTGATGGTAACACGGCTCACGAGGACCGTATCGCTGCTATCGACGAGTACAACAAGCCGGGCTCAGAGAAGTTCATTTTCTTGCTGACAACTCGTGCGGGTGGTCTTGGTATCAATCTGACGACCGCCGACATTGTCGTGCTATTCGACAGTGATTGGAACCCCCAAGCTGATTTGCAGGCCATGGACCGAGCCCATCGTATTGGCCAAACCAAGCAGGTTGTCGTGTATCGCTTCGTCACAGAGAACGCCATTGAGGAAAAGGTGCTCGAGCGTGCAGCTCAAAAACTCAGACTTGACCAAGTAGTCATCCAGCAAGGCCGTGCTCATCCTGCTGCCAAGGGTCCCGCCGGCAAGGACGAGTTGCTCAACATGATCCAACACGGTGCCGAAAAGGTATTCCAGACCAAGGGTGCTGTTGGACTTGGCGAGAACGGAAGCACCGAGCTTAACGATGACGACATGGACGCCATCCTGGCCAAGGGCGAGAGCAGAACACATGAGCTGAACAGCAAGTACGAGAAACTCGGCTTGGACGACCTTCAGAAGTTCACTTCAGAATCTGCTTATGAGTGGAACGGAGAGACGTTTGGTGGTAAGAAGAAGGAGATTGGCATCAACTGGATCAACCCGGCAAAGCGCGAGCGCAAAGAACAATCGTATTCGGTGGACAAATTCTACAGAGAGGCCATCTATGGAACAAGCTCCAAGGCGGAGAGCAAGCCGAAAGCTCCACGAGCGCCTCGTCAAGTCCCAGTCCACGACTACCAATTTTATCCTGCTCGCCTCAAGGAGCTACAGGAGCGGGAGACAGCCTTTTACCGCAAGGAGATTGGCTACAAGATCCCCATCGCTGACGGTGACGAGGATACCCTTGAAGAGCGCGAGGCCCAACGGGCTGCAGATCAGGAAGAAATCGACAATGCTGTGGCTCTCACGGAAGAGGAGCAAGAGGAGAAGCAGAAGTTGTCGACTCAAGGTTTCAGCGAGTGGAACAAGCGTGACTTCCAGCAATTCATCAATGGGTCTGCCAAATCCGGTCGGACCAACTACGAGGGCATCTCGGATGAGATCGACAGCAAGACACCCGCAGAGATTAAGGCGTATGCAAAGGTGTTCTGGCAGCGGTACACTGAGATTGGTGATTATCAGAAGTACCTGCAAGTCATCGAGGCTGGCGAGGAGCGTAGGAACAAGACGGAGCACCAACGGAAAATGCTGCGGAAGAAGCTGTCCCTGTATCGCGTGCCTCTGCAACAGATGAAGATCAACTACTCAGTCTCAACGACCAACAAGAAGGTGTACACCGAAGAGGAGGATCGCTTCCTGCTTGTTCTACTCGACAAGTACGGCATCGACACGGAGGGCATCTACGACAAGATTCGTGACGAGATCCGCGAGAGCCCGCTGTTTCGCTTCGACTGGTTTTTCCTCAGCCGTACTCCTATTGAGATCAGCCGGCGGTGCACCACGCTGCTTACCACAATTGTCAAGGAGTTCGAAGACGTCCACCCAGCCAAGAATGGCACTTCTGGCAAGGGCAAACGTGAACCCGTAGAGGACGAGGAGAATGACGAGGACAGCATCCTTGGACTGGCGCCCGCGAAGAAGAAGACGAAGAACGGTGTCAAAGTGAGCTCTCCCCCTCTCTCTCGCAAACAAACTTGTCCCAAGAAACACATCACTAATGAAACCTGTCATCTGCAGAACAAGGCACTCGATCAAGTCAAGGGTACTGGCAAGGGTGCCAAAGGGGCAAAGGGCGGCAAGGCTGCTGCGTCTGGCACGTCATCTCGGGCGTCCAGTGTGGCGTCGGTGCCTGCCTCGAAGGGCAAAGGCAAGGGCAAGGGCAAGAAATGAGCCAGGTTTATTTTTCTGCCCACACCCGTCGTATGGCCTTTTCATGACCTCCGTGTCTATTTTACAGCTTCGTTATTCCGTGTTGCATGGGGTGTTTCGGGGGGACTCTGTGTATTGCGTCGTTATTCTTGTCTGTTCTCCCTGTGGCACAAGATCAGAAGCATTAGATTGCTGTTCGTCTCTGTGGCCATCAACTTGTGGTCCCCTTCATTGTATCTTAGACATAAAGGAAAGGGGGAGAGATCCTGCTTGGCGTTAAGAGTTGTCAATACTGGTATTTCGTCAAAAGTATGACTCTTCCCTTGACAGGGCTGGCAGTGAAGTCATAACATGAATGGACAAACGTGGTCGGGAGGTGTTGTTAGTCCTTCTTCCCCCCGTGTCCTTTGCTTTGGCACTACTGAAGGCGACTACAACATAGATATTGTGACACAGCAATGAGTCAGGCATTTGTCACGTGTTCAAATTTGTCTCCTCAGCTTGACATTTGCTGCCTACGATACGAGGTGGACAAAAAACAGGTCTTTTGGCCAGCACAAGGAAAGACTCGTCTAGACAGAATACACACGATGCTGAATGCATTTCGAGCAGACTACATGCAGCGACTGGCACTGACAAAGGTCAGTCCGTCTGCCGGAGCCAGGACCGATTTCCCAGGACGACGTCCCAAGGAAAGGATCGCGCGTTTCCTTTCCGCCCCCAAAAGGGCTGCCCCTGCCTTTCTCATCATTCGATGCGGCCATACGTCCCCTCCTCCCCACAATCCACGTCTTTTCACCCTCCCCCAAAGTCAAGACTAAGCTGCCCGTCATCCCTGCTTTTCAGTCTTTTGTTGACGCAAGAAAAATATAATCCTGGGAAATGCAAAATGCCCTCTAAACGCCGAACTAAAGTATTTTCCATTTCAAGATGCTTTGTCCGCAAGGTGTCCGATGTGAGGCCGGGAGCGATAGTGCAGGAAGATGATGCCAGATCGGGTATATGCCGTACTCGTCATGCGAACGAACCCGTGGTGTACAGAGCAGAATCATGCCGAAAATTCGTTCTCTCATAGCCTGTTCTCGCGCTCGCGCTCCACCTCGTACTTGAAGTCGAAGAAGCCCTTGTCGAAGTGGTGGACACGGACGTAGCCGTCCTCACCACCACTGGCGTAGCTCTTGCCGGTGGGGTCAGCAGCGACAGTGTTCTAAACAAGTTAGTCAAATATTCCAGATGGTGCCAATTACCACGTGCTAGGCCATGACCATCTCCGTTGAAATAGAAGGCAAGAACTTACCAAAGGACCAAAGTGACCACGGACACGGCCAATCTCGTCTTCGAAGATCTTGTGGTAGAAACGCGCCTCGAACTTTCCTTGCCGGGCAGCAGTGGTAGTGACATCCATGGCAGCCTGACCACCGCCGAGAATAACGTAATCCTTCTTGGGAGTAATGCAGGCGCTGTTGAGAGGAGTATCGGAGGGGTATGTCTTGAGGACCTCGAGGTCGCGAGCGGCAATGAGGCGGGCCGTCTTGTCCTTGGAAGCGGTGATGAAGTATGTCCGGTCAGGAGACCACTGGAGGTCGGTCACTTGCATGTCGAGCTCGTGGACAGGGATGTTGTAGAGAAGCTCGCCAGTCTGAGCACACGAGTAAGTAAGATTCCAGCCTGGGATGGTGAGCAGACTATTCGCTGCCTGTGAGACATACCTTGGCATCGTATTGGGAGACGGAGCCGTCTTCGTGGCCGGCGATGATGTACTTGCTGAGATAACTCCAGCCGGCGACAGTAGCCTTGCTCTCGTCGCAAACAATGGTGAGCTCCCTCTCGTCGCTCTGCTCGCCGTTGACATCGGGGTTAATGTTGAGGACGACGATCGTTCCGAGATGGCCCATGCGCTTTTCAGTGACACCAAGCAGCTGGCGGCCGTCGGGGCTGAACTCGACGCGCTTGACAGCTGTAGGAAAGTCCCAGGTCTTGAGACACTTGCCGGACTTGATGTCCCACAGGCGAATCGTGTTGTCGGCGCTGCCACTGGCAATCATGGTCGAGGTAGGCTCGACATCGACGGTCCAGATGGCACCCTGGTGGCCCTTATACGTGCCGAGGCGCTCGCCATTGTGTGAGTACCAGACGCCAATTTGTTGGTCCTTGGAGACGGAGAAGAGGAGATCGCCGTCAGCGTTGAACCTAGATGGCGGCAAGTCCGCGTCAGTCTTTGTCCAGATGCGCGAATACGGGTGTCGAGTAGTTGGTGGCGGCGACGGCGGCGAAGCTGGGTTTTGTCGGCAGACGGTGGGGTCTGATGGTGGAAGACTCACTTGATCTGGGTGAGGGCACGTTCCTGCACATCGATCACAGGTTAGCATAAAGGCACACAAGAACACACGACGCGCAGGATGGGGCCCGAGACATACGTGACCCGAAAGCAGGATAGGTCTCATGATTGCGAGTAGCTGAGCTGGTCGTCTGGCAGGTGGTGAGGAGCTGGCCGAGGGTTGCGTTCGCCAACAGTGGAATCGTGGTGGGATGGCTGGTCACTTTATTTTCTTCGCACCCGCGGCGCATATTGTGTGGTGCGTGGTGGGGCTGCCTCTTGCCTGGCAAATCCAGGGAGCCCGGCTGCCCCTCCTCCACGATTTTATGCATCTATCGCGGTCTGCTGAGCTAAGCAGCAGGGTTGAGGCTCTACATCTTGCTTCCCAATCGCGTCTCAGTCACGATCTGAGCTCATCCTCGTCAGCCTGATGGTCCAAAAAAGGATAAAACGGTGCGTCCCTAAGATGTCTGAGTCACAGACGGCCACGGTTCTCATTGACTTGTTCACGCCAGGACTGGACATTGTTGCACTCTGGCGTCTGACTCCACGCCCCCTGCAAGTGCTCGCACACACAGTGCAGAGAGTATGACGAACACAAGCATGAATGGTGGATGACTCTACCATGTTAATGTCCAGTCTCACACTGACAGCCAGGGAGCAGGGGTTTCTGTTCAGATACAGCGTGAGTCATGGACCACGATAGTAGCATCCTTTGGGTCGCAGCCTGATCTGCCACTTCCAAGGCACCATCTCATGGCAACATTTTTGACCATTGGTCTTGATCCAGCACGCGTAGAGGGACGGACCGAACGGCCTTCTGGTCAAGTCGTCCCAGGCCGAGCCTACATCAACTGTATTACATAATCACAATAGAGAGAAAGCGTCGAGCGAAACGGGCGTGGATGAATGGCTCTCCCCCAGGCTAAACTGTTTATGGGATTGACCTGCCCATCCTTGGAAGAGTTGACAGACTCTTCACGTAATATCGACTGCCGGACCTACAGTAGCGCACCGCCATGGGACACGAGCGGATTTTCATTTCGGATTATTTATTTTTGTATATTTCTCGATGACAAGTCGACCGGCCAGCCGGCCAAGCACTCTCTATCTTTGCAGAAAGACAGCAGAGTCTCCTCCGGGATAGACCTTGCCAGCAGAGAGTGCGCAGCACCGCGGCCTCGAGAGCAGAGACATGGCACGCCTCGCGCAAGCCTCGCTGCGCTGCCTACCACGTCGGCAGCAGTGCACCGCGCCGTCTGCAGTCGTGCTCATGCGCGCTGAGGTCGCCGTGGCACGACTGCAGCACCAGCAGGAAAGGTTGTGGCGCTGGCACACCACCAGCAACCGGCACGCTACAGCGGATTTCGGCCACGGCCACGGCGGGTGGCCCCACCCGATCAGCACTCCCGATACAGGCCTGCACTCAAGCTTGTCAGGGCACCCCTCTTTGCACGCAGCAACTGCCCATCGTGGTCTCCTCCCCACCAGCAGCAGACCATTTTCACAGCAGCATTTGCCCGTGAGGTCCTCGTCTCTGCGTCACAGCTGTCGCCCGGCGCCCTCGAAGCTCGTGGCTCCCTCTGCGACTCCCTTCGTCTCCCAATCCTGTGGCCCTGCCCTCTACCGCACCTTTGCGTCAGCATCGCGCTACCCCACCATGGCCGCCACCAAACTCGATGGCACCGCCATCGCAAAGAGCATTCGTGAGAAGCTGGCCAAGGACATTGCCGCCAAGCAGCAGTCGAACCCCAGGTTCCAGCCCAGCCTCAAGATCATCCAAGGTATGCCTTGACCATTGAGCAGCCCGGCAGTGGACAGCAACTAACAAGCATTGTCATCCAGTGGGCGATCGCCCTGACTCCTGTCAGTAGTCCAGTCCCAATGTGTGCCACTCGGCCATTGACTCACCCAATTCTTCCTTTCCACAGCAACCTATGTGCGCATGAAGCTCAAGGCTGCCCAGGAGGTAAGTAACCCTCGCCATGTCTGGCGGTTGGGACAAAGTGTCGCGCAGTTTGTTGGCAGATTCTCATTCCTTCATCGTAGGCCAACATACACTGCGAGCTCTTGCACTACCCGGAGACCATCCCCGAGGCTGAGCTTCTGGCACACCTACACGTTCTCAACAACGATGCCTCAGTATTCGGCATTCTCGTTCAGCTCCCGCTTCCCTCGCACATCAACGAGTACACCGTCACCTCTGCCGTCGCCGACGAGAAGGACGTCGATGGCTTTGGCACTGTCAACATTGGTGAGCTGGCCAAGAAAGGTGGCAACCCGTACTTTGTGCCCTGCACGCCAAAGGGAGTCATGGTTCTTTTGCAGGAGGCCGGCGTGGACCCCAAGGGCAAGAATGCCGTGGTTCTTGGTCGGAGCGACATTGTCGGAAGCCCGGTCAGCTATCTGCTGAAGAACGCGGATGCGACCGTGACTGTGTGCCACTCCAAAACCGATAATATCGCCGAGAAGGTCAAGCAGGCTGATATTGTTGTTGCCGCCATCGGCCAAGCTGGCTTCGTCAAAGGCGAGTGGCTCAAGCCTGGTGCTGTCGTCATCGATGTGGGTACAAACTTCGTCGACGACGCCACCAAGAAGTCTGGGAAGCGACTTGTCGGTGACGTTGATTTCGAATCTGCAAGCGAGGTTGCCTCTGTCATCACCCCAGTTCCTGGCGGTGTTGGACCCATGACCGTTGCTATGCTCCTCCAAAATGTTGTCGATTCTACTACGGCTTATTTCGACCGTCAGAAGAAGCGGGGCATTGTACCCTTGCCTCTGGCTCTCCAGGACCCCGTCCCTTCCGATATCGACGTGTCGAGATCCCAGACCCCCAAGCAGATTACTCGCGTTGCCCAGGAAGTAGGCATCGCACCCCACGAATTGGAGCCCTATGGGGCCTACAAGGCCAAGGTTGACCTTACACTGCTGAAGCGTCTTGAGCACCGCCGAAACGGTCGATATGTTGTGGTCACTGGCATCACTCCTACGCCACTTGGTGAAGGCAAGTCGACGACGACGATGGGTCTCGCACAGGCTCTCGGTGCTCATCTGGGCCGCTTGACGTTTGCCAATGTCCGGCAGCCCAGCCAGGGCCCAACTTTCGGTATCAAGGGTGGTGCGGCTGGTGGTGGCTACAGCCAGGTCATTCCTATGGATGAGTTCAACATGCACTTGACTGGTGATATCCACGCAATCTCTGCTGCCAATAACCTCTTGGCTGCCGCCATCGAGACTCGCATGTTCCACGAGAGCACACAAAAGGACGGTCCTCTGTACAAGAGACTTGTGCCCGCCAAGAATGGAAAGCGAACTTTTGCCCCGATCTGGTTCAGGCGCCTCAAGAAGCTCGGCATCGATAAGACAAACCCTGACGACCTGACCGAGGACGAAATCCACCGCTTCGCTCGCTTGGACATTGACCCAGAGACCATCACCTGGAGACGTGTTCTAGACGTGAACGACCGCCATCTTCGCGGCATCAACGTTGGCATCGCCCCAACGGAGAAGGGTCATACCCGTGAGACCGGCTTCGATATCTCTGTCGCCAGTGAGTGCATGGCTATCCTTGCCATGAGCACAGACCTTTCCGATATGCGCGAGAGGTTGGGACGCATGGTCGTGGCCAGCTCGAAATCGGGTGAGCCGGTGACATGTGACGACATTGGTGCGGGAGGTGCTCTCACGGCGCTTATGAAGGACGCCATCAAACCGAACCTCATGCAGACTCTGGAGGGTACCCCCGTATTCGTCCATGCCGGCCCTTTTGCCAATATCAGCATTGGCAACAGCTCCATTCTTGCCGACAAGATGGCACTCAAGCTTGTTGGTACCGAGCCCGATGAGGATCACAGCGAAAAGGCTGGTTTCGCTGTCACTGAGGCTGGCTTCGACTTCACCATGGGTGGTGAACGCTTCTTCAACATCAAGTGCCGTGCCTCTGGTCTGGTCCCTGATGTTGTGGTCATCGTTGCTACTGTCCGAGCATTGAAGGTGCACGGTGGCGGTCCGCCTATCACACCCGGCGCTGCTTTGCACGCCGTCTACAAGGAGGAGAATGTGGACATCCTGCGTAAGGGCTGCGTCAACCTCAAGAAGCACGTTGAAAATGCCAAGTCTTACGGCTGCCCCGTTGTCGTCGCTGTCAACAAATTCTCGACCGACACCGACGCCGAGATCGCTGTCATTCGCGAAGAGGCTATTGCCGCTGGTGCCGAGGATGCGATATTGGCTAACCACTGGGCTGAGGGCGGAAAGGGTGCCGTCGATCTTGCCAAGGGAGTCGCCGCCGCCGCAGAGAAGCCCAAGAACTTCAAGCTTTTGTATGAGACTGAAGGCGGCTCGGTGCAGGAGCGTATGGAGGCCATTTGCATGAAGATGTATGGTGCCTCAGCGGTTGAGTTCTCTGAATTAGCCCAGAAGAAGGTCGACACGTACACAAGGCAGGGCTTCGCAAACCTCCCCATCTGCGTCGCCAAGACGCAGTACTCGCTGTCCCACGACCCCGAGCTCAAGGGTGCCCCTACTGGGTTCACTGTGCCCATCAGGGATGTGCGGATGGCCGCTGGTGCCGGATACCTGTGAGTAGTTACTTGAACTGTCCACTAGAAAACGCTGTGACCCTAACATTGTGTACAGGTATGCTCTGGCTGCTGATATCCAGACCATCCCGGGTCTGCCCACGGCTCCAGGTTACATCAACGTCGATGTTGATGTTGAGACTGGAGAAATTCAGGGCCTTTTCTAAGGCAATGAATATTGTAGCATTACCAACGATACTTTGATTTAAGACGATAGACATGATGGATGTCACGTGCATTACAGCGAGAATAGGGAAAGGGCGTAGACTCAACTTCACGATACAACAGGCAGGGCCGATTCGCATGCATAAGATCGCGGCCGCGGCGTTAGATACTTGGACATTTTTCTTTACATATTTCCCGCGCGGCCATTCAGCCGCCGAGCCAGTTTCCCTCGTTTGGGCATATACCGTGGAGGGAAACATGGTCGGGGGAGCCTCAATCGCCTTTCAACAACAGATGGCAAATAGAGAAATACCACACGCACACATAAATACCATCTTCCACACTGCGGCTTTGCAGCGCGAGATGATAGATAGACCCTGCCGTGCAAAGGATGGTCTCCGAGCAGGACACGCGACTGGGCGGACACAACAGACTAGGATGAATGGTAAAACATAACGATTGGTATCTGACTGGACGAAAGGCATTGCCCGCATTCGCTCTACCATACTGACAAGAACCCGGAAAAAGAAACCCCAAGCTAATAATCATTCCCTTCTCCCAAAACGCCTGTTAAGCCAGGGCCCTTTCCACCTTTTCGTCGAGGCGAACAAAGGACATTTTCCCTGCGTAGTGTTCAAGTTGCCTCCTGATCTTTGTAGTCGTGATGGTCGTGTCATTACTTTTCAATCCCCGCTGCTTATCAACTTCCTCTTCCCTTCGTCTGGTGGTATCATGACAAATCATGTTCTTCTGGTTCCCGTCTCTTGCGGAACACACCGTGGTATCAATCACAAATGAAGCAACAGAAGCGAAAACACCCGTTTGCAAAGCAATATCTTGCGCTCGTCGTACTACTCGGCGGAAACCGCAACCTTCTTGAGTTGCGGCTCCTCTCCGACCTTGCCGTCTTGTTCCAATGGCCGCTTTTGCCCTGCGAGCTGGCTGGCTTCCTGAGGCTTACTAGTATCGGGGCCAATCGCCGGCTTGGGTGTGCTTGATTGTGGCACGGATGTTGTAGTTGTGTTAGGTTGACTGGAGGCGTTGGATGTGGCACCCAGAGCGACTCCCGGGGGAGATGCCGGTTTGGCAGCAGCTGGTGCTTGCGCAACAGTTAGTTTCACAGCAGATGCTGGGCCACTGCCAGGTGCTTGCGCAGCCGGTGCCCGGGGAGCCGGAATATGGGCAGTCGTCGCCTGGGCGGAGGTGGCCTGCGGCGGCGGCCGTGGCCCAGCCGGAGGTTGGCTTACGAGCGGCTGTGAAGCTTGGGCTTGAACGGCCGGTGCCTGTGTAGCTGGACCTTGACTATTCGGTTGCAGAGGTGTCGAAGCCTGCGCAACTTGCGCTCGCGCAGCGGGTAGCTGGTTGGCTGCCGGACGAGCTGGGGCTGGCTGAGATACTGCAGGCCGCGGTGCTACCGCTTGACTTGTTGGAGTCTGAGAGACTGCATGATGGGGAGCCGCTGGGCGAGAAGCGCCAGCAAGGTTCGATGCTGACTGCGAACTTCCAGCTTGCATCGTTGCTGGCTGAGCCGGCGGATGCGGTACCGGCTGTCCGGATGCCGAGTTGGGCGCTGGCTGCGTCAATCGTGCCGGTGCTGCACCTCCAGGTTTCGATACTTGTTGGCTCGCCATCTTGAGGTGTTGACTGGTGATCTGGTCCAGGACTCCTGCGCTTGGCGGCGCTGGGCTCGGGAATTTGGACAAGACAGCCTCGGAAGCATTGCGCTGCTGGTGGCCAGTGATTTGGCTGACAACGCCAGCACTTGGGCGTGCTGCCGCGGAGAAGTTGGGCGTGGTAGTTAAGGGAGGCTTCCCTACCGATGAGGTCGATGCCATTGGTGTAGACAGCCCTGCTCCTGTACTGGCTTGACTTGTTGAGGGGCCGGCGATGCTGCCAGCGCCGCTCACGCGTGCCTTCTGCCCCGCGATCTGGTCCATAACGCCAGCGCTGGGATTCACTGCACCCGTGAAGTTATGCCTGGCAACGCTAGCCTTGACTGCCGGGTTCGTGTTTGCTGATATTTGCTGAAAGTTTTGCTTCACAGCAGGAGCAGCGGCGGAATGGGTGGGCGGTATAGCGGGCTTCGGAGCTGGAGATGGCTGCTGAGCAGTTCCGGCAATAGCGAGTGCAGGGCTCGAACTCTTCGGCTGCTGCAAAGCTGGAACGGGGCTCGCTGCACTTACACTAGGGGTGGAGTCCTTGCGAACGGGTGGAGGGCCAGCCACACTGCTTGGACTGGGCCGTTGAACCTGGGCACTGGCGGGCCTAGCAACTGAGATGCCTGGCCTTGGCACGTATGGCGTCGCGCCTTTCATGTTTGGAGTTGTAGCTGAAGGGCCTTGTGGCGACGCTCCGGGAGGTTGAGAGACCCTTGTTTGGTTGGCCTGTTGAACCGCTGAGGAAGCCGTAGCTGGTGTGCCTGGCGCTGGAGACGCAGAAGGGCCCTTCTGAGATTGCACCGCCGGTGCTGGGGTCTGAGACGAGCGAGCGGACGCGTTGGCGTTGGCTGCTTGGGCTGCTAAGTCCTGTCGCTTGCGAACATCGTTGATGATCTTGGTGACAGACTCGTACATGAGACGATCCGCCTGCTCCCATCCCTTGAAAGCGCCCGGGTTGGAGAGTCCCTGAGCCCGACGGATCGCGGAATCGACAATGGCTTCTGCCTGGTTTGTCTTTGCCTTTAAGGTGCCAATAATGCTCTCTCGGAAGCTCTTGATTCTCCGCTGAATCTCAGCATCACAAGTTGACAGAGCAGAAGTGGCTGTGACCGCACCAGGTGCCGGGCTCTGCGCTGGATTCGGTGTAGTCCTGGCGTTTGCAGGCTGCTGTATTGGCGAAGCTCGAGCTTGCGGTGGTGCTTGTCCCCGAACCTGTCCGGGAACATGGCCTGGCACGTGAGCCTGAGGCGGAACCTGTGGCCGCGGAGGCGGCTGCGCTTGGCTTTGCGGGGGGACAGACGGTTGCGTAGGTGCTTTGCCTACCGTTGTAGGTTGTGTGGGCACCTGAGCCGGCGTCGATTGTGCTTGTGTCTGAGGAGCGGGTCTGGGCACTTGTGCTTGTCCGTGGGCTGGCTGCTGGGTTTGTACCAAAGCTTGAGGCGGTTGCCTATCAGGGGCTGATGCTTGCTGTGTAGTGGTAGGCAGTGAGCTGGGCTGGCTATTTTGCACAGCTTGTGGCGCGATAGGCGCTTGCGCGGGACCGGGAGCAGTATGTGGTTGGTTCGGTCTGTGTGATTGAGGTTGCGACGAAAGAGGCTGCTTCTGTGCCTGCACTTGTGCCGGAGCTGGTGATCCCGAGGCCGGGGTCGCACTGCGAATTTCCACCCTCTGCATCTTGCTGATCATTGTTTGCAAACCGTTGACCAAAGTCCTCTCGACCTCCTCGAATCCTGGTACAGTTGGTGGCGTGGAGAGCCCCCGAACTCGACCAATCGCGGCATCGATTATTTGACCAGCATTCTTGGTATGCTTGGAGAGGTCTGCCATGACATTGGTCCTGAACTGGGCAATAGCCTTCTCCATCTCTGGTGTGAGATGGGGCCGTTGGACAGGTCCTGAGGGAGTAGGTGTCGTAACTTGCTGGGTCGGCCGGGGTGTTTGACCTTGTGGTTGTGCGGCCGGAGCTCGATGAGTCTGCTGTGCTGCCGTCGCCTGGTTGTCTGAGGAGCCTCCTGGCTGTCCAGCCGTGTGTTGAGTGCCCTGAGCAGCTGTTGAGGTGCCAGGCTCTGCTTTGATGGGACTTTCCTGGGCCGGCGGGGGCGGAGGAGGTGGCCGTGCGTAAGGAGAACTGTATGTGCTCTGCTGTCCAGCGACTGGTGGCCTGTTGACTGCGGAAGCTCCATACCCTGGCGGCAGCTGGGCTGGTGCTGGTGCTTGTGGAGGATAGCCAGGCTGTCCGGTGCTTGGGTGTTGAGCATGAGGGAGTGCAGTATTTGGGCCAGGCTGTCCGGGCCGCTGCTGAGTGCCAGCTGCAGTTCCAGCTCCAGTATACGCGTTCTGCATGCCATGCGCATAAGGCATGGGCTGCGGCATGTACGGACCTCCCTGATAATACTGATGCTGAGCCATGTGAGCTAGATGCCCATGAGGGCCGCCCAAATGACGATCTGGTGAAACAGCCTTTCTCTTTTTTCCAGCATCAAGCTCAACCCCAGGGACTCTCGACCATAAGCCAGTTGTCTCAGCTTTCTTGAAAGCCTCATTCCCAATAAGATTGTGACGAACGCTGCTCTCCCATCCCTTTGTCTCCGCGTGAAAATAAAACCAAGGATATCTCTGGGTGATTCTCTTGTAGATTTGTTTGAGGGTCAGACCCTCCGGGGGTCCGTGACCTAAGGCTTCGTCAATCAAGACACCATAGTTCTTGCTTGGTTTGGCAAGCTGCTCTTCGGTAAAGTCCTCCCTGTTGAGCTGCAAGGGTGGCGACTTTGGTCGGACCTTCTTGTCCTTCTTTTCCCGAGCTCTCCTTTCGGCATCTGATCCGAGGTCGCCGTCTTCGATGGACTTTCGCTTGTTGTACTTCCGTTTCTCGGTCTTCTCCCCATCCTCGGGCAATGGGTTCTTCCTAGGCCGGCCGACGGGCCGCTTGATCTTCTCGCCGGGAGGTTCTTGTGGTAGAGTCTTCCGGGAATTCTCTTGCAGTTGTTTCTTGAGCAGACGTCGTTCCCTCTTAGACATGATACCGTCCTTCGGTGGCCGACCAGGACCTCTCCGCTTGGGTATCTGCATGAGGAACTCGGGGGGAATTCATCGCCAAGGCCCAACGTTGACGCATCAATCATTCTCATGTCCTCCATCGGCACGACCGGCTCCACAGGCGGTTCGGGCGGTGGTGGAGGCATTGGAAGCGGTGGCGGGTCGGAAGGAGACGCTCTCGACACCGCCTCCTGAAGCTGTGACAATGCCAGCTCTTCTTGAGAAAGGCCATAGTGCATAGGATCGGGCATGGGCAGTGCCGCGGGAGAAGGCTCCCGCGGCGCGGATTCTGGAACTGCCACTTCTGCTACCGGCACCGCAACAGGCGCTGGTACAGGCGCGGGTTTTGGTGGTGGGACTCTTGTGACTACCGGTGAAGGAATCGGAGCTGGTGCAGGAGTTGGCGACTTGACTGTCTCTGCAGGAGGAGACAGATCCTCGCTAGAGTCTTGATACTTTTCGTTTTCTGAGTGCTCAAAGTCAAAACTCATCTCCTTGCCCCCGATTGACATTCGTTTACTGGAAGTCTCTTCATCCAACTCCTCGCCACCAGTCTTGCCCTCTTCGACACCATTGATGATGAATCGAAAGGATACATCTTTGATCTGGAGCTTCTCGCCACTGCGAAGGGTGACAGGATGTTCGTCTTTGCAAATAACATCGCCGACGAAAAATCCGTTGCGATGGAGAGCAATTGCCTGAAACACGCCGAGGGTTTCATTGAACTGGATCTTGAGGTGCTGTCGCGAAATACCCTTTGTCTTTTTGGCAATATCCGGTCCCGGTGAATGGATGCCAATAAAAGGAATGTGTGCGGTGGAGGGCTGCAGTGTGCCAACGTCAACGGCAGCGGCGCCAGGTGTATGGGAAACGTATTGGCGATTCGACTTTGCCCGCTCGCGGTCGGCGGAATCGGCGTCATTGCTGTCGTCGCCATTGACAGAAGCATGAGCCGACCCTAGGCGCTTCTTCCTGTTTGCTCTTGTGTTGTCCTCGCCGTCGGATTCTGGTCCTAACATCCCACCCTCCTCACTGACATAGGATTTGCTGAATTTTCCCCTGTCGAATGCTATTGGAGTAGGAGGTGGCAAGCCGTTCCTCATCGCATCGTCAACTCTCCGACGATACATTTCCATCCTCCGCTCGTCCTTTCTAGCCTGGTTGATGGCCTTCTGATCACGACCTATTATGACGGCGTACGTCGTCATCTGGAAAACACTGTCCTCGAATTCTATGCGCGCAAAGGACTCAAGATTCTGGCTGTTTCGGGCAGAAGCGCTGGGAGTGGTAGGATCATCGTCCTCCTGTGTGAACGAGGTCCGATCGTGCAAAGAAATTTCAGAAGGCGCGATGGCATTAGGCAGGTGGTCGAACTGCGCGCCAGACGCGTTTGCTAAAGCCATCATGAGGACGTTGGGGTCGACGTTGCCGTTTCCATTTGAGCGTCCGGGCTCGTACCGCTGAATGCTGTCTGGCTCAGGGTCTGTCGTCGCTATTGATTGCATATGCTCCAGGTTTCTTTGAGCACCACCTGGGCCACTCCGCCGACTCGCCGCGGGGTTAAGGCTCTGACGGATCATTTGGGCGTGATATTGGGATATCTCTGGCAGCTGAGGCTCATCGAGATCCATCGCTGTCGGCTCAGTGCCAGGATTGACTGTTTGGGAGAGGGCGAGTCCATTAGCGGCATTGGGAACGATTGCTGCGGCTTCTTGCAGGACCTTTTTGCCGCCTGGAAGCTCTGGCGCAGTCCCGGGTGCAGAAAGCATGAGCGCGTCCATGTCTTTCTCGTCGTCGACATTGACATGCGTGACAGCGGGGGTCGACAGTGGTGAAATAGTTGGAGGAGACAACATGGGATGGTCGTAGTCTTCGTTGTCACCCTCATGGTTGCCGGCGCAATCGAATGCGCCTAGCGCCGTGTCTAGCATCGGTAGTGGTGGTTCCTGGGCAGATGCGGCACTCTTCCCAGCATGAGAGTCTTGGTGACTCGCTGCCAGAGTTCCCGGCATCGACTGTGGCCTGTCGAAGCCGTTGTCCGCAGGCGCGGTCGATGTTGAAGGGCCGGGAATTTCGTGAGGGGCGGGTCCGAGTGGATTCGCATCAGTTGACCCCGACGACTGCATAGGCGCGTCAACAAGGACATTGGTTGCTTGCCCGGTCGTGTCCTTTGTCGCGGAGTCGCCTTGTATCGCTGGCTGTGAACGCGACTGCGGTGGCGGTGGGAGAGAGCCGAGTTCGGGACCTCGATCGTCAGACTCGATGCGACCACCGGCCGCGGGAGCGTTGGACGAAGTCATCGCTGGCCATTCAGAACGGTGAGAATGGAGAGACAGCTCCTTCGTCGGCGGCGCGCCGCTGGGGATCGGGGTGGCGTGCAGAAGGCGCGAGGACAGGTGCCGGATGGCGAGATGCGAGGACCGCTGCTTCCTGCGCGTCGTCGTGGGATGGGTTGTTGCAGCAGCTGGAGCAGGCAGGCCGGCCGTCCGAGGATGGGAAAATGTTTTGGGGCAGGGCAGGCAGGTCTCCGGCGGACGGCGCGGCAGCCATCGAGCAGGGACGGCCTGCTAGGCCGGCTGGATCTGCCATCCTCAGCCTAACGGCGGGTCCCACGTTGCTTTGCGCGCGCTGCTACCGACTGCAGGCGGCAGGCGCGATCACCAGGCTCCCCCTGATTGGCCACTGCTTGAGGCGTCCCGAAAATCTACTGGCGCCAGACCCCACTCTTTGGCGGCACCCCTTCCAAAAGATTTGAGCATCTAACAAACGACATGGGAATGGCTTCATCCAGGCCAACCTTGGAACACATTCAGTCAGTTCACAGTCCACGTCCAGATGGCCATATCCAAAGCGAGCGTCAATGTTGCGCTGAACTATCCTCAATTCCGAGGTGCCTCCCCTCCCGTCAGACGTCACGGAGCATCTATTTTCTGATGGACGAAATGCTCCATGACATACGAGCGAGCTTCCGGCAGACATTCCAGACCACAGTGTCCTAATTGTCCCTCCTCTAGACCCGCAGGAAGCTCATGACTCGCCTAGATCCTTCAAGCTCTTATCAATGGTGACCCCTCGTCCGAGGGATCCTGGAATCGATTCTGCCTCGGCCTGCCCCAACGACGATATGCTGCATGGCACAACAATCCGGCTGCGAAGCCTATCGCATCGTTCTTGAACGCGAGGATACCGGCGGTGGTTGTCATCATGACTGTCCAGCGTTCTTCCCGTTGGCCATCTGTAATGTCCCGGTGCTTCTTCTGTCCTGCTGACGACTCCCAGAGGTCAGGGGCGCCGTGATTCAGGCTTTGGCCGACCTTCGCAAGCTCTAGACCAGCAGCTATAACCATGATCCCGAGGAGACTTGCTGGAAAGGCGTGAAGAAGGTCCAACAAGGTCTCGCCAAGGAAGAGCCCAAGAACGAGCTTGAACGCACCAAGCAGTATGATACTGGCACCACTTCTCGCGCCGAAGCGGAATTGCGCTGCCAGGCCGCCTGCACCGTGGCACACGGGCATTGCTCCGAACCAGCAACCCATGACGTTCATGATGCCGACACTTGTGCCGAGAGCTGTAACGCTGGGCGTGGGAAGATCGGGCATGAGATCTGACGCAAGCGCATTCACCGCCACGACCGAGTTCAAAGTGGTGAGCGGGAGTTGCGCAATGCCCATGCCAACGGCATCAGCCGTCCATGAAGGGAGTACAAAGTATGGTTCCCAAACGCGAAACGATGGCAGTCGTCGATTCGACGAGTCGCTATTATCAGAGGCCACCACCTGGAGGATGGCAAGAATCAGCCCGCTAACAAAGACTACCAATGCGTACGGGATTCTCGGTTGTCGGAGGCTTGTGAGTAAGCCAAGAAATGCAGCAATCGCCCAAATGCGGTTGTCAAAGGGATATAGCCACGAGAGGGGGCGTAGTAACGACGCTCCCGCCGCTATGATGAGCGACAACCCGGCACCAAGCTGGATGCCTTTGATGACTGGCACAGGAATAATACGCGTTACCCAATGCAGAAGCCCGGTGATGCTCAGAAGCAACACGACTGTCGCCGTGACACTACCTGCTGCGAGAGTCTCGCGTTGCGATGCGTGAGACGCAATGGCAGCAGCAGCAATAGCCTGCGACGAAAGTCAGCAATATTACCGGCGTGCTCCGAGGCAGAGGCGGGCAAAAGATGCAGACGAGAAGAGACTGAGCATACCTTCATGGGCTGGACTGGTAACGGGACACCGAAAATGACCCCGGTGGCCAGATTGAAAATGCCTGAAAATACCAAGGTCGTCGACAGTGAGATTGAGCCATTGACCGCAAGCACGATCATGAGGGGTAGCAGAGTTCCCAAATCGCCGAGGGCCCCCGCAATCTCCAAGGTCGGAGAGCGCCGGAGCACAGCGACATTGTTGCGGTGCACCTGCTTGATGTGCGACGAGAACGAGGCCATCCTGAAAAGTCGCAGTAGCTCGTGGCCCGCCTCCGAGACAGCCTTGGCGAGTTTGACGGGTTGCAGAAGAGATGTGGTTGCACGCTTAGTGTGCAGATGGTGGTGTCGTATGCACGTCTAATGTGGAGAGCCACGCAGACGAATCAGCTCTCTGCGGACACGGGACAATACCGCGTACATGTTTGGTTGGGTCCAGGACTGCCCTTGTCGCGCAGTCATGGGGTCAGCAGGCCGGTATACTGTCGCTAGCTTGGCCGGGATCTCGTGCTGTGATGGATGCATGCAGATGAACTCTTCTCACGAGAGCTGAGTCCGTGGCAACAGGTCACCGCACGTTTGATAGTCCGAGAACACGCATGGGTCGTTGGGTATAAAGAGTTTGCGGTTGTGGAAGGCGCAAACAATGCCCACGCAAAGGACAAGTAGCATATGCTCTGAAAACCTGGCCCAGTTTAGAACAGTCGCGTGGCTCCGGCTTTAGATAGACAGCATCATGGACGTGGGAACAAGGTGCGTCATCTCCACCTCAGGCCAGGAGATCGTTTTCGGGCGTCCAACGGATGGAGTCGGGGGTCAGTGGTCCGGTTTGGCGACCAGCTGCGGGAGGGCAGGTTTAGACGAGAATTCCCAACCCATCAAATGACGAACGGACAACAGGTCAGTGGGTCAGTTGTCAGCTGTGGGAGTACTTGAGTACTTATGTTGCGATGTTTGAGCATCAAGGAGTCCATGACGCAGGCCCAACGGCAGCTCTGCCGGGATCACATGCGTAGAGGCGGCGGTGGTGGCTTCCAGGAATGGCGTCAGCACTTATGTCTAGACCACAGCCGGCTGCTTTGGTGCTGGCATGGCTGCAAGACCGGAGTATCAGTGGTTACGCAAAGGAGTAAATGTGATGCTCGCAATGCGAGCCTGCACAGGCGACGAACCAGACGGCGGTCATGTTGGCGACAAGAGGAATCCGAGGCCAGAGAGCTGGGGGGGCTGCATCGGTGCGAGCTTGCCCGTGAGGGGCCCGGCCGTCGAGGCACCTTGCCTACGGCAACGGCCGCTGTTGGCCGGCACTCGCTTGCATGTGTGCCCAGGTGTACCTACATACATGGACGACGCACCTGGGAAGGAGCCGGGACCTAGCGTGGTCCGGGATCAGCTCGATCCGAGACGACGTCCGTCAAGCATTGGTCGGAGCGCGGGCACCCCTGCATGGCCACCTCGTTGCCGCTAGCTTGGCTCGCTACCTCCTTAGGTCAACCAGATTTATGTATGCCACAGGAACGTGGCCATCATGGATGGTGAAACATTCCGCTTTGTTTCTTCGATTCCTGTCGTCTTTCTGCTCTCCTTTCCCCTCTCTCCGTCCCTCCCGGCTTGACATCACGCGATCCTTTGGCACCCGGGCTCTTTCAGTACGTAGTTGGCAACCCGCACCCGTTCCCTCTCCGTCTCGCAATATCTTGTCTCGCCGCCGCCACTTGCAAGCCTCCGCGAGCTGGGCGTCGCCCCTCTCACGCTCGACCTGATCCTGTCCCGTGGCTAGTGGAACCTCATTATTATCCAAAGACTTGTGCCCTGGCTACAGAGTTGCTCTCAAAAGATCCCCCCCCCCACAAACACACCGAGTGAACCCGACCTCTCGGCAGCATGCTTGCCTCCGTCTCGTTGCTTGTGCTGGCATCTGCCCTGTACAGCTTCTACTCGACGGTATCCAACCTCCGGGCAAACATTGAGCGCGCCAAGCAGTCTGGCCTGCCTTATTACATCTCCCGTATGTCCCTTTGCAATGTGTAATCTCCGTGCGTCTCCTTGACACTGACTCTGCGGACAGCCCTACACCCGCTGTCCCCTGTCGCCCAGCTCACCAATAAGTTATGGCTGCGTGCGTTCAAGCTTCTACCCCGAAAATATTGGGAGAAACAACTGCCGTAAGCCTTCTGATCGCATGCCTTGGGAATCTCTAGACTGACGATGCCTATCCATCGCAAGGGTCCTGAATGCAAACTGGCATTATCGTGACAACCACAAGCCATTTGAGGCTCTCGGCACATCCTTCATCATCGTCTCACCCGGCAGGCTTATGCTATACACAGATGATGCCCAGGTCATCCACCAAGTCACTTCTAAGCGCGAGGCGTTTCCCAAAGACACTGCCGCCTATTCTCTGCTCTCTCAGTACGGACATAATGTCCTCACCACCGAAGGTCAACTGTGGCGGATGCATCGCAGAATCACCTCGGCCTCATTCAACGAGAAGAATGCGGCTCTGGTGTGGCGAGAGTCTGTCAAGCAGACGTTCGGGCTCATCAACCAGTGGCTTGGTGCCGACGGCCAGGGAAACAAGACCATCAAGACGGTCGAGCAGGACACCATGGCTCTCACCCTCAACATCATCATGTATGCCGGCTTTGGCGTAAAAATGTTTTGGCCCGGCGAGAGCTTACCTGCTGGTACCGATGCTCGACTGGCCAAATACGCCAGTCTCGATGCTCCCGAACAACACACGATGAGCTTCAAGGACTCCCTAGCGTACACCTTGCATCACATTCTATTTCTTCTTCTGACCCCGAAGTGGGCACGACGTATGTCTTTCCTTCTGGATCAAAACGCACGTCGCCATGGCACGTACTGACTTTGTCTCCAGGCGCGTTACCCATGAAGAACGCAAAGTTTGCCGACGATGCGGAGAAGAACTATCTGCAGTTCATGCAAGAATTTCTGAAGGATAAAATCGAGGATGTGCGCCGCCACGACAAGGAGGAGGGCATGGATATCATGGGATCTCTGGTCAAGACGAGCTACGGCGAGAAGGCTGCGAATGGGTCCGCCAAGACCAGCGGCAAGACGATGCAGCTGACCGACCCTGAGATTATCGGCAACGCCTTCATCATGATTGTTGCAGGTCACGAGACCACCGCGAACGTCATGCACTTCACTGTTCTCGAGCTTGCTGCCAACCCAGACGCCCAGCGCAAACTTCAGGCCGACGTGGACCGCCTCCTTGGCAAGAGCGACCCCAGCACGTGGGATTTTGAAGAGAACGTGAATCCGCTTTCGGCGTCGATGGTGGCAGCTGTGGTCAACGAGACTCTACGCCTGCTGCCGCCGGTAGTCGTAGTGCCCAAGATTGTGTCCCCTGGTCAGGACCAGCCCGTGCACGTCGACGGCAAGACATACATGGTTCCCCAAGGCACTCAGGTCAGCGTGACTATTGTCGCGGTGCACCGTAACCCGCGATACTGGCCAACCAAGCCAAGCAAGCTCACAGATGCCGAGACAGACATTGACGACTTTGTCCCTGAACGGTGGTTTCAGACCGGCACGCTCGGCGACACGGGACCCGGCGAGGTCGAGGGTGCCGACACCGAGGACTTTGGCGGCTTCTCCGGCCCCGACACGAGCGCCCAGCTCTACCGCCCACCACGCGGTGCGTATCTGCCGTTCTCTGACGGCGCCCGGTCTTGCCTGGGCCGCCGCATTGCGCAGGCCGAACTGCTCGCGGCCGTGTCTGTCATCTTTCAGAACTACAGCGTGGAACTCGCGGTGGACGAATGGGCCAGTGACGAGGAGGTTGCCGCCATGAGCCGTGAGGAGCGCGCCAAGGTGTACAAGAAGGCGCAGGACAAGGCGAGGGCAACGATTCTCAAGGCGTCAAGCATGTTGACGCTCAAGCTTCACGGCAACGACCATGTGCCCATCAGACTGGTCAGGAGAGGGGAAGAGCGGTTCGTCAATTTCGTTGACGCCAGCATTTAGAGGACGTGCCTAGCTGTAGCGCCCATTGCATGTAGATACCACGGCATTTGAAATGAAAGACGAGATGTATGATGAATCAAGGCTCAGCAATTACTCAGTGAATATCGGCCTAAAAATCGAGTGATCGTTCGAAGCCCCTGGTTCTTCAATTGACTGCCACGCAGTCAGGAAGAGAGAACTAATGCCCTGGTTTGTGGCTCGTTCAACTGCAACTGTTGCTGGAGCGACACCAGGGCTCCCATCTCGGGGCACTCTTGGTCTTTCCTGTGCTGGCGGCAGACTACATCGCCATGGCTCTGCCCCATGCTTGGGCATCCAGCGTCCCAATTGCTGTGTTGTTGTCACGTTTCCCATGGTTGCCTACCTTGAGGTAGGCTTGTTTAAGTTTGCCCAATCCTAAATTGCTCTATGCGCAAGTGCCTTTGCACGAACCTCACATGTGAGCGCCTGCAAGAAATCTGCACCAGTATAGCAGCTCCGCCTCGATCCCGCCGGATTTGACCACAGATCCGCACCTCCCGCTTCTGTCTCACAGCATCCCGCGACCGCCAAGGTGCCGAAAACATCGAGCGAAACCACGCCTATGAATCCTGTGTATGTTCTGGCGCGATCTTATGTCATAGGGACAGAGAAGAAGAGAACAATCAAGGAGACAGCAGGACAGAGGTAAAAATATAGATGACTAAGCGTTCTCTTGGGACAAACGTAGGTCGGCGCAGGGGTCATTGGCAGGATGTCGCCCAAAACAGCCATGACAACAACAAGCCTCGAGAAAGTAAACAAGGGACCCCCCTCGCGAGCTCGGCGAGATACCCGCCAACGGCCAACAGGGCTAGCTCAGGCGCTCTGTCCCTCTTGGGTGGCCCGCCGATCACCAGCAACTCCCGGTGCCTCCCCCAGAGCTGCCCAGCTGTCACAACCCACCTGCACGCTCGGCCACGAAGCTACATACTTCACCACGGGCCACCCGCGCCGTCAGTGCCCTCAGAGCTCCCCTCCTTCTCTCTCCACCAGATCCTATCGCAATCGAGCTTCTGCCGTCATATCAGCGTCGCGTCCTGCATGCGATTCTCTGCATCTATACCACTGCCAACATACCTTCTGCCCAGCACTCTTAAACTTCACTGCTCTCCCAACTTACACCGCTACAATGTCCGGCGCAACCACCACCTGGCTGTCGAGGCAGCGCAAGTCTGACCTTACCGAGCTCGCGCAGCACACCGGGCTCAAGAAGTAAGTCGCAACCTCGCCGCCGCGCGCATCGCCTCTGACGCGTCGCAAAACGGTCGTTTCTTTTTCCACCCATTCCCTAGCATCGTCTGCATCATTCCCTTTGCCCTGCCACATATGGCGCCTTTTATCGCACGCGTCACAAGCACCACAGATCCTGTCTACGTTGTCGCGCCTGGTGTTTCGCGTGCGTGTGGAGCTAGAGCTTCGCGCCGCTTGCAGCCCTACGGCGCGCGACAGCAACCCACTTTTGCAACGACGACGATACAACTGCAGCGCGTCAAGATCTGAAAGCTCGCTTGTCGCCTCTGTGCCACCAGATGTTGGAATATCAAGCAGGATCAATGGAGATGATGCATCGAATACACAGCCTTGTTCCGCGTTGCCGCGCGTCAGGCCCAAGCTAACTTCGGACCCCTCCCAGCTACGAATCTCTCAAGAAGACGGAGCTCGAGCTGGCCCTTGACGAGTATCTCGCCGAGAACTCGAACCAGTTCTCGTCAGACTCGAAGCTCGCGCCCTACTACTCGAGTCGTGCCAAGGCGGCTGGCTCGCCCGTCAAGAAGGATGCCGAGGTGACAGACAAGCTGCGCGTAGCCAAGCGCAGGGCGACAAAGAGTGTCGAGGACCTTGTCAACCAGGAGTAAGTCGCATCGACAAGCCCAATGATTGTGGCAACAATCACGAAGCACGCGCTGACGTTCAACCTCGACAGCTCCGAGTCGGAACCAACCGCCATTTCCAGTGCGCTGGTCCAGACCCCTGGCCGCGCGCTCTCGCTCGCCCAGCGCATTCCTCTGCCAGCCACGCCTGCAGACGTTGCTAACGCCGTCGACCGCTCCACCCAGGCTGTCCGCGTGCGTGCTGCTTCGATATACAAGGAGTCTGGCATCACCGAGGCCACTAATGCGACGCGGGAGAGCCTCTCTTCGGTCACCTCGGTCCTGTTCCTCATCTCCGCCTTTGAGTTGTACTTCCTCCGACCCGAACTACTCACCGACCGCTACGCCTTTACCTTCCCGGCAATTTCTTTGCTGGGCACCAAGGATTACCCAGTATTCGTCCCCGACTTGTTCCTGCTTCTGACGTCTTCTTTCTGGAACCCTGCGCTGCTCTGGGCCTTTACAAGTACCATTCTGCCCACACTGGCGGGCTACTTCGTCAACTTGACCACTGGTGCCCACCATGGTCGTGTTACCCGCCGCACGGCTCCCGCGCCCGACTATGTTGTGGACCCGCTGACCTTCAGCGTGGTCAAGGCCGTCATCTCGTTTGTGGTCTATGGCCAAGGCGTCACGTTTGGTGGGTGGGTGAGCCCCAGCTCGATCGAGCGCATCAACACGGCTGTCTACGGCGGCTACAAGGGCGTCCTGGTCGGCTCTGCCATCACTGCCCTGTTCAGCATCTACGATGCTGTGCTGAAGAAGTGATTGAGCAGTGTCTGCCCGGGAAACGGGGGCTACTGGAAAGGCTGCGCACACGGTGAAGCTCGCGCGCCAGCGAGGAATATCCGTACTGCCAGTCTTTGACAGCAGTTCTCTTCGAAGAATCGCGTTTGCTGGCGTTCTTGGCGTTGGATGATACCTGGGTTGCGCGTTCTCCCTGCCTGGTACAAGCCTCGTGGCAGACGTGATACGGTCACGTCACGGCTTTCTTTGGTAATGAGCGTGGTCTGTTGGATTGGGCGTCTTTGTGACAGCACGATGAGGCAGGAAGGAGGCTGTAGCTCAAGTTTATGACGGGTCAGTCATTTCGGATGTGAGGAGTTAAAATCAGATGCGTGGGAGGTGGTGGTTGCAGTGCGTAGACGGGTTTGGAATCAGTCGAAAGAGCAAGCAGTGGAGGTCCCAAAGGGGGCTACGGCCGTGTGCATGGGGATGGATGATGCTTGCTCCGAGGTGAGAGCTTCACATCTTCGGTCACCACGGGGCGTCTGGCCACGCTAAGCTGGCTATGGGGTTTGGCTTATTGATTTTTCCTCATGCTTCTGTTTTTCTGTTGGTTGATTGTTACTCTTGGATGATGGGACGAAGCCTTTGATGACAATATTGAGATGCGGTTTTGTACATGGCCCTTATTTTATAGTATTATTGCAGATACCTGTGGCTTTGTCTCATGGTTGAGGCTTGACGTCAACCTCAGAAAAGCAGCCGCCTCTGCTTCAATGTGCAGGCCATTCACAGAGCAGACAGTGTCGAATAGATGTATGCATGACGATATCAATGATCGCACTTCACACTGTAGAACGTAGAGATATGAGTGACATTCTTGACACGCATCGAGGTAACGTTTCTGAACATCCCGTTCTCTCCAGAGCTTCGCATGTGGAGCTGAGACGTCAATCAGTCTTAACGACCTCCGAAGCGCCATGGGGTGATGATCGAACCCGCCGCTAAATGCGGACACTCAAAGCTTCCAAGGTTGGTGTCCGAAAACTGAGCCATCATAGTAACCTTGGAAGCGCGACGGGGCTTGCCCCATGAGCCACGGTCACCAGCCACAGTCGGGCTCGGTTGCCGCGCATGTGGCCCGTGCTGCACAACCCCCCTCCACCAATTCTCGACTCGCACACTTTTTTGATTCGAGAAAATCGGCATCCCGGGGCAAGTTCCAGATCCATCAAGTCAACACCACCTCACCACAACCAACCCGGCAATTCTCGAGATACGCGCCATCGCGAAACGTCGTCAAAATGGTAAGCAGCCACGCTCGGAAAACACATTATTATGCACACCTTCGAATCGACGCCCGCCCGCAATACAAGCCACGTTTTCATGCTTCCCGTCCGGTCCGATCATGCGAAATTTCCCGTGCGAAGAGGAGACAGAGAGATTGCAGCCAGCCAGCACCACGAATGATAGGATGATGACGATGGAGGGAGCTCTCAACCTTGGCCTACCTGGCCGCTCGCTCATCGTCCGATTTTGAAAGTCGCCGGGTGCACCATGTCAAGCAACTTTTGGAACGCGCGATCAACAGATTGTCGAACATGAGCTCCGGATTCAACCATCACAGACGACCGAAGCATGAAACTGGCACGGGCGTTGAAGAGGCGCATCCATATTGCAAGGGCTCAGACTGATCCGGATTAATCTCCAGGTCAACATTCCCAAGACCCGTAAGACCTACTGCAAGGGCAAGGAGTGCAAGAAGCACACCCAGCACAAGGTCACCCAGTACAAGGCTGGCAAGGTACGCGACGACCCATGACTACGACATGTCAGCCGTTTCTCTCGAGTATGGAATTGTGTGATTTCACACAAGTCTTTTGACTCGAAGAAGCTGGCGCACTCCCAACCAAGACCAAACATCTGACTTGGACCACTCTGTTGTATAGGCCTCGCTCTTCGCGCAAGGAAAGAGACGTTACGACCGCAAGCAGTCCGGTTACGGTGGTCAGACCAAGCCCGTGTTCCACAAGAAGGCCAAGACGACAAAGAAGGTCGTCCTGAGACTGGAATGCGTTGCCTGCAAGACTAAGCTCCAGCTGGCGCTGAAGCGCTGCAAGCACTTCGAGCTTGGGTACGTCTTGGGTTTTCCCCTTCCTCTCCCAGGTCTCTATAATCGGGCGATTACTGACTGCTATCTCTTACCTCTTGAACAGTGGTGACAAGAAGACCAAGGGTGCCGCTCTTGTTTTCTAATCGCATTATTTCACAAATCAAACTCGGTCTTATTGCGCTTCGGTCTCATTTTACACGCACACACATCATCGCACATCACGCGCGACACAAGCACAACACGGGAGGGGGATTCACGGTGGTTCAATCATGGCCTTGGGTGCGGGTGGGATAACAAATCATGACACGACATACACACACACTATCTGGCGACAGGAGTCAAAATATAGCATCTTTTGAGACCTGGGGTGGTGTCTATGAAGCCAAGAAAAGAAAAAAACGGGAGGCCCTGCCTCGGACAAGATTTCGCCAGATGTCTCTTAGGTCGGCAGGTATAACTAAGAAAATATACCAATGACCTACACGCACCGCCGCCGCCACCGCCGCCACAGCCTGTAACCCCGTGTGAAGCTTGGTCTTGGGTTTTGGAATCACTGCAACCTAGGGAACTGGAGTCTTTGGAGCAAATGGGATCTGGCTGGCGTATATGAGAACCGATCAGAAATACAAGCAAAATGATGAAAAGACGTCGAGCAGCAAACTTGTGCCACGTCATGACGCATCTGGTCCGACATGCCTGAAGCGAGTGTGTCTAACCAGAACATGTAGGCCGTGCCCTCCGATGCGCACAACTTTCAAACAGGTCACGGTTTTCATCTTGTGCTTAGTTCTCATCCTGTGCATCCGAATGTACGTCGTCCGTTCTCTAGGTCTGGTACTTGCCAGGTGATGTCTACTTGAGGTATACGCGGGTTGGTGGTGTACTCAGCAACCCTGCTCTTGGCCGTCTATCTAGCGGATTGGCAAACACATGCTTCCTCCCCCGTTGGTTAATTGTATTGTGCCCCTAATCTACTGGGCAAAACAAGCACGACGAACAACAAAGACGGGACAAAAACCTCATCTTAGAATCCCTCGCCAGTCATGACAGTCCTCCCACCGCCATACCACAGGGTCCCCACCCTGACATCCAGCCCCCTCTCCTGACCGACGAGCCACTGCGCCGCCGCGACATCCTCCTTGTCCCAGACCTCGGCCTCGAGCCAGGCGTTGACCTCGTCGATGGCAGCGACCCACGACGCGCGCTTCTCCGGGGTGTCGTGGTCCGCGTCCGTCAGGTACCGCCCCAGCGTGATGTGCGCGCTGGGCACGACGTACCGGGAGTCGATCTGCAGCCCGGCGTCCTTGGAGGTGTTCCATAGATCGCGCCGGAGGTGGTGGTAGGTGTAATTGTCGTCGTGCTGCTTCATGGTGGTGGTGGTGGTGGTGGTGGTGTCAGACACGCTGGCCGACGTCGCCGGTGCGGACGTGGGCGAGACTTCACCCGCCGCGGGGAGGAAGGACAGGGCCAGGGCGGACAGGTCGTATGACACCATGGGCTTCACGAGGCGCGCGCGGTGGTGCAGCGTGTGGTTGGCGATGGCCGGTATCGCGGGCTCCAGGGTGGTCCGGATCGCGGCGATCTCCTCGGCCGTGCGCGAGTGGGCGAGCTCCAGTGCTGTGATGTGCATCCGAGGCATGGGCATGAGCCAGAGGCCTTGCCATGGAGGTGTATAGTCAGTGATTTAGATCCGGTCTGCGGCTTTGATTGCGTGAAGAGGTTGCGTCGTGATGGACACAAGAACGGGACCTAGACGAGAAGAGCACTCACTTGGCGCCGCGACCTTGAGCCTACGCTGGACCTCGGCGGCCAGCTCGATGATGTGCCATGGCGGTCGACCCCAGAAAACCATGCAGTGCCGAGGGTCGACATAGCCCGGCTCGATGGACTGGTCCTCGAGGCGCAGGAGGTGCTGGTCGATAATGAGCTCCTTGTAATCGGCAGCCAGGAACTTCTCTTTTTGCTGAGCATTGCGCCGCACACGGTGAGCCGAGTAAAGAGCCTGAATCTCAGCCTGTCCCCCGCCACATATCGATTAGCAGGCTGTTTCCTTGGCCAGTACTAGCAAATGAAGCGTCTCAAGGAGAATTAAGCTTGTTGCGGTTGTGTAATTGGGGGTGACTCAACTGGATTGCTATGGCACGCGTCGATCAGGGCATTGTAAGGATTCTCCCCGGGTTTGATGACGACGCCTGAGAGGTCCTCGAGCTTGTTCTTGACATCGGTGCTTTCTAGAACGGAACCCATCGTGACTAAGGGGTGTTTGGGAATCTCGTACGTGCTCGATACTTCTTCAACAGAAAGACAGATCAATGTTGCGACACGCGGCAAGATTGAATGAGCGTGGCGAGAGCACAAAACTTATTTGAAAGCCTCCCGCGGTGCCAAGTCGAATTCTTGACAACACAAAATGGCGGGTGGAGATGCCGTGCTGTGTATTGCCTTATCGAGTAATTGGAAGTTGGTTCTCGCGTTCCGCCATGTGCTACCAGCGTATTGAAGCTGTTGGGCCACGTTGCCTGGCTTACAACTAGTTCCGAACATTGATACCAGCAACCCCCACCAAAAAGTGCACTCTGGTGGCGGTGAACCTAGCCAAGAGATGACTTGTTTTCAGCCGCATTCAGGCACACAACGAAAGGGCGTGCTCTCAATCCGCACGCGCTGCGGAACTGTACCGCACAAGGCATGTCGCCGCACCCTACGAGATGCTGTTCTCCTTGTGAGCGGGATGCTTCTTGTGGATGTTGGCTACCTGAAAGGCTTTCTTTTTTGCAGACAGGCGTGACGGCTTTACCAGCGACGTGGCAGATAAGGTTATAATAACATTGGAAGAGGACCAACTCTCTCGGATTGCTATTTGTAGGTCCTGCACAGTCTGCAACCGAGGCCCGCCGGCCATTGCCACTGTTAACTTGCCTTGACGTACCAGCGAAACACTCTGTGAGTGTGAAATACCACGAAGAGTGCGTGTGCCGGGGTTGAATTGAGCTCCGGAAGGATCCTCTCCGGGATTTGACAAGAAAGAGCTCTGGTTCGAATACACCACCCAACACAATAGTTTCTCAAAGGCAGGAATGGCATGGTATTAGCAGCGATTGGTGAGTGTCTATCGGGGACTGTGCTGCACCAGCATGACCCTCTCCAAACAACTGCATGGGCGGAGATGCGAACGCTTTACGTTTGGGAGCAAAGCACGCGGGGACAGCATAAGACCCCGGCCCCGACACAACTACCGAGTTGCGCTCCGGTTCTTGCCAATACCAAGCCTTTCGGGAGTCTGAGGCAGCTGCGTGATAGGCGTGGCCGAAATTCCTCCCATCGGAAGCTCCGGATTTGACGGGGCAAAGCAGTGTTCCGGTGGGTGGCTGGCGGGCGATGTGCTCGCGCCAGCACCGAAGTCGCAGGGCTCGGCGGACTTCTGCAGCAGGTGGACCCGGGCCCAAGCTCTGCGTTGTCTCTGCAGGGTTCACGGAGACCTGCTGGGCCGTTGAAGCCGCCGGTGTCGAGCCTGGCGTTCAGGGCCAGATAGGCAGCGTCCTGTGGGACAATGGAGTCCATTCAAGAGATGCTGTTGCCCACGATAAGCGGACAATTGCAGCAGCGAGGGCCGGGAGAAGACTCGAGCCCCTCGAGCTCGACTCGGACCTGACGCGCTGTTTTGGGAGCGAGCTGCAATCTGCTGACTGACAGACAGGGGCGGACTGTGGAGAGAAGACGTAATTTGGAGGAACCATCGGATGATGGGGCGCGGGCCCGGGCGGCGTGGAGAAGGAGCCCGGCCCAGGCCCAAGACGCGAGGGCAGGGCAGGGCATGGCAGAAGGACCCTGTGAGCGAGGCCCTCGAAGTACTGATGGATGCCCCTCTATCCATCGCTGAGGCTTGCTGGGTGGCGGCTGGCGGCCTGGGCACACGCAGCGAGTGCCTCCGATGATGCCGTTGCAACAAGAACTCTCAAGCGGGCCAAGCAAACGACAAGCACTCTTGTGAGGGCACCCCTTGGGCTAGGCAGGCCATTCACCTGTGCATCGTTGCTAAGCACACCCTCGTCATCCTCTCTGCGCCCGCTCTCGCCTCCTCCTCCGGTCTAGAGAGATCTCCGCCTCCTCCACACTCCGACATAGGTTGTCCGCTGTCAAACCGAATTGCATTGCCGGCGCTGGGGTCGCCTCCTCCGCCGCTCTGCTGCTGCTCATCTGACCTTCTTAGCCCTACGTTGCCTCTCAGCATTGTTGTGCCTGCTGGTGGCTTGCCTTCCGATTACCACACCAGCACAAGGAGGGCCGGACCGTCGCCCAACTCTAATACTGCGTCGTTTACGGCTCACCACGCACTACGACCACTACTGCTTACAATCAACGACGACGACGACGACGATTTGTGCCTGACACCGTCCGCTCCTTCGAGAACGAACCCCACTATTCAAGCTCGGCGCATCAGCCTTGCCTTGGTCTCGTACACCACAAGCCGCTGCCACATCTCGCTCCCGCTGGCCATGGCGACCTAGGCCGTCCGCCGCCTGCCTTTTGCCCCCGGACCTCCAGGCCGCTGCATTTGTCACCACTCCCAATCCCTCCTGCGCTCTCTTTCCCCATCGTAGCAGCTTCAAAAGACCTCCGTCCTGTCACCAGCGGTATTCCCCTGACCGGCTCCCTCTGCGCATCTCGCCCTTCGCAGCTGAACGAGTCGCTACGACCCGACTATTTTGTGGGACCCCCACTCGGCCGGTTCGCTGCACCGCACCCTGGTGATATCATTTCTCCAAGGCGAGCGCCCGCAGCCGGCGATCTTTACCCGCCGCGCAGCGGTACCACAACCACAAAACCACAACCTCCAAATCTGACGCCCTTCCTATCTCCTCTGCCTCCTCGCCTGGTCCACGATGGCGGCACCTGTCAACATGGAGCAGAAGACTATGGACGTCAGCTGGATGACACATGACAAAGGTCAGCCTCCATGTCTACCCGACGAAAATGCCACGCGCTTGGAGGATGGGCTATCATGCAAGACCTCCCTGCTAACGCTCAATTCCGCCCGTCAATATAGGTGCTTTGGCGAAGCGTAATACGGCAAAGCCAGGATCGTCGCCGCCGGCTAACGATGCGATATCGCCTTCGGGAAAGCCAAGCACCACGACACCAAAGGCTGACGCCAACGGCAAGACCCCAACTTCAACCACCACACCCATCCCGCCTCCTGCATCTGCCGACAACAATGCGACGACGGCACCCAAGACGGTTCCGGGTAAAAGAGCTCCGGTAGGGACTAGGACCGGACCGAACGAGAAGCTATCGAGCTCGGCAGGCACCCCTCCGCAGCGGCGTGGCTCCTGGTTCTCCAGCATGGCCTTGAAGCTTTCAGGGTCGCCTGGTAATGCTATTAATGCCAATCCCAGTCCTACTGCCAATGGAGATGGCGAAGATATCGCACCGTTGCCAAAGATATCGCCTAGCAAAAATGCTGTGCTTCCTCATGCGTCACGACCCAATGGCGATGCCCCTTATGTGCCTGCGCCGCCAAGATCCGGCCAGCCTGGCTTCCTCGGGGTTTTCCGTCGCCTCTCTTCCACGAACAATGTCAACAACGGCAACAACCGGCTGGGGAATGGTCTGGTCGATCGCAAGATACTCAATGTCGACAAGAACCGAGAGAGGTGTCGGGTGGCCGAACTACCCCAGGCCAAGCTCCGTCGCGTAGCATTCTGCGTGGATGTCGAAATTGCTCCCATGCCGAAATACGGCGATGACAGCACAGGAGGCACAAGACAATCCGGCGAGAAGATACAGAAGAAGAAGATTGCGGAGAAAGGTGAGGGTGAAGCACTCAAGAACCCGGATGCGGTGAAGGAGCAGAAAGAAGGCTCGGGTATCGTGCAAGCCACCGGTGAACAACTACCGAAGGAGCCGAAGGAGGCTGCTGAAAGCGACGCGACCGTGGCGCCCACAACAGACAACGGCATCGCAGTGGCAGGGTCAGACGACTCAAAATCGGAGAAGGACACAACACGGAAAAAGGAGAAGAAGAAAGGAAAAGAGGCAGAGCGCAAAGCAAAAAAGGAGCAGAAACGGAGGGAGGCACTCGAGAAGGGCGCTATACCAATGGAGATTCACTTGGACTCTGATTCCTCCAATGACGACAGACTTCCTGCCGGGACGCCGCGAGTACAGTCGACGCCAACAACGAACCCCGCCAGGATATACCGCCGATGTTGCCAGCTCCGCGAGACAGACATCCTCACGAAGATCACACTGCAGCTGCCAAAAACGACGTCAAAGGCCACGGACAACATCGTTGACAAATTAGACCTCACTGGTTATTTTCTGTCCCTTCAAGATCTCATCACCCTCGGTGACTTCCTGGCCATCGTGCCGGTACGCGAGGTCATCCTGGAGGGCTGCGGTCTTGCCGACGAAGGGATGCGGGTCGTTCTTGCTGGACTTCTTGCCGCCAGGCGACCCAGAGCCCGCAGGCGAAAATCTGTCACTGTCCCAGCCGATCTAAGTCCACAAGGTGGCGTGGTCGAAAGGCTAGTTCTCAAGAACAACAAGATTGGCGTGGAAGGATGGAAACACATCTTCACGTTCATACATCTGTGTCGGTCGATCAAGTACCTCGACTTGTCGAATCTCACCTTTCCGGGCCCGACCGAGCAGGCGAAACCATCGCCCCACCATCACCTGCATTTTCCTCATCTCTCTCACCAATCTCCCGTGCCGATCGATTTGGCGACATTGTTTTCGAGGGCTTTGGGAGAGCGTCTGGGCGGGAAAGATCTCGAGCTGCTCAACATCTCCTCAACGGGCATGAACTCAGAACAGCTCAAGGTCGTGATTGACGGCTGCATCAAGTCTGGTCTGATACGACTCGGACTTGCCAACAATCACCTGGATGCTCTGGCGTTCGAACAAGTTGCCCGCTACCTTCGCGAGGGCAGATGCGAAGGACTAGACATTGGAGGCAACGACTTGCGAGATCATGTGGATGTCATGGTAGCAGCGCTCGATGACTCGAAGACGGTCTGGGCATTGAGCTTGGCGAACTGCAACTTGCACCCGCCATCCATGGCCAAGCTGTTCCCGGCACTGGTCAGCCTGCCAAATTTCAAATTCCTCGACCTTTCACACAACCACGATCTGTTCGAGTCAGAGCCTAGTGCTTTAGGGTTGCTGCGCAGGTAAGTACTCATTGATAAGGTTATTGCACGCGTGTACCAAGTGAGCTAACAAAAAGATAGAAACTTGCCCAAGATGCATAATCTCAGGAGGCTGCACCTGGCAGATGTCTCCATGTCGTCCGAGCAGGCGATTGCATTAGCCGAGATATTACCAGAGGCAAGCACCTTGGCACACATAAACCTACTGGACAACCCTGCTCTTGAAGTTCTGGCAGACGCCAAGACCGAAGCCAACCAAGAAGAGGCATGTGCTTTATACGCTTCACTTTTGGCTGCTGCCCGCGTGTCCAACACTCTCATCAAGATCGACATCGACGCTCCCAGTGCTGCATCAGGAGAGATTGTGAAGGCTCTGGCAAACCAGGTTCTGGCTCATTGTCTCAAGAATCTGCAGGGTGTGCCTGAGTTTGCAGACTCAGCTCCTACAGACTCAACTGAGACTGGGGCTATATCGTTTAAGTATCCAGACGTGCTACGCGATCTCGTTGGCCAAGAGGAGGACGACTATCCGATAATCGCAAGCGTAGATGGTCATCCCGCTGCGGACGAGGACTATGTGATTGGTGGGACTGGTGTTGCCAAGGCCCTCGCTTGCGTGCTGAAGAATCGCGGCGACGACACCCGGCGACCTTCAGGAGAATTCCTCCGGGAACCCGAAACACCAAGGAGCCCGTCACGCGGCAGACTTCCACCAGGCAAGGCCAAGAACATGTCGAAGCATCTCCTTATGGCGGCCCGTAAGATCCAGGTGCGCTTACAGCCAGCTTTGGCAAGAGCCAAGGCAGCTGCTAGTGCCGATGTGAACAATTACAGTGAGTGTGATCGCGTTCTACATATGCTTACAAGGCCAGAACTGACACGTCTTGTAGACCGGTTGATGTTCTTGAACCAGACCATCATGGACATCATAACACGGTTCGAGGACGAGTTCCCCGAGACAAAGCAATATGATGCCGCCGAACTCACAGCATCCGATCCGAAGCCTGCGGCAGCACCCAGGATTGAGACCTCAGTGCCTGCGGAACACGACGTCATATCAGACACGGAGGATCTTGAGACAGACGTACGCACGCCATCACATTCAAGGTCCAACTCAGTCATGTCCAGCACGCACAAGGCCATCGCCGAGGAAGAAGGCCGCATGCTACGTGCCGGCCACCACGTCCGACGCGGTTTTCTTGGGCCAGAACATTATGAGATGTTCCTCACTGCAGTTGAGCAGAGCGTCGACCCATCACATGTCACCACGATATCAGTCCTCTGTGATGAGATTGCCGAGGAGGACGAGAGCTTCCGCGAGATTCTTCGGGAGAAGGGCCCTATGCGGACCTTCAAGGAACATCGCGAGTACATTCTCGGCAAGCTCCGGGACAAAGACCCAGAATACTGGGAGCGTTTTATAGAGGCGCAGGAAAAGGCCAAGGCCAACATCAAACCAGACGGTGCGAGCGGCGGCGGTGGCTCAGCCGCATCCTCAATCAACCACAACGCCACGCCCGCGGCCGAGGCGGCCGCCGCGATTCGGGAGGCCAGGGGAAGCATCGCAATGGACGAGGAAGCCGTTTCCGACTAGAAGTCGAGGGCTGTTCGCTCGCTGTATATCCATGCTGGGAAATGGAAGAGGAGAGCGAGGCAAGGAAGGGCCACTACGGGGTCGCCTCGGGCTCAGTCACCGAGAGCGGGAGACCCGATGGAAACATCTTGTGTACAACACGACAAAGATTCGAAAGCAGAATAGCGGGAGTTTACTTCACTTGAGTCGTAGCATTTACACCATATAGCACAAACGTTCTAACCTTGTTTTTGTCCTTGTTTCCACTCCCTCTTATCGTTGTTAATGTCGGTGACCAGCAGACACGAGAATTGTGTTGTCTGATTCGCCGTCCTATTTCATGGGAGTGCATTCGGATCCATTCGGAAAAAAAAGGTCAAAGTTGCTGGGCCTCGCGGCCAAGCGTGTGACCTAGCACCAGATGGTCATAATACAAGGCTTTAAATGAGTACTTTCTCTCGGCATTTTATTACCATTCGAAATCAAGGCCTTAACTTTGGAGCTGTGGGTGCATTCATTGATGGTAGCATCTTACACGAGGAGCGCGCGACATGGCATGCATGCTTTGTACATGACGAAGAGGGGAGATCATTCCCAGGGTGGTATAAAATAAAAGACATGCGGCTTTCTAGGAGCGCAGACGAGACACACACACACCAGACATGTTTTCCGTCGGAGAATAGAGTAGAGGCCAAAAAACAACAACAACGACAACCAAACAACGGAAACGAGAAAGCAGATGATATGTCGACATGTCGAGATAAAAGGGGCATCCAGCCTCCTTTTCTTTTTTTCTCTGTCCTGAGCGCCATTAAACCCGAACCAAAAACCCCCTGGAACCATTTTGTCCTTATGCCCGGCCTTTTTGATGCTTCCCGGCTTGGAGGGTATCGTGTGTTTTCTTTGTTTTGTATTTTTAGAATGCATTTTACTGTTTTGGTAGCGTGGTCGGCTGTGGGCTCATCCCGTCGGGAGAGTCACTTTATGCATATAGCCCTCGTCCCTCCACGATGCCCACATCCCTTCGCGAAAAGGCGCAGTGGCCGATCGTCATTCCCCTGGCTTCCTCCGTGACGCCCCACGACAACGCACCCCGGCCATCCTCATCGGATCGGCCATGGCATCGTGAGCTGATGACAGCACTACAGGAGCCGCCTGCCAGGGCGAGCGGGTTGCCAATGGCGCCTTCATCGCCAACAGCAGCGGATTGAGCTCTCCGGAAGCCCATGCCAAGAATGACAAGCAGCAAGAGGCCCAGCAGTCCAAGCAGCGCCACAAGGGCCACAGACGAAAGCCCGATTTGGACGTCGCCATTAGGGTTGTTGACTTCAGACGACGTCGGGTTCATGATCGGGAAAACCGATTGGCTCATGATGACACCCATGGCAGCAAAGAGCGCGAGCAGGCACCAGGACACCGGCCTCGGCAATGTGAGGTAGAGAGTCGACGTCTGCGCGCTTACGGGGTTCGAGGATACGCGCAGTTGCTGGCGTTCTCGGGCAAACAGACTGAACTCATGGGACAGGTAATAACAGGTGAAGATGGCGTTGGCACTCAAATAAAGGATGGCCAGAAGAAGGTGCGGGAGGGCCGCAAGTACAATCCGTGGCACAGTCGAGTCGCTAGAGAATGGGGGAAAGACAAAGGTGGTAGACCGAGTGGCGGTGCCGAAAGGGGGGAACTGCTCATCGACATCGCTGTTGACCATGACGATGACGGCGACGGTGGCGGGTGCTGCGACCGCCAGGAAAGCAAGAGCTGTCAAAAACCAGCGGGTGAAAGAAGGCGAGAGAAACCACCAGTGACGGCCCCGAGCAAAATATCTTGCCTCGTGGTTGGCCCATCGGCCCCGTTTGACGTCGAGCTTGGTCATCAAGCAGCGCTCGGTTGTCGTCGGATCTTGAATGCGCAGAAAGGATCGGATGGCGTCGCCGATAGTGATGATGGGGTCGAAGTGTGGCAGGATGAATGCCGCGCAGGTGCAGAGGAGCACCACGAAACTGAGCGCGGCGCCTACCAAAAGCAAAGGGGTGCTGACGTGGATACCACACGAGTCTGGTCCATTCAGGCCTCTCGTCTCGAAAATTACTCCATTATAACTGTGCAAGTGTTAGCTTGCTGCACAACCCCATCGATTCCAGCTGCTCTCCAATGACTTACATTACTTGGCCTGCTGCAGCGCAGATGATGGCTGCAGCAGCCAGGACACTACGGACTGGCGAGATGTGCTTGAAGTTCCGGACCGAGGGAATTCCAATGTCGAGCCATTGCCTCTTTGCGTGCGCAATGTCAATCTCGACTCGGCTGGGGCTTGAGAGAACCTGTAGGGCGTAGTTGGCCGCGGCCAGAAGGCCAATGGTGGCGATGTTGATGGCGACGTGAATTCCAATGCTTGTCTGCTTCGCGGCGGAACACGATCCCGAAAAGACGGAGAAGTCGCCAGACACGCTCTTCGTCCGGGCCACAGAGCCCAGCAAGCATCCTAGAGTTGCAGCAAAGACGATCCCAACGAGGACGGCATTCAGCCTTAGGCCCCCTCTCCAACCAGATAAGTAGCGGCTCCGATGACTCCGCGAGCTGCTTGGGATGCCTCTGGTGAGATCTGTGCTTGATGAATAAAGGTCGACAAACTCGACTGGTGTTGATGTGAGCGAATCTCTGCGGCGCAACAAGTGTGCGTCTCCACGGCGCTCGTCCTCCTCCCGCTCCTGTCGCTTCTGGGCCAGGCTTTCTGGCGTCTCTCCAGCCATGTAGTGGAGGATGTAGTCGGGCACGATGCTGCGCGAGATACTGACATTGTCGTCGGCCATTCTTAACAGATTCCGGGGATTCCAGGACGATCTCATCTTCATGGAAAGTGTTGTCGAGGCCGCTTCCGAGGCGTTACGGGTATGAAAAGGCCATGCCACCGAGCTCTTTGTCCTGCGTGAGTGTGTAGCAGTTGACGGGGGCTCAGTGTCTTCTTGGATACTGTGTGGTATGAGTGAGTACATGGGTGTGTGGTTTGACTGAGGTGTGATTGAAGGCAACCACGTACCTGTCCAGTGGCAGCCCACTGGGCCTGATGTTGCTGCTCTCATCCGCGTCGGACCACGCCGCAGTGGATGGGGGACTAGCCATGGTTGAAGGAGTTTAATGAGTCGGTATATCACCACAGGCGGACATAAGACATTAGAATAGAAGGTGAAGAAGGGTGTCACAAGAAGCGAATGAGCCGGCAGGCTGGTGAAAGAGCGAATGTGAAAGGAAAACGACCGAAGACGCAAACGAATGAACGACTCGCCAGAGGATCTCACAGAGAGGCGGAAAGGGTAGGCCAAGGACAGGATGGCGCTCGAGAGCGTGGCCGGGCGTCACCATCGTCTTGTATGACCACAGGCCCGGCTCGTCCAACCCGTCCAACCAGACTCCGCCAGCTGTTTCATGGCGAAGGATCGCGCGACGGGAACCAGGACCGGGGTTACACTGCTCTCGAAAATAGTGGCATCGTGGAGCGTGCGCCCCCCCTCCCCATCATTATTAGACGACCCTGTCGTTATGTGGATGCATGAGAATGACAAGGATGTCACTGTGAGACGGCAGCAATTTCATGTCGCGGAACCCAATCGGGACCGTTGCTGGTGCGCAGAGGCGGAAGAGTCTGTGGGCTGGCCCTGGTACCGAGAGGTGCTTTTTCGACATGGTTGCAATGCTAGGTTAATTATTTGCATTTGCATTGGGACCTGCTCATGGATGCTTCAGTGTTCTGTCTCCTCGAGCCTGCTTCATTGACGCATGTTGCCCGTGTCCCCGGGTCGCTCCTGCCTGCCTGTTCATCGTAGCAGGACGAGCACCGGCCTCCTGTGTGCATTCTCGATTCTAGCCTCGAGGCACGGACACCAGGCCATGAGAGTTACGGCGCTATCTTTGGAGTGGTGGCCCCGAGTGAATTAGCACGGCGGGTAAGGAACAATATAGCACGGTAGCTCAGGAGTGGAGCCAATCTGGCGCAAAGAGTTCGCCGCAGAACTACGAGCTTGCTTGACCACGAGAGCAGCGACACGTGAGCAGCCGGGGCAAGAGGCGAAAGGTGAACAGACAGAGTCGTAGCACGAGATCTGAGTGATGTCAGCGCCGCCCGCAAGATGTGTCTCACGGCGTGGGGTTGAGCGACGTCGACGACGTCGACTCGTGCGGCGTGACGTGAGGGACGAGCATCAGAGTGCAAGGCGGGCTGGATGGCGAAGACAGAGAGGCGATGGGATGGATGGTGGTTGGAGCTGGCATACGGCGGCGGCGAGCCGGGGTGGTGGGCAGTGTCGTGTTTCAGATGCAGGCTTGCAGGGGCAGCCGAGTGGCCCTGGTTGTCTGGGCCAGGTTGTGCGGCACGGCTCTCGTTGACTGCTGCATCGTGGGCATGCAGGGATCGTTGGCGTGGGCTGTCAAGCAGGGTTCTAATTGTCTGCATCACGTCAGCCATGTGTGTGCTATGTATGTGCAGTTGCCAGCTCTGAGCTGAGGGGCTCGACAAGTGCCCACCTGCTTCACGGGGCAAGCAAGCCACAAAGACTGGCGTCCGTATCCTGAGGCATGGCTCCGGGTCCCTGGGCCGCGCCAAAGCCCAAAGCTGCAGATCAGACAGACAGACAGCTGGACAGCCCAGGGTGCACGGATCGCTGCTTGCGGGCATTGGCGCCTGTTGACTTATGCGGGCGGGCCGCCTCGTGTGCGCTGAAAGGCCTCCGGGGCTCTCTGGCAAGGCACGGCTGACGGAATCTCTTGGGATGGGGCCACCAATTCCTCAAATAGACGAGCACGGCATCTGTGCGCCGCCAGGCCCCACGAGCCCAGTCCGAGCATGTCGCGCATGATGATGGCCTGGGGAGATCGATCTACGAGGCCTGGGTCTTCGGTCGAGAGTCGACAACCACAACGTCTTTGTTCGAGAGAAGGGGCGGAGCAGGCAAGCGCAACTTCTAGCGCGTTCGAGAAACGTGAGGGCAGGCTTTGGGATAGTGAGGCTGAGGAACGACATCAAGTTGTGGTGTTTGGGTGCGACATGGTTACGACTAGAAGCATGATGACAATGCTCTGCAGCGGAGTCTTCGACACCTCAGGTAGGCAGGCAGCTAGACCACCAGCGAACCGGCCAAGACAACCTCAAATATCCGAATGCAACATTTCTACGCAATGCGTCTCAAAAAAAACAAGAAATTACTCGGGGCATTTCCATAGAATCACCCGACCAGGTTGATTGGACAATTTCGAGGTCCTACTGCTGTCTTCTGTTCCTGGCCAGCTCTCCTCGCTCAACAGAACTTGGCCGCATTGACTACATCTGTTCAGTTAGAAATGTCAACACACCTCTCAAGGCTTGCACCAAGCTACAGTATCATAATGCAGCCCAAAGGCTGGGCATCTCCCGGAAGGATTTTGAAAGAGTGCAACTGATGATTAGAGGCCGGACCAGGTCGGCGCCGTGTAGACTGGCGTGATTGGTTCCTGCGACCACCGCCTCGCGCCCCACCCCAGCGTTGGCTTCTCCAGTCGGCTGCCAGCTGCAAGGTCGGGCGGCAGAAAAAAAATTCGGAGCTCTCCCAGCGCTCGAGTACTGGCGCGGCTCCAAGGAAAAAAAAGATGGCGACCCTGGTTCCACCCGCGATAACTGTGCTCTGCTCTACTCTCTGTGTGTGTGCAACTTTTTGTATGTGTTCAACCATCAGCCTATCGCCAGCCAGCTGATTGACCACGCCAGAACGACCAATTGCCTCCAGACAACCTCTGCCAGGCCACGAAGACAGGGACCCAGGACCTGCCCGTCTGCTCCCGTACCAAAATACCATCGCGGAATCCAGCCACCACCCAAACCTCCCCGTTCCCCCTACCTACCAACCGCAACCATGGGCGCAACAAAACCCGAGAAGAAGGAGAAGAAGGACAAGGCCTCGAAGCGCGCCGAGGTCGACGGGGTGACCAAGCCCAAGGACAAGAAGGACAAGAAGGAAAAGAAGGAGAAGAAAGAGAAGCTCAAGAGCGCCGTCAACGCCGCCCTCGATGACCAGCTCCAGGCCGATGCTGCCGCCAACGTCGACGAGGTTTCCGAGGACAAGGTGCTCGCCGCCGCGCCGCCCGCCGTCGGCGCCCTCGTGCCTTTTGCCCTGCCGCTCGCCGACGACAAGGCTACCAAGAAGATCCTCAAGACCGTGCGGAAAGGTGAGTTTTACAAGCAAAGCTTTCTTCCAGCTCCCTGTTGTCCCTTTCGCACAACGACGACAATAAACAACACCATCTATATCACCTCAGCCGGCTATGGGATCAATTGGTTTTCTTCAATTGAGACTCTACGTCCAAAACGAAGCTGTGTTTCGCCGCGCCTCATTCCCCCAGCCTACTCCCCCCTTCGCACCAGATAGACTCGAGACCTCAGCAAAGCTAACCCTCCTTCCCTTTTTCCCACAACAGCCGCGAAGTCCAAGACGCTCAAGCGCGGCGTAAAAGAGGTCGTCAAGTCCCTGCGCAAGTCCCCCGCCGCGGGCCCCAACAACACCGCCTTCCCGGGCGTCGTCGTCCTCGCCGGCGACATCTCCCCGATGGACGTCATCAGCCACATCCCCGTGCTGTGCGAGGATGTCAACGTGCCTTACATCTTTGTCAGCTCGCGCGCCGAGCTCGGCGCCGCGGGCAGCACGAAGCGGCCCACCAGCGTCGTCATGGTCACCGAGAAGCGCACGGGCGGCAAGGCGGCGTCCGCGTCCGCGACGATCGCCGAGGAGGACGGCGAGGAGGACTTTGCCGAGGTCTACAAGGACCTGGTCAAGCTTGTGCAGAAGGAGAGCAAGCAGCTCAAGTTTGCGTAGATTGCGTCGAATCAACGGCATTCCCGCCTGCCTGCACACACCCACACGCCTTGGATAAGGGGACTAGCATGTTAGCCCCCCGAGGTCCTCCTCCTAAGCGGCCCCCTGCATGGGGAAGCCGCACAACATGGAGGTTTCCACAGCCGCACGCGCGGACACAAAAGGGCTGGTGTCGGCATATGAGTTGGAAATCCAGCAAAAACGTGGAGGTGTATGCATACGTACGTACATTTGTACACGAAGGCACTTACGCTAGGGTGGCGCGTGTGTGCGGCTGGATTGTTCTTTTTATTTTATTTTCATAATATGGCGTTCTGGGTGTTGAAATTTCATCTTGTCCTCTCAAGTGTCCTTTATTTTCTCGGAATGGCTTGTCTCGCTGAGCATAGTTGGAAAAAGAAAGCCAGTCAAAATCATGCTTCTACTGCCTTTCAACTCATATGTGCCGTCAAGTGACATCCGGATCTGCGAGCGCTCTATGAGCTGTTCTGCAAGCTGTATTATATGAAATGTGTAGTGTGTTGTGCCGTTTAGATATTGGAGATGGCATGGCTTACTCTGTGCACCTCCTAGGTTGATAACCACAAGCAACTTCATACATTCTAGAGACCTACAGTATTCACAGCATTGGCAACAAGGTTTGTGGAAGTTATTATATTTTATTAACTACACATGAGCCAGCTCGTCATAATCATTACGCTGCTAGTCTGTATTGTTACATTCCAACCTCCACCCGTGCCCCCTAAGCCAAAAAGAGATCATCACCAGAGTGGTCTTTTTTCAACTCTGGAGCTTCCTCAGGCCGGCACACGGATGGGTTGATGTCCTCCTACCATGAGGAAAGGATCAAACGAAGCCCTTTAGTCGAACGGGTTGGTGCGAGTGCCCCACCAGGTGAGGAAGAGCGACAGACCGACGGTCTCGACGATCTTGGCAGCGGCACCAACAGCGACGGTCTCGGCGGTGCGCTTCTCGGTGAAGAGCTGGGTGAGGTACTATCGTGCCAGTCAAAGTTAGCCCTCCGTACCGCCACCAGCCATTGGAATTGGGTTTTGTGGGTGAGCAAAAATGCTTAAGACTTACGGTAGGCGCAGAGGTAGCGAGGAAGATGAGACCACCGAGGTAGGCGGCGCCCTTGTAGCTCAGAGTGGCAGTGGCGTTGAGCAGAGCACCAACACCGTAGGACTGGAGGGCAGAGCCGACGAGGGAAGTGCCCCAGGCGACGGCGGCGCCGGTGGCCTCCTTGGAGCGGAGGAACTCCTCCTTGGTGTTGGCAGCCTTGGCGCGCTGGTAGGTGGCACCGAGGAGCGGGGTGAGAACTGCAGCAGGTGGGAAGACATGAGCATCAGTGTCATGTGATTTTTTTGTTTCACAGAAGAGCACGATTATTGCGAATCGATGACGTGATGGCTCTCGTTGCAGCAGCGATTGGAGAATTTACTCACCAGCAAGCTCAACACCGTGGTTGAAGACGGTACCGAGGGCGATAGCCGAAGGCTTGACGGGGGGGAGGTCTGGTCAAGGGCGCGATATGTTAGCAGGCGATTCACAATTTGTCGCAGGCATCATCATCACTGCGGTGGTAGGAAGCGATAGCTTCGTTGCCCAGGTGAGCAGCTACGGGCCAAGCCCGGCTCGCTCGTCTCTGGACAGAGCTCCTGGGACAGCTGTGGGAGAGGCTGGTGACTTACAGTGAAGAGACATGTTGAGTTGCTGTGTATTGACGTGTGATTCGTTCAATGATGCAGAGTGTGGTGTGGAAGAAAAAGTGCAGCCAGGTTGGGCGAGGACAAAGAGCTTTATAGCATTCCCGTGACTGAGCTAGCCAGAACCACCGGGGAGGAGCTTCTCACGCTGGATGCTTGATTCTCCTCAGACACACGAAAGCCACAGGACGGATGACGACAGGCGCCCCAGCCGGGCCATACCAGGGAAGGCATCCGCCCAGCAGCAGTGCATACACCAAATCCGGTGGGCAGAGCCACGGTACGGCGGGGGGAGTGACAGAGAGAGACACACACAAAAGTGCTGGGCGGGTCGTTCCTCCTCCCCGATCGCGATGTCGAGCTGGGCGCTGGGCAACGAACGCCCCAATTCTGCTCAGAGGGGGGCGTGGCTTGTGCTGCTCTGCGCCGACCAAAAGTGCTTCGGTGATGCGTGGCTGGCGTTACGCGCGGATGACGTCGTTGATCTTGGTCGACCCCAGACCTACTGCAAGTCTAAGCAGCGCCGGGCTGGGTCCAGAACCGACCCCAGCCAGGCCAAGTCTCATTCGCCCAGGCTGCCCCTGGTCCGGCCGGCCCTGCCCTCCCCCTCATTTTCCCTCTGCTGCTCGGCAGAGAGCGATTGAGTTGAGGAATCCCGTCCCAGCTGACCTGGCTGTGTTGGGTTTCCCATGCTTTGCGAGCCAGCGGCGGGCCATGTACGTCAGAGTGCCCTGCTTAGCTGCGGCTCAACGCGGATCCTGCCTGCCCCAAGACCAGACTTTGCACACGGACCACTCAATGACTAACAGACTGGACAGGCTAGACAACGTGCCGTTGCTTTCGAGACACCAGACGCTGCTGCAAGAGTTTCATGCTGGATGCAGGGCTTCTTACTTCTGGCTGCGCGACCAGGCTGCCAGCAGTGGTGCACAGCATCTTCATCCTGGAAGCTGCGGCAATGCAGTCACAGACCTGATTTCGGGAGGATCACCTACAAGATCGAACCGGGCCCCACTCTGGCCGGCTGGGTGACAAGCATCAGCTTGGCAGCCAAGGAGCAACAGCTCCTGCGTACCCCGGTCGCACAGTCCCCACCAAGCTTCCTTCCTCCTCCAGTGAGGACCGGGCGAAGGGCAGCACCAGCAGCGACATATGAATTCAACATTGCATCATAAGTGACGGGAGAGCGCGACAATACACGTGGGCTCGAAACATTCCATTATATTATTATTAGTACGCGTTACCTATTCGGTTTCGCGAGCCTACAAATCTATCGTATAATAAACCGTGCCTAAGCCGGATGAAAAATATACGCTACGTATTCGGTACGCCTAAGCGGCGTCTACGCTACGTGGTTCCGTCGCGTATCACGAATGGCTCTCACCAGCCAGACGTTCTTTGGGTGAGGTTGGTCGCCTTCCTTCACACCTTCGAGCCTATGCGGTTCCTGGGCATATGCGATTCCTAGGGGCGTGTGCGCTTCGTCGGCGCTGCGCGGGCGCATCGCTGTCGGCGCTCTCTTTCCGGAGGTCGTCGTGTAAGTCGGCCTCAGTATCCGGGGCAACCAGTGGCAGGTGCTACAGCACCCTACATATCGACGGCGGCATTGTCGTCGTCGTCGTGATTCCTTCTCTCCTCCTTCAAGCCATCGTCAACCTGTAAGTGTTCTTCGTCGGCCGCGCCGATGTCGCGCCGTTCCAGCGTCGTCGTCGAGGGCTTCGCGCTGACTTCGTTCGCAGCCACAGCAACAGCAGCAGCAACAGCAGCGATGGGTACGTCGTCGCCTCAAATCTCACTCCCACCTCACTTGCCAACTTCGCCATGTTCCAGACCCCAATCATCTCAAGCGCGCCCTCTCCGGGGGCGCAGAGGACGAAGCGAGCGCGCGGCTCGAAACCGTCGCCGCCGGTGTCGAAACATTCCAGGTACATGGTTTTTTTTTTCTCAGCCCGTCTGCGTGCCATGAGATCCTGGACCCAGTCTGAAAGTTCTTGGCGGGCGGAAAAAAGCAAAGAAAAGGGAAGAGGGACGAATAAATGAATAATAAATGCACGACCATAGACACGACACCGCAGCCTAGGATGACCTACTCTTCGTAACGTCAACACTCCAGAGCTTTAAACTACCTCACAGCAGGGCACTCAGCTTTCCAGAATATCGACGTGATCTCCCCGCCAATAGGCATATCATCTTTCGGTGTCCACGTTCTCTACGGCCGCAGTGTCATACATAGCACTGCTCAGCTGTATTTACATGGACACTGTTAACCCGAGGCCAAGTGTCGATACCGAGGCAACACACGGCAAGTCAACAAGCATTAGCCGACTCCAGACGTTCTACGACCCCATGAAAGACGAGGCATGCCCTTGGACAACAGAACGCGCAATAGAGTGTGAAGGAAAGTATACGCTGTAATTAAGGATATGCTTCTCGCAGTCAAATATAAAGATCGCGGTTCTTTTTCCAAAGGCAAGGATCCGGAAACGACGCCTAATGCCGCCATGAATTTGATTCTCGTACACCGTGCCCACTCAACTCGCTCAGCATGGCAATAATCCTACAACACCAGAATCCCAAATACCGCGAGACGGCAAAGTCGCGCCAACATGACCCCTGCCGGCAGAGCTTTCTTGGGCGAGCAGCGACAAAAATCACGACATCTGTCCATCTTCACCACCGCGCAAAGCGAGTAACGCCCTTACGTCCGAAACATATTGCAAGCCCTCCAGGAATGGAACGAGATGCAGCAAATCATTGTCTGTGGGGTCGCTGATCCAACCTTGAATCGGAATCGCGTTGTCTGCACGACTTATCGTCAACGCTCTGGATTTCCAGAAAACAAAAACACTAGTTTCAGTATTACTGACCTTGATGGAACATGTAGCTGAGCGGGCTATTGTCCAGGATCATGACTTTGCTCAGATCGGGCTCGACGAAGCTCAGGTCCTTGATAAAGGCCCCATGTCTGAAGGTACAGTGCTGCCTGTAGTACCGAGCAGAGAAGAACTTTCTCTCAGACTCGAGCCAGTCTATCACGGGGTCGGCGTATTCCTGGACGGATGCCGTGAACACAACGAGGTTGAACCATTTGCAGATCTGCCATGGTGTATACAGCTTAGCCCGCAGTCCTTCACAGCGTACATAAGCATGACTAAATCCTTACCTTGCGCAGAAATTCGTCACAGTGCGGCCGTTTGTGGACATAGTACAAGATCGGGTGCTGCGGACCCAGGCTCTGCTGGCCCCCGTTGGCGACATAGGTCGTATTCAGCCGCACCTCAATCATGTGACCAGATCCTGTCCTGCCGCCGCGCGACATGCTGTGTATCAAGGTTTCATCCAAATCGAGAATCAAGGTCTTCATCTGCCTGACGTCGGGCATCTCAGTCGGAGGCACGTAGGAAGGTTGTCGTCGCGGTATCAAAGGCCGTGGCGGAGCTGGTGTCCTCGGATACTTGGTCAGCGCTCCGGCAGGCGAAGTGGGCGATTTTAGATGGGCCAGGGTCTTTTCCGTGGCCGTAGCGCCCTCGCCGCCGCCATTCGTACTGTTGGATTGCGTCCGCTTATGCTTTCTTTGCCGAAGCCCATCGTCACTATGGAGCTTTATCCGGATAGACCGTCGCTGGGGTGCAATCTCTTCGGTGTCCTGCAGAGACTTTGTCCGGTTGTGTCGTGTATTGGATCCAGAGCCGCGCCGTCCATCCGAGACTCTGCTGGCTAGTTCTGATTCGGAGTCCGAGGAAAGACCAGATGATGACGAACCAGACGATATGTGTGCATAGGGCTTGGCTGAACTGTGGACACTTCGCTGATTGCGGCTCCCACTCCGTTGAGGCACTGACTCCTTATCCCCGAGGGCGACAGCCTCGTGATACTCGGCAGCCAGTTTGTGCGCATCCCCCCTATGCTGGCCGAAGAGTTTACCGAGCTGGCGCAAAGGCGCAAAGTTCCCCTGTTCGTCGTAGAACCACGCCACCAGATAGATTCCAGGCGCGGTAATTGTGGAAATCACAAATCGCAACGAGTCGACGAGAGCGAGGGTTATCCGGGCCGGCAGGCTTCGCCAGGAACGCGATCGGGTGTGGTCCTCTCTCGACTCGCCCCTTTGGAGCAGCGGTGTTGATTCACAGTGGTTCCGGGAGGACGAGGTGTGTTCGTGCTTCTCGTCGTAATCTAGGTTGTGAGGTTCCGCAACGAGGGGTGTCTTCTCATTGGAAATGGCATCGTCGGAAGCACCTACAGGCTCGTCGGAAGGCGCGACACTTGCCAGTCCGACGTGCCCGAGAGAATTGGTCCGGGATGGCGCAGGACTGGATGTTGGGGACACTCGCGCCGAGAGGATATTGAGTGAATTCATCGTGGCTCGTTGGCGCAAGCCATGAAGAAACACAGGGACGTCCCACGGAAGCGTCGGGTAGCTGCTGAGATTCGTGGGTTGAACAGAGGTAGATGGTGAGATGACGAGGGCAGGCCGACGCGTGTCGCGAGAAATGGTGGTGGTCCGATGGGTTAAGGTGAGACCACTCGATGCTTCGTGGAATTGAAGAGAGGCGCTCGATAGCACAGCGCTGTGCTGTTCAAAAACTGGTCGGAGCTGGTTTCAGGGGCGGCGAGGATGTCGGGGAAGCTGTAGGGACCGGCGGTTGCAGTCGTATGCAGTGAAGCTTGGGCGATGGTGGTAGAGGGCCGGTGCTAAAGCCTCGGTTGCAAGAGTGGATTTGAGAACGGGCAAGAGTGGCCACTTTGCGCGAGGAGGCAAGCAATGTCTTGGTGTGTCTGTTTGGGGGAAGGAATCGAGGACGCAGCAGCCCCAAGCAATGGCAGCGGGCTCCAACGTCCGCGCACAGCACGGTCGAGGTCAGCAAGGCGGCAGGCAAAGAACAATTGTATCAGGCGTACTGCTGGTGTTAAGGGCAGGGTTGGCTATCTCTGGCTATCCACGACAAAGCAGCGATCATGCAACCCGGAGGAGGCGTGCAGGAGTGTGTCCCAATACAGCCATCCGGTGGCCTCGCGAGCTAAATCGAGACGGCGACTACAGAATCTTCCGGACCACGGGGCCTTCACGTCCAGTGCTAATGGCTGACGTTGACGCAGGTGGAGAGAGAGGGTGGACAGGCATCTCAGGGCACATGACAAGTGCACCCAGCTCGGTTCGTGGCGGGCAGGGTTGCAACGGCGGCCCGTGACTCGGGCTTCATTCACTACACCTCGAGCTCGAGCAACAGGACGCTGCCGCTCTCAACGATTGACTGACCTTCGCTGTGACGGGCTGCAGCCGCCCACCAGAGACGGCTCGAGACCCTCGCGACAGCGTCATTTCTGCATGAAACTCGTCCTTAGCTGCAAGCTCAGCCACTAAGCTCGAGCAATGAAGACAGCGAGCCCCAGCATGGGTCCTCCTCGTCTGCCGAGGGCACTTTGCCATTATGATGATACTGCTCCACTGAAAAAGCGCCGAGCAAGCACCAATTCTGCAACACTGGGCGCTGCGGATGAGTGTCGATGCAATTACTGAAGCGCCTGGAGCTGCAACGGCCATGCCCCAGCAAGTGACCCATGCAACTAACCAGCAGCAGCCACACACAGGGAAGCACCTGGAGCCATCACCGGCCCGCCCGCCGCCGCAGCCAGCCAGCCATGGCTGCCGCCCACGGCGCAAAACATTTTGGTTGACTCACATTTGCGCCAGCACTACACGGCACAATACACCTTGACCCGATTCTAGATCAGGCAAATCTTCGACATTTCTACAAGATCGCACGGCCGCCACACCTCCCGACAGCCTCCCCCGACACTGCCCCGAGTATTTCTTAGCCCCTCAGCATACTTCGGGTGATAACAATAACAGTCGCGCAAGCTTATCGCCCCTGCCCCTCGGTTTATCCCATCACCCCACCATCGTGAGGTGACAAGCTGTGCGCCGCTTTCAACCCCGAGTACTTCCCCATCTCCACGCATTCGCGACTTTGATCGGTTCCGGGAGCGGTCAGGTCCGAAAATGGCACCCCCTAAGGGAGGGTTTGCTCCAAACCTCGACAAGTTCCTCGACTCACTCAAGAGCAGACCCGTGGATGCTTCTGTCGAGAACCTCATTTCGTACGACTAGACCCTGCTCACTCTTCCATGTGGTCAAGCAAGAAAAGAGAGGACCTAAGCTAACCGGAGCTCGGACGAGCCAGGCTTATTAAGAGACGGCAAATACAGGGTTCCGAGGCCTGTGCCATTGCTACCGCCCGAGTACTCCTGCAGGTAGTAGCCCGCGACAAGTGGGCGGATGTTGACCAGCTTGTCGGCCGGGTCCAGCTAGTTGGCAAGAAGCTCGTGGCTGCGCAGCCTCGCGAGCTCGTCATTGGCAATATCGTACGGAGAGTGTTGGGTTTGATCCGCGACGAGGCCTCGGAAGACCGCAACGAGAACGAATCCGCCAGCCAGTCGTTCGCAGACATCCGCGATGCTGAATCATCAGTGCCCCCAAGCCCCGTTGGCAAAAACAGCTCCAGACCGCCAATGTTCAACACAAGAACACAGTCAATGTACAACCTTCTGTCTGACCCGGACTCGAATGGCGCCCATTGGTCCGGTATCACGACGCCAGGATATGGGTCAGGAACATCTACACCGCTAGCGCAGGCCCAGTCAACGAATGTGTCCGCACTCAAGTCTGAGATCATCGACGGCATCGAGGAGATTATGGACGAAATCAGGCAGGTTGACGAGCAGATCCTGGCGTACTCGGAAATCGTCATCCACCCCGGTGAATACATCTTGGTACACCAACCCTCACGAACCGTGCAAAAGTTCCTGGCACGAGCAGCGACGAAGCGCAAGTTCACAGTGTTTCTCGCAGTCGATCCCTCGTCCAGCACCGCCTCCGTTGATGAGGACTTATACGCTCCCCTTCGCAAGGCGATGGCGTCGAGCGGTGGCACACTGGTTACTGTCATGAACACCGGTTTTATGGCATACATGTCTATGGTCAACAAGGTCATCATCGGGGCGCGAGCCATCACTGCCAAGGGTGGTGTTCTCGTCGATTCTGGTGCTGCCGTCATTGCTCGAGCGGCGCACGCACTGGGCCGCCCCGTGATTGTGCTCGCGGGAGTGTACAAGCTAAGCCCAGAGAGCCAGTTCAACCAAGAGGCCATCATAGAATGGGGTACTCCGTCAAAATATGTCAGCTTCTCCGACGGCACTCTCGTCAAGTCTGTCGGGATAAAGAATGCGGTATCCGAGTTTGTCCCCGGCGAGCTCGTGGACTCATACATTACAAATCTGTAAGTCAAAGTTATGTCATATTTGAGGTTGCCGGACCATGCTGACGAGTTCCGGGGCTCAGGGGCGCGCATTCTCGTGACCATCTGCATAGCATCATAAGCGACCATTACAAGGAGGAGGACATGAGTTTCGACTTCTGGGGAAAGGTGCAGCGATGACCCGGCGGCAGTGGTGGTTGGAACCAGAGATTGCCAGACATAAACCCGTAGGGCGTCGCAGCGTTGTAGACGTGCCGAGCCACGGCAAGAGCACCATGGGACGAGAAGGGCTGGGGCGCAGACTGCTCTCTGCCTATTAAACGGCGAGACACGGCCAGGGCCAGCCATGGCGGTGTCCAGCACAGCGACAGCTGGCACTAATGCTTTAAAAAGTGGTTGCCTGATACAGCTACTCAGCCTCACAAGTTGGTCATTGCCACGACGAGGCCTTGTCGTGGTCCAAGCGAACCATAGTATGCTTGTGAGCAGCTTTACGGCAGTGTCATATCAGGTACGAGATTTGGGTGCATATGGTGGCGGGCGATCAGGCAGCAGCTTAACTGCACCTGCATGGAGCCGTTGCGACGCCCACATCTGGGCTAGGACAGAGCAAAGCTCCCACGCAATATTGCGGGATCTTGAGCTTTCTATTGCAGTCCATTGCTAGCAATGCCACTTCTGTTGTTGCTGCGTACCTTGTAATTGGACCCTTCCTCTAGTCAATGTTCAAGGGCTCGCAAGTGTAGTCAGAACTGGTGTCTGACACCCCACGCTCTGGATGGCGCGGCATCGGCTTATAGAATAGCCCGGTTTCCAGCAGCTGACCCCGAAATCCGTTCTCCTCCATTAGAGCTTCTCACCTAGGCACTTGCAACTGCACCCGTCATATCCTGTCCTCTCTCTACTCCAACTGCTTATATTTCTTGATCGTCACCCACATTTGCATGCTGTCTTGCAACTCACTGCCAAGGCCGCCATGGAGCCCCATGATCCGCCCCCACCGTACTCTGAGACCTGGACGGACGCCGCCTCCGTCGTCCCAGGGCCCTCACCCATCATCGGGACCGGCTCCGACGATGCGTCCCTTGCCGCATCCTCCACTCGCAGCAACATAATATACACCCCCCCGGAGACTCCCACCAGCGAATTTCAACACGGAGTCGCGTCCGGTGTCTCGTCGTCCTCCCCTGTCCATACAGGCACCACCACGAATCATCGCCAGAGCCACTCAAATGCCTCGGCTCAGGCGTATTTCGAGTCTCGCCCTGCCGTCGTCCAGGCCGGATCACCGGCAGCCAAGGACAATGTCCCTTACGGCAATACAAAAGTCATTATTCCAATCCGCGTAACGCAAGACACCACACCAGAGGACCTCGCATTCCCGGACATTCTCGCTGCGGGGCGCCACGATGTCAGCGAGCAGGACTGGCAGACGTTCGTCAACTACCTGATTCCTGACCACATCGCACGCTCCAACGCGAGCGTCATCAGCCGCAAACTCCAAGACCAGTCTGGCGAGCACGACAGCACCACCACCACCACCACCACCACTTCCCCGTCACCGCCACGGCCAGGGTGGGACAGCGAGCTCGCACAGGCACAGCTAGACCAGATCAGATCGACGTTCCCGGATCATGCGCTGGCGGAGCGGACGCGCATCGCGCGGAACGCGGTGTGGGAGTGGAACGACGGGTTCTTTGCCCAGAGGGGTGTTGCTGTCCAGCTCGAGGTTTCCCAAGCACCAACTGCAACGACGGGGCCGACGGCACGGGCATCGGGCACTCGATCGATGCCTGGCGCCTGGGATTTCGAGCCAGCTGATCCCTACGAGAGGTCGAATACTCGAGACCCTCGTGAGCGGACATCGTCGCAGTCACCACATCCGTCACAGGCTTCTTCAGCAGGGCAAGGACAGCGGGCTTGTCCTGGGTCTTCCCGGTGGAATCCCTTCAGCCAGGCACTACGCCTTGGCCCGGTGAAGATTGACGGGGATCGGGTCTCGATTGGCAACTCATTCGAGGCAGACAAGTCTGGGGTAAGATGGAACGGTGTTTCCCTAGAGGAGATGCTTGCTCGACAGGGCTTCCCCTCGCCGTCGCAGGGCGCCCACCAGCCTTGGGGTGGTCATTGGGGCAGCAGTCGGGGAGGCGGCCTTTCAGGGGTCCCTTTCGGTCGCGGCGGTATGGATCGCGGCATATTCGACAGAGGCCGAGGAAGGGGTCATGGTTGGGGCTGGGGCGAACCTCACCGTGGCCATCCTCACCATCATCATGATTCAGTGCCTGGGCACGAGCAAGGCGTACACGATCACGGCCATGGGACACCTGGCAACGCTCAGGGCCGACCTCGCAGCCATTCACGAGCGTCGCACAGGTCTGACCACTCTGATGATGGCCGGAGCTCCATATCTGGATCTTCAGTCAGCTCCTCATCCTCCTCTGCCTCGGCCCCCTCGATCGGCAGCTTGCCCGACTACGAAGACCTCCGCGACGCCCAGCTTCCCATCGTGAAGCAGTCCATCAGCGTATGGCTCGCACATCCAGAACAGCCCGTCACACGGGAGATGGTGCGCGCAGCGAAAGCAGAAATCAAGAGCGCGAGGAGAGCACCACCGAAGAGTACGCGGAATGTCAGAGGATCCGCCTCATCGTCTGCCGTCTCCTTGTCTCGGGCCGACGACCTGCGACCGCCGCCGCCGACATACGACGAGGCTCAGGCTGCTGATAACACGGCGCTCCGAGAGGAGGTCAAGGCTCTGATGGCTGCGTTCGAGGGGCTCAAGCGAGAACAGAAACAACGGCGACGCAGCGAGAAGAAGCAGCGGCGCGCCGCGCGGAGGGAGAAGAAGAAGGAGAAGAGGGCCCAGAAAAGGGCGGCGCGAGCCGAGAAGCGTGCTGCCCGGGCGGACAAGAGGACTGGAAGGCATGGAGCGCGGGACCAGCGACGCCAGCAAGCGCAAAAACAACGGGACGAGGCGCAGCAGGAACGCGAGCGACAGCTTCAGGAGCGCAAGCGGATACGGGACGAGCAGCTGCTCCGGGAGCAGCAGGACCGCATCAGGGAACAACAGGCACGCCAGCAGCAGCTGGAAGAGCGCCGGAGTCGATGGGCGCAATGCGGGCCTGCGGGCCAGCATAGTCCAGGCGCCCATCACGGCGGGGGCGGAGGAGGAGGTTGGAGTCCCTTTGGCGGCTTTGGGAGAGCTGGTGCCTCGTCCTCCTCCTCCCCGTGGGGTCAGTCACCTCCAGGCCCGCCACAGATGGCCCCCACGGGTATACATTATCAACATGATCATCCTCACCCCCCTCTCCATGTCCACATACCTCACCACAGTGTCCAGCCGATCGTGGCCCCCACTCCCTATGGTTCTCTGGCACATCCCCACCACTACGGACCACACGGGCAAGGTGCTGGATTGCCATTGGGAGGAGGACTGGCGGGTAATGGTTCTCGTGGTGGCTTTCCCGGTGTCCATGGGCAAGGTGGTGCTGGTAGGCAGCATGAGAACAACATCCCTGGTGCCGGCCCGCAGCCACAGCCTCAACCTCAGACTTCGGGTTTATATCAGCCTGTGCCATATCACCACGACGACAGCGATAGCAGCAGCGATAACCGTGGCATCCGGATGGCCGACAACGATCACAGTAATGATGGTGACCTAGCGTCCGGCATCAACAGTCTGTCCCTCGGCAGCACGAAGAATCAAGCAGCGGACCACACCGAAGCGCGGATAGCGGATGACATCCAGCAGCTGTCCCTGCTGGAGCAGCCGAGGTCCTCTGAAGAGCAGCAGCATGGTTCCGTGCCCCCGGGGGATTCGGGCCGGAGCGAACGGTGCATTCCGGCTGATCAAGTTGAATGGGATGCCCTCGAGCGCGCGATGGCGGAATTGCTGCACGATGCGCATGGTTTGAAGACTGACGCGGGTAAGCAGGGGACACGATAATCAAGCAAGTGGAATAGGTGTTTGCAGTGATATCCATGGTGTCCGTCCTTGTGAAGAATCAGAATTCAAATGACCTAGTGTAAAGAAAACATTGTTTTTGGCTGGCGTACATGAGAAGTCACCCATGTAACGTTTTATTTTCGATCAGCAATAGAAATATAGCACCGAGTTAGTACCCAGAACTTGATTTTGTCTTTGGTTTTGTCTATGCCTCCTTTACGCCTTGCCAAGATTTTGTCGTTACCATACACTGTGGTACGTCAGAGGACGACCGCCGTGGCGCTACTCATTGACTGTTGGACTCTCCTATTCGACCTGACGCCTCTGTGATTCTCCCTCGTGTCGCGAGCTGGAACTGTCCCCGAGTGTCGTTGACAGCCGCTTGATGACGACATTAGAGGTCGCGTGGCACCTCCTCGGATTCCGGCCGAGCCCGCTGCCTTGGTCTGTCCCCATCAGAAGGAATGACAACACTTCTATGCCTGTTTGCTCTCATTCTTCTCCACCAGCTCAGCGATTCCAAGCTGCCTCCCGACCTTGACCTTGCGCTTGGTGTCCTTCGGCCGGCTTGGGAGCGAGTCATTGGCTGCACCAGCCTCGCCGACCGGCTCGCCCTCGTCCTCGGCTTCGCTGTCGCCGTCCTCCGCGTCGCGGGCATCCTGAACCTGCTCCCGAATGGTCGACAAGTCGAGCTTCATGCAGTGCGCATCCTCGCCGTCGGCGTAGTACTTGGGCTCCGACTTTTCCTGGTCGAAGCCGAGCGTCTTGGTGTAGAGGTGGATGGCGGCCTTGTTAGAGACGCGGACGTGCAGAGAGACATACTGCGCGCCAAAAGTCTCGACCATGGCAAGCTCTAAAGTCGTGATGGATCATGGTATGTCAGCAAGGGGGTGTTCCCACGACGTGCCTGAATATCGCGGTTCGATGCTTCCAGGGAAGAAGGACTTCTCCCCCAGGCCTCGGACTTACGGCTCTGGCGCATCAGCTTTTCAGCAATGCCTAACCTCCTGTGCGTCCGCATGACACTGAGAGAGGTGATGTGGCCGTGCTGCACGCCGTCTGTGGGCTCCTCCTCCATCTTGGCCAGGACATAGCCGACAATCTTTGGGTAGTCGTATGGGGTCTTCTGGGGCCGCGAGACGTCGACGGCGACGTAGGAGAGCTGGGGCCATGACAGGGCGTGGTAGAGGTAATACTTCATGAAGTAGTTTTCGGGCAGGTTCTCGAGGTTGGCATGCTGGATCAGCGGGATGTCGCTGGGCTCGAGGCGTCGGATATCCATTGTGTCTGATTGGGGCCGCGGTCACGGTAGGTATTGGACAAAGTCGTCGATTGAGTTGGCGCAGGGAACGGGTCGTCCGAAGGGGCTCGTTCGTCGACGCAGCCGCAGAGGGTTTGTGGTGGTCTCGCAGCGTTCCGCAGCTATGTCATGAAATAGTGCCACATGTAGAATCGTGCAATTGGGTGGACTGCCCGAATGCTCTCCGCGGGCGGTTGGTGGGGTTCACTCTCGTCCGTGTCGGCAGGCAGGAGCCACCAGGTTACGATGACCAATTGGGAATCTCAATAGAAACCGACACACGCCATTCTCTTCTTCTACAAAGCCATGCCCAAATGGTAAAGTATGCTTGGACGACCATCTTTACCAAGGGAGTTTACAAAAAAATTTTTCTCTCGATGTAGGAGTCAAGGTTGGGGATTCAAAGATCCAGCAACCAAAAGTACACCGTGCCGAAGAGCGCGCACTAGAGGGCGCGGGGCAGGACCCCGAAAAGCACATACATACAAGTACCTTAAGTAAGGTAGGAGAGAGCTGCCAGGCGGCCATATTCACTATCGGGGGTTGTGGTTTGCCAGGCCTGAGGGCCCTCTGCTCGCCATTGGAGCGCATGTCCCAGGGGAATTTAGGCTTGTTTGATACTCCGCTGCGGGGCGCCGGCTCAGGTCCAGCTCGCGTTGTATTGTTGCGCATGGCGTATCTTGTGATCACAGCAAGTCGGTTGCATGGATTACGTTGCATCTATGAGTGGACTGCTACCGAACCCTAGGTACTCTATTTTGAAGTATATAAATCTTCTTGCTGTCCGTGGTTGCGAACAACTGCCTTCTCCAACATCACCAAGTGAACAAAGTCGTCAAGTCTGCCGCTCCTGCGAGTTGCTACGGTACACATCTGCCTCCAAAAAGAGCCTCGAGCCTCCTCCTCCTAAGGCAAAATAATACTTGTGTCTACCGAAACCGTCCAGTCTCATCGTTTCCGATCCGCTTTGAAAATGAGTCGCGTGTTGGCCGGAAAGCTGGCAATCGTCACCGGTGCCTCTCGTGGTAAGTTCTCGGCAGGTCAACAATGCAGAGGCGTTCATGACTTTTAACAATGACCAGGCATCGGCAAGGCGATTGCTGAGAAAATTGCCTCGTATGGCGCCAACGTTGCCCTCGGCTACACAGCAGAGTCTTCCAAGAGTGCTACCGAGGAGTTGGCTGCTCAGCTCTCGTCCCAACACAACATCCGCACGTTCCCAGTCCAGGCGGACCTAGGCACAGTCGAAGGACCCAAGGCATTCATTGCGTCTCTGAAGCAGCAGGCGGCCGGATCGGATGGCTCCTTTCAGATAGACATCCTCATCAACAATGCTGGTGTGGCACACAACAACCTCTTGCCCAAGATCACGCCCGAGCAGTTCGACATCAGCTACCGGGTAAATGTCCTTGGACCGTTGCTCCTGACCCAGGCTGCGGAGCCATACCTGCCCCACGACCGCTCCGGCCGCATCGTCAACATTTCTTCCATCTCGAGCACGACCGGCTTCATCGAGCAGTCTGTCTACGGTGGCACCAAGGCCGCCATCGAGGCCATGACCCGCACCTGGGCGCGTGAGCTGAGCGAGCGTTGCACTGTCAATGCCATCAACCCGGGCCCCGTCGAGGGTCCCATGTACTCCAAGAACAGCGACGCCTTCAAGCGCGAGATCAAGCCCTGGCTGCAGCACACGCCACTTATGCAGGCCCGAGAGGGCGTCGATGCTCCCGAGGTCGTCGAGGAGGCCAAGACGGGTGGAGGCAGACCCGCATATACGAGCGAGGTGGCGGGCATCGCAGCCATGCTCTGCGGGCCCGACAGTCAATGGCTCACTGGGTCAGTTGTCGGCGCGAACGGAGGTTTCATATTTGGACTGTCTTGATAGGCATGATGTAGTTTGAAGTGCTGGAGCAAGTTTGCTAGCTTTTATTCCGGCAGTTTCAGCAATGGATCTAGCAGGATCGCTCTGACTGTGGCTTCAAGCTCAATGACGAAAGTACACTTGATGGAAACCATGCATTGAGACACGGACAAGACATATGATACAGCATGAGAAAACGTGCACTTACCTTTTGTCTCCCATTCCTAGTCGGGTTCTCTTTAAATGAGCTCAGGCAGTAAAGCCAGATACCTATAATCCAGACGCGCAGGTACACAGCCAAAAATTGAAGTTTTGTGCTTGATATATACTGCTCTAAAGGACCGCCAATCAAAGCAAAGCCTCGACGAGTAGTTCAACTGCTCCTTGACCAGCTCCCTTGGTGGTGTAGTTGGTTATCGCGTCAGACTGTAATTGTAAGATTTGTAATCTGAATGTCACCGGTTCGATTCCGGTCCGAGGGAAACCACGGATAAATTCCATTTTTGCTCCGTCCTCGTCCCGCCATTGGGACTTTCTCCTTTGGTGCCCTTGATTGTGCATAGGCGGCACGGGGCGAGCTGTTTGTCCAACCCTGCAGAATGTCATGGGGAGACTTGCAACTACTTTTTGACCTTGGCATAAACTTGTGATCTACACACGGAAGTGACACGCCTGTCTTTCTCGAAGCCTGAAAGCAAGCTCAGGGTGCCAAAACGACGAGGTGCACACGATCCGTCCGATCTCTGGCATACACTGCACATGAACTGCTGAGTGATGCAAGTTGTCGCCAGTTGGGCCTGGTAGTGTTTGTTCCATCATTTTAGTCGCCTAAGACCGGCGGCCTGCAGGTGCGCAGAAAGTGGATGCAGCGCGTGGTTGGACGCGTAAAGGGTGCCGGCCGGGTGTGGCCGTGCGTAGAGCATGCAAGAGGCGCGTCTGGGAATCCCCACTCTGCATCTTTGCGCCTGCCGCCAAGCCCGTGCAGGACGAGGCGCAAAGTCGAGCAGCAAGCAACAAGGAGACAGGTCTCAACAGCGACAAGACGAACAGGTAAATTTGCTGCGACTCACCAGAATCTCACTACTCATCTCTTGTGTTCTCACGGGTTGCTCAACAACAACAGCCGCTGCCTGCGCATCGTCAGGTCCTTGTTTCGTCCTCACATAGCACGGGCCGCAAGCTAGCTGCAACTTTGCATCACCACCTGTTGGCGCAGCTCTGGCGCAAGCTCCAGCAGCGCCCAGGCAGGCAGGCACCTACCTAGCTCGACCCTGTCGCCCTTTTTCTCCGTCGCGCAGCCAACCTGACCCTCTCCACAAGACCTCCTCATCCTCACCAACCCACACTCAACTGCTGCAGCGACTTGCTATCACGACCGCCCAATCGCGGTCCTAGCCATCGCCATGGCCGACATCAAGATCGACGGCAAGCTCTTCCAAGAGCGCATCAACCACTTCGTCAATGCTTGGAAGGCCGACAAGCGCGCTGGCGACGCCATCTTCAATGGCGCCTCTTCCATTGTCATTCTCATGGGCAAGCTCGCCGAGGACGCGCCCGAATTCCACAAGAACAATGCCGTGCACGTGAGTCATATTCCCTAGCCACGCGCCCTTCTAGCACTCCAGTCTCACGGCCTTGTTCAATCTCATACTGACAGTGCTGCACCATATTCTAGTTCTGGCTTCTCGGTTACGAGTTTCCCACGACCATCATGCTGCTGACTCTCGAAACGCTCTACATTGTGACTACAGCGAAGAAGGGTAAGGAGAAGGACCAAACATGCCAAAGTCGTGCGCCTGGGACATTGCTGATTTCCTCCATGTACAGCCAAACATCTCGAGCAGCTTAAGGGGGGGCGCTTCCCCGTCGAAGTCCTTGTTCGTGGCAAGGATGCCGCCGAGAACGAGAAGCAATTCCAGAAGCTGGCCGAGACCATCAACAGCGCCGGCGTAAGTTTCTCAGCCCTGAGTCTATCTTCACGATTGTTTACTGACCGCAATGCGCATGCCTCCAGAAGAAGGTTGGCGTCCTTACCAAGGACACTTCCAAGGGCCCTGTCATCGACGAGTGGAAGGCCGTCTTCAACGACAAATGCAAGGACCAAGACCAAGTAGACATCGCTCTCGCGCTTTCGACCTCTGCCTTTTCCATCAAAGACGAAACCGAACTCAGAGCCATGCGGACCGCCTCCAAAGCCTGTGTCGCCCTCATGAACCCATACTTCCTTGACCAGATGTCGGACATTCTTGACCAGGAGAAGAAGGTCAAGCACAGCGCTCTTGCCAACAAGGTCGATCAGAAGCTGGACGACGATAAGTGGTGGAAGAGCGTAGAGCTGCCTAACAAGCAGCGCTTGCCCTCCGACTTTGACCACGACTCTCTCGATTGGCTTGTCGGTCCATCGGTACAGAGTGGTGGCAAGTACGACCTCCGGCTTATGGCTGAGCCGACCGACGACAATCTTCACGCCGGCATCATCATCGCAGGTCTGGGCCTGCGATACAAGTCCTACGGCTCGACGATTGCGCGGACATTCCTAGTTGACCCCAACAAGTCTCAGGAGAACAACTACAAGCTTCTGTACCAGGTTCATAACCTGATCCTCAAGGAAGCCAAAGATGGCGCAGTCGCCAAGGATGTCTACGGAAAGGCTCTCGCCTACATCAGGTCCAAGCGGCCTGAGATGGAGAAGCACTTTGTGAAGAACGTCGGATCTGGCATCGGTATCGAGTCGAAGGACCCTACACTCGTGATCAGTGGCAAGAACAGCCGAACGCTCAAGGATGGCATGACGCTGTCAATTACGACGGGCTTCACTGACGTGGAGAACCCCTCGCCGCAAGACAAGCTAAGCAAGGTTTACTCGCTCGTCATCACGGACACGATTCGCGTCACCTCCAGCGAGCCTGTCGTCTTTACTGGCGATGCGCCCAGCGATATGGACTCGACCTCATTCTTCTTCAAGGACGATGAGGAAATGCAGCCCACACCCAAAAAGGAGAAGAAGGACGCGCGCGTCGGTGCCGTCGCGACGAAGAACATCACCAACACTCGCCTACGCTCTGAGCGCACGACTCAGGTCGACGAGGATGCCGAGAAGAGACGGCGCGAGCACCAGAAGGAGCTTGCAGCGAAGAAGCAGAAAGAAGGCCTGGATCGCTTCGCCGAGTCTACAAGCGGACAGAATGGTGCAGAGGTCAAGAAGTTCAAGAAGTTTGAGTCGTACAAGCGCGATAACCAGTTCCCCTCCAAAGTTCGCAACCTTGAGATTGTTGTTGATCAGAAGAACGGGACCATCATCCTCCCAGTCATGGGTCGTCCAGTCCCTTTCCACATTCACACAATCAAAAATGCCAGCAAGAACGACGAGGGCGAATGGTCCTACCTGCGGATCAACTTCTTGTCGCCGGGTCAAGGTGTGGGCAAGCGGGACGACCAACCCTTTGAAGATGCCTCTGCACAATTCGTGCGCAGCTTAACCTTCCGATCGCTTGACGGAGATCGTTACGAGGAGATCGCGACCCAAATTGCCAACATGAAGAAGGAGGCGTCCAAGAAGGAGCAAGAGAAGAAGGACATGGAGGATGTCGTTGAGCAGGAGAAGCTAGTCGAGATAAGAAGTAAGTTATCTCCCGCCCCTGGCTCTCACAGCATCTACCACTTCGGCTTTGCATACTAACATGCTGCAACCAGATCGTCGCCCTGCTGTCCTCGACAATGTCTTCATCCGACCTGCTATGGAAGGCAAGCGTGTTCCTGGCAAGGTGGAGATTCATCAGAATGGTATTCGGTACCAGTCGCCACTCAGCACACAGCAACGGGTGGATGTTCTGTTCTCGAACATCAGGCACATCTTCTTCCAGCCTTGCGACCACGAGCTGATTGTGGTCATCCATGTCCATCTGAAAGACCCCATCATGATTGGTAACAAGAAGAAGACCAAGGATGTCCAGTTCTACAGGGAGGCCACGGACATTCAGTTTGACGAGACTGGCAACCGGAAGCGCAAGTACCGGTACGGCGATGAGGACGAGTTCGAGGCCGAGCAAGAGGAGCGCCGCCGTCGTGCTGAGCTGGACCGCCAATTCAAGGCCTTCGCCGAGAAGATTGCCGAGGCAGGCCGAAGCGAGTCCCTCGAAGTCGACATGCCCCTCCGCGAGCTTGGTTTCCACGGTGTGCCCTTCCGCAGCAATGTTTACATCCAGCCTACTACAGACTGCCTCATCCAGGTCACGGAGCCTCCGTTCCTGGTCGTCACGCTAGAGGATGTCGAGGTTGCCCACCTGGAACGTGTTCAGTTTGGCCTGAAGAACTTTGATATGGTCTTTGTCTTCAAGGACTTCACAAGAGCGCCGGCGCACATCAACACGATACCTGTGGAGTCATTGGAGGACGTCAAGGAATGGCTTGATTCGTCCGACATTGCTTACAGCGAAGGCCCGCTCAACCTTAATTGGCCGACTATCATGAAGACTGTCACTGCAGACCCTCACCAGTTCTACGCCGACGGTGGTTGGTCCTTCTTGCAGGCTGAGAGTGATGACGAGGGTCAGGAGGAAGACGAAGAAGAGTCCGCCTTTGAGATTGACGAGTCCGAGCTCGATGAGGCTAGTGAGTCCAGTGAGGAGGATTCTGATTTCGATAGCAACGCTTCAGATGAGGCCAGTGAGGAAGGCTCGGACGAGGAAGACGAGGGCGAGGACTGGGACGAGCTTGAGAAAAAGGCCAAGAAGCGGGACCGCGAGAGCGGTCTCGAGGAAGAAGATAGCCGCGGCAAGAAGAAGAGAAAACACTGAAGGAGGGTGCGGTGGTTGAGGTTCTTGGAGAGGACCTGAGCGCGCCTGCAAGGCTGACTCCGATGTATGATTCAGTGCAGAGTAATAGGGACATTTGGTGCTTGAGAAGCGTTCGAGAATGGGCCGGCAGGCCAACAAAGCATTCCCGCTGGAAGGCGTAGTAGGAGTTTACGATACAAATTGACTGCGGCTGTTTCTCTACATGCACTGGTGAGCTCGTGATGATGAGGCTCAGGCTGTTGAACAATGGTCATGCTAGGGTGGCATGCTGGAAGGGGCTGGGACGGACGGGCAGAGGGCGGCAGGGCTGCTGGAGATGTGGACGCGCAAGGCCGACGTTGGCCAAGACAGCCAAGACGTGCTATGCTGGGGATGGCGGGACGAGATTGGTAGGGTGTGGGTCGGCCAAGCCAAGCTGGGCTCAACGGGCTCTGGGCGTCCAGGTTTGGTCTCGCCTTCTCATAGTCTTGACTGTGTCTCCTTTGCCTGACCGAGATGGCCCCCCGGCCGCTGGTAATTTAGAAGTAAGCATAGAGTTGACAAGCAGCGCAGCGGTAATAAAGTGGGAAGGCACACCCACAACCCAGCGATCTCGACTTCCTTCCTTGGCTCCCGTCCCTCCGCCGCATTCCCCACCCCCAGGCACGCATATCAGAGCTTGGAGCATCTAGGATTTCACTCTGGGTAGAGCAGCCTTTCCCGCATCAAAGAACCGTGCTTGCAAGCAGTAGCCGAATGTCCCAACTCTTTGGTCGGGTCCGGAACAAGCTATCGGGTAGTCAGGCCGATATCGATCCCCACCACTGGCGCCTCCCGCCAGCTGCCTCTTACACGGCGACCAAGAACAACAACAGAAGTGGTAGCGACAACGGCAACAACAGCACCGGCAAGAAACAGTCTAGGCACACCCCTCTTATCCCAAACCCAAAGATCTTCAAAAATGCCTTCATCCCGCCAGATCCAGAAGCTGGCCTCGGCACTCCCAGCCGCAGCGGCACCGGGCTGGGCAGTAGCATGGTCGACGTCACCAACAATAACGATGCCCCAATCTATCCTGACGTGAGCCATGCTGCTGTCCACCTCGCCCTTTTGGAGTGCTTCCATGATCTCCGCCACAGCGCAGACGCTCTCGACATTGAGAACCTCAGATCACACACCACGCACCATCTTCGCCAGCAACAGCACCACCCGCCCACATACAGCGAGAAACCTAGACCTCTGGACCTTGCTGCTACTGGGCCAGGCGCTCCCACCCCGACTGCTGATAACCATGACGGCGCTCAAAAGTGGGATCTGCTTGTCCGCCTAGCCGTCGACCGCTTCGGCGTCTGGTGGCGCGACATCGCCAAGGTTCTGCAGCATGCCTCGGTTTACACGCACCTGCGGCACCCAAAGGCGGCCGTCCAGCTCGGCGAGAACTATCTTCCGCCTCTTGATGTCCTGCTCGTGTGGTACGTCTTTATGCTCCATGGCGACGGCGATGCCTACGCGTCGGCTTGTCGTGACCACCGCGACGTCCCACGCCTCCAACATTTGTGCTTCCCCTGGGAGGCGCTTCGCTCTGTAATCGACACAAACTCTCCGGGGCGGTACCACCACCCGCTTGCCAACAGAGTACAATCTTCTGCCTCTTCTTTGTCTTCACCATCGTCAGCAGCAGCAGCAACTGTGGTCTCACAGACTGCAGGAGGTCACATCCCTGTTCAAAGCGGATTTGCTTACAACCTCCCCCGAGCGGCTCAGGCTCTTTTCCGGACTCTGAGCTCGCAGGACGCCGACGTCGCTGCGTACCTCAAGAAGCCTCCTCCATATGTTGAGGATCACTCCCCATTCGCGTTTGACGGCATCGACCTCTATCGCGAGGTAAAGAAGCTCTTTGGTACGAGACCAAGCGACCCCTCTTCAATTACTTCCAAGGCATTCGTGGATGAGTCGCACGATTTGCTCTGGATCCGCTCCCCTAGTCTTGTCGGAACCTTGGATCGCAATAGCCGACAGTACTTTGAGTGTCTGTTGAGTGGTCAGCTCGATCCGTCGACCATGTCGCACCCAGCTGAGGATGACCCGCTTGGCGACTTCCGACTGCCTTTTGGTCTCGAGCTCTTGTGGAGAACACATCGTCTTTACCCGATCCAATATCGGCTATTCTACGAGGCCAAGCTTGGTCAGGTCCTTTCCGGACAGCGTCTACTGCCAGAAGAAAACACTACATTGATGAGTGGGTTTGATGGCGGCTATGCAGAAGAGATCGAAGAGACAGTGCGCGTGGAGCAGCTCGATCCCAGGGCCAGTGTTACCTCACGTGCTACCCGCAAGAAAGCTATGTGTCTGTGCTGGACGTGCGAGCGTATTCGCGACGACGCACCAGACTTTGCATACTTCGTGGCCCCATCTCGCATGCCCTCATGGCCCATGTCTCCGTTGCACCAATGCTCGTCTTCCTCTTCCTCTGCATCCGTGTCTTCGGCATCCATGGCAGACGACCCCATGTCAACGTCGACATCGTCCACTCCGGCTTCTTCACCTTCTTCAGTGCCGTCTGCGCTGGTGAGCGACGCCACTTGCTACGACCCGTCACACATTCAAGGCCTGAGCGGCGATCAGCTCCGACGGATCCAGGACGACATCGCGTTCTACCGCGCAGTTGAGAGCAAGAGGCGCGCGGGAGAGTCCTTGCCGACACGCACCCTGACGGCGGCGGAGAAGGAGGCGGTGAGGAAGGCGAAGGAAAATCGGTATATTCCAGGAGTTTGAACACACAGGAAAACAGACTTTCCGCCATAGTCGCTTTCAGGCGCCACGGGTTGTATAGTTTACGATGCGGAGAAGAGGCACCTTGGAGTGTTTAAAGATAGCATACGATTGTTGTGGAAGTTGATGAGGCATGGAACAGGTTGTAATGCCGCGGGTATACGAATGTACGCTTTTCATTTCCAGAATCTTTGAACTGTGCCACAGAGTCGTTTTTGTTTGGACTGGTACGTCGTCCACTGTGGCATTGCCTCTAGTCCAAACGTTACCAACATGGATCAAACAAGAGGATAACTGCTCATGCTTCGACAGAAGCAATTTTCTTTTTTTTTACACGCCATGAATTGTCACACGGGAACATCCTTCCCCTCAGCGGTTTCTGTGTAGGTTCTCCAGCTTGGTGAATAAATTGTTGTGTTTGTGTGCGCGCACCTTGCGTGGTACATCTTCATCATCTTGGTCTTTCTTCTGTGTATCTCTCTTTCTACAGTACATTGGCGTGAAGAAACAAAAAAATAATTAGAACGGTCATTGGGCGCCTGTTCTTATCCATGACGACCAATCGGCCCCAAAGGTCAAGGCGACTAGCCTCGCGCGAGCGCTTACACGATGACACTGTCCGCCTGCTCGAGCCAGAGGTTCGCCAAGTCCCTCGTCAGCCCGAGCCGGATCTTCCTGAGCGCGTCCTGCGACTGTGACGACGAAGAGCTATTGTTACCGCCACTCCCGTTTCCATTACCGTTGCCATTGCCGCCACTGCCCACCGTGATGGCACCCGTCGTCCGCCAGTCCCAGCTGCGCTTGATGGTTCCCTTGATCATGCCCGACTTGACGACAGACTGCTTGAACTGCGACGCCATCATCGAACTGCCCGTGAGCATGAACGACCCGCCGCTCGCGGTGGTCGACTTCTTCATGAGGTCCGCGGGCGTGGACCCCTTGACGCCCTGGCCGGACGCGAGGACGAGCTTGAAGAACTCGTCCGCGGCGTCGTAGACGCGCGACCCGACGCTCTGGATGTCCTCGATCGCCTTGAGTAGCACGTCAATCTGCTCCAGCGTGATGACGGCGGGGGACTGCCCGATGAACACGGAGGCCTCGCCTAGCAGCGCAAGCAGGAAGTCCTCGCTGACCACGGCGTCCCGGCTGTCGTCGTACAGGCCACCGCGGATGTTGTCGTCGGCACTAGCGATGACTGCGATGAGCGCGCTGGCAGCCTGTTGGCGCTTCGCGACCGAGTTGCGGCCTGTCGGGTTCTCGATGCTGTCTCGGCGCTCGTAAAACCTTCGCAAGGTGGCGTATCCGCTAAGCATCTTGCCCAGGAGCTCCGCCGCCTCGAGGTCCTGTTTTGCGAACCGCTCGAGTGTGGTTGTTCGTTCTTGGAGAAGCGACCGCAGGTTCTCGTCTAGTTGGTTCTCTGGTGGATAGACTGTCGACTCCACGAGAGAAATCGACATGAGTGTGTTGAGTACGTCCCGAAGCTTGTCTGGCCGGTGTGCCAGCGAGTAATACCACAGTGTCTGTCCGTAGCGATGTGTGTCACGGGCAAGAATGTCGCCAAAGGTCTGTATCCTTTGTTAGCATTTCTCAAGGTAACTGTGCCACAAATGACCGGGCATACCTCAGCAGTGTCCTCGGCAAAGTTAATCATGCCAAGCTCGTTAAGCAGCCTCCAGATTTTGTCGACAGTGTCGTGAGAGCCCTCGTCAATCGTGGCCAACACGCCTCCTAGCAGTTCTCTGACGATCTCTTCCGATCGCTCCGGTGAGTCGAGGCGTCCAACGACCTGCACAGCGAGCTCCCATCCATCGCGGCTTGTCCTGCCGGTGAGGCCTTGTCCAGAGACATGTTTCCGATCCCTCAAACCGCGGGCATAGTGAATCAAAGTAGTGTCCTTGAGGCCATCTTTCTCGTCCATACCTGCAGCAGTGCTCAAGCCCAAGACTTCCATGTCTTCCTGGTCGAAGCTCTCCATCCCGATGAGATTCTGTGGCTCGGAAGGTGGGAGCCAGCGGCCGAGGGAAGCAATTTCGGCCACAGACGAGGCGACTGGTAGAGACCACATTCTGAGGATACTGATGGCAGCCTCGACGTTGCCTTCAAACACACAAGCCACGCCGACCTCGATCGCGTCTGTGGAGTTGAAGTGGAAGTTTGATTCTGTCGTCGCATGCAAGCACATGGCGAGCCGGTCAAAGAATATATCATCCGCGTGCGAGTCACCCGCAGCTGTGATCGACCTGGATAATGAGCGGCCATGGGAAGACTTGTTGTGGCCGTCATCCCACCACCCGAACAGGCCGAGCGTCGCATCACACCAGTCGTTAGCAGCAGCTAGGATCGGATCGGGCTCGCCAACCATGATACTGTAGAGAGACTGCAGGTTCTCGTACACGTCCCACGGGATCAGACTCTGTGCCCGCCTTGACATGCCTGCGAGCGACTGCGTACTATCCATCATGTCGGAATACTGGCCGCGACCGCCGCGCCCGAAACTTGACTGCGCGGGGACCTTTCCTTCAGCAAAGCTGATGAGGCTCTCCTTGGCTGCTTGAGCCTTAAGACGGAACAGTGTCCAGTCGCTACTGCGAATATCCCAGCTACCATCGCTGTGCGCTGGGCATTGCTCAATAACAAAGCACATATCCTCTACCGCACGCACGATATTTTCGGCCGCGTGGCTCGCGTAAAGAGGCTTACCCCGTGGCGCCTTCTTCGCGGATGCCCATGCGGCGCCTCCGAGGAGCTGGATCGTGTCGGAAATGTTGCCACGAATCAAGGAGCTGAAAACACATGGCCAGAAGAGCGCATGCGCTGCAGGAGCTGGGCGATAGTTCTTGACGGTCTGGATCTGGTCCTTGTCGAGGTTCTGATTCTGGTCCTGCCACTCGAACAGTATTCCAGGCAGAGCTTGGTATCTGGGGCCACCGAACTCTGTCTGGCTGGGCGGGTTGTGATATAAAGTGAGCATGAGTCTCGCAAGATACTCTGCCTTCTTGAAATCGGGTTCCTCGGCGCTGGGCCCAACCTTGGCGGCCTGCTCGCGATATGGGGTCAGCATGGAATTAGCATGAGGAGCCCACACACGGTCGAGTAGCCTGACGGAGGCCTTGGAAAGTGCCTCCTCGAGGAGCTCTACATCGTCTGTGGGACCAACACCCTCGTCGTAGAGGCGGTTGATGATGTCTTCGGTTTGCAGGATCACATTTGCAGGTTCAGACACCTGTGCAAAGTCTGTATGGCTTGTCAGGTCCTTAGCCAGAGGGACATAGCGGCACTCGCGCCTTCGTGTGTGGCGCATTGATGAGGCCCGCATGATGTTATCTGCTTCTCGTCGCACACGCTCGTCCGCTGCCGGGGTCGTCAGCATCATCGCGTCCTCTTCGCGGTCATTGAGAGCTCCTCCGTATGGCTCGACACTAGCGATCTCACGCAAGAGGTCTTCTTCGATGTCGTATTCCGCATCGGCATCCTCGTCCATGGCCTCGTCCCGACCTTCGTAATCGTCTTCGCCCTCCGCATCTTGGTAGTCGTCATGGTCCAGCTGTAGGGTATCGTTGCCATTCTCCGTATCGTCGCCGTCGGACTCGTCGTCGTAGTTGATTCCAAATGTCCCTGGCCGGCTCGGGGGCAACTCTTGCTGGTATTCCTGTTCCTCCTCTAAGCCCTCGTCGTCGTCGTCGTCATCATCGCCAAAGTATTGCCTGCTGAGACTCGAAGGTTGCCTGGTGGTTGATCCACGGGCAGACCGAAGAGACCTGCCTAAAGGTGCCTTGTGACTCTTGACAGACGGGCTCCGGTTCGCGGTGGCCTTTGGCCTCCCAAAGTTGGGGGCTTTTACAGAGCCGGCCATGACGCCAATGGAGCTCTTCAAGAATGACGGGGAGGGCTCGCCAGCGGGTGTGAAGGAAGCTGCCGAGGACGGTGGCGGAGGCCCGGCTGGGGTGGTTGATGGGTGGTCTGCATCGTAGACGTACCGTGAAGCTGCGCTTCTGCGTTCTGGGGTCGAGGGGGCTGGACTGGAGCTAGGCAGGTGGAACGGCATGATGGCTGGCTGCTGCGCAACTGTTGTCGCAGCGTGTCAGGGCGGATGGTTCGCTGCTGCTTATTGTGCAGCCAGGGTCGCGTGAAACAGTGCGGCGCTCTGTGAGTCGGGAGCAGCAGATTCTGGGTGATGGGCAGCGCATCGACTTTTGTTGATGTTTAGCGCTGGTTAGGCAACGGCGCGGATGCAGCCCAGAGGTTTGCACAGACGGGTTGCATGAAGGCCGCACGCTTGAGACGGGTGAGTGAGTGAGCGGCGGTCCGCAGTAAAGGCAGACGTTGCGAGCAGGGCAGTATCGTAAGGTGTGTCGGTAAATGCCCTGTCTTGTGCGTGCGCCAGCGAATTGCTCAACGCGACTTTGAGGCTGGCGCCAATGTTGGAAATTTCCAATGGAGCTGTCGATGCGCGCCTGAGGTTGGACAGTGCGCATGGGAGCTTTGGGCACCCAATTGACACGTTGGAGAGCTTCCGAGCTCCAGGTAGTGCAGGCAGGAGGGACCCAGCGCATTAAGGTTGTTACGAGCATCAAAAACCACGCCAACGTCATCTGTGAGCAACTCGACCACACGCAAGAATTGGTCATGGCCTGCGGATGGGAGGGCCATGCTTACCAGAACCCAGCCTGCCTTCTTCGATGGCTCTGTCAAAGCAGGAGTGCGCACGGCTGCGATGTTGATAAACCATGTTATGCATGTGCGGCTGCTCAAACTTGGAGCTGGCCACCAGGCAGTAGCCAAGAACAACAAAGTGACAGGCGCAGATCCGCCGAGAACATGCTACGATGACATTATCACACACACACGACATGCGACCAAGTGACTGCGAGTGCACAGTCTCGGTTGAGGAGGACAAAGGCCGAAGCGACATCAAGGTCCCCGTGCTGCAATTGCCTGCCTGGGTACAAATACCCGGGCCCGACTGCCGGCGCCCCGGGTCTGCTTTCCTCCTCAAGCAGAGAGCCAGCCCACTTTGCACGGAACGGACAAGACGACAACACCCAACAGGCATGCTCCGCGCTAGCCAAGTGGCCCAGCAGGCGCGGGCCCAGGATCAGACATGACATGCCGAAGTCAATGATTTCCCCGACCCAGCATACCGAGAAAAGTCCACTCCGCCTCCCGAGACCGGCCAGCCCAAGTCCCGGCACCTTATCACTGACCGAGCCGTGAAGGTGCCAAGCGGCCAGCTGGGGCGCGTGAGGCCAGGAGGGGTCTTGGCCGGTGCGCCCGACGACGATCCTGTAAGCTGCGAGAGTGCGTCTCCTTTGTGCAGAAGGTGTGCAGGCAGGCGGTTGACGCGTCGTCGTCGGGATTTCTGGGGTGCTACAAACTGCCGGCAAGGGGGCCAGCCTCGAACTCTGCAGCGCAGAGTGAGCAACCATGACAACACCGTCGGCACACCAGGTGTGGTGGATGAGGGCGGGGTCTGGCTGGGGAGCAGGACGGCTCCAAGCAAAGAATTGGAGAATCGGCCGGCTGGTGCGGGCCCAGGTGCGTGCAGTCAAGTTGCGTCGACACCTCACCATCAACTTCTATCTGCGCTGCCGCCCACCTGCCCCGCCATCCAGCAACAGCTTCCAAGGTTCCCTTATAACCTCTTCGGGCCGCCCTCCCTCCCGTCCAGCGCGACTGCTGCCCTCCTTTTCCTTTCCTGCTCGAAATAGCTTCATTCTATTACCCTTCCGTTTGTCAGCCCGAATCCATCCGCAATGTCTGACACCACCGGCAAGGTACGTCATCGCCAATAGCTAAGCCCAAGCTCAGCCCAGCTCGGCTCTGCTCTGCTCTTCTCCAACCCCACCTCGCTCGCCTTCGTGGAGGCGCTCTGAGCAGCCAAGTTCAAGAAACAGCGACCAATGACAAGTCATACGGTCCACGGAGCTAACGCTGTTCCTCCGATCCTCAGACCATCACCTGCAAGGCCGCCGTCGCCTGGGAGGCCGGCCAGCCTTTGAGTGTTGAGGACATCGAGGTTGCTCCTCCCAAGGCCCACGAGGTCCGCATCAAGATTCACTACACGGGTGTCTGCCACACAGGTATGCCGTTTCCCCGCGCCGTCAGCTTCGTGACGAGCCGGCAGCTAAGACAGTCGCAATACAAGATGCCTACACCCTCTCCGGCAAGGACCCCGAGGGTGCCTTTCCCATTGTTCTCGGTCACGAGGGTGCCGGTATCGTCGAGTCCATTGGCGAGGGCGTCACCAACGTAAAGGTCGGCGACACCGTCATCGCGCTCTAGTAAGTTTACGCCCTCTCGGCAGCTAATTCCGCTCGAGCTCCGGTCGCACAACCAGCTATGCCGATCCAGGCTGACCACAAACGCCTTCCTCGTACAGCACACCCGAGTGCAAGGAGTGCAAGTTCTGCAAGTCCGGCAAGACCAACCTCTGCGGCAAGATCAGAGCCACCCAGGGCAGGGGTGTCATGCCCGACGGTACTTCGCGCTTCAAGTGCAAGGGCAAGGACCTCCTCCACTTCATGGGCACCTCTACCTTCTCTCAATACACCGTCGTCGCCGACATCTCCGTTGTCGCTGTTCAGCCTGATGCTCCAATGGACCGGACGTGCCTGCTGGGCTGCGGTATCACCACCGGTTACGGCGCCGCCCGCATTACCGCCAACGTCGAGGAGGGCTCCACCGTCGCCATCTTCGGTGCCGGCTGTGTTGGTCTGTCCGTCATCCAGGGTGCGGTTGTCCAGAAGGCCAGCAAAATCATTGTCGTCGACGTCAACAAGACCAAGGAGGAGTGGGCCAAGAAGTTTGGTGCGACCGACTTCGTCAACCCCAACGACTTGGGTGACCAAAAGATTCAAGACAAGCTCATTGAGATGACGGATGGTGGCCTGGACTACACTTTTGACTGCACAGGCAACGTCAACGTCATGCGGGCTGCCCTGGAGGCTTGCCACAAGGGTTGGGGTCAGAGTATCGTTATCGGTGTTGCCGCTGCTGGCCAGGAGATCTCCACACGGCGTAAGTGCCAACTCCAAGTCTGGTACATGAATTTCAAGTCACTAACAGACATCTTACTTGCAGCATTCCAGCTTGTCACCGGTCGTGTATGGAAGGGTTGCGCGTTTGGTGGCGTCAAGGGCCGAACCCAGCTTCCCGGTCTCGTTTCGGATTACCTCGAGGGCAGACTCAAGGTTGACGAGTTCATCACTCACCGCAAACCCCTCGACGAGATCAATGCCGCTTTTGACACGATGAAGGCTGGCGACTGCATCCGCTGCGTCGTGGACATGAAATAGGCTAGGTCTGCAGCACAGAGGGAGCCACGCACGACTAAAAAAGTAAATAATACCAATTAAAAAGGCACGCTGCTAGGCGACCACTGAGTGAATGCTGTCAGGTGGAGTTGCAGAGACTCTCACCGATATCGGCGCTTCGGTCATCGAAACATGCTCTGTGTGGGACGGGCCAGCAGCACGTGGCGGACTGTCTCGCGACGGGACTCGGCTTTATAAGTGAGCCAACATTGGGCCACGCGATGTGTATGTCAGCTGTGATGAGTTATGGACAGACTGTGGCCCAAAGGAGTGGTATGGACTGCTGCAAGTCTACTGCGGGTCTCACAACGCGCAGGCATCATTCCCAAACATTTGTGGAAAATGCTTTGTCCATGCACTTCAGCTTAGGGCAGTGCTGAAGTCTGAAGGAAATAGAGCAGACCTTGGATTTCGACGCCAGTTCGACCAGGAGCATTGAATGCTTTATGCTTGATTGTCGAGGACTACCGCCTGATTGGGGTCTTGGGTTGCTCGATGATTGCGCCGTCATCTGAATATTCCCCTCAGGCTTTGTTCTTCGGTTGCTTAGTGGAAGTGATATCCAAGGAGGTGCGGAAGCACTCTTACACGATTCCATTGCACTTGCTTGTTGTCGCACGTCATGCCTGCTTGGCTGCCTGACTGTGTGCCGCCCGACACCTCCAGGGCTGTCCACAAAGGATCACAGTCCAGTCAAACACAGCATGGATTGCATCAGCTTCACTTTCCCAAGCACCGCACACGACCGATCCGCACCATTCGCAGTCTCCACATGCATGCGCCATGCGCCATGCGCCATGCACCTACCTGCCTGCCTGCCTGCCTGCAAGTCGGCACGTCCCCACGACCTCGACGCCGCACGCTGCCCGCAGCCACGGTCAGGAGGCGCGGCAAGCAGCTCTAGAAACACGACTCGACACGTGTAGCACTCTCGCGCGGCGCTCTTGCAGGAATGGCTGCCCACCGCGACCAAATCAGAAAAGGGCTGGAGACGAAAACGCATGCATGCACTTTCATCCCACTTGTACGCCAGAGGATCTGATCTTGTGATGCTGGTTCTCGTGGCAGACCTCGGCCCCTGTGACAGGTAAGGAAGAGGCAGCAGAAGAAGGTTGGGCATCCTGCCTGCATTTCGAATGCATGCGACAAAGCAGCCCTGCGAGCTCATAACTTCTGCCGCCACTGCGACATTCGTCCAGAAGAAGACGCTTGGTCTCCTCTCCAACCAGTGCAGCGGCGGCGAGACTGGCAAAGGCAAAATACCGCAAGCAGACGTATGCACATGCTGCTTCTAATGCGACCAATCAGGACTAGACATCGTGAGCATTCGCGATGCTTGCGATACCTAAACTACCCTGCGAGTGGATCTTTCGCGACCGCTTCTCGAGGTATGTGGGTCGTGTACCATCTGATAACCGCGCATCGCCATGACAACTCTCCACTTGCGAATCATCACCTGTGGCGGACAGGTGTGTTGCGTATGACGAGAACCTCTCGAGGAAACAAATCAGTCGGCTCGTCCTCAATTTACGTGGTTGACGGGAGAAGCCGCCGGCTTGCACCACACTAAAGGGAGACTGGTCCACGCATGATATTCTCTGCTTCAGACCTGCAAATCGAGTAGCCAAGCCGGGCCTCGTGATACGAAAAGGTCTGCAGTCTTCGACTCACATGCCCTGGTCGGCACCATATTTGCGACGCATTCTTATTTGTGCGCACAAGTCGAATGGTGTGCGCCTGCTGCGGCCAGCATGCAGCTCTGCCGTCCCGGTCGGCCGTCCGTTGCGAGGTGTGATGGAACCGGTCCCAAGCAGGGTCCCACGGCCACTCGAGCTTGCCGTGCAGCATGCAAGTGCAGCATGCCGGTTTATTGTGGGGAGATGGACCTTGATACGGACAAGGGCATGTTCAGCAGGACGACCCGCGAGACCACCATTGGGGTTTTGAATCCTCGCGCCGCGTGGGAAAGTCGACACTTCGCCCACGCGGGAAGCCAGGGTCAGGGTGGCTGTGTTTCAGACCCCTTCTTTCTCAAAGAGTATCTGGACACACACAAGATATGGGAAACCAGTGACACGGCTCGATAGATGGACGACCCTGGACGAGCGGGCAGAAACGAAAGCCACGCCCGGAAACACCTTGAGACATAGGACGGAAGTTTTCGCCCGCCAACAACTGAGACTCTATCTAGTGTGGTTCGTGGACAGCGCAGACGCTCTCGAATTATGCGAGTCTCCAATAACCATCCACATGGCGACAGTCAAGCACGACAAGCATGTCCGAGAAGACCCGAAAAATGTGATCCGCCCGGACACACACCCATGCTCATCGCTACGATGCGCCATCGGTAACAACGGGGGCCCAGCGCTGTCTTTTATACCAGGCTAGGGTCGTCGGGGGACGCCAGCGCGGCAGTTTCGCGTCAGTGTCGCGTGGGGGATGCGCGCCGGCGGCGGCTGTCAGTGATGGCCCCCAGCCCCCTTTTGGGACGACGACAGGTGCAGCTGCAGCTGTGATTGGGCGGGTGTTTTGGCGGATCTGCCCAGGGCGACAGTGCCGGGGGTGGCCTGGCTGCAGCGGGAAGCCCCCGCAATGTTTCAAGTGCGCTGACTGGTTCTGGGGCCCTGCGGTTGAGACGGGGCTTGACTGCGGTGCAGCTAGGCCCTGCCGGCGGCCTCGCCCGGCAGCCACTCAGCGTCCCCGGCGCGCCCAGTTTAGGCCTCTCGCGCACCGGCACGGCCTCTGAGTGGCTGCAGCCGGCTGCTGCATCCTGCATGCCGCCTCGCTGCACCTCCACAACGCCAGCAGAATGACTCACCCAACCATCGCCAGCCCGCGGCGGTTGTTCGAAAACACCTGCCCGTCGACCCGTGTTTCCCACGAGGGTGCGAGGATGTGCAGCGCCGCAGGGGGCGCGCGCCCGCAGTCTGCATGCAAAAATGGACGCACTGCACTGCGCTCGAGCGCAATCAGTCACGTCGACGTGGTCTGCTATAACAGGACCGGCCGGCCAGCCCGCCCACGGCCGCTTCTCTTCTTCCACGGGTCCTCATCCCCTGCGACGACGTTGACTCACCACCATCCCAGAAGCCCACCCTCGCCGCCAGGGTCTATAATCCACCCAGACGAGTCACAGCTCTGAGACCACCACCACACCGCCATATGAGCTGCGAATAGCCTCCAGCAAGCCGCACGCACAACCGCCCTGCTGGGCCACGACCTGGAAAACACACAAAAACACAAAAAACGAAACAAATCCTTTATATATCAAAATCCGCCACTCCCGCCACACACCAGACTCAACCACCTTTTCCCGGAATCATCACACCTCAGCTAGATCTTGTCTGTCCCGCTATATGAAAGCTTGCCATTACCAAACCTGGTAGTCCCTTTGTCGAGAAGACAAAACGCTCCGCCGGCCCCCCCCATTCCCACTCCGCCATTACGACATGCAAACATCATGGCACCAGCAAATCAAGCTTTCCACTGCCTCTGGCAAACAGACAGGATCCGCGAGATCCTATTTGAGCTGCTGTCCAAGGAGGACATCTGTAATGTGCGCCGCACCTCGCCGGCGTGCTGTAACCTTGTTACCAAGAGACTATTCAAGAGAACCCACTTGACCTTCACCGCCTCCACCTTCACCCGCCAGAGCAGAGTCCAGGCTCTGTCGAGGATAGGTCACCACATTGAGCACCTCACGTTCCACTTCCCCCATTCGGAAGCCACCTTCCTGCCGCCGCTCATCCACCCAGACTCGGGCCGTGAAATCAGCTTCCTGTACAAGCCACACACCTCCATCGCCTCCGTCCTCGAGCGCCCAAAGTTCGCCAACTCTGGCCTCGGCCAGATCCTGACAGAGCAATACCCGCCCCTCTTCCATGCTGCCTCCAACGTGCCTGCCTTTATCCATGCCATCAAGCATCTCGTCAACCTGAGGCACCTCACCATCCGCACGCCTGGCCAGGACGCTAAAGAGAGGTATCGGCGCGACATTGTTGACTACGCCCTCATCAGCCTCCGCATCTCCCTCGAGCGTGCCCCCATCACTCGGCTCTCCAAGCTCTCCCTCGTCTCCGTCCACCCCGCAGCCTTCATCTACCTGAGCCATGTCCCTGGCGGCTTCGGCAGCCTCCCCTCTGCTGGCCGCAGATGGCGGCAGATCCGGCGGATGAACATCTCGGTTGAGGCCTGGGACTTCTATAGCACCTCTCCTGGTCTTGACCACCTCAAGATGATGGAGGATTACATCCGCAGCTTCTCGGGCAGCCTCGAGAAGCTCACCTTTACCTGGTTGGGCCGCAAGGGACCCTGCCCACTGTCTCTCGCCACTGACCCCCTCTTTGCGCCGCCCCGGTGCACCCAGAAGTTGTTCCACGAGGTCACGTCGCCCATGTCCCCACTGCCACCGGCCCCGGCCCGGAAGCCTGTCGTTCTGCCCAAAGCCCGCTACCTTGCTGTCCGCAACGCCACCATGAACGAACGCCAGGTTGCCGATCTCGTAAGCTCGCACCAGTACACTGTGCGCGAGTTCGACTTTGAGAATGTCGTCCTCATCAATGCCGGAAGCTGGGATAACGCCCTGGCTCCCCTTCTCGAGCACCCCTGCACCAAGGACAACTGGTCTCGCCACTCGTCAGCCACCATTGGCGAGACACTGGAGAGCATCCAGAGCATCCGCGAGGACGTCGCACCCTCCTCGCCTGCTGACCTGTCCGGGCACTCGGCAGCTGTTGCTGCTCTGTCCCGGGACCTGCTAGAGATGGAGCTAGGTCTCGACGACGGCGAGCTGGACGATGACCAGGTGACCATTGCCCCAGACCTCGACTCCGACCTGGAAGCCGCCAGGCAAGCTAGCTTGGCGTGCCCGTCCAGGCTCAAGAAGCGCCGCGTCACCAAGCGTCGGCGCAGACGCAAGGAAAGCCACGAGCGCGTCACGGAGGACGAGCACGAGGAGAAGCCCGAACAAAGGGACATTCTCCAGCGCCTCAAGGACACGACTGCCGAGGTCAAGGGCCTCACGCGGGAGCATTCCTTCTTCCGCCGTCACAGACACAAGAAGACGGCCGATTCGATCGAAGAGGTCCCCGAAACTCCCTGCCCCAAGCCCCGGTTCCTTCGCCACGACACTGGCGACTCCATCTCCTCGCTCCTCGCCGAGCCGCTGAGCTTCACCATGCCAAACTATCCCTCGCAGATGCGGCTCTTTGGCGAGGTCGAGAGCGTCCACTCCTATTGCCCTTCGACTCGTCTTTTTGGCGAAATCACTCGCGATTCACTGCTCGGCTCAGAGCCTGATCTGTACAACTCTACCACGGACGCCGAGTCGGTCTCCGACGACCCTTTCCGTCCACAGACACCTGCTACCCCCACTGGGCCTACCATGAGCATCTCCTCCCCGATCCTCAATACCGAGCCAAGCATGCCCATCCTGCTCCAGCCCGCGGTGTATGACCCTACCGCCGAGCTCTGCTCCGAGATCAGCGCGGTGCAGCGCGACATGAAGGCCGAGGAGGCTCACCGCGCTTATGCCGAGGACGTCGAGATGCAGACCAGCGCCCTGAAGCGGGCGAAAGAGCTGGTCCTGAGCCGCCTCGGAAACCAGACCATCGCCAGCCCAACATCTACCACAAATCAGCACTACAACAGCGGCTTCGGGGCCTCGCTGTACAACGGCAGCAGCAGGGACTCGCGCAAGGACAGTCTTGGATCTGGCGGCTTTCTCAGCAGCGCCAGGTTCCGCGAGGGCCTCTTCCGACGAGGCTCGCCTATCCCACAGAGCCTCAGACACTTCTCGGGACACCATGACCACAGATCCATGGACGTTCCCATCTTGTTCAGCAGGGCATAATTAGGCACACAGCACATGAACCCTTGACCCAGCCTGACCACCAACATACATCCTATCCCTCCGACATCAACACCATCTTCGACTGCGTATATATTAGGGATGGATTACTTTGTGATACATATTCCTCCTTCTCCAGCCTTTCCTGCTTTTCCTCCTTGTCTTTTGTACCACCAGCGCGGCGTACCAGGGCGGGACTCAATGGAGGGGAACGAACCACAAGGAGCAAAGGCGTAGTCGTCTTATCTTTTCCAGCGATTGTGTATACCTTTTGTTTGTATGCAGCGCCGGGAATCCATGGGGACACAAACCTTTCAGGTCTTGTAAAGCAAGACACACACACACACACACACACACACACACAAGACGCAATGACAACGACAAAACACGATGGCAACATCGCAGTAACGGCGACACACAGACGCACACCATGATATCATGACCATGAATTATTCACAAAGACACTCTTTCTTTTTTCCTTTTCTCTACCTCACGAACGACTATGACGACGAACAATACCTGTAACGACCAATGACAAAATCCGGGTGCCTGGATTTGTTTCTTCTTTCTTGCACTATCGCTAACGACTCTTGTAATGACTCAAATTTTGGATATACCATTTATCTTCACGATCACGATCACTGGCGCTCGGGGGGATGCTCTGACACTTTTTTCTTCTTTTACTCTCTTTTGGCCTTGGCCTCTGTAGTATTAGTACAAATGAACACGTCTTTCATGACCCATCGTAAAATGCGTGGTCCCCTGTGTTTGACGCTGATGCTCTTCGCGGATTGCGCGCCGCGCGCTCGCTGAGTCCCTTAATTTTCGGCTATTCGTGCTGCCGCTGCCGCTGCTTTGCTATTCCGACAACACCCTGGAACTGGGCCGGGCCGGGACGGGAGAGGCATACAACCCTGTATATGTCCCTGTGCACTTGTCAGGCGGTAAGACGAGCAAAGGAAATGGGCAGAGGATAGTTTACTCAAGCTGATAAGACCACTTCCCTGCCTGGGGGATTCCAAAGAGCATTTGGCTTTTGACGGTCTTAAGCCCCGTTGGGCGGGGCTGGGGAATGAATAAATGGCCTTGAACGATCAGACGACCAAGGTTGACAAAACTTACAAACACAACACACAAGCACGCAATAGCACAGCAACTGGCGGTTCTGTTCATTCTTTGTCGTCGTTTGTAATAATAAAAATGCGAAGGACCAACGGGCTAGGGGAACTACCGACCTACTGAGCATACAACCTGGCCAAAGAAAAAGAAAAAGGAAAAAAAAAACCCCCAATCGAATACAGTTACAAGAAACATACAGGAATCCCGGTTTCCCCGGCGCCAAGCATAACCAAATTTCCGTGTCCGTCAACTCTGCATGATATAGGATACTGCAAAAATGGACATGACTGACTGGGACTTCTGACAAGTCGCTGCACGAGAAAGAATATTTGTTGTTGTTGCTGACAAAAGAAATAGTGTGGATCAGACGAGGCTAGAAAGATCAAACGAAGAGCGACGCTGGACGCAAGCAGGTAGTAAGCCAGAAGAAACAAAGAAGAGGGAAATAGACGACGGGTCAAGAAAGATGCACACCCTGCCTGCCTCGCAGCAACCGTCACACCTGTGTGTGCTCTCATAGTTGAACAGTGAGCCAGCTCAGGTCTCGAGTGTGAACCCCTGCTCGAGCAGTCGGAGTTTCTCGACGTCGCCGCCCGCCGCCTGCACAGCCTGAAGGGCCGCCTCGTTCAGCCGCCGCCTGCGATCCGCGGCCTCTTTCTCGCGGCGGGCTTTGGTCTTGCTCGACCCGCTTGGCGCGACGCCTGTCATGAGCACGTTCTTGTCTGACGGGGTAAAGTTGACAAAGTCAATGCCGCCGAGACTGATGCCTCCGCCGCCGGCCCCATTGCCGCCAAGTCCCAGGCCGCCGCCGACACTGCTGCTGCGACTGCTCATGCCGCTCGGGGCTCCCGTGGGCATTGGCATCGTAGGCCCGACGATTCCCATCGTGGCCCCCACCGCACCGCTTCCCATGCCGGTCAGAGAGCCGAAACTTGCTGAAGAAGTCAGTCCTGCTGGGGTGTTTGGCGTGGTGCGAGAATTTTGCTGCTGTTGCTCTCGCTGTTGCTGCTGGCGACACCAGGACTTCTTCTTGCGGACGGAGCTGATCGACGCTGATCGCTGCCGGACAGAGACATTCTGTGCTGGTGAGGGAGAAGGTGACTCTTCGCGAAGCATGGGCCTACTTCCACTACGGTGCATACTGGGCTTGCGAGGAGATGTCAGGCTGCCGTAATGGCGAGCTCCGGAGGAGGGAGCGCGAGGGCGTGGTCTTTTGTGCTCAGTGAACCCTTGATGTGTGGGTATGTAGTGCTGGCTGGGTGTTGGGGGCAGTTGTGGTACGGCTGCTGTTGTGCCGATGAAGCTGTTCCCCATGGAGTCACCAGGTACTGGTGCTCCTATCAGGTAGTCGGCTTGCGGGCCCGCTTGTGTGTGCGGCATCTGGATCATCAGGCCTGACATTTCGGACGCGTCGTACTCGTATGACATCTCGTCATGCTGGCTGCTGCTGCTGTGGCCCGCACCGCTGTCCATGTTGAAACCCAAAGACTGGTTGCTGCTAGTGTTGATGGAGCTGAGAACGCTTGTGCTGGCACGCCGGAGCCCTGGATGGTGGGCATTGTTTGCGTTGAAGCCATGGCCGATCTTGCCATTGTTGTCCCACCAGTCAGGCGCAGACACGCCATTGTCTGTGACATATGCAGACGAGGAAGACTCGTCGGACCACAGCTGGCTATCATCCGTCAGCAGGCCCTCACTCGGCCACTCCGCGATACTGGTGCTCCTCTGCTGCTTCGGCCGACAAATTGGAGCCTCCGCGTCAATCATGGTGGTGGCGTACTTGTAAAAGTCCTCAGTGTTCATGGCTGGCGTTGTGATGGGGGTGGTACCCTGGATGTCGCCTGGCGCCAGTGGAAGCGAGAGGCCAGTCGGTCTTTGTTGTAAATGCCCGTCACTGAAAGGATCCTCGAAATGTCCTGTGACAAAGCTCTCGCCATTCGACCGCATGGTGGACGGTGGGATGCGGCCAGTGAGTGGAGGAGAAAGTGGTAGACCATTTGAGTCGATCGGCCCTGTAGTGAGCAACTGGTCGTCTGTAAAACTTCCCAGGTCGGTGTTCTGAGAGACATCTTCCTCTATTTTGATGGGGCTCTTGAAGAGATCGAGGTTCATGATGCTCGTTCTTGGTTGACTTGATTTGTTGGAGGCCTTGTTCCGGTGAGTCGCTTTGCGGATCGTGGCATACACCGAGTCCAGCAAGCCATGCTTACGTGGGCTCAAGGATTGACCTCGCGTTGAAGGAGGGCTCTCTGTCACAGGCAACTTATGGCGTGGCGACCGCAGCGAGATTCCCTCAAGACGTAGCAGGTCCGAGTCTGTCGTGTGGGAGCCGGTGGCGAAGTCAGCGGGTCCTGCTGCAAGCACCGAGGGCAAGTTGTTTTTGCGTCGAAGGATTGGCGTAGCCCGAGGGGGTATTGTGATTGGAGCCGTTGCTTCAACCTCCGTTCCGTAGGTTGGCACATCGACGTCGGATGCCAGGTCGACGGCATCGTGCTCGGCGGAGCCAAGAAGCATAGATGGGCTTTGCGGGTTTTGCAATAGCTCGCAGGCATGTGCCTGCGAGTCTCCCCCTTCAAAGGAGACAAACTGGTCGAAGAAGTGTTCGTTCGTGATTTCGGCCTCATCGTGGTCGATCCAGTACATCGACTGGTTCTGCTCATTCTCCATGATGTGAGGAGCGGCCACGAAGGCCATCTCGATGGATATCCCGAGAACAAGGGTGTTTCTGCGCACTACAGAGAGATGTTATCGAATTCCTTGGGGTTTGCTTGAAAGATCTGAACGTCTCTGAGGCACGGAGTGATAGAGGTGACAGAAGACGGCGCGGCTGCCGTGTAACAAAAAGCGGTGGTGTAAGAGGGAGGAGGCGAGTGACCGCCGGCTGAGTCCAAAGGCCAAGATGGAGCAGACAAGAGGATCAGGAGATGTTGACGCAAGGACGAGGCAACAATGCAGCTGCTGTGTCCCGGCAACAGGAAGCACGAGAAGTCGATGTCCATCCACGTGGAGTCTTACGCGTGAGCTCATAAGTACCATCCCGCCGCCCAGACAGCTCTCTAGCGGACATCAGGAGATGGGGACCCAGGCTCGGAGGGGGCGACAAAGTAAACTCTACTACCACACAGCTGATCGAGTCGTGCCAACACCACCGGTGCCCATGGTGCACCTGAAAGATCCACCGCCCGCATTCCATTGGCGTCCCATTGTCAAGAAGGTCAGTGGCAAGGCTAGGAGACGCTGAGAACTATCATCGGTCTCCCTCGTCTGCCTATGTGCTCCTCGGCGGCCATCATCCGACGCCACTGCGGGCATCTTGACGTGACTTGGGCGCTCGACGGCAAAGGTGTCACTAGTCCCTATCATGACGAACGAAGCCGATGAAAGAAAATTTCATGGTACACGATTCCTGTTGTGAGCTGAGTGATCCTCAGACGATGTTTGCAAGCAATCGCAATGCTTGAGGGGTGTGTCTCTGATGAACGAGCTGGCTGGAATGTTGGGTGGTTTGGCGAGGCAACTCGGTCGAGACCCGTCCCACTGTGGCATAAACATCGGGCCCGGCAGCCGCTGGCAGCGCAGAGCTCTGGGCCCAGGCACAAGACTCGTCAGGAATGAAGGGCACTGCGACCCTTTCATGGAGATCCATCGTGATCTCTTTGTCATGGCCACTTGACGGAAGGGTTTCCGTGGTGCATCGAGTTGTAGTCGCTGGAATGCACAGAGCTGGCACGGTGATGCCTCCACAAATCTGCACCTTCCCGTTGACAGCTCGGTACCTGCATGATGCAGCTAGGTCAGCATGCACCAAGGGACCGCCCGTTTGCGCCGGCTCCATACTAATGCACCCCCCAATCGCCTTTTATTATTGCTTCTCCCACTGCTAGGCTTGCCCAGTCCACAACACAAACTCCTGCGGGCAATGAGGCGCGTCGTTTATAGGTGCAAAATGGCTCACCACACTTGAGCCGGCTCTGCCGCATCTAACGCGCTGCCTGCCCCTCAGCTGAGAATCAGCCAAGAAGACTGATCTGGAACCTGAGCTAGCGGAGGGTCAGTGACCGGGCTAGAGCACGCAAGACGGCTCGTCATTGCCGACACCAGGAAGCTCACACGGCGCGCGGCATTTTGCGGGCTGCCAAAGTAGGCACGAGGTATCTACTACGCAGAGACAAGCTACCCATATTGAGCCAGAAAAACGCCACGGTGACCGTCTCGTCCCCGCCTCTCTCTCATGTGGCACCTGCCAGAACCCACTGGAGCCACCCACACAGGTCTGTACATTTTGTGTTCAGATATACTTTCTTTAGCTTGGTGGGACGTCTTGCCCTTGCCAGTTCATTAGAGTTCCGCCACCTGGCGCTGTTGGAAGACGCCGAAACATGCAGTCTGGCGTTGCGAGAGGGCAGACAGCAGGGACAGCGGGGACATTGCAAGTACGCAGTGCAGTAATTCTTTGTTCAACCAAGAACGATATTATGGAATATAGTAATGGCAAATGCATTATGCCAACTCATGGCTACGTTTATCTAACCGCGGCTGCGTTTTAATCAGAGCCAATTCGCCAAACTCCTGACGCTGCCGATGGGGTATCATGTATCAACTGTGAAAGAAAAGAAAGGAAAGGGCCCAGAACGCTTGAAAAGATCCATCGCTCATCGAAGCAGAGCTCATCAGTCCATCTTCGCGTCAGAATCGACAAGGTTGTGAGAATTTCCATGTGCCGTAGGCGGCCTCGGCCGACTTGGTGATTGCTTCGACCTCCGCCTCATGCGTGGGTTGTTTCTCTTCATGGCATGACCGCTCGTACCAGCCTCGTAGGAACTTCGAAATCGCAAGGAGCCCAACTTGTTGATACCTAGTGGCTCCCACGTATGTGAAAGTGGCTTGCGATTTCGCTCCAGAGGCTGTGGACTACTGTCGTTGCCTGCGTCAAGTTGGCAGTCCACCTCGAGCGACCCCCCAAGTCCAAACATGTCATGACCCTCGTCCACCAGCCGTGAAAATCTTGTTCGCCTGGCGAGATGGATCGCTGATCTCCTCGGCGGCATCTTTATCGCATTTTGCACTGTACAGTGGTCACCTTGCAGCATCATGGTCGTCATGAGCTGGGCGAGACCGATGTTGGATTGAGCGCCACCAAAAAGTTGACGCGGTTTTGAGGCAGGGACACCCTCTGACGGGACGTCCATCTTGATTGCTTTTGCTTGTCGGGAGCATGCCGAGCCAGAGCTTGAATTGTCTGCTGCTTCCAGTGCTGGAAATATTGGTCGATGTTCGTGATCCCCATCAGAAGCTTGAGATGGCACGATCGCCAGGTGATTTTGGGTGGAAGGCGCGGTGGAAGTGGACTGCGCTACATCCAGGATGAGGTGGCTCCCGCAGTGCCGAGGGCCCTGGTTGTTGTCGTCGTTTTCTGCTGCAGTTTCCGTCTTTAACTTGTCATCACCAGAGTTATGGACAGCCATGACCTGTGCAGCGGCATCTGGAACGGGACGTGGCGGACAACTATCAACATCAAGACAGCAGATACAAGGACCAGATTCGGGGGAGGCTCCGAGTATTTGGACCAACGGCATCCCTCTAGCCAACCCAGCTACGAGGTACCTTTGCAAGCCCGAGTGCACCCAACATGGCGGCTAGGGTGAGATGAGGAGGGTGTGTTGGCAGGACTCCAACGGTAGGCAGGCAGGCAACCCCCCGCGTGCGGCCCGCCAGTTGCCGTCCCATCGCCGTGACGGGCTGCAGGGCCACAATAGATCCGGCACAGCTGAAAGCGCCTTTGGATTCCGAGATCCCCGGACCAGCGCTACGGGCATTGGAGTTCACTAGAGCGCTCTTGGTACTTGAGCTTCGTCGTCGCCCCCTCACCAGCAACGACAGTCGGCATCTTTGACGACACTGGGATATATCGAAGGGCGTCGTTGTTGGGCTCAAGGAGTGCCCTGCTGCTGCTGCTGCTGGTTGGCTCCGTGAGCTCGACATATGCTCAGTCGTCCCTTGATCCGAGGATCCGATGCCTTGACAGCTGTCACGCTTGATTACCTTCAGGTAGCGTAGATTGAGGGGTGGGGAAGCGTGGGGGAAGGCCAGACATCTGGCGCTTGGTGGTGGTTCATGCAGGTGTGGCAGGGATGGCAGGAGCGCCCTGATGGTGCGCGCTTGCCCTCCGCACAGCCGGGGCCACCCTCTCCAAGGTCCTCCCACAAAGCTGTGGCGGGCGGAGCTCCAGGTCTTTCACCACCACCCATTCAATTCCTCAAGGCCTGCAGCTCACGGCGACATCCATCCGGGCTGGGGGATACGTCGACGACGACATGCTCAGGAAGCCTTGCCTGGGCTTGACGGGCTGAGCTGGGATGCGAATCAAAGGGGCGCGAAAATACGAGGGTTCGCCAGCAAGCGCCGGGCTGAATCGCTCGAAGGAGCGCTGGAGTGGTGGCCGTTGCCACGAGATCGATGCCCAGATTACTAGATTTCGGGGTCGCTCGATAAGTCCCAGCCCTGCACGCAACCCATGATTGGCTCGTACAGCCGATGGCAAGCTGAGATGTGCTCCTGGACCATCTCCTCCGCCGGGACATTCTTTGCCTTGGCCCCAGTCGATCTTGGTCCACAGCTAGACCGTGGACCATCTCAAGCAGCACAGGTGAGTCTCCAGCCAGGGTTCCCACCAGATTCTCAGAATATCGCCCGCGATAGCTGTGGAGGTCCAGTCCAGCGCCAGCCGCTCAGTACACATGCTAAGGAGCGGCTCGGTGGTTTTGTGGGCGCATCGCACGGCACTAAAGGCGCAAAAGTCGACAGCCACGGCCTAGCTCACACCCTTTCGAGAAGAAGTGTACCCCACACCACTACTGCCACAACCTATCGCAACCGCGGATCGAGCCGCCAGAGAGCTACGGTATGAGGCCGCTGGTCACTCGCAGCAGAGCACAAGGTTGGAGGGTAGACGGGAGATGCCTGGCCTCTCATGCACCCAAGTCCCAAAGGACTCTAAAGCCTCCGGGCTCCCGCTTAAGCTTGTCTAGCGTTCGACAACGACTCCCGAGGTCTGGCTGCCCCGCGCCCGACAGCCCGCGGCCCATCTGTCAAGTCTCGGCTCGATCCACATTCCCATCAAACAGGCACAGATCGTCCCGTTTGACGGATATGAGTCTTGCCGGTGACGAGCTAGAGCTGCGAGCTATGACTTCGCACAGGCACTTGCCCGCCTTCATGAAGCCTGTCGCACTGAAGAGGACTTCACCATGGTCCCTCACCGATGCGAGCCAATTAGAGGCGCCGTTGTACGGGACAGTACGTGTCTGGAGAAAACGTTTGTCTCCTGGTGTTGCTGGCCCGTGTTATCATGACCCGTGATGCTTCACTACAAAGCCAACCGGATCCTTGCAACTCAATCGAGCAATTGGCAGCTAGCCTGTCAAGTTCCGCCTGCCGCGGCGCTTCCTCTCCATTGAGGGCTATTTCCTTGTGGCTCAACAGTTCCAACATAGGACAGCCGATGTTGAACTGAGGCTGGACCCTCTGATCCGCCATTGCGAATTCCACCTCCGATGTTGAGAGTTTGGTGCTTGTACTATTCTGGCGACCATGACGCAGGCGAGGTAAATGTCATGGCTTATCGGCCATCCCGGTTGAGTTTCCGGGCGTCCCGTGCTGTTACGCGGGAGTGGTGGCCCATTCCTGACACCCTTTTCGATGGGGCGCTGTTACACCATACCTTAGTGAAGAGCAGAGCAAGAACCAGGTCTGTCTCAAAGTCGGCCATGGGTTCACCGACCACGGTCATTCGTCAGTTCCAGGTCACAATTCAACAAGCTGAACTTCAAGTCATCTGCACATCTTGGACAATCATGCCTGACCAGAGCTGAACCAGAGAACAACAAGCCGTAGAGCGACTGGAGATTGGCTGGTCTCCTTGGACGTCGGCAGCAATCTCTTGGCAGTCCTGATTGATTGACTGAAGCCCTTACCTCTGCATCCATTATCCTCGGACGACTTGACAGTTCGGCTTGTGCCGCCTACTTCGCTTGGATTTTCTCGGGTCACTTAGTTCTGGCCTGGATACTTTCGGTGGCGCCCCAATGATGTTATACACCAGGGAACCACACGCAGAGCTGTGGGAAACGTCCTACAGCGGGCATCCGCAAGCTTCCGAGAGGTGTAGTCAGGCATAGTTCGATACAAAGCCACTCTGAGCATCATGAGGGGCACGCTATCATCGGCATCCAAGGAGGGTCATTGCCGAAGGTGATGCTATAATGAACTTGCTGGTGCCACATGACGAGTGGCGCCCTGTATGGCTCCGTGGCGGACGTCCACGTGGACTTGTGGACACTTCTGTTCCCGAGGAGAAGACTACGTTCCAAGGACAGAAAACTGCTGCCAAACTAATACATCATACCTGGCTTGGTGGCACTGTTTTGGTACTCTCGACCTTACGACTCATGGTCGCCTGTCAGTAGCGCATCTCCGCCACGTGTTCCAGACAATTGAACTCGAGCGGCAGCCTGCCTTGTCAGACCGGAGCGGTGTGGAGCCGAGGGTAAGCGATGAAAGAGATGACTCGCTGGTCATAGTCTATGTGTATTCGTGGCGATATGGAACTCGGTCTAGGCTGGCTATTGGAGGCTTGATTCAAGGAAACAAAGAAGCGGCGAAAATCTCGGCCTGTCTTTGTCGGCCAGCACGAGGCTTTCAACGCCCTAAGCTGTACGACGGTGGTCCAGAGCGTATGTGTTAGTCCACTAGCCTCACGCTCAAGGCGAAGCTTGTTCGTGCTGTTTATAAGGTGTCAAAGTTTGGCCATGACACAGGTCCGTGAAATAAGCCCTCCCTGTATCATACAGGGCCCACTGACAACAAAAGTCATGCACGACTTTGAGCTCCTTCACTTTGTTCCGAGGTGATCTAGACCTTTTTCTTTTACAAAGAAAGTGGCTATTGAGCCTGTGGGCAGGGCTGTACTGTCCACAATCCCTTCTCTCAACGTTCGGGCACCCCTTGTCCCAAAACACGTGTCAAGAACAAGTTGTCCAGAACCCTGTGACCTTGGCATTGGCAGGAATTCATTTCCACGTCCTCTCGCAGCATCACTGTCTTGCGCTCTGTGGGACACGATCCAGTTTGCACTTGCTCGTTACCTCGGCCTCCTCAATAACAAGCGGGACCTAGCTGAAGCAAGAAGCTCAATTCTCCGTGGAGTAAGCGTTGGCTTCTCAGGGATCAAGCTTCAGAGTTCAGGTCTACCTCAATAGAAAGCACTCCAACCCCTGAAAGCCCAGCTCGGCTGTGCGTATAATCCATGCTTCAGGTTCCCGGGACTTTGCACATAACTATTGGGCGCCTGTCAGGAGAAGCTGCCGAGTGCTCGCCAGAGATTTGAGCCTAGGGCGCAGAGACGTGGCAATCGCTTTTTCGTTCCTGACGTCTCGAACACCTCATAGAAACCTTTCTAATCGGGTATAGTAATAGAGCTACCACGCCAAATAGAACAATTGGATGGTGCAATCTGCGCACCACGTTCTGGCTGAGATCAGGTTTGCACATTTCAATGCTCTGGTTTGTCAGGTAGCATTAAATTTCGGTTCCACGAGGAGTCTGTATTCGACCTGAACAAGGAATATCTCCCCATTTCGACATGTCGATGCTTTGGACAAGCTGAGAGAAGTGCCCATTGGGCAGAGGCAGTTGCCTATCACCGGAAATGTCATGGACTCAACTCAACACTGCATATTTCGAGGTGCAGCAATCAGGCAAAGGCCACTATCATGGTTTCAGGAGTGACGAGAGCTGCCAGTAGAAAGCCAGTAGAAATTGAAGCCATCTCCTTGGACTATTACTTAGACTATTTCAACTGCCTGTCAAAGAATGGATCAGGCAAACAGTGCACAAGAAACGTGAACACCTCCCCAGGCTATCGTTGGGTTTTGAACTACGATATGTTTCACGCCCCATCATGGCGGTCGCAGTGATCGCCTGCTCAGAATGGCAAATCTCGCAAAAATATAGCAGAAGTGGGTTACGCTGGGTTTGGTGTTCTTTCGTTGATACAGGCTCAAACGTAAGCAATCATCAAACAGCCTTGCACTCACGTGTGTCGTGGCGGGCCCGGACTGCCCACGCGTATTCATCGCTTGCCGGAGGAGTTGCCTCAGCCAGTTGTGTATCCTGCATGGTATATGAGCTGATGGTGGCGCGGCGAGTAGGCGGACAGCGGCGAGTTGGCGTACTTTGACAGACACAACCAACACAACCCACATAATCTTTACCTGCAATTCGGATCAGTTACATGTATCTTGACTCGCAGCACGCGCGAAACCGTGATACGTGCAAGGCCAGAGTTGAAGTGTGACCATCCATTCAGGGACGACACCACGATATGTCGCTGATGCAAATTATTGCTCACCAGAGACTTCCTCTGGCAAAGACCTGCAACACTCATTCATGAGATGCAGCACTGCGGCTTGGTAGAGTTTTGCCGGTCGAGACAGTGCTCCGCCATCCGTGTAAGTGCATTTGGTGTAGCGGCAAGGAAGTTGCATGGAATGTGGGGCCCCACATTCCATCCAGCATGGAATTTCTGGGTTGAAGCTTGGACACGTCCATCCCACCTCACTTCGCGATACTCGTGGTCCTCAACCCAACAGGCTTCGCAGCGACGCGCACGACTGCCGCCGACCATGTCGAACTCAATGTCAGCCCTGTCGGCGCTGATGCCAGTGTCGCTGCCATCGCGCACCTTCTTTGTCAAGTGCAGCCCGATCCCCAAGACGTTTACCGACCGCCGGGCCGTTTTGAAGTCGTTGCAGAACATTACCCAAAACGACATTGAGGTCTTCCGGAAGCTCAAGGTACTAGAGGTGGTGATTCTGTTGCATTATTACAGCCCAGAAATGCTGACTCAAGCCCTCCCGCGAGAGTAGGACAATTCGTCGTTCATCGTCGTCACCACGAAAGCCGAGTCCACAAGGACAGCGATACACGAGTCCCCGTACCAGCGAACAATCATGGGCCAAGACCTAGCCGATCCCGACAAGCCGAAGCGGGCAACCTGGGGGGAGCTCTATAATGTTCGCAGAACCATAACAACCGCCCTGAATCCGATACCTGCCGAGAGGACCGGCGGCCTCGCCCCGCCGAGCTCGCGAGGGTCAGACATTGAGCAGAAGACGTTCACCATACACTGTTTCCCGGCAAACAGGAACTTCGACCACAATGAGACAGTCAGGCAGGATCCACTGAACGGGCCCTGGCCAGACAGCGGCGGTGTCGAAACCTACATATCTGCGTCCTTGAGGCAGACCATTCCGTCCGGCCATATGGCTCCAGGTCTGAGAGACTGGGAGACAGGCCGGCAAATGTCCCGCGACTCGAGCAGCTTCGCGGATGAGGATGTGCATGGCGCAGCAGCGACCATTCTCGGCAAGCCAAAGTCGAGAGAAGGCATGGGCCACATCCTTGAACGGCTACGCGTTCGCAAGAAGCAGGACGAGACTCCCGAGATCATGAAGGGGTTGGCGGCTTTTGCGGAAAGCGTACAGGCTGCAGACGCTGCGCGTCAAGACCCTGAGATCCCAAACGAGCGTGACGAGCCAACTCTTGTCCCAGAACGTACGCAGCAGGACAAGATCACAGAGACCGATGATCAACGCTGAGGTGCCGCGCAACGAATGCCATTGTGTCATGACCATCTAAGGTGGCTTGAAACTTGGCCGTTCGAAAGCTAAAGGCTCGCATCGACAAAACTGGTAGGGCACATAAGTCTGTCTCCCAACTAGTCCACTACTGGTTGCAACACATTTCAGCTTTATGCAAATGATGCGGGATCGGTGCAGTGCTCAAGGCTGGAGGGCCTGTTACTACCTGAGCCCGAGCTTTGATACAGGCTTGTTCCTGGCGCAGGTGATGAGTCCATTTGTGCGGGCATTGACAGATTGCCCCTTCCGAGATGCTCCCACGACAGGGCGCCCCCGCTTACGGTACCAGCCTAGAGAGGCTTGCCAACAGCCCCCAGGAGCGGCGACCAATATCCTGTTCCTATGAAATACGCAATCTTATTGGCCACACAAAGGCACGTGGGTGCTGTGGTCATGGCGACGAGATTGTTCAGATCTGTGTCGTAAGGCAGGGGTTGACCCATGGGTTCGCGCCCGGAACAGGCCTATTGAGGGAGGTCGCCTGCCAGATCGGGGAAGTGCTGTCATTGGAAGCGTGCTGGGACTTCCACACGCGAGCAAGGTCATTGTCCCAAAGGGCATGGGAATCTCTGTTTGTCCGGCCATAGGACGGATCATCGGCGATATCCATGCGACAATGCTGCCGATGAGCCGGTCCAGATCGGAGAAGGCGCTACTGTTGGAAAGAAGTTCGCAATGTTGAGCTCACAGGCAAGGGTCTCCGTGGGCGCAAGGGGAGACACAATGGAAATGCCGTCATTATTGGGGCCGGCGCGCGTCAGGATCAGGTTTGAGCGACGGCGCGCAGCAATTTTCGGCAACCCTTGCCAAGCAAGCTTGTCTCTGCCGTGTGCCGACCTCACGGGTGTACGGCTCCACCATGCTGCGAGGAAAAGAGCGTAATGAGTCCCTGGATGTTGCGCTGCAGGGCATGCTAAAAAAGCGTCCAAAGGGGCCTGGGCAGATGAGAGGTACAGGGGCAGGGGCAGGGGGGTTGTCCCCGTGCGGGCGCGACAGCGGCACGACGTCATCGGGCAGCGCAATCAAGGCCACGAGCCCCAGACCGAACCCCCTGGCCCGCGACTTATGACGTGGCTAGCCTCAACACAGCTGCCGTATCAACGTGTGCCGTGGTGCAGTCCAGCCACACTGCTTCGTCACAGCACCCAAGGCCCGGCTCGCTGCCAAGCTCGATGACCTCGCTGGCTGGGGCCTGGCTGCCTCAGACGACATTGGGCTGAAGCACAGACACGGGCCCTTTGTGTCACGACCAGCTCCTCTGTGACGCACCGCCCCTTCGGCCCAGCTATATCAACCCGCCATCCCACCCCGTCATACATCCTCTGTTATACTCGATCGACATCCAGACAACAATCAAACACACTCAACAGACTGAAGTAGTCGCCGACGACAGCAACGACACAGCCCACCCTCCACAAAACACCAGTCAAAATGGGTCTTCTGCGTGGCATCCACTACCTGGGCAGCTTCCTGCTGCTCGCCGCCACCGTCCTCTTTGTCATCAGCTCCATCTCGGCGCCGGTCGTCAACCGCATCTCCATGATGACCGTCTACCTCGGTGGCAACGCCGACCGCAGCCCCTCGGTCACCTTTGGCACCTTTGGCTGGTGTGTCCAGAACGCCAATGGGTATGTCCGCTCTCACATTCTTAAAAAAAAAAAAAGACGGTTCAGCACGAGAGACTAACAGCGTGATTGCAGTGTTACCAACGGCTGCTCCCGTTCCATGGTTGGCTACAACATCTTTGACATCCTCGCCAACGTTGTCGATGGCAACGATGACCGCCTCGAGGAGTGGGCTGCCGCGACCGCCAACGGCCTGACCAACGTCATGGTTCTGCACCCCGTCACTGCCGGCCTTGCCTTCATCAGCTTCGTCCTCTCCCTCACCTCTGGCATGTTCGGCGGCATTCTCGCCATGCTTGCCACTCTCTTCACCTTCATTGTTGCCCTTGTCGTCGTCGTGTGCGACTTTGTGCTCTTCGCCTACGTTCGGGACCAGGTCCGCGACGCCGAGAGCAACAACTGGACCATGTGGGGCTCTGCCAGCTGGACTGCCCTTGCTGGCATGATTCTCATCTTCATCGCCTTCATCATCACCTTCATCACCTGCTGTGCCGGCCGCCGCGAGAAGAAGCGCCAGAGCGCTGTCGTCAAGGAGTCCCACCACGACTATGGCACTCCTGCCCGCCGCCGCCGCTTCTGGCAGCGTCGCTAAGCGATCCACTTGATGATTTGATCCGCTGAGGAGCGTGGCGCGACATTTATACCATGAAAGAGTGCAGACGACTCGCTCGATACCTCAAAAAACTTACCTTAATGATGCTTATGATATACGAAAGTTGTACATACGAGATGTATCTACACCTGGGGAAGTAGGGGGGTTCTGGCGGAAGAGAACACACCACGACACTTAACTGTGTCTGGTGCTAACGTAATAAATTGATATTCAAGATACCTCAATAGCGCATAAATATACCAAATCCAACCACAACCTCTCTTGACTGAGCAAGGGCTTCTACATAGTGATTTTGCCAAGGGCGCTGTTCACCAGAAGCATGACGTACATGATGTAGGCACAGTAGCGTATAATGCATACCATGACGCCAAGAAGGGGACTTCTGGGTAGACTGGACGACGCAACGGAGTACCGGGCGCGGGCTCGTTACAAAGCCCGAGACAAAGCCCGCACCCAGGCACACCCACGCCCATCCTGCCTACGCCCCAGAGGCCCAAATTGGCATCGACGACGTTGACTGAAGCAAAAAGAACCCTACGCCAAAAAGAAACAAATGTTCCAGCAGGGGAACACAAGTTGTCTGCTGGATTTCTAAAAGATCGGCGCGGCCCGGGCCCTCGTCTTGTCTTTTGTCGTGTTTGTCCAGCGTCGGGTGTTGTCGTTATGTGTGTGGTGGTGGTGGTGGTGTACAACTGTTGGCCAAAACTCCCCCTCCTCTCCCCTCTCTCTGGAAGCACGCCCCCCCACGCTGCGTTATCCCGTGCTTTACTTCTCTCTCTCTCTCTCTCTCTCTCTCTCTCTCTCTCGGTACCCTCATTGCTGTCGGGAGATATACAACAGGAAGAGGTATAACAGAAAGAGAAAACTGTTCTGTCTGTGTGTGTGTGCGGTGTAATATATGGCATGGTGTGTCTGTCGATGGAGTAGAGAGCTGTTGATGCGCAGCGGGTGTTGAATGTCATATTACCAACCCTCATGCGCACCCTTGGTTAACTGCGTGGCATTGCCACTGCCACTGCCATTGCAATGCTGGCGGCCATCAGTCACAGTGCAAGAAGATGAAAAAGACCAGGGCTTTCCTCCCTGTCTGTTCGAGTGACGATTCTTCCCTTTGCGACCCCGCTAGTATGAGACAAATATACCAGAAGTTAAACGGGAGTAGATTTGAATCACTGTGATCTTAGTTCATTTGAGTAAAAGTGAAAATGTGCAAGTAAAAGCGAGATGTACAACGTGTGCGTGCGGCAAGGACAAAAAAAAAGAAAACCAGGAAGGCCCAGAGGCAGGACGCAGCGGGGTTTGACGATAAAATCGAGGAATATCGCGATATCCAGAGGAAACAGAAACATAACCTTGCGCGAGACAAAAGACTACCCGCCCTGGGGAGACCTCCCCCACTTCCAATATATGCAGCCCATAATCCCGTCCTCGTGTGGTATCTGGTCATCATCATGATCATTATCCTGTTTGCCAGTCAGGAGAATGCAAAATCCGGCACCTGGAAATCGCCTGCCCGCCTCACGGTTCAAGACCCTGAACGCCACCCCAAGGAAAACACAGATAATTTCACGAAATCAAGTACCAGACAACTGAGCGATGACTCAGTGCCTGAGGATATTAAAGCCAAATGTTGAAGAATGGCCAGGCCTGGTGTCGCTGGCTCGTTGTCGACGAACCGATCATGTACGTCCTGCGTAGTGAAGATGCCAGTCAAGCGAGAGCGAATGTTGACGTGAGCGGACTTATTCGATCTCCATGCGACCTGCGACTTCCTCGCTGATACTCCTGCTGATCTTCTCCAATTCTTCATCCTCTTCCTCGTCCGTGCTTTGGTAGTGGTCGCTCTCCTCGTCCTCCGATATGGGACTGTTGAAGGGGTCGATATCTGCATCGTTATCAGGATCCCAGACTTCGATAGCATCGTCGTCGTCGTCATCGTCCTGATATTCTTCGCCATCGGCAACAATACGGCTGGCAAAGCTCTCGCCTAACCAAAACTTGGCACGCTTGTTGGCACCGAGGCTACTTGACACCGGCTGCGCATAGCGCTTCGTATTACTACCTCTGCGTTCGGGGACGAGGCTGGGAGAGTTCATCATGAACGGCAGGCCTCGTACGTAAAGGTAGGCAACCCGCTTCTTCACCCGGTTGAAGAAGAAGTAGTGGTATCTCCAGATCGCAGCCTCGTCGCCATCAAAAGGATCCTCGGCAGGCTGGTAGGAGTAACAGACGCAGTCTTTGAGTGCCATTTCCTTATCAAGCATGGTCCACATCTGCGGTGTCCACGCCGGGCTGCTCACAGGCAGAGTGCTGCTGGAAAAGGAGGCGCCTGGCGACGCACTGAAAGCGCGATAGTTTGAATTGAGGCTGGATGAGATCATGGACGAGCCCATAGGTCGCACATTGTGGAGAGTGGCGTCGATATTAGCCATGACGCGGCGTAGGTTTCGCTCTTTCTTGAAGTCCGTTGGTCGCAGGACATGGGAGAAGTCGTAGTCTGGGTGGCTGGCGTTGAGTGTGGCGATCAGATACGCGAAGGTGCGCCGGCTAGAGATGTCGCTCAGTGGGCCGAATGGGCTTGATCGCGAGAGGTTGAGAGACTGGGCCATTTCTGCGCGTTGCGGAGGCGAGAGAGACGCGCCGAACTTGAGTGCGGCGGCATGTTGTGACTCGAGCGAGCATTCGATGTTCTTGTACAACTTCTTGTCCGAACCGGCGGCTTTGGTGGTGTACAGGTCACATCCGCCAGTGACGCGGCAATCGGACGTACTGAAGTTGAGCGCCGAGGTGATGACGTCAAAGTCACGGAGAGGTAGGAACTGGGCGTGTTACAGTCAGCACGTCGATGGTGTTTTGCATCAAAACCGTCAGTATGCGAACCTTCATGATGGCGGTCTGCAGGGGTGCGATATCGGATTCGGTGGTGTATAGTCGGTGAGATGTCCAGGGGTCAGACCGCGCGTGCTGTTATTTGGATCTCTCAATGTGGGTGCCTCGATGATTGTTGAGCAGGCTTGTGCCGAGGATCACTTCGGACAAAGACGTCGTTGCTTCTTGTGGACGCGAAATGCGCTATTGCCCCAGAGATAAGGCACGCGTGCTTGGGCTGACAGAGGGCGGTTCTTGGCGACTACTGCGTGTTATGGGTGATGCGCGCGGCGACTGTACTGCAAGGCGTAGTGTTGGGAGGTTCGACCCGGGCGAAGCACAGGACACCGAGGAGAGTGTGCGATCTGGATGGCGGAGGCGGTGATGGTCAATTGGGCGTTCAGTCGTGGCTCGGTGTTGGGCAGAGGTGTGGTCCTAAGTGAGCTGGCAGCTGCTTCGAGATGGCAGGAGCATCAAGTCTAGACGGAGAGGCCGTCTAGTTGGCAGAGGACTGGCGCGGCATGGCAGGAGTCGGGTGTAGTCGTGGATGGTGTGGTGGTGTGGTGTTGGGAGACGGACAGAGGGAGGAGGAGGAGGGCGTGAGACGATCGGCAGTTGAGCTGGACGCAGCGGCGCGAGACTGGACTGGCTGGATGCGTGAGGGGGTTCGGAACCGGGCACCCAACAGTCAGCAGCAGGGCGGGAGTCGCGGCGGCCAGCCTGCGGGAGCATGCGGCTGCGACTGCTGCGTATCGCACCAGCTGCGCTGCGCTGTGCTGTCCACCCACCCCCTAACTCGACCTAGCGGCCGAACACGCAAGCAGCAAGCAGCAGCGTGGCCAGCTGAGCGGCCGCCCTATCGTGCCTTGGCAGGCTGTGGTGGTCCCGGTGGAGTCGCAGCCTGGCCGCCCATCCCAATGCGGGGGGGTCCAGGATAAGCTTGGGCGGCGCACCCAGTGCCCGTCGGCTGGGCGAATGAGAGAACGTCAAGATGCCACGACCTACACTTTGATGGTCTACGCCCACCCGGCACGATGCCGTAAGATAGATAGCCTTTGTCCATTTCTTTGCTTGGCTCGAGGTGTGCCTCAAGCGTTCTTGGTATCTGAGCTCCCACTTGCTTCCACGTGCGCCAACACATCATCCCACTGCCCCTTTCTTCGCCTTGCTGATCCCCAATGCTATCCATGACTGGTGCCCCTGGTTGACGCGGATCGTCCGTAGCTGTGCCCACGCGTCCGCGACTATCCTTCCGATATTTTTGCCTGGCCCTCCGCTCGTTGTTCGGACCAGTCTTGCGTAGCTCCGGCCATTGCCAGAGCTGCCGTTCAGGCCGGAGCGACGGCGCGCCTATTTGTCGCAAGGAGTCACCCAGTTTCGCCAGAAGTCGATCTATCGAGGAGTCCGAAAGCCTCAAAGGAAGCCGTTTTGTTTCATGCTCTTCTCCAACTGCTCAGCATCCTGTAGTCAATCGCGAAACGGTAAGCAGAAAATTATTGCATTGATTGTGGTATCGAGATGTGCATATTCGGGTCGCTCTTCTGGTCGCTAGACGTTGTAGGCCTGCTTGCAACATGCTGCCTTTGGCAGTGTAGTATTGTTTCATCGTTACATGATCTTCGTGACCTCGTCCTCGACCTAGGCAAGGGAATGGATCAGTGGGCGACATGGGAATGATGGAAACCCCACGCTTGAGGAGAATCTGATGGAGTGGAAATGGCGAGTCGTCGGTCGAACGTACCTCCATGTCCTCCAACGAGTCTTGCTGGCCTATGCAGCGCAACACGTTCTTCTTACTGCTCTCTTGCAGCTCGCCGGCTAATAATATCTCATCGAGGATGTAGTACGCTTTCGTGAACGAGAAGATAATGTCGAGCTCGCAGACATTGCCGTAGTACTTGTCCATCTGCTCGACATATCGGTGGATGACCTCGAGGGTAATGAGCTCGTTGTCGTCAGAGTCGCAGCCGCCGATGAAGAAGAGGGACGCGTATCGCCGGTAGACAATCTTGGTGTCTTTGAGGGTCCACAGTCAGTAAAGACAGTGGCAGCCGAGTCTATTGGGTAGGAAGCCCACCTTTGTATTCCAAAAAGTTGCACATGCGTGTGCGTCTAGCCAAGACGAGCTGGGAGACGTCCTTGACAATCTTTGCCTTCTCTTTCGGGGAGAGTGTCGTGAACCATTTTGCAAGTCTCTGATGGCGGTATAACTGGTCAGCTGGAAGCCTTGATCCTCCATTTCACTAGGAAAGGTCGCGTGCTGCAAGAGGCGGCGAGGGGGGAGGACTCACCACTTTGCCCTGTCGCGAGAGCAGAATCAGATAGCTGCGGCGAAACGGTCAGCGGAAGATAGGTGTATAAGGTTGGGCGGAATGATGGGCGTACTTGATGGCCATTCTGGACGGTGCTTCTACATCACCAGGATGCAGGCAGATGATGGCGGCACGGATGATAGGAAGACCAGTGCAAAACTGTATGTGTAGCAGAGCATGAGGTAGGTGGTGGAGAGCGTGCGTCGTCGTGAGCATCAGCCGGGTGCTTGACTGGCAGTGGGGTCGGCCACGACCTTTTGGACACCAAGCACCACCTCCGCCAATCAGCGGTGCAGTTGTCCACTAAACCCAGACCACCTGCAGGGGGCCCCTTTTCGACGACATCTGCACGTCTCCCAGCTCCACACGGCTGTATGTCAGGTGCATGTAGAACCAATGTGAGGATTTGCCGACCAAAACGACATTCCGGCGATGGCATTGTAGCTGAAGCACTGCTCGACCATTCAGGTCTCCGGCAAGTCGGCTCAAGAAGGGGAATGGCACAGGATATGCTCGAGATGTGCATTACCATAGCCTCACAATATTGCTACAATTTCGAAGCCGAGCGGCAAGATAGAGGAGCCTGGTAGAGTCTCTTCTAACATTGACTTCTCGTGGCTACACGTACATCACGCACCATCTCGTAGTGATCCATGCAACCAACCAGCATCCGGCCTTGCATGCATGTAAAGAATGAATACAAGAGCTTGTTGATCCATTCGCTGTGTCGATGTCGAATGATGGCCCACAGGGGAGGTCGACAAGTTCCGCTCGCTGAGGTATCCCTATTTCCTTCTGGGATGTTGCCACGTGAACGAGTGCTCTTATTTCGTGACAAGCCACAACTATCTTGTATAAGCGCAGTTGGACCTGGGCAGTTACTGCGTGTGAGCAAACCTGACGCCAGTCAGTCGAGTGACGAGTGCCCACAAAGGTAACTTATCCTCGTTTCCATCAAACGCGCTATCAATCGATTATCGCAGCCTCTGAATTCATCAACAAGGATCGAAGATTCCGGCCATGATCAAGTGGTTTGCAGCCTGGACACTCTGGCCTAGATGGTGCATCATGACTCTGAACCTGCTACAATATAATGCACTCTTTGATGGACGATACCTCTGAGCTTGCTCGATTTAGGCCCATTAGACCACCTGAACTATGAAAGTGTGGACTGGTGCGTAGATCGAGCCGTTTGGGTGTATACCGGGTCATGAAATCCCGGATGGGACAAAGGACGGTGCTCGTGCATTCTGGCAACAAACGCACCTGGGCAGGCGAACCCACAGCTGCTACCTTCGCATGGCAAGTATGACCTGAGAACCTCTTCATCTAAGCATACGCCCAACCCTTCGGCACCATCAACGATATTCCCCGTCACCTTCTCAATTTGACTTGCGCGAACACACCAAGAACCAGCAAGGCTCTAGCCAACCCGTCACCTCAGGCGGACTAGGAGAATCTCCTCCTAGCACCAAACAGCAAGAAACAACTGTAAGTGCCTCGCGCTGCATCTCCTTCGAATCTTTCCCGCACTACCTCCAAGACATCTCTTCTCCTCCTTCACGGCACCACGCACTACTTGCAAGGTCGCACAGCACAGAGCCTTCTTCACGGACACTGCACCATCTACAAGACCAAGTAGATCCCACTACCTCGTGCCTGTCGACCAAAAGTCCGCGCACCGATAGTCTCAGCACTTCCGTCACGGCCACCTCACGTCCGCCTCACATAACCTCAAGCCAGACGAAGTATCCTTCCATATCCACCCTGTGTTCCGGCGCTTGACCACTCCCTGCACCCCTACCCTGAGAGCAACTTCAAAGGCGATATTACGCAGTTGAAAAGTGTCTCGGGCAAGCCTTCTCCTGCCCACATCGTCATCAGGGAAGACGTTTCCGACATACTCATCCAAGAGAGACCAGGGATCGAGAATCCTCCAGCCACCCAATCTGCGAAAACATTATTGGTCATAACGCTAACCTCCATTGGTTCTCTCAGAGTACCTCACGCAGATCAACTTCACCGGATCAGCCGATATGGATTGGGATACGGGCGCCAATTCCAATTCGACCTGGGACACTCGCCAACAAGCGTCTTCCACGGCTTGGGATGGCGGTAACAACACCGCCAACAGCTCATGGCCACATGATGAAATCCTGGATGTAGATACTGCGGTCTCTGGCGACGTCGCCCTGGAAAATGAAGGTCAAGACATCAATGATTCGACCGATCGTGGCTGCTTCAACTGCGGCGAACACGGGTAGGTGCCTGATTGCTTCAGTTTATTGACCCTAGCACTGACATTCTGCAATTGTAGGCACATGAAGGCGGAATGTCCTAACCCTCGTGTGGAGACAAAGTTCACAGGGCAATGCAATCTTTGTCAGCGTGAAGGTCATCGGGCTCGCGACTGTCCCGAGAAACCGCCCGTCCTCTGCCGCAATTGCGATGGTGGAGGTAAGCCCGAACGTATGAGGTGGCCACAAGAAATATCAGCTAAGTCTTGCAATAGGTCACGTCGCTGCAGACTGCAAGGCTCCCCGAAAAATCGACAGATCTCATATCAAGACCGTTACTATTGAGGCTGCTTGGGACAATATCAAACAAGCGTTTACAGACAAAGATCTCGATAACGTGAGGGTAGGCGTGCAGCAATATGTCAAAGCAAAGCCGGAAACAACATACCTGGAGCTTGAAAGAGGCTTTCGAAACCAGGGTGTCGGCATCCATCTCGTGGCAGTCGAGAAGCCGGACTTGCTTCCTACTCTCACACTCATGGATCTCCAAGGCAACTGTGATAAGCAGTTTATGGTCAGCTACCGATTCAGCGACAAGCCTGCCCGACCCCGTGAGAGAGCGTTCTTCCCCAAAGACATGGCAGAGAATCTCGCCCGACTCGAGAACGCTGGTGAGCCGGTCGAGAATGGCAAGAGAAAGTGCTACAACTGTGATGGCTTCGGACATTCCGCGGCTGCTTGCCCCGAGATGAAGGTCGAGAAGGAGCAGATTGCCATCAAGTGCATGAACTGCGATGCTATAGGCCACCGAATGCGAGACTGTGAGCTCAAATACCCCAGCAATACTCGCCGCTGAACACTCTAACAAAGTGCGCAGGCCCCGAAGAGCGTGTCGACAAGTTTGCTCGCGAACGAGGTCCAGCAAGTGAGTAATGTTTTAACCGTAACCTTCAACTCATCGAACCAATCAGCGTTCTGGCCGGTTGGCGCAATGGTAGCGCGTTGCTTTCCGGTGACGCTCATCTTGGATGAGCTCGCTTGGCAAAGGTTGCGGGTTCGAGTCCCGTGCTGGTCGACCTGTCTTTTTGCTCATCGTGCAGTCGGGAAGACGCTGAAAGCCTGGTTTGTTCTCGTGGCGCTGACCATCTTCGCAGATGCCGACGACGTCGACTGCCGCAAATGTGGTGAAGGTATGGCACAGCCTGCCGCCTTTGTTTTTGTGCTTCTGTGTGCCGCCAGCTAACGGACTGTTGTGTGTCCAGTTGGTCACTTTGCAAAGGATTGTCCCCAGGGAGGAGGCTCTCGTGCATGCCACAAATGTGGTGAAGGTACGTAAATCTGCTCGGCTCTTCTGTCGACGTTCGCTGACCACCATGGCAGAAGGTCATATGGCCCGAGAATGCCCACAAGGAGGTGACACGCGCGATTGCCGAAAATGTGGCGAAGGTGAGCTTGATTTTGACCTGGCCCAGCGGCTGCAACCAAATTTGTTGCTGACCACATACAAGTTGGCCATATCTCCAGAGATTGTCCTCAAGGCGGCGGAGGTGGTGGTTCGCGGGAGTGCTTCAAGTGTGGCCAAGGTTAGTTAACATTCCAATGGGAGCTTGACATCCCACCTGTCACCCACTAACCTGCGTGTGTATTAGCTGGACACATTGCACGAGAGTGCCCGTCTGCTCAAGAAAGTAAGCCCCCAATTATGCTGCTCTAGCTGTCATGTATACTGATTCAATGGTAGCCGGCGACTCGCAAGCCGGACATGGCAGTTTTGCGCATGCGGCCGGCTCAGCCCAAACTGCTGCACTCTTTGATAACAAGGGTGAGGGCCCGACAGGCCAGGAAGATGGTCAGTGGAACTCGGCAGCATCGGGTGCTAACGAGGATGCCTGGACCAAGGCACCGTCATCTGCCGTGGATGATTGGTGAGGAGGAGAGCCAGTGGGCACTCGTGAGCTAGACTTGCTTCAAGGCATATCTGATCTCAGGAAAGAAATGGCAGATGCTTCTCGACAGCAACAGTCCGGGGCAAATGGTACAGGTCTATTCCGAGCTGGGGAGCCGACGGAGATTTGCCCTTAATAGTTCATGTCCTGCAGCTTAAGGCTGCGTCGCATTGTCTGTAGATTTGGGCAATGTGCAGGGAGGATTGACAATTGATTTCAACTTCGCCCGCATCCCATTCCGAGTAAGAAACGTGGATGATGAGTTTTGTCTGTCCTGCGTCAACATGAGACAAGAACGCGTTGGCGCTGAAGAGTCCCACTTCTGTCCGCAGAGCTTGTTCAGGATCACACAGCATGCCCCGCAGGAGTTGTAGCTGTTGCCCCTCTCGACCAGGCACGGCATAAACAGGGGGCTAGCTCTGACGTACCAGCTATATTAGTGCCTGGAATAGCTTCATGCCAGCTCTTTTGTAGGCAGCCCACCTCGTCCGCCTGGACTCTCTGCTACTTCCCAGTTTCGCCACAACAGCCTCTCTCTGAGCGAGGACCTCATCAGACAAACCGCGGTCCTTTCCCCCCCTTGAGACCCAAAGCATCGACAATGTCACTGGCCATTGACAAGATCCTGGCCGCAGCCCCGGTCACGGCCCGTGGACAACCGACTCCGCTCTCGACCGATGCAAAGGGAGAGCGGATAGCATATGCTGTAGGTCTCTCCTGGGCGGGTTGGTAGCTCTGTCGAGCCCTTCTGCTAACGATGCGATTCTCTCTCTTCAGTCCGGCAAGTCGATCTTTGTCCGCTCCATCGACAACCCCTCCGACTGCAAGCAGTACACCAACCACACCGCCCAAACCACTGTTGCGCGATTCTCCCCGAGCGGGTTCTACATTGCTAGCGGAGATGTGTCTGGTGCCGTCAAGGTTTGGGACTCTGTGGAAGCTGTAAACACCAAAGGTCCGTGTGTCCGCTGCTGTTACAAGGACCGGATTCCCCTCGGTGGCTAACGCTGTGGCCTGCCACGATAAACAGGAGAATACCACATCATATCCGGCCGCATCAACGACATTGCCTGGGATGGCGAGTCGCAGCGCATCATCGCGGTTGGCGACGGCCGCGAGCGGTTCGGCCACTGCATCACCGCAGACAGCGGCAACAGCGTGGGCGAGATCTCGGGCCACTCCAAGGTCATCAACGCGGTCGCCATGCGGGCCTCGCGGCCTTTCCGCGCCGTCACCGTGAGCGACGACATGACGGTCTGCTTCCTGCACGGCGCGCCGTTCAAGTTCAACTCCAAGTCGACCGAGCACAAGGGTTTTGTCATGGGTGCCGCGTACTCGCCAGACGGCAACACTTTTGTCACGGTCGGCGCCGACAGGAAGATCCAGCTGTACGATGGCAAGACGGGCGAGCCCACGCGGAGCATCGGCGAGGGCGAGCACACGGGCAGCATCTTTGCGGTCAGCTGGGCACAGGATTCGAAGCGCTTCGTCACCGCCAGTGCCGACCAGACCGTGAAGCTCTGGGACGTCGAGGCCGGCAAGGTCACACAGTCATGGAGATTCGGCGGCGACGGCGTCAGCGTGCAGGACCAGCAGGTCGGTGTCGTCTTCCCGCACGGCCGAAGCGATGGTCTGATCATCAGCCTGAACCTCAACGGCGACCTCAACTACCTGAAGGAGGGCAGTGCCGAGCCCGTGAAAGTTGTGCAAGGCCACAACAAGGCCATCACCGCGCTGGGCGTGGCCTCGGATGGCAAGAGCGACAAACTGTGGACGGGCAGCTTCGACGGCAAGGTGTGCTCGTGGGACGTCTCCGCGGGAGTCGGCGCAGTTGTGGACGGCCAGACGCATACCAACCAGGTTGTCCAGTTCGGCTCGGACGCCGGCAGGGCATACAGTGTTGGCTGGGACGACACGCTCCGCATCGTCGACGAGTCGGCCAACACTTTCGCAGGCGAGAGCACAAAGCTCGCCGCCCAGCCCAAGGGCATCGCCGCCGCCAACGGCCGCGTGTACGTCGCCACCGGCTCGGGCGTCGAGATCTACGAGGACGGCAAGCTCGCGGGCCAGGTCGACATCGCCGGCGGCCAGCCCACCGCCATTGCTGCTCACGGCTCGCTCGTCGCCGTCGGCACGGCCGGCAACGCTGTGCAGCTGTTCGACGCCGCCGGCGGGAGCAAGCTCTCCCTCGTCGCGGAGGCCAAGAACAGCCTCGCCCAGATCTCGGCGCTGGCCTTCTCCAAGGACGGCTCGCACCTGGCGGCCGGCGCCTCGAACGGCAAGATCTACGCCTACAAGACTTCTTCCCTTCCCTCGTCGGGCAGCCTGGACCTCGCCACAGACCGCTGGTCCGCACACACGGGCCGCGTCACGAGCATAGCCTGGAACGAGGCCGGCACGCACGCGGCCAGCGGCGCCCTCGACACAAACGTGTTTGTCTGGTCGCTCGCCAAGCCGGGCAGCAGGGTCAAGGCGCTCAACGCGCACAAGGACGGCGTATATGGCGTCGCGTGGGTCGGCGCCGGCAGGGTCGCGTCCACGGGAGGCGACGCCGCCATCAAGATCTGGAGTGCTTCAGGACTGCAGTAGAACCAGGCGTGCGGGGAGGTTGGATGGAGACTCGAGTTGACGTGTAGAGCGCATCTCGACAAAGACGATGTGTGTATACCTCAAGAGCATCCTTGAAGTCCAGACACGTGCTTGGGCCCTTTTTGGCAAAGATGGAGACGGATGATGCCTAGAGTTGTCCCTGAGAGCATGAGGTGTGTTGAAGCAAGTAGTAGAGCAATGCACATATACATCACAAGTACGCTATGCCAGAAATTGACCTTTGGACTGCAAAGACGTGGTGCTGTGCTGCATGCTTCGTGACAGATTATAGTCTCCAGCATGTTGCCCTTTGCCTTTCAGTTGTGGTCACTGCATGCACTTTGCATCGTCCCCAACGCCGAATCTCATATTTTAATTCTTCATTTTGTTTTCATAAATGCTTCAAGCTGTTTAGAGACACGAAATTTCCCACAGGTCGCGACGTGCCTGTTCGCTCTTCAGCCTCAGATCTGACGTCCGCCGCCTTGAGCTCGACCGCTCATTGCAACTTCTCGGATGTAGCCATCAAGCTTCCTGTGTGGTTGTTAGTGCATCTGTAAGCCGGAATAAGATATAAATGTTTGGAGGAGCGAGAGGCACGTACCAATAAATGTAGTAATCAGTCTACTGCGAACAGCGCAGATATCCTCGGGTACCAGCCAGATGGTCGCACCCATCTTTCTGGCGATACTGATGCTCAGCTTGGCGTTGAGGTAGGCCTCGTCGTCTGTACGGCCCGGCGTCACGAGGTCGTAATCGACGTAACTGCTCTTCATGCCATTGAGGACGTCGAGCAAGAAGACACCAGAGGCAAGAGCAGGGTCCTTCATCGAGCGGACCGACGAGTTGCGTCCGCCCTTGCGCGACATGTCATTGGCCCACTTGACCATCTCGGCATCGGTCATCTCCCGTTTACCAAGCTTCCGTGCGAGAGCAGAAAGAGTGATTGTGATATCCCTCCTCATCAACTGCCACACAAGTCCCAACGTCAAGGTCTTCTGGCCGTCCGTGATGTCGGCACCCTGGATACCAACAAGGGAGAAGCCGTTCTGCTTGCCTAGCTCGATAGCATAGTTTGTGTTCTCCACAGCCTTGAATCTCATCACTTCACCGCCATGAGCAGGGCGCTTGTTGACATGTCTCCAGTTGACGGAACCCTTGATGACCTTGTCGTAAGCCTGGAGGAGGAGAGTACCGTCGCGCAGGTCGTCGAAGAAGGAGACAACGGCCGGCTGTACGTCAAGAGAGTTGAGCCACAGGGTGAAGACTCTGGCCTCGCGTTCGCCCTCGGCATCAAAGTCCTCCACTTCCTGCTTCTCTTCCTCCGTGATGGGGTCGAGACACGGGTGTGTGTTGAACAGGTTGGCAACGAAAGCAAGGTTGAGCTTCGGGTTTCCGGCGACTAGCGAGGTTGGTGTCAAGAACTTGCGGCAGCCCAGCTTGTCAGAGTTATCCAAAACTTGCTCTGCACGTTGCAGGAGATCGGAGGTCTGGAGAGGAGAGCGTGTGCAGCCGTATTCGGAACCAATCTGAGCGAGCAGAACCGTGTAGTTCTCGCCATCTTTTACGTCGCTGGAGAAGTTGGTGACCTTTCTGTTCCAGCCAGCGGCCTTGAGGTGGTAGTTGAACCACCTGAGCAGGATCTGCTCCGGGGGCAGGCGCAGGAACTGCTCGAGGGTCTCATCGTCTTCCAGCAGCCGGTACAGCTCTGGGTGGAGCTTGATGTCGATTTTGCCGAGCAGACCTCTGCGGATAATCTGCCAGATGAGACCCAGGATTAGATGCTCGCGCACTTCAATGATGTCGCCACTGCCAATGTTAACCACGGAACAGCCGATACCCTTTGCCGATTCGATGACAATGTTGTTGTTCTCAGTCATGTGGAATGCGTTCAAGCTCTTGATCTTCCTGCCCGCAACGTTGAGCACACGCTCATCGATGGTGTCGGGTACACTGTCGTTGATGAGCTTGGCTAGGACGAGACCGTCCTTGCACTCGTCGAACATCTCAAAGGTGTCGGTGGGGAACGGGAGCCGGGCGCCGATGTCCGGGTCGCCCGCCAGGACGGCGTTGATGTGGCGGGTGAACTCGGTGCGCTCATCTTCGTTGATCGTGTGCGTGATGTTGGCGTTTGAGCCCTGAACGTGGATCTTGCCGATGCTGCCCTTTGAGGCGTGGCCGCTGACAGCGCCGCCCGCGGCACCACCAGTTCTTTGCGAGACGACACCGGGGGTGACGGGAGGCTTTGCGCCGCCAGTGTTCATGCGCTGCTGCGCCGGGGACGAGTCGCGGAGCTTGGCGATCAAGCCGACGTAGTCTTCGAGCTCTACTCTTCTCGACGAGTCGAGCTCGACCTCTTTGAGGGCCTGTCTGACCACATCGTAGGGTTGCCTCTCGCTCTGCTGGGTAGCCTTGATCGCGGTGGCCTCATCGATGTAGCCCTTGTCGTCCACATCGAGCTTGTGGAAGGCGTCCGTCAGCGAGAAGATGTCGCCCTGTTGGAACTGAGGGAACTTCCTGAGGACGTGCATATGGTCAGTACGGTCATTGAATGGAGCGGCGCGGTACACAATCTCCCTGCGCACCTCTGGAGCTTGATGACGTTCATGCCGGCGGATGTTGCGCTGAGGGGTCAGCGCAATGGACACAGTGGGAGGGGTGGATGCCAGGAAGAGAAAAGTTGACAACCAGCAGGCCAGGAGCGTTGCGCTTGCTGAAGAAAAGATGGGCTCCGCAGAGGAATCAAATGCGAAGCGGGATGACGCTGCTGCCTTGGTCGGAAAACGAGGCGCGGAGAAGAGGGCGGCGTGCTTAGGGGGGCGCAATGGATGGGAGAGGATTGAGGCTTCGGGCAGCTACAGGGGCGCTAGAGCATTGTCATCCAGAGCCAGTGCTGAGCGGCCAGCAATTACTGTAATAATCTGCAGGAACCCCCACCACGTCTGCCTGCTTCTAGAAGCACGAGCCTCCCGTTCGTTTGTGATGCTACGGAGAGTCCCGATGCCCTGCGAAACGAACCCTGCGGTGTTCCGCCTAATTGCCCAAGCTGGAGCCGAGCACGTTCTATGTACGCTATCTAGCTCACTTGTCGGGACTGTGTCTTCCTGTGCGGATCGTCCGGAGACCCAGGCTGAGCGGCTCCCTCTGGCAAGAAGAGGGGGCCCGTAAACCTGACCTTGGTTTGGCGGGGCTCGTCCTTGCCAGCTCGAGCTCGCTGGGGCAGAGCACTGATGTAATCGGTCTTGGCACAAGCACTGCGCAGCCTCCTCCCACCCCACACTTGCGTAAGGGGAAACGCAATCCCATCACCAGGCAGGCACATTTTGACCCTGGGAGTGCGGCCACCAACGAAAAACATCCTATGGCCATCTCGAGTGCCTGGGCAAGGCATCCATCCTCCCGACAGTTCGATCCTGCTGCCGCTTTCTCCCTGCCGGCACAATGAACAGCCTGAGTGCCATTGACCACGGCCGTGCTGCAGCACTGCGGGCCTTGAAGCTCGAGCCTCGCGTGGGACCCGCAACCAATGCCTCACGTAACACCGGCACAAATACCCAACCATGTCAACGAGCCTGACGAGGAGTCGTCCAGGGCTTTTCTGGTGGGTTGACCCCAACGGTTTGGAACCGTGTGTGCTGATGGCAGGATACCGCTACATCCGCAGCCAGTCGAGCCTAACGGCACAGCTCGCTCGGGTCAGCAATATATCTGTGGCTGCGCTCGCACCTCGTCAAGCCACGACAGCAGGTGATCCCCGAGAGAAAGAGAGCACTGTGCGTCAAAATGAGCACCGGGAACTCCATGGGAGACCACCACAACACCGTCACTTCATGACAGACGGCACGCGGGTATGTTGTAGCCCGCGTAGACTATTCTTGTTGGTGGACAAAACCAGCGCGTCCAGTCTCGGATACCTCGCACGCCATTCACGTTCGGTACGACTGTTCTCATCTGGCCGGTGAGATGTCAACTTGTCACGGCCATGTGAAAAATGCGGCGGAACAAGCATCTTTTTCACACGCGGACACCTTGCCGCGGGTATGAACCTGGATGGGACAGCTCTGTCTTCGTGGCAAGCCCCGGAATTATGGGGGATTCGTCTAAGATCTAGCCCGGAGATGTGCAGCGGAGGTCCTGCTCTGGTCCTGCCTGCCACACCGAGTCTCAGGCATACTGGAATCTATGGTCGACACCACTCTTTATTTGTCACGGACAAATCATTACTCTCCAGACGCACGCCTTGCCACCACAGTTGGTCGGCCGCTCAGGCGATGCCCCATATCTCGGTCGGCTTCAGGCTGAAGCTGAGGGCGGCAGCAGCGTCCTCGCCATTGTATACAGTTCTGGCAGTCCCGGTATAGTTCCACTGGATGTTGCTATAATTGCACAGTCAGCATGTGAAAGTTACAACGGACTAGAACTCGCCACAACATACTCGTTGTTAAAGTCGATGTGCTGGACCGAGATCTGGATCTCTGCGGGTTGCAGCGTGCCGTTCAGCGTCTGGTTTGAGCTCGGCGGGCTCGGCAATAACTTTGCCGACACAGCAGTAGGGGTATCGTCGGTTTCCAGGATGTCGCATTGGGCAAACGCAGGACCCGGGCCGCTGCCCTGACAGCTGGCCTTGACGAAGGGAAGCTGTGGCGATGCGGTCTCGTTACCCTCAGCTGTAAAGGTAAACTCTGTGTCGCGGAGAGATATGGTGAGCTTTTGTCCATCTATTGTTTACATCATGCCGTGGAGTTCGTCCGCAAGGAACTCACTGTAGCTGCATTGTTGGAATCCGGAGCAATATCCGTTCCAGCCGGACACTTCCCAAGGATATTCGATGGTCTCGGTAGCAAGCCGGAACATGGTTGCGGAAGCAGGCAACGCAGCAGCTAGAGCTGCACACGCGGTGGCGAAGCGCATTTTGCGTGTATGTTTTGCGCTGTCGGTCGCGAACGGAAGGAAGACGCTGCGAGACCGTAGAACAGGCGTGTCGTCAAGTAAACGATCAAAAGATAGAGCTCCGAGTCTTATCCACTATCGAGGAGCTGAGCAGGAACTCTTCTTATACATGAATGCTAAGAGCAGCCGGTGACCTCGGGGTCAAGTCTGCGTGCAGGGATCAACCCATATTAAAGAGGTCTCTCGTAGGGATCTCGGGGTCTATGCCCATAGCATTCCATAAGATCCCTCGCCTGGCCTGTTCCTACGTGTGGGCGAGAGGATCCTTTGGTGGCCGAGCTCAAGTTCCACCACGCCCCACAGCCGCCAGCATGACTGCCGATTGTTGCCCCTTTGCGCTGGTGCCCCTGACGCAGTCATTCGCCCGCGCAACCACAGCTCGGAACAGAGCGATCCAAATCTCTTGGTGGAGGGCTAGCGAAGAGATCCCTGCCGATCAGCTCATGCAGGCACTGATATCCCATCCCTGCCTGCCGTTGGTATCAGCTATCACACGATATGCAGGAGCTAGGTTCTCTACAGCATTCCTCCCATGGAGGATTTTGAAGGGTGTTCGTCCTGTCCGGGCGGTCGCGTCCGGTCTACGGAAAGGTTTGTGGCGAGACGGAAGACATCGCAACCCCCAAGAGCGCTCGCTGTGCAACAACAATTCTTGGCACATGACTTGTCGACGCTATGACGACTGTTTGAGGAATATCGTCATGGTCGTGGCACTATTCAAGGTAAAACTGGTTCACAAGGCTGTGTATGCTGTCCTCTGTCCTCACTGCCGCGTATGAGCTTGATTGGGGTTTGATCACCAGCTCTCAGCTTGTGACAAGCGCGAGCAGATTGATGGCTGAGCGCTTTGCGTGGTGTCGTTCCGGGTTAACAGTATCGACGAGGCGTGCTGTCTGAGCACAACCATCAAGAGCCTGCCCGTTCCGGAGCTGCATCGTGAGCCACCAGTGCTGCTGCTGCAGAAGCTGGCCCTTCAATTGGGTAGTCGCCCAAGTGAAAAGCACGGAGGGGGCGCGCACAGCCATCGTTTGGTTGAAAGCAATACCCGCTTTCAGCATGCTGGTGAAACCCGGAGCACAGACTGTGAGGCTTCTGTGCGCAGCACCAAAAGCACCAAAAGCACCAAAAGCACGTCAGCTGAGCGCCAGAAAACAATATTGCCGCTGTTGATTGAACAGCGGGCTTGGAACTCTGATAAATAAGCCAAGAGACGATGTGCATTCTCTCTTGGGATTCGCGCGAAGTGCCTGGGCAGAATGCCAGCTGCGTAGAGGTAGAATAGATTGCTCCGATGTGGAGGCAGAGACGGTTCTCGGAAATCCCACGTCCACGACGAAGTGCAGAGTGATGACGCGCGAGCAATTGACTGCTCCATCGATTGGGCCTTGACAAGGTGTCGACAATGGTATATATGGAATGTGCAGGTGGTTGCCACCGCTTAGGTAGACAGTGACTTCATCTTGGATGGGTTTCCTGCAGACGTTACACCTGTGGCGGAAATGAGAACATGTGTAATGATCACAACAAAATGCGCCGAGAGAAGTACTGCTGTAATATGGTTGCCCTACTAGAACAAGTAGAGGCTCAATCACCGCCCGGTTTTACTGTACACACAGAGACCGATTCCGCTCAACGATAAAATCATACCCATCCACGTTTCTGGAGGAAGTCAGCTTCAGGCGCTTGAAGGCAAGGATGAAGTGCGGATGAACATACCGAGACTGATGACCTTTCGATCAACCCACCAATCCCCAAGGACGGTGAACAGGAACGCAAGCGTGTTCACGATGGGCACAGTCAGGCTCAGCTCTGCATCAGAAGAAGAAGTCAGCCAATGTGGCAACCATGGTACAGTTTTCAGTCCTCTTACCGGCCTGGCCGATCAACAGGAAAAACCACACGCTGCCGGTAAGGTTGATGAGCAGCGGGATGGCATATCGAGGGTTTCTGAGAAGATCAACCACAGCGAAAAATGCACCATACAGCCTTCGTTTCAGCCAGCTGGACTTGACTTCGTCTGTGGCGAGTATAGGATGGGCTGCGGGCTTGTGGTCTTTGGCTGCCCGCCGGATGAAGGGGGTGGTGAATCCCCAAGCGACGCCGACCAGCAAGAAGCCCGCCACGTAATTGATGGCGGGCGGTTGGGTCACAATGTCCGCGTCTGACATGGCGATGGGAGTGCTGCAGACAGTAGGGCTTTGAGACTTCACGTGTCTAACGCCGGCTCCGATGAAGTCGAGGTAAAGGGTGATGATGGCTGGCGTTCCCGTTGTGTGGTGGTGCACGTTTGGCGGGTCGACACTGTGCCTTCCAAGGTTCCCTCACACAGTTGAATCCTCCAGGCTCATGATTACTAAGCAGTACCCATGCATGTCTTTTGGGGACACTGCAAATCCCAAACCGCCTCATAGCCTTGACTCTACCTAAACCTCATTGTTGTTCAAGGGCAAGGAATGGACCGGGATCCTGACATGATATTGCTTAGGAGTCGTCGATACCAAGCGACTCGACAAAACAGATGCTCCAGCTTGGAAGAATGGAGACGGTGGAACCTTGAAGGTCCTGGACATCGACTAAGCCACGATGTCTCAAGCTCGGCTGACCACCTCCTGTTCCTGGACAACCTCCCGAGTTAACGGCACCACCGGTCGAGGAATTAGGGTCCCAGGAGCTATAAAGTGCGCCAAGGTCACGAGCAACCAGGATGGTCAGGTACCGAGGGCCTGGAGTGGAGCCACTTGTGAACAGCTTCCATCCATGAAGCGTGTGGGCAGTCGCTAGTATTCACGTTATAGACGTCATGATGATTCAGTACCTCGATGTGAGACGAAATCAAACAATCGACTTAGTCGAGAAAAGTTACTCTTCTTACCTTGACGAGGCTGCAGGAAAGCACCCTGTCGCTCATGATCAGCTCCAGGGGCCCCTGTTCTTGTTACATAGGGTGTCTATACTTTGTCCCTTGCAGGCCAATGGCATCAGCTGATGAAACAAAAAACACATCTGATATCTTTGATAAAATATCGTACTGCTTGGCAACATCATCTTCCCATAGCACGTATTGTTGACAGAGTGCTGATGGCTCGAGCACGGGACTCCCTTAGTTGCAACTGGTCGCCGGCGTGGTTGAATTTTAGTGCCGGATCAATCTCTCCGGCGAGCTAACTCAAAAATCATCGGCCGTCTACCAGGAACTGTAAAGGTCTGGGTGCCGCATTCCAGCGCTGCAACAAAGGTCACTGGGATCTGCACCTTAATTATGCAGTGGAAACGCCAGATACCGGTGCAGCGGGTCAAATCATCGTCGTCACCGTACGAAAAGCAAAAGTCATTCGTCACCAGGATTAACTAGAAACATGCCATGTCTCGTTGTGAATTCTTGCAGCGGATGCCTAGGCCACCACAGCAGGAGAGATGAGGCTTCGTTCAGCGGGTTCTAAGTTTCGAGAATCCGCAGGCACGAAGCTTCTACATAGCAGATAACGGGATCCTCGTCTGGTCCATTAGAATCGGCCAGTGGACTTCAGAATTTCGCCCTCAACTCGGGCCTCTGAGTATATGCCCCTATCGAGACATGGGATCATGCTGCACAACTACATGAACAATCTGGGCATATACGGCTTTTTTTCAGGGTCAGTATCTTGTCTTATACAATTATTCAGCAATAGGATGCGACGAGACCCCAACAAGTGTCCTGAAGCGGGTGGCAATCAATAGAATATCCCACCTATACCGTAAATTCCACCAAAACTGTCTCAATCCAATGACATGTGATGATCTGGACGCCTGACGCGCGTGATGCCTGGTCGGAGGATATTGCTTATTCTCGATCAAGCTTGGGGCAGTAAACGTCACGACATTGTGGAGTGAGAGATCGGACCTAGCATATCTCAGGTTAAGGCTGATGGATCCAACCTCGTCTTCCAGCACTGTTACCACGGCTTGGGTGCCTAAGGATCATGATCGCAGTCTTTGTGATGCAGTCGATGATGCTTCGATCCTAGCAGAAGTCGTCCCGAGTCATATTCGTCATTTCTAGCAGCCCAAATTATGCGGGAGTACTTCGCACAGACGCGAGTTTGACAAGACTGCCACTAAGCTGACGCATAGCAATGTTGACACATGCATATGAAAGCAGTCTACTACAAGTTACTTTTAGTTGCTCGTGCTCCCACGGCCGCTTCTATAAGTACCGAAGCATTTCCCTCCAGAACCGCTACAATCTTTGCACAGAAAGTCATCAAGCACGCAAGCCCCTTCACTCTTACTACACTCTACACAATTTGAACAACTCTTTTCAACCATACAACTCTATCAACATGCCTACTGAAGCTCAGATCGCTGGTGGCCACAAGGCGGCTATCAACAACCCCAACGTCCCGGAGGAGACCAAGGAGAACTCGAAGCGAATTCTCGAGGAGCAGTTCAACGGCGGCGATGGTAAGTCCACAACGTACCTTCCCCATCAAGCGTGCAAATCAAAAGCATGATGGCGCAGTCTATGCCACTAACACCAAATTCCCACTACAGTCCCCAAGTCTGGCGACAACGAAAACAAGAACCCCAACAATGTTGCTGGCGGTCTCAAGGCGTAAGTCATCCAGATCTTTTCTTTTTCCCTCTAAAAGTAGAAAATCGCATGAAACGGTATTCTGATCACAAGAGATACACAACAGCACCCTCAACAACCCCAACGTCTCGGAGGAGGCCAAGAAGAGTGCGAAAGAACGCCTCGACAACATGTAAATGCCTTGTCGTCAAGACTCAGCAACTGAAGTGCACATCTCTGCCCTCGATTTACATAGAGGTCATCTGAACCTAAATAGTAAAGTTAATTTGGCCTGGTGTTCTTCGTTCAATGGACGCGTAATGTGCTCTTTGTGATTACTACTGTGATGATGACGTTCTCGGTGTAATTAACCCCAGTCTGAGATTGGCAGCTTCAGACAGCAGCTGTTCTCCCGAAGCCTGGCTATCAACGTCTCACGTGCCTCAATTGTCATCTCGGAACCGCGTATATCATTTCAACCCACGAATGTCTACGCTTTCGCGCATGATTTGGAGTTGTCAAGGCAACTCGGAGCTATCAATCAAGTCCGTTTGCACGGTATAAAGTAAGCGGATGCTTTCCTAGCACAGGCATTGTTCGTGCCCGTCAGAATCATTATAGCTTGTGGCAAGCCGTGGTGATCGCCTGATTTCTCTGCAGGTCAAGATCTTACCCTCAACCGGGACCAAGTCTCGTACTATCAGATAAATGATGAGCAGTTGAATGTTGACAAAATCTCGTTGATTGACGGTATTCAAACACATGCTTCAAGCATAAAACGATCCTGCCACCCGCTCAAGGCTGGGAATACATCTCGTCTTCAGGAAGTGGTCTACAGAGAGTGATCCCTTTCGTTTGTCATTCGTTCCGAAGGAGCAAAAGGAAGACAATGAGCGCAGTCATGAGACTGTCAGCTGTGCTGTGGCTCTGCGTCAAGTACACAAGCATGTTATGGATAATGAGCAGCCCCAGCCAGGCAGCAAAAACTCCATATCCTAGCGATTGACGTCGGACCTGGAGCATCGGGTCGCAACATGAAAGGTCGCTTCTTAGGTGGCTGGGACAAGTTGCGTCATTCGCGCCCTGTCGGACGACGTGGATAAGGCGAAATGGATGCCGTCCGCAGTCTCCACGCCGCCCTGATCTTCAGGTACGAACGTGAGCCCGCAATCGCGGCCCGTCAAGAGCTAACATCCTGTATCACTGAGATAAGCCGAGGCAGATGAATCTTTTCCTTCGACAGCCCCGTTTTCTCAACCAGTGGAACCCAGCCGAGCCAGGGATATCCCCGCATAGCTAGGATGCTGTGAAGTCATGGCAGCACGAAGTAAGGATGTTTGCCTCGCGTTAATCCAGACAATCAGAGCTACCTGTGAAGATGCTGAATGAGATTAAGCTGGGTTCTTTGTTCCAGCCGAATGAGTCCAGCCTGTGCTCACCCAGCCGCTGAGGTCTCTGTTGTTTGTGGAAATATGAGGATGACCCACCTTGAGGCCTAGAACAAGCCAAGAGCTGGGACCTGCCCGGTGCCCGATCCGCCCCAGCCGTGAGCATGGATCCTTTGGAGCGATTCACGATCTGAGATTCAGAACGGCCACGAAGGCGTGCAAGCTGCCTTGCTTTCCCAGAGTTTCCGAGCATATGACGTGCCGTTCTTAAAGTTAAGCGCTAGAGCAACCAGGCTCTTGGCACCATTCGGCTGGTTCCGGAAAGGCACAACAAGTCGAACTGGAGGACCAATCAAGGACTTTGTCGTCGCGGCACCATGGCTGTGCATAAGCCATTGGTTGGATCGCTGGGTACGGCGCTCTCTACACAGCCTTGAATGTCATGTAGCCAATTTCGGAAATGCAAAGTCGTGGAGATCTTTAAGGATGGCAGTGCAGCACTACCTGCATATCGTATGCCGTGCATGGGCATCAAGCTTCCTGGGTCCGCTTGCGCAGTCGAAAAGACTTGGCCCTAACCAGGCACCGAGATTCGCAGAACTGCAGCCCCTCCCATCGTCATCATGATTCGCGCGTGGTATCATAAGACGGGGTAGGGCAGACCACCTCGATCCGAGTTGGCCGTTGCTCCTGATTTGAGCATGCTCGGCGAGGCGGTCGTTGAAGGAGTGGCAATGCGGACTGCTGCGAGCAACAGGCGACATTCCGTCACGAATGCCTGATGCTTGGTCTGAGGATGCGCCTGGGGGAAGGGATGATGGCTGCTCGCGGCGTGGTCAGGGGAGCGAGGGTGCATGTGTTTGGATGGGGTGAGATGGGGCGCTAAGCGGAGAGGGGGCGTTGCTGCTGCGACGCAGTGGGTTGGTGTCAATACTGGCACCGGGATGGGATGCTGTGATTGGCTGGTGGGGGCTGGCTGCGAACAGCTTGCGGCGGCCAAGGCCCTGCTAGATCGCGGGCCCCACGGGCCAGAAGCGGCAGGGGCTGCCCTGGCTGACACTACTGCAGCGCCCCAGCCTCGCGGTTTTGCGCCTGTCGCGCCCGGGGCTAGCAGGCTACGTCCCCAGCCACCAGCGCCAGGGGTGCATCGGAGCTGTTGTTATTTAGGTGCTGCTGCAGCAGGTGCTTGCGGCAGGCGTGAGAAATGGAGGGGGCGCAATCCGCAGCCAAGCCACTACCTACGACGTCCACCACCCCATTGCTTCCGCTTTCACCACGACTTGCTGCTGCGGCTGCTCTTCTTCTTGTTCCGTCCTTCTCCTGCCAGCATTCCCCACGACACGACCAGACCTTCGAGTCCTCACGCCGCCCACGACGACAACTTGCAGACTTCTCGCCGTCTGCCTCTGCCACTCCTGCTTGGTCAGGTCTCACTCTGCCCCATTCGAGGAACCCTTGGCCAACGGCCCTCGCTTGAAGCGGACCCTTCGCCATCGAGCCCGCTTCCAATTGCGTCACATTCATTCCAGTCGCCATTTCACCCCTCGCCTCCGTTCGCAGTCTCAATCTTCGTCCTGCAGACCTGCTCTGAGCCGCCAGCGACCCCGTCGTCGTCATTTCTGCGAGCCATTCTCAACTAGACCGCTCCCGCCTGCAATTGCGGTCCGCCCACGCCAGAAATAACACAGTTTCCCGAGGCCATCGTGAAAGAACAAAACACAGCCGACCCGCGCCGGCACGCACCCCAATGATACGCCACTGAACCACATCATCGCACAGCACGACTCTGCTCGCTCGCGATGGCGGCCAAGGCCAAGACCAATCCCCTCAATGGGATGCACACCGCAGGCATCTTCTCAGACATGAGCATTGATGGTCCAGAGATTGGCACCCTCGTCCTCATTGTTGACCGCGCAAAGAATTTGCCCAACCGCAAAACCATTGGCAAGCAGGACCCGTATGTTGCGGCTCGCCTCGGCAAGGAGGCCAAGAAGACAACCACAGACATCCGCGGTGGACAGACTCCAAGGTGGTACGTGTACAACCAGATGCCACGTTCCGTAGACTCGGCGTGGCATATCTTTAGCTGATGCACATGCGCATCAACATCTTGCTAACTTTCAGTTTGCTGCAGGGACCAAGAACTCCGCTTCAACGTGCACGACTCGCCAGATTACTACCAGCTCAAGCTTTCTGTGTTTAATGACGACAAGAAGACCGACTTGATCGGCGAGACATGGATCGACCTACGCGACATCATTGTGCCGGGTGGCGGGCAGAACGACCACTGGCATACACTTGGCTGCAAGGGGAAATACGCCGGAGAGATCCGCATCGAAACCACCTTTTACGACAGCAGGCCAAAGCCGGAGAAGCCTGCCCCCGAGCCCAAAGCGGCTGCTCAGGGTATCGAACAGTCCGAAGGTGCAGCTGCCGGAGCTCCTGGAGGCCCGAGGAACCTCGTGAAGCGGCGACCACTTCCATCCGACCCGAGCGGCCGAAAACAGCCAGAACGTGTTGAGTCCGGACCACGCCCACAGCCACCGGTGCCGGGGTCAATGCTGCCGAAGCAGTCCCCCCTCCAGGCCATCGAATACACACAAATTCCACCACAAGGAAAACAGGACCATGGCGTTGATGAGTACGCTGGATCTGCTGGACCAGACAGTCCTTATGCGGATGCACCTCGGGTCGCGCCAAGACGCAGCTATGAAGATCAAGCGCAGTACGCCCAACACCCCTACTCATCCCACATGGTGGAGCAACGATCTTCATACAGCCATGGACAGCCGGAGTTCGAAGCTCCTCCACCAATCGGCCGCGGCCCTCGCCATTCTTTTGGTGCCATTGAAGCCCCGCCACCACCCCCAGCGCACCGCAGCCGGGGAGGGAGCGTCCCTTCGCAAGAGATGGTGCACCGGGCTAGCTTTGACATGCCTATGCAAAAGGCCACGCCTCCGATGATGCGACATGATGTACTACGCCACGAGGCTCACCGGCATTCTGTTTCTGCGCTGCCTCCCTCGACTGCGTCGCCTTACCCAGGACGACCAATGTATCGTCCCTATGACTCTGCTCCGGAAGTACCAGGTGGGCCGCAGTACCACGAAGAGCGCCAGCACCACCCGTCTCCTCCGCGCCACCATTCGTACGACTCTGCGTATGATTCACATGGTCGCTCCCTGCAGCCGACCGTCGAGGATGTGCCAGAGTCTTGGACACCACCAAAACCTAGATACACGCAAACGCAAGAGGCACGGACGCCACCCAACCCTCGCGCCAGCTACCAACGTACCTCACCTTTACCATACGAATCCAGCCATGAGGATGACCGAGATCTGCGGATGTCAGCAAGCCCAGCCCCACTAAATGTCGGTGGTCGAGGAAGTGCTACGTCCAATCGGTACCAAACCAGCCCGTTGCCTATCTCATACGATCCTCAGTCCTACGACAGCCCTGAACATCAGTCCATGTCCAACGCAATAGTACCCAGAGGCTACAATCATTCAAGCATGTCCGCACTACCTGATCCGGACTACTCGCGAGACCCGTATGTCAGTCATGGTAACGAGCTCGCCCTGCGGACCCGTCAACATTCTGCAGATTTCTCTGCCGCTGCCGCTGTGCCAGCTACTTTGATCCCAGGGTTTGATCCAAGCATGCAAGACATCACAGAACGCATCTATGAAGATCGGAGACGTGAGCGGCGGTACACACAACCAGCACCCATGACAACTCCGACACGTGGGAGGCAGCACAATGAACCGCCGATGCAGTACAGCCATCAATCTCCGCAACACGGCTATTACCAGGGGAATTCCCGCCCCCACGACAGGAGCCCACCAGCGTATGGCGGTTCTACATCTCCTGCAGCAGCACCGATGGCCACCCAGCGGCACAGAGGAGTGTCACCGGTTCCTAACCCCAGCCATACTATCAAGCGGAAATCAGTCAGCCCCGCACCACCTCCTGCGGAAGACAGAGGCGATGGACGCAGACTATCTGGCATACCCTTCGGGCCAGATGACTATGACGAGCTGAATCCTGCCGTCGTTTCGGCCAAGGACGCAGCCACACCCGCGCACCAGTACACGAACCCCCAGGGCAAGATTGTTACCGCAGATGGTCGCGAGATTGATCCATCCGATCATTTGGCGGAGGATACATGGGCTCCGGAACCGGAGCCCAAGAAGCCTTTAAACAACTTTGAGGAGCCTCGATCTCGCCCAGCCATGTCAGGGGCACACCCAATGCCGGCCTCCAGCTACAAGAACATTCGTGTGACTGTCCGTCCACATTCCATGGCACAGCTGCCGACGCAGGCCGTAGCCCCTCTTGCTATCATGGATCGAGAACCGCCTGCCCCCTTGCAGGCGCCGTCTAGCGGCAGAAACAGGTTGCAGAAGAAGCAGCACCGAGCCTCCGCACTTCCGGCCCCTGTCCCGAGCGGCTCATCACCGCTTGGTCCAGCTTCCTCTCACCAGCGCAATAGCACACCTCCTCGTGCGTTGGTGAGGGCTAGTACCTTTGATTACGAGAATCATATCGTGCCATACAATTCCTCCCAAGGTGCAGCTAGGGGTGGTTACGGCGATGGACCGCCGATCCCAGCCAAAATTCCCGTCATGAGTGGTGGCATGGGCCCAGCCAGCTATGGACCAGGACCAGGACCAGGACCGGGAGCCGGAAGTGGTGACTGGGCTCTTATGCAAGAGATGAGCCGAATCGATCTTGGCTCAGGACGTGCAAGGCGACATGGCGGCGGCTACTAGTCGTGCTCGACGATTGTGACTCTTCTATGCAGTTGCACTGCCATTTTTTATCATCTTCACGAAGTTGCTGCTTTCTACACCTGGGCAGGTTGTTTTCCAGGAGCATACATGGCGTTCTAGAAAGGCTTTTGACGCTTTTGTTAATGTATATTTACGCAAGGCCATTGTGGGATCGTGCTCACTGTTCCCTCTGGCAAACTGTTTTGGAATTTGCAAGAGGAGACAAGCTGTAGCTGAAACATACGGCGCGGGCTTACGATGTCGAAGCGAGTCTGATAGAGCAAGTATGATCCGCCATTCTTGGCATATGAGAGCTTGGAAGAAGCAGACGCAATGATGACATGCATGAGCATATTCTTTCTTATCCCTCAAAGGCGCGATCTTAGAGTGTACGCATGGTGCCAATTTACAACGGTCCAAATGATTGGATGTGCCCGTGAGGTCGCGAGACAGATTCACGTCACTCCTTCTGGGTGTGTGGGTCCATTGCATTTCTGACAATTGCCAATCTATCATCCAGTGGCCCAGTCTCTGGTATATTGAAGTTTGCATTTCTTTCTACCCATTTCCCCAGTCTCTCTCTACTGAAACTGATTTTTGATTGTGAACAAATAAATGTAACGCCGTCGCGATGCAGGGAAATATGAACAAGTACAACAGCCGACGAGGGGTAAACTCGGGACGACACAGAAAAAAAGTGCCGCGTGTTGGGCCCTCATCAGTCTCTTCCCACCTTGATTGTGCCCGGAGCTGTCTGTCTGTGTGTATATCTGGCAGTCTGGCAGATCCGTGATCGAGCAATTCCTTCCCTCTGCCATGACAACTTGAGTCACCACTAACGTCGGGTCACGGTCCTTTTTCATCCATTCATGATACCCAAGTCGTTTCTTCGGGAGAAGAAAACAGAGCAACGCGCACCCCGGGGCCTACTCCATGCCGACGAGCAGACTGCCCAGCATGCCGCTAGTCTGCGTCGCGACCTGCGCCCGCTCGACCTCCTGCCTGACCCGCCTGGCCAGCGTGCGGAAGCCCGCCTCGAGCTCGGCGCTGCCGCCGACGAACTCGGCGTACAGGTCGAGCAGGTGTGCCGCGACGTCGACGCAGACGGCGACGTAGCGGGGGTCGACAATGTGGCGCTGCACCCACTTGAGCACGGGCTGGACGGTGTTCTCGTCCCTGCCCTCGAGGGCCTCGCGGAGGGCGCTGCGGTGCCGGAGGGCCACGAGGACGGTGAGGACGGTGAGCGGGGAGTGGTCCTTGGCGGCCGGGTCGAGCACGCGGTCGAGCGCGCGGGCAAAGTGGGCGTGGCGCAGGTCCTTCTGCCAGGGGGTCTCGCGCTTCGCGCGCGACAGGTCGTTGGCGATGACGACGTCGGCGCCCTCGCCGACCATGTCGAGCCGCTTGGCGTTGCCGTGGCGCCGCTTGCGCTTGTTCTTGAGCTTGTCGTGCTGGTCGATCGTGCCGGCGAGCAGGGCCGCCATCTCCTTCTCCCGCTCGCGCTCGCGGCTCGCCTCGGGCCCCGTGAGGCGCGTGCGCAGCGACAGCACGCCCGACTGCATGCCGACCGCCAGGTGCCGGTCGTCGCCGTTGGCGCCCGAGGTGATGACCTGCATGGAGAGGATCGGGGACGGGTACTTTGCGCCCGCGACGACGTTCCAGCCCGTCGTCTCAAACACCTTGACGTGCCCGTCGAGGCCGCCCGAGACGAGCCGCCGGCCGTTGGAGGCCAGGGACAGCGAGGTGACGGTCTTTTGGTGGTTCGAGATGATGTGCTGCGGCTTGGCGGCGACGAGGTCGAGCACGGAGATCTGGTTCTCGGCCGAGGCGAGAACGGTCGTGCCGGACGGGAGCGGGAGCACGTCCTCGACGGGGGCGGCGTGCTTGAACGTCATGACGGCGGCCTTTGGCGTCCGCGGGTCCCAGAGCTTGACGGTGGCATCGTAGCTTCCCGAGACAATCATGTTGGACATTGTGCCCGGCATGAAGCAGCCGCTGCGGACATAGTCGGTGTGCCCGACAAAGGTGCTCGTGCTGTTGCTGCTCGGGAGATCCCACAGGCGCACCGTCTTGTCGTCGCTCGTGCTCATCAGCGTCGTCAGGTCGGCTGGCGAGAACCGCGTGGTCCACGTCGGCTGCTTGTGCTGCGTCCAGGTCTTGAGGATGGCGCGCGAGCCCACGTCGAACACCTGGATCTTGCCCGTGTCATCTCCTGCCACCAGGATGCGTCCATCGCGCCTCACGTCGCCGCTGCGCGCAATGTCGCCGAACCGCGTGATCGTCTTGACCAGCTTGCGTGTGCGTATCGAGTAGATCTGCACCCGCGTGCCGGTGGTCACGGCGAAGTAGTCATTGTGCGACGAGGACGATCCGAGCGTCGTCGGGTTCGAGGCCGGCAAGGTGATGTGCGTGACGGGATATTGTGTCGGAGAGGGAATCACGAGGTGGTTCTTGAACGACTTCCAGTACCGCTGCTCGGCAGAGATTGGTGAGGGTCCCGAGGGCAGCTTCAGCTGCTGGAGGGGCTGGACTTCGGCAGCCATCGCGCAGTAAACTTTCCGAAGTGTCTCGCCGTACGAGTGAGCTGGGAGCGAATGAGCGTGGTGCAGGAGTCTGCTGCTTGCGTTGTCGGATGTTACAACTTATCGACGGCGAGATTGGCGATATCCAGAACTTTTTTTCGGGCTGGGTCGAAGGATAAGAGGAGCGAAGACCGCGCTAGTCCCTATGTGTGCTAGCGTTGTCCTTGATAGCTCGTGCAGCCGCAAAGACACAACCGGCCGATAGAACAGGGGCTGACTAAGCCTAACATCCAATCACGGAGCTGAGGGTCCTCCCCCACAATGAGCCTCGGTCCAGCAAGTGTCTGGGGTCTTAGCTCACGACCGCATGTGTGCAACATTCTGGGGAGGTCAGACTCTCGAGCGTCCGTCTCACAATCTTGCCCCTTATTTAGACCGATCTCAATCATCACGTCATTCCTATCTCTCGTAACAATCGAGCTTCTCGAGACATCTTAGGTCATATCAAGTGACTCTGAGAGTAGAAAGCGACTCCGCAGCATCCGCCGTCTTCAGCGTGAGATCATCAGGTACGACAGCGCCATCGGGGCGGCAGGACATCCGGCCATACTAGGCGCCCAACTCTAATCACCGCACCCTTCATCTAGCTCAACCGACAGAATGGCAAATGTCAAAGGCTACGAGGCAGAGCACTTTATCGTGACGGCTCCCGCCGAGTACGTACTACGCGTAGAGATCAATCGCCCGAAGAAGCTTAATGCCTTCTTTGAGCCCATGTGGCTCGAGCTGGGTGCATTGATGAACAAAGCATCGCACGACCCAGACTACCGCGCCGTCGTCATCACCGCTGCCGGGGACCGGGCATTCACCGCCGGGCTGGATGTCGAGGCCGCAGGCGAAGGTGGCCTTTTGGGCACAAGCACAAACCTGGACCCCGCGCGCAAGGCGACGACGGCAAGACGGCATATTGCAGAGTTCCAAGACTCTATCACGGCGATTGAGAAGTGCGAGAAGCGTACGTGTCCTATCATGTTCTTGGTACGATGCTGGCTTGGTGAGGAACTTCTAGAGCTAACACGTGCCAACTACTAGCCGTCATCGTTGCACTCCATGGCCTTTGCATCGGTCTTGCCATCGATCTTGCCAGCTGCGCGGACGTCCGCTTCTGCACCAAGGACGCGCGCTTTTCCGTCAAGGAGGTCGACATCGGTATCGCCGCTGACATTGGTACTCTCACGCGCCTGCCCAAGATTGTTGGCAGCTTCTCATGGGTCAAGGAGGTGACCATGTCCGCCAGATGGTTTGACGCAGATGAGGCGTTGCGTGTCGGCTTCGTCAGTCGCATTCTCGACAACAAGGCCAAGGCTGTCGAGGCGGCCCTCGAGTATGCGAGCCTACTGGCTGGCAAGAGCCCCATTGCTGTACAGGGCACCAAAGAGTTGCTGAACCACGCGAGGGATAACACCGTCGCCGACAGTAAGTGGACACTTGATGTTGGCAGGACCACTTATGATATCCAAACTGACGCGAGCAGGCTTGAGGTATACTGCTATCTGGAACGCGTCGATGATCCAGTGCAAAGACACGGAGGATGCCCTCCTGGCAGGCCTGAAGAAGCGGACACCAACATTCTCGAAGTTGTAAAGCTGGGAAGGGTCAATCAAGGGAGAGAGGTTCTTTGCTTATGGTATCATACGACGAGTGGAGCTTGCATAAATACAACTAGAATCTGCCGTGAGCGTTCAGATAGTACGCGGCCGACTGTACTGTTGTACGAGGCTGCGACGGTCATGAACTGAACTCATTTGCCGTCATGGCACCAGCTCCTAGGTACAATGTAGGCGAATTTAGCAGTGTCTCAAGTAATGATCAGCAAGCGATAACAGTTTCGCAGGAAAGTCCGCCAAGTTTTGATCATTCGGTCTTCGGTACCCGATGAACGTCTTTAGTCTCGTAGACTCTGCGATATCGCCAAGGGAAAGATGAGGGCGCTACGGCAACATTGAAAGCGACAGCGCTGTGGCTTGCCGACTGCCGGTTGGCGAAACATGTCATGTTGTTGCCAGCACTGCAGCCAAGGCACTTGGCACGGCTGAGTCCAGCCCGCACAGTCGAGGTTGAGTAGACACCAAGGCTAGTGCCTGGTGGTGGCAGACAGGTCGCATGACAGGCACTGGCGGCGCAAAGACCGGTGGCGGCATTTGAATGTGCATGCCGGGACCTGATGGGGATTAGGGGTCCAAACGCGGAAATCAGACATCCCGGTCCGAGTCAGAGTCGTTGCCAACAACAGGGACCGTTTCGGCGAGGCGCTGTACGAGGAAGCCGTGTGAGCCGCGCCGTGATTCCGGGCCTTGAGTGTATCTTTTTGCAGTGGAGACATGATGGGGCCACGCGACGTGCAGAATGGATAGCTCAGGGCTTGACGTACCTCCTCTAGCTTCTTCTTGAGTTGGGGGACCATGCGCTCCTGGATGACGAGATGGGACTCGTCGAGATCCTCGATGATGTACTCGTTACGCTCAGCATCGATGGCGATGATGATGGACTTGATCGATGGGTCACACTCGACCAGTACGCCTGGAGGCTGCAGTGTGAGCATGGCCATGTGGTTGCAACTCGGAGCAGCGAACCAGGGAGGCGGCCCAAGAGGAGGGGAGGGGGGGATCGTGGTCATGCCCGGATTACGCGGCATGCAACGTGGACATACCTCGAATAGCGCGAACCATGATGGCTAAACGGGCAGGACGGATGAGTGGAAGGAAGGCTTCAGGCAGGATGGCTAGGCATGGAGCTTTGCAAGTGCAGGGCTCGTCAAAAGTGTTTGCCGAGGCCGTCTTATTGTGGAGGGTACTGAGAAGCAGGCGATGAGCAAGGCAAGTCGGTGGCAGCAAGGAGAGATAGAAGGCTCCTATGGACCAGGATGACGAGGTTGAGGCAGCAGTGCGAGCATGGGATGATGCAAGTGGTGATGGAGTCGGGCAGGCGAGGACGCGCGGTGCTGTGGTGTAGCTTGGCGCTAGCCTGGGTTAGTCAGCAGGCTCTCCCGATGGAATTGACGGCGGCAGGCACACACACACAGGCAGGGCACAATCCAATTCTGCAAGTGACGGGGGTCAGAACGAGGAGAGACAGCCTAAAGGGCTCAAGGTTCGAACTTGCCAAGCTGGCTGCAGAAGTCTCCGAGGCAATCTTGGAAGCCGAGAACACATCATCATACACTCCCGTGACGATACCACGGCGACTCTACGGATTCGACGACGGGTGACAGGACAGGGCAGGACCCTGAGACGGATGATTGCTGGTCAGCTTTGACACTGTGGGCCCGTCCGCTGGGCTCCAGAATTGATGACGGGTGCCGTGCGAAGCGAGATGGGCGGCAGCAGAGGGCTTGGCGGGGTGGCCCATGTGAGCTTGAGGGCCGCCACTGCCGGCTACCGATGGAACGGGATGGGATGGGATGCTGGGCTGGAATGCGCCAAAGGCACATGCAGTGGCCTCAAAGTCCCATCAGAACAAGTCGGCCGTGGAGGAGGAGCTCTCTGGGCTGATGCAGTCTCGGGCGCAGATCTCCAGGGGTGCAATCTGGGCCCAAGCAAGCCGTGAGACACCGGCAGGAGCCCGGCGAGGGCACGAGGCAGAGTTACGAATCAACAGGGTCCTTGCATGGGCCCAAACCATCGCGTGGTGGCCGCGTACGACAGACAGACCAGGACGGGCCGAGCGAGTCCAAGTGCTCGAGCTGGTGAGCAGCACCAGACTTCATGTCGAGCCCTGGACGTCTTTGCTAGCGTGCAGTGCAGAGCGCAGGGCTTGACGGGGGGGCCACCGACGCTGCCAACCGCTCGTCGCTAGATGCCGATATACCCGTCAGGCCTGGCTGGTGGAGCTGCGCTGGCGCTGCCGACCTGCCGTGCCCGTGGGCCTTGCAACATCCCCCATGGATCCCGTCCAATCCACCACCACCGCCGCCGACACCACACTCTCTCCCTCTCCCTCCAGCTGTCTCTCTGTCTCTCTGTCTGCTCGCGGTGCCGGCAGTCGCCCGCCCGGGGGCCACACGCGCGGCACTCTCCATGCCATGTGGGTTTCCAGCCGAACCCTTTGGCTGCCACCGTCCGTCCCCGGGCCTCATTCATTAACCATGGCCCTTCTTCCTTTCCCTGTCGCGGTCCAAAGCATGCCGTCTCTGCCCACCCCTCGTTGACACCATTGCTGCTGCTCGTCGCTGCCAACGGTGCCGGTCTCCGCCGCCTGGCTATATCTACCATCCATGCCCGCCTCTCCTCCGTGTCGATCGCCAGTCTCGACCCCTGCCGCCTCTGCTGCCACATCCGTCTGACCCTCCTACTGTTCGACCACGGCTCCGGCGTCTCTCTGGCTTCCACCTCCGGCTTTGGCCAAGGCTGGCATTCGGCTCTCGTCGCCAGCGATAACCACTCTCAAGTGTACCCAGAACCTCGCCCCTCCGACAACACCAGTGTCAAGACTCGTGGCAACGACGACCGGCCCCAACATTCGCTCTTCGCTCGCACGTGCGCATGACTGCCGTCTCGGAAATTCACCAAGAGCATTTCGACACCGCAAGACCCCGGCCATAGTCAGCCAGCCGAGGCCATGGCCGCCCTGGAAGGTGGCGACGACGCTCGTGGCACACTTTTCGATGTGCACCCCATGGCATGGTTCATTGTGCCCGCAGCCATCTTCCTCGCCTCCATGGTAGTGCTCATGCTCGTCCGCTACCGACGACGCCGTAGAGCAGCCATGAAGGCACAATGGGGCGCAACAAACATTGCAATCAACACCGGTCAGCGATACCCGCCGACCAGTACGAGGCCGTGGCCATATATCTCGACCACACCTTCTTGGTCCCAGAGGGCGAGGAATCTGGCCGGCTTCAAGCGCGGCGACAACGGGCTGAACGAGTTTGGTGAGGCACCGCCAGCCTACACGGGGCCAACTTCCAACTACAAAACCGCTCGAGCGTCCATGTCAACCTCGAGCTCCAGCGTCCCGCAAATGCGCTTCTATGGCATGCCAGTCACCAACCCAGCCCCAATGGGAAGCGTGTCGATTCCGATGCCTGGCGGTCCCCCGACCTACCACCCCATGTCAGGTGCTGGCGGCTACCGGATACCAACTTCGCCGACTTCAGCCACGAGACCGCCCGTGAATACTGGCCTCTCCCAGCCACAAGCGGCCGTCATTCGGTAACGAGAGTCGCGATCACCTCGCTCCATAGCCGATTGAGGGAACAGGCCTCGGTCTCGTTAGCCTGTACCGAGAATACTGCCTGTGAAAGGCTGCGCCCTCGCAGATAAAACTAGGGATCGAAAAAGATCATACTTGCACGACTGTTGGGAATAATATCTCGCACTGATACCATTTGAAGGATTGATCCGAGTTGGATATCCTTTCTTTGTTTACTGGCCAGCATATTTTGCATTTCATCAGCATAGGTCCGGCGTCAACACTGCTTTCACTGCTTACACACGTTCGCTACGCCGTGGGATAACAAGGGTTTCGGCTCAAAACTGGGCATCAGGCAGCTAGCTGGTCCTGGAGTTTCTGAGGTAGCATGATTTATTCAAACATCGATATTGCCACTCTGCCAAATCAAACCACGTCTCGAATGCATTAAGAACTCCCGACCAGACGACCTGACGCTGTAGGCTGGGTGCTACTGTCCAATGTTATGTCATCGCAGATCCGAGTTGGGCAAGCTGCAGGGCTGAACTTTAAAAGCCTAGCCTCGTAGTATAGTGAAATGCCATGCCTCCGCACATTCCCTATTTTTTCCTGTGCCTGCCAAGACAAAAGCGGCCTCTTCTGATGGTCTTCACGAATTGACACAGAAGTGAACACGCTACTCTTTGTAATATCAACTAACGCTGCACGTCATCTCCAAAAAACTCGATTGGGAAATGCCTTCCACCACCCATGCCGAAGCAGGAAAGCACACGCTGCTGCAGTGATTCAGGCCGTGCGCGGACACAGTCTGAACACCCACCAGCAGAACCCATTGCACGCTTCCCTTGCCGAGTGCAGGGCGGTGGACCAAAGGATGTTGACTTGACCAGCTGATACAAGACGCCGACAAAAAGAATTAAACAAATGTATATACACACTCGTAATGTAATCTAGATAGATCTGCAAAGGTCGCAGCACACCTGTTGACCGCACGGGTGTCGGGAAATTTGTGACAAACCGGGCGGGTGGGCTCCCGCACCCCCAGACGCCCCCCCCCCTTTCACCTCACACATAGAAGTGGCCGGCGGAGCTTATGGCCCGCTCGTCGATGTCACTCACGATCGATGATGATTGATGATGATGATGACTGGCCGCCTGCCCCCCACCTTCCAAATCATAACCCGGCCACGGGCTGGGCATCTAGAAGAATCCTGATGAACACTGGCTATGGAATGGAATGGGCAGATCCCGGTCTTGCATCCCTTTGTCTTGGAGATGTTCACTGCTTCGTCCGAGCGATGTCTTTGGCTAGGAAACTTTTGATGGCGATCTGGCGTCGGGCTATTCGGCAGTCATGGCTCCATAGTATTCAACGTCGAAGAGTGCCATCGAATCTGACAGGCACTTGCATTTAGAGGCGGGACATAGATTTTACGTCATGCTACGCTGCCTCGAAGAGGGAGACTGGCTTCCTCAGGGGTCCAGGGTGTGCAACGTGTTGTTCAGCTTCCAATCTTTTTCTTTCTTTTGTTCTCGGGGTTCTACTTGAGAATTGACAGTGCGGTACATTTTTCCTTCTCGGCATGGTTTTGACACGCCAACCCGGGTCAAGTTTGGCATCTAGAACCGCGGTGTGACAGCAGGGGGCTTGTTCTCGAGAATCTTGTCAATCTTGTCCATAATCTCGGGGGTGAGCTTGTCAATAACCTCGATGGCCTTGACGTTCTCAAGGACCTGCGCGGGAGAGCTGGCGCCCGTGATGGCGGTGCTAACATTGGGGTTCTTGAGCACCCAAGCGAGGGCGAGCGCGCTCATCTTGACGCCCAGCTCGTCGGCGATGGGCTGGAGCTTGTTGACGCGCTGGACGACCTGGTCCCAGTCTGATTTGCCGGTGCGCTTCCAGTAGCCGGCGATGAACTCGACCTGGTTCTGCGCAAACCGCGAGTCGTCGGGGATGCCGTCCTTGTATTTGCCGGTCAGGATACCCTGGGCCAAGGGAGACCAGACGGTCAGACCCATGCCGTTCTCGCGGAACAGGTGAGCGTACTCGAGCTCGACCTTCTCCCGGTCCAGCGCGTTGTACTTGGGCTGCTCCATCACGGGGCCAATGAGACCGAGCTTGTCGGCGTACCGCCACGCAGACGCAATCTCGTCAGCGTCCCACTGCGAGGTGCCCCAGTAGAAGGCCTTGCCCGTGTCGATGAGGTGGTTGAAAGCGCGCACAGTCTCCTCCATGGGCGTCTGACGGTCAGGTCGGTGCGCGAAAATCAAGTCGACATACTCGAGGTCCAGTCTCTTCAGGGAGGCATTCATGCCCTCGATGATGTGCTTGCGGGAAAGCCCCTTGTTGTTGACGGGGTTGTCGCCAAACGCGGTGCCCCAGTACAGCTTGGTCGAGATGACGAGGTCGTTGCGCTTCCAGCCGTACTTCTTGATCGCCTGGCCCATGACCTCCTCCGACTTGCCACCTGCGTAGCCCTCGGCGCAGTCAAAGAAGTTGATGCCGTTGTCGTAGGCGGCCTTCATACAGGCGAAGGTGTTTTCTGTGAAGGAGGCGCAGTGTAAGGGTTAGCTTGAGGGTGGCCTGCCATAAAATCCAAGTGATGCTGTCCTTACCCTCATCGACATGGCCGCCGTACGTGAGCCATCCACCTAGGGAGATGGCCGAAACCTGCAGGCCAGAGCGGCCAAGGAAGCGGTACTGCATCTTGTTGGACTCGTTGGCCATTTTCGGTCTATGCTGAAGCCTGCTGCTGCTGTGTGGGCTGGTTTTTCGAAGTGTGAAAACTCCAGTGGCTTGGAAAGGGACGGGCCAATCTCGAGTACTTATAGTTATATGCTTCGAGAGGCGGGAGGCGCGAGACGTAGCTGCAAATGTACGTCACCTCCTGTGTCGAAGCGGCTCATCACCGGACGCACCTGCCCAAATCAGGTCCGGCGAGCGAACCCCTCACTTTTCTGGACATAATTACCAATCAAGGGCACGCCGTCGGCTGAATGCTTAGCTCCAGGGGCCCAGCTTTAGTCTGCCCCGCCCAAGGAGCAGGTGTAGTCTCAGAAGTGTCTGGTTACCGTGGAGTAACGCGGTGATAGATAAGTGCGTAGAGAGACCTGGGCATGGGGTGTCGGAATCCTGGAGCTACCCCGCTCGACCCTCCGCTGGGAATTTGGGGTTTCTGGAGGCTGAGATGGAGGCAGCTCTGCCCGTCAACACGTCAAAATCGTGATGCTTCTCTCTTGCGATGCGTATTGCACGGATAGGTGCCCTTGTATTTGCGATTGGGGTCATCGCGACACCGGACCTGTGCCTTGCAGCTGTTCCGACGGTGCTCAGCCGGATCTCCAAGGTTCTTGCAAGTCGGTTCCGAAAATCGGGATGGTGGGGGGCAAGACATGTCGTGCTCAGCTGCTGTGTTAGCATACACTTTTAGTGGAGCATCTAGTTGCACCAGAACAGCCTCCGGCTTTAGGCGGGCATAAGCTATTATTGGGTTTGACGCGACCGAGGGAATCTTCAACCAACGTCGAACAGAGGGCCAGGTACGAGCTGCTCGTCAGGCATTGCAACTCTCCCACTGAGACGAGCATTTACGAGAAGAAGGCTGTAGAGACCTACTGAGTCTTCCGTCCCCAAGGCCATTCTCCAAAACAGAGACCAAGCTGCCAAGTGGGACCAGCTGCCAGGTCCATCGCTTGTTGGTTAGATCCAGGTGTCGAAGAGCTTCAACCTCTCACACCTGACCTCGGGAGCCTGCCAACTCAGATCAGCGTCTTATACCTAATAGCCTCTGTCATCGCAAATACATCAAACAGCACCGTCTTCTTGGTCGCTACGCCAGCTCTCCAGGTCAACAGACTGCGTAGAGGAGTCAAATCCAAGAAAAAGAGAAGTCATCCGCTTCGGACGGCCCACGAAACTTCGCACGGGAGCTCCAAGCCCACCGACTTGGGAGCACGAAAATCGCAAAATAGTCGCTTTCGCCAGCGACTCGTTGCAGCGTAAAGAGTCTCTAGGACACTGACCAGACACGGCACGCGATGTATCAGTAGAAGCCACGTGCTTGCCTGAGGGGTTCTACTTCATGCTGCGTAGATCAGACGGCTGCCGAGATAGCATTTCCATCCAGCCCAGCCATGTATTTCAGGTCTATTGCACCATGCCGCGCCACGCTGCGCATGGCCTCAGCACCCCAGCCCTGGCTGCCCTCGCGGATATTGCTGTGCCCCCGCGCACCTGGCCAGCGCGATGTGAGATGCTTAGCATTCAGCACGGATTTCGTCCCCGCGAACTACACGCCCAAGCAATCTGACCCACTGCGCATCCTGTTCTGCGGCTCAGACGAGTTCAGTGCTGAATCACTCAAGCTGCTACATGTACGGATGGTTACCAACCCTGACCAGATACGCTCCATCGATGTCGTGGTCAGGCCGCCAAAGCGCATTGGGAGAGGTTTGACCAAGCTTACACAGCGTATGTGCCTCCTCCAGGCCAGAAGCATAAAGAACTTCCAGCAGAGGATCGAACGAGGACTGACCGTTCTACAGCACCGATAATCGAGATTGCCAGAAAACGCCTACTCAGGGTTCATAAGCGCGATGACTTCAATGACTGGGAAGTAAGTACACGTAGTACTCCAGCTGGGTTATGCAGAGAGGGAAGGACAACAGCTGACTCGAACATCACCACCAGCTGCCCCCAGGCATCAACCTCATCGTCGCCGTGTCCTTTGGCCTCTTTATCCCGCCGCGCCTCCTGCGCCAGGCCAAGTACGGTGGCCTCAACGTCCATCCCTCGCTGTTACCGGACTTGCGTGGTGCCGCGCCACTTCACCACACTCTCTTGCAACACCGGCAGTACACAGGAGTCACTCTTCAGACCCTGGACCACGAGCGCTTTGACCACGGCTTGATTCTCAGCCAGACCACCCCCGAATCCATGCCTATCCCGGAGGGCTGCACCTTTGAGCAACTCCGGGAGATGACGGCCTTGCGGGGGGCAGAGCTGCTTGCCCGTGCTCTGCGCGATGGCTTACACGTACCGCCGCTCACGGACGTCTCCCCGATGTTGAGCAGTACCCACGAAGCGTCTGGCAAGCTCCGACTTGCACCAAAGATCCGCAAGGAACACAGTCAGCTCACCCGCGCAAGCGTGGGCAACATCCATCGCATGCAGGAAATCATTGGGCCCGTATGGTTCCTTGCCCTCGACCGGCGTCGTGACGAGTGGGGCCAAGTGCAAAGGTTCATTGTGGAGGAGATCGACTCGAGCATCTCTGCTGCCTTTCCAGCAACAATGTCCGGCCCCAAGGGTTCAGGCCGCGTCCACAAAGCACCAGTACGCGAGGGAGCGGTCGAAACGCAATGGCCAGACGAGACGTGGGCGCGGTACTTTGAGCCCATGACGCTCACCATGATGCACGAGAAGAAGAAGACGGCGTCGGAAGCAACAGCAACAGCAGCAGCAGCATCCACAGGCACAGATATAACAATCCAAACATCTAAAAAACTACGCGGCAAGCGGCCTAATCTCTCGCCTGCCGATGTCGAGGCGAACTATGACGTCTTTCACCTCAAAGCCTGGGTCCGCAAGCTGCCCTGGGGCCCGACTCCTGGAGGCGTCCGCATGCCTCTCAAGGACGTAAACTACGTCTACCTTCCAGACCTGAAGTGCCGGCTCATCAATATCACCGCGGCGGGGAAAGGCATGGAGCTTGCGAGGCCACTGTTGGAAAAGGCCCGGTGCCTGACCAAGGGTCATGATCTTCTTGTTCAAGAGTGAGTGCCGGGGGAGAGAGGGGGGCGGGGGTTCCTGTCGTAAGTCGTTGTCCCATGCGGGAGGAGTAATAAGGGGGGGGGGGGGGGGGGGGGGGGGGGAGGTGAAGCACGGTTGAGTCGTGTGTTGGTTAGGGGCAATGTAAGGATAGACTGTTAGAAATATGTGTACAATATCACACCATGCCTTGACACACGGGCTACTGTCTCGCGAGTGATTAGTGCTGGATGGATTGGTAAGATCCTCAGGGAGCTGGGTAAAAAAAGTCCTCTTGTTGGCGCGATCAACTCCCCGAACGCCGTCACTACACTATTCATGTCGATGCACGCAGACCTCCTGCCTATCACAAGACAGTAGAGCTACAGTAAATATTTCATTAAAATGGCGTGCGAAATTAAAACATCCAAGACGCGTCCCCTGATGCGCGGGATAGGCGGCCAAGGAATGCGTACAGACAGACTTTGAGCATCCTGTCATGTTCAACTCTATCACTCTGGAAACGGTGCGAAGGTGGGGGAATGAATCAATTTGCATCTTAATTGGTTTTCATCTCGTTCATGATAGTGATTATGACAACAGAAGTAGTAAGTAGTAGTGGTGGTGGTGGTGGTACAACAACAGGTTAGATGTGTTGGTCGCGGCAGAGCACATCATACGAAACACTAACGCCAGACAATGGGCGACCACCTGTGACCAAGTAAATCACGTTTTCCCCCTTTTGGCCGAGGTGCCAAATCCTTGGGCAATAATGATCGATCATGTAAGTTTACCCCCAAGGCTAGTAATGTGAAGTGTGTGCAGCTTAGTGTCGTTTACCGCCGCCATTCACATGTCCTTGTGGACCATGTCCTTGTGCCCGTCCTCGTCGACGGACCCGCCGCTGGAAGAGGTCTCAGTCTTGGTGAGGGTGTCGTCGTCCGTGGCGGACGGCGGGCCGTGGAGGTTCTCCTCAAAGACAGGCTCCGGCTCGTTGACCTCGAACTTGGTCTTGAAGTTCTCGAGGTGGTGGTTGACGCCGAAGCTGTTGGACCGGCGACGGATGTGGTTCCAGTTGATTGCCTCGTCCTCGACCTCCTCGCATGGGCCGCCCCTGCGTGTCCGGGGAAGTAGGCGATTAGCATAGGAATGTTTTGTGCGGTGTGAGATTAAGGTTGTGGGAGAACCAAACGTGGACTTTGTGTAAACGACCCCTAGGAACACCCAGCGAACATTAGCACCTACCAATTGCCCTTGCCGCAGCCGTTCTTCTTGGTCTTTTTCGGGTCGACGCCTTCGAAGCCGTTCTTGCTAAAGAACTTTGGGATGGACTCGACCGGCAAGGCGGTGCCCTCGGCGATGCCGGCGTGGTTCTTTCCGTTGGCCTTGTGCGAGCGGGTCACTTGTTTGGTGGAAGATGGTCAGTTTTATTTGTTCCACAGATTGCACGTGCGAGTAATTGCATTGTCAGTGGCCATGAATCCGGATCGCTGGGTCGTGCAGGGGTGGTGGTGGTGAGTGGATGTGGTGGGCAGGCGGGAAGTGGGTCACAAGGTGGGCAATGGTGTAAGCCAGCGGCAGGAACAAGGATACGGAGGATTGGAGCAGTTGTGTCGTGAAGTGGTACATTGTTGAAAGAGAAGCTTGATATCAATTGCATTTGCGATGAAAGGAGGTGATGGATGCGGATGATCCGGGCCTCTTTGCCATGACGGCTCAATGACATGACTTACTGGTTGGATGAGTTGGTTGATGGAGGTGAAGGTCACGGAAGTGTCAGGACGGCAACGGGACCAACTCAATGGGCTCGTCTGGTTGCAGCGAGTTGTTGCTGACGATGGATATGATGTGCAGTGATGGAGAGCAGTCCCCTTGATGGATTGGGACGATGGATAGTTGGCGAGTCGTGGACGATGATGAAGGAGGGAGAGGGAGCTTGGGGCGAGGAGACGAGGCGGGGTTGTTATGGTCGATTGGTGGAGGCGGTTGTAGTGGTGGTGGTGGTGGTGTCGCAGCTAAGGAGACGGGACTTTGTCGGGTTGGGGTACCGGTCGAAGCTGCTTTGCAGGGCCAACGACGGTCAGTTGGGATGGCGTGTGACTTTGTTAGATTATGCCGAGCGGTACAATCGGGGGATGTGGTTGTCGTTGTCGTCGATGATCTATCGTGGAGGAGCGAACACTGAGAGGCAGGGGACGATGGGGAGGGATGAAGGGAGAAAGGCGATTCTGAATCAGGGCCTCGTGGACAAGAGGTATTTATTAGGTACGGGTGACGATCACGCCCGCGACCCTGCGTCGAGTTCCATGCCTTACTCGTACTGTCTGTCCTGTTCGTCGAGCAAGTCAAGCAAGGGGCTGTCTGGGCGAAGCCGTCGCCTCCGGGCCCGCTCACCTTGGCCCGTCCCCGCCGTGGCCCCCGTGGTTGTGTGTCACTTGAGCAGCCTCCGGAGTCACAGTCCACTCTAATGTAGAAGCCCCTCGAAAGCAGCCCTGGAGCCGCGAACCTGCCAACTGTCACACTGGCAGAGGGCCCGCAGGCCTGCCCCTGTGGTGCTGTGGCATTATCATCATAGCCTCAGCGCGGCAGTCGCGTGACCTTTGCGCAATGCCCCGCCCCACTTACGACAGTCGTCCGACTCGCCCGCCGCAATGGCGTGAGCCTGGCCGCACGACATCAACACGCCCATCTCGTCTGCCCTTTCGTCGAGACTGTTCTCTCGAGGCTGTGCTCCGGGCTCGGAGACCTTTGCTGAGCTGCTGCAGATTCGCTCCTCCTTGCTGCACCCCAGGTTCATACCTTTCCTGCATCAACTCCTGAGCCACTCTGACGTGCCGCACCGTGTTTGATGGCTGGGCCTGGCCCGCACAGTCATATATATGATGCCATAGCTATGTGGCCTTGTCTGAGACCCTTGATGTGTACTCCTCCAAGTTCCAGACTGTCTTGGCCAATCTGGTTGTTGACAACTCGACATCGCCATGGGCAGGCTGGTCAGCTCCTGGCTTCACTGTCTGTCTGGCTCTGCTCGCCGTGCCCACGGCTGAGCCTTGACTTGCAGCTTTCATAGGCCAGAATGTGCTCGAAACATCCGTGGGGATCACGCCTTGTTCCGGCAGATGCCACTCCAGCCACCTTCCACCCTGCGGCAAGCACCCATGCACGCCTATGTCACCAGTGGATCCCCAGCCCCACTTCCCCGGGTACTTCCCCGCGCTGTGCCATGCAGCCACGCGGTCGGGGTCCTTCCTTCCCTCACAGGGGGGAGCGGGAGAGAGAAGATGATTCTCCTCCCTTCTCCAACACACACTGAGACTTTGAACCCCCAACAATGCCCCTCGAGCCAAGGGTACAATCAAGGTTCAATTCTGCATTCCGCTCTAGGCCAGCCGCGCACCGCCATTGCTCCCTTTAGCGCCGTCGGCCTGACTCCAAATTGCACAAAGTTCTCCCAGTCTCCTGCGGTGGGGATCATGACCTTCGTGCTCGCTGAAGCACCAGCAACAACACAGACCACGATGGTGGGGTTCTTTCGACGCCATTCCCCGCGCAAGGTGCGTGCCTGACCACATGACTCGATGCAGAACCCAATAGTGTCCGCCTCGCACCAGGGTTCGCGTGCCCGTCATGAGTGATTATGAGCGGCAGCGACTTTCCAACAAGGGTCTCCGCTAGCAGACCTAATGCCTTGATACGCGCTGTCCCGCGGGACAGGAAGAACGCTCACGGTTTCACCCACCAAAGGTGCGGCTCGTGGGACCATTGCAGACGGGCATGCAGTCTTTAAATGGCCAAGTCTTCACTGTGCCAAATGTGCCGGCGAGGTTATCAAGTGGTGAACTAGAGTCGACCCAGTCAAATAGCTGTGTGCATGGCTACGCTGTGCTGCTGGAACAAAAATGGCGTAGCAGACATCCTGTATCGTCATTGGGAAGTTCTGCTTTGTCTTTCGACTTCTCGGCCCGTCAAATTATTTGTTTCGAGTACATTTGCTATACTTGGACCGGGAGAAGTATGAGAATAGGGTAGCACTAGGCTCGGTGCCCGATTGCTTTCGTCTCTATGGAACCCTGAAGATGACAAGTGTTCGTCTTATAGTCGGCAGACCAAGGGGTCCAATATGTAGAGAGGTTGCGGCGCACTGGGCTTGCTGACGAGCACAACCCACACACCAGCAGGCTGCTCCGTGATCGGAAGCATCGACGTGCTGGGTGGAGCCGCAGAAGCCTGGCGGTCTTGGAAGCAGCGCAGCCGGCTTGACCGAGGACAGGAACCCCCACACCTAATCGCGACAGGCAGGGGCCGTCCGCCGTCCCGGCTCGACACATTTGTCATCCGAATACACTTTTTCTTCCTTTGTCTGCTCAGCAATTACACATCGCAACATCAACAGACAAGCTTTGGTTCGTGGTACATCACCTGTCATTGTTCCTTATCGCAAGTAGCAGCTGCCGCACTCCTGCATCACGACTACAGCATTCCGCCTGCTTTCTTCTCGCCGCAGTTCGCGGGGCCTGGACCCTGGCCGTGGTACACTATTTGCCCCTCCCTTCACAAGCAAAAAGTCGTCTCGACCCAACCGCCCCGCCAACTGTAGACTTCATTTCAGTTCACCACAACCTTGGAAACCCCTCTGCCGAATCGCATCTCTATCGACTCGCGCGCCCGCACTCCCGTGGCATCACAATGTCTCCCTCCGTCGTCGCCAACACCGGGCGCACCCTTCTGCTCGCCCCGCCTTCGATTGCCAGCCACGAAGAGAAACTCCGCGATGTCCTAGCCTCCTACGATCGTTCTATTACCGACCTCCAAATGCTCGACCGTCTCTCAGCGGGCCTCGTCAATCTCCCAAATGCCACCTACGATCTCATCCTCGTCCTAACCGATGCCGACGGTTCTCGATCCGAGTCTTCGCTCTTGCTGAACCGCAATGTCTTTGTCAAGGTCGTCTCTACACTCAAGGTCGGAGGAAAGATCCAAGCGCAAGATGGCTCCCTTGTGGGATCCAGTTCCACCCCAGACGCTCGCGAGGCACTGCTTGCCGGCCTGTCGCCTGGGGACGATGGTTTCACCAAGCCCGATGATGAGGCCGATGCCGCTGTGCCTCTGAAGTTGTCGTTCGGCAAGAAGAAGCAGAAGAGCGAGGCGGGGCCTCCAGTCTCCAAAGTCACAATCGAGCAGTCTAATGGCCAGACCGCAAGCCTGAACATGGTGCCACCTGCAGCCAAGCCTGCTGGTGTTGGCTTCGTGGACTTCAGCGATGACTTCGACGCTCCTGTGGATGACGACGATCTTATTGACGAAGACACCTTGTTGACGGAGGAGGATCTCAACAAACCCCTTGCTATCCGTAAGTTTCCCCATTACCCCTAATTTGAGATAGATTTCGTACAGCGAGCTAACGACTTTGCAGCCGCGGAATGCATTCCCAAGGTTGGTAAGCGCAGGCGCGCCTGCAAGGACTGCACTTGCGGCCTGGCAGAGAAAATCGCGGCCGAGGACGCGGCCAAACGCGCCGATGCCGACTCCAAGCTGCAGACCCTCAAACTCGGCATGGACGACCTGAACGAGGTCGACTTCACCGTCCAGGGCAAGGTCGGCTCGTGCGGAAACTGCTCGCTTGGCGACGCCTTCCGATGCGACGGCTGCCCTTACCTGGGCATGCCGGCGTTCAAGCCTGGCGAGGAGGTCCGTCTTCTCAACAACGAGATCCAGTTGTGATGAACAGCCGGTGTTTCGAAAGACGACGAGACCACCAGAACACGAATCCTAAGTGCCGCGCCGGCTCTTCCGAGCCAGGATACCCTCAAATTCGCGTGCCGCCCGGTTTTGAATTTTAGGGAACAATCAACGAGTTCCCTTTCGGCTACTTCTCACGTCAGAGCAGACAAGTGCGTGCCGCTCTCGTACGGGCTTCTCATCTCGCATCGTGAGGGACGTTCCGCTCGTGGCAGGAGCATATCCAGTCTGCATGACGCCAGGCATTGCAGTGCATATATAGACAGCCCGAGACCTCGCCCAGACGACACACACGCCAGCAATAAATAGACACAGGCCGCTTTGGTAGCGCGCTGCAATTTTGCATATTAGCACACAAAAGCACACTCTCATCAGCGCGAAGCTCTCTCTCGAGACAACAAACAAAAAGACTTGTTCATCAGAGCAACAATGCGTGTACATGACTGATGACCTTCAGAGGCGCCCGCTGGTGCGATGTTGCATTTTGGAGGATCGGCAATAGTGTTACAGAGAATAAAACTAGAAGCGGTTTCTTTCCCTCTGGCTTTTTTTGTTCCATCACACGTCGATTTCGTGACCATCTGCACTTTTGATTGTGACTCCAGAGTGCGACTTCGTCCTGTGAAGGGGAAGTGAGCTGCAGATACATGATAATGGGATAGCCAGAATATCACATCCCTCTCTAGGTGTAACAAAGTGACCTCAAGGCAGGAGTCGGTGTTTCGCACGGGCAGGTGAGAAGAAGCAGCATTGCGGAGGAAACATGGCAGCACATGTTTTTGGTTTGAATTTTGAGACTCCGGTACGCTATGGGAGACGGGCCGCTGCATTCACAAAGGCCGGCCAATTGGTGTACGCCATTACAGAGAGAGAGATTGACAAAACGACGAAAAAGCCCAGAGCAGAGCAAATCTCAAAGCAAGTTAGAAAATTTAGTCGGAAAACAAACAAATCAAAAACACGCTCGACGGAAGAACTTTGGACACATTAAGCAGAAATATGATTGGACGGATAAGACACAACGATGTATACTAATTGTCCTCCCGCTACCTCGCTTTCCCATGACTGTGCTTGGACTTGACAAAAATAGTGACGACGATGAGGGCGGTCAATCCATGTTGAACCGCTAGTGCGGTGACAGTTAAGACATAGCGCAATCGCAATGATGTTAAGGACTTGCTTGAGACGGAATGACTTCGCCTATCGAAATCTCGGGTCATGCTTGTCGGACGACAACCACGCGATCAATCGCTAATGGAACGGGCCTGGGTCAGCAGACATTCTCCAAAGCCTGGGCACTAGATATATGCCAGGAGGACAGGTAAAACAAGCGAACTTACTAAATTTCCTTTGGCGCCAGGAGGTCGGCCTGGAACATCCAATGGTTGTCCTTCTCCTCCGCCTCGAGCCAGTCGTACGGGAACAAGACGAGATGGCCCTGAATCATGTCGCACAGCTCCTCGGCCTCGTCCCGCTTCAGCACGTCGTACGGGTACACAGAACCCCGTCCACGGCTGCCCTTTGTGGTGGCTCTCCGTCTGCGCTTCACAGAGCCCGTGGCGTACACGCCGGTCGAGTTTGTCGGCGTGGGCTCGGGCTTCTCCATGGACGAGAATGTCGCGCGCCTGTTGGAGTTCTTCTCCTTGTCATTGAGGCTTGTAGTTGGGTCCAAGAGTGCACCATCCGCCTGTGCATCATAGCTGGGGAATGGGATATCGCCTGCGGGCTGAACAGGCGAAGGCTGGTCGACAAACGGCTGCTTCTCATTGAGGCCATCCGTGACGAGTCCCAGGCCATGATTCTGGTTTTGTTTCGGTGGGTGCGCGGGAGCCTTCTCATTAGTAACTTCCCCTTCCGCATTTGACACCCGGATCTGCAAGGAGTCGCCACGACTGCGTCTAGTAGCCGGGCCCTTCTCATTCTGCTCGATTTCATTGAGCGCCTCACCCGCTGCACCAGGAGCCGCAACACCGGGTGCTGCTGCCCCAGAGTGCTCGGTTTCGGCCTTGTTCTCCTGCTCCTCTGTATTTGGGGGTGCCATGCTGTCGCGGAACTTGGCAGCGTACTCGTCAAACTCCATGTATTCTTTCCACGTGGTGACCTCGCTGTCTGGCATGCAACGGAACACACGTCTATAGAGTTTCGTGTTGTTGTCTGCAAGGCGGTACCAGATAGACTCCCAGAAGGAGTCGTTGATGGGATCACGCATGCAGTCTTTGTCAATAGAGACTGTCTGAATATCGGCCGCCCAGGGGTTCATGGGCTCATTCGTGGGCTTCCCGAACTCGTCGAGCCGCACAGGCGGACCGCCGATGTCGGTATCGTCAAGAATTGGTAACGATGGCAGCTCTGTGAAGTGAGGCAGTCCGAGCTGCGACGTGGTGCGGCGCTGAACGGGAGGAGGCGGCGGTAGGCGGTCGTTCCCTTTGCCATTGTCAGCCTCGCCATTCATAGCAGGTGAGCCCACGCTGTTGGACGGGCTGCCCCTGTGCTGGTGCTGCATCGCCACGCTGCGGTGCAGTAGGACCTCACGGCCATTGATGATAACAGTGTCGCTACCCCGATCGATGCCTTTAGCCTGAGCGTCTTTCCACTTGTCCTCGCCGTAGCCAGCGACATCCTGCTCATGCGTTGCATTCCCCTGGACGCGATCATCTCTCTCCGGCGACCTCCCAGCATACGAACTCGAACTAGACGAAGACGACGTCGCGTCCGAAGACCGCGACGCTAAACTCTGGTTGTCCTCGGCATCGTGGTTGAAGCTTCGCGACCCTTGTGTGACTTGCGGTCGCAAGCTGTTGTTCTGGGCACCAGCAGCCGACGTCTCGGCCACAACGTCCTCGTCCTGGTAGATTTGCGCCATTTCCTCCTCATACTGCGCTTGTGCGCTCATTTCGGCCTGTCGCTCCTCCTCTGTGATTTCATCGACGTCGAGGCCAAGATGCTCGCGCATCAGTCGCATGCGCAGAGTGTGGGCGAACCGACCCACACGATACGGCTTGCCAGCCATCGTTGACCAGATCATGTCCGTGTCACGGACAATAGCGGCGGTCTCTGAGTCTCGGTTTCCAAGCATAGATCGCTCATTGATGTTGGCCGACCCGATCAGTGCTACGCGATCATCAACGACGATGGTCTTGGCGTGGATGTAGAGCTGCTCAGTGACGAGAGCGTCATTAGACCCAATCTTGCCCCATTGACGCAAGCTGAAGAAGCGGATATAGTCGTGCGGGTCGATGCCCACAGCCTCAAGGCGGCCAAAGATTGAGCTCGGCCCTCTGCAGATACTCCTGTATTGGAACTGCATGATCAGTCGCACACTTGAGCCATCGGCTTCCTTCACTGTGTTCTGGAAGCCTGGCATGAGAGGGATGATAATGCAAGCCTGCCAGTCCTCGTCATTCTCATGTGCTCGGATGATGCGCTCCACCAAAGCATCACCGATGCGGTTGACAACTCTTGTGTTCAGCGTCTCCGTGCTCGTGATGAAAAACTGGTTCTCAATGTAGACGAAATGCTCAGACTCTTCAATGAGCTTAACATAGGCGTTCTGAATGCTGTGCTCAGTGCCATCGCGTGAGAGCCCAAGTGACCAGTCTCCGGCAGACCGCAGGATCTGCACCTCGCAGGTGCCTGAGAGGCCCAGCGCTTCAAGATCGGCAGGATTAGCATCGGGTGGTGGAAGCAGGAAGGGCATAGGTCGTGTTGGCTTGCGCTCGCGGCGCAGGTAGTTCCAACGCTGTACAAAGTGACGCGTCAGATCTCTGGCAGGCTGCCCAACCACTTGCATGGCGATATCGTGCCATGGCATGCGTGGCGTCTTGCTTCGATCATACATCTCCTCGTAAGGTTCGTTCAGCTTGAAAAAGTCGAGCACACGAGGGTTCGAATAGTCCTTTCCGGGAAACAGCTGGCAGTGTTCTGCATCACGGGGAGTATCACCATCGGCCTCCATGCCTGTGGGCCTGTCGTCTGTCAGAGGATGCTGTGGGTTGTCCCATCGTCCAAAGCAGAGATCTATGCCACCGACAAAGGCGACGTCGTGATCAACAATGCAGATCTTCTCGTGATGGGCATAGAAAAACTGGTTCTTCTTGAACTGGTTCGGCGACCGCTGCACCATGATGTTGTCGTGCAGGTTCAGCAGCGAGAACTTGGTATACTCCGAATCGATCGGAATCGCTTGCTCGACGTTCCGATAGACAATGACGAAGATCTTGACACCTTCTCTGGCCTTCTTCTGCAGCAGGCGGTCCAGTCGCCACTTCTGACTGATACACGGCGGGCGGCGAAGATACAGCTCAGGACTCAGCCACCAGTCATGGATATAGATTACATCTTGAGCCATGTTGATGGCTCTCGAGACGTTCCACATATAGTCCCGCCCATCAACAAGCCACTGGGCAAACGCATTCCGTCGCACCGGTGCAAAGCTGTCGAATCTATGCGGCTGATGCCACTGCGTCTGTTTGAGCATATCCACCACTGACTGCTCAAACTGCCGCAGTGAAGCCTGGTTGCGCGAGAACAGACGGATCTTGCGCTCTGAGGTGTAGAGCTTGAGGGTATGGCGGCTGCCGCCGGTGCCATCCTCGTCACCAGAATCGTTGTAAGCCGTGTTCTTGCGGTTGTCGTTATCGGCATCGCCTTTGCCACCGAACCACTGAAGCTTCGTCTTCTTTGGCACAACTTTGAATGTGGGGTCAACTAGATACACATCATAGATGTTCATCGTCGCAGGCGAGTCCACAACGACGATGTAGTTCTGTCGCACCAGGAACCACTTTCGGCTGTGTCGCTTGATGACGGAGGACGGTGTCACGACGCGGCGGAAGTCGATGCCTTTAGATGACTGGATGTGCAGAAAACACTCCTTGCCGTGGAAGTTGCCTTCAGCCGCCAGCCTCACTCCCAAGGCGGAAAGCTCCAGGAAGTGACAGAAGCGACCACTGTCGGGCCGAAACATGAGCCAGTGCGTCATCTCATGAAGGTACTTCTCCAGCGTCCGTCTTTGTCTGTCGATGAGCTTCTTTCGCCAGATAATCGTGTTCTGAAGGGCTGCCGATGCTTGATCTGCGGCTTCCAGACCTGACGACTGCCGTCGCATGAGGAGTTGGTTGATTCGGGACTTCTTCCGCCCCCCGGGACCCATCCTCCGTTCATTGTCGCTCCCCGTGGCAACACCGTTGGCCCCCTCTTCACCCGTCAGGTGGCCGTCCGCGAGCGTCTCACCAGTATTGGCACGAGAGGCCATCGCCGGAGGCTTCTCGTCCTCACTTGAAGACGCAAGACCGCGGCCATACGAGAACACGGGGAACTCTCGCTTGGGCCAGTGTGGCTGTTTGGGACGTTTTCGGCCAGTCGAGGTGGCCTGGCTAGCTCGGTCGATCTTGTCCGCGGCTCGATATTTGAAATGCATGTTCTGTATTTCTCGTATCGTGCGGGTGACTGTCCAGCTCATCCTGCTGCTTCCGCTGCCGTACTCGAGGGAGATGTCAAAGATAGTGTGCTTCTCAGATTCTCCGCCATCCTCTGAGCGACTGCCGAGAACTCGCAAATTGAGCTGTTCTAGGAGGACCGGTATCCTCCGATTGCCGTTGTCGTCCCGTTGGAGCATGCTGGCAAAGATGACCACGGCCGGCGTGACAGCACGCAGTTCTGCCATCAACTCGGCGGATTTGTAATAGTCGATCTGGTCATGTTTCCGCTTACCCAAGGCCTTGAGCGTGTTCTTGACCTGTTTCCACCTCTGCACACCGCCCGCGAAGGTGGCTTTACGATCAGCACCGAAAAACGGGCGCCGTGGCGCACTGAGAACATCTCCGTCGGACGTGCCCCCACCGCCCGTTCCAAACATCTCTGAGATTCGTCGACGATGGCCGATGGCACGCGTGGAGGGGCTCTCTGCATCGTCGTGGTGCTGCCCGTTGAGGTGCCGGGGTGTACCGAGCCAGGAGCTACCACGGTTCCAGCCAGGCCGCTTGCCAGCCAGGTGGTCCCGGCCTTCACCTTCAGACAGACCTCCCCGGTGCTCGGCAGGTTCTGGCATGGTTGACCGCCGAGTCAAGCCTCTGGCTCGACCCACATGAGGCGAGTCCAACTCGTCAGGCAGCCGCGGCGTGTTTGGCGCTGTCAGCATCTCCAACGGCCGGAAGGGTCGCCGTGTCCGCTTGCGCTTGTGTTTGGAATTCTCTCCGGGCGCACCGCTTTCGTCGCCACTCTCCTCGACATCAGCATCGATGCCAGCTTCCTCGTCGAGCGTGTTCATCCCTTGGGACCGTGACGCACTGGGGGTAGCTGGCGTTGCATGGTCGTGGCGCTCGCCTCCCTCGCCCGCTTTCGAGGTTTGTATCTGGCCAGAGCTTCCCAGAGTCGACTTGAGCCGGGATATCCACCGTTCACTGCGGGACCTGGCTTCAGCATCGTCCCAGGAGGACTGCCGCGAGTGACTCGCCGGGGCGTCGACCACGTCATCGGTACGGGCAAACTGGACACTCTTCCGGCCTGGCGAGATGGGATCCGCTGGGATATCTTCATCTTGGTTGGGCACCCGGATTTCCATGAGCCGCTTCGGTAGAGCCGGCTGAGAGCCATCGGGCGGCAGGGGCCCACGTATGGGGGACTGGCTATCGTGCGGCACGCCGCCGTTGAGGTAGTCTGAAGGCTCTCGCTCGACTACCCTGCGCAAGGACAATATGGACGGGCTCGGCAGGGGCGAAGAAGTCGGTATGTCGGCGGTCGACAGAGATTGTGGTATTTGGAGTGCTGACGGCGGCGTGGATGTCGGAGCAGCCGCCCTGGGCAGACGTGTCATTGGGGACACGGAGTCGTCCCTGTTGATGTCGGCCATGGCGAGTGAAGGGGCGGCAGCCGCTGGGCTCTTCTGTTGTCGATGTCCCGAAACCGTCACGGTGACCGTCGAGGCTTCGTGGGCACGAGGAGTCGAGGCAGGTTGTCGCGAAGTAGGGTTGCTACGCAATCATGCTTGGGTCGATTGATCGGCGAGGTGAGAAGCAGTGACAGGATCTGGGGCTGAAAGGAGAGTGCTGCTATTACACTCGCTGCCGAGAGGTCCGCAGGTGTGAGGCTGCGCGCGCAAGCAGCTGGGCTGCAAGTGCGTGTACGTAAGCTTGGGCTTTCGATCAGCGGCCAGGGATTGAAGCGTGAGCAGTGTGCTTGTGCGATGTCAGCCTGTGGACAGAAAGCCGATTAGGATGCAGCAGGTGCAGCAGTAGTTGCTTGCAGGAAGGCAGTCTGTCCTGGCTGTTGAGCAGGTGTTGACGTCGTGATGGGCGTCTCCTTTTCGAAACAGCCCTGGAGCTCAGACAGGGGGATTGGCGGCGTAGCACCAGGGCCGGCTGTCATCGCGCGAGATTAGCCTGCTGCAGCCATGCTACTCTGCTAGACAGCGCTCCCATTCCCGCCCCGCCTGGCTGGGGCCAGGTTCTATTACCGCACTGAGGCTCCATTGTTGTTGCACCAGCCTGCCGGACCCAACCTACGCTACACTAGTACCTTAGGCGGGTGCGAAGCGAGCGATCGCCTGCCGGCTGCCGGCATGATATGAGACTGCATCATCATCGCCAATGACGGCGTGGCATGTCTGTGTTTCACGCATCCGCTGCCAAACACACAGCAGAGACAGGTCCTGCCGTGAGGCATTTTCATACCGGCCGTGCCTTGGTGGTAGTGTCTTGCCGATAACGCTCTCATTGCCGTCCGTCTTCTCGTGACTGTCTACCTAAACTTAGTTTATCCTTGTATGCACGCTCTAATTACTCGATGCTTGCTCGAGCCATATCTATCGCACGTCTTTCAAATGTGTATCCCGCCTTACCACTCTCAGCCCTGAGACACCAGCATTCGCAACGGCACTAGGCAGATTCTTCATCGCCTTCGAGCCAGATCTCGTGTCCACTACCCTCACGCACCCTGAAGCTCACCACGAGCCCGCACACTGCAACGCCCGCAACTCCCCAGAACACCGCTCCCACAACCCCCCTCTCCAGGCCCAGGCCATATAGCCAGCCGCACAGGATCGGCCCGACAGTCCGCGCCAGCGAGCTCGCACTTTGGCCCAGCCCATGCACGCTGCCCAGCACGCTCGGGTGCGGCGTGCAGTTGTTCACAAGGATCGCCTGGGCCGGCAGCGCAAACGTGCGCCCCGTCACCTGGATCAGCAGGATGCCCGTGAGCGCCATCCACACGGCGGCGCCAGTCTTGGGCTCCGGCGGCGCGCTCGTCGACGGGACGACCGCCAGGTACGGCAGCGTGATGTACGCCAGCGGGAACAGGAACATGGCCATCCGCCAGGACCGCAGCGTGCCGAACCGCGACGACAGCCACGGGTACAGGAAAAGCTGCATGGTGATGCCAATTGCCCCGACCAGGGCCATGGCCAGCCCCACTGAGCTGGGCTTCAGGCCGACTCCGCCAGTAAACCTCCAAGGAAGTTTTGGGGCCAGATCTGGATCCTTCTTTGGATCGTAGACCGGGGTTGACAAGAAGACAAAGTACAGTGAGTTGAATGTGCCAACATGGAAGGCGAGGAAGAAGTGCGCGACAAACGTGAGGACGACATTGGGGGTAAAGATCCGGCGGAATGGAAGCCGCTGGGTGTATCGCGGACGCTTGCCCTTGACAACTGCCTCGTCCGCCTCCTGGCCAAGCCGATCCTCGAGAGAATCTCGTGGGGTCACTGACGACAACTGAAAGTCCGTGCTGACAGTGCTCGAGCTGAAGTCTCGAGAATGCAACGGCTTGTAGGCAATATCAAAGGCTCTTGCGCGACTGAAACAACGAGCGAGCTTGTTGCCAAGCATGATCCCGTAGTCGGGCATGTCGGCTCGTGCGTCGAGCGTCTAAACAAGAGTCAGCATAAAACCTCGACGCATTTTCTGGTGAATGAGACGCAACCGAATACCGACCTCTTCAAGAAACAACCACGTCATGATTGTTGCACTCAGCATGAAGGCCGCGCTGAGAATGTTCGGCGCCGCATAGGGAAAGTTGACAAAAAAGTCGATTTTACCAAATACATCGGGGTACGTGCCGGCGGGATCAGACAGAATGCCGCCCAGAACCGGTCCGACAATAATCCCCGATGTTAAAGGTCATCGGAAGTAATAAGAACGCACGGGACTGGTATCTACAAGAGCGGCAGTACGTTAGTGACCGGCACAGGGCTGGCAAGAAGGCCAGGTCTGCACTCACTTCTTCTCTCGAACGACTTCGCTTATCCTGTTTTTGACACGCTTGTCAGTAACTACTGCGTACTGCCGTGCTCTGACATCGGACCTACATTGTACGGAGAACACCAATATTGCCATTCGTGATACCACCTAACAGCCTGAACATGAGAGCCTGCCAAAAGTTGGTTGAGAAGCCAAATCCGAGACAAGACACAACTACAACCACGTCAGAGACAGAAAATACGATGCGCGAGAGGGTTTATGGACGTACATGTGCCAAGCAAACCGATCAAAATGACAGTTTTGCGGCCAGCACGTCTCGAGTCGGCGACACGACCCCAGACCATGGCGGTCAGGAACTGGGCGGCCGTGAAGCTCGCGTGCAGGACACCAGCCTGGCCGGAGATGACAGCGTCGGGCTGGCTCGGGTCGAACCACTTGAGCTGGTAGAACATGTAGGACTGGAGGGAGGTCTGGACCAGAGGCTCGCTGAGCCGAGCCATGGTGATGACAAAGAGCTGCTTCTTTTGAGGCAAATCTCTCCAGCCAACGACCTCCTTTGAGCTTGGCGATGGCATGGCCGGCCCGAGGCGAGGACCCCATGGGGCCGCCTCCGGTCCTTGGTCCGGATGTTGAGTGCGGTTGTTGCGCCGGATCCGGGGTGGGTCCGAATCCCGGAGCAGGCGTGTGCTCTGAGGCCCGTCCGCGCCGGAGTCGGAGTCGGAGTCGTGGTGAGGGGCCCAGTCTACATGGTGAGTAGAGGAAGCACTGGGTGCGCTGGGGTCGTCCTGGTGTGTTGGCACTGTCATTGGCCAAAGAGTAAGCGTGCGCTCTCACACACTGACCACGCGAGGCAGGCCGAGCAGGAGTCTGAAAAATACGGTTTGCAGGAGGATGACAAAGGTGGAAAAAAGCTGCTGTTGGTTGTGGTTTGTGGAGAACATGACGCAGGAGCGTTTGATTATGTCAGCCACCAGCCGTTCGCGGAGGCAGGTCGTCCGTGATTGGACAGCAGGCCTCATTTGGGCAATTCTCGAGCGGCACCAACCGTCCTGCGTTGCATCGGGCGAAGTTGACACGCGACACGTTTTGCCAGTGAACGGATCGCATCATCGCCCTCCTCTTCGACTCACATGCTGGAGAACGGACGACTGCCTCGTGTGCCCCCGACAGCCTCTGGGCCTCTAGGCCTCTGGGCCTCTAGACCTCTTGACCTCTTGAACTCTGGATCTCTGGATCTCTTGACCTCTGAACCTCTGGACCTCGGGTACGGCCTCAGGTTTGGCAAAGGTATAAGTCGTAGCGATGTTCTCGAACACATGGCCATTACGGGCAGGGGCCAAGACGCGGGATCAGTCATCCGGCGTTGCTACCAATATCGACAGGCCAACGCACCCATGCACGCGGCTCCCGTTAGGTGCGCTATCTGCCAGAGAGAGGGCTTTGCGTCCAGCATACACACATGTTGCGATGATGCATGCAGGTTCTTGATGTTGCAAAACCAGATGGAGGCAGCACCTAGACGTAAGTATTTTGGATGACTGGACCCTGTGATGTGCCAAGTCCCAGGCCACCCCCAGAAAAGGGCCCGCTTTGCGACGTTCCAAAGTGCGCCGTCTTTTCCTCGGCTCCTGCAACAGTAGCTCGCGTTGTGCATGAAGACGCAATCTTGTGCACGCGCCGCGTAGGACGAGGCAGCACTCGATAGAACAACCCGAGGCCTGTAGCGCACGCAAAGCACCATTGTTCACACGCGTAGATGATGTAGCCCCAGTGTCCCCAATATGTACGCACTCAACCACACACCAGCCACGTCTTGGAACGAGCCTCGTCAACGCCGCCAAGCCCAGATGCCAAACCCTTGCTCCGGGGAAGCGACAGGGGGCCGACGGCACTAAGAAGGCCCCCAATCTCGGGCGATGCAGAGCAACCTCGGCTCTCTTTCCCACGCTCGTCCCTCTCCCATTCCCGCCTCTGCATCCCCGGCCGCTGGCCTGCCCCTCCGTGTCTTTCGGCGTCAATGCATTGCGACCTGCTAGCCTCGCGATCTGGTTGAGGTGCTCGGGGCGGTCGATCTTGGCACCTGCTTCATCAAGTGCATGACAGTCTTAAAACGAGCGCGCTGCCCCTTCCTTAAAGTCCTTTGTGAACCCTACACCATCGAGAAATCGCGAGTCACATAACAACAACAGCCGCGAGAGGACATCACAACTTGACAACGCAGCTTCCAACACGCTCTCTACTGTCTGCCACAACAAGCACACCCTCGAGCCATTCACAGACCGGACCACAAAGAGCCCCAGGAGACTCAAACCCCATCAGCGAGCAAACATGAGCAGCAACACCCCCAAAACCCTCGTCCGCATCGACGACTTCCCCCTTCCCCCGCCCAAGACCGCCCGTGCAATCATCATCTCCGGCATCGCCATGCTCCTCTCTGCCCGGTCCTCCCTCCTCGAGCCCGGGTCCCTGTTCTACGACAATATCCTCGCCAGCCAGCCCGCCCAGGCCACCAGGATCGCCCGCTGGGCCCAGCAGGCCGTCTTCTGGTTCCTCTTTGGCGCACACTCCCTCGAGACCGTGGGCTTCGCGTTCGCCAGGCTCAGGAGGCACGGGGTCCCCATCTTCAGCCTGCTCGGCTTCAAGTGGCTCGCCGCCGTCTTTGTCGGGGGCAAGTTTGCCTGGGCGCACTTTGACGAGGTCGTGGCGAGGAAGGCCATTGGTGGCGGGCGGTGAATTTTTTTCCTGCTTTTTGGTTTCTGATCGAGGGGCGGCAGTGCCCAAGCATCATCAGTTGTGAGGAACCCTGTGAGGAACAGAAAACATGGTTATAAACACACGACCCGGAGCTTGAGGCAGTCAGGCGGTCGCCGTTGTCAGACGAAGAGGGCGAAGACGGAAAAAAACTTTTGTGACTTGTTGTTCCTGATGGCGGCGTTCTTCTAATTTGTGATCTTTAGATGGGGGACGCTGGGGAAGGCAACTGGGGCTTTTGTTTACCCCAGGCTAGAGGGTCGCGGGCAAGGAGGGCGCCAGGAGGGTGCAAGGAGAACAGAGCAGGCAGCATGATACCCCACGATTCCAAGCAAGCTAATCATATAAGTAAATCAATTTCTTCATCAAACCTCCATGCTAGACTTGTCATCCAGAAAACACCAATAACTCCTGTTTAAAAAACACAAACCACTTTGGACGTCCTCCATACCTAGGTAGTTAGAATACACTTCTCACAGGCATCCCCATCCCTACCTCTACGCCTTCACCCTTAGTCTTGTGTTCTGCGGCCGAGCCTCTCAGCCTGAGCGCGGATTATATACCAGACCTCTACCAGACCGGGTCACCGCACAGTTCACGATTCCTCTCCTTTTCTCGCATACGTGACCCAAACAGGCCCACGCCCGCCTAGACATACTCCCTGGTACTCTGCTGCGGGCCCATCCCACCACCAGTGACATTCCCCTGAAGCGGGTGTGGGTGCGGATTTTGGTGCTGGTGCTGGTACGTCGGCGGCGGGGCCGCATAACTACCGACACCACCAAACCCGTTGCCCGCTCCCGCCGAGTACGCCGGCGCCGGCTGCTGCTGCTGCTGCTGGTGGAGATTCCTCCAGGGCTCCATTTCATAACCGCCACCGCCGTTGGCATTGTCGCCGTCCTCGCCGGGCTTGTTGTTGTCGGAAGATGAGGAGCTGCCCATGCGCTTCTGGACGCACTTCTTGAGCACGAGGATCACGGCGAGTAAGGGGAATATGAAGAGCACGAGGCCGGCGAGGATGTAGTTGTAGAAGACGGCCTGGGACAAGGTGAAGCCGCTGCATCATTCGCATAAGATTTGTCAGCACTGGGGAGCCGCAGGCAAGTGAATCCTCTAGGAGAAACCATTTTTTACTTGCGGAGAAGGAGAAAGGGGGGGGGGGGGTTGTTCAAAGCATAGGGAGAGAAAAGACATGAAATCCATGCCAGAGATATATATAGGGATATACAACTTACAGGAATGCATTGATGATACCGAGCAGGATCGTCAGGCGGCCCAGCCAGACGTGGACGGGCGCGAGCTTGGTCTTTTGCTGCGTCTTCTTGAAGGCGCGGTGGTTCACGAGGCCCAGGGTGAACTGGCCCAGGACGAAGATGAAGACGAACAGGCCGATGATCTGGTGGGGGGTGTTGAAGTTGCGGGACTTTGATGAAGGGGTGGCGCCACGAGTTGTCAGTTTTTCTATTGCACCCGCATGTTTGTGTATACAGTCTTCTTTGAGTAGTGACAAAGTGACAAGGAGATGCACAGAGAGAGAGAGAGAGAGAGAGAAAACGGGAACAAAGAGGAGGTAGCTTACCCGATTATACATGCCGCTCATGCTCATCCCCAGCCCGGCACCGACAATCACCAGCACGCCAGCGAACCCTTGCACCGCGGCATGCGCCCTCACCCAGCCGCCCAGGCGCAGGACAAACGTGCCAAAGGGCAGCAGGCCGACAAAGCACAGCACCATGATGACGGCGTGCAGGAGGCCCTTCCACTCGCGGTACTTTGTGACGCTGATGGAGCCCTGGACGGTGCCCACGAGCTCGGGCGTCGAGTCGGCCATGTTGACCTGCGGGACGAGCGAGGCGGCGTCCTGCTCGTCGTCCTGCGCGGTGCCCGTCGTCCGCGTCATGTCCATGGCAAAGGTGCCAAAGTTCATGTGCACGCGCAGCGGCTGCGCGAGGTCGTCGGACCAGATGTCCCCGCTCTCGCCGGTCGCGTAGATCATGTCCTGGCTGCGGCTGGCGACGTCGAGGCCCAGCCTCCCACCGCTCGGGGTGCTCCACGACCGGCAGTTGCGGCACACGCCGTTGTACACCCACGCCGTCCCGTTGTTGCGGTCCGTCCCGGGGAGCGCCTCGACGCGGATGTCCGGGCTGTACCACGGCTCTGAGTGGCCGGGGCCCGCGATCCGCGGGGACAGGGTGATGTTCTGCCCCGTGCTGGAGCCGTACATGACGAGCATGAGCGACCCGGCCATCTGGCTCGAGCCGAAGCCGATGGCGCCCCACATGACGTGCAGAGACATGACCATGGTGAAGTAGATGTCCTGGCTGCTCTTGTCGGCGGGGACGCGCATGGCAAAAGCCAGGTCGCGGGTGGGCGTGACGAACAAGGCGCCTACATCGCCGACGAGGGTCGAGTTGCTGTTGGCGGTGGTGTTGCTGCTCGGGCCAGTCGCATTCGGGCTGCTCTGCTGGGCAGCTGCGTGCAACGTCAAGAGGTTGCTGGCTGTGTCGTGTGAGGAAAAGTGTCAGTTTAAATTGGTGTTCTTCAGACTGTATACCTCATGCCAGGAATGTAGGGGCGGGATCTCATCACGAAGCATCGCATACCTGCCAGGGCCACGATCGCTCTCTTCCACCAGGATGTCGCCATTGTGATGGTACGAGCCGGATGACTTGCTTGTACGGCGTAGTATTCTTGCTGAATTAGACCTGCTGTGTTCGAGTGCCAGCCCCGAAAATGTGTAAGTGGTCGAATGGATAAAGTAGAAGCCCAATCACGAAACGCTAGAAGCCGACAGGCAAGAAATTCAAAGCTACAGATGAGAAGAACAGGACAACCACGCACGATGGCAGGAATATGCTGCTTGACAATGGTTGTTGCGAACCACATCGCGAGCTATTATTGTACGGACGGCTACCCAGTGCCGTCCTCCGCGTAAGCAGGACGCGTCCCCCAACGCCTCAGCTGCCGCCTCCAAAACTGAAAATGGGCTGTCATGCATCCAAGTCGGCGCTTAGCCCTTGCTGCTTTCTATTGTTGTCTCGAGGACGTGATCTACGACCCCTGGGGTTGGCGGCGGCAAGGTGCATGACAGAAAGCTTGAACAAAGACTAGCGAGACGCTCATTGGCTGTACTGGTGATGGACCTGGTTGGCTGTAGTTGCGTTGATTGGTTGAGTCTTTTGCAACCGCCCTGCACCCCTGTCGTGGCGCCAGCATCTCCCTCCGTCTCCAGCCCAGCTTGGTGATTCGGCGAGCGGCAATGATGATTGGTTATCAAGTTATTTTTGGTGTGCCTGTACTTGATGTTCTGCCGTTGGGAGCAATTGCGAAGATGTTGCGCCCATATGAACTTGCCCAGATTTAGGAAAGAAACCCTGGAATTACGCCCTGTAGTCTACTGCCATTGTGCCTCTAGGAGTACCCGCTCAACAAGTAAGTACACAGACACTTCGCCTTATTTATGTGCAAGGGGAAGAAGGAAAAGGCGTAGAACCAGACGGGTGGAGTTCAGCGCGACAACCAAGCTAGGCCAATAGCCATGGCAAGGCTGCAGACGTAACTTTGAGCTTTGGAGATTGGCGTTGATACAATAGAGAGCAAAGAGAACGCGCGTGACCATCTAAACGACCTAAAGTCTAACATATCACACCGACATCGTACACTCTATTAGCCACACGCACACACACATATATGCATCAGTATACTTAAATTCAACTCAGTTCACGAGGGCGGTGCTTGGTCGGCTGCTAGCCCTCAGGCCGCGTTATCAGTGCCAGAATTGACACCGTCCTGGACGCGCCTGATACCGTAATAGTTGCACCTAGCCTTTAATATTCAGTGTGGCTAAATCACGAAGGTGTGTTTTACTGTGGCAGCCACTGTGCACTGGCGTCCCTGGATGTCAGCTACAATATTGGATTGCAGCATGGCCTGTGAGGCAACGGGTATCCAATTCCGTCGGGTTACTGTCACATGCAACTTTGGTGGCTGCTCCAAAAGTCAGAAGCCCCCAAGGGTGCACTCTGCAGTGAGCCAATGCTCTTGACGTCAACGAAATGTCTGGGCCGTGTCGCTCGGAGCAACCTCCGATCACGCAACTCACACGGGCAGGAGCCGAACGCCGCCTGATGGGAGGCACAGGACTGGAGCCTACATAGTATCGCAGAGGACGCTGTGGTTGCCTGTTCCAGCATCGACGGCCGTGTCAAACCTCAGGAGGCCGCCTCGACGCATGCCGGACGCCCGGTCCATCGGCGACTTTGCTAGACACACCTCGGCGTGCTTGCGATGGGAATACGATGCTGGACGCAAGTATCGAGTACATTGCACAACTTTTCCCCCCATTCCGCACTCTTGTGGCGCCGAAATGTTCCCGACGAGGTGGTACAGGAGGGCCGTCAGACTCACGGGTAAAGGGCGCGTGGCGGCCGGATCGGGCTCTCGCGCGCCACAGTGGAATGCCGGGCCCGAAGAAATGTCTCGGTCGAGAGTTCCTGTGCCTGGCGTTGGTGTGGTGGAGTCTAAGAAGCGAAGGCGTCCGATTTGCTTGGGCGGAGGAGGCTAGAACGCTGACGAGCTTGATGGTGTCCGCATAATGGGGCCGCACCAGCTGTGCGCCACGTTTCTCAGCCGGAGGGGTGATTGCTGGACGGGCCCAGATTCTGCGTCTGGTCTGCCGGGATGAAGCTGTCTGGGCAGGAAAAGACTTTTCTTTTTTTGGTGTGCGAGTATGGAAATGTTTCCCGTTGCGCTGAGGCGAGTGGTGCAGGCTTAACTTTAGGCACTGGCCGACCCCGCGGGAGGGCGGGAGCAGCGAACCTTGCTCGTGACGAAGGCATGACGTTTGGTTCGGCAGTGATCGTGGGCCCGTGGTGGAGGGACTTTGTGGTGGAGGACCCGAGCAAGTGCTGAATGCTGAAAGTGGGAGAGCAATCTTGGTGGCGTCGTCTTCCACCTTTGGCTGATCGCGGACCCCGCATCGCATCGTCCAGTAAACTCGCGGCTGCCCTCAACTCCTCTTCAACAACCCATCTCAACGTAATTGTCCCGTCACGGTGCTTCAGACGGGCAAGCAAAAGGCAGAAAATTCCAGCGGCGACTCTCCAACACATTCGCGTTTGGCCCGGCAGCGAGGGTCACTTCCCGCCACTGACACTGTTTGTCTCACTTTGCCTCGCTCTTTCTCGCCGACGGCCGAGGGCGCAGAGGCATCCAGGACCACGGTCTAGACTTTGCACCACACGGACCTTCTACACGCCACTTGTTTGCCTCTTCACCACCACCACATACACCACACCTTTTCCATACACGCGCCCCCATGGCTCCACTGGGTATCGCCATTGTTGGCAGCGGCATCTTTGTCCGCGAGCAGCATCTGGTAAGTCACCCAAAGTCCCTTCGCTATCCGCTCCATGCCCGCACGTACACCCCCAAGCCCGCCCTGTTCCTGGCTTGCTCCACTGGCTCCCGTGGAATCAGTCACAAAGCAGCCACGATGGCCTGAAAGCAGCTCGGCCCCTGGCGATCGCTGCCTCGATGAGCTTCGCGTGGCTCGGCAGGTGTCAAGTGACATCTAGCTATTCCTTGACACCCACTCCCGTAGGCGGACTGGACCGCCCGCCATACGTTCGAGACATACCCACGTCGCGAGGGCTCTTCTGACAGCCCTCAAGCTTCGGTACCGAAAACGCTAACAGGAAGTCTGGCCGCCCCGTCTTTGCCCGTGAGCACAGCCTGCTGCCTTGGCCACTCCTCTCCTCACAATCAAGGCCATATGGTCCCGGTCTCTAAGCTCGGCGGAGCAGGCGGCCAAGCTCATTCCCGAGGGCAGTCAGGCTGCTGTGGACCTCTACTCGTCGGACTCGGGGCCAGGTAAAGGCTATGATGACCTTCTGAAGCGCTCAGACATTGTTGGCGTCATCCTAGCCCTTCCCATTCCGGACATGCCCGCCTATATTGAGAAAGCACTTGCTGCTGGCAAACACGTCCTTGGAGAAAAGCCTATTGCGCCCACAATTGGCAAGGCGCTCGAGCTTGTCGAGTACTACAAGAAGGTCTCGGCAGATGCGGGCGGCCAAGCAGCCACTTGGTCGGTGGCTGAGAACTTCCGCTTCATCCCAGCATACGACTATGCTGTCGAGCAGATCAAGACTCTAGGCAAGATGACTGCTTTCCATGTCAAGGTCTGCAACCTCATGGAGGAGTCCAACAAGTACTATGGCACGGCGTGGAGAGCCAAGCCAGAGTTTCAGGGTGGCTTCATCCTCGACGGCGGTGTCCACTTCACCGCCGCCTTGAGAAAGCTGCTTGGGGATGAAAACTCTGTGCAGAGCCTGTCCGCTTACACGGCTCAGGTCCGGAGCTGGCTACCTCCTGTAGACTCTGTCCATGCCGTGCTCAAGGCCAAGTCCGGAGTCATCGGCACCTACGTGCAGTCTGCGGGCTCGAGCGCTGGGTCTTTCCAGTTCCAGATCGTGTGCGAGAACGGCGTTGTCGAGGCCGAGAGCAGAAAGTGTGTCGTCATCCGGGGCCACGGTGCCGACGCCAAGCGCGAGGAGAAGGATTTCACGCCCACGTTTGGCGTCAAGGAGGAAGTCCATGCCTGGGGCGAGGCCCTGCAAACCGGCAAGCCCAACCCGGCACAATCACCGGAGCAGGCTGTTGCGGATCTCGAGCTCATCGAGAAGATGTTAAACAGTGGTCAGCAGGGCGGCTCGTCTCAGAGTACAGAGTATCAATAGATCACGGGGGTTTCCCCACCAGACACGCCAGGGTCTTGAGACACCGTCTCAATTCCTCGCTACAACAGAGTTCACAAGGTTATAGGATATTGACAAACCATGATTGTGTGAGACATAGACTTCTGGGTTGTCACACAGGCGCGCTACCCCAATGTTTCAGGTTGTAATTGAGCCTCTCCTCACTCCAGACCAAGAGCAGAACCCCATGAATTGAAAAAAATCAGAGCTTCGCAGCCAGGCTCTTCTTGTTACTAATCTTGCCGTCACGCAAGCCTTCCAGCCCAGCCCTCAATCCGGGATCCATGCCCTGAGGACTAGGCCGCTGGGTTCTCCTCTCGACCCAGACGTGCACAAACTCGCCAACAGCCTTGACCTTGGAATCCTTGCCGCCGCCCTTCTCAAACAGGCCGACCTCGTACGTGACGGCCGAGTTGCCAAGCTTGCTGATCCGCAGGCCGAGCTCCGCCACCTTCGGGTACTCTATCGCCGAGAAGTAGTGCACCGCAGTGTGTGCCATCAATGGATGCCATGGCGAGGAAGGGGGGTGCAGGCCGCAGTGCTCTATCAGGAAGGCGTTGATGACCGAATCGAAGCTGTATTGAAGCCGCGTTAGTGCATGAGAAGGAAAATTAGCCAATGCCTATCTCGACGCATATCTGCCAGCCGGAGCAAGATTCCAAATGGAGGCAAAGGGAGTGCCACGCACAGGTAGTTGTACACCGAGTTGTTCATGTGGTCATACATGTCGTTGTCCGCCCTGTGAGCTGTGTTTTAGTGCGGGCTGTGACGCAGAATACTAAATCATTGACATCTACTGACCATCTTGTTCGGTAATCCAGCATGTATGGGTAGTCGTCCCTCGTGCGCGCCTGCAGCTCCTTCTTGGTCGCCATCTCGTTATTTAATACCTACTTCGATTCAGCGAAATAGTGCTCTTGTGTCCGCTATGGGCTGGATTGCTATACAGAGGGATGCTTTCGCTGTTGTTGTCGTTGCGATTATTGGAATTGTGGACATAAAACAAGACCATTTCATGGTTGTCGTCGCCTAGCTACCGTACTGCGCGCCAGCCGAGGTCCAGGATCCGGGGTAATAAGAGGGACCCCTGCACGATGGCACATCTGGTGGGGATATTGCCGCCTGCTACCGCCAAAACATTGAATTTGGACCCAAAGTGGGATAGAGGGACGCATGCACTTTTGACGACGAGTGGGCAGGTTTTTTCTTTAGCAACCCACGAAGCATTCGATCGACGAGGGAACAAGGACGACGACCAGTCGTCGAGACCAGACGAACCCACGAAAATATTAGCGACGGCATATTGGCGCATTACTGGTCGTCTTTTCGAACTCGGCTTTCCAAACGACAAACGAAAGTGGCGTACCCCGCCAGGCTGCGCATCCTCTGTTTCAGAGAAGGACTACGAGCAGAGAGAGCAGCACGGCCGCGCCGCTGTGTACACCCGTGGATATACCGGCACTTCACCAGTCATCGTGCGAACTGTGCTCCGACGGCAGCAGCGGCAGCAGCAGTAGCATTCCCGCAAACAGTTGTATCCTGCCAGCGGCCCTTCAACAGCGACAACCCTCCCCCACCACGCGAGGACCGCCCCCAGGACCGTTTCGGCATCGTGATACCAATGACATTAGACACCACGCCGGCCCCGGTGGCGCTCGGGGAGAACGGCGAGCCCCTGCCGACAACGACAGCACGGATAACAAAGAAGCGCAAGCCCAAGCAAAAGCAAGACAAGAACGCCATTGATGCCGACCAGGAGGGCCAGCTATGGCCGATCCCGTACATAATAGACCCTCCGTCAGAGGGCGGCCTCCGCCGCGTGGCGCCATACCACTACACCTACAAGACCTGGGTCAAGCAGCGCTGGCGCGGGCGCGAGCTGCTCGAGGTGTTTGAGAGCGAATTCCGCGACCGGCCCCTCGAGTACTACCGGCAGGCCATGCTCGCGGGCGCGGTGCGCGTCAACAACAAGCAAGTCCCGCCCAACCACGTGCTGACCAACGGCGAGCTCGTCTCACACACAATACACCGGCACGAGCCGCCCGTCACCGCGGACCCCATCGCCGTGCTGCACGAGGACGAGGACATGATTGTCATTGTCAAGCCCTCGGGCGTGCCCGTGCACCCGGCCGGGCGGTACAACTACAACTCGGTCATTGAGATTATGCGCGCCGAGAGGGGCCGCGGCTGGACCGCGTACCCGTGCAACCGCCTCGACCGGCTGACGAGCGGCATCATGTTCATCGCCAAGAACCCGGGCGCGGCCGAGGTGCTGAGCGCGCAGATTGCCGCGCGGACGGTGCGCAAGGAGTACATTGCCCGCGTCATTGGCGAGTTCCCGGACGGCGAGGTCGTCTGCGACCAGCCGATTCTGCAGATCTCGCCGAAGCTCGGCCTCAACAGGGTCCGCGCGAACGGCAAGCACGCGCTCACAGTGTTCAAGAAGATTGCTTATTACCCGCCGTCATCATCATTGTCATCGTCTTCACCATCACCATCAGAATCACCAGGCACAGGAGAGACACATGCCACGAACAGTAACGGGGAGAACAACAAGGAGAGACCGTGGACCGGAGCAAAGGGTTACTCGATCCTGCGGTGCCTGCCCGTGACCGGGCGGACGCACCAGCTGCGCGTGCACCTGCAGCACCTGGGCCACCCGATCCAGAACGACCCCATCTACGCGAACCAGAAGGTCTGGGGCGCCCGCCTGGGGCGGGACGACGCGGCGGCCTCGGAGAACACGGACGAGGACATCATCTCGCGGCTGGACCGCATGGGCAAGCAGGAGGTCGCCGACGCCGTGGCGTACCACGACGAGATGGTCGACGAGTACTACAAGAAGAAGGCCGAGAAGATGTCGGGCGAGCTGTGCGACGTCTGCGACACGCCGCTGTACACGGACCCGGGCGAGCAGGAGCTCTCGCTCTGGCTCCACAGCCTCCGGTATGAAGACGCCGGCGGGCAGTGGCGCTACGTGAGCCCTCTCCCGCAGTGGGCGCTTCCCCCCTTGGGCATGGCGGGCCCGACCACTGTCGGCGGCATGGAGGAGCTCGTCGAGGCTGTCAAGGACGAGAACCCGGAGATAGCATAGTTCAAAAATACTCGACCCGGACCCGAGTTGAGGCTACTACTACTACTACTGCCCGGATACAGGAAGTTCTCTTGTGTGTATGTGGGTGGGGGGGAAGGGAGGGGAGGGAACAAACTGTCTCTCCCATCTGCCGGTCTAGAGTCGACGCAAGGTTTCATCAAGAGTATAGAGTATATAGATCGTGCTTGTCTGGCGTCGAGCGGGAATAACCAAGGCGAGCAAAAAAGAAAACGGGTGCGCGAATTATATCCACCAGGCCTAGATCAGAGAGGATAGCAGGGCAGGCAAAAAGGTTGCCCGTGAACACTATTACGCCCAGAACGGGGCAGACAATGAGCGAGGTTCAAACTTTCAAAAATCAAAAACCCCCATCTCACACATGATCTAGAGTTGTGCTCTTGGGACATGCTGGATTATACGATGGGGCAATGACAACACGAGAGGGGGCGTAGATCTCGACTGACCTCATTGCGCGCGCACAGAGATAGCGACTAGACTCCAGTATCCCCCCCCCCCCGTTCTCGTATCTCAGAGTTGCCCTGCCAAGCCAATTGGACGCGTGGGCAGGATGGAGTTCCTGGTTGCAGCGCGGCGGAACTCCGGGAGCAGGATAGTAGTGAGTAGTAGTAGTTCATTAGTCGTTGGCGATTTGCGATAGCCCATGCAAGATAGGTACGTTCATGCAGGCATGATGATGGGGCCTGGCTGGGTTTTAGAGTTTGAACTACGTAGGTTGACAGCGCCACCAACGACGCAAGCTTCAATGCCAGGGATGTGCGCCTCTCGAACTGCACCCCGCAGCCGCTGGGCAAGCTTTCTCGCAGTGAAGTGAGACCGGTAGTCTAGAATAGAGAGGATGAGGAAGTGAAGGAGGGAGAGAGAGAGAGAGAGAGAGAGACATGCCGACGGGACTGCCGCCGCCCCCAGTACCAAAGTTAGCTCGATTACGCTCGTTGCGTGTTTGTGTCTCTGTCTGTCTGTCCGTTACAGAATCGAGATTGAGCTGAGAGGGCAGTATTTGCGTCGTCTCGCTGGGGGTCATCCGCCACTTTGGTCCGGGGGGGTTTGGGTTCGTCACTGCGTCTTGACTTTGGTGCCATGCATTATACGTCAAACCGGTTCGAAGCTGCTGCAGCCCCGTCCGTGGCTGCAGTTTTGTCGCGTTAGCCTGACAAGGCCATACAGCAGAGGGCGTGTGAGCCCCTGCAAACTCTAATACAGGATAGGTTGTTGCTGTTGCTCATCACGTCTGCAATTGCGGATGCCTCTGCAGATGGGCGTCCCGGCATCAAAGTGAGGACAAGAACAGGGAACCACTAATACCAAAACATTGGGTGGGCATGCAGCCCTGAAGCAGCTTGTCGGCAGAGGCACGATACAGGCTTCGCGGCAACCTCAAGTGGGCCTGGGAGGCTGGCTGGTGCTGGAATCCATGGATTGTCGAGGCGCTGCTGTGGGCAGACCTGGCACAACCCCTGGTCCATTGCAGTTTGCAGTAATCTTAGCCAGCTCGAGTCCTTGTTGTTGGTGCTAGACACATGTGCCTATGAGCTCCTGCAATCATCAAACGGCCTGCCGGTGGTCCTGTGCAACTGATATCGTGGGCTAACGTAAAGAAGCTGAACGCTTGACGGGGATCGGTGCCTGGGCATCTCGATAGATATCGTGATCCGTGGCATCAAGGGGGCGAAGCGGAGTGGAGAGGAGCACATATAACCTCGGATGAAGGAGAAGGCTGAGGAGGAGGAGGAGGAGGAGGGATAGAGCAGTAGGAGAGCGACGCCATGGCTTTCCACCCCCCGGACTCCTCTCCTCTCCGCTCTCCTCCCCTCCCCGCCGGGGGTTCTACACCAATCAGCTCTACTTCTATCGACGAGAAGGTACTGTGTAGCACCAATTAGGGCCCTTGCTGACTGGTTCTAGTGCGGGTTCTTTTGCAGGTCCTTTGCATAGCGCTGTTGGCCCACATGCTTGTGAGGAGGGTGACAGGCTACAGTCCGGCGGGTGAGTAGTGACGCCATGACTTCAAGAGGCACTTGCAGAGTGAGGCCCGGCGGCAGGCTCCGTCGACGAAAACGACCAGAACAGGTGTGGGAGAGGGCGGCATCGAGGGGGATCATCTGCCCTGACGAAGATCGTGGAGCCTGGAGACGTGAAGCTTGAAAGAGAGGCTGTCGTGGGCCCGGCTGGATGCAATCGGCGAGAGCGGAGGGGGACTTGGACTGTGTGGGCTGGTGTTGATTGATGCTGGCTTCCCCAGCAAGCTTGCCCAGCGATGGGCTGAGTGGCTGGCCGGGGGGGGGGGGTTGACTGCTGTCGTCACCAGGCCTGTCTGGCAAGTTGTTGCAGCGCCAGGGATCCGTACTGTATTACTGCGTTGGTACCTACTGCAAACAAGCATGTGCGCGGACGGTAACACAACAGGCCTCGCAGAAGTCGCGTAACAGCGGGGCGGAGCCAGCCCCGTGGAGGTGAGCATGGACTCGGCACTTTTGGCCTTCCCTGCCCCATCCCCTGCTTTATTCTCCGCCAGTATGATTACCGTTGCCCAAACACACCGAGGCCCTGGTGATTGACACTGTCGCGGGGCGTTATCATATTCCTACTTGGTGGGTGCCTGCCTGCCAGAAACTGCCGCCTCTTGTCCCTTCATGCCCCCTCCAGGCGACCCTGTTCGCTCAAACCCGCGTTGCCCAGCGCTGCCCAGGGTCCCTGGCCTGGCACGCCGTAACGGGCAACCCCGCCAGCCATGATGAAGTGATCTCGGCCGATTGGGGATCCTGGACGCTCATCTCTGATATCGGGCGCTGAATGCGCTGGAAGCAGAGGCGTCCCCCCCCCTTCCAAAGCAGAGCCCTCTCTGTCTGCTTGTCTGCCTGTCTGTCCCTCCATCTCTTTTTTTCTTGCTCGCTCGGCTGCCCAAATAGTTGTTGTCTCAGGTGGATATCCAAAAGACGAACTATGGCCTGCCACGCCGGATGCAGGCTAGCGGACCTGTATCAAGCAATTATTACCTGATACTGAGGTAAGGGCAAAAACATCAGCACCGGCATCCCGGCACCACAAGTGCGTTCGCGCGCGATACGTCCTTGATCAGCATTGCATTCTCCATCCACGTCGCGTCCAGCGTGGCCCCTGCTGCGAGCCCCGCCGTCCATTGACTTGGGCTCTGCGGAAATGCCAATTCCACGGCAACCAGGGAAACCGGTGACGGCACAGGGTTTCATGGCCGGAAAAGAGTTTGAGCCCTGCTGCTGTCCCGCGGCAGTCAGCCTGTTGCTGAGAACGGGTGGAGGCCAGGTTTGGGAGTTTGGGGCTGCCTGATATTATTGCTGAAGGGGAACGAACGCCCTGTCCTGGCTGCTGGCCAGGTTCAAGGTTGCCAAAGATGGAGTCTGGGCTGGGCACGACATCCCCCACGAAAGGGGCGTGCCCTGCCCTGCCACGCCATGACCTGCCATGCCATCATGCCTTGCCATGCCATCATGCTCCGGACCAGCCGTCAATGTTTGTGCATGTCGAGCAATGCTCAAGCTCCCATCACTGAATTACTGCAGGACTGTGGCTGTGGTTGAATGCATATTCGCCGCTCCGAGGTGGGCACGCAAGGCGCGGTGAAATCTCTGTCAAGACCTGTCTGTCTTCCGGGGTTTTGCCCCTGCTGCGGCTGCGGCTGCTGCTGCACGAGCGCAGCCGGCGACCCCATTGGCACCTAAGTTGCCGGGCGTTGTCGTTCCGGCACCGGAGCGGCCGCTACACAGGCCTCGGAAGACACCTGAGCAGCGTCGCAGCGACTGCTGGCCCTCCAGGCGGTGGCCTGGCCTGGCTGCCCCAGAGAGGCAATCGTAACCAGGCACCGAGTCCGCGGGTCTGGCATTGTGCATCTTGGGCCACCTGGCCAGGCAGGTAGGCCGCACACAGCGCAAATAGCAGGAGAGCGCGGTCACCGCGAACCCGACCTCACTCACGTACCATACCTCACCGAACCTATGAGCCCGCGAGAGCGAGAGGAGCGAACTGCCGCCTGGCGCCACTCGTCTGGATGTGTCTGACAGATTGCAGTGTCAGCAGCGGCGGCGTGCTGGGCGACTGTGGCAGGTACCTGTACCTGTAGCTGTACCTGTACCCGTCCTCCCTGTGGCCGGGACGTGGCAGGCAGGGCAGGGCATGGCATGGCAGGCAGGACAGCGACTGCATGAAGGAGGGGGCTTTCCACACTGACGAAAGCCAACACTGGTGGCCCAGCAGGGACATGCGGGGCCCGGGCTCCACTTGGGCCCCTGCTAGCGCAAACCCTATTTCTGCAGGCCCGGACTCTGCCCGCCCACATCGGACCAGAGGCGCGACTTTCTGGCTGTCAACAAGTGCGAAAGAGAGCAAGGCAGGGTCCGTCCTCGCACAGACGAGCCCCAGCGTGCAGTCCTCAGACGACCAGAGAGCACGCTGCATTCAAGCACCGCCTGTCAGGCCTACACGTTGTCTGACGTAGATGTCAAAGAGTGCCGTTCGAGGGGCCTCTCCCTTGCTCTCGCCAGAGGACCCGGGGACGGCAACTCCTCACGCCCCCACGCCCCCGACTTCCAAGGTTGTGCTTGTTGTTGGCCCAGGTGGTGGTGGTAATTATTGTGCAAGGCCGTGGCCATCGCTGTCGGGCAGTGCCCGACCTGGCACCAAGCAGACCAGCTTTGGGGCCCTCGACGACAGCCTTGACAGCTCTGCAAGACCAGACTTGACGGAGCGGTCGCTGAGCTTGGCTCTGCCGTGGGCGGCGCCTTCCCAAGGTTGCCTCCAAACACCACAGTACCACGCCACGCAGGTACTGCGTCCATATAGCGTGGCGTACGTGATCGGGGCGCCGCCCCGTTCCATTTCATTCTGGCAAAGTTCCTCGCAGGTTGATGACACCCTCCACCACCACGACTGAAGTCCGCCTCTTGCTCGCGTGCACTAGCCCGCCGGCATCGTCGTAGCTCGCCCGCGCCAATGCACCGAAGGCAGTCGCCTGCCTTCCATGCCTCTTGGGCGCTAGCCTGCTGGGGCCAGCGCCTTGCTGATGCTGCTACTCCTTCTTCTTCTTCGACCATGCCCTCTACAGTATGTCTCTTCTTCACACGCCCCCTCCACATTGCCTCTCCACCCTCGACGTGCGCTTCTCGCGACCCTAAGCCCCTTACGGCCGCCCTCAGGAGCCCGTGGTCCAGGGTCCTGGCCAGTGTCCAGTGGCCCGTGGCCAGGTACCTCCCCTCCCGCCTGGCACATGTCGCCCTTCCTCGCCATCCTCGCGCCAGCCCTCTCTGCACGGATGACGATGGCAGAGCTCTGGAGTGCGGTGGGTACTTTGCGATACTCGCAGCACCCGTAGCCCTGCTAAGCTGCCTTGGGCCAAGTGCGCTCTTGCCAGAAGCCACCTGCAGCATCGCCTGGCCCTGCCGGCCCACCCTTTGCTGATGTGCATCACCCTCGAATGCTCGTCACTCGCTTCCATATATCACTGCCCATGACGCCTCACTCGCAAATCCGCCTCTCTCTCTCGGAGGCCCCTCCTCTCGACATCGATCCATAAAAGAAGCATCCGTCCTACCGCCCCATATCCATCCACCTCCTACTCCATCACATGGAGTCTTACGCCCAACCTCACTCCCCTCAAGAAGGCTACAGCCCAGCTTCCACCGCAAGCAACACCAACTCCAACAACAACACAACAGCCATGTCGTCCAAGCTCAGCGACTCTACCAAGCCCAGCAAGCGCAAGGGTACGTACGACGCGGCATATCCCAGTGCCCCCCTCCCGGGTCGGCAAGCACCATGCTGCTCGGGTTACACCCCCAAAGGAAGAAAGCACGTCCTCTGACATTGAAGCATACAAGCAGGTACTCGCAGCGTCTCTACTCTTACACCATCACAACTGGCCCGCAAGCGTGCCAATGACCGCGAGGCGCAAAGAGCCATTCGTGCCCGGACAAAAGAGCACATCGAGAACCTCGAGAGAGAGCTCGAGGAGCTTCGCAGCTACCAAAGCCGCGACAAGACCGTCCAGGACCTTCTCCGGAGGAACAAGGCCCTCGAAGACGAGCTTTGCCGGTTAAGGGACAGCATGGGAATCCCCAACACCTCCGCCGGTGGTGCCATGTACCAATCCTGTAAGTCCCACTCCTGCCTCATGGTATCTGTCCCTATCGCCCATTACTTACAGTTCAACCAACAGCAGTGGCAGCATACCATGACACGAGCTCCCGCAACTCTTCCTATGGCCAACAACCATCCCCGGTCATGGACAGCAGCCTGCCGCCTTACAGCCACATGGGCGACGCTAGCGAGAACTGGTCGCCCCATGTTCAATGCTCACTGCCTTCAGCTGTTTCGAGTCCCGCCTCGTCAGGTGGCGACGACTTTGGCAACAGCAACTACTTCCCCACCAGCGCACCGGCGGCCATCCTCGAGCGGACAAGCATGCCCGCAAGTATGGACTCCCCGGCCAGCTCCGTGGTCAGCGGCAAGATGGGCTTCGAGGACATCAAGTCTGGTATGTACAACCTATGGCAAGCTCAACTTTCTCGAGCCAAAGCACTAACAATCGCTGCAGAGTATGGCATCAGTGTCGTGCCCGTCACCGCCAGTTACCACCCGCATCAACCCGCGCCCTGGAACGTCTATCCCGTGTACTATCCTGCGTCACCGGCCACGATGTGAGCGGCGTCGTACGCTTCGTTCCTCAAACGGTGTCTGACGAGTCACGACCGCAACAAACCACCTCGCGCGCCTGCGGCACATATGAATTCTGATTATTCACTTCGATGTACACAAAATTTACCACGCCTGTGTTCTTTTACACTACCGCTCGGTACCATGGACGCAACATGAATTTGACCGTCCTCGGCGTTTTTCTTTTTGGGTTAGACCTCTGGGTATGCGGCACCAGGGCTGAGGGTTCATCTACCGGCGGCGATCCGGCAGCATGTATGGATTACGGACTTTTTTTCCCATGGGGATATTTATGGGCACACGGGCGACTCAGTACAGGACTGGGCCAAATTGATACCACCAATGTTATGGAGTTTACATGGTACTGCCTCCCATGCGGGGGGGTTCAGGGTTGGGACATTTCGGTTTATCTTGACGTTATTTTTCACACACACATGTTGCATCGAGGCGTTGCACGGCACACAGGCTTCAGGTGTGGCAATCCTGTTTTTGATTATCATCATGGCGGTTGCATGGCTGGATACAAGAAGTACCTTTTATTGTTTGGATATAGAAGAACACCATATTATTCAGTACGATTGGCAAGGAGTGTACTTCATTGATGCGAACCCTGTCCGTTGATGAACGTGGGCACTCCCTCATTGTATGTGATGCTACTTGGTGGTGCGTCGCGCCATCACGCGACGAGCACCGATTCCAAAGGACGTGCGTGGGCTGGGGGCCTTGCCATCCGTCTCAATTCTCTCAACCCATGCTCCACCCACCAACAACGTCCACGATGGAGAGGTGGCATATCCACAGGTGGCCCGTCTGGAAGAACCCGATTCCTCACCTTGGAAACCCACAAGGACGTGCATCGCGCCCCTCTTTCCCCGCGGGCACACGGAGGCCGGAGACTGCGCTGATGGCTCGCGTGGCAGCCAAGCAGAGGCTCACGATAGGGCCACCCATGAGACGGCACGATGAGGAGGCTGAGGGTCGCGCCATGGGTAGCGGGGGCCACTTGACCGCCCCTTGGCGTAGATAGTTGGCGATGGCGGCGGCATTGGCGTCTCCGGCGGGCCCCCCTTTGGCTTGCAGTGTTCCATGTGGTAGGCAGTCCACGCTGACCTGTAAGACGCCGTCGGTCTTGTTGCCGCCGCTCGTGTAAACGGCCCCCCTTAGTAGCGCACATCTTGTTGTTCTGCAGAGACATTGGCAGCCGAAGATCTACCAGGCTCGCGCCAGGCTTGTCGATGCGAGCTGCGAGGTGTGTCTGCAGGTGGTAGTAGCCACACATGAGGCGGCGTTTTCCACGGGTCTAGCTTAGCCCCACTCACGGACGGGACGACTAGAAGGTTGGCTGGCAATCCATGGGGCAGGGCCTCGCGGTGGTGGTGGTGTGTGCGCTGGCAACTAGATAAGTGAGATAGGTAAGTGCTCACACACAAAATGGAGGATGTTGCAAGGTGCGCAAGGTTTCGTTTCCTTTTGCTCGACCCCGTTGGATGTTCGCTTGACTGCTGCTGAAATGGCGGAACCACCTGCCTGAACTGGCAACGCCCGCCCGCCCGATGACAAGCATAATCACAAAAAGCTGTAGACGGGAGGTGTTCGCCACGGGGCGGAAAAACTTCTAGAAGGTGGCATCGAAGGTTTGGCCTTGTCACCGTTGAATCATCGTACAGGAGCAGCAATGACAGCTCTAAGCAAGTTCCTGCAGGTCGACAGCTCGTTGGCCCAAGCTAGAGCTAGGCGCCACGGTGATGGGGGAGGGCGTTCAAAGTGGTTGGTCGCCAGAAACCCTGTAAAGTGGCTCCCACGCAAGACTGACGAGGGTGGGCCATTGCTGTTTTGCAAAAGCAAGAGGCGGCATCAATGGCAATCTGAAAAGGGTGTGCCGGCGTGCTAGAGCACCCTGCATGCGCACGACCAGTCCCATGTACGCATGTATGCGCACGCGCGGTGATCTCTGCCCGTTTGGACGATGCCCTCGTCGAGGTTGCTGCCGTGTCGGAGTACTTTGCATGCAGGACTCTGCAACGCGAGCGCAGAAGGCTTCACATGCCCCCACGAAGGTATCTGCCCGAGATCTGTGCGTGGTTGGCACGACCATGCAGAGTGTACAGTACTATTGATCCGTCAAGGTCGAGGGCAAATGGCATCACACCCACGGCTTGGCGAGTAAGACCAACCACACCTGTAGATGAGATCTGACTCTAGGTGCCAAGCGGTGTCGTGATCGGCGCAAGGATGCTCCTCGCTATGAGTCCCGCTGCCGTCATAGCGCCCCCAGAGAGGACGGCAATCGTGATGGACCGGCAGCCTGTGCTGGGGGATGCTGGGCCCGGCGATGCATGGAAAAGTTGTGTCAAGGCCTGTGCTGAAGGTCTGAAGTTGTGGTCCTCATCAATCACCGCAGGCACGGTTAGAGGAGGCGAACAGATTCGCGAGTTGGGACCGGCAAAGGTGCAGGAAGGGGGTTGCATGGGCTGGCACGGAAACCCTGGGAAAAGGTGCCAAGCGGTCACCCAGTGGGAGGACCTTCCAACCTTGCCGCGGGACAGAGAGTCGGGTCGGGGTCTGCCTGCCGCGGCACAGCGACTGCCTTGCACCCACACGACCAGGCACTCCACCCACCACTGTGCAGACGACCTCGAGAACAGCAGGAGCGCCAGCAGCGGCACCGGTGCTAGTACGAGTACTGTCTCTTCAGTCGTGAGGTCACTTCAGAAGCCTTTCGATGAAGATGCTGTCACGGCCGCACCTGGGATCTTGCAAAGATCCCGACGGACAGCAGCGATCAAGCTAGCTAGCGGCGACAGCGCCAGCCAGTTAGCTTGCCCCGTGGACGACTGACGTGCTGCCAAACCCCCAGCTTCCGACGGGAGGCTTCCCGACTGCCGCACCCAGGCCTCTCATCTCCTTGCCCCCCAGGATCACCCACATGTTGGCCGCTGCAGAAACCAGGCCCCTTGGCAGACGCTGTCACGTTATTAGCTGTGTCCTTTTGTCCTCGATAGAGTTTACCGCAAACCAACAACGTCTCATCTCCTCGATGCGATGCAGTTCGATCCGCCGGGGCTTTTGAGCTCTGCCTGCAGCTACTTGTCCGTCCGTCTCACCGCAAAGAACGCCCGCAGCCATGGATGATGATGAAGATGGCAGCCTCATGTTGCCCCCATCCACACCCTGCCCTCCCACATCCTACATGGACGGTAATGTTGGGCAGCAACCACTGCCGCTGCCGCACCAGCTTCCACAGCAGACCAATGGATCGTCGACTCGACTTGGATAAGGGTTCCACTTCAGACACCTCGACAGCTCGGCCGGAACGATTCGTGAACCTCCAGACACAACCTATGTCGGAGAACTGACCACCCGGCGCACCCAAGCCACGTCTTGGCCAATCCGAGGCTACCGCCCTTTATTCGGCACGACAATCCCTGTACCACCTCGGCGACCTGGTCACGCTCCGAGCGGCTACCACCCGAGGAGAATCAAAACGCTACAAAGCAACGATATGCGAGGGACTACCTATGCTGCTGATGCTTCTGAACAGCCGAGGGTTTTTGCTGCTGCCTGAACGACACACCAGTGCTCATTGCTTGAATTCCGGGGGTTGCAAACATCGCCGCGGCCAGCACCCGAAGCACCCGAGCCTCCCGAACCTCGGAAGTGTCTGTGCAAACATCGGCATGTACGTCGGGGGTTAGCCACCAGGACGGAACTTTCCGGCGGCTGCGATGTTCTGGAAAGATGTCCGGAGCAGTACAGCGAAACCTTAAGTGATACCGGATGGGATGTGGGCACCTTGGGGCGTTTGGTGATGCCAACAAGCAAAGGACCAAATGGCTGCTGGCGTCAAATGGGCGTCCTTGCCATCCCATGATGATTATGGTGGTGCTGGATCGTGATGCAAGGTGTCGGGGAGACAGACTCGACACATTGCCACGCCGGCAGTACGGCACGATGCATGCCACGAGAGCTAGCAGAAAAGATTCTCGTCGATGCACTTGCTGTTTCTGGCATGCGGCACTGGTCCAGAGCGGCATGTGGCAAGCATGCGATTCTCTTTTCGCTTGCGGGTTTGGGGCCTGATGCCGCATACAAGCGAAGCGCATTCTACAGGTTGCTGTGAGAGCGACTTTGCCACCCTGGCTGCACAGTTGGCAACCAGCATTCTGGAAAACTTCTCGAAGGAAATTAAGGTTTCACCCTGCATGCCTGCCACGAGCAGCAAGCAAGTTTCTGCCGAGACGGGGTGGAGTCTTGCTGCTTATCCCTGCGCTACGGAAAAGTGTGTGTGTGTCGTTGGGCGGGCTTTGGGGGGTGGGGGGGGCGTCCGGATCCTTGTCCTCTGCAAGCTTGCATGTCTGCTGGGCCATGTGCTCCCACAAACGGCTGCGGCGCCTAGGCTGTCGTCGATCGGCAATTCCTAAACGTAAGACACGGCCTGGCTTGCAAGCATCGACCAACACTTGCACCAGCGGTTCTGCGACTAGCAGCACAAGTCGGCGCTTGAGGGTCCCACATGACAGCCCGGCCGGAGAATTTTGGCCACTTTGTCAGAGTACATGTCTCTCTGAAGGATGCCAGCTTGATGATCACGTCCGCGTCCATTTAGCTCGCCATCTGCCAGGTGTCGAGACAATTGTCGACAGGTTGCAGCGCGCAGACAGCAAGGCTGTAAGCCAATTGGACACACCGCTGGAGGACAACTGGGGGCAAGGACCACGCACACCCCAGGGCCGCCATGTACCGCGTGCACCCCCATCCCGCTCTCCCTCCTTGACCCTAGTCATGGCCGGCCGCCTCTCCAGCGCACTAGTCCTGCCAAGCACGGTCGCTCGGAGAACGTCCGGAAAACTCAGCGGAGTCTGCCCACAGGGTCAGCCACTGTCAGCCGCCGGCCCCGGAAAATAGGGCTCTCCATCGTGGGCGAGCGCGAACGGGCGCTTGAGCACAAGCTGGCGGCGGCACCTCTGGCTGGCAAAGATGTGGCAGGCAGGAAGCAGGACCGCACACAGACAGGTGACAGCATCTCTGCCGGCGCATGCTGGCGACTCTGGCTGCGCCCGGAACTGCGCATGCCGTGGGTTGTTGCGGCTGACCGCCGTGGGATGGTCCGCGGCGGGAGAAGGGTGGCCGGAGGGAAGCGGAGTTCCGGGCAGGGCCGGCCGGAATGGGGAACCAGGTCGCAGGTACATGGGCATATCCAGACGCATGGGCCGGGGGGCGAGGCACGGATATCCCTGCTGGCCGGATGCCCCCCTGGCGGTTGGGACTTCGGAATCGCGCCGGGTCTTTGGTAGTGGGCCCACACGGCGCATGCCAAGGGCAGCGGCTGCCAAAGCTGCGATGCCGTCTTTTCCGTTTGTATCAACGCCACACCACACACACACGGACGTCGCACACACTCGGACGATCTGCGGTGCTCAATGCTGCCATATTATTAGTCTGCTCGCTGCTCGAGCACGGGTGCCAGATGACTTCGGCAGCGTCCCCCCTGGCTCGCTGGCTGGCTCGTGACACTTGAGGCTGCAGACGCTTGCATCTTACCCAGACACCGCCGCAAAAGAACCTCGTCTTACACAGTTCATGGTCCCCTCTGGCAGTGTCTGAGATTCCATGCACGTCCAGACCTGCTCATCACTGGCCCCTTCTCCCTACAAGTCAGCCACGTGCAGATAAGGGTGCATTGGTGCGTCTCAAGCCTCGAGAGCTAATCTACGCTGCGTACCGCGCACTACCTACACTGCTGCACGACAACCTTGTTGGTCCGTTCACCCCCCACAGACGAGCCTGTCAGCTCTGATCACGCCCTCGAATGGTTCGACGCCTGCAGGGTCGACGCCTACGACATTGTGCTTCTAAGACAGGCGCACGGGGAGATTCTCTCGGAGCTAGTCGTCGTAATGGTTGCAGTCCCCTGGCCTCTGCGAAGACACACAGAGCCCCTAGTGCTCATGACCGCTTCTCCTTTGTCGAGGAAGTCGAGTCAGTGACGCCGCCGCATCACCAACGGCGCCACGTGTTCGAGGAAAGTCGTCGTCGGCGGCCACGAAGCCGCTCGGCTGGTGGCATTGGTTGCTGGCTGTCAGTCCCCACGACACACGGCCAAAGTGGACCGTGATCAGCCCCAACGTAGGTGTGCGCATACCTCTCTCCGTACCTGGTGAGCCCTAAACTTGGCTTTATGGGGCAGCTGCGCTCCTCGGGTTGAATAGCTCTTGGCCATTGGCCAGATCTTGTATCTTGATCTCACCGCCCTGCTTAGGAAGAAGCCCAGGCCAAGCAGGGAAAACCTCGAAAGTCACTGCTTGTATCTGTCCATGCTTCGAAAATGGAATAGCTAGAGACAGTCATCAATGTGTAAGCCATGTAAAGAAAATGTACGCCCAGAAATCGGGCGCCTCGGCAGAGCATTGACACTCAAGGCGGGCGACTCGTATCAAACGTACCTATACCTTTGCTCTTAGCTTCGCTGTCAATCGCCAGTCTTCATCATCTGCAATCAAGGACTGATTAGACCGCTACGCGGGACTCGCGGGACGACAGCCTAGAATCGGGCGGGCATCTTGATGAGGAAAAACATGATAACAATCGCACGGGCAAGACCCCCAGTACGAAGTCACGTATCGTACATGGTTCACATGTGATTCTTGGGTGGATGACAAGTCTGCATGCAATGCCGATGAGCGGTAGCGATGGACCGTCATACTAGAGGGCCCTCTCACTAGACTATACTTGGGAGGTGTGTCTCGACGACGTTGCCCTGTACGTGGAGTGTCAGAACGCCTTCTCGAAATTATCACACTCGGTCCTTTTCCTTTCAGCTCAATACTCGTGGCTGGAGCATGATAGCAAGATGCAGGCACAGTAATTATTTTGAGACCAAGTCGTTGCTGCCTGTGCTCTCATACTCGAGTCCGCTTCCTGGGGGGTGGTTGGCGTAAGCAACGATGTGTATATCTCTTTACCAGGCTTGATTCTAGCTCAGTATCGAGTGGTCCAACGGAACGGCGGATATTTCCAACCCCATAGTTGCCTTTCTTCCGCGCCGAGAATCCCCATCTTCAGGGATAGTGAACTGAAGCGTGCTAGTTGCAAGCCCCGTTTCCAACCTTAGCCCAAGGCATGCCTTTCATTCTCCGTCACTCTTTGCGCCCTTCGTGTTCCGAAAGAAGACAAGTCGTGACTTCGTGTAATATCCAGCCATGCCTTGATATCACTCCCTTCCCTCTCTGTCCCCCACCCCCTGCCTGTCCTCGTCGTGATGGCTGTCCTTGTAATCAATGTTATACGTTTCGCTCCCCCAGATCAGTGGGGGCTGGGCATGCGGCGCATGGACGAGACCCCAGCATTATCGTTCGTCGGTCAGCCCTTTGGTAACAGCTGTGGGCTCCCCGTGTTACTCATCCGAACGGACCCGAAGGACCGCAACGCAGGTGTGAGGTAGTTTGGCCAAGGGCCCCCCCCCCCTTCCCCCCAGATGTGAAGAAAAAAACCCACTGCGGCTTCATGCCCTCCGCCGGCAGCAGCAGCGGCAGCAGGCAAACCCCCAAACACCACAGGGCTGCTTGGGGCCCCCCCTTTTTCGACCCGGGATCTCGGTACTCCCGTGATGCCCTAACATGTTTAAGGGAAAAAAGACCCCTCGCGTTATCCCCATTCTCCTCCCCCCCTCCTCTCTCCCCACTTGGGGTTGTGCGAGCATAAGCCACAGGGCGTTCCGGACCACGAAAGTCCCGTGTCGTTCGTCTCGCCCTGGTCGTGGTCGTGGTCGTGATCGTCGTTTATCGTGCGGGTCCAATCTATTCCTTGTGGCTCTCCCTCTCTCTCTTTCCCACTTTGTCTCTCACTGTGCGGTTGAGTGATCCTTGCTCATTCTTCGTTTGTCCCCCCACCTTAGCATTATGCTTTGGTGCTACATGCCTGTGGAGTGTATTTTCTGTCCGACTTTAGCGTTTTACCCGTGAGTTTCGATTTTATTCCCGCGAGGCCATCGCTGATCAAGGCAAGGGGCGGGAAGGGCGGGAAGGGCCAAGAGGGAAGACCGGGAAGTATAACGGAGTGCCGTTTTTCTTCTTTGGTCCGGGCAGCAGCCAGCCGGCCCCTTGCTAGTCTGCTCTGGCAGCCGCAATGGCGAGCTATCAGCAGAAAGAGAGAGATTCGGCCGGGCATCTTTCGACTTGGCATCTGGACTTGAGGAGCATCCGGGACTTGGCAATCTTGATCTCTGGACACGTACCCGGGTTTTCCCTTGTGCATGTGTGTGTGTGTATGTGTGTGTGGTGAGTGTGAGTGTATCGTCTTCCGCGCGCGGCAAGTGGCGCCAGGGCCAGGGTCTTCCTGGCCTTGAGACTCGACGAGCCTGCCTGCCTGCCCTGTCTGCCTGCCCTGTCTGCCGTGCCTTGTTCCTCTTTGCCCCGTCGGCCGAGGCCGATAATCTCCGAATTGGGTGACTCCGCCTGCGTTCCCGCTCGTAATAATATAACAGAGTGGGTTACCCAGGGGCGGGCCAGAGGTGTAGTGCATGGCCGCCCGCCCCTGTACCGAACTGTATGTACTTTTAACCGTTCGGCGGGATCGACTGACCTGATTAGGTATGAATAACCTGACAAGGCAGGGGAGGGGAGGGGAGGGAGGAGATCCCCGTACCCAAGCCAAGAGCGGGAACAACACGCAAGGGGAGGAGGAGTGGGCGGAAGAAAAGGGCCCCCAGCCCAGATGCAGATGGCTCGTTCACATCGTTTCAAACTGCACAAGAAAAGGCTGCATTAACTACTGCGTACCTGCTGGTACTGGCCTGGGCATGGACAAGGGGGAGGGGGGTCGGGACGGCATATGTGGGTGGAGGGTAGCAGCATACCGTTGCGGGTGTGGTTTCAGTGTAGGGCATAAGCCTTTTCTTCTTCTCCTCTCTCTTTCTTTTTTTTTTCTGCGCGTTGCTCTCTGTCTCTCATCCTCATTGCTACTTTATTTAAGGTTTGATATGCTTGCTCGGTCGACGTGCCTGATCCTGGACCACCCCTGGATGTCTCTGTCTGGTGGAGCTCTCGTGATCGCTGCTTGCCCACGGGCGGGTGTGTGTGGGGGGCCGTTTCGTGGGCAGAAGTACCATGACGGCATATCTCGCTGCTCTTATGGACCTGCTTTTTTTGCGGAGGGCTGGCTGTGTGGGTGAGTGGGTGAGTAAGTGAGTGGTGGTACCCATGACATCTGGCCCGTGTGTGTGTGTCTGGGTGTGACGCGCAAACCCTGTCGGTGGTTTTCATCATCTTTGTGTGTGTGTGTGTGTGAGGCTGGCGATGGGAGCCTGCAATCTTTCACGTAATGAGATCAACGATGAAGTCGCCAAGCTTGTGGGGGCTTATTCAGCCCAGCCAGGTCCTCGTTCACCCGATCAAGGGACTTCCTGGGTAACTGGCTCACTGTTACGACGGTGGAACCAGTGGATATGATGTAGGGGATAAAGAGTGAAAGGGGGGGTGGTAGCAGTAGGCCAGATGAAGCCATTCCTTACTCTTCAAGCCACCAAGATCAGTGTACTACGTACAAAATGTATCAACCAAACTTTAAATGGCGGTTTGCCGGCTATTCGAACGGCCCCCTTTGAAAACCAGGGGCGGATAATGGAATGCGCGTTTGCAAGGGCTTCGTTGCCAGATGCGGCATACTCATCGCGACGAGGAGGAGGAGGAGGACGACGACGACAACGACGACGATAGCGATGACTCTCATCCATGCAGTATCTGGAACATGGTTCCCCATGGAATCATGTTCACGTGGACATGTTATCAGTGCTGAGAAGCAGCTAATATTCACAATGTAACGTGTCTCCCACATCCTACAAGTCCATCGAGGTGCTGGGACATGGGCACACACGACGGGCCGATATCGTGGGATAAACGCCTTGCTGGCATCGCAGGGCAACTCGAATGGCTCAAAGCAAGACGCGCTAGGACCAGGGCTGACCAGAGCACATGAGATTGGCGTGGTCTCTTGAACACCATCGCAAATCCGTCTGGGCCCAGACTCCACTCAGAAGCGGCTCCCTTGACGGAACAACCAGGCATGGCATGGCCACTCGTTAGTGACGTCAAGGGACAATGGATAATCACAGCCCAGACGTTCCCGTGGGAGTAACCAACGCACCTGACTGGTGGGATTTCTCATCTTCAAGTGAAGAGAGGTGCTCCATCACCTCCGCATAGGCAGTGGGCCACAGCATTGCCTGGTCAGGGGGCCTTGCTTGCTCATGATGCCCATTGTCGGGGCGACCACCGCAAGATCGAGATGTGCTTACGTTTCTTTTTTGGATCGTTGCCAAGGCGAATCGAGCGGCATCGAGAAGAGTCGAGACCGGCAATCGACTGAACGGGCTCATCAAGCAGATCACAACCATTGGTTCGACCCTGCACTTCCCCGCAAAGCACGTTGAGCCTCGAGATCATGACTCAGGGGGGATCATGGATGGATTCCCCACCCGCCCCAGCGGGAGAACTGCCGAGCCTATGACGTCGTCATGCCAGGGACGCGGTGATAGCCTCAGAGTGCGTTGGGACACGTGGTGAGGCTCTGCATACCCGCAGGGTGTGTGGTCTGGACAGATTACCGCCAATCGATCTGACAGAGGCTTTGCATTCGAATGTTGTTCGCGTTATGACGTGGCTGGCACTTGTCAGTATGACACAAAGTGAGGCTATCACAAGGTCCTGCCTGCGTTGGCGGGGGATTTCGTTACCGGAGGCAGATCAACAGCCATATGGCGTGCTCAAAGTAGCTCTGAGGTCTCGGTGGGACGAGTCAAGCAGCCCGTATGCCTCAGAGGGAGCTTCAGCTGATTAGTATCATTAACGGTTGCGCCATGATCGTGGTCTTGCTAGGTGACCGGCGTGATCTTTCCTCACATATGTGCCCGCCGGCTCGATGCGTCACGTTGGTGGTATGTTGGAGAACACCAATCAGTTGCAGTAGCCAAGCTGGATTGAATGGCGCACATTATGTTCTGGCCGAATCCCTGTCCCATTTCCAGCGATGGCACGACTTCTATATGTGTGCTTCTGTCGATAGAGTCACGGACTGCCTTGAGGACGAAATACTCGACCACGAGGGGGAATGGCGACGGCCCCGGCCCGACTGGTGACGAGGCAGAGAAGTCCATAATGGAGCTTTGCGCAACAATCTGGACTGGAAAGACATATTGTGAATCGTGTACACTGCGGCATCTGACAAGCTCTGACCTCGCTGCCGACAGCTCAGTGCACAGTTCTCAAACTGTTGGCGTTATTGTGGCATGATACATGCGCAGGTTGGCTATGAACTGCTTGGTCGTCGACTTCAACCAGACGAACAATGGCTCACCAATCTGAGGAACCAGATCGCTCCCGGTGTGGAATGTATTTTCATTGGAAACAACTGCGAGTAACCGTTGGTAGCCACGTCTCCATGTATGAACCATATTAGCTGTGGCATACCTCGCTGGTGGCAACTTGCAGAAACTGAAACATGTCAATAATTAATCCCCAACGGCTTCGTGGACCTACGTGATCACACTACGTAATACTCTACACGCGAGATGTTGCCGTGGAGGGGGCGGCTTATAATAATCTCACCGCAATGTTATCGCCAAGTCGGCGAACGACACGCCTCATCGCACAAGCCCGAAGTTGGCGAATCAAGCTTGGCTTTGACTCTGGCAAGCTTCATTTGACAAGTTCCAAGATTCAGGTACTCTGGTTCTTGTACCGTAAGTTGAGTACATGTAGTTTGTGGACGACTGCCCAGACTGCTTTGTGTTATGCTCAGGTGTATGATACATTCGCGGCCCCGGGTCAACAAAGAGTTCCTGACATATGATGTAGCCGAATTGCACTGCGTATATTGATCGTACAAAGCACGCTGCCGCCAAAGCTTCTCGCCAAAAGTCTGCAAAGTAGATGGTGTCGCTCAGTGTAGATGTCGAATTATCGATGGCAGAGGCGCCTCCACAGCGTATGAGTGATATCACGCATGGCATGTATCTGAGAGAATCTCCGGATATAGACTTGTAGCAGCTGCTTGTAGACTGTCACCGAGTCTTCGCGCAGATACAACTGTAGTAAAGAGTAGTATCATCTAGCTCAGGTGGCAAGTATCATCCAGGGGCAAAGCGACCGCTGGAAAAGAGCACGGCATGATCTCCAAACTGACAGATGCTCAACGGTGAGAACAAAGCGTTTCTTTACCAAGTAAAGAAGCCGAAATCTCGGGCAGCTTTACCCTTTTCTTTTGCCTATTTCCATCTGACGAAGGCCAGGCGAGAGTCAAGGGCCTTCGGAGGTTCTTGACCTAATCAATATGGCATGTGGATGTACCGTTGGTTGCAAGCTTCCGCATTGGCAACACAACGCCAAATGCCTTTCTCTTTGATGTCTACAAGGTCGACTCGTCATTCTTGGGGCCTTGACAGATTTACCCTGGCTCAAACCCTGGAGCAAAAATAGGCTCGAAATTGGTTTCTGTTGTGCTCATCCAAGCCCACGGCAATCTTTTGGCGAATGGGACGAAGGGGCATGACTCTGATAATCGCGGCACGTTCGTGTCTCCCATATGCGAGCTTTCTTGAGATATATTTGGCTGCAATGTGCATGGTGGCAGATCATATAGGGCGGAGACGTGTGTGAGGATGGTTACACAGGTGACGAGATTATGTTATTGCGCCTCGCAGCCAGGAATGAGTACGTTCGAAGACTACAATATGGTACGCTACATGCAGATACTGAGAGAGGATGCGCACGCGTCGTGTACTTGTACCTGAGATATGTATTTTCCGTGGCAGCCAAAGTGCGTGCCACGATATTTGCCTCAGGCAAATCTGGGGTACGTGGAGGTCGTTCGCATGACGTAAGCGTCCCGTAAGCGTCCCTGCCATCATGCGTATTCTGATTCGGAAGGAGCAGCACCATGCCACTTGGATTTGATTTCGTTTTCTCTCACACTCTTTCCACAGCACGTAGCGCAAACACTCTACACAGCAACAAAAGGGTCGTTGGCGCCAGCGCTGCTTGCCGGAACGTTCATCCAGCATGGGCATTGGCCGCAGCACAACATCATTCATACCTTTGCTACCGCTTGTGATGAAGGGCAATTTCCACCTGATTCCCAAGAGGATGGCTAACGAACCCCCGGGCCGCAGTCCCATGTAACTTAGCCGACGGTCGTCGAGGGAACGAGGAAGCTTCCACGATCGTTCCACCCCACACGCCCAATATCGGGAGCCCCGCCCAGTGCAACAAGCGGCCCAGCCGGAACACGGTCCGCGCAGGTTGCTCAGGGATCCCTTGAACCTGGGGTTCTTGCGCATCCGCCCGGTACGCTGCTGACGTTTTAATGAGGTGTCTATTCGAGCGAGCCTTCGAGATGCTCTCGATCCGGCTACTTGTGCGCACTGGCTGGGCCGTCGTCTCCTGTTTGCAGCAGCATGTCCGAGACCAGCAAGCAGACCTTTCATCCAACGATGCCATGACTGCTCAGATATAACACTCGGGCTATGAAACTGCATATGCTACAGCTCACAGGCCCTGGCTGCAGGCGGCCCACATGGCAACCTCATCAATTGTCAATGTGGATAGAGTCTAGAAACACTACGACCCAGGATGCGAAGCGCGAGAGAAAAAGCTGGCGTCACCGCTGGCTCAGGCCGACCTTTGCGCAGCAGCTGGGGGCCGGAGATTGCAATCTCGTCGGCAGGCTGGCCAGATTGCAGGCGTTGGCCATTTTCCCACTCGGCGCACGCTTGAACACCTGAAGGATCCATGAGGGAATCCCAGAAAAGGCACAATCCCAGGCCAAGCAACCACGACAAACCTGGCACATCCTCAGGACTGTTTGGTATGCCAGCTCGGTGCGATTAGGGGCGTGTGCTTGTTGACCTCGGCCCACTGCCCAAAACCACTTTGCCAGGGGGGCTGTCGGGTCTGCGCCTGGAAAGGTTGCTCGGTGTGAATGCGCACCACGGTGCAGTCGTCGGTGGCCGGGAGCACAGGCTTATCTTCCACGCCTTGTCCGACCAAAGAAGGGCGCCGTCGCGCTCGGATGGCCTGCCGCCGGGGGACTCGGGCTCTGTCTGAAATTGTGCGACCTCACTACGTAGTGGGCGTGCTGTGCGAATCATGGGCGAAGGGGGCAAAAGGCCCAGGGCACAAGACACCGGTCGGCCACAGCGTCCAGGAGTGTGTGTATGTTGAGACGGCGGCCGGGCTGCCCCTTGTGGCCGGCCTCCCTTTGATTGTGCGTCGCGTTCCCCTGGCTCCAAAGGGGACTAACGCGGAAAGCTGCTCCAGGTTTCCCCGGAGGACGGCCCCAGATTGTCACTCATCGCCCCAGCGCAACGGGGAGCAAGCAGGCCGGCCAATCCATCTGCTGCCAGCAACACACCCAAAACCGCCGCCATAGGTAGACGACACGTCAACAGGCACACAAGCCAGCCTGGCTGTCCAATAAATAGGTCGCGGTCCGGCTCTCTCGTCAGACTTTGCGCACTTCCAGGCAAACATATCCTCCATCCTTGCCGACCCAGCCCACGCCAGATCACGACACGTAAGTCTTGCCCCCAGCCAGGTTTTACACCTCATCAAAAGCCTTCACACCCAACGCAACGTGGCCAGCATGTCTGCCTGTGTACCCCCACGGACGGCAGACTGCCCCAGGCAGGCATCTGCCCTCGGACTCAAGTATTGAGTTGGGGAGCACAGCACCCTTCTGGCCCAGTCCCCAGGCTTCCAAATCAATAGACTCTGGGCTTTCCCCAGTTCCTAGCAGCGGGCTTGCTTGCAAGGCGCACAAGGACGCCGTTCTCTCCGTGTCGGGCGTTAGCACGGCACGGATGCAGCAATCTGCGTGCACACCCACCACCCTCCACACGGGAAGCCACTTACACGAGCGCCCACGCCGTCCGGCTCGCATCATTGTTAATACATGCCAGCACGCTTCACACCCGCTCTTGCTGATTGTCCTTCATAAACAGGCCAGACCCGCCTCCTCCTCCCCAACACTTCATCGACTGCCTTTTCCTTGTCCCAGACCAAACCTCGAGACCACAACCACCACATTTCGGACACCATCGACATTAGCTTGCTCGACACAGTTGTAGGCACACTTTGATGGCAACAACATGCAGGCTGACAATATGCTAACAAGATCTTCTTCTCTCTTTCCAGACTGTTATCCTTGGCAACCCGTTCCCACTCGACATTCACCTCCACAGATCCAATATGCCTGGCCAAATCATTGCTCCTATTCCCATCTCGCCCATGCGCAAAGTGCGCCTCGGCCAGCCAACAGTAGACTTTGCGAGTCTCAACCTCAGCTTCTCGCCCGCTCCAGTCAGGAGTATTCAAGAGCAGGACTGGCACGTCCCCGCGCCTCCACCACCCAGCCCTATTGGCTTCCGGCCTGAACATTTCGAACGGTCACTGCCCGTGCTTCAATAAGTCGATACAATATCGATGTTCCGCCACACCACTGCTTCCGGCTTGACCGGGGCCTGGGTTGGCCTGGAAAAAGATATTCGGAGCACGGCTCAAAGCCGGCGTTTCTGTCACGATTATTGCTCATCTCGGACCACTCGCCACGCCGTCTAGGTCGTGTCATGTGTGCTAGCTGCTCCGGCTGACAATGGTATTTGGTCTCTCGGAGTTTGGTGCCCGCTTCCGTTTTTTTGGGTCTCAACAGCACCGTGTTGTTCCCGTTTCTTTTTTCGGTGGTGTTTTTCTTTTTTTCTTTTTGGTTCTTTGGATACAAGCACACTTTTGGGTGGGAAAAGTCGATTGGAGTTCTTAGAGTGGAACACAGAGTTTGCTCGCGCAGAGAGGCCCGTGTTGTGGTAGCCTCCCCGGAGGTAGTGTACATATTTACGTCAGAAGCGACTATTCTACACAACTCTCGAGACATGACGATTCTTGGTCACATCATGATTACCCCAATCATGTTTCTTGCCCATCGCCATCAGAGAAAAGGAAAGAAAAGAAAAAAGAGACTCGTGCTGTGCCTAAAGGTTACTCATCTCACAGCCACAACATGCACTCGCCGGGCTTATCCTGAGCATACACGAAACTCTGTCCCCAGATTACGTGGGGTTGGTGAGGCCAGGCTTTTTGCGGGATCTGCACCCAAATGCATCTGCAACAAGCAAAAACAATGCAAGACATGTTCATGCCCGCACACCCACTTTCCGCAAACTCGTTCCTGGCTAGACAGCGCCAAACCTAATCCATTCCGGAGTCCCCCCACCACCCTTCTTCCACCTCCTCACCACTCAGCTCCCCAACCTGTATAGCGAGCACACCGTCCTCTTTCCCCGAGGCGTTCCGCATTCCTCCACAAGCAGCGCTGCCTTTTGTGCTTATTTGGTCAACATGGAGCGAATCAGGACCTGCCAGTTCAAGACCTTCGGGCAAGACATGCGAATTCTATGCCTCTGGATCTTTGAAAGTGAATTGAGATCAGCGATTCGAGGGGATTCACAGCGCCCCCCTTCCCCCTGCCCCAATCGTGCACCATGATCTGGAACATGCGGCTAATGGGCAAATGCATCCGGCACGTTGAGATGTGGTTGTCGGTCGAAGCGCTTGTTTTCCATTGGGTGGATGGCGAATACTTGTCCCCCCCCCCCCACCCCTTGTCAACTCCATTGTCCTCACCACAGAGCCATTGCGTCTCTTGATGCAAGGTGTGCTTGGGTCAAAGTCGGACCTGGCTCAGACTGGCCTGCTTGTCTTCTGTACTCACGAACACAGGAGGGTGCACAGACTATGTACATGACGATGGTCTTTGGGTGGTGTGCTTATCTGGTTTCTGTTGATGATTCTTGGCAAGAAACCCTTTTTCTATGGTTTTACATGTCCCAAACCGGATAGTGCATGGGAGAGACAACTCCGGCCGCCCTGGGGAGAGACCTCGAGAAAGGGCGCTGTGTAGGATGTTATCAGGACCTTTGGAAGGAAAAAGAAGGCTTTCCGCTGGCGGCGCCCCTCGCGTGGGGGTTTCCGGCTGCTCTCAGACATGCACATCATCAGGAAGAGGTGGAGATGGCAAGACAAGGAAAAACCAACCCATCGTTGATAAAACCTTGAACTTGTGCATGTGTGTGAGAGATAAGTCAAGAAAGACATGGACACCATACGCCGCCCACCCTGCTGAGCTGGCATGTCGGGCACCTCTGAGAGAACTGCAGACTGGAAACGCGAGGATTTTCCGTAATTCGAGGTCTTGCTTGAGTTCCTCTTTGCGAAGAAACCCTATTTCTGTTGCCATCGAAGATCGTGACGACATACAAACATGCAGTACACCAGGTCGCTCTGAGCAAGCAGGCAGAGCTGCTGAGGGTTGGCGAGGGGTGTTGTCGTCAAGTTGGGGAGTCTGGATGTCCGCAATCTCGAAAATGCAGGCGGAGAGTAACGTCACGGAAGCTTTGAGAATTGCTGGACACGGCCAACCTGCTCCGGCGGCAGGGCAACCATGCTGCTTGTGTCGTGGACGAGCTTGATGGCGTCGGGCAGCTTATCCAGGCATTCATGGTTACACAGAAGCAATAGGGCGGCTGTGCAGACAAGAAGTCGTACTTTGTCGGAAACTTCACCGTCACGAATTTCAAAGAGTGATAGCTCCTTATCCAATGCAGTGCCATGGCTGTGCGTTTCGTGATGTGAAGGTTGGTGGAAAATGACAGGACCAAGTGCTCCCCCACGGACGGCTCCCTGCACAATCTGAGGCTAGTCCCGTTGAGGCGGGCTCGCGCCAATCGCGCGGGTACGTACCGCGTCCCGTTTGGGCGTACTTTACGCGCAGCGACGCGCTCCTCGTCGCGTCCCCGTTGATCCCTGCACGACTCCACGCGCGTTTCTGGTTTGTGCCCTTGTCAGTGCAATCACAGCGTCCCCGCCCAGTGCCTCGACGCCCTTGCTTTAAGTCTGTGCTTGTGCTCAAAGTGCTTCGCTTGTCTCCATCCCTCACATGGACAGACAGACAATCTGTGAACAATCCATCTTCCATCCAAACCACGCACATTCCATTCCTGCCACAAAGGTCCCATCTGGCCTGCCGCAGATCGCAACTTCCACCACCAACTCGCCGCGCTTGCCAAACCGTCAGACACCGTGCCTTCCAGCCTTTGCGGCCCATCACAGCCCCGTTGCCCCGACGTCGCCATGCCGGCAGCTACCAAGATGCAGCGACGGAAGGCTCAGCCATCAACTAGACTGTCTGGCAAGAACACGCCTCTGCAGCAGCACAATGCCTCCATGAACATTGGAAGCTTCGCTCGAGTCACAAAAGCCGTCAACGTGGCTGCCAAGGACATCGATGCCAAGCCCGCAATCACCACAGCAGCGACCGTCGAGGTCAAGCTCCCCGCCTCAGCCACCCTTTCATCAAGAAAGCGCAAGACAGCCGCGACTTCCGACGACGAGTCATCGCCACAGGAGCGTGCCTCCAAACGCATCTCATCAATCTCCAAGCCGGCTGCTGCTTCATCGTCTGTGACGACCAAGCGTGCGGCTCGGAGCACCCGCGTTACTTCAACCACCGCGCCACAGCAGAGTCCTCCCAAGCCCGCAGCACCACAACGCAAGCGAGGCAGGAGTCCCAGCCCGTCCTCCGCTTCCGAAGAGGAATCGGCAATCGACACTGGCGCCCTCTTCAAGAGACTCCGTCTCGAGGCCTCGCCCGCACCCGCCACGCCGCCGCTCACGCCGGACGCCTCTGGCATCTCGGACAGCGAGAACACGCCAGACATCCTGCCTGACGAGGTCCTCGACCTGATTGACCTGCACACAGCTCTCCTCAAGACTCTGACGCTGCACTACGCGCACAATGGCCCGAACACGCCTGCGGACCTGCGCAGACTTTGCCCAGATGTCGCCCGTGCGTGGCGGAGGAGGAAGGTGACCGAGGCCGAGGTCCAGACTTGCATCGGCGTCTTGGCCACGTCAAACGCCAAGCAGCCCTTTGTGCTTGTCGACTACGGCCACAACAAGATCTGCATCGAGCTCGAGCAGTCGTATAGCAACTCGATGTTCAACGATAGAGAGCTCAACAGCCGTTTCTACGAGAACTTGTTTTGCCTCTGGCGCAAGTTCTGCAGCAGTGACGAGTCCTTGAACAATGACGGCAAGGTTTTCTTCGATAGCCTTCCCAAGGCCATAATCACAGTGTCTGAGTCGTTTACCAAGGCCGCTCCCATCTTCGCCAAGGGCCAGCAGCGCCTCGAGGACCTGAAGCAGGGCATCGCGGCTAAGAAGCTGGAGAAAGAATCCCAGCAGCAGCAGCAAAGCACCGACACACCGATGTCCAACTCGGACGGCACAAAGATGTCCCTGCTCGACCGGATCCGCCAGAAAGCCCTGCAGAAGGCCCAGGCTCCTGCGGGTCTCACTCCCGCACAGCTCGAGCGCCGCGCCGCACTCCAGCGCGCAGTCGACGTGTCTGCTCTGGTTGGCATGCTCAGCCGCGCCACGGCCAACGGTGGTGGTGGTCGCATGTCCTTCACCATGACGGCTATGCTTGAGAAGCTCAAGGACACATTCCGCATGGGCATCTCCCGTGAGGAGGGTGCCGCCTGTGTCAGATTACTGGGCAAGGAGATCGCGCCTGAGTGGATCAGGGTCGTTGTTGTAGCCGGGCGCGAGAATGTTGTCATCGACACAAACCGCACGATGGGAAAGATTGACATTGAGAGACGGGTTCAGCAGCTGTTGTGAACCAGATTTGGAGTCTGAATCATTGTTACGGAGTCTGCATTGTTGAATTTTTCTCCATTTCGAGCATGGCGTAGCATTTTGTACTGGGCTTGGCCGTCCAACTGGTTTGCATGGAAGATACCACTAGCTTGGCGAATCGATTCTGTCCTGTTTCATAAATGCCCGTCACGTTCGTGGCTGTTCCCAATGTTCGTTCAGTGGTCGTGATTAAGTTGCCTAAGGCAGGGGCACCCTCGCAATTCGGATGGCAATTGTCCTGGAGCTGACTTCTTCTATTCTTCTATGTAGAAACAACGCCAAAGGTGCCTGTGGCGACCGCCCTGAACCAGCCCAGCTCCTGTAAGCCAGATTTGAGCGCTATGGAAACTTCTGCCAACTAGAGGGCAATCTGGGGTTAACCTGTGCGACAAAATGGTGGTGCCCGAGGCGGCACCAGTTCACTCGGCCCTTCTGACCAAGCCATATGCACTTTTGACCAAGTGCAAACTCATCAATCCACCAAAGCTAATCATTCTGTCTCAATGATATAATCGGCCCAAGGTGGAATGGCGCCAGCAAAGCTGCCGCGTGATATAATGTCGCTTGTTTTTTTGTTTCTGTTGCTTTTGTTTTATTTTGTTGGTAAACGAATTGACCGTCTACTTCTTCTTGTTGGGGAACTTGGGCTCGCCGATGCCCGTGCCGCGGAGCTTGACGTTGAGCACGCGCTCCATGGAGGACAGGACCTTCTGGTCCGGCGCCGCGGAGCCCCGCTCAAAGTCGGCGATGACGGTGGGTGTGGTGTTGCACTTTGTGGCGAGATCCTTCTGGGTCATCTTGGGCTCCATGGCCTGGCGAGCCTTGGAGATGACGGCGCCGACGTCCTTGCCGATGGTGTTGGGCTTGATGATGTCGTCGGACCGGTCGACCTTGGTGAGTCGCTGGCCCTCAGGACCCTTGCCAACCTGTGTTGGAAGATGGTTGTCAGCAGGTGTGCTTCGAGATGTCAGAGAGCATTGGGACGACGTCGACGACGCTGGATCGGAATGCTGACGCAGGGTGGCGCGTGGAGCGAGCGATTTTGAGGAGAACGCCCACCGCCTGCTTCCCGCACACACACACGCTCAGCCAGCCAAGACGACCGGTGGCATCAGAATAGTACTTACAGCATTGCCTGTCGAGAACTTCTTCTCCGTGGAGATGGCTGCACCGCTGCGCTTGGCGGCGTTGAGGGCGCTGGCGCTGCGAACGACCGTCTCGCGTGCGGCAGCAGGGCCCCGCACGCTCTTGCCAATCCGTGTGACGTTGTCCCAGTCATCCATGGCTGCGGTGTTTTGTTGTTGTGGTGATCGTGTGTTTGGGTGAGGTTGATGGTGGTGGTGATATGGCAAAGGAGTCGTTCTGTCGTGTGCCTGGAATGACGATGCAGTCGTCTGACGATGGCGAGTATGGTTTTATGGGCTGGGAGTGGCGGGACGGGGCTGAAAAATAAGGGTGCGGCTTGGTCGATGATGTAGGCTGGCGGGTAGAAGGCCATCGAAGGGAGGCACGGGCGGGCTGGACTCGGCGGTGGGGTTTAGTCAGAGGACGGCCAGGCGCGGCGGGCTGACTCAACCGGGGAAGCCGCCTCCCTCCCACAGCACGCCGGCTGAGCCAGAACGAGGCTTTGTCCTGTGGCGGTGCTGCTGGTGGAGGCCTGCCCGCCATGGCTTAGCCCCGAGCGGGCGCGACTCTCGTCAGAGTCCTGTCATCCTGTCCTGTCATCCAGACAACTAATTAAGGAATACTCCCGAGAGCGCTTGTCAATGATTTGTCTCGAGTTGTATGGCTCCATCATTTTAGTTCTGTGCGGAAACCCGGGTCGTGGACCATCAAACCCATCGCCTCAGCTTTGTATTGGGCGTGCGATGCGCCAAGGCACGAGTCCCTGCCCCAACTTCGAATCAATACGAGGTGAGATGTCTTGTATTCCGAGGGGTTCCTAGCACAGGTTGACAACTCAGATGGCACACTGCCGAGACCGGCTCCCCCTTTTGGTGCTGAGATAACAACCTGGCGACAAGACCAGGCACGGCAATTGACCTCACAGCCCATCACTTGAGTTTGCAGCGGGCTGGGCAGGCAGGATCATCTTGCTTCCCCGGCCACCATATGGAATCTGGAGATGGCACTCGACCGCTCCACAAAATGCCATTTCACTAACAATTAAATCATGCCCATTAAAGAGACTGCACTTATTAGTGGAGTGTTCTTGCCTTTCATCCAATCTAACTGATTGAATGTCTATCGATTAACAGTTGCGTTGTCTGAGCTACATGCTCCATGAATTCAGAGATTAGCGTCTTGGCGCCTCGAGTGCCACCTTCAGATTCCAAATGGTGCCCGGCCCATGACAGTGAACTGCACCTTGACGAGTGGGTTCTTCTCCTGATCACCAACATCCTGGATGCGGTGCCCACGCCTGACGTATGCGGGCGGAAGCTTGTGGGCCCCACCAGAGCTCTCCTCCCACGACCCCGCCTTCATGAGTGCTGGAGTCTAGTCCATGACGGCGGACAGACAGCACAACAAAGTGCATAACCTTTTGCAACCAGGTATACTATAGGAATGCTGAGCGTGAAGAGCCCTGGAGGGTTCGGGACTTGTGTATTCCGGTCTGACAGCTCCGGCTGCGCGGCTGGCAACTCGACCGCGCCCGTCAATCGTCTGCTTATGAGCCAGGTGCGGATGGTCCTTCCGCACGTACGCATACGGGGTCGCTTCTGTTTGTTCAGAGCTCCCCTGGATGCGACCCTGACAATGCCGCTTGATAAGGAGAATGAAACCTGGGGCTCGGTTGTACGGAAAGTCCCTGGTTGGATTCGGTCCGCCATCGCCAGCCTCCAATGAAATGCTTGGGACGTGCGTACCTGTGCCTGTAAGCTGCTGGCAGGCGTCATCTCCTACAGCGCGCGAGATGATTTGGAATTGAGCTTCCACGACGCCAACAGCTGGAAGCGGGCCACCAAGCGCACAGCACCACCAGGAAGGAGGAGCTGTTATTAGATCACCATGCAGCGGCTGCAACATTGTGCGGCGGCAGCTGCGGCCGCTCATTCCGACCGTCCCTCCCGCCAGCAGTTATAAAACAAGAAGGTTTCTCGCCCGAGTCTGCCTTCCCCTCTCTGCCCTCCATCCTCTCCTCAAGCTCACCCCCAGTCAATTGTCTGAAGAATTGTCCACATCATCCCCTCCAACCCAACACCAGCAACAATGGGTCTCTCCGGTCACTGCCTCTGCGGCGCCGTCAAGTACACTGTCGACGCCGACCCCCTCATCGTTGGCTACGACCACTGCGATGACTGCCAGCGCCAGAGCGGCTCCACATACTGTTCGTCAATCCCACAGTCCTGACCAGTTCCCAAGCCTCGCACTTCTGTTGTATGGAAGCTTGGTATTGCGACCCACGTACTGACCTCGCCTTCCACCTGTGGCAGCTCTCGTCGTTGTTGTCCCCAAGGACAAGCTCGAGGTCAATGGCCCCACCAAGAGCTGGGCGGGCAAGGGCTCCTCCGGCAAGGCGGTCCACCGCATCTTCTGCAGCGAGTGCGGCTCGCCCATTGCCCATGACCCCGATGCCGCCCCCGAGATCATCGCACTCAAGGGTGGTACTCTCAGCCACGAGGACAAGCTCAAGCTCAAGCCCGTAAGAACAATTCTCCATCCCCGGCTTGTCGTGTCGGATTATATTGCATTGGCCAGTCGACTAGTAGTTGGAATTGACTTTGTGCTGACATTCGACTTTCGCAGGACACCGAGATCTGGACCGTCGGCAAGCTGCCATTCTGCCAGGAGAAGCTCGCCAAGCCTTTTACCCACATGCCCGAGTAGTCGGTCGATAACCTGCAGCAAGGACTGAATTAGTCTATGACAAAACGAAATTGAAATCATTGACAAAGTAAATTCCGGCTGAATAGTGACCTTCTGAATGATCTTTCCCTCCGTATGTTTGGCGCCAGCCCGCCTCAGGCCTGCTGGTACGAAGGACCCGAGAACGACAGCCACAAAGGCTCGTGAGATTTGTGACAAAGTGGCAGCTCGTACGTTGATCGGCACCATCCTCTTGGTCAAGACCATGGGGCAATTGGCGTACCATTTCGGCAGGGCAGGTCCGCCTTGTCGGGGCCGAGGCTCTCGTCTCTAGCGTGCGTCCATCATAATGTCGGGTCGTGATAGAAATTCAATCCAAGCAGAGCAGAGGCGAGCCTGCACATAGCTCATAGGGCTGACATGACATGAGATGTCGTTGAAATAAACTCGTTCCCACGGCTCAATCACAAAGAACAAGGGGACAAGGTAGGGTGTCATATTTGGGTCGCTGGTCGTGCGTGGGCGGGGCCTTCTGAGGACCCGGATGGACAGCCAGCTCCGCGCATCTGCTCGGGAACACAATCGATCAGATTGCCCAATTGGCCATCAAGGTGCGTTCCGCTCAGCCTTGAGAAGACCGCGTTTGGTGTGGCTGGTGAGGGTTGTGCGCTTCATTAATTAGGCATGGCAGTAACTACAAGACGAGCCCCTGTAGGCAGGCCAGCCAGCATGCACTCCCAATTGATCACGCCCTGATGAGTATGGCTCGGGACATGGCGATAATTGGAAAGGCTCGTTTATTGTGTCTATTGCTTGAACGAAGCCACGGTGAAGACTGTGGCCGTTGCATTAGGTAAAGGTGGTGGGTATGTCGTTTTGGGGGGTCCCAACGTTCCTATTCTCATTACAACATTACTCTCTCCTCCCTCGTGGCCCGTTCTCCTTTCATGCTCATTAGGTATGTTTTTCGTGTGTAAATGCTGCAATTCCACCTCTGCGCCTCGTCGTGTCCAGCTTCCCAGCTTGGGCGACAGACGACACTCGTACTCCGTCGACATGAAGAGGATGTCTATCACAACGCAGCAACCATGGCGCCGCCAGCAACAGCAAGGAGAAGTCCCTTGACACCAGCGCCCGCCGTGGGAGCAGCCATGCCAGGGGCCGAAGTCGTGGAGATGGTCGACTGCTGGTTACTGCTGGGGCTGCTGCCGCCAGTAGTACTACGGGACGCGGTTGTCCCGGCCGACGAGGACGAGTCGGAGTCGGAGTCACTAGCCGTCAGCGTGAGAGTGAGACCGCCGCCCGTAGCGGTGGCGGCCGTGGCGCTTCCCGTGATGGCGCCGGCACCCCACGACGAGCCCGAGGGCGTAAAGTACAGGCTGACGGCCGGGTCGCTGGGCTTGGCGTCGCGCGAGGTGGTGGCGCCGGTGCTGGGGTACGGGGCGACAAAGTCTGCGCTGGAGAAGAGGACCGGGAACGGGGCCGTCGGCGTGGCGGCGGCGCCGCACAGCTCGGAGCTGGCGATGACGAGGGCGGCCTCGAAGTGGGCGACCTCGCGCTCGGAGCGGGCGCCGTGGAAGACCTGGCACGCCTGGCAGCCGCGCCACTGGGAGAAGAAGGTGCTCCCGCACATGCACTGGGCGTGGGCCTCGAGGGCCAGCGGCGAGGTGCCGTTGGGCTGGCACAGGCCCTCGATGGTCTCGACGGCGATGCAAGGGGGCACGACAAACGCGGAGCTCGTGTCGGCGTCCTCGGCGAGCGGAGGCCGGCACACCGAGTTGATGTAGTCCTCCTGGGAGGAGGAGGCCTGGCGCGGGGAGACGAGGGCCGACGCGCTGGCGGCGGCCGTGAGCAGCGCGAGGCTGGCCAGCGAGGCGTGCTTCTTGGTGGATGTGAAGGCCATGATTTCTTTCTTTCTTTCTTTCTTTCTTTCTTTCTTCGTCTTCTTCGCCGTCCGTTGTGGTTCTCGTGGCGGCGCCTGAGGCTTGTGTGAGAGTGGGCTGCTTCGCTTGGATAGCGTGGCTTGTGTGCTGTGTAAGGGAGGAAGCCGAATCGACGAAGCGATGGAGGCGGCAGCTCTTAAGAGTGTTTATTAGAGGGGCGACGAGTATCGGCTCGCGGCTACGGGAACCGACGACCGGAAGGCACACACTAGGCAACAGAATAACTTATCGACGATGCGAAATGCCCCTAGTCGCGACCGACATTTGGCCAATTTTTCCGCCCTGCCGCCGACCAACAACCTTACGATGCCATCTGGGGCGGGCATGCGCCAAGCAGTGTGTCTACAATGGTATGATATGCCGCACAGGGATCGGGCTGACAGGAACCCGCGCCGTACTAGGCCCTATCGAGCAAGAGGCAGGGCCAACCCCTGGAAGGGCCAGGGGAGCCCAGCACGACATAGTCGGCCAGCCACTCAGCGTGCCCGTCGCCAGCCTGGGGTTGCCTGAACGGGCCGGATTTGTTGGCTCCAAGCACGGGCCTATGCCCCAGATTCGGGGGCCATTCTCGCTGCCTGAGGAATTTATTAGTGGGTAATTACTGCACTTTCCGGCACAAGCTGTCACCTGACGATACCTTGTCCCGAGAGATAACCGGCATGGATGGGGCCCGATCTTCTGCGACTCGAGATTGATGGTCGTGACAACCTCATCTGCTTCTTGTTCTTCAATCACAGCCAGCTATACTTCAGCTGATCATGCCGGGCCATCACTAGTTGATACTAAGAACAGTCCCCTGCCGCATCTCAATGGACTGCGTCAGGACACCAGGAAGGCTCACGACCTTCTTTGGAGATATTCCATCCTGCTCCACCCACAACAATCAACACCTTGACAAGAAAACGGCTGCCTAAAAGATTCTGTCGAGTACAATGATCAAGATGCACCAGTCTCGAGCATAAAACTGGTCTACCCGGTGCAGTATAACCTAGACAGTCTCCGTGCGGCCAGATAGCTGGAGTGCGCGTATTGCTACCATTAGGAGACTGGCCAAATATGGCTCCACAGGATTGATCTCCTCGCCGTCTTCAGCGTCGGGTGCTGGCGCATCAACATATATGTCTGCATCACCGCAAACATACATACCCGCTTTTCATCCTTGTCTGGGAGTGTTTCCATGAGCATCCTGAGCAATCGGACCAGTACAATGGGCACAGCCTCGAATATTGTATCAACGTCCCTTGGCGACCAGAGAGAAAATGTTGCGTGGGGCGTCTAGCCACGACGGTGCAGCCGAGCATACACATCCAGGGGCCATTGGCGAAAACCAAAAGTGTCTTCTTCGCCGCAGCCGATGCTCTCAACGGTTGCGTGCCACGATGATGTGAAATGCTGCCTGTCCTGCCTGGTACCACGCTGTGAAATCAGGACACCTTCGATCCCGCTCGATGCTACTCGGCCCGAATCTGCTCTCAAATAGTCTCAGTGCGCAGCTAAGCATCGATTCGTTCTGTGTAGTTGACAATTTCTGTTCTGCTGGGAGAAAACGGTGTTCACCTAGTTGGGTTCGAACACCGCTGTGTCCCGATGACGCGGCGGGAGGCATCTTCTCTGTCTCTCGAGTCCTACAAAGATCAGGGTTAACTTTTCTACAGCAGAATCCCAGTCATTGATAAAGAGCTCTCACTCTCGACTGTCCTTCATATGACCTCTTGAGTTGATCGATGCGCAAAGCTTATAGCTCTTCGTGGCGCAAACGAATGGCAGTCGTTTGGTTATTGACCAAGTCATTAAGGTCGCTCAGCGTGGTGGACTCAGGAGTTGAGGTGTGAATTCGATCTTTGGCCAGGTCAGCTTGAGGGACATACCATGCAGCGCAAAGTCTCGAGCAGGGAATTGGTCTTACGGACAGATGTCTGGAGACAGTACTGGCTGATCTCGACAGACGGGTCCACGAATCCAATCTATGAGAGCTACTCTATCATTTTAGTGTCAGAGACGTCCCATGCTTCCAATACGAACTTTTACGCGTGCAATAAGTCCTCGCGATTGGGCCAAACTCCGAATGCTCTTTATCAACAGTGCCTCTTCCACGCAGCACAAGTTCGAGTGCCTTCGTCATGCTTGTTGTCAGGTGTCGACGCCTGAATCGTTTCTCCAATTACTCAACAAACCCGCTGTCGAACGGCAGGGACTACTTTCTATTGGCCTTTGGAGGCCAAGCCCTGCGAAGTCACTTGTTCTAATGATGCGAACAGTTGCGCATCTTCAAGTCCCATTTGACTGCAATGTACCACTGATCGGATGGGTAGTTCGGATAATATTTTCACTTTCCCGACGAGAGGCAACGTTCAATCTCGCTCAGTACCTATTTCACCGTTTAGAGCTTTTCTTCTCGGGGTGCGTCAAAGTGATGATTACAAGCATTGTTGATCCCTGGTCCGTATCTGCACAAGAGATTGCCAAGGCCACAGCCTGCTTCTGCCAAGTTCCGATAGCATGCTGTGTGGCAGTACGCGCTCCGCAGCCGCCAGTAAAAAGTCGTTTCGGGGCATACTGGATGGACTACCCCAGAGCATGTATGCGGTCCTTTTGGCAGTATAGGACATGGAGATGGTGGTCAGACCCCAAGGCTTCAGCCTCGCGAGGCGTTTCCATGCTCTTGGGCAGATCAGCCTGGTGCAAAATAAAATAGAGCTCTTCCTTTGTCCTGAGACCTTTGCTTCTAAGGCATCTCGCCCACACTCATACTCATGCAACCCAGGTGCGCACACGTCCGCGCAACCGTATCCTCTGCGCATGTCAGGGCGTCATCACCACGATCACGACCTCCTCGTCGCCGATCGCTATGGCATCCCAGCAATATGAACGTTTGCCTCAGCCAAAGGAGGTCGGTCCGAGGTTGGACAGACCGGGGATTGCAACGCGAGACTCAAGAGAGGTGGCTCAAGAGGACAGAAACGACCACAATGACGCAGCAACAACTCGAAGTACGATTGTCCAGACCGTGCACGAGAAGTCTGAGCAGCTCCCTCATCAGCCTAGCGCTCTGAGCATTTGGATAAGATTTCTCATCATCCTTTCAATCCTGTTTCTTCTCAGCGCCGTCGGTTTCTTGACATGGCTGTGGCTGGGGGATCGGAGAACGACCGCATGGCGCCGACTAGCCGTGGCTGGCTATATGACACAGGCCATCTCCATTTCTGCGGTTGTCCTCAGGACCTGCTTGGGAATTCTGGCGCCAATCACGACATCCATGATTGCCGCTCTTGTTCTCGAGAGACGGGGCGTCGCTCTGGACGCTCTCCTGCCAATCTCTATTGCACGTTTCACGAATAGCGGGTCGCATTCTCTCATCCGCTTCTTCATTGCACCGTCGGTATTGGGAAGCTTCTACACCCTCCTACTTACCCTCCTGTTGCTCCTGAGCCTGGCCGCACAGTTCTCATCAACCCTGCTTATCTACGATCTGGAACCCGTGCCTGTCATGAACTTCACGAGTCGAATAACTTTCCCGTACCGCATGGAATGGAGCATTGCGAGAAATTACATATCCCCAGAATCGACAGCCGACTACTACGCGCGCCGACCGGAGACGTTCAGCATATTCGCCGAGTACAGTAAGCCGCCACCAGCCAACACCGAAGGTGTTGACAGCACAGGGTTCGCGATTCGGGCCTTGCTTCCTTTGAAAGCGCAAGCCGACAGGGAGCGCATAAGAAGATTCCGGGGTACTGCGAAGGTCTTCGACGCGCAGGTGGCGTGCATGCGCCCAGAACTGGCAGACATGCATGTATGCGGAGTGCTAGACCTGGCGGATGGATATGAGATATGTGGAGCGCTTCTGAATGCAGACAAAATCCAGGAAGCTTGGCTGCCGTCGACAGGACCCGTGGCCAAGCTTGAGCTTCAGGACAAACCTTTCAGATGCCCAGTCATCGCACACGATGCTTTATATGATTATCCGGAATACAAGTGGTCGTTGTGTAATGCCGGTTTCTCGCCTAACTTCCATCCATTCCTGAGCCAAAAGCCTGACGACAACTCGAATTTCGAGCTTATGAATTATTTGCTGATCGATACTCACGACATAAAACGACAACTTGGTGAGATACGTGGAGCGGCCAGCGGCTTGCCTTGGCCACCTTGGAACCGCACGGCTCCAGCTGTGCGTGGGCTTGTTGAGAACGTCAGACGAGCATTGACTGGTGGGGGGAAAGTCTGATGGCGAGGGTTCCCTGGTCCGGTATCAGATCAGAGACGGTGTTGTCGTGGTGAAGCAGGTCAAGAACGCATGAGCGGCCTGTTCCGGAGACGGCCTGTTCCGGAGACCGATTTGTTATTGGCTAGTGGTTCATCTCGGATGGAGACCTGATATTGTCTCCGCGGCGACTCGTGGCACTGCACGATGTCTTGCCTCAGTCGGGTTCGAAAATAAAGAGCGCCATAGATTCACTTGGCAGAGCTGAAAGGGCCGCGGCCCTTGCGCGGACAGCGGTTACGTTTATGCAGATCTTGAGGAACTGTCATGCATTGACACTTGCCTCACTGCTTTTGTCATGAAACTACGGCCGTAGCACCATCTCGAACCACCGACTCGTCTCTTCGAGACTCCCTCCCACTCAGCATCCTCACTGGCGTGTTTGCAACAAGCCCCCTTTCTGGTTCGTATGCACGCGGCCGCAACGTAACAATACAAGCATGGTCTGCGGTACGGACGTCGACCAGGATCCGCCATCGCGGCCCACTTACCGCAGAGTAGACATGCCCATCTGACGGGACGGTGATAGCCTTATCTATGATGGTCTGGCTGATGTTGTAGTTGTACACGTTTAGCTCGAGTGCGTCGCCAGTAGCGAGCACCGCCCTGCTGAGCATCTGCACTCCAATCTCGCCGTGCGTGCGGTCAGCCGGATCCAAAATCAGCAAGAACCTGTCATGTGGACCTTCCCTGTTCTGGTCTTGAAACAAGACCGCGGTTCTCTCGACGAGCTGGCTCTGAAGAAGAGCGCTTCTCAGGGGGAACGAAAGGCCGCCGGTGTGCTGCTTGCGCCATGTTCGCCTGGGGAAGATCTCGGTGGCGCAGAAGGAGAACCCGACCGACTCTCCGCCATCGATTCTGATGATCATCAGCCTGCTCGCGACATTCTGCCTCCACAGAGACTCTCCAAAGGTGAGATTGTGGGAGCGCACGAGGAGGTTTTGCCTCTTGGCATATCGCCTGATGTTGGCTCTCGAGACCGAGCTCAGCGGGAACTGTGCATCGACTCGCCGGTAGGTATTGTTCGTCTCGTCCATCTTGACAAATATGGCCAAAAAGGCATTGGCGTCTTCAGATGAGTGGCAGTTCAGGATGGCGACATCCTCGGCTGGCGTGACGGTGAGTTGAACTCCGCTGGTCGCTGCTGGAACAAGATCATTTTCAAACTCGGTGGCCATTGGCTGGACCTGGAAGCTGCTGTCGGCAGGGATGATGGGTATTGACATCTGCAGGCCCTTGTTCGTGATGGAAAATGGCGAGCTGTCCCTGTTGGACCATGCCCCAGTCACCCTTCCAGAGCTGGCGAACCAGGAGGGCCGCCTGGCGAGAATGCCGCCCTTGTCGACCTCAACATCCGTCGAAGTGCTGTCAGCCGCTGCTTGTAGGTCGGCAGCTGGAAGCTGCCACGCAAAGATGGATTGGTCGTCCGAGTGCTTCATGATCTCCTCCTGCAAGCGCAAGAATGCTTGCTCGCCTTCGCCGTAGACAAGTGCCATGGTCACACCGAACAGACCCAAGAGGCAGTAGGCTTGGTCTTCGACGCGCGTCGTCTTCCTGCCAGATGCCCAAGCCATTTTCTGGGCCACACAGTAGTCGCTCAGCCTCCCGTTCTGGAAGACCTGCAGGTCGATCTTGGTGGTTGCCGATATCCTCTTGCGGAGAGAATCGCGCGTGCCCATAAACTTCCAGTCCTTGAAGAAGAACGTGACCATCCTGGGCGCGAGAAGCTCCTGCAGCGTCCAGCCCCGCTCAAACCATCGGCTCTCGTTGAACTCGCCGAGATGCTGAACGTCTGTGAGGTACGCGTAGCACACGACGGCGTCACGATACCACTGAAACATGGAGTTGATTGCCTCGGAGAGCTCGGCAGAGCTCCTCTTGTCTATGCAGCACGTGTCGATCCACTGCATTCTCTGTCAGTATCTGGCCGGCAACAGCTTCCATGTGGTACTGTATGCCCTATTTTACGTCCAGGAAGGGGCCTCTCGCAGCTCACCACAAAGTCCAGCCCATCATGCCTAGCCTGCCGGCAGCACTCGTAGACTTTGGAATACCCTTTAAGCCCGGTTCCTGTGCCTTGCTGTATCTCAACAAAGCTGACCTCCTCTTCCCCCCAAGTATGGGACAATATGGCATACGGAGGGACGTCTTGGCCAAACTCTGTGACCTTGAGCGTATGCACACTTAGAAGTCTCATCCTGAATCAAGGGGTTTCGGTCTGCTGCGCGCATGCGTACGGCCTTCCGAGAGTGCAGTTGATGAGGTTGCTAACGCCGACTGGAAGGGTATCATGGCAATCTGGTTCTTTGTCACAGAGACACCACGGCAGCCCGCCTTGGCCATTACACTGTTGAAGACAAAGATGGCGGTGCATCGCCACAACGCTTCGGTCAAAGATGCGGGGCAGTCTGGCCAGACCAGGGTGTTGTGCAGGTGACCGAAAGTACCTCCCTGGTACGGTTACTCCCTGGGACGGTTACAACCATCCATGGATCTCTGCTTCCGCCAACATCAGCCCTGGGGGCATACGGAGATGATGACATGCGTGGGACGCGAATCTAAAGCTCGCGTGCTGCAAGGCACTAGGCCGATGTTGATTCCACATTGCCCTAGGGTCTGCTGTCAGTGAGTGCATCGCAGAGTGCCGGTCTCAATCGGCTGGAACCATCGGAGCCGGTGGGGCGCGACTATGCGGCCCGGCCCGTGGTTATGCGGCGCACTTGACTCACCACCACCCGGGCCGGCAGCCCGACGTGCGATTCTCATGACTCACACTGGCATCTACGAGTTCGGATCATTGTCCAAGTCACACGAGCTGCAAATATCGGCTCGAGTGTCGTGTGCAAACCCTCAGTGGCCCCGGATAATACTTCAACCAGCAACGCGTCGCTTGGGCAACCTTTGTGGCCAACGCACACTCCATTTGCATTACGCCCGGACCGCACGCAGTATGTCGCTCGCCTTTGTCACCTTGGATGTCTTCACGACAGACGCCTTCCGAGGCAATCCCCTGGCGGTCTGCCAAGTCCCCGCTGCTGTGACCATTTCGCAGCAGCAGAAGCAGCTCATCGCCCGCGAGTTCAACCTCAGCGAGACTGTCTTTCTTCATGAGCAGACTCCGGCCGACATTGAGGCCGGCGAGGCCCGGATCGACATCTTCACCCCATTCGCGGAGCTGCCTTTTGCTGGCCATCCCACCGTCGGCACCGCAAACTTGCTGCAGCACTACCTGAAAACCAGCACGGCCACGGCTCTCCGGGCCAAGGCCGGGCTCCTGCCGTTCGCCTCCGTGTCGGTGTCAGGTGGGACCGGGATCCAGCTTGGCGTCGCGCACAACGTGCACATCCATGACAAGCCCTTCCGGGACCGGCCTTTTGGAGACTTGCCGGTAGTCAGCATCGTCCGTGGCATGACATTCATTCTCGCCCTGAAGCAGGATCTTGCAGCCCTCGCCGAGCCGACCGAGGCCCTGCTCGGCTCGGCCAAGGTCTACGGGAGCGCCCACTTCCTCGACGAAGGGTGGCAGGTTGGACACATCCCGACGTACTTCTACGTCGACATGGGCCTCTCCGAGGACGGCAAGACGAGACTCCTGCGGACGCGGACCTGGTCGGTGCGGGAAGATCCAGCGACGGGCAGCGCCGCCAGTGCCCTGTGTGCATACCTCAGCCTGACAGAGCGAGATGGGGGGCTGGTGCGGAAATATCACCTCACGCAGGGGGTGGAGATGGGGCGGGAGAGCCACATCTACGTCGAGGTCAAGCTCAAGGAGGGCGGCGATGCCATCTCGGAGGTGCTACTTTCCGGCTCAGCTGTCAAGGTGATTGAGGGCAGAATCCCAATCCCACAAGCGTGAGATCGAGGAGGTACTTGGCCACTAGCGCAATCGTGAACATGCTCCACCGATGCAAGTTTCTTTCAGAGCTGAGCCGCAGCTTGTCAGCAAGCCAAGGACACGTTGCAAATGCTTGCATTCCAGTGAGACACAAGCCACACACGGGAGGACAAGAGTCGAGATAGCGCATCACCCAAAGCAGTAATTGGTACACTCTCGAGCACGTTGAACCAGTCAAGGGAGACGTGCATGGCGCAAGTCGCAGAAGGAGCCGTGGAGCGCCCGTCCCAGTGCCGTAATTCGTTCATGCAACATGGAGCAAGTGTCGCAGTTTGTGCTGTGGCTGCGGTTCGAGGCCTCTGTGCTGATTTGTCCTGTCGACCTGCAGGAGTGCCGCTGGGCTGCAGGACGGGGCGCGCGCATTCAGAGACACGCAGCATCATAGCGGACGCTACGTGATACGTCGACCATTAGTCAGGGGGTGGAAAGCTTGCTTGCTTGCTTGTGAGTGGTGGTGGTCTTGCCCTAGGACGAGACAGGCGTCAGCGTCTGAAGTATTGGCCCCAGGCGTCGCAGGGCGGGCAAATGAGGATTGACGTGTGGTCGCACAATCTACTTTCTAGAAGAGGATCTAGAAAGTGGGAGGATCTAGAATGGCTGGGTAGAGCTAGACGGTGGGGTCGAGCACCCAAGTGAGGGAGGTCCTAATTGACTTGTGGTAGGTGACTGAGGCGGGGCGCCTTCCAAGTCCCGGTCCGTCCAGGTTGTCACCGGGGCTTGGCATTAAAACAAGGTCTGGACAATGAAACGGCGCGCCGCCCGGTGCCTCGTTTCATTCAGCCAGTCTCGATGCGAGCAAGACCAGCCTGTGTCGGAGATTGTAATACCACCTGAGCGGCCTGAAGCACCAGCAAGAAATTGCGACCGACCAGCGGCAGGAAAACAGCATAGCGCGCAAGGGCTTGCAGGTGTCGTGCCGGGTTCTGGGGTTGGCGGTGTTCTAGGGTTCCCTTCCCTCACGTAACCTCGAGCCCCGCCTGCCTGGCAGCCCTTCCGCTCCCAGCCACCCAGCATTTGCATCTTCCTCCTCTGTTGCGCGTGACCAGCCATCTGGATTCCCGTCAGCAAGCAAGCGAGCGAGCAAGCAGCCACCTCGCCAGGTCCTGCGCTGCTTGGCGGCGCCCACCAACAGACCAATAGACCAACCGGACAATCCAGTCCATACCTTAGTTACGCCAGCTGCCTGCGAAGGAAGAAGCCATGACTGGCCCCCGGCTCCACCAGTTACGCTTAGACTAGGTAGCGTAGACTAGAGTACGGTAGGGCCGTCCCTTCCGCACCCATGGTCCTCTGACGTCTCTCCAAGGTCTCTTTTTCTTCTCTCCTCTCCGTTTTGGCACAGCAGCCAGCCAGTCCCGTCCAGCCTAGTCTGCGCCTGCGGCTGCGCCTGCTCCAATCTCCTCGTCACTGCGCGTAATTCCTTACTCTTTCCTCCTTCCCTCCAGCGCACTTGCGCACGCATGTCCCGTCAAATGTCCCGCCGCCCACAGCTTGAATCCCCTTCGTCCTGACCAGCTGTCGACGCGCGGCTCGTCCGTCCCTCCACCATCCGGCGTTCTTGTCCCTGTCCGCACTTACTCACCATAGCCTTGCACCGCTCTCACAAAGGACAGTCCAATCTCACACCAGCAACTTGAGCAGTCCGCTCGCCATAACCCAGTCCGCGCCATGCACATTACCATCTCGGATACCTCAGGTTCCTCAAGCTCTTGAACCGCGCCTGACTGGCACCACGTCAATCTGCTTGGTGCTGGTCCAGCTGCAGGCTCCGGCGCAGCTTCTCTGGTTACCTACTGCACGCACGTTGTCCTCGCCACTTCATCTCACTCCGCTGTTGCCCAGGGATCATTTCTCCGTGAATAGTAACCTCGTGCCAACAACGGCGATACCATGGCCAGATTGTCCTCCGCCTTCAAACGGGTCTTTTGAGTCGGACCAAATCTCGTTCGCCCAAAGGATTGGTCACCATGCCGCATTCTGACGTGGCAGCCACGACAGCGACAATGGCTGCACAGCTCCCTCGTCCTGCGGCTCACTTGAATGGCCGCGCCATGGACTCGGACGCGCGTGCCGTCCCGCGCTCTTTCAAACGGCACAAAGCGTTACCTCATCCTGAAGGCTTCCACCTGGCCTCTGCGGAAATGCTTGGGCATCCTGTAGATGGAAGCGAATCTGCGCGACAGTCATCATCTTCCTCTTTCACTCACGATGCTGCCAGTGACCGGCTGAGCGGCGGCGAGCTTCCTCCAACCCCACCCGGCTATTCGCGCACTTCTTCTAGTGGCAGCTCTGCGCTGCCTTCGAGCCCAACTTACGTAGCAAGCCCGGCGCAGAGTAACACCAGTGTCGTGGTGAGGTCGTCGGGAACACCACCGAACCAGAAAAGCCCACCGACACCGGACGTCACGCCTCCTGCTCGTGAACGCCGTCCTAAAGCCGTGCGCCCGTCCCTGATCGACCGGTTCCCTTCAAAAGCGACGACAGACTCGCGCGCTGGCTCGCGCCTCGCTTGTACGGAGGGCTCTAGGCTTGCGAAGTGCCCCAGAGAATGACACGCCCCGCCGCATCAGTCTTTTCAGGGCGCTCTCGCTGTCCCGAAATATTCGAAGGGACACGGCGGAGAACCCAGAACTCGCTAAAGGGCGACGTTCTTCTAGGTCACAGTACCCTACAGCTGAGGACCCGCCGGAAGACGACACCAGGTTGCACCCTTTTTGGCGACCAGCCTCTCAGGAAGGGTCTGACGACGACAGCGGCTCGGAGGAATGGAGTCACGATTTCCCTGATGATGTAGACCAGGTCTATATATACCCGGCTGTGTACAGTCGACCTCCGCCTCGCCGCAGAGACAGTCTGACCGCACGCCTAAAGAACACGTTCGCCATCCTTCCGATCGACGACGACAGGCACTATACCTCGGACGAGCCACGTGACACCGACCGGAGGACTATCAAGCGGACTCCGAGTGGCAATCTGCGGGTGATGCGCTATCCTGACAACCATCAACACGAGTCTCCACCTGAATCACGCGGCCTTTCTCGACGATGGTCGTTGAGCTCGAAGAGTCGCGATCGACCTTCAACGGCTCCTGACCGTCCGGAGCCGAAAGCGTGGGGTCCCGAGAAACAGGTTGACGACCGTGGCCGTCGCGTATTTCCTGGCTGGCAGGACAAGCTCGAGCAGATGCGGCCAGGCAATTTGCAACGTCGGCTGAGCGAACACCGCCGTCAGAAGCGTACCGATGCCCTGAGACAGAAGATCAGCGGCCCTCGGGAGGTCAGGGATGGGGTTGGCGAAATGATCAAGCGGGGTAGTTACAGAGCTGCGCCTGGACAGTGGTCGCAGGAGCAGTCTCCGCCGGAGACGAATGAAGCGTACAACTATCCGAGAAGGGATGAAGTCTGGGACGGGCGGCGGATCTGAGCTTGACGCGGCGGGCAAGGGGTGAACGTAGAGTGCCTCGCACATGAGGATGGAAGGTGCCGGACATGCGTAGAGAAGGGGGATCCCCGTTGTTGTTGTTGTTGTTTTCTGCTTGCATCACGGCAAGTATTTGGTCACGACGTTTATGAGACAACGACAGTTTTGTTACGAACCATTTGCTTTCAACCCCGATGGGAAAAGATATCTTTGCTTCAGATCAATGTGTTTTTGGGAGCAGTTTACATTGTAAAAATTCTCTTCGGATGCACGCTATTCAGATCGCCGCTTCTGTTGATTTGGCATGCTTGTTCAGCTCTTGCGAAAGATATTCTCACGATTTAATGACTACATGATTTTAGAGGACGGAAAAAGGGACTCGGAATTGAGACTAAGCGAGACGGGGGCAGTTTTGCATTTTCCAAACATTCTCTCACGTGGCCCGTTCTGCTACCGGCTTGAGAATACTGACGTGATCATGTTGTACATTCATAGTCTATTTGCTATGGTTTAAGAAAATCTTGAATATGCCCGTGAACGCCATGCTTTTTGTGCAAAGATGGAAGAAAAGAAGTAATCAATGCTTTGCTTTGCAGTATTGTCAACTGCTCCCTCGAGATGGACTGGGCATCTCTCTCTCTCTCTCTCTCTCTCTCTCCCCCTCCCTCTCTTTATCTGTAGTATCATGATGTGGATTCGAGTCGCTACAGAGGACGTCTCTCTCACACAAGATGGTTGACTGACTGCGTGCGCAATGCTCCGACGAGATTGGAAACTCGGGGACATGCATGTTTTGACCCCCCCTCCCCCTCCCCCCAAACTGGTCCTCGCAAGACGTCTTTCTTTTTCGAATACTGTGCTCTTTCTCGTAATACCTTTTTGTCTGAATGAGGCCCTTCTGAGACTGCTGCGGCTCATGGCGTATGCGCGACCACTAGCTTTTCCTCGGGAGAACAGCTCCTTGTCTACGGGCAGAAAATGGTGGCTCGATGATGACCCTCTCAAACCGCTGGTCGTGTTTCCAAACGCGTGGCTATTCATTGACGCGCGGCCGTAAGGAGAGAACTCGAAGGGTATAGCGTTGTCGTCACACACATGAACGCAGGCGGCTCAAACTGCCTCCTTCCAACACTCGCGCATCATATCGAGGTGTAACACCCGTCCGGAGCGATCTTGTGGCTGATGATTTTGATAATGTCGCCTGGAGACTCGCCTGGAGACAAGATAGGCGAGTCTTACCTACCAGGAGGACCCTGACCCGGGGGACCACCAAGAGGAGGGAAAGCACCCGGCGGGGGCAGGCCGCCAGGAAAGCCCTGACCAGGCGGCGGCATGCCGGGGAACGGGAACGGGGGCGGCGCGCCGTTGGCACCAGGCGGCGGGAAGGGCAGACCTCCGGGCGGTGGGAAGGGCAAGGGCGGCATGCCGTTGGGGCCGGGAGGAGGGAACGGCGGCATTCCACCGCGTCCGGCTTGTCCTGGGAGAGCTAAAGTTTCGCGATAAACGTTAGAACGTGCTCTTCGCTGGCCCGGGGTGTATCGGTTGCCGTCGTGGTATGGATGGGAGCGACAGTTGTGCCGCTGGGTTGGGGTGGTGGTGGTGGTGTACTTACGAGGTAGGCCCTGGGGGAAGCCGCCGGGTGGTGGTGGCGGCAGACCAGGCATTCCGGGGAACGGAGGAGGCATGCCTCCGGGGAAACCGCCAAAGGCGGGCGGCGGGAAGGCGCCACCGCCGGGCGCGCCAAGATGGTGATGGCCGCCGCCGCCGGGCTGGTTGTGCGGGAGCATTGGGTTGGCGTGGGCCTGGCCCTCGGCGGCGTAGGACGAGGTGATGCTGTCGATGACGGACTGGGCCTTTTCGTGGCCGATTTGCTGGTAGTAGTCGACGACGTTGCGAAGGTGGTTCCGGCCGCTGTTGTGCGCCTTGCGGACGCTCATCGAGTCGTGTGTCAGGTAGACATCGCAATAGTCGCAGAAGACTTTTGGAGAAGGAGGTTGTGTTAGCTGTGGATGTTCTGCGGTGGGATAGGATGGCCGGGGAACGCGATGCTTTGTGCGCCAGCGCGCAGCAGCAGCAGCAGCAGACATACATTTTGGCATGATTGCGGTTGAGCAATCGCTGATGGCGTCGGGCCTAGGAGTATTTGTGGTCGCCTGCGAGACTCGTGGGATTGGCGATGTGTGGGTTTGCGAGGCGCCAAAGTTGGATGAAGACGACGAGGCTGCGGATCGTGGAATGGTTGGCGCGTGCCTTCGTGCAACAAAGTCGATGGCAGCCTTGTCTGGTGCTGGTGCAGGTGCAGCGGACCTCGAATGCTGCAGACAGCTTTACTGGAGTGCAGATGTGGCTGGTGCTTAGGTTGTGGCTGTGTCAGCTTCACACTCCAGCATGTACCGAAGTCTCGATGTGGCGTCTTCCAGAGCATCAGGGGTTGTATCGAACAACCCCAGTTCACAAGCGCTGATTGGCCGAAGCTCGAGACCAGGAGTTAACACGTATTGTGCACCCAGGTGCAACGCTAGCGGCAGCAACACAAGACAATTGTCGTCGTCGCCGCCAAGTGTACTGTGGGCATTCGAGAGCCGCATCCCACCCCCCCGATCTACACGACACGACACGTCTTCGCCTCGACCTGCACTCGTTCCCGGTCTCAAGTCGACTCGCACGGCACGGCACGAGGACGGCCCCAAGCTTGAGCCATTGTTGTCGACAACCCAGATCAACTCCCACCAGAGAGAGCGAACCACAGCCCGTCCGCAACCATGGCTGGCCCGCGGTCCCTGCTGCAGTACATCTGCAGCATCGTGCTCTTCGTTGCCACAGTGCACGCCCTCAAGTTCGACCTCGCCGCCGACGGCAAGCTTCGCTGCATCAGGAATTTCGTCGGCAAGGACACCCTCGTCGTCGTCACCGCGACAGTGGGCGGATTCAAGGGCGATGGCCAAAGAGTCAACATGCAGGTCAGTGAGGAGCATCTGGAGGATGGCGACAAGAGGCATTGAGCCTCGGGAGAGATAGGAGAGACAAAGCGCTGACTGTGGTATCGGTGCTCTCCAGATCAGAGATGCTGTTGGCAACGAATACGGCCGCCCCCAAGACGTGGCTGGTGAGCAGCGCACCGTCTTCCACTCGCACGCAGACGCTGCCTTTGACGTCTGCTTTGAGAACCTGAACTCTGGTGGTATGTACCCAGCCTGCCTTCCCGACAACCCAATTGGTTCGACTTGTCCTTTGCCCGGGCCATAAGCTTACACGTGAACCTTTGTCTCCCGCAGCCCGTGGGACTCCCTTCCGCCACATCGAGCTCGACATTGACATTGGCGCGGACGCCAAGGACTGGTCGGCGATCCAGGCGAGCGAGAAGCTCAAGCCCGTCGAGACGGAGCTGCGGCGCATCGAGGAGGAGCTGGCCGAGGTTGTCACCGAGATGGACTACCTGCGTGCGCGCGAGGTCAAGCTGCGTGACACCAACGAGAGCACCAACACCAGAGTCAAGTGGTTCGGCGTCGGCACCACGATGTTGCTCGTCGGCCTCTGGGTCTGGCAGATCATGTACCTGCGGGCCTACTTCCGCTCCAAGCACCTGATCTGAGGGATGTTCCTGCCCGGGCTGGCTGGCTGCAAGCTGGCTGCAAGCAAGCAAGCAAGCCATGGCTCGTGCTGGGGATCATCATACGTGGGGAAAAAGAGAGCTCTGTGTGGCGTTGGGACATTGCACGGGGACCTAAGGCCCGTATTGCCCGGCTCTGATGCCGGCTGGAAGACTGTTACAAATCATGACGGAAGCATTGGCATGTCTGTACGTATATAAGTGATACTTGGCGTCTTGCAATGGAGTCGTAACGACGGATTCGAAAGACTATACTGGACCTCTTTAAGGATATGTAGGATGCAAATGACGCTGATATCAAGTCTGCGCAGCGTCATGGTTGTGGTGTTGCTGGCTGGCACTACTGAATGCGAGGCTGTAAAGGGTGGTGGATGGCGAAGTGCGCCACGATGACAATCGCAAAGGCTAGTCGAGAAGACGGTCGAGTCTGCAATTGGCAGTTGGCAGCGCAAGATATATGATAATATTGGATGGACGCTGGTCTTGTCAGTAGGCTCGGACCAGCACGGCTGATTAGCAGACACCCGACCCTTCTGGCCGAGCTCGTTCGGGTTCGGCAGTCGCATCCAGGTCAGCAACTGCGGACGGCGGGCTCCTCCTTCCCCCGGGCCTCCGGACCCGCTGCACCTCGGCGCATCATCGACGTCAACCACTCACCACACCCGTCCGTCCCGTCATTCCTCTTCTGGACCCCGACTTTTTCCACAGCCCCTAACCCAGGCCCTGCTCATCCCCGCCAACAACAACAACAACAATAGCGACGACAACGACAATGGCCTCGAGAATCATCCCCAGAGCTCTGCACTCCCCCACTGCGGCGACGCGACTCCTGGGCGGCGGCACCCTCCGCCTCCGCCCCTTCTCCACGGGCGCCGCGACCCCTCTCCGCGCCGCGGTCGGCAACATCCCTCCCGGCCCGAAAGACCAGGGCGCCAACCTGACCTTTGAGGGCCGCGAGATGGGCATCGGCGAGCTCGAGGAGTCAGAGTTCAAGATCGAGCCCATCCGCCGCGTCGGCGAGGACGACGACACCATGCGCGCCCGCTTGACTTGTACGTTGCTGCCACTCTTTTACCTTTGGCCTCCACCGTCTTGTTTGTCTGTCTTATATATATAGATATGTGTGTATGTGTGTATCTGTGTGCAGTGAACTGACAGACAACCCTCTTTGTTTCGTCCAGACCAGTCCCGCAAGCGCGGCATCCTCGAGTCCGACCTGCTCCTCAGCACTTTCGCCGACGAGCGCCTGCCGCACATGACCAGGGACGAAATGGCCGCCTACGACCTCTTCCTCGACGAGAACGACTGGGACATCTACTACTGGGCCACCCAGGAGCCGCCCTCGTCGTCCTCCTCCTCCTCAGAGTCCTCCGCCGCCACAAACACCACCGACACCTCGTCCGCGAGCTACGCCGGCGGCGCAGAGGCCGAGGCCGCCAGCAAGGCCGCCGCCTCGACCACCAAGACGAACACCAGCACGGCCAGCCAGGCGGCCGGCGAGTGGGCCCAGACCGTCGGCACCTTCAAGCCCGCGTACCGGCCCGTGCCCGCGCGGTGGAAGGACAGCGCCGTCCTGCGGCAGCTGCGCGAGCACGTCAAGAGCCGCGCCGCCACGGGCAAGGGCGGGATGGCCTTTATGCCGCCTCTGCGGTCGTAGAGAGAACCCCCCCCCCCCCCCGCGCGCGAAAAGAAAACGTGTTAGATGAAGTAGAGAATCGGTAGAAAAGGCCGTGTCTGTTTGTCGCCTTTCTTTCTTTGGTCTTGATTCCATCAACCACCCCCCCCTTTTCCTCCTTTTTTTTAACCTTGCTGCACGGTCGGGGACGTTGGCTGTGCATGATTCTGGTCATGGGCATGGCGGGGAAAGGGGGCCGGTCATGAGAGAATGAGTAGACAAGCATTGTAAATTCTTGTACCAACACAGAAATTCTAAGATTTTCTTTGAAGCGAAGCCAGTTAGGGCTTCAGCGGTTTACCGAAACATCTTCCTTCGAAAGGAGAGGCAAGAGCAAGGATATGACTTTTATAACACACACACGCACGCACACACAAGCAGACTGTGCTGTATAAGCAGGCGGCAGCGTAGCTAATGAACTTAACAATAAAAAATCAGCAATTATTGGAGTGTTCGGTACCGACGGCGTGTCACCTGGCCAGATGGCCCACGCTGGATTCGAGGCACACACACACACACACACACACACACACACACACACACGCACGAGACGAAAACGAAGCAGAGAACTGCAGCAGTGGAAATCAAAGGGGTGTCTTCATCATTCGGTCGTAAAACGTCATCATCCGCTGCTATGCGCGCTGCTGCTGCTGGTGCTGCGTCGCCCTCCGCTTCTGTTTACCGCCGTCCCCTTCCCCACCAACCCGCTCTGTCTCTCTCTCCTCGTCAACCCCCTCCCTCAGGTAATATTCGGCCCAGACTCCTCAGCACCTCCATAACTGGCATCTCCCTAGTCCCAGCGCTGCCTCGCTCCCGCTCCGCGCGCTCCTTCAGCCGCGCGGCGCTCAGGCCGAGGACCTTGTCTGCCTGCCTCCCTGCTGTGATGACCCGTTGCTCGACCTTGTGCACGCTGTCGGCTAGGTGGTCAATCTTGAACTCGAGCGACTGCTGCAAGATCTGCAGTCGTGACCGGACCTGCGACGTGCTCATCGGCTGCGAAGACGAGGTGGGCGCTACGAGGGCCTCGAGCATCCTGGACTCATCCGCGTCCAGTAACGATGCCTCGGGCAGTGGTAATGTGACTGCTTGCGATCGATTTGATGTGGCAACTTCTCCTGCCGTCGTTGATGATGCGGAAGGAAACAGTGGAGACTGGTCTATCGGCGCAGCCTTGATGGCCTGCCACGTCTTCTTCTCGGCTCGTAACCTGTGCCACACGGTGGTCAGCAAATGAAGTTCGGTTTGTGAGCTGACGTATTGTGACCAAGCTTACCTTTGTAACCTCGCCTCGAGCTCTGCAATCTTCGCGTCATGCTCAAGGTTGCGAGGATTTGGTTTGACAATGGGAGGCGGCTTCTCGACCTCTTCTCGTGCAAACCAGTCAGAGAACTCTGACTTTGACGCAAAGTCCTTTAGGAGTTGGTCTTGTATCGCGCGGGCTGCATATGACGCAGGTTAGTAATCCACGATTTCCTCGGTTAAATGACACTACCCTCGACCAGATATACGCACCACCATGGACAGCATTCGCGTTCGCGGAACCCAGCGGGGGTTTCTCGGCCAGAGCCCGCTCCGCACACCACGTGAGAAGCTGCTTCATCCTCCTCGGCTCCGTAAGTCCGTCGGATGAGATGTGTTTGTAGAACTGCGCCGGCTCTACCGCACGATGTGGTATCGCATTGTTGCCGTTCTCGATCAACGAGCTCGCCCTTCGTCCTCGCATGCCCAGACTACTCCGTCGTCCCCCGCCCGTTTGTTTCCGCATCTCTTTATTCCGATTTATGACTGGCGTGTCGGCAAATGGTAGCGCAATTTTCTTTCCTTTTGCTTTCGTCGTAGCTTCTGGTGTTGCGTCCCTGTCTACTGCATGGACTTGTTCAACGTCGTCGTGCTCCTCGTCCAGTACCTCCTCCTGCCTGGCTTCTGGTTTCGGCCCCCTTCGCGTCAACTGCCTCGTCGTCTTCGGCCTGCTGTCCTCTTCGTCGTCTTCGGCCGGCAGTGTTCGCGGTGGTTTCCGCCGGGACTTCTTTGTCTGCGTAGCGACAGGTGGTGGTGATGGTGGCGACTGCTGTCGTTCTTCTGCTGGTGCGACATCTCGTGTGATTTGGTCTGATTTCCGTTTCGACGTCCGTTGCGGTGCTGGCTGCCGTGGAGGCGATGGTGGAAGCCCTTCCCTGGCAGTCGTTTTCGCCGATTGCCTCGGCCTCGTTGTCTTCTTAACGGCTACCACGGGCACAAACTCTGGCTCCTCAGGTATCGGCGCGGACTGTGCTGTGCGCGCCTTCTTGGGCTTCGCCCTTGTGAACTGGAAATCGCCATCTTGCTCGTCGTATGCTACAAGAAGATTTGCGCGAAACCGCGTGGTTAGTACACGTGTTCCTCTCTCAAAGCTGCCCAACACTCGCTCTCCTCGCGCAGTCCTGCCCCCCTTGCCCAGCGACATGCACCAGATCGTGAACGCCTTCCACAAAGCATTCCCAAGGACTATGAACTTGGCCCGACATACAGGAAGTGCGCTGGCTGCGACCGCGCTTGGACGAATTGCTCATGCTAAGGACTTGAAGCGGTTGCCGCGTGTGGACGAGTGTAGTCATGGACGCGGAGGCTGCTGGAAATTGGCGTGCATCAATTCGGAGAGGCGGCTCGAGGTCGCAAGGAGGTTAATCTCTCCGCTCACGCGCGCGGTCGCGATGGGCGCTTGAGCCAACTAGTCGAGGTTTTCGTCTGGTGGTGCGGGCGTTTTACAATGCTGGACGCGACAATGGTACGAGCGCGACTGCCGAAGTTGGCGACTGGCGCGTGCAGGATAACTGTCCGGGAGAGATGATGTCTGCGATAGGAATATTTCGTGCGGCTTGGGGTTGCGTGTCGGCAGGCGTCGTGCCTTTGGCGTCGAAGAGTGGTGCAGCGGGATGTAGTGTGGCGGCGACGGGCGGCGACGACAGCGGTGATGATGGGGTTCTGCCCCCGTGTGGGTGAGGCGCGACCAGGCGTCGCCAGGTTCGAATGTAAACATTTCCCACCCGCGCTAGGCCTGTTTCGGTATGACCCACTCATGCCTTGGCACCCGCCATCTGCGCTCTCGCTCTTGCCCAGGTGGTGCCCCGCCAGCTCTCGTCAATTAGGTTCCACCACGAGTTCTGGCATCGTGCACATCACTGTCTCAAACCCATTGCCTGGCCATACGTTTTCGGGCTGCTCAAGTCGTAGATGGCGCACGCCGCCACTCGTCCTTTATTCATTAGGGGTCTTGCCTAGTCGGAAATACACGAAGCAGCCATTGCCGCGAGGCCTTGCAGCTGCCATCATGGCGTGTGACTAATGTCTCCGTCATGGCGCGTGCTGAGCGCGACTTGTTCCTCTGGCATGAGCTTGGCGGCGATTGGAAGGCCTTAACAGCCAAGGGCATGGTTTCGAGTCAAATGGGGGTCACGAGGAAAAGCAAGCATATCTAAGGTGTAGAATAATCTTTGCGTGGCCTTCGTGTATGGGCAACCGAAATATGGACAGGAGAATCGTGATCGTGCAAAACAAACAGCAAATGCTAACCGAGATGCAGAGAGTGTATGGATTGCAGTCCACCGACTCGACGGACCGCAAGCTCGATCTTTAGCTCATTCCCATCAACGCCTGACCAAAAATCAAATAGGAGGTTGTATGGCCACAACCGCCAAGTCAAATCCAAGAGTGTCCGCTGTGTTCCATCCCCCTTGAAGAACACCTTTTGTTGTATGCCACCAACCTAAACACGTACAAGTACTTTGAGTCGTCGCCCTCACACATAAGCATTCTCTGCCCCTAGTGATGGTGACTGAATATGCCGTGCCATGCACTATGTACGACCATATTCTCCAAATTAGACAGCCGGAACGCCGTTCATGCCCGCGACCCGGATCTGCAACATATGTTGCAGGATGATTTCATAAATGAGACCGTCAGTGTAGTATGGTAAGCCAATATATGCTTCCACTTTCATGGTAAGCTGTGGCACCAAGTACAACCTCAGACCTCCTCAGTCACTGATGACTTGCCACATGACTGAGGGCACCACATGAGGAATGACCGAAGCTATACCTCTTAGGAGAAGCGTCGTTGCACACCCTGCCCAGCCATGACAGGCTGGTTTGGTATGGGGGCACCCATGCCGTAGGGGTTCATCTGTGGGTTGTAGGAGTCCATGGCCTGCTGCATAAACGCGCCATGTAACCCTTGCTGCTGCGTCACGGGGCAGTCCTTGTGCGCCAGTAGCAGTGTTTTGAGATTGACAACCTCCTCGCGCAGTTGCGAGATTTGCGCGGTCAAGGCATCATTCTCGCTGCTAAACATCTCAACCTTGTTCTGCAGGTTGGCGAGCCACTGCTTCTTGCGCTGCCGACACTTCAGGGCAGCCACTCTGTGTTGGGGACAATGCATTAGTATTTGATCGTTTTCTCACAGGAAATGATCATGTCAACGTACCTGTTCCGCTCGAGGAAGTTCTTGCGCTTCTCCTCGTCGGTCATCTTCGACTTTGGCTTTCCGTCGGGTCCGGGAGCATCGTCATCTTCATCTTCGGACATTTCCTCATCACTCATCGGCTCTGATGGCGCTGTCTTTGCCTTCTTGCTCGCAGGCTGCTTGGCAGACGGCTCTTCGGCCTTCCTCCGCCCATTGGCAGCTGCAGTCGAACCTCTCTTGCCCTTACCCTTGGGCGCGGGCTTGGCGTTCTCACTACCTTCAGATACTCCACTTGCAGCTTCACTTACGCCACGAGCAAGTGAAGCGCCGTTCCCGTTCATGTGGGGCGACGTGTTGGACTGGCCTGGGTGTGTGGATCCGGGGTGGCCGTGTGCAGCCTGTGTACCGCCAACGGGGTATTGCTGAGGCTGTGTCGGCGCGTTACTACGGCCTTGGGCGCCTTGCGCCAACATGAAGAGGCCGTTTGCCGCGTCGTTATCGTGCGGGTCAAAGGCACCAGAAGCTGGCTTGGCTTCTGCCTTGATGGCTGGACCACTCGCGTCTGGAGCGGACGTGACTGCAGACTGATTGCCCTGTACAGGCTCGCGGTTCTGCTGCTGCTTGGCTGCAGCAGCGCTCATTGCTGTCCGGTGGAAGTCAAGAGTGCTGGGAGTGGCGCCTCCACTAGCGAGTTGGGCGAATAAAGCTTGTGAGTTTGGACTGGCAGCAGGGAACATAGAACCGCTTCCACCTGGCGTGAGTCCGGTTCGCAATGAACTTTCGTTGGGTGTGAAGCCTGTTCCGCGGGTGATGTGCGAAGTGTCACCAAAGTAGTCGTTTGCAGGACCCGACAGCATAGCTGGGCTTAAAGGGCCGGTGCGTAGTGAGCCGCCTCCCCAGTTGAATGGTGTCGTCCCGGTTCCGGGGAGGAGTGATGAAGGAGATGTCAAGGCAGCCACACTGGGCAACTTCGTTCCACCGGGGGTTTCGACTGTGCTTCCTGTGCGGAACGACTGTTCAAATGGGTTCGGCTCGAGGCTTAGCTGGCTCGAGAAGTAGTCGCCGGCTTCACCAGGCTTGGGCGGAGGTGCTAGAGGCCGGTCGGTCTCGGCATTCGCGACGTTGATCTCAGGCTTGTTGTCGGTAGTTTTCTTGCCCTTCACTGTAGAGTCTGGATAGTCACGAGGCAACAAGTGTTAGTGTACAGTCATGATGAGGCCGAGTGTGTACTGGTGCAATCCGGGTCGCACCATCCACGGTGTGGTGCGAATACACAGGGAGATTCGCCCCGACGCCAACGATCAGAAGTGGTGAGGTGGACGATCAACCGACACGCAGATCGGTCGCGCGACACGAGGTAACAGATAGTAAAGACGGGGCACAACTGTTGTGACGAGGTGCCGAAAATGCATGGACGACTTACCTGACGAAGAGTTCTCCGTGCCTTTGGTTTCGGAAGGAGCCATGATGACGGAGGTGAGTGACGAAGGTGGTGGGTGCTATTGTATGGGAGGCGACAAGAAGGATATGATGTAACGACCAAAGCAAGTCAAGTCCCAGAGGCAGTCTGCAGAACTGAAAAGCAAACCACCCCTCAAAAGGCACAGCCGCGCGTGGCAGGCAGGCAGGCAGGCAAGCAGATCAGTCGTTTTTGGGGTGCCCAGCAGCGGCAGGAGACAGACGGGACACGAGTCGAGTCGAAGAAAAGGCAGAGGACGCCAGCTTGGAGGTGCAGTGCTGGCCGAGAGTCGTCGAGGGAGTGCAACGCTTGACCGATGACGGTGGCGGGCGTAGTGGGCAGAACAAGCGGCCGTGGGCGTGGATGGGGGTGGTGCAGCAGAGGTGAGTTTGTTGCGATGAGGTCATGAGAAGAGAAGTGACATAAGGGGTGGTTTCTAGGAAATCGGGCACACAGCAGGGACCGCCAGAGCCCCCCAAAACTGACGTGCCCCCTGGACCGAGAGGTGGCCAAGGCGCCCCAGGCGTCGTGCTAGGCCGGCGGCGAGACGTGCGGCAGGTACTCTCACAGTGCGGCCAGTCTGCCCGTGTGAGTGGGCAACGTGCTCCCATCCCGGCGCGCCGCCATCCCTGCCCACCCCCTCCAACCTTCCTCCACCTTCTCGCCTGCCTTTCGCTGGTGGCCAGCCCCCCCTGCCCGGGATTGCATCACACCCGACATGTTCCCTTGTTGGGCATCTCTCCCGGCCCTCCTTGTCGCGTACAATCCTATGCCTTGAAGCATTCACAGCAGCCTTGCCGGAGGCTCGACGTTGAGAACCGCGGCACGGAGAGCCGCACGAGTCGGTCCTCTTTGCTCGTTCCCATTGCTCCGGTGCCCCAAGAATGGGACTGAACGGAGGCGCGTTGGTCCTATCAACGACGTGGTAATTGGGTGGGCAGCCGAGGAGACATCCTCGCATTGGCGGGGACAACCTGCCGATCCGTCACGCCGTCTAGGATCGCCGGAAGCAGGAAGTCTGCTTCCCAGCACGCCAAAGCCTCACCTGAAGAACAATGCCCGCCTCCGCCGTGGGTATTGCACCACTGTCGTGATGATGAGAACAATTGCCCGTCGTCGTAAAGTCATCAACAGCGTACGGAACTCCTGCGCATGAGCAGCAGTGTCCGCAGCTTGACGTACGTGAAACAGTCAGGGAGAGATTGCAGCCGTGGCCAAACGTCAATTCTCGTTCAAAGCATGTCCGATTTACCGTCAGCATCCCCTCTTAATGATCGCTTGGCTGGTACATAGATACCCACCCGCTCACCTCGCAGATGCTACCAGTCCGCTCTGTGCGTCTGACAAATTGGAGCTGGCGATAGCACCCGCGGCGGATGCAATCCGTCCGGGAATTTAGTGTTGGAATCGGACATTTATAAGCAATTGCGACAAGCTCGATACCGACTTCAAGCCGCCATGCACAATATCTAGCGGCTTGCGCACCAGAGCAGAATGTGCCTGAAGAGCTCTCGCATAATTAACACTGCTGGCGGATTCGACCCTCACGCGTTTTGCCTGTGTGCGGACATATGAGCAGCAAGATGACTAGCAACTGACAACATCAGCTGGCGGTCGGGACGAGATGCACCACCAGGGACGGGAAGAGAAAGGACCTCGCTTTCGACAGGCACCCCCTGGCTGCCGTATTGGATTTTTCATCAGACCGGCCGAGCACTCAGAGTCTAGACACCCCCCTTCCCTTCGCACGCGCTCGTCAGCCAACCAGAATTTTCTGCAGGATACCTAGCGGGCGAGCAGGGGTGGTAATCTCGACAGAATTACGTCACTTCGTCGCCCAGATTGCGGTTGCAAGTATCTCCACAGTGCAAGGGCTGGCCAACTGTACGATGTCTCGGCTTTGACTTTGAGGACCGTAAAACGTGCCGGTGGATCGTCGATACGGTGGTGTCATCGAGGGCTACTGGAGATCGAACCAGCTCCCACGGCCAGCTGCTGGCTTGCTAAGCTCGGAACTGACCACTTCTTGTCATTCTACACCAAAAGAATATCGCCCAGTTCTGAAAGCAGCCACGATGTTGACGCCTCGCGAAGGGTTAGTGGTGCTGCGAGCACACCACTCCCATGCGACACGTGTGGGAAATTTGGTGCAGTGGATGAGACCGGGCGTGTCTGTCCGGCTTGCCAGGTGTGCGCGTGTCGAAGCTGCGTCGGCTCCACAGGAACAAGCATTCGACTGGGCACAATATGAAGTTACCTGGGAGGCGGCCGACGTTTGAACAAGGGAGCCCTGGCACGACCACCTGGGCACACCATTGCTTGTGAGACCTGCGGGCGCCAGCAGCCTTCAGTGCCTCGCTCCAACTTGCACCCATGCTTGGTCACCAACGGCTCCGGGCCCATGGGCCCCGTTCGGCTGATGACGTGTGTTTTACGCACTGTCTCGCAGGACATCCAGCCATCTCAACATCACCAAAAGCGAGTTGTGTGCGTGTGGACGGCTCGCTCCGACCATCCAAGACAAAACAACCACCATGAGATCCGAGGTCGCAGATCAGTCTACCGGGCCCAGTAATGTTTCGCTCCGGATTCTCGTGCTGCAGCAAGCGGTCTGAGGGATGCACGATCTGAAATCGGCACATGTTGTTCCTGCAGCTTCACTAGCTATGATTCTCGGACCTGGCATCCGACCTCTTTTCCGGATAGGCTTTGCACCTGTTGCGAGGCAAATGGCCCTCTCATGAACTAGCGTTTGGCTCTGTCCTCAGACACGTAATAGTGATCGAACAGCTGGCCAGCAGGCAGTCACAGGGGCTTTGATGGCACGTTGTTGCTCAACTCCCCATACCCATCGCGTGATGCTTGCAGGTTCCGCAGGGGAACACGCGCCCCACCTGGAACTCCGCAAAAACCCAGCAGGACCAGCGTCGATACGGACTTGAGTTCACTAGACCGTTTTGGCTTCCGCTAACGTATCGAGGCTCCAGTCTGTCTGCGTTTCATTCTTCATCTCGAGTATGGATCCGCACGCGCGCGCGCACTGGCGGCCACCTCACCCGGTCCTCTAAACCATCCTGGGAATAGAGACCCAGACAGATCTCGCTTCGGCGCAGATGCTCCGCCCACGCGTGTCGCTCGCGTCTCTCGGCGCGCCTGGCGGGCGCATTTAGTAATATCAAGGACTGGTGCAATCTGAATCGTAACTCTTCCTCTGGAGCTGAGGCGGGCGGTCGAGCTTTGGGGGGGTTGCAACGCGAAGGAATATTGTCTAGGCTAGAAGCGATGGCACACAGATGGACACCCCGTGTTGCCGAGACTGGCTAAATGCCTGGTTCAAGAAGCGACGCTCGACTTATTCGGCTCGTGCTATTGCACGAAAGTGCCGTATTTGTACTTGGCAAAACAGGATGGCACTGATGGGGCTGAGATCGAGCTGTTCGGTGCATGGCCGTCTCGATCTTGAACTACCCACCCATGCGGGCGGGACAACGCCTTGCCGATATCGAATACTGTTGGAATGGCCAATTGTTTCTCCCAGCCAATAGGCGCCACCCGGAAAAGTTGCTTGGTACGCAAGAATTATCGGGTGCTCTGATGTCTGATGAGAGGCTGGGTAACATCACATGTCCTCCTCCCACTCAAGATGACCGGCAAAGTCTGCAGCTGGAGCATTGTCAATCCGATAGTCCTGGAGTGTGTCTGCAGTTGATGTCCGCAGCCTCAGGTGCCCGCTCAGCTGGATGGACCCTGGAAAAGATGGGGCAAGCTGGCTTGCTGCTGCTGTGGCTGTCAACAGCGGGCTCCAAGGTGGGTGAAGTGGGGCCGCTCGTCGTCGCCGCCCGTTTGGGACTAATTTTTTCGCTTGCAACATCAGCATCCATCACACCCAGTGACTTTCTGGGCGTGGACTGACAACGGCTTCTTGTTACGAGAGCGGGACGTATCGAATCACCGCAGCGCATAGCCTCAGATACTTGGGACAACTTCTAGGCATTCTCCCAGGGCATTGCGACGACAAAACCTTAGAGTCCCTGCAGCCACAGTATTCCAACAGCCCCGCTTTCCAGGGTACTGGTATAAAAAGAAAAGGTACCCGGGTGTCAAGGCCGTCGACACGATTTCAAAGACGGCAGCATGGTTCGGCGAAAGGAGCTTGTTGGCTCGGCCAAGCCCAAGGGAAAGAAAGAGCAGGTTCGACAAATGATTCCTGTTTCGGTCATGTGCCAAACATATGCTGAATCATGAAAAACAGAAGAAACTCGAGACTGCTGACGACTTTCTAGCTGGTGAGCCATCATTCCTGATACTACAAATTGATCATCAATACAATGAACAGTCTGCTGACTACACCATGTGTGCTACAGCTGGTGTCGAGCATGAGGAGGCTGCGGGCAAGTGGCGTGCAGGAGACGCCGCCAAGTCAATGAGGTTCTTCCAGCGCGCGATCGAGGTGTACGAGCAGGGTCTTCAGGCGGCGCCGAACAGTCTCGATCTCGCCTACAACAAGTGAGTCGTCGTCACTGACTTACCCCAAGCTTTGTACCTTGGTTCACGCAAAGCCGTCCTGTAAGCATGAGTATATGCTAAACTGTTCTCGGTGCAGAGCCCGGGTGCAGCTCGAGATATGTACACATCCTGTCCTGGTCAGCCAGCTCAAGCAGCCCTTGCTCGAGGTCCTACAGATAGCGCTGGCCTCACATCGATATGCCTTGCAGCTGGGCGCGGACAACATCGACACGTTGTTCAACACGGCGCAGGTCCTCAGGAGCATCGCCGAGGAGGTTGCTGGTGCAGACGACCTCCCGAGCTCGGATGCGATCAAGCTGCTCGAGGAGGCGTGGGAGCTGCAGAGCAAGTGCTTTGAGATCCAGAAAGTGCGGTATCTGGAGAGCCAGGAAGAGGAGCGGATAGCCAACGAGCAGGCCGCGTCGGAGAGCAGCTCGGCAGTACCGCCGCCCGCACCAGAAACACCAGCTGAAGCTGGCGCAGATGGCGCCGAGGAGGATCAAGGGGAGGAAGAGGAGGAGCAATGGGTCAGCGTCGTGGAGCCAGTCACCAAGGACACCCTCATCGACACCGTTGTGTCGCAGCTCGAGACGCTCACGACGCTCTGCAGCATATTGACAGATGCGCCTGATTCAGCACCCCCATCTGCGCTCAGTTTTGCCGAGAAGCACTCCACAGACTTGGTACAGTCGCTGCCCGAACTCACACGCGACAACACTGAGCGGCTACAAGAAGTTGCCTTGGCAAAGGCCAACTTCGTCTCGTCGCTGCTAGCGGCGGGCACGAAAGCAGGCAAGCTCGAGCCCGCGACTTATAAGAAGGAGCTCGACGCGGTTTTTGGGGCGCCTGAACTACAGGCGCAGTCCTCGGTGGATGTCCTCCTCGCCTACGCGAAAGCCCTCATCACGTTCAACTCGACGTTCCGGGACAACTTTGCGTACGACCCCACGACAACATCGACCGCGAGATGGAACTCGCTTACCCAAGCAAGCGAGCGCCTCACTGCCGCCTCCAAGATTGCTGGAATCGACCAGAGCGACCTCGCCACGACACACCTGCTCCGCGGAGACTGCTCAATGTACCTGCACAACCTCCAGTATGCGCCGGCGTCGCACAAGGCGGCGGCCGAGCGGGCGGCGCAGCTGCTCAAGAACGCCGAGATATTCTACCGCAACGCACAGAAGCTGAGTGCGAACGCGGAGGAGAAAGGCGTGGCGGGCGTGCGGTCCTCCGTCGCCGGGCTGCTGCAAGCGCAGGGCCAGGCGTATAGTGTTGAGAAGGTGCTGTCGGCTTGTCCGCAGGGCCAGCAGTGGGCCATTGAGCAGCTCGAGGACATGATGGCTGAGGGTTTGTTGCCGCCGCATCCGCAGATGGGTTGATGTTACCGAGCTCGGCGGAATCAGAACTAGGCATGGGCAGTAGAAATCTCACGAAGATGAGCAGACGAAGAGCTCAACTTGCAAATGTGATGGGCTTGCTCAAACTGCTTCCCGTGACCATTACCAAGTCGCTGTGATTTTTCATTTCTATGGACAGTGAGCCTACATCTTGGCCCCGGCCTGGCTGCCCTTGACAACCTTGAACCCATGCCTCGGCGCATGCACCCTCACAGCCTTGCCGTCTTTGCTCAGAACCTCAATGACGACCTCGACGCCATCCATCTTGACCAGCGTACCCGAGTCCTTGTTCACGGGCGCCTGGTCTACCGGCCACATGGTGACCACATCGCCTGGTTGGAACCCAGCGGCAGCAATGACCGGATCGTCGCGCTGTACTCCGCCGGACGGCTCCTCCGCGTACTCGGCACCCAGCACGATGCTGGCGGCCTCTTGGCCCTTGACGACGTCCGGCTTGGCGGCACTCTTCTTGACGAACTGGTCGAACCGCGCGATCCACGCAAACGTCTTGGGGTACCGGCCCGCGCCGACAACCTCCGCGGGCAGGGCGCCAGGCATGGTGGTCAGCCAGTGCAGGACAAACACGGCCTCGATGTCACCCAGGCTCGGCCCTTGCCCACCAAAGACCCAGTCCCGCCCGTCGGCGAGGAGCGTCCCCTCCAGGAGCTCGACGAAGCGCGCAATCTCGACCAGCGCGGCCGGCCGCGCGGCCGCCAGGCTCGCGGGCGAGAACGCCTTGCCGTCCGGCTTGCCCGTGACGAGCTGGTTTCGGTCCCTGACAAAGTGCTCGTTCCTGAGGGCCGGCGAGTCGGCGGGCATGAGCTGTGCCGCGCGGCCGAACAGCGCGCCGGGGGACTCGTTGACGTGGCGCGAGAGCAGCTGCTGGAGGGCCCGGTGCTCGGGGGTCTGCGGCGAGATGCCCGGGTATTGTTGTTGTTCTTGGCCCGACCTCGTGGGGTAGAGCTGCTCGAGCTTGGCGATGATGAGCCGCGTGTCGAGGTATACGTCCCGCCCGATGGCCAGCAACGGGATGCGCCGGTAGGACAGACCCAGGAGTTGCAGGTCTGGGCGCGGGAGGATGGGGGGTTGGTGCTGCGCCGGGAAACCGTGTTAGTGAATATTTTTGTGGAATCTTGGGAAGCAATGGGTGTGATCCTGTGGTGTAGGGGTGGATCGTGTTTGTGTTGCAGAACGGGGGATGGTTGATGGTTCACGATAATTCTGCGTGTCCTGCTGCGGAAGTGGACTTACACAGGTCTTGAAGGGGATCTTGCGCAGGTTCAGGTACCAGACGAGCCGTCGGCCGTACGGTGAGCCGTCATAGGTGTACAAAACGATCGGGAGATCTTGGACCGCCATGTTGTCCACAAGCCGAGCTTTTGTGACTTGTGTGTGAAATTTGAAGATATCGTACAAGCAGAGATATGCCCCGCGACGTTCTCTCGCAAGTTTTCAGTGGTAGGTGAATCGTTGTGGTTTGCGACACTTCAAGAACTGCAGCTCAGAGGTGTCACAATTCCTTTTTTGTTGTGAAGGACAGAACCTCGGAAGAACGAAGCAAGGCCCCCCGGATCAGAAGATCCCCGTATTCCTGCCCCCATGCCCCAACTGGCCCCGTTGTCCAGAAAAGCTCTTGTTTCACAACCGTGCCTCGAGGTGATCGATCGGCTAGGCCCGCTTACCCCGTCATCTACCACACCGCCCCCCACCAGATAGTTGTGCCTCGGCTGCACTAAAAGTACGTACTTAGGTAGCCAGCAAGGAACGTGTTAATTGCCCCTGCATGACCGAGGCGCAACTGAGATTCGGTCCTTGATAGCTCCATATAGCCTAGCTACGGGGCACACCAAGTTGGGCATCTGCCCCTGGCCTTTGGCTGGTCCGAAAACCTTAAGGAAATCACAGTCGCATTTGTGCGAACCCCGACTCCCCAACTTCGATCGATGCTGGACCTTGGCAGTTCGTCTCCACCCCCAGCCTCGAAGGTTGGATGTGGGCATGTTCAGGGTCGCGGTCCGATGATCTCTGCTTGGCATTTGTCCCTAAGCCGGGAGAAGTACGTCACTCTTCAGTTTGGTCCTATGATATTTCAAGCTCAACCCAGATCTGTCGGATTGCGGTCCTGCGATATGTATTCTTTGTCTATATTCAAATCTATAATATGGCGGTCCATAGATATAATCCAAGAAGGCGGTCATGTATGTCCTGGAGTAAGTGCTAGAAAAACAAGACTATATGCGCACGATCCATGCTGAAGATGAAGCGCCTGGTCAAGCTCAGTAAGACTGCTCTGATTCAGTGCGGCTTCGCACTTGCGGACCTGCAAATGGCTTCGAGGTATTGCGTGATCGTCGTCTTTCGTGTCGTCGTGATATATATACGCGTGAAATCGTTCAAACTCCCGTCCTTACTGCTTCTGGCCATGCACAAGGGCCAATTCAATATACTAGCATGGCACCAAGCACACCCGCAGTCAACATTGCAGCCACCGCACCACTCAATGAGCCCCGCAACGAGTTGCCAGAGCTCGGCAGCTCCTTGTTCACCGTCGCGACCGGCGTGCCTGATACTAGCGTACAGCTCGCCGTGCCGCACTGGTACCCGCTCGGACAGCAGCCCGCGATGGGCCCGGCGTCCTTGCCGCACAGGAACCACCCGCCGGCGCAGGTGCTCGTGGGCAGTGCGTTCGCGGCGTCCTCGGCGTCGGTGACCGGGACCACCACCGTGACGCCGTTGTTTGTGTATGTCGTCATGGCTGGCGGCGGCGGGCACGATGTCGTCGCGCAGTCGCGACCGGTGCGGCAGCACCCCCCGCCGACACCGACGGCTAGGCAGGCATAAAAACCTGTCGGGCAGTAGTTTGCTGGCGCTGTGGGCTGGACCGGGGCAATCGCGCTGCCCAGGCTCGAGGATCCGGTCGGGGAGGTGGAGGGGTCGTCGTCGGTCTGGGTCTGGGTGGTGGTGGAGGGCTCTGGCGGGTTGTTCGTCTTTGTGCTCGTCACTGTCCTTGTGGTCGGCTCGATGGACGGGGTGACGGTCACGACAATGGTGGTTACGACTGTTGATGGTGTTGGCTCGTTGACGACAGTCGATGTGACGGTCGTCTGAGTGATGAGCGAGACCCACGATCCAATGCCTGCAGAAATGAGTACGATGGTCAGCCTTGATAGCTCTGCAGTACAGTCACATTATGGTGCCAGGTCATGAACACTTACAGCCAACGTTGGCACAGACATAGCCTGGTATACAGCACCCGCCGCCAACCTCTGCAGCACACGCCGTGCTCCCTCCCGCGCAGTCGCCTACACTCCCGACACAGTTCTGGCCGTTTGGGCAGCACCCGACGTTGCCAGCGGCCGGGGCGCCCTCGACCGAGAAGCACGTCGTCCCGGACGCGCAGCAGTAGTCCGGCTGCCCGATATTCGTGCACGCCGCCGTGTTGTCCGGGCATGAGAACTGCCTGCCCTGCAGCCGGTGCAGCACATCTCTCTGTGCCTTCTCGGCCGCCGCGGCTCTCGAGTCTCGCGGACTGCTGTTGCTGTTGCTGCTGCGCGACAGAAGATGTATGCTCCACGGCGGCTGGAAGGCAGCATACGAGTCCTCTGGAAAGGTGGCGGCGCGGGAGCCGAGGTATCCCGCGTCGAGCTGCGCTGCCTCTGCGAGAGGATACTGCCGCGGCACGGCGAAGGCGACGTACTCGGGCATCAGCTTCTGGCCCTCGTCGAGCGACATCTTGCGCACGGCCGTGGGGAGGACATCGCTGCTGCCACGGACAAGGAGCGGCGATGTGCTGGAGACAAGGAGGAGGAGCTGGAGAAGATTTGCCGGGAGTAGTGGCGGATGGTGCATTGTGACAACAGGAAACACACGCTGCTCGCTGTGTGTTGTAGGGTCCTAATTATGTGAGACTGATGACGGAGCTCCTCGAGCTAAGCTTCATTCGCGTGGGATTCCAAGAAAGCTTGGCGGGATGTCTCGCGACGGGTAGCTTGCTCCTGGGGTCGTGAATGTCGTGGCCTCCCAGACTGAGTGAAGAATGATTCCAATCCAGGCGAGATCATCTGCTACCGAGCAGGAAACGGTGAGTCCCTGCGGGCTGCCTGGAAAAGGGCAAGAACAGGGTCGTCTTTGGGCACTTGCAGCTTGGTCGGTCAATGCACAGACGTCAGTCAGTCCGTAAGTCGGTGGCTGGCAATCGATGCGCTAGCGCCCAATCTGCGTGCGCCTTGAAAAGACCCCGTATCCACGCGCTCGGGTGGGCTTCTTTTTGGCCCATACATAATTACAGGGGTCGCCCTGCATGAGCCGCTGTCAGGGGTGCAGGAGACGGGCCATTGTGTATGTCCCATGTCTCAAGAGTCCTTGTGACAGTCGAGATAAGGTTTCTCTGACGCTTCTGGGCGCAGTAACCACTAAACGTGCATCGACATAGTAAGGCGAACCAAGTCAAGACAAGCTGGGCACCGCGATACCTTCTACGTAAAGAATCATTCCATCTATTTCTAGACTCCCAACATGGTCGTACACAACGTAACATACATGGTCGTGCAAAGATCGTGATCGCTATGCTATACATCGGTTATACATCGTTTAAGTGATACAGATTTATACATATCGCAGGTGGAGGACAGGTACAGGCCCCTAGAACATAGCCTCCTCGTCCTGCTCACGCTCAACGAATCCCTGGCTTCGTAGCACATCGCTCGTTTGCTTCTTCAGGAATGATTGGCACAACAGTGCCGTTGCAACGCTGGCGTTCAGACTATCGACCACTTCGAATAAGCCCGACGCGCTGGGGATTGAAACCTCGTGGTCCGAGATGCGGCGGACCTGCTTGGCCAGACCCTCACCCTCACTGCCGATGACCAAGATTGTCGGCTGGCTTGAGAGCGGGTCGTATGACTCGACACGGTCGATGGACAGGTGTGAGTTATTCCTCATGCGTGACGTTGATGGGACCGCGGCGTATACCATCCAACCTGCATCCTTGGACTGCTCCAAGAAGCCGAGAGTCGACTTGACGGAGAACAGCGTCATCACCTCCGCAGCACCCGCAGAGGCTTTGAGAGCGACGGGGGTCAGGCCGGCCGAACTATCCTTGGTGATTGCAACAGCACTGACACCGAGGAAGGCTGCTGACCGAAGGATCGCACCCAGATTGCCAGGGTCGAGGATGCCGTCAAGGAGAAGGACAAGCGGGTGACGACCGGCTGGGAGGTCGTGGGCTACGAAAGTGGACGTGCCGTTGACCTGCGCCTCTTCCGCAGACTGGTGAGCCAGCTCCAAGTGGAATCCCGGCTTTGTGGCTTCTTCAGACTCCACGCCGAGCCCCTTGACCGGAATCTGGGGCAAGGGTGATGCTTCGAGGATGCAGCCATTGTGAGGCCGTCCCCCACTCATCTTGTCCAACATGCGCAGGCCCTGCTGGTCCCTGACCGGGATGCATTCGACTTTGCGCGACTTGGCAAGACCAAGAAGATACTCGTCCTGCGTGAGACTCTGTCTATCCTCGCCACTATAGACATAGAAGCGATAGAGCTGTCTCCGCGAGTGCTTCAATGCTGACTCAACGACGGAACGCCCGTAGAGGAACTGCGACGCAGCAGTGGTGTGATGAATACGTATCGGTCCTTCGTCACGTGGAGAAACCCGGGAGACAGTAGGCTGTGGTGCCTGCTCGTCTCGCGGGTTGCTAGCCTTCTCATCGCCTGCGTGACGATGGCCAGTCTCTCGAGGTACAAAACTTGAGCTGCGTGGCGGCCCCTCGCGGGATTCCGTCCTGGAAGCATCGCGCTCGAACGACCTCGGTGGCCTCCGCCCGTCTGTTTGTCGCTGTGGTCTTGCGCCAAAGTCACGGTCTTGCCTCGGTTCGAATCTGTCTTGACCTCTCCGCTCCGAAAACCGGGATGTCCTGTCAAAAGATTGTCTGCCGATTGCCCGATCCGGATCGCTTCTGCCTCGCCTCGAATCGCCAGACTCCCGCCTCCGGTCGTTGAATCTGCTATTCCGCGAGTCTCCCTCGGCATCCGCACGAGTCAACTTCTCCATCTCCGATCTCAAGTTACCGTGCTTGATCTGCCATACTTGGCTCTTCTTGCCAAACGTCTCGGTGGGGTCGTTGAACCGCGAGCGCCTCGACTTTGGCTGTGGTCCTTTGTCGGTGATGTCCTTCTTCCCCTTCTTGATTTTGTAGGTCGGGGCCTTCCAGCCAGGGTCACGTCTCTGCCGGGAGGTCGTCCGTCGTCCGTTCTTGCTACCATTTGAAGCAGCCTCGAGAGCCTTTAACTGGAACCCTTGTGGACGGGCTTTCTCGGAATCGCGGAGGCCACGATGTATAGCACTGAGAGATGATGATCGGAACGTTGTCGTCGATGGAAGAGCCCTGGTCCTGAGGGCAAGATTGCGCATCATCAGCTGCTGTCCTGCCGACAAGCATGCTGAGGGTATCGGAAGCCTCATTGTGGCGGCGTATTGCAGGAAGTAGAGCGTAGAGGAAGAGAAGTCGATCGTCGCATGTATGATAAAATGAGAGTTCAGAAAGGAGATGAAAATTGAGGTCTAGGTCAAAAAGCCAGGACAGAGACACGCAGAAGCAGAATGCAGTGCTGGCTGCATCAACGCTGAAGTCTTGTTGCAGATGGGAAACTTTTTGGATCCGCCTTGAATGGCAGGGGACGTGCAAGGATGCACAACGCGCCAATCAGCTGTCGAGCGCACATGCTAGACCCCGGGACTTTCAGAAGCTCCGCGCAGTGACGGCGCGCTGACCCCACGCTGAAAGTCTATCTTATCGCGCCCTTAATTGGCGGAACGCGACCCCCATGGCGCGTCTCTACATGCTAACAGACGTCAAGATCGCTGGCCACGAGAGCTTGGCTCCATCCCCAGCGACTTTTTTTTGGACACGACAAACGGCAGGGCGCAATGATCAGACTTCAACACGACACGGAGAGGCGTTCACAACTCTGCCCAACACCAGTTCTACGTACTCGAAGCGAAGAATCCGACAACGTAGCGATACACCACAGCCAATCCACCCCAATTGTACCCATAGATCAGGCACGGGTCCACCCAAGCTGCGAAGCATCCGCGTCGCCTCACTCCCGCACCGGGCCAGGCATGATGGATGATGGAGCGGAACGCCACAGGTGACACCATGGAGGACCCGGAGTGGCACATGACCCTCAATTCTCTTCTGGCCATGCCAGATGAGACTGTGGTTCTCCCGGTAGACGACTACCTCGACATGGAGGTCGACTACCCGCACGCCGACAACCCCGAACAAGCGGCTCCCGTCCTCTTCGCAGACATGCAGGCGCAAGACTTTATCGATGAAGATGGTCTCCAGTCTAGAGCTGCAGTCTCAGAGCCGCCGTCAGATCACGCCGAGTCCGAAGCAGTACGGCACACAATCGAGGATGGGGATCTGGAGGGGGGACACGCCGCTGTTGACGATACCGACAGCCCATTACTGCACGATCATAAGCCCGAAACAGAGCATGATGGAGACATCATGGATCTGGACGTCAACGACCAACACACCGAGTCGGTAGCGTCCTCAGAACCGGACGATTCAGCATTTGGATTTGCGGACGTGTCAGTCGCAAAGCACTTGCCAATAGAGATTGTGCTTAATCCCCCATCGGACCCGGCCTCGTATATGATACTGCCGCCAAGCGAGACTGTGGAGAGGATCTTGGATGAAGTTGAGGTGGACGGGCAGACATTTTTCTCTGTAGAGTACACGGACGGACGAATAGAGCAGGTAAGAACACGGCTGGCCACTTGGCCATTGTCTATTGTTTTCCATTTGCACAATACCCTGCTCGCCATATATGCCCAGTCTGAAGTGGCAAGTGCCGGAGACATCATACTGCTACGCAAGGACTGCGTCTTGCCTTTGTTCGCCCACTCTTATACTGTCCTCTTCTCACCACTGGCACACCTCAACTTCATAACTACAGCAAGTACCCCATGGCCACGACCTGTGGTCAGTCTTCGATTAATCACTTGTCATAGTCCTGTTCCTTCCTTCCCTGTGCCCTCTTCCCTCCCCCATCTTGCGTCGCACGGAGGACAAAGCCGCACCCTGTGCTCACCTCATCCTACCTGATCACACCAACCCTTCTCCTTCCTCCCACAACCTATCTCACTGCAATTAAGCAAACGATCCGCATCAACACTCTCGTGGTCTGATGTCCCCAAGTAGCGTCGTGGCATAGACCGTTGCAGCACCATAGGAATCATGGTATGATGGCTTCCTCATATGTGGCAGAACCATCACTTAGCACCATTGTTGTCCCCCGTCTGGCACATACTTGGTTTCATTGGCTCGTTGTGCTTGTTCACCTTGACTTCACTTCTCTATTCGACCACAAGCTCTCCACTGCGCATACTGACATTACTCTCCAGGTTGCCTACGACGACATACTGCAGCAGGAACACGGTCCTCGCGCAATACAGCAGTTCAACTATGATTCTCGATTCAACTTGTCACATCGATCGAATTTCATGATGCAGAGTAACCACATAGAGCGGCGGCCTGAGGCTGACTACGAAGACTCTGATGAATCAGAGCCAGAAGCTTCTTTCCGTCCCCGACGTCCGGCTCGTCCGGCTCGTAGAGTCAGTCGTCGTACCTCCCGACAGACTTCCAGTACCAATGGCGTCACGAGCAGGCACCCAACTCTACTCGACGATCATGACGAGTTGAACAACGAAGACGACAGTCTGCTTGATCCAGTTGCCAGGAACGCCGACGATGACGATGAGCAGTCCTCTTACGGCAGAAATGGAACGCGCGTGACTCGTTCGAGGAACCCCCTCCTCAAGAACTACAACTTAGAGGAGTCCGCCGATGAGCTGTCGCAGATCATCGATGACTCTGACAGCGATGGTGGGGACTGGATCCTCGCCTCAGATCTCAATCCCAAAAAGCCCAAGAAAAAGAGAGCAACCCCGCGACAAAAGAAGAGTTTCAAGAACCATCAATCTACCAGTCAAGGAGGCCGAGAGTCATCGATCGAGTTTGAGCCAAGCCGACGATCAAAGCGCTCCACCAAGCCTGCCAAAAGCATGCGTGATCCTGATGTGGAGGAAGACTTCTTCGTTGTAGAGGACAAGTCTTCCGGTCTGCCAAAGATTGCCGCCGTCAAAGAGGTGTTCCGCAATGTAGCAACAGACGATCCATTCCGCGCGAGGCACTCAACCACTTGCGAGACATGTCAAGGCAGGGAGAACAATGGTAGAGGAGTCCTCGTCTTCTGTCAAGGATGTTCTTATACCTACCACAAGGGCTGCATTGGACTCCGTTCCCAGCGCGACCACCGAGTGACAAAGATCAATGACGAGGCGTTTGTCCTGCAATGCAAGTTCTGCATCGGCATATATGGCAAGAAGGATCATCGCGCTCCTGACCATGCGCTCTGCCAAGAATGCCACAAGGAAGGCAAATCTTGCCGGGAGTTTTCTTCGAAGAAAACGCCGAAACAAGAGGAAAAGCTGCGTGAGGAGAATGGCGGAGAGGATCCGATCACAGAGGTATCCAGCGATCGTCTGAACAATCCACATAACGTGCTGTTCCGATGCATGACCTGCCGTCGCGGCTGGCACCACGATCACATGCCATCCAAGAACGCCGCAAATGGCGACGATACCAAGGTTACAGCCACCAGAGGTGAATGGAAATGTGCCGATTGTGCTGGTGCAACCCAGAGGCTCCATGTTCTGGTTGCTTGGAGGCCTGTCGATCAGTTGACTTACAGGCCAGGTCAACATCATACCGATTACTCTGAGCAGGAAATCGAGTATCTAGTCAAGTGGGAAGGTCGCTCGCATTTCCACGACAAATGGATGCCAGGTGCATGGGTCTATGGCGTGGCAACTCCCGCTATGCGCAAAGCCTTCTACAAACGTGATACGACGGCTTTGCCTCAGATGGACTTGAAGGCCGCGGTCGCCGAGGAATGGATCATTCCCGACATCATCTTCGACGTCAAGTATCGACACTCGCATAAGGCGCGCAGCAAGGCTGAAGAGCAAGGCTTCATTAGCGACATCAAGTCTGTCTACGTCAAGTTCCAGGGCCTGAGCTACGAGGAGACTGTCTGGGATGCGCCTCCTCCCCGAGATTCAGTCTGGGGCGAAGCTCCATGGGAGGCCTTTCAAGATGCTTTTGCAGAGTACCTCAACGGCAAACACTTCGCATATGTTCCCGAGGGCAAGTTGCGGGAGCGAATTGCGATGTACCGCAGACTCAATTTTGAGGACGAGTGTGAGCTTGACAAGCAGCCTGCATTCCTGAAGCGCGGCGAGCTCATGGGCTACCAACTTGAGGGCGTGAACTGGCTCTTGTACAAATTCCATCAACAAGAAAATGCCATTCTGGCAGACGAGATGGGTCTGGGCAAGACGGTGCAGATAGTCGCCTTCCTCGCGGCTTTGGCTCTCCATCAACCCAAATGCTGGCCGTTCTTGGTCGTGGTACCCAACGCGACTTGCCCAAATTGGCGCCGGGAGATCAAGAAATGGGCGCCTGATCTTCGCGTGGTGGCGTACCATGGCGGGAGGGTTGCCCAGCAGTTGGCCTGGGACCACGAGCTCTTTCCATACGGCAGATCCGATGGCATGAAAGCACACGTGGTGATCATGTCGTTCGAAGCCGCCACCAACATGAAGGCACAATTTGGAACAAACACAAAATGGGCCGGCCTGATTGTTGACGAGGGCCAGCGACTCAAGAATGAAGACTCATTGCTCTACCGGGCCTTGTCAGACATGCGTTTCCCTTGCCGGATCCTGCTTACGGGTAAGTTGCTTCTCTGACACCGCTCGGCAAATCTACCTACTGACGAAATACACAGGCACACCGTTGCAGAACAATAAGAGGGAGCTGTTCAACTTGCTCCAATTCATTGACCCTAACAATGATGCTCAGGCGCTTGACCTCAAGTACGCCGAGCTCAACAAGGACAACCTCCCTGAGCTGCACAACCTCATCCGACCATACTTCCTCCGCAGAACGAAGGCGCAGGTGCTACACTTCCTTCCACCCATGGCCCAGATCATTCTGCCGGTGAGCATGTCTCTGCTGCAGGAGAAGCTGTGCAAATCTATCATGGCGAGGAACACTGAGCTCTTGAAAGCCATCGTCTCCAAGAAACAGATGAAATCTGGCGAGCGCAAGAGCCTGAACAACATCTTGATGGATCTTCGTCAGTGTCTGTGTCATCCCTTCTGCTTCAATGCAGACGTTGAGGACAAGACTGCCGATACTGAGCAAATGCATCGCAACCTCGTCGCGGCTTCTGGCAAGTTGATGCTTCTCAACGTCATGCTGCCCAAGCTGCAAGAGCGAGGCCATCGCGTTCTCATCTTCAGCCAGTTCCTGCACAGTCTTACCATCCTGGAAGACTTCCTCGCCGGTCTGGGTCTGGAGCACTTGCGCATTGACGGCTCCATCTCTGCTCTAGAGAAGCAGCGTCGCATTGATGCTTACAACGCGCCTGACTCTCCCGTCTTTGCCATGCTTCTGTCCACCAGAGCTGGTGGTGTCGGCATCAACCTCTACACTGCGGACACGGTCATCATCTACGACCCGGACTTTAACCCTCACCAAGATTTACAAGCGCTGTCGCGTGCCCACCGAATCGGCCAGAAGAAGAAGGTATTATGCTTCCAGCTAACCACCAAGAACACAGCCGAGGAGAAGATCATGCAGGTCGGCCGCAAGAAGATGGCTCTGGATCATGCGCTGATTGAGAGCATGGATGCCACAGAGGACGCTGGCGGCGATCTCGAGTCAATCTTGAAGCACGGTGCCGCAGCACTGTTTGGCGATACCAGTGAGGACAAGATTGTCTACGATGCCGCCTCGGTCGACAAGCTTCTTGATCGCAGCAGTATCGAGGTGACCAACAAGGGGTCCGACGAAGAAGCAGCGAATGAGAACCAGTTTTCCTTTGCGCGAGTCTGGCAGAACGACAAGGACGAGCTCGTCGAGAACGACGACTCTGCCGAGAGCCCTGTGGCTGACATTGACGCCGCCGTCTGGGAGTCGATCCTCCGTGAACGTCAGGAGGAGCACGAGCGTGAAGCTGCTGCCAAGAGACAGGTGTATGGGCGCGGTGCTCGGAGAAAGACCGCGCTTGGCGTCCGCTACAACAAGCACGTAGGTTACGAGGGCCTGTCTGACAACGATGACAAGGTATTGACTGAGGAAAAGCAGCGAGACGACGACGGAGATGGCTCCGAAATGGACGTCGACCAGGATTACAGCGATGCCAACGATGAGGACGATGACAGCGAGACGGCTTCCGCTACCCAAGGAAAGTCTCAAGGTACGAAGCGGCAACGCAAGACCTCTACTGTGCAATCTAACAAGAAGCCCAAAACTGACGTGGTGGTGCCACCCAGACGAGCCAAGGGTGCCGGAGCAAAGACCTCTGAGGGGACCATCAGCACCGGCAGTGAAAGAATTCCCGACAAGAGCGGCGGCGAAACAGAGCAAGTCATCTTCCTCTACAACCCTGATGGCACACCACCGGAACTCAGCGACGCGCCACCCCCCACCGGATCACTCGGCGGAAGCAGCACTGAACGAGCTACTGGCGAGGACCAACAGGGAAAGACATCCTCAGACATTCGTGCCACCCCCACTACTCAGTCACAGATTCGGTTCCGGGTCACAAAGCCATCATCAGCAGGGGCAGCCGCCTCCGGCTCAGCAGCAGAGACCAGTGCCGGCAGCAGTGCCAAGCCATCCGGGCCCCCGCCGCGGTCGCCCGCCAAAGGAGCGACCGGCCAAGCCGGCACAGAAGACAGTCCAGCAGCGGCTGATGGAGCAGATGGGGACAAGTAACGTCCACATTGCGTTCTATCTGTCAATGACGAGGTCGAAGGTGTGCGTTGCTTGCGGGAGCAGGCACGCCGTTTCCACGAGCTGCATCGACTTCAACTCGGAGGTCTCGTTGAGACATGCCATCGACGCATACCGCGCGTACCAATGGGGTAATGAGTACCACAACGACCTGATGAAGAAGTTTCTGCGGGACCGGCTGATGGAGGTCGTGGTAGGACGGGCGGCCGAGCAAGGGCATTTGCCGGTCTTGCCCTCTTTGTGAAGGTATAAGCAGAACCTTGTTCTATGGGCAAGCGATTGAATTTTCAAGCAAGGCGAGTGGGCAAAGGGAGACAGACTCACAGGGGGGAATGAGAGAACAAAGCATAGCGTTACGGAGTTGATTGAGAGAGATCTCTCGGGTGCATCCAATGACAGCCCGCAGCGCATTCATGGGGATTTCAGGCATAGACTAGGCGTCTTGGGCGAGAGTACAAGGTATCGTTTTGGTTTGCGGTGTTCTACTGGATTTTACCTCCTCGAATGCGTACTAGCAGGCGCGACATGCATTAGAAAGATGCCTTGCAAGATAGACGAGGCAAGAGATACCCAGGAGACGCGAATGAGACAATGATTAAGCGGAAAGATGTGTTGCTGTGTTGTGCCCGTGTGAGAGAAGTGGCGGAGGGTTGCTTTTTTTTTGTTTTTTTTTGGACAGCGAGAGAGCTGGTAGTGACGATGGGATTGTCAACACTGCGTCTTTGTCGATGCCAATAGGCCCCGCGCTCGGGTTTTGGGGGGTTGGGCGCCAACAGCAGATGCACCCTACTTCATGACTGCCTATCCTACACAAGCCTGCCCACACGACTGGACAGGGTGTACGCGTGCAGAAAGGGCACCTCGCAAAGATTGTGTGCGCGTACTTGAGGTAAGTAGCATAGTTGATGGCCTATGTTATCGAGCCGAGTAGTGCTGATGGGGCTTTTGTGACTGAGGCATGTTGATGGCCCCTTGATGGCCCCCGGGCTAGTTCTAGATTCGGGGGCTCCTCCACTAAAGCTTGTTTTGTTGCCGATCTCCAGCTTAAGTCTCGCACTCGCTCCCGGCTGGCCCCCGCCCAGTTTCGCACTATTCTAGGTCCCCGAGCGTTGGTGTCCCAGTGCACGTGGGGGAGGGACCTGCTATATTCGAGGCTTTGTCATCAGGCACGCACCGACACGGCCGTCTGCCTGGGCGGGCTGTCGGCGGCCGGCGGTGTTGGCCGCCGACATGGTGTACTGTGGTATGGGTTTGCAAGGGGGCGACCATGCAGCATACAGACATCGGCGGTTTGGAGTGCCCGTGCCGGTCAGCTTTATCAGCCCTGCCCAAGAAACCCTGCGCTTTGAAATGCCACCCAGCAGGGACCGTGTTCTGAAATCTGGGATCTGGAGCTGCAGCTAGGGCTGAGCGCTGCCCCCCTCGGATTCGTAAGCGTAAGCAGCCTACCTATGAGGCAATGCTGCCTTGGGGTAAAGGAACAGGGCAGAAGCCTCGATTCGGTCCCGAAGCTTTGGAGTCCAGAGCATATTGCATTTTTTGGTATGCATGCAGTATCGTCAACAGCATCTGCGATGATGGAGAAGGAACTCATGGCCAATCTCGATTCGGTCCCGAAGCTTGGAGGCAGAGCTAATGCACTTTGGCATGCAGCATCAACAGCATCCGCCATGATGTGAAACTCTGTTTTCCTTTCGCTTCCTTCACTTGAGACATAAATTCGCGCGGCGTCACCAGGCTCTCTCGGCTGATTCTTGATCTCCATTCTTCAGGCACAGTCTCATCTGCACATCGTCATTGTTACCATCGCCGCCAGGGATCATCCGTATATCTTACCTCGAGAATATCTCACACCCCGACCACAACAACGACAACAACAACCAAAGATACCACAATTTCTTCAGCCAATAGGATAGCGCAAATACAAAAGGTTCACCCAAGTCAACAAAGGAACGAAACCCCCTAATCCAAAATGACGTCCTCGGTGTACGACCGCAGCCCAGCCCTCGCGGCCGCTTCCCTCGTCGGCATCGCGGCCCCGACCTTTGGCGCCGGCTTCCAGTTCGCCCTCTCCCACCTCGCCATCCCTCCGCTGCTCGGCAAGCCGCAGTCCTTCACCACGCCCGTATTCGCCCATATCTACCGCGCCGGCGCCCTCGTCGCGGTCCCCTTGTCCGCGCTGGGCTTCGCGAGCGCCTCGGCCGCCGCCTACCTCTCGCACGGGTACCCGGTGACCCCCTACGACTCCGGCTCGCAGGACCGGCTGCTCTCCCCGCGCGCGGCGTGGATCGCCGCCGCCGTGGCGTGCATCAGCATCCCCATCTTCACGGCCGTGTTCATGGCGGGGGACATCAAGCCGCTGCTGCAGCGGGCCGACCAGTTCGCCGCGGGGACGAGGGCCAGCGACACCGTCACGGCGGCCGACGACCAGCTGGTGCAGGGGTGGCTCAAGAGCTGGCGCAAGTTCAACTTTATGCGGAGCAGCATCATGGGCACTGCTGCCGCGTTCGCGGCTTATGCCATCTTCACGGCGCCTTGAAAGGGGGGTGGGGGGAGATGTGTGTATGGGTGTTGGAGGAGGAGGAGGAGGAGCGTGAAGAGGAGGAAGAACAGAAGGATGATGACGATAATGACAACAGATACGGACGGGACGGCGGATACGGGGGGATATCTGCCTTGCTCCCACGGGTATTCGAGATGACAGAATGATAATAGATAGCGGGGTCAATTTAGTGTAGGATGTAATGAGGCAATACAGGATGGAAACCCACAATACTTGCAAGCTTGGCGCTCTTGTCGAGTTCCCAACCACCACCGTCGCATGTGTTTTTGAAGTCGTCGGCTGTCCTGTCCCCGATATGCCAAATGCAGGGACGAAGACGCCTGACAAATGCCACCCTTTAGAAATCAATCAGGCTGAAATCAACCCTCGCCCTTCGCACCGTGCTGTAAGACGATACTGATGGTAGGCTATCCCAAGTTCTCGAGGAAAAGGCACTCGCAGCCAATAACCCACCATCTTTGAAGGCCGGCGAAGATACACCGACATGTATCTACGTTCTGCAAGACATGGAGCATAGGATCATCCCCACCAGGCTTATTTCTTTTTCTTGCAAAATGCTGACGGCAACTGCCATTGGACATGAATACACGCCGCGGGCCTTGTGATTGGCTGCTGACGCTGGGTGCGGCGGAAAGCCTCCCCCCTTGGAGGTCCCTGGGCCTGGGGCACTGCAGTTCCCCACATACAAAAGATGCCAAAAGTTGCAAAAAGATTGTGACGTCGCTCCTCAGCGGCGATGTGGGGTCGGTGATAGGCGAGTATGTCCGTCCCTCAGCCCGCGCGACAACACTCTTTCATCGCAGTTTACTGTGTCTGTCCCTGGGATGAAAACCACGGCAGAGATATGATACAAAGGGATTTTGCGCCCAATGACCCGAAAAGTATTGATGGGTCCCGTTCGGTGATTACGTCGGATCTGCGTAGCGGCAATGCGAGGAGGAGGTCCCTCCCCCTTTCCCCTCCTTGACCATTGACCAGTGCCGAAACCAGGTCAAAGCAGGACGACGAAGGGGGGGGTTGGTTGAAGAGTGCAGAGGGCCTAATCTTTTGCGGAGCCGTGAAAGGCACGGCTGCGATGCATACACTGGGTACATTGCAAGCCCAATGGGTGGACGGCACGGCTGGTTGTCGTTGTTGTTGTCGTCGTTGTTGTCGTCGTTGTTGTCGTGTGTATAAAGTACTCGCTCTGCCCTCGAGGATTTCTCGACCGTCTCTGTGTGAGTTTGTCCAGCATTACGAGCTGCTCCTTCACACCAACCGCCCGCCCTTCCTCTTCTCTACGACAAAATCTCCACAGACAACTACACCACATCAACCACATCATAGAACAGATTCCCCCCTTCACCACCATGCCTCGCGTCTGGATCATCACGGGTGCCTCGTCCGGCTTTGGCCTGCAGCTCGCCAAGATTGCCGCCGCCGCGGGGGACACCGTCATCGCCGCCTCGCGCAACCCGTCCAAGCTCGGCGGCATCCCCGGCGTGACGCCCATGCGCCTCGACCACAACGAGCCGTACCCGCAGGTCAAGGCCGACGTGGACGCCATGGTCGCCCTGCACGGCCGGGTCGACATCCTCGTCAACAACGCCGCGTACGTGCAGACGGGCACCCTCGAGGAGACGACTGCCGACGAGGCCCTGCGTCAGCTGCAGGCCAACGTCCTGGGCCCTCTGAGCGTGTACCGCGCGGTGCTGCCGCACATGCGCTCGCGGCGGTCGGGCGTGCTTGTGACGATCGGCTCGATGAGCGGCTGGGCGCCCTTCAACGCGTGCAACCTGTACGGCATCTCCAAGGCTGCCGTGCGCGCCCTGGGCAACGGTCTCGCGGGGGAAGTCGAGCCTTTCGGTATCAGGCACTGCCTTGTCGAGCCGGGGCCCTTCCGCACGCCCTTGCTCGACCAGGGCGGCAATTTCGCCGCGACAGAAGGCACGGCGCGCATCGACGACTACCGCGCCATGAACGAGCAGACGGACGCCACATTCCGCGGCATGGACGGGAACCAGCCGGGCGACCCGGTCAAGGCGTGCCAGATCATCTTTGACGTCGTGACGCGCGAGCCGGCCGGGGACGTGCCAGAGTACCTGCCCCTCGGCAGCATGGCCGTGCAGGTGATCCGCCAGTGCGCGGAAAAGGTGCTCGCGCAGCTCAAGGAGATGGAGCCGCTGGCCAACTCTGCGGATCTCTAGGTTGGGGCCGAGCAGGGAAAGCGAGGGAGAGAAGCAGGTTGAAGCAAGTTGCAGGCGAGAAGGTATCTTGGTGAGGTTGACAAGAAGTGGCGGGGCGAAGAAAATATACAGAATTGATAGCAAGATGGATGATATGAATACGATACAGCTCCCGTGCAGTTTTTATATATATAACAAACGTCTTGAAATGCTCGAGCAGAGAAAGAGAGTGGCCGAGGCGGCATTTCTACTAAATACAGAGCAACAGCACAAAGACTGGGACCAAGACTGGGACTACATGACTGGGGCCCGTTCCACACAACGCCCAGCAATCGCGGCTCCACTTTCCTCTTCTGGCAATCCTCGACAATGCCACGCCCCCTCATGCCCTAGGTATTGGCCATGCTCTTCTCACCTGGCAAGACATATTCTGGAAATCCCGTCCATCTATTGAACTGCTTGGATATCTCGTGTAAGAATATTTCTCTGTTCTCATGAATGGATGATAGGTGCAGACGACACAGGGACAGTTGGAACTTGCGGTGCGATGCAGTGGTGGTGCTGGCACGCATGCAGCAAGCAGGCTTGGCTGCAGGGCCCCTGGTGCGCGCCGTTTGTTCAGCCTCTACGTGTCAATCAGCTTCACGCCGTAAAAGCCCTGCCCGGGAGTCATCAATTTTGCAGCATGCGGTGTGAATGGAAGCCCTGGATGGTCTCGGACGGGCGGGATGCTACATGGAAGCATAGGTTGGGATCAGCAACGGGCTCGTATTGGTTAAGCAGAGAAACACGAGTGGGGAAGTAAGTGATAGATCTTGGGTGATCTTGAGCATCGGATTAGTGAACGTGGCAAACGGGGCATCCGGGGCATGGCGTTCTTCGAAGAGCTCGAGGTCATGATCGATCTCCTAGTCGGTTTATCGTTATGTATAAATATGTATTCATGGGTCAATATTTAGGAGCCCCGTACCCATCCACACGGTGAACTCAATCAAGAATCGCACCCTATGTGTGATTACCTGGATGATTATCATGGGCATCTAGTGCTAGAGGCAATATTTCGTGGTGAGGTGCGTGTCATCCCGTCGCTGTAGGATTCTCGCCTTCGCACACAGTGGCATGTGCAGAAAGCACCGAGCCCGGCAACCAGATCACCAGGTGATTGGTCTGCATTTCGGGTCTTTGAGCAGAGAATTTCCGTTTGAGGGGTGTGAGATAAATGCAGCCCGTTCTTGCAGCCTTCATGATGCAATCCTGCCGCCCATGGGGCCTGCCTGTGCGTTGCGTCCATGGATGGATGGACCGAGTAATGTTTACTGGCCGGCCTATCGCGGTACGCGCGTGATATGTACCTGCAGCAATCGAGTCTTAGTTGCACGGTCATAGAACCCTTGAAAGAAGATTCAGGCAATGGCTATATCGAATGGCAATGTCGACAGGCAATGTTAGACACGACTTTGCGCTTAGTGCCTCGCGTCCAGAATGAAGGGAATCATTGGTCCCTGAGGTGCCTTGATAGAAGAATCAACGCTGTGCTTCAAGCACCACTGCACTTGGCCTTTGTTGTGGCCAGGCACATTGTTTGGACCTTGAAGATAACAAAGCCCACCAAGGAGGAACAAAGCCACAGGGCGACCCTCTTGTTCTCGGTCAGCAACATAACAAAATTTCACTCATGTGCGAGACGGCTTACCTCTGCAGTGCTCATATTTTGCGATTTTCTCACGTTCGCGCACGTCTGCCGGCGTTGGCCCGAGTCGTCAGCGCCAGATACTGCACCCCTGATCGCTGTCCGCAGGCATCGAGGGTTTCCTTGACGAATTGCCCACCACCACTTCACCAAGGCCTCAGATTTCCCCGGCAGAAAGCTTGCAGCCCCGGATCCGAGACGCATAGACAAGCCATCCCTGCGCCAGGAGTCACGGAAATTTGTCCCCCACGACTTCACACCTCCACATCCAGGCTGCGAACCAGGTCCATGTCCAAGACAACGTCGCTGACCAGCATCTCCCTGACATCTACTTTGTGCAGTCGCAATATTCTCAAGAGCTGAGAGTCTTTGCAACCCTTAGAGCAAGATGGAATCGCCACTGGCCTCCAAGTCCCTCTCCGCTGCTCAGGGTTCCTTGCCTGTGACGTCGCCAAAGCCGGAGCAGACCAAGTTGTCATCATCGTCTCCACGAAAAGAACACGACGCCATCAACATCCAGGAATCATCCTCGACCAAAGAGCAACACCCTTCTGCCGCCGAGACGGAAACTGCCATGAATCGAGCTGGCCATGGGGCCGCTGATCCAGCAGCTCCGACACAAGACGAGGACGAGAAGCAAGAAGTCAGCGACTCACCATGTCCCTCGCCGGCAACAGCAGACAACCCAACTCCAACCGAGTCCAGCGCTGCTCCCACAAATATGATTCCACATCTCTCACAAGCGACACCATCTTCATTGGTGGGTGTCCCACCCCAAACCGTCCCAGTGGAAGCCGCAGAGATGTCGAGAGGTATCAGCGTCTTCGTCAGCGAGCAACAGCTCCGATCAAGCTATACATATTGCTACGACCGCGGCAACGGCACGTACTCGCGCCTCGTCGCTCTTGACATGCTCCCACCACTAGACAACGTATCCACCACTCAGGAGAATTGTCTGGGCATGATTGTGCTCCCCGAGCCTGCAGCTCCAGCGCCACCAGGCGGTGAGATGGGTGTGCTTAATGCTGGAAATTGGAAGGCAAGTCTAAATCCTTTTCTACAGCGTTTACCAGAGAAACATGTGCCTCTTCCAATGCTTCTGTTAGCGGATGCGCATGCTGATACATGTATGCATTCTGAACAACAGATTCATGACGGCTCCTCCACCAGTGAAAGAGTTCTGGCTGGTGATGTGCAGGTCAGTCTCTGAAGCCAATGACACGCCATATCTTGCCCGCTGATTCTGTCAAACTGACGATACCTGTGCGACACACAGTCCACGATCGATAGCATTGTCGAAACGACGACTCCCACCACCAACCGCGTCCTTACGTTTCCATCACCAAGAGACCACTTCACCCTCGACACTGTCCAGCAGCAGCCACATCACCGCCAGCAGCGCACGCACGCACCACGCCACAACGACGCCTCGACGCCGTCGTCGACGGCGCCAGCTCGCAACAGCAACAAGCGGGTCAAGATCTACTGCGACAAGTGGGTGCACGAGGGTGTGTGCGCCTTCACCCAGCAGGGCTGCAAGTTCAAGCACGAGATGCCCATGGACAAGGCCACGCAGCACCAGCTGGGCTTGTTCCACGGCCTTCCTGCGTGGTGGAGGAAGCAGCAGGCCGAGGCGGCGAAGCACGGCGGAGACCTGGCTCTTCAGCACCAGCAGCAATATCAGCAGCAGATGCAGCCATTGTACATGCTGCAGCCCGGAATGATGGCTGGTGAGTGTGAGAGTGGTGCTCAGGACATCGGCAACCTGGCACAGCCCCTTCAGGGACTGCAGATGAATCCAGAATTTGACAACAACAACAACGACCGGGGCAATCTTGCCATGCTGGCTCAGCACCCATTCGGTGGCACTGGCGAAAACCAACAGCAATTCCAGCATCAGCAACAAGCCCCATCCTACTTGCCCATGCCGGACAACGCTGGAAACTACCCCGTCGCAAACCACAGCGGGCCGCAAGCCCTTGCTACTGGCGGCGCTGTCAGCAACACCGCTGCTTTTTTTCCTTCTGCAACTCAACCCGCGACTCAAGGGCTGTCTGGATCGTACTACACAATGCCACAGTTTGTCCAAAGCCCAGGACAAGGCGCCTACGACGAGGACGACTTGACCCTCGATGGCCATGGGAACAACCCCAACGGTAACGCTGGCGCCATGTCCTATGGACAGAGCGCTCCCGGCTCCGATCTACCCCTTCGCAGAGGTTACCAAGGGCATTGGGATCAGCACCAGCACTTTGGCCCCATGCCTTCATTCATAGGAAGCGGCATTGTCCAAAGTGTGCCGACCTCGCAGGGTCCGGCTGGCATGCACGCTGGTGACCGTAGTCGTGGCGGAGTGTCTGCCACCAGTCGTGATGAAGATGGTGAGTATTATGCCCATCGTTTTCCTGTGGCTCGAGCATTTCAGCGAAAGCTCTTACAGGAAATAAAAGCGTCGAGAATGCGGAGCTGACACAAGCATTGCTTTACAGACCGCCACCTGATGATGCGCACCAACTTCAACCCGCACACCATCCAGAACACCCAGCATGACCCCCGACGGGCGGCCAGAAGCATGCCAGACCCCCCGAGTACCGGACGAACTGGAGGAGGAGGAGGAGGAGGCTCCTTCGCCTCACGCTTCGGCCCCATCGCACCGCCTCCCGCTGCTCATGCCCTGACCTTGGCAAACGCATCGCCTCTGACTGCCACCGGCCTATCGATGGTGAGCAACACGAACGCGGGCAGCCCCTTCCGCAGCAGCGGAAGTAGCCTCAGAGGACATGGCGGCGGCGGCGGCACACCAGCAGGGGTCTGGAAGTCGTCGGCGACCAGGCCGCCCTTCTCCGCAAGCGCGGCAACGTTCCCCGTGCTTCGTCAGGCGCAGCACGGCTCGCGGCAGCAGCGAGACGTGGCTCACGACCACGACAAGCACCAGCATGCGAACAACCAGGCGCCGTCACAAGTTGGAGGCGGTTTTGGCAGTGGACAGGGCAGCAGCAGCAGCAGCCAGCAGAGCTATGGCGGCCACAACAACATGAGAAACGTGAGCGCAGAGATTGCCACCACCACCACGGGCAGCGGCTTGGGTAAGAACAAGGCTAGGGCCAGCCACGAGAACCGGAACCCCTGGCGCTCCGTCTCGGAGAGCGACGGCACCAAGGGCGACGGCGTTAACAAGGAGTGGTAAACGCTCCCACTTCTCTCACTTACACATGATTGGATCACTGGCCTTTTGCCTTGCAAGATACGGCACGAATCTAGACACTTGATGGTGCGGGATGGCTCCTGCCTTAGACTTAGCCTCCCGGCCGCAACTTCTCCTGACTCGACTATGGTCGACAGTATCGGCGACCACGGTTGATCTTCCTGCTGGTCAAACATGCCATCTCAAAGAGAACAGAGTGGCACTTGATGCAATCACGAAGCAGGAGAGCTTTATATACTCCAAGGCCCTAGCACAAGCATACAACGCCCACACGCACACACACCCCTTCACACACACACACATACCGACAAAACCCCAACCGAAAGACTTCGGCTATAAAGTAAACCGGCCACATCCCTCTTTCCCCACTTGCCACGGTTCTGAGAGGTCGTCACTTCGAAACGAAGGAGAAAGGAGCAAGGAACAAGGATCAAAAAGAGCGAGCACTTCACAACACGGGAAAGGAAGCCTGCATGCCTCTGTTCCTTGACTGTGAGCTCATGCTTTTTGACACGTGTCATCCACATCCTCTCTGCATTAACTTTTCCCGGCCCGATCCTTGCGCGCAGCTTTTACCTTATCTATGTGTACCAACCCCGACCTTTCTTGAAGATTATATCCAACAAGAACAGGAACGGGAACGGGGGACGGCGAGATACATGGCCTGACGACTTCTTCTTCTCACCCTCCGTCTTGACAGACAATGCACGCATACAGATGCCCCTCCCACCCTCCTCCATTTCACAACTAAAAAAACAACAGCAAAATACCAAAACACCTTCGCAACCCATCCCTTATTTCTGGAACCAAGCCTCCTACTCAAGCCCCCTTCGTGTGCAACACTCGGCAAAAAGGCGTCGAAAGGGAAAAAGAAAACACAAGGGAGTCAAGGGAAAGGGCGGCATTGGGGAAGGGAAGGAAGTGGAGGAAGGGGAGGGAAACGAAAGTGTGTATATGTCCGGATGCATCATCTCACAAAGCACCTGCCAAACCTGCCACCCTGACAAAGAAGCAACAACACTGTCTTCATTGCAGGTATACGGCGCGGTGCTATGTAGTAGTAGTAGTAATGGTAGCAGCAGTAGTATTAATTGGAATGTCTTCCTACAGCACCAATGTAAGCTGATACAACAAGCAGAATTGACGCGATAGTTAGATCAACAATCATCAAACCATGCCTTCACAATGCCCTGATCCAGAACGAGATGTGGAGCTTTTTCGTGATCCCGCATGGAGTATATATTAGCACTCAACCAAAACAAAGAGGTAGTGCAGTTCACTCTGGCATGTTTCCTCGGGGCATGGATGTAACTTCTAGCACTGTCTGCCTTGTATAGAGTGGTATCTGCTTATATATTGTTCTACATCGGTAGGATAAGTTGCGACGGATTTTGGAAGGTATAGTAATCTAGATACCATAGCAGCCTCCTGGCGTTGACCCGGTTCTCTTTTCTTTTTACAATCCAATCATCGTAGTCCTTGCTCAAGTGTGAACACATATTTACTGAACAGAAGTCTGGCGGGTCATTCCAAACCCCAGTACCCTTCAGGTTTCCCCACGATGGTGTGGCACAATATCCAAAGCCAGGAGCTCGCTAAATCCAGAAATTTCAATATCAAAGCAACGCTTGCTGGTCATCTTCATCTCGCTCGTTATCGTCGCACAACTATGAGCCCGGACAGTCGGTGACATCTCAAGCCTTGGTGCCAGTTTTGTCCTCGTATACGGCAAAGGCGCCGTCCGGCGCAGTGGTCCATGCTCTCTGTGTGCTGGGATACTCGCTTGGCACGCTCGAAGCGTCGCTGACGGCAGAACTCTCGCCGTCGCTCATTGCGTCTTCGTCCACATGTATATCAATGTCGAGATCGTCTCCAAAATCACTGCTCGTTTGTCTCCCCCCGTCCATGCTGCCTTGTAACTCAGGGTCCCGGTTCTCCGCATCTTCAATGCCAGGCCACGGCTCGTCCTCGGGGAGTGGGCGCTGTGCATCTGCGTCTTGTGACGAGTCGAAGCCGCTCTGGTCGCTTCTGTCGGTTTGGAAGCTCTGGTTGAGCTCGAATGATGTGTCGTAGTCTAGCATCTGGCTGTCGCGGAACTCGCTGTCGTCGGTCTCGACGGGCACGCCTGTACCGCTAGGATCCTCGAAAACTTCAACATCTCGGACTGGTCTCCTCCCGCTGATTGGGCCACCCACGCCGCGGTCTTCCCTATGTTCCGCGATAGGAGCAATACTATACGGTGTTGCATAGAATGGTGTTGTAGCCCGGCCAGGATGGTAGGCATCTGGCATAGGGCTTGGACTTGACGTGCTCCACCGTGGTGTCTGGCGTTGCCGTAGTCCTGGTGACCTGGTGCCATGCCGCTTCGCGGCGTGCATGTAAGCTGCTGACATGCTTGGGCGAACTGTCAGGGGCGACGGACGACGATCTGAGACATGCATGGCCGTGTGCGAAGACACACGTCGATGTGGCGGCATCAACGGCGAGACCAGGGACTGCGATTGCGGAGGCACGGATACTGGTCTCCGCGGCCCCGGTGAGCTCCGTGCGTCTCTGAACGGAGGTATTGATACCCGCGGTGATGCTGCTCGCCGTCCATGCATTGAGGAACCCGGTCTCGAGATGCTGGTCAGCAGTGCTTGCGAGGACAGTGATGCTGAGCGATACCGAATCTGCGCCGCTTGCCGAAGACTGAAAGTTTGATGGTGTGACTGCGAGCTGTTGATACTTGGCGATTGCTCATCGAGTCGGTCTGTCCACGCCCAGCAGTCCTCCATCGCATCCGCCTCCGGCACATCCTGGCTACTTTGCGAATCTGGGTATACGCGGCTCAGCTCCCGTAGCCGCTGCCAGCTCCAACAGGTGTCGTACGCGCTCTGATCTTGAACATATGACTCGGGGTGTGTTATGAACAGCCTCTGTACACCAGTAGCCTTCATGACAACACTGGACGTGAGGAACTCTACATTCCAGGCAACAGGTGTGACCATCTCCTCTGGCGCGAGGAAGTGCAGCCTGGAGTCTTTGTGCTTCTTCCGCAGAGGAACCCAAGATCGTTGCAGGCCGTGGTAGTTGGCGACGCGATGGTGGTAAGTCGAACCATGGTGGACTTTGGCCTGCATCCGCGAGAGAGTGCGTAGCAAGGGACCGAAGGCGTCGGTAATGGCCTGTTGCACACTGCGGGCATCAGGACCCCTGACCTGAACAAGCTTGACCAGACCCCTACTTCGTAGTCTCTTGTCTATCACTCGATCTGGGGCGACGGCTCGAGGCAGGAGCCAGTCAGAGTCCAACTCGGGCCCTGCCCACTCCGGTAGCTCAGGACTCTGCGGGTCATATGTTGGACCGCTGCTGGGTAGTTGCGTCCATTCGTCTGGGGGCATGCTGATGCTGTTTGTGTTGCTGCCGCTCGAAGCTCGCTGGGTACTGAAATCATGCGCCGCCATCCAGACACCTTTGAGACCGAAAGGCAGTAACACGACCTCGACCTCCCAAGGGTTTGTGTAACATGTCGACGACGACAGGGTTCGGAGCTGGCTGAGCTCAGCCCGAAGGACCCGCAGCTCACTACAGATCTCACCTCGGTCCATTATTCTGCCACTGCTGCTAGAACACAGCGACGAGACGCTCTGTGTGGATTCGTCCACCTTGCTGGATTCATTGAGCATCTTCTCCAGTTCACCGACACGAAATTCAACCTCGGTCATTCGCAGATCGGCTTGGTCATGCTTCTCCACGCATTCGTCGTGATTGTCAGCAGTGAACGACACATTCTCGAGGCGCTCCAGCCTCTGATCATGTCCGTGCACGGTCGATGTAAGCTGTTGAAGTGTGTCCTTGAAGAAGCCTGGAAAGGGCGGCGGCTGACTGGGCTGATCGCGAGCCTCGAGGGTCCGCGTGGAACGTGGAGTGTTGGTGACAGTCTGTTGGTCATCTGCATTCACATTTGAAATTGTGCTGTGATGATCATCTTCTTGATCCCCCGTGGCCTCAATCGCCAGTAATGGCGGCTCTTGAAGGCGCGATTTAGGTCCATTAAAGGTCTGGAGTCCCTTTCCTTGAAACGGTCGCAAGTATTCCCTTCGGACTGAAGATGTTGTCGAGCTAGGCTGCGATGGCATCATGCATTGGCTGGGGATCGGAGGTAATAAGTTGGCCGGGTCTGGCTGTGATCTGAGATAATCTGTCCAGACCTGGGTATCTGGGAGAGATGAAAGCTGCGGCATAGGTGCCTCAGCCTGCGGCGGCGTATGTGCCCTACTGTGCATCGGATACTCCATGTCTGATCTCCTCTCTTGATGACTTGTTGATTCGAACTGGCTTGGCGGGCATGGTTTTGATGGTAACGCGAAGGAAAGCTCAGGTAGCACGGGAGTGAGAGGCTCGCGATTGCCTCGAGGCCTTTCGTTCTCCTGGCCATAGGCTAGAGCATACCCGGGACTAACGGGCACGACCGCAGAAGTCGGAGCTTCACGAACATCGTCATGGAAACAAGCGTGATGCGAGCACATACACCACGTTCCTTGGTCAGCCGCGTCGGCGCCGTTCTCTCCAGCTGGGCTGGCGCCATTAAAGCCAGCAGACGATGCGCGACTCCAGAACCGACGGCATCCACATTTTGGGCCATTGGGACCATGACTCAGGTCCGTGAAGTTGCAAGCGCCTGAAGGCAATGCCGGTGCATTCATCTGGAAAGGCGCATCGCTGAAGATATTGAAGAAAGATGTGCTCGCGATGGCGGCATCGGGGGCGAGGCCTGCCATCGGGTGCTGGGGGGCGCGAGGCTGCGTGGGGTCATTGATTGGAGCGGTGGTGTTTCGAGAGCAAGAATTGGCAGGAAGCTGGTCTGGTCGGAGGCAGGGCGATACGGTTGGTATTTATACAGAAGGCAAGACGCGGGCGGAAGTGGTGACGGGCGACTCTCGTCTGTGTAGGACACGGTTATCCCAGGTAGGCGACCCGACCAGGCAAGGGCTGGGCCGCGATGCGACAATCTAGTACATTGCTGTTGCTGCTGGTTAGCACCACCGGACCGTGCGATGCTGTGTTCCGACGAGAATGTCCAGCGGTCGAGTCCAGGCAGCCAGAGCACTAACCACGCGTGGTGTGGCAGAGGGACAAGGCTGCAGATGCTGCCAGGAGCTTGGTATATATCCTCTTGATTATGTTGTGGTGACGCGACGGAGTCTCCCAATGCGGCCGCTGTTCGCAGGTCTCGTCAAGCGCTGGGGCCCCGTTTTGTGCAGAGGTCGAAGAGGGCGGATTGACGAGACAAAAGAAGGTCGAGTCCCAGGGTTTCGCGGGTGGGAGGTGGAGGACGAGGGACGCCAGATCGGAGCGGCAGCTAGAGGGAGGTGTAGTGCAGGTGCGGGAAGCACCCAGGTGTGGAGGAGGTGGTAGTGGGGTCAGGCTCCCAACGCGCGCGACCCGTGACTGGCCCGAAGTGAGTTTGAGTGCGGGCGCTACAGGCAGACAATAGGGATTGTGCAACGGGCACCTCCCCTTTGGGCTCAGAGCATGGACACAGCCGCATGCATAAATGCATGCTAGTAGTGACTATAGCCTCACGATGAAGCTTAATAGCATTGCCTGTGATGTGCTTCACATTCCAGCACAGGCACGAGCAGAGGTTTGATATCACGTCAAGCCCTGCCTACAGGCTGCAGCAGCAGAATATACAGCCAAACACGCGGGGATGGCAGCCCTCTTCAGACAAAGCCCGCCCGCACCGGCGCGGCCGCCTCGCGAGACAACCTCCAGATTCTGCAGTGGCACGAGTAAGTGGTTGCATCAAGCCATGAGGAGCTTGTTAGTGTCATGGCCTCCACCATCTCCCCATCCCATCCCTCGTCTCACTACGCAGGAAAGGGAGGGGGGTTCCTCAAGACCTCGACTGGCCACTTAACGCGTCCCGATCCGGTCGAAGCAAGAAAAGCAAAGACAAGGCGGAGGCGAGCAAGACGTGTCGAGTTGTTGTTGTGCTGTGGGCGGCACCGCTTCCTATTGGCTTCATTCACGCCCAAACCCGGCCAGACGGCCCAACTAGACACATCCACACATCCCTGGGCTGGAACTCAAGGCTGCACCCCACCCGTCTCGAGGCAGTTGTTCATCGTGGGCCGTGCCGCAAAGTACCTATCCGAGTCGTCGCGCTGTCGTACACCGCCTGCAGCAGCAGGGCTGACTGGACCCTGCCTCTCGTCTCGGGACTTGGTGCCCCACAGCGCCGTTCACCATGCACACGAGCAGGCTCACAACGACCTCCAGACCACTGCCATTCACCCGGAAAGTCCCTTGCGTGGGGCAGGGTCCTCCTCAACCTGAAGCCTAGCGTTATGCAGCAAAAGACAAGGAAACGACACACAGATTGCCTTACTCAAAGCTCGTCACCCCTGAAGCATTCACTTCTGACCAGGGCTCTCAATGAGGCCAACGACTTCTATACATGAAAATTCCGACGTTCACGTCTCGCATATTGGATGGAGTCATGCACGTCCTGACAGCCATACTGGTCTGGCTTCGATGTTCGGATGATGGATTGAGACGACACGCACGTGTGTTATTTGCTTCCCGTTGGCCTATTAATGAATGATAATTGTTGGTAATGCTCCATGCCAGTATGCTCGCAATGATATGTGTGTAAATGTTAATGTCTCTGCGTATATCATCCCTTCATGTCCACCCCTTTACGCTCCCATTACAACGCCGTGTATAGTGAAATCAATCCCAGATCCCGAAATATGATGCCGCCACACCAGATGACTTGGAGGTATCTGCATGTGCTCGGCGTAATGTACACTGTCAAATCGAGCCAGCCTCGGCCGCTGAGGTTGTAGCTGAGCGAATTCCTTCTAGACTTCACCCCAGCTGCCCATCGGCCCCGTGGGGGCTACGATGGAACTTCTCGTGCCAACTGAGCCACCGATATCCCAGTAGTGGCGTGAAGACGAACCACTACCTCGTCTCACCGATCTGCGCGTGCTCTGGCTAGCACAGCTGGACGCGGGGCGAAAGAGGACTGGGCTGGCGGGTCCTGCCGCCTTGAAGGTCCGTCTCTCAGCGGGCCGTGCTCGTGACACTAGCGGATGATGCTGTCGGACTCTGGCAGCTTTGGCCGCATTATCTTGCGAGCTCGATGTGCTCAGGGTCGAGCTGCCAGATAAACCGTTGTTTCCGCTCGAGCGCGACATGAACCTGGACCGCAGATATCGGAATACAAGCCGAATGTCCAGGTCCTTCTCCCACTCCTCTTGGGTGAAGGCGGCACCACTGTTCTCGTTCGAGTTCTGCGGGATGGTGTGAGGCGCGATTCGGCTCGCAGGCACATTGATCGGCTGGGTTTGATTGCCAATAGTTGGTTTGAACTCAGGCATTGCAATGGAAGCGTCAGCCGGAACGTTCATAACGGGCTCCGGGGTCAGCACGCGTTCGGGTATCGCCGGCAAACCGGCATACGGGATGGGAATGTGCTGCACGCGAGAGAATGTCGAAAACGCGCCTGGGTGCTCGGACAGTTGATGCACAAGCAAGCCGAGCTCTCTGGCTATGCGCTCTAGAGCTCGATCCTGCCAGTTCATCTGCGCCAGCAGACTTTCGGCAGGCCGTTCAGCCGCGCTAGGCGTGCCTGCCGCCAGAGCTGATGCTCGTGGTGTTGAGCTTAGATCTTCGTCATCTGCCAAGGTCTCGCCCATGAGCACAGACAGCATCTTGTCATCAATGCCCAGAATGTCACGAATGACCTTGCGCGTGATGCGACCCCAGACGCTCTCCGGCCCTGCGTCTTGGTCAGGAGAAGTCTGCTCGTGCCAGTCATCGCCGTTGTCAATAGCATCGTCTGTCAGGTCGCCCAGCGCTTCGAATGCGGCAATCTCTTCGGCTCGAGTCTTCGATTTTGGCCATGTCCTTGCCGCCGCTTCACTTGACCGCCGCCGCCTCCGTGTCTCCTTTTGGACCTCGTCGAGCAGAAGCCGGCTCTGCTCTAAACGCCATGACTCTATCCGACGTATCTTCTCGACTTCGGCAGCTTGCTCGGCTTCCAGTCCACTCTGGAGCTGCGCCTGCTCAAGGCTCTCACGCCGCCTGCGTATGCGTCGGGGGTTGTATTGCTCAAATGCATAGAGTCGATCTTGGATCTCGGGGCTGATAAAGTCCTGATCCAGTCGAAACGATCCGAGGCCATCGTGGGCAGGAACGACAGGAGTAGGGGCGAGGTGTGCCTGTGATGAGCTAAAGAGGTCTGGTGTGGAACGGAATTCTGGTAGGTGACTGTCCAGGCTGTCAAGCTCGCCATCGTCCTCCTCCTCTACATCCAGATGGTCGACCAGGCTAGCGGAGGGATCTTGCGTATCTGCCTGTGAGAAAGTACGAAGGCTACCTAGATCGCTCAGTCGCGAGCGGCCAGGTGTGATATTACTTGCGTGAGTACCAGTGAGATAGGACGATGTAGTGCCGGTCTCGGTCGGTGGCGAAAAGAGGACCCAGGTCTGCGACTCCTCGATGGTGTTGGGAGTAGCCTGAGTCGGGACGACAGTTTCGTCCTGGACCGCAGACGGCCGGTAACCCCTCTGTAAGGCCGGGCGCGTCTGCTGATGAAACGCCATCTTCGCGAGTGGCGCCGAGATTGTCTACCTGGGCAGGAGGATACGAAAAGGCAGGACGATGAAGGTGAAGAGGCCCGACCGGGAACGATCCCAGTGGGATGAGGCACTGTGCGATCCGGCAGGGAGGGGTTTGTTGAGAGGAGGAACAATGAAACAACGGAAACGTTGTTGGCAGCGATGCGAGAATGGCGGCGTGGGGAGGAGTAGCCCGAGAAGGCGTCACTTGATAAGGAGATGGGCCCACTTGACCTGTCGCAAGGTGCGATCGCGGCGGGCTGGGGGAGGTGGAGATGTCAAGGTGGACCAGGCCCAAACAAAGCGCGCTGTCAGGGTCTCGGCGGCCCAAGGCTTGATTGCGCGCTCTGCGAAGGATACTCCGTCACTGTTGGTCGGGCACTGACTCTCGGGTGCGGAGGCCTCGTTCCGGTGCTTTATCGTGGGCAGACGGCGGTGACTCCGGGGCGCGGGCTTCGGGTCTTACTGAAGTCAAAGTGTATTGACCAGAGAGGCCATGTCTGAAGCGATATACATAGAGGCAGGATGAATATGACTGAGTTGGACTGTCGCGCGTGGCCTCTTACAAGAGAGATCGAGAGCGACGACCAGCCAGCAGGAAATAGGCTACGGGGGCGTAAAGCGTTGAGGGGGGGTCGTCAGGATGACCAACCAGCCCAAAGCCTCGAGAGGCCAGCCGACTCGCAGGATCGGCACCCAGGACCACCAAGGAAGCCGCCAGATCTGCCAAGGTGACAAAGGATCACTGAGCAGCACGAATGAGAGGGTGCCCAGGTTTGTTGTGACACACCACCCATCGACTCCTTGCAGAGGCGCTAGGCCACTCTCTGACGCGCCGGGCTCAGCGCGAGCGTCCTCGACCTGGCTGTACCAGAGGACCCCCACCACCCTGGCGGATGATGCCATGATGCGATGGCTCGCCCTGTTTGCGCAGAGCCCAGCAAAGGTTGTATCTCGCTGATGATCTCGCGGCAGGCCGTCACGCGGTCAGCTGACTCGGGGGGCCCGATCAGGCCTTATCTTAGTTCTAGCCTCTTCCCGCCTGAAGATGGCACACGTTTGAATATATATTGAAGCCACGATTACGACATCTCGCAAGGCGGAGGGGTGGTCAGGCCCTGCCAGAATCGTCCCGCGTTTCCCATGCGGGAAGGATGACTTGTCAAGATGCCAAATCCAGCAACGCACAACAGATCTGTAGGCGGCATGATCTGCCGTTCGTATTCCGCAGATTTATTGTACCTTCAAGCGGTGTGACGGAATTCCTTCGGCCCGGCCAAATAACTCCCTAGGTAAACGGGAGGGTGGGATTGCTTGTTGCGCAACTCCCATCCTCGTACTCTGTCGAAAGTGCAGCTCTTGGAGCCATAAGTGAGGGGCCTGAACGGCGGGCATGGCTTGGTCGATGGTGGCAGCATATGTCTGATCAGACAACTACCTCTGAAGGCACAAATCGCTGGACATCCTGTCTAAGGCTTGCCGCTGCCAGTAAAATAAAATGCAACCTGGGGATTCCCACGTTACAGGACAGCATATCGCGGCGGAGACTAGTCTTCATGTCCTCAAGTGCTTGCCTCCTCTTTGCCACTTTTACGACTAAAGCACGCGGCCTCATCTGCGCCATGGAGCAGCTTTATCCACTGAGTCAGCATCCACGGCAAGTCAGTACTATGTTTCTTTTCCAATGAGATCATCGCCACCCCTTTCGCGTGGCAAGCTGTAGTAGCGATGATGTCTGTTAGCTCGACTGAAATCGTGGCCACCAGAAGCAGGGCGAAATACCCAACCTCATGCTCGCAGAAGATGGCTATACCCACAGCGTGTCTACGTTTTGATTCCGAACGACTCCAACTTGCGCCCATGTGTCGTATGTATGCTCAAGTCAGAAAACGTTGACCTTACATCATCCCGAAGAGTCTGGCTCAAGCAGCAGGTGGACAAACACAGACTCAGCCCTCCCATAGAACTGGCGCAATATCCGGAAAGCAAGCGGTCTGCGTGATTATACCTCAGCACGTCATGTCACTTTGAAACACATGGCAGATTGAGTGAACGGCGGCTGCACTGTTTCTCAAATGCAAGTTCCCATTGATTCTCATGTAGCAGTGCTATGGAGACCATTTAGACGCCATTTCCTCATCCCGTATGTGGTGTGACAACTTGAAAACGCATGTGAACCTCCTTTACTCGGCAAAAGCCTCGGGGAAGCGGCGCATGTTGTCAGCGAGCTTGCCCTTGTTGCTGAGGAACTGGACGTAGGCACCGTCGACCTTGACGCGGCCAGCAGCCTTCTTCTCCAGGTACTCGTCACGGCGGAGAGGGGTGAAACCCCAGTTCTTGGAGATGATAATCTTTTGGCGGCCGGGGAACTTGTACATGGAGCGGCGGAGAGCCTCGAGAGCGATGGCACGGTCTGTGGATGGGCGGTTAGCACTCTGTTTTGCACGCAATCCGAGTTTCGAGAGGAGATCTTACTAGAGTCACGGGTGCGGACGCTGAGGAGAATCTGGCCAATGTTGACACGGGCGACAGTGCCGTTGGGCTTACCCCAGGCACCACGCATACCGGTCTGCAGTCTATCGGCACCAGCGCAAGACAACATCTTGTTGATACGGACGACGTGGAAGGGGTGGGCGCGGACACGCATGTGGAAACCCTCCTTTCCGGCGTACTTGACGAGGTACTTGTTGGCGCAGATACGGGCGGCCTCGAGAGCCTCAGAGCTCAGCTGCTCGTACTCGTTGGAGACCATGTGGATGCAGAGAGGGAAGTCATCGACCTTCGCGCGCTTGCGGCCAAGATCGAAGATGCGGATCTTGGGGTCGGGGACACCACGGTTGAACCGCGACTTAGGGTACGGCTACCAAAGAAGTCCTGTTAGTAACACGTCGTTTGAACATTGTGTCGAACCAGCGACCATGACGGAGCGCATCATGACGCAAAGTCTGCTCGAGCTGTGGACAGCAAGGTTTTCGTGGTTGGAGGCGGGTGTGAATATCAACAGTCGGAGTGGGTGTCGGTCGTGAGACACGTGCGAGAGTCTTTTGTTGCTGCTGTGCCCCTCACGATAATCCCTCTCCTGGTGCCGTTCTTCATATTCCTCCCGCCTGTCCAATCCGTGGCTCGAGCAGAAATGTGCGTTTTTGTGCGATTCGTCGTCTTGGCCGGTGGTCGACGGGAAGGCGCCAAAATTGCGTGCTCACCTTGTTCTTGCAGTAGCGGTAGCATCTCGCGGGACGACGAGCCATCTTGACGGATTTCTGGTGGTTGGCTTTGGGTGGTGTTCGTTTGGTGGTGATGTCGACAGGGAGCAGGCCAAACACTCTTAAGAGAGAGGCGCGGGCAAAGAGGGTCCCGTCACTTTTGATTTCAAAGCAAAAAAGAGTCAGACCGGCCAATGTGGTGGCCAATGTGGTGGCGGGAACGGCTTTGTCAGACTCTGGAGGTGGTCCGTGCTGTCTTTCCCGCCTTGCCCACCTTTCCCACCTCGCACACTGGAACGGAGTGGGTGCTTAGGGCACAACTTTTTTATTCGGATCGCAGGTCGGAATTAGGCGACTGGGGCCCGCAGCCGTGGGTCTGCGCAGTCATTGAAGAACTCTGCAGAAAAGTTGTCGACAGTCTCTCGATCTGCTTGCTCAACCATCAACCCACCACCAAACGACACGACATCCGTCAGGTTCGACAATCACACACCGACACAATGGCCCCCAAGAAGAGCAAGAAGGATGCCAACAGCATCAACTCCCGTCTGGCCCTGGTCATGAAGTCGGGTAAGGTGTCTCTCGGCTACAAGTCCACCCTCAAGGCCCTGAGAACCGGCAAGGCCAAGCTCGTCATCATTGGTATGTGGGATCTCCAGGAAACTGGTCCGTAGGCTTGGTCGCCAGTAATGCTAACATCATCTTCAGCTGGCAACACCCCTCCCCTCCGCAAGTCTGAGCTCGAGTACTACTCCATGCTGTCCAAGACTCCCGTCCACCACTTCTCCGGCACCAACGTAAGTATAATACAACCTTTCGCGCAAGCGTGCGGCGTGCGGTGATGGGAAAAGCATGCAATTCTGCTCATGCTCTCCCCACGCACGCACTGCCCTTGTGCACCAGCTCGAGACCTCTGGTCAAGAGCTGTACCCCGAGAAAAAGTCTCCTGTAGACTTTGGAGGGTAAACACACCTGGCTTACACATGTTTCTTCCTCTTACAGATCGAGCTCGGTACCGCTTGCGGTAAGCTCTTCCGCTGCAGCACCATGTCCATTCTCGACGCTGGTGACTCCGACATCCTCGCCGACCAGCAGTCTTAGATTGTCTCTAGCTCGTAGCTGGGAGGCAAGGCACGACTGCATGGTTTTATGACGGCGTTTCGGCATCCGGGTCACGGTGAAACAAAATGGGATTTGGGATATTTCGCAAACCAGTCATGCGAGCCAGCTGGCAGACATGCACGCCGCGCGACGCATCGTGGGCAGACAATCCGACGAGTAGCAATGTCCTGGGACTCTCCTCCACTCAATAGCTAGTCCAATGCCTAGTGTCGTTATAAAAATCGACAAAGTCCTCAGATGAGGAATACAAAAACAAGTGATACCCCTGACAATTGGATCATTTTTGAAGTACCATGTGGTTGGCTGTGCATGATGTGGATGCTCAGTGCAATGTGACTTGCGTATCACTCGAGGCTGCTAGTCAGACACCCGCCTCGAGCATGATGGGTCAACCAATCTTTCGGTTAGTGGAACGCGAACGTTGGGCCGTTGTGTGGCGTGAAGCTCGCTGGCCGTCGTTGAGTATTCATTGTGATTAACCATACTTTGCGTCCACCTCTAGCTCCGCCTGGGCTTCGACTGCGTATTGAGGCAACTCTACTCAAGTGATGGCGCAAGAAATAGTCTGCCACAACACAAAGAGGTCTCTGTAGTGGGTGCTGGTGCCAAGGGTTTTGTGCTTCACGCACAATGGGTCCGTGAATTCTGCTCAAATCGATGGCTCATGCAAACCACGCAGCCCTCTCAACCACAGCTAAGACCTCGGAACGTGGCAGATTAATTGGCCACGCTCGTGCTCTCGTTTCGTATGGAAACAAAGCAGAGGCCTCTGTATGTCCGCAGATGCAACATCGCGTGGCAGTGCGTGGGCACCTTTGCAAAGCTCAGTGTTGCATGGCTCACATCCCAACTAGTGGGTTTCAACTTTCATCGCCTGCTATTAACTACATGGGCAGAACTGGACACCGGGTGTGGCTTCCCACGGCCGTGCACGAATATACCTCTAGCCAACGACCGATTGGCGACAGCAAGGCAGGTCTAATTACCACGCTCGAGGGTAGGCATGGCGTTCTGTGCTCACAAACACGAACGTCCCCATGTGTAGTGTCTGTCGACCCGGAACACACCGTTGACTTGCGCTGAGAGTGGTACCATGACATGCTGGTAGCTGTACACTACATCCAGGGTTCTCATCAAGGGTCTTCCTGAGTTCCCGTGGAATGGATAATGTCTCATACTTATCACGTCGAAGTCTTTCTGGTTATACGAAGCGGTCAGAACTAGCTGCTGCTTTTGGCTTTTGGGCAGGCCGCAACCAGACATTTCAAGGCTGACCGCCAGCCTGCGCCATGGGGGTGCCACTCACACTCGAGCAAGACCTGATGGACCAACGTGGTGTGCTCGCAAAGCAAAAATAGCACAGTACTCGATGAACTGAGTACGCCCACTTCACTCCGTCTCTCCGTTCTTGTTTACTCCAACCTTTGTTTGGCTCGTCCACATTTGAAGATGCGATGGGCTACCACGTGCGAGAGGAACATGCCTGTCCCTTGCCTTGCGTAGCCCTGCTAATTAGTTCTCTACGGGAGCGGCCCAGCGTTTCCGCATGCAGTCAATGCGGCCAAGGAAATTCATGCAACTGCAGCTCATGGCACGGGCACCTACTATTCAAGGTTGTGTGTACTCGATGCTGTGGATGTGACTGGGACGGCCGAAGGGATTGCGTACTCAAGAGCCAGTACCACATGCCGTGACACACGTACGTAGAGTTCAAGCTTATCAGACTTTGAGACCGTTCTGAGTACCCCATGGCATGCTGTAAACAACACTGACCGCGCGGTGTGTGTGCGTGCTTGGAGTAGATGCCGCACCACAGCCCCCTGCCCTGCGTGTAAATTAGGCCAGGGGACGTTCCCTTGACATGCGCACCGGCTTCAGCTCCAACTCAGGGCACTCCTTTGCCATTCCCCCACTAAATGGCAAGCCCGCGCAGGAAATACCCACCCCGGGACATTGCATTCGCCCATCTCCAAGCATCCCTCCGCCACCAGACACACCACCAACAGCCGTTTCTGCCACTGCCCTCGAACTTGGCGGGTCTTGACTGGGACTCCTGACCTACCTTTCTTCCGATTGCTGCTGGTACCTTTGTACGCACACGCAGTCACACATTCACACACCCACTTCCTTGCTCACGACCACGGCAGCCACTCGCCCTGTCCGTTCGCCCGCCCGCACGCCCGCCGCCCGCACGATCTACTCTTACAGCAGCGTCCTGGCATTCCAGGGGATCGAGCGGCCATGTCCACCGCCACAAAGAAGCCCGTCGCCTCGGGTGTAGGCCGTCTCTCGTCTACAGAAAGCAGCAGCAGCACATCACCCTCACGCCAGGCTCGCTCTGCCACACCGACATCGCCCGCCGTCTCCACGCCCAGCCGCACAAGATCCATCCGCGGCGCTGGTACACCCGGTGCCCAACGTGTTGCGCGGGGTGCCTCGTCCATGTCACTCAGCAACGCCACGGAGATGATGGACCCAGAGGCCCGCGCTGAAACCGTCGCCCTCATCGAAGACCTAAAGAAGCGCCACCAGGACGCCGACACCACATCTGAGCAGTACAGGAAACAAGCAGAGGTCCTTCAGGCCCGCCTCGACGAGGCCCTCAAGGAGCACGCACAGCTCGAAGAGAAGGTCCACGAGACCGAGGAGCAGCTTGAGGCTCTTCGCAACGAGAAGCGCGAGGCTGCCCGCCAGATGCGCGAGATGGAGACCATTTACGAGGCCGAGAAGAGCTCCATCCTCAAGGAAAAGGAGGAGATGGCGACCCGCGAGGAGGAGATGCAGGCCGTCATCAACAGGCTCAAGGAGACACTCAACCAACGCAATGCTGATGATGAGTACCGGCCCTCGAGGCAATGTAAGCTGTCATTCTCACGCGCGGGAGGATAAACGATTACATGTGATTCGTTGCTGACCAGCCCTTTCTGTAGCGGCTCACCCTTCCCCCAGCCTAGAAAGTGGAGGCTTTGCTCCTCCGTCATCCATCAACCGTAGCGATTCTCGGAACAACTCGAAGCTTCTTCTGCAGAAAGACAAGCTCATTGAGTCCTTACGTCTTGAGTTGGCCGAGGCCCAGATCAAGCTCGTCGAGACTGAGAACCAAGGTGGTGGCCGTGTCCATGAAGTCGAGCGGCTACTAATGGAGGCTCGCATGGCGAATGCGAGACTGATGGAGGACAATGAATCGTACCAGTTGCTCCTGCAGGAGAAGACTCTCCATGGAGATTTCGGCAAGGGCGATTTCGACTACATGGGCGTCTCGACGAACCATGATGCTCTGAGTGCCCTGGAAGGCCGTCCCAGCACACGCGGCGCGGATGAGGCCACTACACCAGGCAGCCTCGCCGATGAGCTTGGTGCGGCGTCGGAAGATGACGCGCACTCTCACATTGGGGAAGAGCCTGCCCGGCGCCTTGACAACGAGGTGCGAATGCTCAAGGACCAGAACAAGGCGCTCACATTGTACATCAACAAGATCATTGAGCGACTCCTGCAGCACCAGGAGTTCGAGCACATCCTCGACACCTCGACCGAGGGCGCCGGCAAGGCCGGCAATGTGCACAAGGAGCTGCCTGCACCCCCAGCTGAGATATCCGGCGTGCCGTCGCTGCTGCAGCGGGCCAAGTCCATGGCCATCGGAGGCGGTAATACTCGCAAGCCACGGCCTATGTCCTTGATGCACTCGATGCCCAAGGAGAACTCGGCTCACAACAACCCTGACACGGCTCCGAGCATCCCTATAGGATTGGGACGGTCGCAAAGCACTCGTCGCGGACCCCGACCCATGAGCGAGCAGTTTGTTGGTGCCGCAGGCGTCGTGAACGCAATGTACAAAGGCCCTGACGGCCCGTTGAGCCCGACGCTGAGCAACCCTCGGCACTCGCAGACCTTCTTCTCGGGCGCCTCGGGCTCGTCGCGTACCGCCTCGTATGCGGGCAACGGAGCTCCCAGCGCTGGCAATTTCCCCGGCATGCGTAGCGAGACAAGCAGCGTCAGTGGCGACTCTGGGTCTGTGGCCGGCGATGGCGTGTCAAGCACGACGCAGAGCCCGCCCCGGACGCTCAATGGCGGCGAGAAGCAGGGCAATGCCACCTTCACTGGCAACAAGCCAAGGCCGCTGCGCCTTGTGCAGGAGCAGACCGATACCAAGACCGACAACAAGCGCGCCAGCTGGCTTCCCTCGTTCTCCGGCTGGGGTGCCAACAACAGCGGCTAAGTTCATCATGCTTGGTTAGCCATCTTCAGCGTTAGGCGGCATTTGCGAAGGGTTTTATGCATTGGGACTCTCGATGGCATGACGTTGTGCCTGGTGGATATTTCATGAAAGGTGTCATGTTCTTTACCCATATGGAACATCCGACACGGATGTCAGAGTAGCCTCTGAGCTACGAACAGTGCACGAAATGATAGCGACATTGACGACATAAGGGACCATTCATGGAAAACGATATCTCTCTCCTCGATTAAATACCAAATAAAGGGGGTTCAAAACCATCTGGAAATCGGCGTTTGGGGGTATCATTGGGGAGGGAGCATCATCATGAAGAGATATATCTCGAGAGAAACCCATTCTTCACGTTATGTAGTAGTTTTCTTGAGTAGTTACGAGCATGAGACGATGGCCTGGTGCCTCAATAGAGAAGAGTCTTTGAATTTTCGCGATCGCGTCCCGCTTGGATGTTTCCTAGCTCTCTTGAGAGCAACGAATTATGCTTCCCATCGTGACATTAGCAGTTGTTTGCACGGGGAGTTGCAGATCGTCGAGAGAGGTGGGAGATGTGATCCTTTTAATTCATGTATCAAGCACGATGTGCCCAGCTAGACGCTGCCCGTATGCGAGGACCAGATAAGTTTCTTCCTTTTTCGACCAGTGCTCCGCGGTCCGTGTTTCCATCACTCCCAGGACTACATATCTCGGTTCCGTAGCTTTAAACTCCCCATCTCATCCCTGGATGTCCACGGTCCATGGTCAACAGTCCACAAGGTCCCCGTGAGGCCCCGCGGATGACAGCCACCATCAAAGACCATCCACACGCAACGAAAGGAGAGCGCCCCTCGAAGAAGAGAAGGTCACCAGCGTCAGTGGACCAAGGGCATCCGAGTGTGCTGGAGATTTTGCGTCGACTTGGGACGTAAATGCTCGTCACAAGCCGGGACATGATACACCTTTTCTCAGGATCTGGGCAATGGGGAATGGGATGCCATGCAAAAGCAACCCGTCTTCTCGCATAGAACAATAGTCTAGTGGTTCTCTCTCTGCGTATGGGACTAGCATGGGCAACAACCCTGTTGCGGAGCAAGAGACTCGAGAAGTTGGTCTCGCGGTCTTTCCAGGGTCCCTGCCAGGCACGACTGAATAAATCTCACAGCGTCTGTTCGGGTGCGTCCGAGGGCATGTAAGACTGTGACAATTTGGCAAAGGAATGCCTCGTACAAACAGCCCGTTACGCAGCATACGCCACTGGAAACCTCCCTGCTACCTCACATCATAAGTTCTTATTGCACTAGAGCGCTCTACCTGAAACTGAGACTGCTTGCGTGAAGAGCGACCGCGGCATGACGGAACCACCACCCCCCCTCCCCTCCCGGTGTGATATTCACTTCTGGCATCTAGAGCACTTGAGATAATTGGAAGACCTCAGACAGGTACATCCCCAGGCGAGTGAGCGTCAGGGAGTAATAGCAGAAGTCGGCAAGCGACGTATCTCCGTCGTTTCCTTGATCACGCAAACACACACACACACACACAAGATTGCTAGTCTCAAGCATGCGAGCCTGACTGATACCTCAGCCTGCCCATTTACCGTCCAGGTCGTACAGCATACAGGCCCAATGGTGTGGTGGTCACACATCGCTTTGCATCGAGCACGCGCGGCCAAGAAAAAAAACCAAAAAACTACAATGACCTGGGCATCTGGCGCCTTCTGCAGCTTACCATCTAATAACCAGAGCTTTACTCTGCAGGCTGATGATCATCGCCCAAGTATTGTATCCTTTCGTTGTGTGTATGGGCTGTGGACAGATGTGGTGGTATTGTGGGGGGGGGGGTGATCAAAAGCGAGTTTGCTACTGCGGCACAGCGAGACAGGCACGTACGTGGCTTGAGGGTTCCACCGCTTCCAAGCACAGGGAGAGACCGTGCGTGTGTCCAGTATTCGCAGGCCTTTTGCGCAGATGACTGACTACCATAAGGTAACTGACTGGCTGGCTGGCTGGATGACGGACCACTGACCCCCAAAAAGCCCAACCCACCACCCACGCAAGGTTGCCCGTTGCATGGGGATTGAGTGCAGTCTGGGGGTCCGCCTGTAAGCAAAAGTGAGCAAGTGACCGATGCGCTGGCGGCTCTTCAGTGGCCTGCTGCTCCCACGCATGCCCCTGGGGTCAAGAGCGAATAACAAAAGCACACTCTCTCTGTGACGGCGCGTGGGATGGAGGCGAGGCATTCTCTTGCTCTTGCATCGCCTTGCTCACATGATCTGTTGCTTCGGTCCCGGGGGGGGGCCACATGTCAAGGATATTATTCTTTCTGTTGCTGATGCGTAGACTAAGAAGAATCGAGCCTGTGATGAAAGTACCAAGACTCAGCCTCGATGCCTCCTCCATCACTGAAGCTCTATTTTCTGCATCTCGTTCGCTCCAGTAATTCTTACCTGAGGCCTCGGGGGGGGGGATTACTAGCTGAGTACTTCCTTGCTAAGCCTGGTCTGACCAAATGGAAAGTTCCATGCACGTGGCCTGTTCTACCGAAGAGAATCTGACATCTGTGATAAGTACTACCCCCTTGAGAACGCCCTGGCAAAGATGTGTCTGTCAGTGTGTGTGTGTGTGTGTGTGTGCGCTTATTGAAAGAACGCCCTGCCGCAGCGCGCCCCACGCGGGCCGTCCCTCGTCCTGTCAGCCGCCGCCGTCAGAGTCGAGCGCAAGCAAGCAAGCGAGGGCATCGCAGCAGCTGACGTGCGTTGGCTGGGATTCCTAATCAGTGTACCCCCAACGTCGCATGGGCTAGTTATTATCATCTTCAAATTGTATGCTGCCTCGATGCGATGCATGTGTCAGACTGGTTCCTCGGAACGCCTTGTGCATTTTTTTTCTGTTTTCTTAGCGTAGCCAGGGCTCAGCCACCCCCAAAGCTGGTGGGCGGCTCAGAGAAGGCGACCACGCCCGTTGGTCGGAATCCTGTATTTTTGCGACCAATCAGAGACACCACGAGCCACAACGCAAAGCCTGTTTCGAAGGTTGCAAGTTGTGTTGGAACGCTTGGATGTGGTGGTGGCGGCGGCGGCATCGTTTGGTCGCTAGGCAGACGCGAGCGAGTAGCAACTGTATCCTCCCCCCATCCCAGTCGTCTCAGAGTCGCAAATCAAAGCAGAGTTTCATCGAGGAACGAGGGAGGCTCTACACCAAGACATGTGAGTTATTGCTGAAAGCATCAACGGCGCGTGACACGACCCCGAGGCCGAGGTAGGCAGACAAGCCACCTCGTTTCAGCGTCCATATTGGAGGTAGCATGAGAGCCTTGTTACACAGAACTCGTCGTCAGATGACAGACTACAAAAGTCAGAAGAAGAAGTGGGTGTTGCCAATGGAGCGCGTGCAAAAAAGGTCGAGGCACATCTCTCTATACGCATCTGTGTCCAGATGCTGTTCGCTGTCTGTGAAATTTTCCAAGGCAAAGCTGTTGCATGGCAACCCCTCAAGCGCATTCATTCACAACCTGCTCTCGTTGCGTGATTGCCATCTCGATCTCTCCGGCACTCGGCTGCTTCTATTCCCGTCCCTATGAACATGCGACGCGCCTGTTTGCAGAACCCTGCCAGCCGCTGTGAGCCCCCTTGCCCATCAGCGACGATCATGGTTGCCTGCCTTGGAGGTTCAAGAGCCTGAGCCTTCCAAATTAGGGAACACGGATTACTGCGACGCTCCCAAAGCGAATAGGGGCTAGCCAGGCAGCCTGATGTCAATGTCAAAAGAGGATTGTCAACAAGTATGCTATGCTCCATGGCCAGCTTGCGACCCATGAGGTAGCACGTGACGGCGCTGAAGAAGACCGTGCTCACGCATGTAATTTGCCTGGACTGCCACGTTGGGGGAAAAAAAGGCCCAGCAAAGTCGATCGACCGTTGGTAGGAAGCATGACGCTTTCTAGCGCCCTTCGTGGTATCCTGGGCGCCGGGCCCAAGGTTCCATTAGTCTCGTGCTAACTCGTGCCGGAATGCGTTCCGCGGGGGAGCGTAGCCACGTCGGGTCTAGTTTTGATTGCTGTCCGGCCTTGGAACCAGGAAATCCTGGTATCCTGTACGAAGGACTTCATAATTGCTCGGTGGTGAAGGAGCGCGCGACCCGAACCGGTTCGGCTTTGTGCTAGCAAACCCTGTGCAGCAGGCCCGAGTGCATTGCCGCCGCTTTCAGCCGTATTGTGTCTCCTTAGGCGACTGAGTGGCTCGGCCAGGCCAGGAGATCACTCAGGCCGCATGGGTCAGAAGAGAATAATTATCGTTAGACAGCGCCGCCACTGTCGGGACGTTGCAGCATCTAGATATGCCCAATTTGTGCAGTCGGCAGGACCATCCCTGGGCCATGAGGATGCACGTAATTTCGTTGCCCTGTGAAGGTCGTGGTGCGTCCATGAAGGGAGCAAATAGTCCGCTTCTGTGCCAGACTCTTAGCTAGTCGCCAAAATGCTTGCTAGAACCAGCCCGTCATGTTCTTGTCATCGGCGATGCCAACATCAAGGACGGCAGCCGTGGCTCCCCTTGTTGCTTGTCGACAGATGATCCCAGACAGACCAGTGCCCTGAGCGATTCGGGTGCTTCCCTCGGCACCTCCCACCACGAATGGCACTTTTGAGACTTCTCGATCCTGGTAAGCGGAGTAGACACGACTCAGCGGCATGAGGGCACTGGAACTTCCAAAAGGGCCCACGATGTGGATATCACAGTTTTGGTGCATGGGGTTCTGGAGCTTGTATCCAAGGGACGAGCCACCGAACCCTGCCAGTGGTTGGAGAGAATGCACGCCTCACCGCAATTCTAGAAACAATCCCGTGATTAATTACTGGCAAGAGCAAGAGCCGCACAAATCTGGCCCGGGGCCGTTTGCGTTGCACACAGTATCAGATAGACAAGACGGCTCGGCAGCCTGTCTGGATCCGTTGTTTGACTCTTGCTGTTTGTATCACCGAGCTGCCCGTGGGGAGCACAAAGGCTGGGTGAGTCACGAGCTGGACAGCATGATTCCGGTGGCGTGGCCCTGGGAAGTCAGGTTGTACATTTCATCGATCCAGGCAAGGGCCAGAATCTCCTCGCTGCTGCGGGGTGATGGAGCAAGCGAGCGAAGTGGGTGGACGCAGAAGTTCGCTCCTCAGGCCCGGCCTGTGGGAAGTTGGATTTGGAGGGTGCCAGAACAGTCGCTAATGTTGGCTGGGACTGTGGAAAGATCGATCACTGGCTGAAGGCATCGGAACCGGCGCGGAGTGAGAGTGGGCGAGCTGTGGCGGTGGTGGGAGCGAGAGCGCAGGCCGTTTGAGCCACACGTCATCCCTCAGTCGATCCTGTCCAGCTGACCCAGACCGGTCAGAGCAGAACTGCTGTCAGACCCCGACTGACAGGCAGGCACCATTCATTGCCCGTGCCGTAGAATGCCTGGAATAACAACGACAACCCCCTCCAAAGCTGTCATGCCCGATCCGATGCTGCTGTCGTGCAACGTCCCGCTGCCAGGAGCTGTCTCTGTCTTCCTGACCCCGTGTGTGCATTTAGGCGCACATGGGCCGCCCACTGACTGGTAGCCGAGGGAGAGACTGCGGTTCTGTCCTACTGGCTCACGGAAGACTCACAAGGCACTGGGACGAGCCAGAGGCGGACTGGGTGGGAGTGCCCTGTGTGGCTGAAAGACACCTGGGCCTCAAGGAAGGCGTACGCATGAACAACGGGCCCGGGCTGGAGCCTGCGGGCGCCGCCACAGCCCCCCTTCAGCGATGGAGCGCTCCAGGGCTGTGATGATGCCAACAAAGCATTCCAGGCCAGGCTACCAGCGCCGGCCGAGGTACCTACTTGGCGAGCATGCACAACGGCTTGACAGGCCCGGGCATGCCCTACACCAGTCTATTTTTCTCCTGGCGCCAGACGCCGCGTCGGGCCATGCAGGCTTCCCCCGAGGGCCACGATGCCACGCCGCGCGCGCCGCTGCAGGCAGGGGTATCCTGGCCATGGGTCCTCTTGTCAAGGACATGTCAGCAGTACTGTCATCAGGCCGCGTCCACCGGCAAGACGCTGAGTATCCGGTACGGGGCTTCTGGCACAATGCCCTGACGCGGGTGGCCCGCACCCCCATGCAAGCCCACCTCCGCCCTTGAAGAGGTTTTCCAGCATCGTGGTACGGATACTCTGGGACACCCCAGCCTGCGGTGCCTGAGTTGAGGCCCGGCACACACGGATCCCTCAGTCTGAGGCGGCCAGCAGAGCGAGTCCTCCCAAGGCTCTTTCGATCGCCATCAGCATGTGACTTTGTTGCCGAGTGTGCTTGCTGGTTTCAGGCGGTGCAGTCCCGACGACTTGTGTGTACAATTCGAGAGAAACCACGGCGTTGGCTGCTGCGCAGCTCGTCGTGACTGTACCTGAATGACCAGAGGTGGCCCATGTTTTTTTTGTCATGGTGCATGAGCGGCGGAATCCCACCAACGGATGCCTCAGAACACAAACCAGCCGTCCCGCCTGGCAGCCTCCCCTCGAAACTGGCCTGTTGACGTGCTGAGGCCATGGTTAACACCACAAGGTAGAGCTACTTGGTGTATCTAGAGTTTTACTTTGTCAGCACCCAAAGAGGATTGAGGGCAGGAAGGAGCCAGAGCCAAAAAGCAAGCCGGCACACAGAGAGCTGTGCTGCCGCTCGCACCCCGGCCGTACGCCATTGTGTCATCACCCAATGCAAACTGGCGCGTGTCTCCGGCTGGCCAAACCACCCACCACTTGACTTGCACCCTGCCCGACAGGGCCTGCGCCAGCCCGGACCAGACCCAACTCAGTCCTGGTCGCCATCTTCCACCTGCTCGCAGCCATACATCCTCCCCAGTCCCGTTCCCTCCCACAACCACAAACCCAAACACAACACTCTCCCGCTCACGCGCACACGCACACGCACCCGACGATTCCTCCCAATCTCTCCATATCCTCCTGCTCTCCTCAGCATTGCGCGTACGCCGCCGCCGCCGCACCCACTGCCGATCTGCTCCATATTCGACCACGTCAACAGCAAACGAGGCGAACCTGACGCTAGCGGCCGTTTCGACAGGGCCTCGGACGATTTCTTCTCAGCCAGCATCGTAGTATTCCACAGCCCGTAAACACGTCAAGGCTTGCACAACCCGGTCATCATCGCATCACGGGCGTGACGCACTGCCAATCCATTGGATTCAACCCTAGCCCACCTCCGTCTAACTCAACTCTTGAACCGAGGGCACCTTTTCCAACACACGGTCTCAAGCACACGACACGCCTTCAGGGCATGCAGTAACGCGCAGAGTGCCGTAGCCCAGCGCTCCTCTCGGATAACCTGCTTGCTGCAACGTAACGTGGACGCTCGCCTCGACTTCACATGGTCAAGACTGCGTCCACGGCAATATGGCGGCAAGCGCCACGGCTCCGGGCTTAGACGCCAGCATCTCCAGCCTGAACTCTGCAGACAACGACAACTCTGCGACATCAAGCGCCAATATCGACACTCAGCAGTCCAAATGGACCTCTGCCAACACCTCGGTGACCGCCTCCCCTCACGCCTCACGAGAGGCGTCTCCCACGAGACCAGCACCCAAGACGACCAGGCATAATCGCACCGCAACTGGGGGCGCCTCGAGATCGCGGCAGAACAGCTTGCAAGAACCTAGCCCGTCAAGAGCGCGGTCTGCCGTACCCCCTGCTCCGATGCGATCGTCGATATCTGCCTCTAGCACACCAGCCCTCCCTCCTCCGTCAACTACGGGCCCAATTATTCGCGCGCCAATCCCACAGAAGCCCTCGCTCGTCACCGAGACATCTAGGGATTCCCCCCGATGGCCAGTCTCTCCACGGCTCAAGTCGCCGCCACCAGCGCTTAACCGTCCTCCGCCAAATCTGCCTGCGTCAAGGAAGAATGAAGTCGAGCCACCGGCAGCCGCGTTAGCTGTTCGACGGGCTTCCCCAACCCCTCAGCTGGATCCGGCTCCGTCCGACACCGAGTCTGAGGATACTCTTGGCCCCCCAGGCGTGCGAACCCCATCACGAGGACCTAGTAATGGATCGTCTACGCTGGAGACTGTCCAGGAGGTCAGCCAGCCAAACACGCCAGGGCCCGGGACGAGTCTCAATTCCGCACTGGAGGTCTTAGCAAGGTCCGCAGAGGTCCTCGAGGCGTCGTCATCACAGCAGTCAACCCAGAACGCGGAAAGCGGAAGTGACAGCGGAGATCAACGGGCCGCAAAGAGACGGTCCGTATCGGCTGCGCCTCCGCTGCTTCACAGCAGGCAATCTAGCACGGCGCTTAAAGTTGGAGCCAAAGGTCAGGCTGGGGAAGGCTCTGGGCATATGACAGTGGAGGAGGAGAAAGTCACGGGGCTGCCACAGATGTCTCTGAAGCCGAGTGAACGCGCCCAAGGAAGTAATGGAAGTCTTCGAGCAAAACCCAGCACCGAAACTATCAGGCCAAGAAAGGAGAAGAAGAAGAACCTGCGCAAACCAGCGCCCGTCGTCGCTGGCACAGTTTCTTCAAAGGCCGATATTTTCGAGGCAAAGGTCGCCAGCGCGGTCGAGGAAAACGACTCTTCGGATTCAGATGAGACTTTTGTCTACGACTCGAACCCGCCTGACGTGACCGACAGGCCCCGCCGCTACCATCACTCTCGCACACCGAGCGCGACATCTATGGCTAGTCAAGCCGACCGCAACGGCCTCAGATCACTGCACAGTATGATGGACAGCAACTCCACAAATATCGCGCCCAAGAAGAACATGAAGTTTGTCAACACGTTCACTGGTAGCGGCACCGATAGCCCTCTGCTACTCGATGATGACGGCAGAGGTACGCGAAGTAGCAATGCCGGATCAGCCCGAGGGACATCGCGTCATCACCACCACGTTGGGCGCTGGCTAAGAAATAGCGGAAACCATACCTCGCTATTTGACAATGAGTCACCGTTCCCCGCGACGTCAAGAACCAAATTCTCGACTAGCGTGCCCAGGCAATCGTCGAATCCACCGAGCCCACGTTTCCCCAACAACAGCAGCGCAAACAATAACGGGAACAGTGTAATTAATAGCAACAATGGCACTGCGAACTCCAACAGCACCCTGACTGCCAACAGCAACGGAAACACGGCCAGCACCAGCAGTACCGCTGCTCGTGGATGGGCCGCTCAGTCTAAACGCCTTCCACGTGTTGGGAGCATCTACAACATGGACGACACTCCAGGCGCAGATGATGAGCACACCCCTTTGCTCCTTTCCGGAACTGTGCGCTCCGCCCGGTCACGGGGAAACAGGCGCAATCATGGTGCTGGAAGGAACATTGAATCCCAGACCTATCGCCAACGACCAAGCTTCCTCAACAGATTTGCAAGCTGTCTTGTGCTGACAATCATGCTACTTCTTGTCATTACGGGCGCTATTGGCTTCATGTTTGCGACTTCTCAGCCCTTGATGGACCTCGAGATCATCAAGATCGAGAATGTCCTGGCCAGCGAGCAGGAGCTCATGATGGATATTCAAGTGCGGGCCCACAATCCAAATGTAGTGGTTGTCATGGTCGACTCGGCCAATCTCGAGGTTTTTGCAAAGTCGCCACACGCCGGAAAGGACTCTGAGTGGTGGCGTGATCCCCATGATACACTCGGTGCAGACGATATGAAGAGCACTGGCGGCAAGGTCAAGCCTCCCGCGCAACCTCCATCGGACGAGACGGATCCCAACATGCGCCTTGGAAATATCCACCGTTTCGACAGTCCTTTGACGTTTGAAGGGTCGTTCTTCCGCTCTGGCATCTCTACGTCTTCTGGAGAGCTTCGCCTCGCTCGCCCTGGCAACACAACCGAACGTGGTTCGGAACGGTGGGAGCGTATTCTGGAGCACAACTTCACGCTGATTATTCAAGGGACGCTCAACTATCAGCTGCCGCTGAGTTCCAAGCAACGGAGCGTCATCGTCTCTGGCTCCGCTCGAGTTCTGCCAAACTCGGCAGACCAGCCAGCTCCCACACCGAATGGCACCGATATCGGTTTATACCGATAGAGCCCGGGACAGGCCAAGTCCCATATCTTCTCTTTTGTTGTAATGTCCATCCCGCGTGGTTTTTTTTTTCATGACCAGCCCGCGGGATTTACGACGAGCATTCCACTTCGGCTATGGGACATTCCAACCACCTTCAACGAATTGCTTTTAGCCTGCTTTCTCTTACTCTGCATCGTCGCGCGCCCTGGTCGTTGCCTGTGAAGTCGGCTGGTCTCGATGCCGTTTTATCACAGCGAGATGGAGCCACCGCCGATCACGGCACACCAGGCATGTTTGTTTATTTCGCGTACAGCAAGCATGGACGGAACCGAAAAAATTGCATAGGATTGCATTTGCAAACCCTCTCACAGCAATGCTGAATCTCCAGATGGCATCAGCATACATGCCGTGTGGAAAACTACAGCCAAGAGCAAGGGCACATGTCAAGCGAGCCACTTGGGTTTCTGATTGATTTTTCCACCTTATTAACGACAACATGACGACCCTTAACAACAACAGTTTTAGATCAAGCACAACGGGCGACTATATTATTGTACACTTTTCGTAAGAGCTCGGCTATGAGCTTGCAGTTGTACTGAAATGCCAATCAGATGGGCACCTAGCCCTGTATATATACACTCTCTTCTGTCTCTAGTATATCTTGTACATAACCGGGGCAAAGAGCTGTTCAAGGATGGTGCAACTTTTACATACTGGAAAGAGAGTAGATATCGTGTGCTGCAAGAAAAAATCGGCGAGAGCATAGCTTTTCAATGCCATTTAGGTTTATGAAGTATGCTACGCTTGGGTAGCAACTCGCTGCTACCCTGCTTCGGCTTTAGGAGGAGTGCTTCTCAATATCAGGGACATTGATGCAATGCGAGCCCTCCCCACATAGTGATGTTGTTTGGTCAGCAATGTCTCCTTTGATGTGGAGACCACGCGCAGGTGCGTGAGCGCAATTGGACGATGATGTCAGGACCTTTCTCGTCGCGCCATAGCGCCGTTTCTGTCTCGATGGAAAGCATACCTGTCTGACCACTCACATGCGTCGGATTACAGCATTTTCCGATGGCGGACCCTTGCTCGAGCTTGAGGGGCCGGCGGGTTGAAGTTAGCGCAGCTGAAGCTCCCAGTCGTGATTACTGTAGCACCCTGAGAGCTCTGCTTTGCCAGATAACCATCTACACCCTCGTCATACGATTGTACGGACGGGCTGGTCATGGTTGGTCGCGAGGATGGACAGCTTTGAGGTCAACCACAGCGATACGATAGCATATCTTTTCATGGTGTTTTATGGCTACGCGTACCTTAGCTAGAGCGCGCGGCGGAGCCAACACTGATTTACTGTCCAACCTCAACCATGGACATCGTCGCCTCTGCGGCTCGTCGAGGCGGCCCGCACTCCGCCTTCAACTACTCATCATCGGTGTCGTGCTCGATCTCGTGCGTATGTAGCTCGCAGGCAGGGCCCCCGCTGGTGCTTCACCTATTAGACTGCTGTGATTCACCACCTGCAAGCTCAGTGCGCCTCCCTCCTCATCTGTGTGTGCCTCGTCCCCTGCTCTATCTGTGACCGCAAGTGTTGATACCTTTTTACCTTTTTATCCCCGGACCGACCCCAGACCCCCGCCAGTTCTCCTCTCGAGCTGCCTCCCCCTCGTTCCTACATCTTCGTTCTATGAATTTCAACGCAGTGGCAAGAGCTTCTTCACTGCAGTCTTGGGCTCGTTGCATCACCGCCTCGGCAAAGGGCAGCAGAAGCAGTGGCAGCAGCATCCGGTCTTGCAGGACACCACTCCTCAGCACAGCGAAGCTCCTCTACCCCACAGCTCCCGCTTCTCCGCACCCTCAGTGTCGTCATCATCATCACACAGCCTCGCTATACCCAGGGACCAGCCCAACTGCCGGCCACACCACCACCACCACCACCACCACGACAACACAGCGCGGCTTCAGCACTTCCACACAGAAAGCCATGGCCAGCGAATACAAGCTCAAGGGCATCTCGTCCCTGTCTGGCTTCGGCCCGGGCGAGAAGCGCGAGGTCGAGGTCGAGGGCATCGAGGACGCCAAGGTCCTCCTTGCCAACACTGGCGGCAAGGTCACCGCCCTCGGGCCCAAGTGCACGCACTACGGTGCCCCCTTGGTCAATGGTGTGCTCACAAAGTCGGGACGCCTGACGTGCCCGTGGCATGGAGGTTAGTTGCCTTTTCCCCACTATCAGTGGTAGTATCTATACAAGTGCAGTGTAGCATCCTTTTGAGGAGTCTAGTAGCGGCTAACTGGTGGGCTGATTCGTAGCATGCTTCAACGGCAAGACGGGCGACATTGAGAACGCCCCAGGTCTCGACTCCCTCGCCACTTTCAAGCTGGTCGAGAAAGACGGCGGCGTCTACGTCGAGGGCGAGGAGGCGACCATCAAGGCCGGCAGGCGCAAGCCCAAGTTCAAGTGCGCCGCCAGCACGACTGCCAGCTCGGACAAGATCATCATTGTGGGCGGCGGCAGCGGCGCCATTGGCACCGTCGAGGCCCTCCGCGAGCAGGGCTTCACGGGGCCCATCACCGTCATCACCAACGAGGGATACCTGCCCATCGACAGGACCAAACTCTCCAAGGCGCTGGTGGACGATGCGTCCAAGGTGCAGCTCCGTGACGACGACTGGTTCAAGCTCGGCTCCGTCTCGATTGTGCAGGACGAGGTGACTGACGTCGACCTCAACGCCAAGACGGTCACGACCAAGTCGCACAACGGCAAGTACGAGTACTCCAAGCTCGTCCTGGCTACTGGTGGGACACCTCGCAACCTGCCCGTCCAGGGCTTCAAAGTCCTCGACAACATCTTCCTCCTGCGCAACATTCACCACGTCAAGAAGATCACCAGCGCCATCGGCGAGAAGGGCAAGAAGATTGTCATTGTCGGCAGCAGCTTCATCGGCATGGAGGTTGCCGGTGCCACGGCCGCCGACAACGATGTCCACATCATCGGCATGGAGAAGGTGCCTCTCGAGAGAGTGCTCGGCGAGCAGGTCGGCGCCGGGGTGCAGAAGCTGTTCGAGGCCAAGGGCGTCAAGTTCCACATGTCCGCCGGCGTCGAGAAGGCGGAGCCGTCAGGATCCGACCCGTCCAAGGTTGGCGTGATTGTGCTCAAGGACGGCACCAAGCTCGAGGCCGACCTGGTCATCCTCGGCGTCGGCGTGTCCCCGGCCACCGAGTACCTCCAGAACAACAAGGTGATCCGGCTCGAGCAGGACGGCTCGCTCAAGGTGGACGACACTTTCCTCGTGCACGGCGTCAAGGACGTCTACGCCATCGGAGACATTGCCAGCTTCCCCTACCACGGCCCCGGTGGTAACGGCAACTACACGCGGATCGAGCACTGGAACGTGGCGCAGAACCAGGGCCGGATCGTGGCGCGGCACATTGTGAACCCGTCGCTCAAGCCGACCTTCTTCACGCCCATCTTCTGGTCCGCGCTGACGGCGCAGCTGCGGTACTGCGGCAACACGGTCAACGGCTGGGACGACCTCGTGCTCCAGGGCAACCCGGAGGAGGGCAAGTTTGTGGCGTACTACTGCAAGGGCGACACGGTCGTGGCCATGGCCAGCATGGGCAAGGACCCGGCCATGGTCAAGTCGGCCGAGCTCATGGCCGAGGGCAACATGCCGTCCAAGAAGGAGCTCCAGGGCGGGCTCGACATCCTGGACGTCCCGATTGCCGAGTGACTACCTCGGGAGGAAACATTGGCTACCACACGTAAGACAGGCGTTAGATTGTAGCAGTGTCTGCGGAATGCGACTCGCAACAATGTTTGTGTGTCTGAATCAAGTGAACCTCGTCAGGAACGTGAAAAAGGTGAAATGCATAGCGCCTGGAGCTTCTGCCGCAGTGTTCTTGGCAGGCTATCAAAACAACCAGCATCTCAAGTCTCGGCCCAAAGAGCCACAGCACAGCACACACCGCCTATGAGCTACCCAGCTCTAGACAGAGAGCCGACGTGGTCCCAGCTACTACACGCGGGAACTAATGCGGGTGGTTGGAACCAGCGCCCAGCACGCAGCCAATACCGTACCCAGGCAGTTGCAGCACTGGAGAACTGCCAGAGACGTGTAGTAGCTTGGTTTGCGGGCGCCAGCAGGAACCATGCTGCGCCCATGACGCATGTGTGCCCAAGACCCTGGCTGGCCACATTTGCTTTCGAGCCCGCCCCCGCCCACCCCTTTGATAGAGAGTGTGTGCTGTGCTGTGCTGTGATGGCAATGGCTCGCGCTGTACAGGCTGCTGGCGCCGTTCGCCAGCTTGCTTGCTTGGGCAGCTGTGGACCTTGCGAAAGTGCAATGCGGGTTCGTTATCTGCTGCCGCAGGCGCTGGAAGCGATGTTCGTGTCGAGTGATGTATTTAACTTGGGCATTCCCTTTAGCAGCTGTGCTCTACGTCCCTTTAAGGTTGTTGAGAAAACCACAGACGACACCGACTCGAAGGATAAACTTCGCCAACGAAAACAAGCACCGTCCCCCCACCCACCGTTGCGCGTGAGCGAGTTCACGCCGGCCGCCATGGACGGGAGACCAGCGACCTGCCTCTGTGCCTGCGCAACCCTTGGAGCGTAGAGGTGGCCGTGAGCTGGGTCGGCACCACCTTATCAGCTTGGCTTGTCGATTGATTGGCAGACAGGTCACGAGACGCAGCAGCACACACGGCAGCCCCCCCAGCCTCCAGCATTTCCCCTGTGTGTTTGTGTGTGTGTCGTCATAGGGGAAATAAACTTACACACTGGCCAGCCAGCTGTGCATGAGTAGAGACGCGTGTCTGCCGACACTTGCACACAGACACGACTTGGACTCTGGCTGCCAGCTAGTGCTGAAAAGGAAGATCAAAGAGTGCTGGACGGACATTGCCGCATAAAGCACTGGGAGATGCGCCAATCTTGCCCAGCGGGCCGGCACCCCCACCACCTCCCTCCACCTGACAGAGGACGAGCGCCCACCTAACAACCTTGGAAGGTGCCCACCAAGAAACTCCACCCTGCTAGGCTGCTTGACAGGCGGCGGGTGCGGGAAAGTGGGCAAGCACGACGCAGGAACCAGAACACGAACAACCCACACCACTCACCACCGGCGGTCGACGCGCTCTGGGCTTCTGGGCGGTACTCACGCATCATTCCTCGGCACGAAAGGAAAACCTCCCAGTATACACCTTTTTTACAGCATATCGCAGCGACACGACCACCGGAGCCTTGGGCACGCGACAGCAGGCTTCACAGTAGAGTCAAGTCGATTCATCGAAAACAGGAGCCGGCGCCTGCCCCCCCATCACATTCCTAGCAACACCACCAGGGAAGACAGGACGGCACAGAGATTGCAGCCACCTCCATACACGACGCAAAACCACGATCGATCAACCCCGGCGATGACCAGAGACATTTCGCCCACGCCTAGCCCTCTATAGCAATCCTTATAGTATCCGCAACTACAGCACTTCAGTTTAAACACAACCAACGACACAGAAACGACGACGAGAAGCGGGGGAGTGAGGTTCACAATAGGGAGAACGGCAACGGCCGCCGGGCTCGCGCGCGCGAAAAGCCACCATGATGGCCGGCGGCGGCAGCGACCACCGCGACCACGAACGGTCAGCGACACCGGCACCAGGCGACATGGCGGCTGGGGATGCGTTGCGCGCCATCGAGGCCAGCGCCAACGGCAATGCGACGAGCCCCATGAAGTGCTGCTGCGGGCTGGAGGAGTGCGTGTTCCTCAAGCACAACTACTCGGTGCTCGACAGTGTCGAGAGGGACGTCCACACGGCGGCGCGGATGGGTCAGGTATGTCTTTTTCGATTTTCCATGATAACGGCAGTCCATTGTGTTCGTGGTTGTATAGAGAATCACGCGAGGCGGCGTGCGGCCATCTCGATTTGCATCCCTTGTTTCTTTGCTTTTCCTTGGGGCACACTTGCTGGACGAGCATGCTCGGCACGGCAGACCGCCCTATTTCACATTCCTCAGATTGAAGAACTTCCCCCGCCCAGCACCATGCTACGTGCTGCGCTGTCAAATACAAGGGCGAAGACCTAAGACTTTCACGGAAATGTCCGAGCCAGTGTCACTGACGTTTTCTCTCCAGGCCCTCCTTGCACGTCATGAAGCATACATGGCCGATGCAGAGCGCGACCGCAACGAGCTCACCGCGCGGATCGGCCAGCTGGAGATGGACAACAAGGAGCTGCAGGAACGCAACGCCCGCACTGTAGAGGAGAACCGCAGCCTGCTCGACCAGCTCGAGGCGCTCAACACTAGCGTGAACGATTCCGAGAGCCGCATCAAGTCCCTCGAGGCTGGACTGCTCTCATCGCAACAGATGATCCGCCGGCTGGAGCGGGAGACGGAGCGTGCTATGCTTCTTGAGAGGCAAATCTCGTTCCTCGAGCAGGAGCAGGAAGACCTGCAGAGCAGCCTATCGCTCTCCCGTGAGGAGGCCCGGTCGGCTGTGTCGAGATGGAAGAAAGCCGAGCGCGGAATCGTGGACCTGCAGGAACAGCTGGAGCGGATGGAGCGTGAGATGCGCGAGGAGAGAGAGCACCACGAACAGATGATGGGTCGAATCGAAAAGCAGCGTGATATGGAGAAGGAACTTAACGCGGCGGCCGGGCGTCTCAAGGGCGCCGCTGCTCTCAAGTCGCTCAACCAGACAGGCAGCGGTAGCGCAGTCGTGTCCCATTTCGTGCGCGACCTGCTGCAGGACAATGCCAACCTACAGCACGGTATGGCACAGCTGCGCGAGATGCTCATCAACTCAAACGACGAGATACAAGCCTTGCGGGACCAGCTCATGTTCCACCAACCCGTCGAAAGCCAGGACGGCACCACGACACCAACCTTGCGGGCGGAGCTCGGAGGCAGCGAGCTGTCACCAACAAAGGAAAACCCGCCAAGGCTATCACAGGAGCTGCACATACACCACCACTACCATGTGACGCCAAAGCAGGAGAACAAGAAAGCGAGGAAGAAGCGGCCAGGCTTGACCGGTGGAGTGTTCATACCACCTGCCTTGCATCACTCTGGCACACCGCCAATGCTGCACGGCAGGAGCAGTTCTGGTGATCGAAGTGTTGAAGGCCATAGACTCCCTCGCTGGTCGATGCTGTCTGAGCAGTCGTCAGACTTTGCACTGTCATCTGGGCTAAGCTCTCCAACTTCGGTGGACAATCGAAACTCTGTTTTCGACCCCAGGCTGGACTCGTTCCCAGGCTCACCAACGACCAGTGTCGATCCAATGTCGCCCTCATGGCGCGCAAGCCATCGAAAGCAGCCATCGAATATGTCTGCCAGAAGTTTTCAACTCTCAGCACCATTCTCGCCAGCACAGCCGATGCCGATGTCGACACACACGATTGTGGAGGAGTGCGATGACGGCGATGTGCCACCCGAGCTGTTGAACCATACCGACGAGTCCGCCGCAGATGATGAGACGTCGTCGAGAGACCATGACGGGACAAATGAGGACATCTCGGTTGTCTTGGAGGATATGGATGACGATTATACTTCTCAACGACGACTCCGCAGGGTCTTGTCCCATGAGTCAATCATCTCGTTGTCTGGTGGCCTCGATATTCATACGCTCAAGGCTCGGCCCAGCCAGCTGACGCTGCGGCATCTTGGCAGCTCGGCCGCGTCTGTTACGACAAGTAGCACAGTGACTGCCCGACCTATTTTGTCCCGTGACTCAGCCAAGCGGAGCAGCACGATGCTGCGCGACCACTACGGACTGACTCCGGTCGGCAGTCTCCGATCTGTGTCGAGCGGCTCCACGCAGAACGGGCACTCAAAACTGGGAGCCTGGACTGGCTGGCGGCCGTGGGGTGGTTCTTCGACAACGACGAATTCATCGACAACCACCACTACGGTTTCCACCACAACGACGACAACGTCATTGCCTACATCGATCACGTCGGCGACAGTAGCTACCGCGGCCTTTCCTGTTGACGTTGCAGGTTTTACGACTCCCAACCCAAGCACTCCTGCGCCAAAGAAGACGCATTCGGAGAAGAGCAGTGCAGCTGCCTCGATGAAATACTTCGGTCGATCACCGGGCATCAACCAACCTGGAGCTATTCCAGGGTTTCACGAGTTCCTTGCTGCCGCGCAAAAGCGGGTGCCACCCAGCAGAGTGCAGCCAGTGAGCGTCGACCATACTGCTCTACGGGAGGTGCTCGAGGAGGCGTGATGAGCATCATATACACGCCCATCAACACGGTCTCACGCTGCCATGCACACCTTTGGCATATTATCAATGCCACCAACTCGACCATTTTTTCACATTTACCACGCACCAGCTAATCACGACTGATGCTGCACATATAAAGAACTTGTAATCACCTTTCAAAGACAGCATCAGCTCTTCGCTCACTTGCTACACCGGACACGACCAGCTTGTCGTCCTCACCAAAACTGTTTCCTTGTTATCATATTCGTTGCACATTAGCGTTGTCGTTTTTTTTTGTCAATACTCTGACATATCATGGGATCGGCGTCCTCCGGGTGTTTTTGGGCGCGCGTTGCCAATCAGATGCGCACACACATGGCTTTATTGGACAGACAACTCCTAGGCCTTTGATTCCTCAAGGATCTGAGAAGCATTTCGTTTTCTTGTTAAAGTACATAGTACGAGAGGGGAAGGAAAGAAAAGAAAGGGGGTTCGTGGACTCGCGAGTCGACCAGTGAGATGATACCCATACATACATACAGTCTTACACAGACACAGATATTCCACATATCAATATTTGAATCATATCCTTGAGTACTTACATACATCCCCGCTGCGTCGCGTTGAGACTTTGCAAAACTTGTGCTTGTGCCTAGCTGCCATGTAACGACCTCTCAAAATCAATACCGGCTGTCCTGTAGCCAGCTTCCAGGAGCAGCAATTCACGACGCTGGACTTCTTTGTCCTGCACTACCACAGGATATATAAATAGTTTTATGTATACGCAGGGGTAGACACAGAGTAAACTTGTTCCAAAAAGGACTATATTCGTTTGTTGTAACCTGGCGCCCGCCCGGGCAATGCTTTTTCCTTAAGAGTTGCTAATATTCGAAAATGCAAGCTGGTCGATCTATTGCGCCCCTCTGCCGCCCGCTTTTGAAGTGTTACATAGTATGTATATTACCATAACGAATTTGGTAACCCAACTCGCCCCTAGAGGCCAGTGAAGGGAGACACCATCCGCCTCGACCCCAGCAGCCTTACCATCGTTCAGTCAATCTCAACATCAATATCGAGATCAATGGCCGCGATAATATCATCGTCCACCAGAGGCTTGTGGATCTGCGGGATACCCTTCTTGTCCTTTTCAGACTCGTGATTCTGCAGCTTCAACTTCGCCAAGTGAGGCAGTCCGCCGCCGCTCGTCGTCGACGTGCCGTTAGCAGGAGTCGAAGTCCCGCTGGTAGTCTGGCTTGCCTGCGTCGCAAGAGCTTCAGCGCGTGACATGCGCGCTTCCACGTCACGAGCGCGTTCGGCGACTTGCGCTTTGCGAACCTTCTCGGCGTTCTTTCTGCGGTTCTCAATGTTGAGCTGGGCGAGACGGTCCTGTTGTGACAAAGTCGAGCTTGAGGATGGCTTGGCTGGCGTCAGGCTTGTGCTGTGAGCAAGCCGTGGGACTTCTATTGTGTCCAGCTTGGCTTCAAGCTCAGACACCTTGGCATGGTCGCCGCGTTTCCGGGCTTCCTCAAGAGCCTTGGTTACACGGTTCCGCTCGTCCGGCGCGTACTTGTCGCGCAGCGCCTTCTGGCGTTCGATTTTCTCGTTAATCTCAGCATCCGTCCAAGTCCGGTTGATGAGCTTGTTGATGTCATCGGCTTTCGACATAAGTGTTGGCTTCTTTGGGAAGAAGACTCCTTCATCTTGGCAGACAGCCTTGTAGCGGTTAAACTCGGCCTTGAATCTCGTTAGTGCATGGAAGCGATCGGAGCGTGACAGTTTCGAGACGTCATACCTCTGTGAATGGCGATTCTGAGCACATGATGAAAGGCCATTCCCGCTCAGCCTTTCCGTGTGCTGCTCTGAGATATTGGTCGGTGACAAAAGTCTGACCGTTTGACTTCTCCATTGCGTATGGCTTTCCTTGGGTAAACCCTGTAAGAGTGTCAGCAGCCGCACACGCCCTACCATTGAGAGCCTTCTACGTACCCTTAATGACAGCCATGCGATAAACTGGCACTCCATCACGGTCTGGACCGATGGATATCCGGACAAAGCATCCAGTGATTGCAGCGTCGAACCCCGGAAAGAAACAGACTTCGGCGAAGCGGTGCCGTCCCAGCCTAACGCGCTCGATATCCCTGAGCTCGGCAACAGGAATCTCCTTCACCTCGGGCGTTCTGGAAGCGGAGTCTCGGCGCCTATTACCACCAGACCAGTCGACATCGCTATCATCGTCACGATCTTCCGAATCTCCCCGTGCGAACGAGATCGAGCGGTCCTTGTTCCTTTCACGGTCCTCCTCTCTCCGCCGGATACGGTCGTTCTTCTCAGCACGGGCACGTCGCAAAGACTCGATGCCAGAGCTGGTCTCGCCGACCTTTGAGCCTCCGACCTTGGTGCGCTGTCTGGACGTCTTGCGCGCAGACTCTTCCGGCTCCTCGCTGCCGGCTTTGCGCTTCTTGGCAGACTGGCTGTCGTCCTCTCTGTTCTTCAGAAGTGCACGCAGAAGGGTGTTCTGCCTTTGTCGATCGACGTCTTCTTGACGTTTGGCGAGAAGCTGCTCTCTCTCGAGCTCTGGCATGGCGAGGATCTTGTGTTTCTCGGCTACGCTGACGTATATGCCGTCGACGGGGTAGGCAGTACTGTCATCGTCGTTGGCGCTCATTTTGCCATTGAGCTGACTTGTCGAGGGACCTTCATTGTCGGAGTCGGATTCGTCCATGGGGGCGGACTCTTGAGACGCGACGGAGGCTACGTCGGAGCTGTTCAGAAAGCATCGGATTAGCATTGTGAATGGGTGTAATGGTGACTTGTAGTTGTGTATGCAGTTGTGGAGTAATGATCTGTAGTGTTCAATGGAGCACAGAGGTTGCGCCAGTTGCGGAATGGACAATGAGGACAATGTCCATGAATGCAGCAGTGACGACGTGACCGGCGGCTCATCAAGCCGGAGCAGGTGCAGACTTACGCTTCGCCTTCTTCCTCGTCAGAGTCGTTCTGTTTCCTCCTCTTTGACTTTTGCAATGTCTCGGCCTCGCCATCACTGCCTGGCGGCTCCGAGGCCGCGCGACTGTGCGCGGAGACTTCATCGTCAGACTCGTCGCCACCGACGAGGGCAAGGAACTCGTCGTCCACGTCCGCCATTTTTCCTTTGCAAGTTTTCGAGACGATCCCCAAGGACGGAAGGCGCGTGCGCGATGACGACTGCTTCGCTGGTGATAATGGTCAGGGCCTTGTAGCGACCAGTCGTCGGGAAGCTACCTGTGGCCAGGAGCGAGGTGCAGAGCGAGGAAGGAGGGCTGCTGGCTTTGTGAGGAGGACTTCTGGCCGATCGCGGAAGCTCAAAGTTCAATGTGTTGATGCGAGGCAGCAGCACGTCATTCGGCGCATGCGGACGGTGCAATGGGTAATGTTGAAGAGTCGTGCCCAAGGGTGAATGTGGAAAGCACTTGCGAGGTTGCCAGTTCCCGAGGCGCTGGACCAGCAATTGGCCAGCTGCGTGCCTTCCTCCACCCACTGAGTGCATGGCTGGCAGGGGCGCGGCGCCGGGACCAGACCCAACACGCACCGCGCGCCCCTGCGCCGATAAGCGCGATAAGGCGCCATCGTGCGACTGCGGGACGACTGAAGTCATCCACTCGCCCATTACAGAGCTGGGGTGTCTCTGTTGAACCGCCATCTGCATCCACAATCAAGGGACCACACACCATGGCTACAGCGAGGACAGCCCTTCTGCGCTCGAGCAGGCACTTCGCACCAACTCACGAATTTCTCGTTGCGGCGTTGTGCCAGCCGAGTCGGCGATGCTTGTCGACGACAACAACACGCCGTCAAGCTGGCCCTGCCGCTCCGGCGTCGACCCAACCTAAGTCTTCGAAGCGCAAGCCCTTGACGAAGGAGCAACGGGAGTTCCTGGCCTCTGCTGTACGTAATCAGCTCTTGAGGAGGATAAAAAAACCTTCTTGCATAGTAGTCGGTCACTGATACAGTCTTCATCACGCACAGCTCCGTGTCAACCAAGCCGGCGAGCTGGCAGCCACCCTCATCTACACAGCACAGAAACCACCCATCGTCCGAGCACATCCACACCTTCGGCCACTGATGGAGCACATGTACGACCAGGAAGCCGCCCACCTCAAGACCTTCAACGCGCTGATTGCCAAGCACCGCGTCCGCCCGACAGCTCTATACCCACTGTGGTCCTTGATGGCCACGGGCCTGGGCTGGAGCACCGCCGTTATGGGCCGCGAGGCAGCTATGGCGTGTACGGAGGCGGTCGAGACCGAGATTGGCGGACACTACAATAGCCAGATCCGGACGTTGCTTGAGATGTTTGAGCAGTGGGAGTCCGAGGGCTATGAAGTCGGCGACGAGCTGAGGGAGCTGTGCGGCACACTGCGGCGCATCAGGGATGAGGAGCTTGAGCATCTCGACCATGCTGTCGAGCATGACGCCAAGAAGGCGGAGCCGCATTGGTTGCTTACCGGAGTGATTCGGGCGGGCTGCCGCGGTGCCATCTGGGCCAGCGAGCGGATATAGCGGAACTGCTGTGCATTATGGCAGGCCTGTAACGATAGGTCGTCAGGTTCGCCTGGGACAAGACATGTGATTTTTACTGTACATTCAACTTGTAGCATACTCCAGAAACCCTCGTTCCTGGTGGGAGCCAGGTGCGAGTGGTCTTTTGTACAATAGAACTCCGGCCACTGTTGCCCCAAATTCAAGATGGTGTATGCACAAAGGCGGACTGTCGCTATTGGCTGACATACTTCCAGCTTGAAATCTCACAAAGACAGAAGACAAAAGCGGAACCTGGTTGACACCCCTCACAGCCGTCGCTATGTACCTGGGTAAAGGAGCATCTGAATGACAATCCCAATTGCGGACCTTCGTCTTCTGGAATACAGTCTCGTTTCTGCAAGCCACGCTGCAGGTTTCGTTCCATCATGTAGTGAGCACTCCATTGGAGTCACCGGCCAGCCGGTTGTCTTCGGAGTAAGCCAGGGATATCATGCTGCAGGCACGGCGAGCCAAATCGGCTTAGACGGAATAGCGGGGGCCTCCGCGTTGGGGACCACCGGCCGGAGCCTCGACCCACGTACGTGACTCGGAATATGTCGACTTCTAGGCCGAATTCCTTCCATGCTTCCTCAACAGTGAATACCGTGTTGATTTATTCTGTTTTGGGCAACTCCGAGTTCTGTGACTCTGTCTATATATTCATTCTCTTGACAGCGATCCCCACACATATAGTTTTCATCACTAGCAACTCTCCAGGATCGCATAGCAACAGCAACACCACCAACGACAACGACAACGACAACGACAACGACAACAACAACAATAAAATTCACTTATTAGAACAGCACAGGCAGACAACATGGCGGCGCCAAAACCAGGTCAAGAACAAAATGGCATCACCACCACCACCATCTCCTCCTCCTCGAGCGCATCCTCCCTCCCTTTCCCCCCGCCATCCCACCTGCACCCCTCCTTCACCATGCTCCCCGCCCAGCCCGCAGACCTGGAGCCCATGTGCGACGTCTACTACAGTGCCTTTGCGACGGACCCGGGCAACACCTTCTGGTGGCCCCCCCGGCGGGAGCAGATGATGCGCTGGCTGCGGGCCCGGGTGACCAAGAAGTTTGCCGACCCGGCGGTGCGGCACTACAAGATTGTCCACGCGGAGACGGGCCAGATCGCGGCCTGGGCTAGGTGGGATATCCCGGCGGGGGGGAGGACGGGTTCGGCTTGAGTACCGGCGGTAGCGGCGCTGGGGGAGGAGTCGATGTCAGCAAGGATATTGTGCCTGGGGATGGGAATGGGAACGGGGCTGGAGCCGGCGGGATGACTGCTTCTGAAGCGCCCACGACGACGGACGAGAAGAAGAATGAGAAGCAGTCATCTACGGGACTCGACGCGCCAGAGGGTGTCGACCCGGCGTGGTGCGAGGATTTCTTCTCGGCGCTCAAGGGCATGCATGCAAAGTGGGAGGCGGATCAGATGCTTGGTACGTATTGGTTTTCTTTTTTTCTTCCCTTCTTTCTTTTGTCGTCTTCTCAAAACAAAGTTCATACCTCTTTTCAACGAAGAAGCCCGTCATGGAACTAACCATTTTTTTTCAAACATTCAGGCCTCTCCCTGATCGCAACCTCGCCCGACTATCAGCGCCGCGGTGCCGCCAAGGCGCTGATAGCTCCCCTCCTCGCGGTCGCCGACCGGAAGGGGCTCAGGACGTATCTCGAAGCCACGCCCGCGGGCAGGCCCGTGTACGGGAAGCTAGGGTTCCGGGAGGTCGACAGCCTGGAGTTTGACGTCAAGAAGATCACGGGCGGGAAGGTGGACGTGCCGTGTCGGTTGAGCATTATGGTGCGGGAGCCGGTGAAGGCGTGAACGTTTACTGGACTTGATGAAAGGGAAACTTTTTTTTTCCTTTTTTAGTTAAAAGGGGCCAGAAAGAAAAACCTGAGGATGGACCAAAGGAAAAAGTACGGCGTAAGCGCGATGGTATAGATAGAGGTTGGAATAGAGATGAGGTGCGTCATGCAGTCGTCCGCGTCTGCCGACGAACATCATAGTCCTCAGTGTATAAAGATATGCGTTCCTGGCTGGCGACATCGATCAAGTGACGCCTTGCTGCTGCTATGGGACGTGACACAGGCTCATTCTTGCCGCACCATGACAACAAATAGGGGATAGTTACGGCTTTCATCATCACAGCTTGTGTTGTAGAAGAATTTCGGGATGGTGGAACAGCCATTCACATCTCACGAGCGAGAAATTCGTCAAGAGACTGGTATCGAACAGCGCAACGCCCAGTTTGAAGCACTCCATGATTTACAATTGCGAGGCCTGTCTCCATGAACCATTTGTGACTATGAACGTGATAGACTGTCTAATTGCCCCCCGCAAGAACTTTGAACGCAATTTGACATACACGTACTGGTCAGCCGGCGGTCACGATGGCGTTCGACGGACCAGTAGACGATTCAGGAGGCACCAGTCGATCATCCGCGGGCCGGACCTGACAGGTCGGGCAATGAGATCAGCGCGTGACTGAAGCTTCCCACGGGTCGATATGAACCAAAATTCTTCAAGGCAAGATATGTTGCATAGACCAAAAATGGCACCAGGTAAATTCGCAGACTGCAACAGATTGCAGCTGGTCGGATTGTCGCCGTGCACACACGACATTATCCAATCCTACGCCATTGGTCGAAGAACGGCATGCAGCTTCAGTAACTCGCCAAGGCAAAGTTTCATCATCCTTCATTTCACGATAAAGGAGTTCGCATTCTCAAACACAGCCACTCCACTGAGCACTTCAACCATCTAGCCGGAATCAGCAGGAATGCCGAGAATGCGGATATCCAAGACACAGACAAGTGAATCAAAGCGGTCGACTTATGACCTCAGGGAAGGAGCCCTCGGACCAATGGACAAAGCCCTTTGTGCCAGAAATGGGCATGTCTCACGGCAGAAGTGGGATCTACCACATTGCCATTCATTGTGGTGGACTGGTTGCGGGACAGAGTCTCACTTCCCCATGCAGCGTACAGCGAGTCATTATGCCGTCCTTACGAGACGATTCCGCATGGGGGATGTCGAGGGCAGTTGCCAAGGAACAGATGCGCCCGCCGAGATTTGACTTGAAGAAGACGCGTGCGGTGCGTGCGTGTATGGGGCCGAATCACCATTTCATCCAGTTGCGCGCGCGCCCGCGCACAGATGTTGCGGTTTGTTCTGGAAGGATTCGTACAGATCAGACCCCTGCTAGTTGTCATGATGGTCCCTGGGAAAGTCGCTGGCAAGGGTCTAACACGGGTGCGCCTTGCTGAAAGAGGAACAACAACAACAACGACAACAACAACAGGAACAGAAGGAAATTCGTTTCGCGGAGTCAATGTGTGCTCAGCCTCCCCCTTTGTCGCCGGCTACTGGCTGCAGAGCCAGCTCTATACGACACTGATCCAAGTGTGTAAGTCGAGTCGAGCCTTGGCGGCGGTTGTTGACAGGTGAGCGGAGCCGTGAGCCGGGTACAAAAGTTGCTGCCTGCCAGCCATCAGCGGGTTGAAAGGAGGGGATGGCCAGGTCGTGGTCTTGTAGCCTGGGGCAAGCGAAATTGCCCGCATGCCATTGTCTTGGTGGTCCCTAGTACGGCCTTCTTACTCGATTGCGCTCCCTGCTGGCCGGCTGGGCAGCCGATGAGTGAGCAACCATTGTGCGCAATGCGTTTGTGCTTGCGCAACAGCAGGATTCTTTACTGCAGGTACCGGCGGCGCAGCGACTCTTGGGCGCTGCAACACGAAAGTTTGCGGCGGCGGGCTGCGCTTGAGGCGGAGGAAAACATTTGCGACCTAGTGAGTGCTAGCCTCAGGACGCTGGGTGCATTGACGGTGCCTGAGAGTCAATGCCTGATTGGGCCAAGGCGAGAATAAAGACGAGGGCGGGCTTAGGGCCGGCGCGCCAGTCGTCCGCGTGGCTCCCGCCTGCACTGCGACGGAGCTCGTATCGGGCCTGCCACACGACGCTGTGAGAGCATTTGAGCTGGTGCCAAAAAGGTGGCAGTGCAAAAACGGGCGTCCGGGAAGAGCAGGGGACCCCCGAGGGAGGTGAGGAAACGAGCGCCTGGGATATGCAGTGGCTACTGGCATCCGGCACGTTACTTGGAGTGCCAGGCTGTGTTTGATGGCGTCGGACGGAGTAGTGCCACCACGTCACGAGCTGGTGGCCAGCCATTCTCTTGCAACTTTAGTGTTTGTCAAGTGCCTGGAGCATCATGGGTTTTTGGGTGCATGGCTGGGGGCTGGGGGAGGCAAAGCAAGATTGGGTTGGCAATGGGGTCTGGAAGAGGGCAAGACTGGCGGGTTGGCTGACATCATCACGCGGGTGGGAGTGACGAGGGACTGTCACCTCGGGGCAGGGATCAGGCCGGGCAGGGCAGCCAGAGTCTGGTGCTTGGCCTGGAGATCGACTCGGCAGCCGGCTTCTGCGAGTGACGGATGCTGCCGTTCCAGTGTTTCTGTGCAGCAGCAGAATAAGAAGCAGGTGGTCGTGGTTGAGTTGGCCCCAGACGCAGGACGTAACAGAGCAGCAGCGATCGCCCGCGGGCGGGGCTGGGAGTGCGCGGCCTCTGTGTTTCTGACGCGGTCGTGATGTGCAGAGTTAGGTTTTGGCTGGGTTTGTTCCGCAGAGGCAGGCAGCGCGTGCTGTCGCTGGAGGGCGGTGGTGGATGGTTTGGTGCTAGCACGGCTGGGCACGCTTGGCTGTGCTCCCGCCATTGCCGGCTGTCTGCTGCGTGTTGGTGGTGATGGTGGTTTTGCCGTGTAGAGTTTGCAAGTGTCTGGTCTGGAAGTCGACTGTCACCGAATCTGGGGCCATGCCGCAAATGTTCGTGTCGGGCGGCGGGTGGACGACGTAAGAGAGCGAGACAAGCAGCACGGGCCCCACTCGCCCACCCACCCACCCATCCGCATCCACACACATCCACCCGCATCCACACGCACGCCCAGCCCAGCCTGCCCAGCCTGCCTGCCCTGTCCCTCCCCCAGCCAAGCCCGTCGTCAGTCAGATCCCTACCCGCCGTGGCCGTACATTACCGCAACATTCCCATCCGCTTGCGTTGCGAGGGCTTATTTCTCCCGCTCGTCCTGGCCTGGTTTCCTGCTTTGTGTCCCTCCAACAGCCATCCCACCACCCTCCGGTAGATGCGAGCCCGCCGTGCCCCATCGCCGCCCTCAAGAGCATCCTCCGGCTGCTCTTTGTCCTTCGTTTGCTCCATACCCAAACACCACGCTCGTCTCGACCACTGCGCACTCTTCTGCTCGTCTCAGCTCCAGCTCGAATCCGCGACACACCGGTAATCATCTGCTCCAACAACTCCATCGCCGGCGAGCACACATCCACTACTCTGGCCTCGACGTAGTAATCCGTAGTAGCCGACGCCGACGACGTCGCCCGCTGCCCATCATGGCGCGCTTCTTCACCCTCCTCCTCGCCGTTCTGGCGCCGTTGCTGGCCATGGCCCAGTCCTCCGAGCAGATGCTTTATTCCACCTCGCTCAACACCTGCCAGGCCAATTCGGGCTTCACCGCCAGCCATTTCGAGGTCGTCTTCTTGCCCAAGAACAACACCATCATACTCAAGCTCAGTGCCATCTCGACCATCGAGGGCAACATCGTTGTTAACTTCGCCATTCTCGCCTACGGCATCAGCATCGAGAGCAAGTCCATTGACCCCTGCGCGCTCAAGGTCAGCGGCTTTTGTCCCATGGTTGCCAGCCAGCTGCCCGACCTCGAATTCGAGGAGACCCTCGACCCCTCCGTCGCCGCCATGATCCCGTCCATTGCCTATAACTTCCCAGACATTGATGCCAAGGTTCACATCACCATCAACATGGCCGATACGGGCGCCCAGGTCGCCTGTATCGAGGCTCCCATCTCCAACGGCAAGACGGTCGATCTTGTTGGAGTCAAATGGGCCACTGCTCTCGTCGTCGGTCTGGCTCTCGTCACCTCTGCTGCTCTCTCTACCGTTGGCCATTACAATGCTGCTTCTCACGTCGCCGCCAGCGCTCTTTCCCTGGTTGGCTACTACCAGTCCCAGGCGCTCTCCGGCATGATCGAGGTTCCTCTCCCTCCTGTCGTCCAGGCTTGGACGCAGGACTTTCAGTGGAGTCTGGGTGTGCTCAATGTCGGCTTTCTCCAGGACATCTACACCTGGTACCTGCGCTCGACTGGCGGCACTCCTTCTCACGTGCTCAACAGCGTCGGTACCGTCTCTGTCGAAGTACAGAAGCGTGCGCTCGACCTCTTCAAGCGTGACGAGGTTCAGACGGGCTATGGCGCCTACGTCATTTCCGGTCCCGACCGCGTGGCTTTCCGCGAGAACATGGACGCCACCAACATCTTCCTCACCGGGCTCGTCACCTACGTCATTGTCATGATCTTCAGCTGCATCTTTGTTGCTCTGGCCAAGTTCATTATGGATGGCATGGCCAAGGTCAGGATCATCAAGCACGACCGTTTCATCGATTTCCGGGCTTCGTGGCTACCTACCCTGAAGGGTATTCTGTATCGCATCACCCTCATCGGGTTCCCCGCTCTATGCTTCCTCTGCCTTTTGGAGTTCAAGCGCCGCGACTCGCCCGCCCTGGTCGTCCTCGCCGTGGCCTTCCTCATTGGCACCCTTGCGACGCTGGGCTATGCTGCGTACACTGTCATCGTCATTGCGCGCCGCTCAATCGTCTTGCACAAGAACCCCGCCTACAGCCTGTTTGCCGAGGACTCTGCTCTGAACCGCTGGGGCTTCCTGTACATCCAGTTCCGCGCCTCTGCATACTACTTCGTGGCCATCATGCTTGGCTACATGTTTGTCAAGTCGCTTGTCATTGCCGTTGCCAGCGGCATCGCCTTGGCGATTGCTCTCATGATTGTCGAGGCCGCTGCCTTGATCGGCGCCTCCGTCATGCGCCCCTGGATGGACAAGAAGATGAACTCTTTCAACATTGCCATTGCCGCCATCAACTTCTTCAACACGATCTGCATTTTGATCTACACCGAAGTTTTTGGACAGCCCGGCATTGTTACTAGCGTTGCTGGTGTCGTCTTCTGGGTTGTCAACGCCATCTTCACGACCGTCCTCCTGCTGATGATTATCATCAGCACTCTCTTTGTTCTCTTCCGCGAAAACCCGGATACCCGCTACCGCTTCATGGGCGATGACCGCACTTCGTTTGTCAAGTCTCAGTCGCACCTCGCCACCACAAACGAGCTCGATGCCCTAGGCATGGCCGCGCGTGGCAGCGGAAGCAAGTCTGCCGTCAACGAGGGCCCTGGCCTGCCGACTCACAGCTCCGACCCTGCTGTGAACCGCATGTCCATGAGCTCCTCCTTCGGCAGCCGGCCTCAGAGCCGGCCGCACAGCATGGGCCGGCCGCATGGACAAGGCGGCGCCTACTAGATCGATGTTCACATAGCCACTTTTCCTTGCCTCATGTTTTTCTTTGTAGCATATACCAGCGTCGGCACTTGATCTGCCACTGCATCATGGAGTTTGGTCTTGCGGTTATCATCAGAGGACGACAAAATCATCATCCACCATTTAATTGAGTCACACTATGTAATTAAGATAGACAAACAATCCTTCAAGCTACTCCTGAATTATTTGTGCCATCCATCATGCTACTGGAGGGTGACACACGATCTGGTGGTCCAAATATAATGAGCCTATCCTTCCCTGTTCAGCACAATAACAGACAAAAGAAAACCCAGGAAACTTTTTATACCCTCCCCAGCTCGTCCTTGCGGATGACCTGCACCCTACCCGTCTTGACGGACCTCGACACCACCACGACGGGGTCATCTTTATCCTTGCTGTTGCCCCTCCTGCCGCTGCCGCTGTTGGTGGCGGTCGTGCCCGTGCCCGCGCCGGTTGCCACGCTGGCCAGGGCGTGGTCGTCGCGCGACTCGGTGGCGTGCTGTAGGATGGGCACCGTGTCGTCGGTTATCACCTGCGAGATGGTGTGCCAGAAGTGGCCCTGCTTCGAGTAGCGCGTCTGCAGGAGGAACGTCGCCGTGACGGCGATGACGCTGAAGTAGTTGAGCACCACGACGCCCGCGAAGCACAGCAGGCCCGTCCAGCGCACGGGCGCCTGCGTCATGACCGTCTCGGTGACCCGGACGGGCTCCGGGTTGATCATGAACGTGCCCACAGCGTAGAAGGTGTTGAGCGCCTTGATGCCCAGCATCGCCTGCAGGGCCAGGGCCGGGCGACCCGTGTCGTGCAGCACGTCCTCGAGCGTCCCGGCAAAGTCCATGTAGGGGTTTATTGTGCTCAAGCCGCTGCCTCCGCCAGAGGTGTGCATGACAAAGTCGTATCCGCCGGGCGCCATGGTGCCACCAAAGAGATAGTAAGGGGATGTGTCGAGGTAGATGGTGTTGTTAGTGCCAGAGGTCGTGTTGGAAATCGAGTCGACGGTGAAGATGCCGCGCTCGGTGTTACTCGCAATGGTGGTCGTCACGCCAAGCTGTCTGCGCACTAGAGTCGTGTCAAACGCCATCTGGCCCGGCTGTTCCTGGGGCTTTGCGATAAAGGTGTCACGAGCTGTGGAGGCTTTGATGTTTGACCGTTCCCAGACACTGGACGCGAAGCAGAGCGAGACGGAGTACTTTGTGTTGTTCGTTAGTGTCCATTCAGACCACTCATCGACACGAGCCGCCGTTGTGGGGAGCTCTGGCTCTTGGTCGACATATGTCCAGTTGTAATATGTCCCATTTGTCTTGCTCATGAGGAAGACCATGGAGTTGGCGTTGATCGGCTCGGCTCGAGGGTCGCTCAGCCACTTCATTGTTGCTTTTTCCACGACATTGTCCACAGAAGGTATACAGAAGCCAATTCCTTCCATGCCAACATTGCTGGCGATAATGAGTGAGCAGTTGAAGTTCGCAGGTAGGCACTTCCCCCCTGTGCATAGCGGGACCTGCGGCAAACCAGCATCAGCGAAAGTCTCCTCGTAGGAGACGTTTCCTCTTATGCTCAGAGTGTATGGCCGCTGACTCGTGCCCGAGTTCGTGAAGTTGAACCTGCCACTCATCCTGGGTGGCACACATGAAACGCGGCTGTTCCATGCATAGGCTGCGCCCTCATAACCACGGATGCTGGTAATGTTGTTTCGGGGCACTGGAAGGAAGAACCTCTTGGTGTTGCCGGTGTCGCTGAAGCCTAAGGACGATGGGCTAGAATTGACCGAGGGCGCTATCTCGGCAAAAGTGTTGTACTCTGGAGGGATATACCATGTGACAGGCTGAGGCTTGAACCTGAAAGAGTCCTTCGAAACAGTCATGTTGTACAGTGTCTCGTTTCCGTAGCCCACAATTGCCCGAGTATCGAGGTCAGTGACCAATATTGTTGAGCCGAACTGAGTCGCAACCGTGCCAAGATATAGAACCACCATTAGGAAAGGCTGCAGCGAGAACATCCTGCGCCATGATGCGGACATCGTCAGGAAAATGAGTCGCCATGGTCCATCATTAACCCCCCTCATCATCGACATTTCTGCAATTTGTGAGACTGGAACGCCAGAGGTTTCCAGGACCACAGCGGCAGAGAGACTGGTGCAAATCAGGGATTGAAGACCTGTCATCACCTGGATGCCCATGGACAAGAGTGTCACGGCTTCTGTGAACCAGCCTTTGAGTACAAGGTAACGCCACTCCGTGGACCCGTTCTCGCCTTCACCCCCGTTGCCACCAGCCCAAAGAACCACGAGCAGTGCCAGGAGCACCGGAATCGTGATGGCTCCAGACAATATGATGAAGGTGCCATATCTTCCCACTGTTTCTCGTAACCGCCATTGCTCTGGCTCAGAAGTGGATCGGGGGTTCATCTGGGACTCTTCTGATCCGCTCCGACTCAACGAGAATCCCGTAAACTTTTTGTCGAGCGTCATTCCATTCGCGCTCTTCAATCCGAACGAGAGACCCATGCCGTAGGCTTCAAACCCCGAGACGGGCTTCGCAGTAATGGGCGTATAAGTTGTCCTCCAGATCTGGGTGATGTTTGCTGTTGGTCGATATATTTGATTGCAAGCACGGCGTTTGGATTTAGTCGTCTGTCATTGATCGGCGTTCCAGGGAGAGTGGGAGTTATATAAGTGTGTTTCTCGCCATGTTGAATGAAGCGCGCTGGCGGGTGTTCTGGTCTCGAAAACTCGGCCAACAATGCTTTTGTAACAGAGGAGTCCGCCAACGCGGATGCATGTTGGGTACGAACCAGGGTGTGGGCGGCTCGCGAGCCAGCAGGAGAATTTGTGATTGGTCAAATCGACAACCTTGCGAGGTCGCGGCCCGCTATGAAGCACGATTGCTTGGGGATTAAGCGCCGGCTCCGGGACTCTATGGGGCTAGCTCGCATGGGCATGGGTACGTACGTTCACTTTCTCCGTAATGCAAGATATTCTGCGGCTAGAGACCCGATGGCAGAAGACTAGAGCCATCCGGTATGCATGCTGCAATCAAGTATTTCAAATCCCTGTAAGCATGCTTATTTCGGGCGGCAGAAGTGGATCTGCACATCGTTATGAGATTGTGATATCTAGAGCCTGAATTGCAAGATTGAGACTGAGATCTGCTCATCGATCTCTCAGATCCCATTCCGTCATGCGCACAGGGAAGCACCTCTGAGTCACCTGCCATTAGTATAGCATTTTTGTCTTGCGCTTCTGTAACACCCATGTGAATCAAAGAGTTTGCAAGGCCTCTTCCCGAAGCCGTCGTTCCCTTTCACGAATGAAATCTCAAGACAAAGTCATCTGCACAAATGCCATTTCAACAGGTACGCCATGGCAAGCTCGCGCCAGGTTGATGGGAATGAACATCATTATGAGACGCTCGAAACAGTTTTTTCGACGCTAGCCTGCAGCTCACATTCTCTCCTTTGGGATCGTGCGAACCAGAAACCGCACGAATACCCTTACGAGCGTGATTCAACAATCATTCCATGAACTGAAATCGTCTCGCGATTTTGTTCAAAGGGTCATGATCTCCTTTATACCTTTGGGCAATTTCTCTCATGAGCATCGCGCGGACCTCATTCTGATGCAGAGAATACTGTCTCAAGGGTACGAAGATTGTTGCTCAATAGCGTGGGTCTGGAAGTTTATGAAAGGGGAGATTTTGGTTGACTGGAGTCGTCCTGAACGGCCGCCTCCCGGGGGATATCGTCGGAGCTCCTATGGCGAATTAGTAAACCACACGAGACAACCACGGCAGGACGAACTGCTGACTCACAGGCAGCCATTGGAGGTCCATGAACCAGAAGTACAAATGGATGTCTCAGGCGCCGCGTTGAAGCCGTCACCGACCTGGAACGGGAGAGTATGAACCACACCCAAGACCGTGAGGAGCACCGCCGCGATCGAAGTGAGTCTCATTGTTATTGTACTTGTTGGAGATATTGGAGATGTTGGAGGTTGTCGGAGGGGCTTAATTAGGTGGCCAAATGCTGGCTTGGTTGAATTAAATTGAAGTGAGAGAAGAGAGATTGTAACGAATGAAGTCCTTGACAATCCAGTTGTCGAGCAAGTTATGAGAGACAGGTTGGTGTTAAAGTCGTAGTGGAGTATGTCGATGAAAAGCGATTGACTTGAAATCGGAAAGGCCTGCTTTTGTATCATGACCTCCTTCCCATGATATTGGACTCAGCCAGACCTTCTGACTGATCATGTGAGGAACGCATCGCGCGCTTGTCTGTTTTGGCCTGGACACAGGTTGTTCGAAGTGCCTCGGCGCTTGAAGGAGTCCTATATTTCGTACTAATAATCGAGGAGAGTCGCTCATTGGCACGAAGACGGCGGGAACCTATTATGGGCACTTGAATCCATGGTTTCATGATTTTAGTTCGAGTGTCTAACGCCATCAGCGCGAAGAAAGATGACGCGGACCCGAGCAAGTGGGAACACCATCTTCAACCCAAAGACTATCGCTAACCAGTAGAATCTTCTCCCCAGCCCCTCCATCGCGCCAACTCGGCCATTAACAGAGGACACCATATGGATACTGCTATAATAATCTCAAGGCTATCGACGCCACTTGTCTGGGAATCTCATTTCTGGCGGTGCATTGAGCTTGCCGGTTGGCCGATCCGGCATAGTCATGCCTGCCCGTACCACCAGGCGGTGAAGCATGGTCAGCAATCTGATACTAGCTGAATGCAGAACTCCAGATCGAGAGATTGGAAAAACAATGTACTGAAAATGCTATTGGACCCCTGAAAGCCGGAGATCGTTTGAACCAGCCAGCCGGTACACCATATGCAAGGTATCTCCGGACGCCGACACGTGTGATTGGGCAGCTTGCGGCCTCACCGCAACGACATTTCCAAGGCCTGGTAGCCACTAGATATTTGCTGAGCCGCACGATTGTCAGCTTTGCGCGTTTACATGCAGGGGCTTCTTCTTCTCCTTGGCAACAGGCGCCGTCAGCTCGTGGCTTTGGACCTACACGAGCCATGTGTCAACCATGCTGTACTGTGAGTGGCACCACGTAGCGTAAACGAAACTTGCACTTTGTTGTACACTTGATTACACAGCAACATGGGAATGAATGGCTCATTCTGTTTACTACCATCAGGTTTCAGGGTTCCCTCATGCAGTCCGGGATGTCGGACATCACGACGATATTACTCAAGCACCGCATGTTGATCCATCTGCTAACACGCACTGCGCGCATCGCTGTTCGGAACATTCTTTCATAATTTGACAACACCCATGCAACCCCAAATCCATACACTCGGGTCACCGCTGCGTTCCCATGTCTCTGGGACCCTTCCAAAAACATGTGACCTCGAAGACCTGCACGTCAAGCGCTTAACCCGCCCCACTTAGTTCAGTTGTCTATTTCCAGCAACTACAGAGCCAATCACGACTCAAGGGGCGCACGCGTCCACTTTTCGCGGCCCGCCAAGAAAACCCCCCGTGGCAAACCCTTGGCGGCAAGTTTACAGGGTCCCAACCACTGACGCCGCTTCGCTAAGCGCGCAGTCCATTTGCTCCGGACCTGGTTTCCCGGTGAATTCATGCCACGAAGCTGTGGCTGCATACCATGACCCCTGGGTTTCTCCAGAATCGGTCTGGACGCATCGGTCGTGAGCTTGGTCGCATCCGATCGGATGATATGCACCTTGCTTCTTTCGTCATCGTTCCGAGGACGGAGAGTGTCATTGGCCAGGCCGGGCTCTTCTTGACCGTTAGGCTCTAAGCGCGCTTCAGCGCAGCCTGAAGGCTGAGGCTGAGAGAAAGGGGCATTCAGCTCGTCCCCATGTGGAGTCTGGGCACTTCCGGTAGGCATACATGTATCTACACAGCACAAGGGCACACCAAGGCCACCCATTACGCGCCGAGGCTGTTGAAAGTGGCTTTTCGTTGTCGTGGGGAAAGCCTTCGCATTCACAACACGCCGGATCCGAGTTTGTCTCTGTCCAGTGTCAGGCCGCGCCAGGTCATCCAAGATTCTGGGTGATTGCCAGCGGGTCTGCTCCACCATCGTCCATAATTTCTCGTGTCAACAACAACGTGGCACAGAAGCATTGCTGCCTTAAGCAGTCAGCTGTTGCCCACCAACAACCCGCCCGACTCATCCAACCCCTCAGGAAGAACAGACAATCATGAAAACGATATTGACACTCTCATGATACACGGTCCCCTTACGCGGCCTCGCCAGCCACAGCGCCAACAACCCCTGATCCCCTCCTGTCTGGTGGCACAAACCCAGCCCTGGCCTCGGCACTATACCACAGCGCAGGCGAATAGTCAAGGAACGGCAGTCTCTCGTACGCGAGCTGCGGATGAGCTCTAATCAGGTGCTCGACGGATCCCAATGACGTCGTGTCACCAGCAGCGGCAGCGAGCAAGACCTGCCGCGTCCAGAACGACTTTTCCGTGTACGAGTCGTGCTCGCCAAGGACAAAGCCGTCAAGAGTCCCCGCTGCACGACTGCTGGATAATGGCAACTCCTGCACTGATGTCTTTTCGTTGCCGCCTTGCCCAGAAGTGGCTAGGATGAGATGGGTGTGCAGATGACTGATCAGCTGCGCATGACTTTGTACCTTGATCGGTGATGTGACCTGGCTGTCCGTCTTCCCTACTACGCTAGTAGTAGTATCAGTCTGCTTGATCTCTTCCACGAGGCAATCTGCCAAGAATGCCAGCACCTCCCGCGACGGGAGATGCTCTGTGCTGACCAGCTGTGCCGCTGCGGTTTGGAATAGCATATCATGTGCTGCAAGGACGGACTTGTCTTCCGCCTTGATGACGCTTGGCAGGGGCTTCAAGTCCGGCGGCGCGAACTGCATCCTCGCGGATACATCGTCCTGCCACAGCCGCGCAGTGTAGTACTCTCGCCAAGTCGCGTCGCCGTTGAGATCATAGAGTAGCTTGAATGCGGGGAAGTTGAGGTTTATGAGTGAAATGTCTTGCATCCTCGTGACGGGAACCTCACTGTTCTCTACCTGGTGCTGTTGTTGTTCCGCATTTCTGCCCGTGGTATCTTGTGCGAACGAGTGCAGCGCAGCATGCACGATTTGTATCCAGAAATACGCCTGGGTCTCCGAATACTGCGGTATGCTCGAGTCTTTGGCACGGAACTGCAGCGTAGTCCGCTGCAATGAGGCGAGGGCCTGCTTGACCACGGCGCCTCGGCGAAGATTCTCGGCGAGGGTTTTCTTCACGACTGCGAAGGCGTACTCGACAAGCCTATCATTACCGACCGTTCTATGGGTTGCAGCAGATACCGGAGGCTCTTCTGCGTTTCGGGTGGCGGTCATGCTCGGGAGAGGACACAAATCCGGAAGATGCCACTGCTCACGGGCGGCAGGGCTGAACAGCAGGTCCTTGCTGTAGTATATCTTCCATAGTCCGCGGTCCATCAGGGACGGGGAGTGGAGGACGACTTCTCGGAACTGTTCTTTCGAAGGGAACAACTCTTGTGAAGTGGCTATCTGGAGGTTGACCGCTGCGAGGTGAAGCTGCAACAGCCAGAAGACTGTCATTGTGCTGCAATTTGCACATATACGTCAGCATTGTACACTGAAACCCTTCTTCACTGAAGGGCGTGGCAAGTATGCATAGACTCACACATGGGCGGTATTCCGGAACCGATCGGGCTGTCGGTCGCGCAGCCGGGCAAGATGTTGCAAGAACGCGTCTGCACTCTCGAACACCCCCTTCCCGCTGGTCAAGCACTCGAGAAGGACAAGATATCCAGCTTGCAAGTGGCTCGCGTGATTCCAAGCAGGCAGTGTGCCGTCCAGAAACTCCCTCCAGAAGACATGTGCTGGTTGGATGCTCGACATCTCCTCTGCCGCCAGGGCTTGCAGTTCTTCTTGGCTGAGTGGTTGCTCATGAGGAGCCCCCTTTGCTCGAGCTGCCGTGTCAGGAGGAGTCTTCTTGTTCTCGCTGCCCTTCTGAAGTCCTCCCGCCTCATCCCGTCTCACCTCGGCCGCTCGAGATAAAGTCGAGCAGACATCGTCCATGACGACAGGCAGACCAGCTCCAGAAACCCCACTCAACCCTTCAGGCGCGAGAATCCGGTAGAAAATCCCGTCCTGGCCATCACCACCATCACCACCACCACTACCACCTTCTCCTCCTTTCTCACCCCGCCCATGATCATACCTCGCCAGCTCCCTCTCAAACCGCCCCTTCAGCTCATCCACCTTGTCCCGCCCCTTTCTCCTCCTCACTTCGTCGTCGTCGTCGTCGTCCCCAGGGATGATTGCATCCTGCTTGCCCAGCAGCACCCACAAGTGCCGAGCCTTCTTGTCCATCATCTGGCGGACATGCAGGTGCAGCAGCTCGACCGAGAACTCGAGCCGGTCCGGCCACTCGTCGCTGCAGTCGTGGATGAAGAACACAGCCGTGTCGGGGTCGAGGTAGTGGTGCATCAGGGCGGCCATTTTGTTGCAGCCTGTGAAGCTCCCGAAAGATGGAAGTGTCAACTTCTGTGTTAAGCAAGCGATACAAGGGCATCAGAGAGAGAGAGAGTGAGAAAGAAGGAGAGAGAGGGAGAGAGAGACTGAGCTGTCATGACGATTCAGGAATACAAGCATGGCACTACTCCCCCTTTGGATCCCGCAGCCATATGCACAGGCCAGCCACACGAGAAGAAAGGTAAACACTCCTCGAAGAAAACAAAGCACAGCAGGGCACAGCGCACAAAAGAGGCCAGCTCGAACGAACGAAAGAAAGGGGAGAGATCAAAAGGTCGGAGCCCGCTCATACTCACCGCCGACATCCCAAAACTCAAACTCCCATTCCTCTTCCTCCCCCTCCTGGCCCCCTTTTCTCCAGGATCCATCTCGCTTTCGCCCTTCCTCGTCGTCGTCGTCGTCGACGACGATGACCTTCTTCGTCTTCCACGGCACAGTCTCCACATTGAACCCGATCGTCGGGATCGTGCTCACAGCCCGCCCGAGCTTGAGCTGGTACAGCAGGGTCGTCTTGCCGCACGCGTCCGCCCCAAAGAGGCATATCTTCTGCTTCCTGTTCTTCCGGGGTAGTGTCTGGATATAAGTACCGAGGTTGGCGAGGAATTGCCAGCTCGGCATGGTTCAATCTACAAGTGGCTCACCCCAGGAAATTGTGTTTTGCATATACTGTCCTTGGGGATGCCGCTTATTCGGCAGGTCCAGACAATGGTGAGATTGCAAACAACGGAAGGAGACTTTGAAGTGCACCTGAAAGGTATTCCACCGAGAGAGGAAACCAGTGATGCGTTCTCTCGACAATGAAATGTCGTTGTCTTCTGGCGGAGTCGAGATCGCTCCACACATCAGCCGCAACACTGCTCAGCCCCACAGCCCTAGCTGAACGTGCTACGCGCTTACGGTATGTGAGCATGTTCTCCTTGTACCTGGAATTATCTGCATCCCTCTCACGTCTAATGTGTGACATGTGCGACACTGTGCCACGCAAGAACTCTAGCAACACAGTATCATTATAAGCCTTCGAGCTACCTGAGATACATGATTAGAGGTGACACCAAGGCTTTTTGAGCGATGCCGCTAACCGTCAGTGTGCTTATACAATTAACGCTAGGTCGCAAGTGATGAAATCCCTCCCTCTCCCAAGAGAATTGCTGTAACGCGTCCACAGCTCGTGATTCAATCATAATATCATAAAACATGAACGTGCCAGCACACCGATGTGCCCCACTCCCCATCTATCACCGATATTATCACACATCCGAGTGGTATTTCTCGGGAACGTCTCCTCCTCGCAAGGTAGTGCCATCGTCATCGTACGCCGCCGATTCGGCTTCCGGAGCCACAGATCGTTTGGTTCTCTACACGCCGATCTGGGACATGCTGGGCCGGCTGACAACCGAGCCGCCGCGTCGGAACTCGCGGAAGGCGAGAAAGAGGGTGGCGCAGAGGAGCGGGAGGAGGAACCACAAGAAGACAGTGCCGGCTTGCAGCTCACGGCACTTCTTCTCGTTGTCGCCGGAGCCGAAGGCGACGTAATCGCTGGGAAAGCCGCTCTGGAAGGACCAGCTGACGTTAGTGAATGGTCGTGGCCACCGAAGGCTAGCACTTGGGGGGAAGGCTTACGAGGTTGCTGCAGTTGACGGCAGTGAGCTTGGCCGAGATGACGACGGCGCCGATAAAGGTGAAGAGAGCCGCAAGACCGTCGAGGGCCATGGAGATGATGGGCATGTCGAGGCTGGAGATGAAGTGGGTGACGAGGCCCCAGAGGATGGCGATCCAGTTGAGGGCGCAGACAAACATGAGGAAGTTGATGACGGTGTCTGGGGAGCTGATGGCGAGGGCATTGCCGAGGAGGGCCGTGGCGAGGAGCACCAGCAGGACCTGGGCCAGGCGCATGATGGAGTGCAGCATGCCGCGCATTTTGGCGGTGGTTGACGACTGGGAGCTGGTGGTGTGGGTGTTCGTGGTGTATCTCGTGGTAGAATGTGAGCGCAGGCGTCGTGGTGGTGGTGGTGGTGACGATGAATGGTTGTGAAGTGTAAGCTGTTGCAGAGAGAAGGTGGATGGATGTGTGGTGTGGGTGTTGACGAGATGGGAGGAGGAGGAGGCGGAGGATGAGGATGATAATTAGATCTCTATCTTGTGCTGCTGCAGAAGATGGGCTGTCTCTTGTCGCGCGGAGGAATGTAGCAGGTGCGGCAGGGATCTGCAGGATGGACTGATGGATTTGGCGAATTGCTCTGGCTACGACGTCGCAACTGCAAACCAATGCAGAGAGGGCAGGCGCGTGCCACTCACTCACACCACCACCTGCACCAACCACGCCATGAGGTCATCCATTGACCCTTGGCCGGCACTCCCGCCCGCCCACTGCTCTACTAATAATTATTAGCTCCTTCTTCTACCTACTCAAAGTACGTAATTAAAGGGCCGCCGCTCCCGCAGCACCAGCGCCATCACATCATGCTGACTTCATCGCGCTGCGACTACCACGGACGATGACTCTTCAACTCGGGTGTCTTCGTTTTTCTCGTTGTGCCGTGCCCAGATCTAAGGTTCTGAGATGGGGGATCGGGGGGTTGTTGGCAGGCCAGCGCTGCATGCACCCTGGCCGCAGTGGCTGCGTCTGCCCGATCGTCTGAGCACCGCAGCCAACCACGGCGCCGCGCCTCGCCTCTCCACGCCGTGGCCACAGCAACCAGCCCCCACTTGCCGCACCCGGGCATCCCTCGCTGCAGGGTCGCACCTTCCGTGGAGCCGCCCAGCCCTGCAACGCCCACCCAGAAAAGGCTTGTCTGTCTGCCTCCTCCTCCACTACTCATGCATATCACGGCGCATTGTTTCAATCTCCCATCCATCTGCAGCATGCACGCCACTCGGCATGTGCATCCCCCGCGGACCACCCGAGATGACAAGGCTCGAGACCTGAGCTGCTACTCCGCAGTGGAGCGGTTGACTGGTCTTCAATCAATGAACATAACTTGAACATGCTCCGAGGCACACTGCTCCAGTCCCCACGACCAAGAAGAGCTTGAGACTATCCCCCGTTGATCGCCTATCATCACCAAGACAATGCCAAGTCCACAACGCATACAGATCTCTTTGTTCTGGAGCTCAGTTGCCAATGTCTGCCACGAGCAAGTCTCGTCGAAACCAAGCTGTATTCCTCTAGTATCCGGCAGAGCGCAATGGTCTAGCTTGTGCATGCTTAGCCCTCTACGGGCTCAGAGAATACTTCGTCGATGTCTCGTCATGCCCGTGATAGTACCCCTTTCTGATTTCAGGCACCACAGGCTTCTTCTGTTTTGTCAAGTGATGCGTAATCTTGGCAAGCTTGCACCATTGCCCTCTCCCTGGCACGCCATGCTGGACATGTGCTGCCTCACCTTTACATCCAGTGGCGCTCGGCTGTTGTGCCATATAATCCCATGACGGACAGCAGTATGCAGCCCAATTCACCCCAACATGTTCCAGCTGACCTTGAAATCGCTTTTTCGCATTCAGCATCCATATGTTATACGCATCCACAACTTATAAGAGTTATCACATTTGTACTGGCAACTGTCGACTTTTGTCAACTGATGCTACCATGGCAAGCCAGACTATTGTTATTGTACCGAATGCCGCGGCAACATATATACGCACTTTAGTTCATTCAAAATCAAGCCCTGTGTCTTCTGACAGCATTTCTTCGCTTGCCCCTGCATTCACACGTCACAGCATCTTACACATTCAACAACGCATGATATAAACCTACCGAGGCGTCGTTGTCGCGGCTTATGCCAGCTTCTGACCGTGGCTCCGCCCAGGTATCCAGACAAGCATGAGTACTCGGAGCTGCTAAAGGCAGTGCTATTCCTGAAAGTTGACACGAAGGGGCAAGAAATTGAGGGGTCGAAAGACCCGTTCTCAGGAGGAGGAAAACGAAGGCGAAACAGAGATCCTACCTATTCATCGCGTATTCTACGCACCCTCATAATTTCTTCAGATCATATATAACGAGTCTAATCTGCAAGTAGTCGAGATATGGGGGGATCGTAAAAAGTCAAAGGCATCAAAGGGGAGCATTCCATATCTCTGCTCACAAATGACCAGAGTAAATTCAACCGCTGCTTGTCAGGTTTTGCGACAAACTTTCGCTAAAAGGAAAGGCGAGTTTCCATCTCGTTCTCCTAGTTGGGACTTCTTACATTTCTCTAAGTCTTGCATAACCTGAGTCGTGAAATGCGGAAGTTCAATTTCGCATTGGAGTTCCACTTAGACAATATGCGGTAGAAACACCAATGGGATATGTGTCGATGCTGTTCAACCTTTTATTAATGAGGGCTTGAGCTCAGACTTTTATGTCGGAACCCGTATGAAGGGGCAGATGGAAACCTGCAACTCGCCTTTTCAGCGGCTGGGCATGGTCTTCTGTGGTTTCGTCTTGATTGAGTCCGACACCACATCCTCGCTCTGTGTAACAAACTGACGGGCTCAAGAGACCAGGACACAAAGGTTTGACCACGTGTCACATATATTCAGACACGTCGAGGCAAGCAACGCGCTAACCTTGCCAACTCGTTCAACACCGAATAATCCAGAAAATCAGACATGGACGTGTCACAATGACAATTAATTATCAAGGCCGCGCAGGAACTCGGGAGGAAGCAATGATGACGAGGAGTGGATTGGTCGATGTCAGGGACTTGCCGTTCTGGTCGTGATCGTAGCCCATTACACATTAGACTAGATATGAGATGTAGAAAAGCAGCGCAATCGTTACATCCCATAGCCAAAATGAGAGCATCTCTAATCTAATTCATGACGGAGGCATGCAAATGATGTCACACAAGGGAGTTCCACCTTACGTCCACCATGGCCATCAGTTCTATGTCACATCACACAAAAACAGCCACAACTTGATTGGCGGCAGGTAAGGGAAGGTCATGTGCAAGGGAAACTTGCTTTGTTGGTAGAAACTCTGGGGCAAATATTTGTCTCACAATCTGGATCCTGCCCAATCGCACAACTGGTAACAGGAGAAACATTGACGCACCCTGACTCATGGTTGGCAAACAAGAAGGCTTCTTTGGCAAACATATTGATCATTGACCGGAGTGTGCTCCGGGATAAGGGGGACTTGCTGGTCGCTCTAGCAAACCTACATCAAGTCCAGATTGTCGCGTACCTACTCGCGACTTGAGCAAAGTCCAGAGCTGGAACATGAACACCCGACGCAAGGGGTGATATCTTTACTTTAACCTGCCCTTTCACGAGGTCTGGACACGGCGTCGAGGCCCGTGAAAGACAACAAATACCAACAACAACGACTAGAGAGATTCAGCCCAACTCAAAGGCATCATCCCATTGACTCACACGACATTCATACCGCACGGCAAACATGTACGCGACGAGACTTTTCATGCCCATCGCGGCGATAGCGGCCCTCATTTCCTCAGGTACATTTTATCACATCACCACCACATCACGCGCCTGCGCAATAAAGAACACCCAAAAAACTAACAAGATGTAACCCTAGCGCTGGGTCTTCCCGCCACAATTGAAACAACGCCCGGAGGCAGCTCCCACCAGAAGCTCTCGCGAGCCCCGGTGGCGCAGCGCAAGGCCACATCGCTCAGGATCATGGCCCTGGGAGCCTCGGCCACATCTGGCGTCGGCTCGTCCACGAGCAACGGCTACCGCGAGTTCCTGCGCGAGCTGCTCGAGTCGCCGCCCACCAACTCGGGGGCCCAGCTCGCCAGCATCCCCATCAACTTTGTCGGCTCCCTCACGTCCGGCACCATGACGGACCACCAGCACGAGGGCTGGCGAGGGCTCGAGATTGCCGAGATTGCCGACAAGGCCGCGCTCGCCATCCCCAAATACAACCCGGCCATCGTGCTCGTCCTCGCGGGCACAAACGACTGCGTGCGCGACGTCGACGTGGCCCACGCCGGAGAGCGGATGGCCAAGCTCCTCGACGACATCCACGCGCTCTCGGGGGGAAACGCCACGGCCGTGGTCGCCACGCTACAGCCCAACAGCAAGGACGCCGTCAACGACCGCGTGCACACCGTCAACGACCGCGTGCACACCGTCAACATGCAGTACCGCGCCCTCGTCCGTTCCTTGCGGCAGCAGCAGCAGCAGGAGGGGGGAAGCAGGCGGGTGTACCTCGCGGAGATGCGGATCGGGGAGAATGCGCTGTCGCGCAGCAAGGATCTCGCCGATGGGCTGCACCCGAACGACGGGGGCTATGCGAAGATGGCAAAGGTCTGGGATGCGGTCATCAGGCAGGCACTTGTTGATGGTGGTGGACGGTGATGCGAGCCAACTCGACTCGACTCACTCACTCACTCGTTGTCGTTCGGGGCCGGGCTGGGCCGGGCCAGGCAAGGGAGTCGGTGATGGTTTCACGAGATCTCACGCAGATGTTTGCTCGCTGGTTGACCATGAAAATAGAGTCCTCGTATGGACAAGCTGTCTTTTCTCTGCTGCTACTGCTATCTCTCCTTACGTCAGTCAAGGACAAAGCACGCACTTCGTTCTGAGAACCGAAGCTCAACATCATGGTGCAACGAAGCCCTTCTCAATGCTGTTGTCCACAGTCATCGACTCATGATGTTGACCAAGGTCCATAACAGAGAACAGATCCAGCCCGAGGTGAATTCAAGATGCTGTCACATGTCATTGAGCCCCCTTGCCTGTTGCCGCACATCCAAACCGGAAAGTGCTATGTCAGATATCACCAATGACTCCATCCCCCTCCCGGCCTGGAACTTTTGTCCATGGACCACTGTGCCGTCTCAGGAGAACTTAACAACATCATTTCTTCCGCGTGACCTGAAAGTGCCAAAGCTTAGCGCTAGACAACCAACAACGAGAGAAGGGGTATATCAAACACCCCTCGGCATCAATCACGTATAATCGACTCTCTTTGGCACTAGTGAATTTATCCCCGAGATGCCACTTAGACAAGGAGTATCGTCCGTGAGACGACATACACGGCCTGCCATGGCCTCCGATGGGCACCATGGAACGATGATCACCCGTATCCTTGACTAGACTCCGAAGCTAGTTTGAACTTGCTTACTTGACGTGATGAGCTTACCCGAGGGGCCCAAGTGTCAAGACTCGAACCAAGGAAGTCTAGCGGAAACACCGGATATGCACTGAAGGATCAAGTGCCGGGCCTCTCAGAGCGGCCGCCTCGCGCTTTCAGCTACTGTGTCGACGTGACTCGGCAGGTTTCGAGAAGTCATCAAACCAACGACCAGCCACTGGGGTCAAAGCGCCGGCCTACAATTAAAGTTTCGGCTAACCTCGTCCAGGTACTGACTAGTAGGCGCCTCGTAGCCGCTGCTCATGGGGGTCCGTGGAACAGGCCTCCAAGTACAGTTACGTGCCGGGCTAATGAACGGCCCGTCTATTGGCGATGACGAGGTTGGGGGTCGCTCTGTAGACATTGGATTTCGCTGCTTCTGGGGGTTCCCAATATTGGCGAACATCGTTCAATAGGTTTCCGACCATTTTTGTCATTTCCTTGCCTCCCCCGAATCCAATGTGCCGGCTGGCAAGCGAGAGACCATGGTTATGGTTTCGAGGTACTTTCTGTTCGACCTCGTCGTTTATATATTGCCTTAGTTGGACGACTGCCCGGTGGCCGGGTGGCCGCTGCGGCAGACCGTTTCCGCACCTCGATGCCATCACTGGTCATGTGTGAGAGCTGTGTGGCCGCCGGTTTTCCGACGGATACCCGGGTACTACCCTGTTTGCAATGCTAGACACTTGATGGAGTCATGGCAAACCTTATTTTGATTCCTTCCGACCGGAAACCTTCCAGAAAACTTCGAGAGTTTCAGTTAAGTGCTGCAGGTGAATGACACAAGAAGGCCGTCCATGTTTTCCGATGTCACGAGGCTGATTCATGGGCGCCGGTTCTCCAGTCTACACTTTGTCATGACCGCATGCCGCTCTCGTGATCACCCCAGCCTTTGTTTCCAATCTGTTCCCAGTGGGATCCCGTGAAGCTTCAAGATAGAGTTCACGCATCGACATCGCGGCTGATCATGAAACTAGGGGTTCGGAGACCAGGAAGATTCGACGAGCATCGTCATACGGGGCCCGCTAGTGTCGGCGAATTCCCGGCTGCTCAGTAGTGCTGTTCGTTCCATGGTGACAGGTGATTTCTCAAGCTGAGGAGTCTGAAGTTGCGGTCAAGAATAATAGTGGAATAGAGTTCCATAGCTTCTCGAAGCCGTCGAACCTTAAACAACGTCGGCAATCGCGGTTCACGGGCAACGCCCTTCAGCACTGTGATTGCGCCGCACACCAGAACATATCCAAGCGAGCACCGTATGGCACATCGTCTCAATAGCGCTGGCCCTGTCGAGCACCATGACCCCGGCCATGCGCTTCTAGCTGCAGCTACTGTCGATCAGGCGTTGCCGTAATGGCGTGATGGCTGCATTCGTGTAAATGGCCCTGTTTGAATATTCTCGATGTCATCGTGGGCCTGCCAGTCCCACGTCGAGGACGGCGACGCCACGGGAGCGGCGACACGTGGATGAGCAGGTTTCCTTCAGCCACACGAGATGGCGCTGGTGGGCTTCCTCCCACTCGCGCCTGCAGGTCGCGAGTCGCTTGAGAGAAAATGGTTCGAGACCGCTGTGGTGGGGACAGAGCTGCCAAACAGTCATTCGACTCTGCTGTGCGTGCGGCAAGCCACGCGCCGTCGGCATTGTCCCGACATCTCTTTAAAGGGCATGGGGGCCGAGCATCTAGACCATCACGACGAGCCTCCGGAAGGCGTAGTCGACTGTCCGGACTCGTCGACGAGCGGGGTGGGAGGCGGCAAGCCCTGATGGATTCTGATGCCGCACATTGTTCTCCGGAGCCCTAGGGACCCGACACACTGGACCCTGGTTTCGGCGGAGGACGGGTCTGGAGCATGGCCTCACAGAACATAATCTAGACTTGCCTAGATCACCAGACGTTGCCTGTGGAACCGTGGCAAAGCTGTGGATCATCGTGAGTGCTGTGCTTGCAATGAAGGGTGTCTCTGTATCATGGAAACAGCTTCATGACAGTATTGTCGATGTGCACAAACAAGGCGAGAAGCGAACATGTCTACCTTCAAATGATAGCAGTGAGCTGAGGGCATTTGATCAAGACAAGCCGATGTTCCATACAGCGAACCCTGCAGATCCCAGAGACCGTCCTGAGACAGAAAAACCGGGTCGGCGCGCGAGCTTACCTAAGCTGTGACTGAAATGTGACACAGCTGCAGCCAGCTGCAAAGCTCGCAGGAGGGAAGGTTGGCAGTTGCCAGTCCTCCAGCTCAGCATTGCATCACCCTGCATCATGGCATTGCTAGGCAGGCTGGCTGGAGGGGAAGCCTCCGTCAGAGCTTACCTGTGTCGCAGAGAGGGCCTCCCAAAATTTGATCAGGTCATCGTCAAGCTTCGGATCCGGCGGTACCGCCAATCCCATACACCCGTAATCGCCGCGCACGTACGTCACCTGCACCTGTTCTCGTCAATAGCGACTCGTCTCCTGCACCGCAGAACCCGACCAGACCCGGCAACTTGGTGTGCAAAAACCCGACCTCGGAACCTGGTACAATCCCCCGCGACGTAACAGGAGCGAAACGACTTGACAGACGAGGACCGACAGAGCCCGAGGCGACCCTACAGGACGAACACCTAGGACGCGCCGGTGTCACGGTACAACGACGATGCTGAGAGCATCACTGCTGCGCACCTTTTCCCGCTCCCCCGCGGCGACGGCCTCGGGCTGGGCGGGCAGTGCGGTGGGATGGGAAATGCAAGGCGTGCGGCGCACGTTCGCGACGAGGACGATCCCTGGCCAGACCAGCGCACTGCTGAGGCAAAACGCGCGGAGGCAGATACTGCGCAACACCACGAGGGCGAAGAACGGCGGCAACGGCGGACGGCGGCCCTTTTCCAACACATCAAGGCGACGCGATGCGCCGAAGACAGAAGGTGGTGGTGGTGCTGGTGGTGCAAAGCCGGCAGAGCCTGAGCCGACGGGCCTCAGCGCGAGGCTCAAGAAGCTCTCGCGGGAATACGGCTGGTCTGCCGTCGGCGTATATTTTGCCCTGAGCGTGCTTGATTTCCCGTTCTGCTTCCTGCTGGTGCGCATTGTGGGCACGGACAGGATAGGTACGTCACGAGAAAGCATCGTCGAAACTCCCGGTTTCATGTCCCGGACGGAGTCCACCCCGTGGAGATCATTACGGACGAATTGCTAACTTGGGACAACTCCTCCAGGGGCGCTCGAGCACTGGATCATGGGCTACGTCAAAAAGGCGATACCGCAGTCGGTCCAGGAGTGGTGGCACGAGTACCGAAAGTCTGTCAAGCAAGCCGAAGTTGAGAACCTTGGCAATGACGAGATTAGCGAGCACATCGAGATGGCGGGCTGGGGCGTGGAAGAGGCCGAGCGCAGGAACAAGGGGCCCGAAGCGAGTGAGTTCACAACTACCCACTATTTTCCCGCAAGTGACAAAAGGTGACCTGCCACGACCTGTCGCTAATGTTCGTGTAACCCCGTTTCCCACCAGGTCTCGGAACTCAACTGGCACTCGCCTACGCCATCCACAAGAGCTTCATCTTCCTCCGCGTGCCCCTGACTGCGGCTGTAACGCCAAAGGTGGTCAAAAAGCTAAGATCGTGGGGTTGGAACATTGGCAAACGGCGGAGCAAGCCGACGGCCGCAACTCCCACGCCCAAGGCGTGAGGTGGAACAGCACAACACGGCACTTGTGGCTGGGAGTGTCCTGACCAAGCTCGTCCGCTTCAGGAGTGGTGCGGCCGACCGAGCAGGAGAAAAAGGCGGTGGTGGGCTTTGGTGCCGCATGGCTGCCCGCCGTTGTGAGCGCCGCGTGGCGCCAGCTCGCTAAAGTGCGTGCCTGACTAGAAGGCCGCGCGATTCAAGCCATCAGAAGCCGTCCGCCGTGTTACCCACCTTCGGTCGGAGCAACCCAGGCGCCGCCCACAGCTCGGCCGTCAGTTTCTTTTTGGATTGAGCGGCGTTCATATGTCAAAGTTGTAGTAGTAGTGTAAATCTCCCTCTCTCTCCTTCATAGCGCATTCATCACCATAGATTAAACTCGCTTCCTTGTCCCCACCTTCGGAGCCAAAGAAGTAGCCCGAAGCTTCGATTTCGTAAAAGTCCCCTTCACGGCATAGCAGGACTTGCTCCGAGACATGACAAAAAGGGGGAGAGTTTCAAACCAGCATCCAACCGGGAAGAAGAGGCGAATGACGCCAGGCGGCCGGGCCGGACTGACTAATTACCCTTTCTAGTAACACAGCCCACGAATCCGCAAACTTTCCGGCGCGCCCAGGGCTTAATTACCTTCAGCTGGTAATGCTCGTGATGACTGCCCTTGTGCCTCAGCCCGCCCCCCCCCCCCCCCCCCCTCCCTCCATCCTTCTCCGTTCTCGCGCGCGCGGGGGTGCTCAGTAAGCCTACTGCGTACCGAGTTCGTACGAACGCTGGGGCCGCAGTCATCTTTTTCTTCTTCGGGAGGAGTCCTGTTTTTAGACTTTTTCCACGTGGCCCACGCACCCGAGTATTAAAGGAAACCGGGGCGGGGGCGCGGCGTTGTGCGTTGGGCGTGTGCGCGTGCCCGTGGCGTCAGGTCACGGTCACAAGGCCCGGGCGGCCGGGTTTTGGGGGTTTAAGGGTCAAACGTCAGGTCAGGGCTCCTCCTTCGGGGCTTCTCCTTCTTGGCGGCTTCGGCCGCGGCGGCGGCGGGGGGGCTGTGTGTGGTTGGTTGTGTTTTGACTGTGCCTCTTTGTTTTCCCTGCAACCTTGTAAACCTTGGTCGGCTCGGTGCCGATGCCGTTGTGTGTGAGTGTGTGAGTGTGTCTGTCTCTGTGTGTGTATGGTTTGCGGAGTGGTGTTGTCGTTCAGGTTCCTGCCTGATGTGTCATATTTAGTAATGTGTGACTCGGCTGGGAACGAGGTGGTTGTCGTCGCACGTCCCGAGAACCCAGCCCTTGTCCTGCATGACCCCGTTCGGTCAGGGCTGACGACCTGTGTCTTGTGCTCTGTGTGTGTGTGTGTGTGTGTGTGTGTGTGTGATGCCTGCCTGCTGATGCTGATGCGGGCTACGTATGTGCTACGTAGGTGTATGTGTGAAATTTAAAGTTTTGTGCCTGAACCTATCATATTCCCGAGTCGGTTCTGAAGCCGAAGGACCGACCGAAGCGGGACGGGGAGGCGACCGGGGCACGGAGAGCCGGCAGGTGGGGGCAACGGCGACGGCGGCCGGGGGGGGGGGGCAAGAGAGTGGGCAAGGCAGGCAGGCAGGCAGGCAGGCAGGCAGGCAGGCAGCATGGCATGTGGCACGGGGAGGGGGGAGATGGGAAGTGCGGAAATATCGACGGATGTGTGTGGCTGGGGCGAGTTGGTCCGAGAGCCCTCGAGAGCCGCAGGAACATTCATGGTCAAACTCGGGAGACGGCCGAAGGATCCAGGCAGATAGCGGGGAAAGTGGTGGCGGTTTCTTTGGAGAAGGGGGCATTCACATGGCAAAACTCGTTTGCCTTGCTGCCCGCCGCGCTGGTGAGCCCGGGAGGCCTGGCAGATTGAGAGGCAGGATGGGACAGGGGGCCCCATGGACTCCTAAGGAATTAGGGTTTGTGGCGGCAAGGGGAAAAAGAGGATGACGGGCAAAAACGACACAGGAATTGGAAATATGGTTTGGTTACCCCCTGGCTTGCCCCAAGTCCCTGGTCCCAAAGGGGCGAATAAGCTGGCCAGGCAGGGTCAAGGGGATCGGCGAGTAAAAGAGCAAGCAGTTTGTTTGGTGTGCGCAAGCAGCTGTGGACCACGAGTTGCTGGGGACAAGAGCCGGCAATCCTGGTCTGCGGTACGGAGTGGTCAGCCAGGGACAGGGATCATTGGCCGTTGTGGCTTGGGGGGGCACCTCGCTTCATTATGGAGACGCCCCCTCCGTTCCCAGAGGTGCGACGACGTTGGAAGACCGACTACGACTGTAGCATGCAAGCTGGCGAAGCGGACAAATAACACCGAGTTGGCAGTACTGGCCACCCGGTGAGTCCTTCCCAGCGCCTCCTTGCGGATGCGCGGCCGTCTGCAACGATGACAGGTGGGAACACCACGGCAGATCGTCGAGACTGAACGGATTGGAAGCCAGGCTTGAGCGCCAGGGGGGCGTGCGTGCTTTGGCCTTGGATTCACTCGCCGTGTCCCCCACACCCATAACCATCGGATCGTGACATCCGAGTCACGTAAATGAAAAAAGCTTGGCTACCGAGTCACGTTTGTAAGCTCCGCGAGCGAACAGATGCCCATGGCAACGCACGGGCGCCTGGACGTGTCCAGAGATCGTTGTGGCTGCGGAGTAAAGAAGCAGCCGGGAGAGTGTTAACCCCGTGGCTCGCCGTGCACGATTTGATAGCAGAGTGACATTCTTTGTAGATCTCGACCCAGGCCGCTCCACCGACAGGCAGGCAAGACTCCAGTGTCGTCTGGTATGCTCCTGCTCGGCACGGACGGCTCACGCGAACAGCCGCAATGACACAGCCATGACAAGCAGACTTGGGTATTTCCTGGCTGGTGAGTGTGCCGTCCTACTGGCCCGAGACATGTTGCTCCGGGTAATCTGGCAGCTGGCTTGCTCGGTGAGGGTGTGGCTTTGTGCATCCGTGCTAGGCGAGGTGGGCAGGTTTCGAGCTTCTAGACGATTTTGGCCACGGCCGCCCGCTGCAGGACCTGAGACCGTTAAAGGCGGTACTTCGCACGTGGCGTGGCGAGATGAATCTCCGCTCCTGCTTGCTTGGCGCCCTATATGTCACAAACGTCTCGACACCAACGCCGGCGAAAGTCAAAGGAAATTTGACGACAGCCGACGGAGGCTTCGGCTGGCAGTGGCGGCAGTTCACACGCGACACGGCCTCTGCGGTGGCCAATCTCGCGCAGTTGTCGTCGAAACCGGCCCTTCTGTGGATGTCGGCTCCGCGTGCTTAGGAGCGCTTCGTTGTGCCTGATGGCAGCCAGGCCGGGGGCCACATGGTGTACCTACGTACTTGATGCAGCGGAAAGGTCCCTCACGGACGCCCCACTGCGGACGGAGCTCCTTCTGTGATGTGCGTGCGAGGGCTTGCTCGGTCTCAAAAAGTCGAAGGTGAAGCGCGAGCACGCAATCTATCCGTCAAGGCGCAACACTGGAACTGGGACCAGGCGGATGGCACCGCTCACGATGCGGAGGAGCCTCTTTACCAGCGTGCGTAGGCGCACCCCTCCCTCTCTGCTTGTGCATCCATCCGCTGCTGGCGGGGCTCCATCGCCAGCTCAGAAAGGCTGAAGCCCGGACAGGGGCCAGGGAGCACCTGTGCCGGCGGCGGGAGCAGGGAGCATGGAGCAAGGGAAATTCTCCTGGTGGCAAGGAGCCCCAACAAATGTGAAGTCTGCTCTTTGTCTGATCGCAGCTAGCTAGCACCGCGGCGGATACAGTAGCAGCAGCAGCAACAGCAACACACTCCCAGACACGCTCTGTGGGGACAGAACCCCCCCCTCCCCACAAACAGCTCAGCCTCTTGCATTGCAGCACAGCTGTTTCTTCCCTGCGCGCCTCGCGCCTGCCTCACTTGCGCGGCCGAGACAGCACCGCAAGCAAATGGGTTGCGCATCAACTTGCCACCACCAAGAGTCGCGCAGTTTCAAGTGCTCAACCAGCTCCACTGCATTTACCGTTCAGATGCTGGCAGTGCCGTGCGAGGACATGCTGCATGCCTCTGGCCCCTTGGCGAGCCCACGATGCATTTCCGGAGTACAGACTGTGCGCAACACCCTGGCGTTCAGGGCGCCCAAAGGAGGTCTCGGACCAGCTGACGGCCAGCAATGCGCCTGGATCAACGGCCCGTGTGGACGATCAGCCTCACAGGCATCACTTTGACTCGAGGTTCAGTAGAAGGATCGCCCGTGCCTCTCTCTGGACAGCAGCAGACATAGGCGGCGAAGCTGTCGGCCAAGCAAGGGTGACAGGGATGAGCTGTGGATAATTCCCAAGGGGATCGACAGACATGCGCCTGCGGGAATCTGCAGCTCTGACACGCGCCAACGTGCATGCCCTTTGTGTCAACACCAAGCCTGGTGCTTATTTCCAGGATCGCACCTTGTCGTCGTGTGCATAACCGCAATGTCTTCGTCAAGCAGGGTCCCGCCATTCTCAGCTGTCGTGCCAAGCCTGACGATTTCAGGATTGTTGTATGCCGGCTCCGCCAGCGGTCTCTACTGCCAGTGGTCCGGTTCAGCAGAGGATCCCTGAAAGCCAAATGGTCTTCGAACACACTTGTCATGTAACCCCCACCCTTACTAGTGTAGCTGCGCCGTGAAACGAGTCACGATTCCGGACCCTGCTCTACGCTGGCCGGAGGGCTTGCCTGATTGGGAAGCGACACCCAATAAGGTTTCGAGCTATGCGGACCTCAAGTTGTCAACCAAGCAGGGGCGCCATACAGCAGATCCGTGCGTGACCAGACCCCTGCCACTGATCAATGGGGATTTGCACACACCAGCCAGCAACGGGGAGACGCGTGCAGCGGGCTCGATGGAGCCCCATCACCGACATCGTGGTTCTTCAAAGGTGGTCGAGTAGTAGGCCCCTTGTGCACATCATTCCTCAACATACCGGGCTTCGACATGGGTCTGCCCGGAAATAACGTCGTGGCGTGCCAGAGGCCGGCTTTAACAGGGGCTTGCCATTTCCGAATTCTCTCCCTTGGGTCGCACCAGTCCTGAACTCACCCCTCCGTACTGTGGTGCTCCGAGTTAGGCCGCCGCTTCATGCCGATCTCGAATCTTGACCACAAGGAGAACGCCTTGCAGACGTTGCAGGCTGGTCAATACAAGCTGGTTCATGCGCCAAGAGGTTGGATGGGCATGCGGTCTGTAGGTGGCCGCTTGGGGGGGAAGCGAAGGGGGCAAGTATCAATGTGGGCCGTACGGGAACCGGTCATGGTGACTGTATCAGGCTCGTCCTCGCGGAGTACCATGGAATAATCATGACCAGCACCACTCTATAGTCGGGAGTATCGTGCCATAGACCGCTTCACAGCCGGGACGCTAGAAGCTGGATATCAATGCGAGCCTGACAGCTAGGCGACTAGCGTGACGAGCCGCGGTGTCAGGTTTGTATGCAAGCATTACCCAGCTTGGTCTAACGTTGCCGTGTCGCGCCTAGGCAAAAATGAGGAAGGCGCCTCTTCCTGTATTGGGTTTTGCTGTCCCACGTCCGGAGTAATGCGTTGCTTTTCCAGTCAGCACGTCAGCAAAGTTAGTGCATGTGCAGGCGCAAGGGGTAAACGGTGGTGAGATCGCCTGTGTCATGGTGACCGTCCCCGAAAGACAGTCCCTCCAATTTCACACAACCTGATAATGTCCCGGCCTCGTATGTCGCGTGTGCTTTCCCTTCGTAACAAGCACTTCACTTGCACCTGTCACTGAGCGGGACCAATTTGTTCTCGTCATGCGCCGGGCTGTGCTGAGAGGTGGTTGCACGCATCTTGCATATTTGACTTGGTGCTGTATATGTGAACTGGGACTGGCGCCGCCCCCCCCCCCACCCCCAAGGAGGCTAGCCACACTGCATTAAGGTTTGATTGGGGTCTTGGCGATGACGAGGTTGGTCAGCCCAGCGTTTTCAATCGGCAGCGGCCTGACCAGGTACGGATTTGGAGTGCCCTGCCGGAGGGAAGGCCCTGGAGGACCCTCGAGCAGCAGTGCAGCGCCTGGCGGCGCGCGGCCGCAAAGTCACTGTGCCCATCTGGTTTGGGGTATTTCCAAGTATAGCAGCAACCTTGACATAGTTGGCGCGCAACAATGAATCATTTGCCTGCTGATGTCGTATCACGAGCCACTCTGGCTCTTTGTTCTCGGAGCTAGAGTTTCTGCTTACCTGCTGACCGATAGTCCCGTCCTCGGCGCAATCCGTCGGAACGGGTGTCGGCGTCCAACTTGAAATTTGACGGCTTTCCTTTCCAACGGGTTTCGTGTCTCAGACTGGATGCTACGACAGTGTGGCACTGCTGTCCGAGGCTGGTGACAGCTGACTTTTCGCGAGACATGGATTTTCGTGCCGCATCAGATGTGTCCCTCAGTCTCAGTGCCTGGAGCTGGAGGCCAGGCCGTTGGCTCCTCTGAACCTTTGCCACGACCTGCCTTGAGATTGGCCCTCTGGAGCACGATTCTCATTGGGTCCCATACGCGGTGATCGGGCCAAAGGCAAGGGGCAGGTGTGCAGCGACAGGGGATGTCGCACTGAACGGTTGTTGACAACCAAGATCAAAGTCCGAAGCTGGCAACAACGTTTGGTCGTGCATTCATTATGCTCATCCCAAGCTCACTGGCTGCGCCGTGGCCATGCCGAGCTCGCCAACAGCGTGGCCAGCGGCAACAAATCAGAACGGCTTGCGAAGGACCAAGGTTTACTGGGGACCCCTGCCGTGGCGCGCACATCTGGCACATTCCGGTTGTCAGGCTGCGCGGGCTGCTACGAGGTTTTGGCGAGCTGAGAAGGGCTGCAACCTGGCAGGGCCATCACGGGGCTCCGGCGCCAAGAGCCCAAGACACAAACGAGGCGGCTTGTCTCGCGCGAGACAGGCTACAGCCGTACGAGCTGCGTGCCCAAAAGTCTAATTCGGGGCTAGAAGCAATGGTCGTAGAGAAGGGGTCCTGGCCGGCTTGTTGGATGCTGCTGATGATCCATCAAGGCATGCCCGATCGCGGTTGCCTGCCTGTGGCAGCAGCCAGCCGCAATTGTCTGTCAGATTGCCAAGCGCGGGCGGGCGGGTTTAAGGCGAGGCGGGCCACGCTCGTCACGGCAACTCCCCGTCGTGCCTTTTCCCACAGCCTGCCGCACTCCATGCCTGATGCAGACGTAATTAGATGCAGATTCATGTTGCAGGACGTAATAATTAATCACATACATACGTGTCGACAGAGGCAGGACCCGGAGAAAAGGTTCCTCGTCACCTGTGCGGCACAGAGTTCTGTCCTGAGGCCATCCTGACTCGCTCTTCATTATGAAGACATCACCAATCACGGCCAGCCTCCACACGGACGTCACACAAGTGGTTCGTTCCCGTCCAGCCCGCCCACTTCGGTCGGATGCCGTTGAGGTCGCACCCACATCCCTCGAGTCCGTCTCTGGCCATCGTCCATGGTCACACGCACGCTCGCACGCACAGCCCGACCCGACCCTACACCAGCCATCCGGGATCACAATATGCTTTGTGTCAAGACACGCGACTGCTGAGCTTAATCATTGTCTTGGCACCTGCCCTTGAGTCGCGAGCCTCTCTGAGCCGGCCCCGGCACGTGCAAACACTTACTCGCACTCTCGTCTGATCACAGAGACTGGCTCCGCACCAGCAGACATGGCACTGGCTCCAGCGAGTCCGTCACATCCTTGGCCTTCACTGGCTCTGCAATGCCACATGTCTGGGGGGGGGGGCAGCAGCGACGAAGAGGATGGCCTCTTCCGTGACTGTGAGGGCAATGCGCATAATGAGGTCGCACAACGCCTCGTCTCATGCGCCCGCGCAGCAGGCAGAATACCTACATACCACTCATTAACCACCAGCTCATTCGAGCAGTCTCCAGGTGCCGCAATAGCCGAATAGGCGCCAGAGCGCGCCAGCCCCTAGGCTGGCGAACCGCCCAGTCGATCGTCCGTCCCCTGGCTGGGGGGGAGAAGACAGTCTTAGCTTGCTAGGGGTAGCCCAGCACACACTGGAGGGCAGTCCAGGCATTCAGGAGCGGGGAAGAGACAGGGACTGGGTAGCACACAGAGCAAATCCCGATGCTCATGCAAATGACCTGGTCGGTCGGGGTTTGTTGCTGCTCGTAATAACCAGTGTCTTGGTTGTCCAGCGCTGTTGGAAGGTGCATTTACAGTTGGCAGAGGCCTGCCTGCGTCTCCATCTCCCAGCTCGTCCAGCACCACAACAGCCCACCAGCCTCGCCTCGTTCCATGATGGTCACACTTATTTAGACGGGCGACTTACTCGCATCGGGCTTCTCGAACGACGGGAGAAGATCGACGCCACGCCGAGTGGGCCACTGACAAAGGGGAAGCATAACAACCATCGCCTGTCGTCGCCAAAGTCGAGCTGCATCTTGGAAAAACCGGGGCTCGAGGCCGACGGCGGGAATTCTATTGCGCCCACAGCTGTGTAAGTTGCCGCTCCTCGTGCGGTCCAGCGTTGGAACCCGTTCAGGCACTTTTTTTTTTTGGCGGCCCACATGCTTTAGGTTCCAGAGCCTTGCCAGCCAGCTAACCTAGCGGGCGCTGGCACTGTCCCTGAACTATTGCAGTACTCTCTTGGAAGCCGCATCCACCCCGACTAGGTTGTGGCCAGCGGCCTCAGCACGTCCTCGAGCATGGTCCCGCAGCGACCTGAACTTACTCTGGAGGTCTAGCTGAGAGGCCCCCCCCCCCCAACCCTGATCGCGGACCCCAGTCGGCGCTTCACGATGACCGCGCAGTACCCGCACTTGTTTTTCTGTTTTGACTTTGCTTTACTTTTTTGGCTATCTCGACACCCCTCTAACTTCACACCCGCCTCCGCCCAAGCCTCCGGCTCATGACGACTCGGCTGTACTGGGTTGGCTCCACCACGCCCGACTGCTCTGTCGCGACCCGAATCTGTCTGAAGGGTTCAGAGGACGGGTATTAAAGACCCTTGACCACCCGGAAGCACACTGCCAGGGGCCCGGGCGATCGTCACGTATCATCCTGTCGAGCACAAACCCAGAAGCCGTTTCTCAGCTCCTGAAACTCCTCTCTTGTCACCCAAGCATATCAAAGTGGCAAAAGTCCTTCCCAGACTTCTCCGTTCCTCAGTTATTCAAAATTCCATACCAGGATCTCTGGAGATCTTGCCTGCTAGTGCAATACAACGGCACATACATAATCTCGATCACACCAGGACCCAAGCCCATCACCGCCCCTGGACACTCTTACACACAGGTCAACCCTCCAGGCATCTGGTTTCCCACCTATATAACACAACGACGACCCGGTGTTCCCACCAGCAAGCCTCCCAAATGACCATGCTCATCGTCAACGCCCAGGACCTTCCTCGCCAGTCCTCATACCCCAACTTGCTCAACATGACAACTCATCACACTTCAGCCACCATGCCCATGTTGGACCTTTTCAGCACGCATGGTACAGAGCACCTCGCGCCCATCCAGGACAACACCGAAGTTGCTCAGGCTCTAGAGATTGCTCGTGAGAGCCCCGAAGGAGCCAAGGACCCCGTCGTGAGCAACATCCTCGAGTCTGCACTACACTCCCTGTGGGCCAAGGTCGTGGCTCAGCCAGACAGTTATGTCATGACGAGGGATGAGTTTGCCGTCTTCAACTACTTCCAGCACCGGTTTGAAGGCAACAAGCTCGCCATTGCCGCCAGGAGACGATACTGGGACAACATTTCTTGCTCTTGAAGAGACAGAAGCATGGCCGGCACCAGGCGCACACCCTCGCCCCCCCGGTGACGCCTTGTCTTCTCTTGTCTTGACGAAGCATCCTTGGGCGTCGTGTTCTTCTGTGTAATGCGGGATCACGAGGGCCGCTACCTGTCGTCTCCGCTCTATTTGGCTTTCATGCACTGCCAGACTGCATTCATCGGCGTTGTTTGCTCATCACAACCTCTTCTTCCGCCGCCTTCACCACACCCTCGCAATACTATAGACATAGAGGCAGTTCACCGCCGCTCCCTCGTGCTTCACACCCACTGCCGGTATCCCGCGACGAGTCGACTGGTACACCGTCCATCTCACCAATACCCCCTTTGAGCGATTCTGCGTCGAGTTGCAGCCAGGGGTTGGGGCGCTGCCTTGCCAAATGCAACAGGGCCGGCCTGTGCCGTATACCTGGGAGGCACAACCCCGCACGGCCCTGGACCGGGACAGACGCTCCGCTTGCAGCCAGGGGCCCGCCCACAGGCAGGTCCCTCCCCATCCCAACAAACACCTGCACCAAGCAGCACTCTTCCACACTCCACAACGTCTGGTGATGGTATCATCCTCTCTGCATTACAGCACACACCCCGGTCTTCACCCCATTGGAATAGCACACCGCCCTCAGCGAGAGCCACACTTGCCCCTACTAGGCGCTTGTCACCACTCCCTGCGCCCCCACGACGCTCGAAGATGGAAAAGCAATTCTCGATGCCCGCCCCAGGCTACCCTAGCCGCACCCGCAGCCAGTTTCGGTCACTACAGATCGGTTGGCCCACAGCCATGTCCCTTCTGACATGCGCTGCGGCGCTTGCGGTCTGGTACGGAGTGTCGCATCCGCCGGAACTAGCCGGATATCGTCCGGCGGCGGCGGACCACGGTGTAGCTGCACTGCCTGCGACAGGGCTTCCACCAGATGGTACAGTCCTGGAGTGCTTCCAGGTCGCACAGCCCATCGTGGTAGCAGGTCATCAGGTCGACCACTCTGGGCCCCGCCCCCAAGATTGGGACGACCCTGCTCCGTGGAACACCGTGGCCACTCGAGACGATCCTGTGGCGCGCCCTTGTCATTCCGTACTTTTGATGGACCATGTTTTCGCGTGGAGTTATGGGAGGCCATACGTTGGTATGTTGGAGCATAGCAGAGATACCTCATGGGCAGCGAGGACTCTCTGACTCTTTTATGATAGGAAATTATACCCCGCCTAGTTGCCAGTTCAATCGAGTAATCATGACCTTTACCGTACAGTCTGCGGGCCGCCAGTTTGACCGGCTTGCGCTGATGTTCTTTGGCGACACTGAAGTCTGGCGTACCTCAACCGCCGAACCCGTGAAACCCCCAGGCATTCGATGGACAGTGACCAAGGATATGTCCCACCTCTTGTACTTCTGGAAGTCCCCCCAGAGAATCATCTTTGATCTGGGCAATTTGGTCGATGAGAAATACACGGGCACATTCAACACGACATTGACTGCGTCATTCTACCAAGTTACCCCGTCAGACTTCCAAGATGCCAAGCCAGCCGACCTGATAGTGCCGATATCCTCTCGGAAAGGTGCACAGGGTCTGCCAAGTCATTTCGTCTTGCCTGGAGACCAAGCATCGAACTCGGTCTCACTCCCCAGGAATATCAACCGAGCCGTGTTGACAATCTCGGCGAATGGACAGGCTGCGGAAGAGTTCTGGTGGAGCAATGTACTCGAGTCGGACAAGATGACTTTCGCCAAAACATATGGTGCATACCCTGGTCGATCTCCGTTCCGTGAGGTCCAAGTGCTCGTTGACGGCCACCTCGCTGGTGTGAGCTGGCCATTTCCCGTCATCTTCACCGGTGGGGTCACGCCGAGCCTACACCGGCCAATTGTCGGACTGCAAGCTTTTGACTTGCGAGAGCATCAGATCGACATTTCGCCATGGCTGCCACTTTTGTGTGATGGCCACGAGCACGATTTTGCAATCCGTGTCATGGGGGTCACAGACAATGGCGTTGACGGAGGTGTCTTAAGTGCCAGCATCGACGATAGTTGGTACGTCACTGGGAAGGTGTTCCTATGGCTGGATGATGATGGCCGGTCAGTCACCACCGGCTCTGTCTCAACGTCTGCTCTCAAGCCTCTGGCTAGTCAGGATCCCGTCATCCACCTGTCACGCGCCATAAGTCGGAATGAGACAGGTTTCAACGAGACACTATCGTTTGAGGTCACCGTGAGGAGATCACTAGACATCAGCGCCACCGTACGGTCGCAACGTCGACACAGCCACGTGCAATGGACGCAGAAGCTCGAGTACACGAACGTCGCGCTAGTCAAAGACTTTGGGTTCAACCAGGTCAATGACTTCAGAGTGACGGGCCTGGACGAGGCTCGCGGGCTCGACCAAGACAGGTCCTTCGAAACATTCTACGAGTACCCCCTGCATTGCAACCAGAGCATCAGGTTCGACAGTTCCGGCGACATGACGATCCAATCGAGTCTACTGGAAGGTCTCCAGCTCAAGATTCGGGGGTCCAGCGTGCTTCCAATGGGAACTGAGGGCTATCCTGGGCCGCTTCCCGAAAGCCAGACGCAAGGAGCACACCTGCAGACACTGAGAGAGGGCCAGGGCGAGTTCTTCGCGCCTGCTGGCGGAAAGACCAGCTCTGGATTCGGCTCTACCAATCAGCTGTTTTACTTCGGAAGTCTTCTGACCGTGCCTGGCCAGTCGCTCGAGCACGCTGGAAAGAGCCATGAACTCTATTTCCGCAACGTGACTGCAGTGAACGGCAGCGTCGTGGCAGACGAGGAGAGGAGTGTAGCATCAGCCTGCCGCAATATTGTTCGGCCGCCGCAGCCAGCCGCAGGCAATAGTCAGGATCGTGGCGGGGACGAAGGCGTGGTACGAGTCGAGGGGAAGCATCCCCCTTCGACAGCTGCACCCGGGTCGTGGTTTGAATTCGCAGAACCCCTGGCGCCCAGACAACACTTTGGCCGCCGGCTCAAGCTTGTTCAGCCATCTTGTGGCAATATTGATTGCGAGGCGGGAACACCCACGGCCACGGCCAGGGGTAGCAGCACATCGATAGGCCCGCTGCTGCAACAGCTGCAGCTGCAGCAGCAGCCGCTACGTTACCATTGAGCATCGCCTGGCACGGCTATTGGTAGAACCTGCGTGCGCCTCTGGGAATAAGGTTTAGTGTAGTCTTGGTATATTGGGGGATATGCGCCTTGGCAACGGCAAAACCGGGTACACCACCTTTTTTCGGTCGGCACCTGCTCGCCGGCGTTTCCTGAAATTGATGCCATCCTGAGGATTGATGCTACACGAGACCAAGAGCTTCCGTGCCTAGAACAGAAGGGAATACATTTTACCACGCTCAGTGTTGTCACCATCAGCATGCTATTCTCATGTATCATGTGCCAGAAAGCCGCTCCGCTACCTTCAGCGCCAGTTTCTCTGGACGGACAGGGGGTCGTCGATCCTGACGTCAATCCGTCCGGGGGTGGGAGGTTGCTCCAAACCAAGCAGGGTGTTGTTCTTTTTACCACAAAATCCCATGAAAAATACCAGGCATCTCTGACTGCGGCAGTGCCAATGCTAATTTCGCATCCGACCGGGTTCTGTGTGTTTGGTGGTGGTGGAGGGGGGGGGGGGGGGGGAGATCGGCAACTTTGTACCGTGTCTGCTTCAGCCGAAGTACTCACGCACACAACCTACAAGCGCCTGGCGGCCTGGAAAACGGCGCAGATTATTCCAAAAAGTCTACACGGCCCAAGCTCTGGACAAATCACTGTAGCTTTAGAGCCAACGTGCTAGGCGTGCTCTCTCTCTCTCCTCTGGACTCACGAGATAGTGTGTGTCCCATGTCTTTCCAAGGTTGGGGGTGTGCTGCGAGGTCTGCGCCTCCCGCCCCGGTGGTGAAAGCTGTTTGGAACTCTCGTTTCCTCTCTTAGACTTTTTCTTGGCATGCATGCTATCTCCCATGCGATAACTTTATTTCCCCTTCGCTTTGTTCGCTTCCCCTTCGTATGTGGGGAACCAGATTTGGGGGGCGAGGCGCCAAGGACGTCACGCACACACACACGTACACACACACACACTCTGTCCCGTCAACTTAAGGTTCCGCGGCTTCGCGAACATTGCAGAAAGCCAAGCCAAGCAACGCCCGGCAGAATGGCAAAATATTTCGACAATGCCGCGCTTTCCCACGTGTCTTGGCACCAAAAAAAAAGAGAGACAGGTGCGCAGAGAGCTGAAAGTACAGCGCACCAGTTCCAAGTCTCTTTCTGTCTTTCTTTTTCTTTCTTTTTTTCTTGTCGTTGGCGCTGTTGTTGTTTCCGCTGTCCCCTTGAGCGGACAGGTTGTCAGTCATTGCTCATCTCGTTGTTACTACCATGTGGGGGGCAAGCTTTTGTGGTACTTTGCGACGCATGCAATTACTGAGTCTGGCCAAGTACGTAGGTGAACCCTGCCCACTTGGACAAGCAATTGTCCGTCGTCCAAGCAGCAGCAGCAACTTGCTGTGTGTGGTGGTGGTAATTTGGGTCCCACTACTCCATGCAAGGGGTGCCGCCGAGCATGCGAATCTTAAAGTATGGGACATTTTCGGACGATCACAGCACACACCAATCGATACGAGAACGAAACCAAAAGAGAGAGAGTCTGCCGAGCCTTGCTTATATGTGAATGAAAAGACCTGCGGCCTTGATATCCAAACTGGGTGAGTCAGGCCGAAATCTTGTTTTATTGGTCTTGCCTCGGCTGTTTTGCCTGGTCGGGAAAAAGGTAAGTGCGTGTGTGTGTGTGTGTGTGTGCGTGTGTCCAGGCGGACATGCTCTCTGGTACAAAGCAGACGTCTGATGATGAATGACCTGTCGCAGGTTGCGAAACCATGACGCAAGCCACGGGTCATACGGGGAGACAAATGACCAAAGGTTGCCGTGGCACATCACACTCTCGGCTGTACAGGCATTCTGCTCCTTCGTCTTGTGGCCGGCCGACTCGCTACCATAGTACGGTCTCTTAGGCTGAGGCTTAAAAATAATACACTCGGGGACCGCTGTCGTCGTCGTCGTCGTTGTTACTAGTCAGGGGCATGAGAGTCGGCATCAACGAACGGGCTAGTCAGAGGTGGGAGCAGGCAGGCACGCTTGTGGCCAAGCCAAGGTTCTACTACTTGGGCCATAGCCGGTGGTCGGCGTGTCGATCCGGCGCGGCAGGACTACTATGGTAAAGAGACGAAAGCCAGCCAAGGGAGGGAGCGTAGTCGCCACGGCGCTTTAGACTTTGAGACCGCACCGTTGGGACGTGGCTCAAACTCTCGTGGCGATGCCCAGATGAGCGGGAAGCTGTGCGGCTGGACGTTGCTCTAGCTGTACCCCCCCCCCCCATTGTTTCCGACTTATCTGATGCACCCACTATATGCCACGCACTCAAAGCCGTAAACTCTAAAGCCTGTGGTGCTGGCACGTCCTTCTGTCGGCCGCGCTCCGCCACCGGACTGGCCGCAAATATTGCCCAGAGGGGCAAGGCTGACGACGGCAGTTCCCTTGCACGTTAGCCACGGGCGTGCAGCAGTGTTGGTGATATTGAACCTTGGGCCGCGGGCTGCCTGGGGGGCCAGTTTGTGATTTGCAGAGCTGACCGGCTCCGGCTGATCCAAGACACATCTATCTATCCGTCTGTCTACCTACCTACCTACCTAGGCGATCACGGGAGAGGGCCCATCAGTAAGCAAGCAGTACATGGTGGCTCAGAGCATGCCGTTCAGTTGTCAGCCCGCGTGGTCACGCCCCCGTTGCAACGGCTCGTATGAGTCTGCCGGTGTGCAGCCTGTTACTTTTGCCTTTTCGCTCGACGGGCGCGTACACGGCCATGATTGGATTGGCACTGCCGCCCGCAATTACAGTTTCCCGCGTCACACCCACGGGGCGGCTCCGCCTCGCACCGAGGCCGCTCTCTGATTCCGATTCCGACCCCCGATTCCGACCCCCGGGGAAGCACCCATCATCATCTGCTGGGCGGCAACACGCCGCCCATTGCGTTTTCGGACTCTGTTCCGACAGAAGTAGACAGATGTTCTCGTTTCGGCCCCCGTCTGGAAACTCTATCATTACCTTATGTTCGCTGGCAGAAGGGAACCCGTTCAAACTTCCCCCAATCTATTGCACCCCCCCTCCTCCTCCACCCTCCTTCCTTCCCCCTGGACACTTCTCCACGTCCCACATAATCAAGCGGCACGCCCTCCCCACCGCTCATTTTTCCCTTCTCCCAAACCAAAAAAACGCCACAGGGTTTCTCTTTGCTTCTTGGTGCCTGCGTGCCTGCGCGCTGATTGGTGCCCACTTGCTTCTAGAAGAACTCTAATTCTCCCTCCCATGACGAGGATCAAAAAAGCTTGACCTGGAGCACAGTCCTCCAGGTGGTCTCTGCCCAGAGATGCGATTCAAGCATCTTTTCCGGGTCGGTACAGTAGTATTGGTCCCGGAAATGATTCCAAAGTGGTGCGGCAACCATCTTTCGTGTTGAAACCATCGATGAGTGTGCATGCCTGGCCTTTATCTCTGGGCATCGCAAGCCTGGCATAAAAGTAAAGAAAAACCTTCCAGCAAAAGTCCAAGCCACCATGAAAGCAAGATAAAGGAAGATTACCCGCGACCACGAACCCAAAGACCACACCCGGAGCTAGCACCGACAAGAAAAGCCAGAACTGTTGTTGCCCCCAAAAGATGGAGGAGTGCCGAACCCACAGGCGCGGGTCCGCGCAGCAAAAGTCACTCTCTCTCTCTCACACACAAATACCCAACGGGTATGACGTTGCGGAGCCAAACCTTATTTGCACCCACACACACGAAGCAACACCGGCTTTTTCTCTTCCTTCACTCACTCCTGAAGTCACTCTCTCACTCACTCACCACTTGCAGTCACCCAAGACAGCTTAAACCTACCCGGGCAGCTCCAAGCACCCTTGCCTAGCCTCAACGACTCTCTCTCCCTTCCTCCCAAAACTTTATTCATTCTTCTTCCCTCTTTCAGATCGACCACGGGGCCACCCTTTTTCTCGCGCCCGGAAATGCGTGGCCCCTCGTGACTGGGCGCTGACCGCACGGGAAAGCCCACCGGAAAAGCTTAAAATAGATAGTTCACTCGCGCCTCTCTGTCTCTCTCTCTATCCCTCCCTCCCTCCCTCCTTCCCTCCATTGGGCAATGTACTGCAACTCCTTCCCGTGCAACACGTGCACGCCGCGAGAGATTGCGCCGAAAGAAGGCTGGCCGCCCGGCTGAAAAGGGAGAGGGGGGGGGGAGTGCGGCAATGAAAAGTAGGGGCGGGCGGAAAGGGGCGGTGAATGTTGACTGACAACTAACGAAACTCTGACGAAAGCCGGCGTCCCCATTAAAGGGAAGTATCGTTTTGTCAATCTCAAAAATCGAAAAGGTAAGATTGTCGCCGTCGGGCAAAAAAGTTCGCGAGGAGGAGGCAGGCGTGGAAAGAAAAGAAAAAGTCAAATATCCAATTTTCCGACGCCCGTGTTGGAATGGCCGTTGAACCTGTGGTGATGTGCAAAAAAGAGCTGCTCGTTAGTAAACCATGTTAGTAAACCGGGCAGCGAGAAGTTGTTGGGGATAGGTTCGGAGTGTGTTTTATCACGGGCAAGGTTCGAGGACTGCGAGCGTAGTTTGTGCGCACCCGTTGTTCGCTCGTTTGGTTGGACCACTTGCAAAAGGCTCTCCCCGGCGGCAACAGAGATTCGTCTGCATCCAATTACGACTGGATACCCGTCACGAGTATGTTCAGAGCGGCTGGGACTGAATACTGAGTGTGCCTGTCTGTGGAGCCACAGTGGTCACTATTTGATGGAGTCATAAGGTATCGTGAGCTAAGTAATGTATATCAGAGAGGGCTACTGGAGAGAATATGGTTATTGTAGAAGCAATGGCTGGATACCAAATCTCCAACTTGATGTTATCAAGCTGTGTCTCTCACGCTTACTTCTCTAATTGCTTGTTGTCGGGCTTGTCTCTGTATTGTTCAAGTTTCGAAAGTCGTGGAGTGGACAATTTCGTATATTTCCTCCTTCCTTCTTGTTTAAAGACACATTCATGAGTTGGAAAGATATGTCAGAGTCACATGGATACTGCTCGGTAGGCCTTGAGATGTCATCCGTTCTCTAGAGTCTATTGCAATGTAGGAAATTTGAAGCGGTTTGTTAGTTACGAAATGCCATAGACACAGGCTGACAAGGTGTTCCAACGAACTCTTACACATGGTTGTTAGCTATTCTAACAACCTCAGTAAATGAACATCTTCAGAGAATGAGTACTGGCAAACTATACCCGACTCCGAGTGAGCACTCCGACCTGGATGTAATGGTTCCTCCGCGAGTCAGAGAGCTGCACTGTATTTGTTATTGCTCGATTTTCCAGGGATCATTCACGTATGGAACTGTAACATGTGGCAGTCGAGAGACTTGAAAGGACAACTGAAGATATCAGCAGAAACTCAAACCAATTCGACATGGCAGTCCAAGCGTGCAAGAAGTAATTCACCAATGTATCTGGTGACTTGTTGGCCGTAGATTGCTCAGTTACAGGTCTTCACCTCTATCCTGCTATGGTCTGTGATCGCCGCTTGCTCCCACCAAGAACTCAAACAACGGACAGCAACTCCTTTCCACAGCAAAACGTTTGCCGTGCCCAGATCCCACCAATAATTTCGACCGAACTTTGTAGGCGGGTAACTATTAAGTCAGGCCGGGAGTAGCCTCAGGCATTTTCCGTCGGGCGAACAAGAGGCCGCCACAGGTCACCAGCAACACGCCCCGGAAACCACAGCAACCAGCACCGCACCCAAGCCAAGGCCTTATAACCATAGATGAGAGGTCTCCTCAGCAACAGACACCTCACGAATGCGAGAGGGGGTTCAAAGCTATGTTGCAACCCTCGTCTGGCCTAGTGGAACTAAGTCATAGACACAAAGACAAGAACTCTGGATCTAGTCGGCGGGTCGATTCCGGCATTTCACTGCAACAGAGTCTTTCCCTGGGATCTAGTCGGAGGACAGAGTCCGACATTTCCACCAAAACAGGGAATGTGTCCAGGCAATACCCTCAATAGGTTCGAGTCTCCTTTTTGGGGATTTTTGGGCCCCCTTTTGAACTTTCTTTTTGAAAGGGAATATGTCACACTTACAGTTGGACTCGTAATAGCGTCGATGACAGCTCCCTGCCGTAAACGTGTTTGCTATGTGTTCGAGATTCTTGGCCTCCTCGACTAGAGGTTGTCGCTTCTTATGATGACCTGACAAGAAAGTTCACGTGGACCTCACATCAGGACACTGATGTCTCTCTTAACAGCCGACCCCGCCGCCGTGGCTCTGTAGTGCTCACTGGAGGATATATCCCCCCCCCCCTCTGTGGAAATCTCCACTGATCTTGGCGTAGATTCGCCTAATTGTTCCAGTGGTGACGCACTCGCCACGTGCCCGGCGGACTGTATCTCAACCTCGGATATATCGCCACTCATCTGTCATCACTCCACTCCCACTTGAAACGCTCTACAGCTCCCACGATCCCCACAACGGCACCAACAACCAGCCCGCAGGAGGTCAAGACACCGAGAGCAACGACATGCCGTCCGCTCTCCCCCCAACGAAGCAGCCAGCTGCTCCTTCTCGACCAGCCCCTCCCCCTCCAGTTGAGATCGCCAGCAAACTGAACCCTGCCACTCGAAAGGAATTGAGCTTGCCGAGAAGAGATGGCAGGACCACGACCAAAAAGTTATCATCGGGCAGCACCATCGATCGCGAGGGGGCCGCGAGATCCAAAGTCCGGGCAATGGTCGACCGCTTCGAGCAACCCGCAACTGGGAAGAGAGACAAGTCACCAGCACGACCTGCGGCACGAACCGGAACGGCAAGGGCACCAGAAATTGTCCAGGTCGAGACAGGGCGTGCAAAGGGCACCGACAAGGGCGACGTTTTGGACAGAGGTTACAGTGCTGCTATTGCCGCATATGTTCGTGCCGATGACATTGCTTCTGCCGTGAAGGACGTCACTGCCAAGAAAACGATCGTCATCAGGACTGCGCACGATGCAGACTACACAAAGGGGATGGAGGTGGTCATGGAAAAACCAAGGTTCAACACAAACAAAGAAAATATCGACGGCATTGGCAAGGACAACGGCACGGACATCAGCAACTACAGACACAATGTAATGCCACGAGCGAGGAAGGACAGTGGCCTTTCCCTTCACTCGGCCAAGGTTCCATCCTCACCCGGGAGTTCATCCTTGACTGGCTGTGCCTCCGGTTCTTCCTTGGACGCTTGCCCCGTCGGAGTGCCACTGGCGGGAATATCTGAACCGGGGATTTCTGCTCTTGGGACGTCGATCTCCCAGGGTTCGCATGCAGCGTCGCTCTCCATGCCAAGCGTATACTCCCAAGACGGCCACGAAGACGAGCTCAGCGACTGGGAACGTTATGAATATACGTACGGATCAGACGCGAACTATGGGGGCAACGAGGAAAGTCCGTCGAAGCAAAAGAACTGCAAGATAGCTGTTGGCACCGCACAAAGTCAAGGGAAACGAGACAGTCCGCAGCATATCGGTAGTGGCTTCGAAAGCTGCAACTCGGACCGCGTGAGTGGACCTTACTTCCCTGATCAAGTTCCTGCAAAGCACGGGAAGGATGCCGCTGTTGCTGCTGCGACTGTCACGGTAGCATTCTCTACTTTGTCTGATGCCTCCACACCAACTGCGACTTTATACCTGCCCGCGACGACAGGTCAAAGCTCCGTGTGCTGGACTGCCGACGAATCTTCAACCTCTCAGCCGTCGATACAATCAGGAAAGTCATCAGCGCTGCTATCTACGCCCACGACTTCCAATACCACGACCCAATCGTCGTGTCCTCTTCACAGCACCACCCCGTCCCGGAGCAGCCATTCGGCGGTGTCATCACCGCTTCTTCATGACGATGGCGCTTCTCCTCCTCCTCCAGCATGGATGGGCACGAGGACAGACAGCAGCGGCAGCAACATCTTGCTCCCCATTTGCTACGACCATACTCTCGAGCAGGACTCGCTCGAGGTGCTCCGCTACAGGCAGTTCTTTCACCAGCCCCTTGGCCGATGTCTCGATGACGGTGCTCCAGAGCCTATCGGGGATGGCGGGACTTCTGATACATGCGACCTATTTGACGGTCTCGAACCTCTAGCAATGCCCAAAGCGAGTGCGAAGAAGAAAAAGAACGACAAGCCTAGCGAGGCAGGGGAAGCTCTCTCGGAGAGTGCGCTTGGACGCAGTTCTGCTGCGGATGATGGTAGATATACCCATCCTCGCCCCATGGCGACACCCAGTATGAGAGGGGTCGCCACTCGGCGCGATCCAGACAAAGTGCACGCGTTTTAGAAAGACGTCCGCGCACAGCTCTGGATTTGCGACGACGACGACGATGACGACGAGCTCGATGCGACGAGTCACTGTCACTGCCATTTCGCTTGAGGCGTCACCGCAGAAGGCAAATCAGCGTCCGCACTAGGCAACCACGGTGCAGGTGTCCGAGCGTGTTTCTTGAGAGGGAATGCAATACAAACATGTCGACTCGAACGCGATGGTCACAACTTTTAGGAAAATCGGCGACCCTCTTAGCCGTGTTATGGCCGACGCAGGGACACTCGAGGCGATTTTGGTGGCAAGTCTTGTCACGCGGCCTTGCAGGAGGCGAGGCGTGTTGCGTCAGTGACATGGTTCCACTGTGTTTTCGGGACAGGTCAGTCATCAAGACGAATCGAATCGATACCTCCTGGATCACAAATGATGCCCGAGTGGGTCTATAGCGAATGCCTCTCCAGACAGAAAAGTTGTGCTTGATGGGATTACAACACGACTATACCAATCACTTTCGATTAGCGACGGGCAAGCTTGATAACTGGCACAAGTTTCCTATTTGGACAAGCCTGGAGATTGTATCCGGAATGTCTTCTCCTTCTTTTTCTTCGGTCTGAAATCTGCAAGTCTAAGCTCTCCCTATCTTGAAGCACAGAATCTAAGAAGTGAGATATTATGTTAGCAATGCTTCTTGGCTGAAATTGGCCGTGCCAGTCACTTACATCATGCTTGCCCACGCCCACAATATCATCTTCTGACACCCGCACACCGCCAACACCTTCCACGTAGGCGATCGGCGCATCACCCATCACTTTTCGTCCTACTTCTCCGACTGTCGTATTCCGTTTCACAAGCACGCAGTCTCTGAATGCGTGCTTGGCATCCGATCCGGAACTAAAGTTGGAGATATTCCGCACGGGGAAGACAGGCACAAGACCCAGGAGCTCTGCCGCTTTCGCCAGGACTTGGACAACGCCGGTTGACTGGAACCGGAACAATACCATGTCCCGCAGGTTCTCGATGCGATTCCTGTTCTTCTCGTCGAGCTCCTTCAGACCGCCGCCAGTGGGGTCGCCGTCCGCGATCAAGTCCTCCCTTGTGTCGACAAACTCGCTTCCCTCGACATATCTGATATATCCCTGCTTGGCCATCTTGCGCAGGAAGATTTCCGATATCGCCGAGCAGAGAACAATCTTGTTGGGATCCTGCATCTTGGCAATCTTGGCGATATTCCTGTCCGCGTCTGCATGGTCCGTCTTGTTGAGCGCAAGGACGGTAGGGAACTTGACGTCAATGAACATGTTGACCACAAGCTCCACAGTCGCCTCTGACCACTCCTCCAACGGTTCCTTGAGCGCGAGGCGGTCGAGCGTGCGCGCGACCACAGGCGCTGTACTTCCGTAGCCCGAGAACTGATTTTGCAACGTCTCGACAGCAGTAGACTTTGTGGCCACGTGCCTCCTCTTGATCGAGCCCCACCGCTCCCAGATGTTGCCCTTGATCCAAGCCACGATCTCGCTGCGCAGCCAGGCAATGTCCACAGATGGATCATAGCCTCGCGTCTCTTTGCCTTCCGCATCCGTGGTGCCGCTGACATCGACTACATGTATAAGGGCGTCGGCGTGTCTCAGGTCGTCGAGGAACTTGTTGCCGAGGCCCTTGCCCTGGTGTGCGCCGGGCACGAGGCCGGCAACGTCGAGAAGCTCAATCGGGACGGAGCGGCGGCCCCCAACGCAGGAACCGTAGTTCGGTTTGCACTTCGACTGGAGATCATATCTTGAGCAGGCGCAGTCGATCTGGAGATATCCGATCGCTCTCTGGGGGTCTATGGTTGTGAATCTGCAGGATGCCATGTCGTGGTCAGCGAAGGACGTTCGGTTTGCCACACGGAATGCCACGAAGTCGAGGCAGGTAGCTCATACGGGAAGTTGCCTGGATATCCTTGCTGTCAGCGAATATTCACCTTGCAAGTCCATACTGGTCCTCGCAGACGAGCTACGCACCGACTTTTGAAGAGGCATCCGTCAGACTGTTCATCGTCGAGCTCTTGCCGGCACTCGGCTTGCCGACAAGGCCGATGAGAGGATCGCGCGGCATGTTCGTGGGGTCCACGAAAGCGTGGTAATATCTGGCAATCGGAAGGAAAAAAAAAAACAGAAGAGCAGACGCCAAAAAACTTCTGGAATTCCACAAATTTGCGCGCGCGCGCGTAGGCTACTTCCGATCCTGATATGATGCTCACAGTCTAGTTGTCGCAAACTGGACCTCCGATTTCGTTGGTGGGGTTCCCCACCAGGCAGGAACATTTCATGGCTCAGTCTTTGTCGATAAGCATGTGCTCTAGTGGGGGGCCATGCGCTTGCATCAACGCGTGTCGTCTCATATGCAATTCTCCTTTGCTACACTACATCATTGTCTTGTCTTTGGTCAAAAGATTGAGCGTCTGCCTGGATATCAAGAGGACAGAATCTGAACGACCGATGCAATCATGCATAGGCAACGCCTGTCCCTCGATGCACTGCCGGCATGGAGCACGCTCAATGGCGTCATCTTTGGCAGGATCGCCGCAGCAGACATTGAGGGTCGTGGCAAGGGCCTGGTTGCAACCAGAGATATGCCGGGGAAAGATGACACGGCAGAGATACCGGCGCTCTTGACAATACCCAAAGACCTTGTCTTATGCGCCGAAGGGGTCGAGGAGTTTGCAAAAGAGAACAAGGCATTTAGACACCTCCTCGATGCGGCGGGTCATCAGGTCAGCTGAACGAGCCAACGTTTCCAGGGAATGCAAGTCTGACAGCCTCTCAGACTGGCCGGGGAGATATCCTCCTCTATCTTCTGGTGCAATTTGTACTCTCATCGGCCAGCAGTGGCGTCCATGAGTTGGGAGCACATACCGCCTGGACTCAGTATTTCAAAATGCTCCCAGAGAGTGTCCCTCTGCCCACGACATGGTCCGAGTCGGAGCTGTTCCTACTTAGAGGCACTTCGCTAGAGTCATCCGTGGAGGCGAAGCTTTCCGCATTGACGAAGGAATTCGATACGCTGAAGGCAAAAATCGTCGATATTCCATTCTGGCATGAATTGCTCTGCATTGACGAGACTGTCACTGTGCACGACTGGGTCGTGCTCGATGCTCTTTATCGTTCACGATCACTGGAGCTTCCGAGGAGCGGAGAGTCGATGGTCCCGTATCTCGACTTAGCCAACCATTCGGACGCATATACCGCACGATTTGACGAGAACATCAATGACGAGGTGGTGCTCGTGTTACGAAGTGGTGCGCGGGTTTCGTCTGGCGACGAGATCACCATCAGCTACGGCAACCAGAAATCCGCAGCAGAGATGCTGTTCAGCTATGGCTTCGTAGAAGACGAGGCGCCTGCAAGGAGCCTTGTTCTTCCTCTCGAGCTTATGGATGACGACCCTCTACTCCAGGCTAAGTTGCACATCTTCAAAGCAGGTCCCACTCTGACTCTGGAGGACAGTGATGGAGACAAGCCAAATTGGCGCGCCCCTTTTGCTCACCTCATGTGTGTGAATGAGGAGGATGGCCTCGATTTCAAGATCTTGCAAGAAACGGACGGCACGCGACACATGCGAATGTTCTGGCAAGACGAGGACATCACTGACAGAAAAGAGTCCTTTGCGGAGATTGTCAAGGGTCATAGGATGGCCAAGATCTTCGAGCTTCGAGTTGTGACTATCGTTCTCGAGAGGGTTCAAGGACAGCTTGAGAGACTGAAAGCCTACGAGAGTCTGGAGAGCGAAGAGGCCCAGGCGGCGATCCGGCCAGAGGTATTTCATCCGGCAGTCAGGCTCCGTAAGGCGGAGAGAGACCTGATGACCAGAGCGCTGCCTAGTCTCGAGGAGCAGAGAGATGCTCTGTTTGAGGATGAAAGTGTTCAGGCGTACTTGAAAACCGCGTCCGGTGATCAAGATGGCGACGAGGATGCGATTGACGAGGAGGACTTCAGTTGAATCACCCACACCAGTGGCTCTCCAAGTCCTCGTGGACCATCATTGCTGCTCAAAATTTGGTATAATGGTGATCTGCGAGGCTGGTATCTGCACAGGGCTCCACACTCTGAAGTTTGCAGCTTGATCTTCCCTAGTGTAAGCATCCTGCAGGTTAATGGGAAGTGAATTAGCGATGGAGCATGACGCGTTGAGATCTGGGGAGAGCACCAATCGGCTATTCCCGTTGTCGTCTCTAGTGAGGTTTGGTTAGTAGCTCTTTGCAAGCCCCGGCCAACAGCTTACCTTTGAAAGGCAGCTGGGCGGCTAGGATCTTGCAGCGTGTGACTGCGTGCCCCTCTTTTCGTCCAGAGAGCTGGACACAGCTGATGCAGCCCAAGCACAGGGTGTATGGCCAGATGCGTCTTGAAATCGAACGATGCGCTCAATCCGCGCTGCCGGTCGCAGGCCTGTGGCAGCTGCGGACAAACTCACCTGGGCCAGGCATGCTCAAGCCTACCTGAGGTACTTAGTAGCGTAGGTAGGCTTGAGCATGCGAGTCCTTCCTTCCTTGCCTGTCGCGCCGGGGCCGGGGAGCGACCCTGATGCACGCGCCTTGTTCGCTGTGCTATAGTCTGCTGTGAGCGGACGGGAGCAGTACAATCAATGGCCCCTCGTCGTAGCAGAGCGCAACATGTGCAGTCGGAGCTAGCGCCGGGAGCAGAGTACTCGTTGTTGCCGTCACTTCAGCAACATGAATGGCAGGTTTCCCTCCGCGAGAGCGGTCAGCATTTGCTGGAAAGGTCAGCAGGATTGGACTTCTGTCCGCGGCTTCTTTCGGGCAAACCCGTGCCGGGAAGCCATGATTAGAGTCTCGGGGAAAAGGGTGAGGGACTGCAGTGTCTGGAGCTGTGCATGACCGGACCTCGCTAATGGATTGCTTGGTGAGGATAGGGAAGCAGGAGGGCGCAGCTGGTAGGGCCGCGCCCCCGGATTTCTCCTCACTTGGCACATTCCAGGGCTGCCGTGACATGTGCAGCCCCACCTGGGCGCAATGACGGCCGACCCCCGCATCCACGTCCTCTCGATCTATCCGGCTGTGTGGGTGTACGGATTACGTCTCGGTGTCCTGGAACATGACATGGCTTGGCTGCTGGTGGGCGGCGCGGGGCACTACCCCAGACTGTGTGTTGAGCGTCTTGTCAAGACAGGTGTGGCCTTGCGACAAAGGACGTCAAGGGTCCTCGGGAACTTTAGTGGCGCAGGATAGCACGCTCGCCCAGCAGAACAGCGCCCCCTCAACAGGCTTAGGCAAGAGCCTAGGACAAGTCACGGTGCGGTGGGGTGCGGAGCGGTGCGGGACGGTGCTGCAGCGCAGTGCAGTGCAGTGCAGTGCTCTGCGCTGCGCTGCGCGTGTGGTGAGGCGGCCGGGTGCCGAGAGGGCGATCCCCAAGCGAAGAGCGGCCCTCGCTGCGGGTTCGCGACCCCACATGGCTCAACCCCAAAACCTCATCTCATCTCCATCCATCCTCTCGACACTTGCGCCCACAAGGGCTCTCCGCCTTGAAAAACCCCCCTGAGCTTCAGCTTCCCAGGACCGCCTTTCAGCATCACGGACAGCGCATCCCGTGGCAGAACAGATTCCCAGACGTCGTGTTCTTCCTTTGCACCTAGGTCATCGTCAGCCGCAGGGGCTCAGGCGCAGAACACGACCACGCCCAACTGTGGAGCGTGACCAGGGGACGGCCTTTCCACTTGATCCGCTCTCAACCGCACAGTCCGCCTTCACTGAACACTCCACGGGACATCTCTCACGCAAGCTTCTGACACCGCGCCGGCCGCAAGGCCCCTTGTTGCGAGCACGTCTTCATTTTCTAGCTGCCCAGAGACGTCTACTGGCTTTGGCCCAGCTCCGCATCACTCCTGGCGCCATCTTCCTTGCCCGCGTGAGGCCCCCGCGCAGCCGGCGTCGGCGGCGCTCACCTCATCGACGCCATGTCGGAGTCCGAGACTGTTCCCATGAAGGTCATCAAGGTGGCCTCGGGCGCGCAGAGCCGCATTGCGCAGGCCTGCGACCGGTGCCGCTCCAAAAAGATTCGCTGTGACGGCATCCGGCCTTGCTGCACACAATGTGCCAATGTCGGCTTCGAGTGCCGCACCAGCGACAAGCTCAGCCGCCGAGCCTTCCCCAGAGGATACACCGAATCACTCGAGGAACGCGTGCGCCAGCTCGAATCCGAGGTCAAGGAACTCAAGGATCTCGTGGATGAGAAGGAGGAGAAGATCGACATGCTCTCCCGGATGCACAGCCAACGGAAGGCCTCCATTGCGTCCACCACCTACAGTCCCCAGGTTTCCACAGACTCGCCCTCAGACCAGATGCAAGTCAGCAAAGATGACACGTTCCGTGTCAAGAACTCGCCAATCCTGCTCGAACTAGACAACGCCGAGTGCCGCTTTGTCGGGCCGTCCAGCGGCTATTTCCTCATGGGTAATTCACATCGAGTACGACCCAGCTTACGTACATACTGACCACGTTCAACGTAGAAATGCTCAAGTCTCGACTTCGGGATAGTGGGCGCCAAGTGCCAGAGTTTGAACCACAAGCCTATTTGCACGTCAAGGATCACGGAGGCTTGTCTGACGAACTTGATGAGGACAAGCCCCTACCACCGATACCACGCTTATTCTCAGACAAGTGTGTCAACATTTACTTCCAAGAATGGGCGCCGTTGTTCCCCGTACTGCACAAGTCGACATTCCTTCGCACATATGAAGAATTCATCGTCGACGGGGAGTCAATCAAGGACAACCACAAACTCGCACAACTCTATCTTGTCTTCAGCATAGCAGCTTTGTCCGCCGGCACCACCGAGCTCGAGCTCGTTGCGTCGTGTGAGCGAAAGTGGCAGCTTGCCATCGACGGCATCATCATGGACAACAGCATGGCTACCTTACAGTGCCTCGTACTTGCCCTGATGAACTGTCAGCTCCAGGCGAACCACAAGCGCATGCAGTACTACAAGGGAATCGCCGTCGGCATGTCGCACCGCTTGGGTTTGCACCAGGGTCAAAAGGCCTCCTCGTTCGGATCATTGTCAGTAGAGACACGGAAAAAGGTCTTCTGGACACTATACACTCTGGATTGGTGCGTCCCCCCTTCTGCAACCTCTTTCCTCACTCAAGCGCACTATTAACAATTCGTTTTGTAGCTTTTCTGCCGCGAGAAGTGGGCTGCCAAAACTGTTGAACGACGACGACGTACATGTTGACTACCCCTTTGACACTGATGATGAATACATAACAGAGAGTGGATTCCAACCAACACTCCCAGGGGAGATCACAAAATTGTCAAGCGCTCTGGCGCTCTTCAAGGCATCGCGAGTCTTATCCAAGGTTTTGGTGGAGCTCTACCCGTCGTCTGCGTCACACGAGATATCTTTCCAGCAGATCTCGGCATTGGACGCGGAGCTGCTTGAGTGGAAGAACAATCTACCGCCACATCTGCGGCTCAACATGACTGATGACAAGTCTCCGACCGATGCCACAAGCAGCCGTTCCCCAATCTTGGTATGTTGACACTGATGCCGGAATCCGTATGTGTGCGCGCATACTAAACTCCCCATATAGGCTCTGGCTTATTACAGCATACGCACTTTGATTCATCGCCAGGGCTTCGCCTCAAACATGGCTCCTAAAGCTGCGTCTTCCGGCATTGCTGTCAGTGAATGCGTCAAGCACACCGTGCAAACCATCAAATTGCTGGACGAGCGGGGCCTGTCGTTTTCTTTCTGCTTCAACAAGACGGACACCATGGTCATCGCATTCTTTACGCTTTTATACCTAAGCTTGGACGTTCACCCGGACAGCAAGATGATGAAGGCGTTGGGACGTGTGACTAGCGTGGTCCTCGAAATGCTCATCAGGCACAACATCACAGGCATCCTGCCGTTACAACAAGCAGCCTCCCAGCTGGTGCCTCTCCGCAGCACAACAACTCGTATCAGTTCACAGCCTCCAAGTCCGGCTACAATTACGAAAGCCACTCAACCACGTGGTTCTGTGTCACAGCTGTCACCCAAGAGCACAAAGCAGCGAGGAGCGGGTAATGGCACTGACACAAAGTCGTCCACACAACAGAGCCGGCCTCGGCGCGTGACCATGTCGAACGATAATGGTACGCTGCCCAGGGTTGAGCCAGCCACACGAGGGTCCCTGGATCTTGGCATTTTCGAGAACCCAGTCGTTGAAAGTCCGGAAAATTCGTCGGGATCCATCGTCCCAAAGACCATCCGCTCTGCATCGGCACGGACTGCCAGACCAGGCCTTGACTATTTGTCCTTTGACCAAAACCCGACCAATGCCCCAACAGGTGTATCGCCTTCCGTAGCATCTTCTACATTGCAGCCGCAAGATCTTACAGCATCGCATCAGATGTTCATGGGCAACGACATGCCGACAAAGCCCAGACAGAGGGCAGACGTCTCGGTGTCTGAGTGGGAGGCCATCCTTGGGGCCATGGACGGCGGGCAAATCTATCACGCCATCTATGGCGGCGGCCCGTCCGTCTCCCCAGGCGATGTGCCTTCTTCGGCATCGAACACGGCGCCTTCCTGGTCGCCTGACGGGTGGGATCTGTCAGGTTTCCAGATCAATGGTGACATGGCTGCTGGGCCTCAGTCCGCAGATGATTTTGCAAACACCGATATGTTCGCGGGCATCACCACTGACGACTTTCACATGCATGCCCACAGCCACGGCCTTGAGGGCGGCGCTGTAGGCACGAGTATGGATACAGAGACCAATGTGTCATGGTCATATACCGACCCGTGGGATGCGCAGGCAACTGCCAGTGGGCACTAGCCTGGGCCAGTAAATGAGATCTTGCTAAGACGCAATGTCTGTTGCTACGAAGGACATGAGTGTGGCGGGATACTCTGTGTCACTGGCCGGAACTGAGAAATGATTTTGGCGTTGGCGGGCATGGAGGCGGTGTTTGCCTCTGTATATACATTGTTTCGAGGCGCAGTGTCAGTTTTGAGGTTATCATCATGACTTGGGAAGCTGGTGATGGGCGACGGGGCCAGGAGTTTTGGGTTAGCATAAACAGGACGGCGCTGGCATTGTCTGGGTTTGGGGAGGGGATGGGTGTGTGCTTTGAGGCCTTCCGCCGTCAGGCTTCAGCCTTGCCGCCTGACGCAAAAGGCGGGACAATTGAAATCTGTATTCTGGTTTCACGCTGGAAGGGGCATTTGTCGAGGAATGATGCAATTGTGCGCCAATATTGAGCGACCGGCGTGCGAGCTGAGGACTGGCGCAGTCACGTTGCAGGCGTCTCAGTCACCGGACCAGCCACGACATGTGGGCACGGGGTCAGGAGCGCGGGCATAACGTGGACGGCCAGCGTGTAAGCCCGGCATGACCAGGAAGACTCTTGAGCTTTTGGTCAAGGGTCATGAACTGTCCCTGGCGGTGTGTACAGGCTCCATGGATGCTTGTCTCAGGCCTGGAGGGCGCTTCTTGCAGCAGCGGCGGCAGGTGGGGCGCCCCGCATCGCCAAGGTGCCTGGAGTGAGTGACCTCCGCAACGGACTTGCCGCCTTGCAAGGTTCCAAGGTTGCCCTGGTGCTCGCCGCTAGCTCCGGTCAAGCATCGCCCGCGCCACCGCTAACACCCATAACGCCGGGTTCGGGGTCTTCCTGTGTCCCAAAACGCGTACGCATCGTCAATGTCCTCGCGGCGATTGCAGCTGCGCTTCTCCTCTTTCCTCCTATCCCCATGGCCTGAGACTGCACCCTTAGCCCGCTCGGTCTTTTTTTCCGACCTCCTCGCGCCATTCTGCATCTGTTTATTGACCCCTTTTGGCCCTTCAAACTTGCTTGGGGCAACTCGCCATGGAGCCCAGTTCCTTGTAGCCCTTCCCCGTATGAGCTCTTTTCTAAGCCGTCCCTTGTACCTAGAAGAAATCGTCACCCGTCACCTAGAGACGATCTCGCCATGACCATATCCGCATCCTCCACCCGCGGCGAGTCGACGCCGTTGCTTCAGCCAAACTACAACACCACCACCAAATCCTCGTGTGAGTCTGCCTGCCCTGGAGGGCCCCGGCCGAGGCTAGTGCCTTTCTCTAAACTCGGCGTCCACAGCAGCTTTTGGGGGTGGCGACAGGAACCTCATCCCCCTAAAATCGAGCGATGATGGTTCTCTGCCGCTTGCGATCGCGCACCGGGGCTACTGTGCTGTAGCCCCAGAGAACTCACTGCTGGCGTTCCGCAAGGCCGTGGAGGTCGGTGCCCATGCGATCGAGACCGACCTGCACCTGTCAAAGGACGGCGTCGTAGTTCTCACCCACGACGCCTCTTTGAAGCGGACCTTTGGGCTCGACTCCAACGTGGCGGACCATGACTGGAGCGTCCTGAGCACCCTGCGGTCTATCAAGGAGCCGCACGAGCCCATGATCCGGCTGGTCGACCTGCTAGAGTACCTCACCACGCCCGGTCTGGAGCACATCTGGATCATGCTCGACATCAAGCGCGATGATGACGCGGAGGACCTTATGCGCAGGACGGCCGCTGCGATCGCCTCGGTCCCGTCCAAGCATGGGTGGAGCGACCGCATCCTGCTCTGCTGCTGGACAGCAGTCTACATCCGACTGTCCCGCAAGTACTTGCCGGCCTTCCCGCTGGCAAACGTCACGTGGTCGCCCTTTTATGCCGGGGCCGTCGCGGAGGCCGTGCCGGACGCGGCGCTGAGCGTCCACCGCCTGGCCCTCTACAGCCCCTTTGGCCAGCTGCTCATGCGCCGCGTGCGCCGCTCGGGGAACCACCCGCTGTACAGCTGGACGATCAACGAGGAGAGCTGGATGGAGTGGGCGATCCGCAGGCGGCTCGACGGCATCATCACCGACGATCCGAAGCTCTACCTCGAGGTCTGCAAGCGGTATCGGCGAGAGAGCGGGCTCCAGCGCGCGCGCCGGCGCTGGAGCCTGCACAACACCCGCCAGGCACTGCACGCGTGGTTCGAGGTGCTGTACTTCATCTGGGCGTTCTTCGTGGGCGGGCTCGTCGCCTTCAAGAAGGCTTTCAACCCTCGACTGGTCTCGGGGGAGCTGGGTGGCGACAGCTAGAATTTACAAAATCTCCGGGGAGGGAACCACTGCCATTTGCCATAGACGCCTAGCCGAGGTATATCATTAGACCCACGTGCTTGTCACGCGGCTGAAATTCAAGCTGGGGGTAGTTGGTGTAACCAGGCCTCGTGCTTGGCTCAGGCGTTAGCTTGTGTATCTCGAAATGTGTTGATTGCAGCTGCTGTGTGACGAACTGACTGAATGGGCCTCCGAGTCATCGTGGGGTGCATAGCTCGACTTTTGTCCTTTTGTGGCGGCATGGTTACACAAGACAAGACAGGTGACTTGCACAAAGTACACCTCAGCCACGTGCTCGTTTGCGAACAAAAAAGAAAGGGCACTACCACACCTGTGTCGTGACCAGCCAACCAGAGACATTTGCCAATGTGACTGGGTCATTCTTCCCCGATGGCGGCGGCACTGCGACGCCGTAAGTTTGATCGTATCATTTCATTATCATTAATCGTAAAACTTTTCTTCGTGGCTGATTCATCACACAGGAGTCTGGGATCATCTTCCCTCCCCCCCCCCCCCCCCCCCTAGGGCCAAAATCATGGCCCGACTTGAGCCACCAAGAAGACGGCATCCACGAAGGCGCCGGGGGAATTGCAAAGCCGTACCAAACATGGATCCAACATGACTTATACCAACGCAAACTCGTGCTGTATCGGTCATTTGGGATCGCCACCTGGACATTTCGTGGCAGGAATAGCCTGCCTGAGCAATCCGCAACGAGTCTGTTTTGTGCTCGTTGCTTTGATGCACCAGCCATGACCAGAAAAGCTTTCATGGTTCCCAAATGTCCTCTCCCCAAGCACTGCCGAGCTCTCCCTGGTCCTTTTCAGTGCATCTGGCCGTGCTGCATCAACGCCCACTCCACCGCCGTCTGGACATCCCGCGCGATGTGATCCGGCTCGTGAACGGGCTTGGTACCCGCGACGTAGATGCCTGTCTCGACGAGGATGCTCTTCCAGCTCGCACCGAAGCGCGAGCTGAACGAGTTGGCACCGATGATGTCGCTTTCCGGATTGTCGCCGATCATGTAGACGTGGGAGATGTCGCGGCGACGGCGGGAAGGGGCAGTGGTGGGAGCTGCTGCTGCCGGCTCTGCAGAGGTGGTGGTGTCACCGGCTTGTGTCTCGTCGGCAGCAACAGCAGACTGAGTGATATGCTTGATCTCTTTGCTGTCGTAGTCATCGTCGTCGTCATCGCCATCCGTCGCTCGCGCAGCCTCCTCAAGCTCGTCCTGGAGCCTTTCGTTGTACGCCTGTAACACCCGCTCGCCATAGACATACGTCCTGTCCGTCGGCTTTCCGTAGATTGTGTACTCGAGCCTGACCCCTTCACCACCACCAGCCGCGGCGTCCCGAGTCGCAAACCTCCAGACCCCCTCGAGCGCCTCGCGGAACGCGCCCTGCGCGAACCGCGGGTGCGGGTGCGAGGTCGCCCACTCAAAGTCCGGGTTGCAGAAGAAGAGCTTCGGCTGGCCGTCCTGCAGGTACCCGCGGTTCGGGAGGGTCTTGTCGCCGTTCTTGGGCGAGCGCCTGCCGCCGACCACGCCGCCCTCGGAGAGCAGCAGGTCCGTGACGATCTGCAGGTCGAGGCACCAGTCGCGGGGCGAGCTGAAGACCAGGATGGCCGAGATCCTCGTGGAAGCGGTGGCAGTGGCGGCAGCAGCAGCAGCTGCTGCTGCTGCTGCTTCTGAGCGGGTAGCCTTGTCGTTCTTGTCGTCCCCGTGGCCTTCCGTGTTTGTGAGCAGCGGCCGGCCGTGCTCCGCGTGGTGCTGCCTCGTCATCTCGGGGAACGGGTGCACGCTGTCCTGCCAGGCCATGATGTCGGACGACGTCACGACGCGGCGGAACCCGTACGCCAGGGCCAAGTTGCGGACGGACTGGCCGCTGCCCCCGAGCGCGAGGATCGTCTGGTCGCGGTACTCGGCCACGAGGTCGCGGAACGGCGTGTGGGACTGGACGAACTGGGCCTCGGTCAGCATGCCGGCTGGCAGCGAGAGGCGGTCGCCGAGCTGCGCGACGTGCGCCGCCTCGGTGTGCCCGCCGCCGTTGGTCAGGAGGATAAACGGGATCTTAAGGGCGTGCAGCTTGAGCAGGGCCTCACGTGCTCCTGGGACGGGCGTCTTGCCGCGCATCAGCACGCCGTCAATGTCGAATGCGAAGGCGACGGTCTTGGCCTCGGCCTTCGTGGTGGCGGCGGTGGTGCTGGTGCTGAATGGTGTGAGCGTCTGCTGGGAGTTGGAAGAGACGCTAGTGACCGAAGAAGACTTGGGCTGGGTCTGGCCCTGATTCTGAAGCTGATCCTCGCACAGCGGGAGGACAGTGACGGCAGTGTCGCTGCCATTGACATGATCATGCTTCTCCAGCCGATTCTCCTCCTCGTGGCCGTGGCCGTGGCCGTCAGCATCATCGTCATCACCATTGATCTCTCGCACAGCAATGCTCGGGAGCACAACATCCTTGAGCTTCTCCGTGACGAGTGTGGCAGAAGCCTCATTGGCTGTGAGCATGGCGACCTTATTCTTCTTCTTGTTGTGGTTGATGGCCATGTCATTATCATCAGACAAGATACAGATCGTGCTGCTGCCATCCGTAGTCTGCTTATCGTCGTCCCGCACAGCGGCCGACGCAGTCGCAGTGGCCACCACGGTCTCGCCGTTGCTGGTGGTCATAACAACACTGGCAATGCTTCCGCCTCGAGGCCTGCTGCCGGTGACGACGACGACGTCGACGATGCCGCCACCTTCGTCGCAGACGTGGATTGGTGCCGTGTGCATTGTGTCAAAAGGGTTGAGTTGCCAAGAATTACCCCCGACGACGTAGAGAAACGAGGGCGGTGGTGGCAGTGGTGGGCTTTTCGTCGAGAGTCGTCGTCGACGTCAAGGTTGCGAGCTGAGTATGCTCTCGAGTGAGCAAGCACAAACTTGTCCCCAGTTGTCTTGTGGTACAGAATTCAGAAAAGCTTTGGTTGTGTGTGTTGCTGAGGCCGTTGTGAGTGGATCGTGAAGTCTTGCGTCACAAGCAAAAGACTTGCTTACCCGCTATGAGCCGCGAGGAAAGAGAGATATATCTCGCGCGTGGTGCCCTCAAGGCCAGATGAGTGTAACAGGCTCGCAATGGGTCGGCGCCTTGAGACGTGCAAGAGCGACAAAAAAGGGGCGAGGCACACAAAGAGGCCGCACAGCGACGGGGAAAAAGATCTAGCCAGCCCTTTGCGAGGTGTTTGTGGAAACGAATGGGCCTGCACTTTGTGTGAACAACAACCTCGGGAGGCACGGACGAAGGCAGAACAGGTATTGAGCGCTGCCGGTTGCTGTAGTTTTCAGCCGCAGCCCAGCAAAAGAACGAAACCTCCGATCCCTCGATTTCCCAAGCGGATAATCATTCCTGAGTTCCTCAAGAGCTTCGCGGCTGGCCTCTCTATTCTCCGGATACTGCCATATATCTTATCCTCATCATTGGCAGCTCTTTGACCAAAGGGCAAACAAAAAGTGAAAATAGCCACCACTGATCATATCGCGTTACCGATGAGCAGCAGAATTGTTCCATCCCTCGGCGGCATGCACAATCAGGATATTTGATACACAGTCCACGTTATCAGCGGGGCATCTTGCTTGGAACCCCTGTTCAAACTCAAATTCAAAGTCGAGAGACATCTCGTCATCAAAGTCACACAATGAAATGACTAAGTCTCTCCACACATGAATCTATATTTGATGTATGCTAAGTCGTGACCTCCAGCAACCCCCTTGGTATCTATCTCGCCTACAGTCCCGTGCAGGCACGCGTGCGGTGCTGTCTCTGGGACCGGGCAAGGCCAGGATATGTATGAAACGTGAATGGCTACTGGGGGATTGTGGATCTAAAAATGGGGTATGATGCTAGGCTAGTCTCTTGATCAGGCTTGCAGAGACGGCCTCCTGTTATGCTACATGTTTTGTGTGTCTTTTGTTTGGAGGGAAAGGACATGCCCCAGTTTGACGGAGCAACACTGGCATGTTCCAGTTGTTTGTTGCTGATTGTCATAGCTTGAAATGACTCTTTGAGGATTCTCAACGGTTCTATGCGCGGCGGCTCATGGCCACAGTTGCACTGGCGGAAGCAAGATCCTGTTTGCCGCTAGCAGTCCTCCCCGTGACGCGCGGCAGCCCACTACCTGTAGCAGCAGGCGCAATGGCACCAGTGCCAGTGCTCGTGCGCTTTGTGAGTGAGCCTCCGAGAGTGCCAGTGACAGCTGATGTCCTTCTTGTGCTGCCAGATACGGGTTTGTGGGGACTGATAGGAGCGGACGTGTCTCGCGGGCGCAGGATCGTGTTTGACTTGGCGGCGGCCGGTGGTTCGGGTAGTGGGCGAGGTGTAGATATCGTGTTGTGGCGCTTGATGGGCGACGCGTCCCGCGCTGAAACCCTCGGAGGAGGTACAGATGATTTTCGGCCAGTGATGAATTCGTGGTGGATCGCCTCATCCGGTTTTAACCGGCGATCTGGATCCCAACGGAGGCAACGAGCCAGGAAGTCAATGAAAGCCTCATCATCGCACTTGATCGCTTGTTGCAGAGTCTTCGAAGAAGGTCGCCGCCTCCTGCCCTTTGACGATACGGTAAGGCGGGGCTTGCCCATAGAGTCAAAGAAGAGCTTCTTTCTGGTGCTCTTCTCGATCAGATGCTTCTCGGGTGGCCCAAAGACCTCCATGATGCATGCAAGCTGTTCCTGCTCGTTCTCGCCCGGGAAAATTGGCACGCCAGTGAACAGCTCCGCAAGGATACAACCCAGACTCCACATGTCGATGGGCAGGCCGTAGTTCATGCCAAGGATGACCTCTGGCGACCGGTAGAATCTTGACTGGATATACGTGTAGACCTTTTCGCTTTCAAAGCAACTGGACCCAAAATCGATGACCTTGATTTCGGTATGCATAGGATGACGAATGAGGATGTTTTCTGGTTTCAAGTCACAGTGGATGACCTTCTTCTGCTGCAAGAGCACCAGCGAGCTCAGCATCTGTTTGGTAAATCTGCGGATGAGTCTCAGGGAGAAGCCACGGAAGGAGTTCGCTTTGATGAACTCGTAAAGATTCATGTCCAGCAGCTCGGTCGAGATGCAGAGATGGCCACGGAAATAGAAGCTTTGGGTAAAGTTGACCATACTGTGACGGTTCTTGGGGTCCTGCGAGTTTGTTAGCTTGTAAAAGGGCCTGCACGTTCCATCAAGTCCACGTACCCATTCGCGCAGCTTCTGCAGAATATCGACCTCGACGAGGGCCTGCTGGTGGAACCGCTTTTTATTGCGGATGATCTTGACGGCGACGAGCGCGCCGGTCTTGTGGTCGATGCATCTTACGACTTGTCCGAAACTTCCCTTGCCAAGAACGTCCACAACTTCGTAGCGGAACGACAAGTGATCACCGACGACAATTGTATAGTCGCCGCGGTCGTCATCGTACCCAAAGTTGGGAACACTCGAATTGAGGTCTCCTTGTACCTTGCTGGCGTTCTGCGTGCCGCAAAAGTAGATGTCAGGGTAGTCGATGATTTCTCCTCGTTCATATATGTTCAGCATGGCAATTCTAATTGCCTCCTGTGGCCCAACGCGTTCCTTGGGCGTAGCACGTTTCCGCAGCGCATCGAGTGTCCTGGCTGCAAGCTCCGTCTCCTTGCGTCGCAATGCCAACTTTCTCATTTCCTCTTCGGCTACGTGATCGTCCTTGTCCATATCGTTGGCAGAGTATAGCTGTTGTTGCTGCTTGACCGATGCAGCGGAGCCACGGGGTCGCAGAAGACGTTGCATGCTTGATGTGCGCAGCCCTGACACGGCCGTCTCGGTGCTCACGTGAGTGGTGCCGTCATTTTTCGATAGCGCATTCTTCAGGCTTGTGGTCGAGCTCTTCCTGCGCCTTGAATCCAGGTAGCTGATTGATGACTTGCTCGCGTGGCTTGGGCTGCCACTCTTCATGGTGCTCAAGTGCATGGTCGCCGAGACCGGTATTCTAGGCGGCGGCATGCTCTCTTGCCTTATACCTTGGTTGGCAGACTTGTCGATAGAGCCTGCCGGAACATGCATACTGCTCTTCGAGGCACTTCGCTTCCATGAGAGACTGAGCTTTCTCCGCAACGAACTCATCGAAGATGGTGTCGGGGGCTCCTCCGGGGTCTTGGACGGCTGTACTGGCGGTGCCGGCTCGTCTGTTGTCTTCGTTGGTGGTTTAAGATCACGAGGGCCAGTGGGCTTCTGCTGCGGCCTCAAACCTGCCGACGTGGTGTCGATGGCGATGGTCTGGTTCGCTGCATTTGAGAAATCTCTTCTTTGCATGTGGCTTGCGAAGAGCTCGCCATTACTCTTGGGTGCAGAAGACGAGAGGAATGGTGACACAGTCACCTTCCTGATCGAATCTTTGTCGTCCAAGGAGTCGTAGTAGCTGGTCGTGTCCTCACCACTAGGACCACTGGGGCTGTCCAGGTGATTCCCTCCAAGCATTGAGCTGCTGCGTTGCTCTTCCGACTCGACCTTCAGATCAAAATCCATGCGGCGGCTAGAGAAGAATGTGCTCTTCGAAGCCGTCATGGGTGTGGTGGGGGTCTTTGCCACTGCGCGCAGAGTGGGCGATCGCGGCCAACCTGCCTTGCCATCTGGCTGCTCGTGCAGAGCCGCAATCTTGGCGGCTGTAGGAGTGCTGAGGGGGCCAAGTGTCAGAGGAGGCAGAGCGAGCGGCTGCAGGCTCTTCCTTGCCTGTGGCGTGCTAGGCTTATCATCTTGATCGGACGAGGCCGCAAGCGTGGACTTCTGCGCGGCCCGGCCTTGTATGCTTGGCTTGCGTGCTGTCGCCGCTGCAGAGGGCTGCAGCGAAGAAGTAGATTCGACTACAGAAGGGTTAGGGGTAGTGCGGGTCGAGCTACTATGGACACTGCTTGTATCAAATGGGAATCCCGATTTCCTCACGTCAGTTCCAAACGAGGCTTCGCCCGGTGACGCTTTGGGTGACTCATAGGCTTTCGGGATTGCTGGCACTGGAGGCACATCTTCGTCTGTTTCGCCGCTTGGTTGTGAATGGGACACGAGGGTTTTCGGCGCAGGTAGGCGCGATGCTGAACCGGAAGCCGGGATTCCCCTGTTAACAGACCCTGTCGACGTCCTCTGCGTGTTGATACTTGCGGCAGAACCCATGGACAAGCCAGAACTGTATGACTTGCGGTTGCTGACATCTGGTGTTGTCCGCGAGCTCGATGGCGTAGACGACTTTCGCGGAATCAGAGATGGGGATCGCGATGTGCCTCGCAGCTCGGCGACTTGTTGCGGAGGAATACTGGCCACTTGTGGTATGCTTTGCCCGGGGTGGGTTGAGATCCTTTTCATCCTCTTCACTTCTGTAGGCGAGATTGTCCTTGCTCCAAGTCCAGTAGCGTGGGTGCCATGTGCATTCGGCATCACGGAAGCTCTGCGACCAGATCCGGGTGTGCTAACCTTTGTGTTGTTTCGCGGCGACCTCGGAAATGCCGTCGAGGTGCGATTTCCTGTCGGAGTGAGGGACTTGTTGATGCTGGTTGCCGTTGGTTCTGCAAAGTTGGCAGTCGAGAGACGTGCGGGCGGCTGTACCGACCGGGCCTTGGCAGTCCTTGATGAACTTGACAGTGTTCTCGAATGGTCACTTCCATGGCTGCTCGTGTAGCTGTCAAGGGAGATGCGCGGATTGTCCATGGGAGCATCTGAGGCGTTGGAGATCAGGCTGGGTCGCCGCTTCTGCGCCATCCTATATTCTGTCTCGAGAACGCCCGGCCCTATGGATTTCCTCGGTGGCTTGACAATATTGGAGCTAGATACCGGTGGGTAGTGGCTCTGGCGCCTTGAACGCATCGACGAGGCCGGCATGATTGGGGGATCCATGTTGCCGAAGGAGGAGGACGTTGAGATGTTTGAGCCCACGCTGACCTGCCTACTCGAAGTGCTTGGTCGCCGCAGGATCGAACCCGACCGGCCGGGACGCGTGGGCTGGTCTGCTGGTGGCTTCTGATGGATGGCAATCCGAGTGGTGTTGCTGCTACCACCAGTGTGGGTGGCGGAAGGATGCTGAGAAGCCATCGTGGAGCCAGAGGGCCGGTCGTCGGGGATGATGCTGCCGTGGCCGGTGGGCGAAGGAAACTGCGTCAACCTGAACTCGGTTGAGGCGGACTCGAGACTGCTCTGGAGGTCATCGAAGCTCACAGACGGCAGGAAGTCGAAGGAGGATGGCTGATTGCTCGACTGAGCAGGGGCCCCATTCCGACCAAAGGAGAAGAGGGAGTGGTTATTGGAGGATGATGCATGGAGCATTGGGTCGTTGTTGTCGCTCGGAGCTGCAGAGATCCTGTTGGCGGTCTGCTCATTGGTCCTGCGAGATGCGATAGGACAAGGTCAGCTCATGCCAGCATGATGTGATGCACGACGGCCACGACATTTCAGGAGGGAAACGTGAATGCCCAGGGGCAACGGTCAGTGTGGAGAGGAACGAAGATGGACGCACGATCGCACAGACGGGCGTGACTGTGTTGCTGGTCGGGGCCCAGCAGGGATCTGGACCTCTCTGACCATAGAGGACGAGCCACTGGCCAAGGAGCGTGGACGAGGATGCGGTGCGCCAGACAACGTCGTCGAATGCTGTGACCACTGCCCTTGCTGCCGCTGGCTGCTTCTCCTGGACGACGACGCCGACTGCGGGCAACGTGCCTGCGGCCACAGATCTCAGGTCAGGGGAGGTAGCGAGAGGGAGAAGGCAACGGGGCGGAGCGTCGCGGCTCTGCGCGTGGGGGAGAGCCGAGTTCGAGAGGACGGTCGGGAGGTGGATCGCTCAGTCCGGTCAAGGAGCTGAGGGCAGTGACGAAGCTACCGCATTCCGTGGCGCGACAAGGACGGATTGGGCGGAGGGGATGTGGCAGGCGATGCGGCGAGAGGCCGTGTGCGAGACGTGCCGGCGTGACTGGCAAGGTCGAGGTTTGAAGTCGAGATTGAGTCGAGTCGAGGTTTAGTATGGTGGTGTCGTGCCGTGTGGGCTCGAAGGGGGCGCCCAATTGAGCCGTCAAGGGGTCGCTGGGCGAGCAAGTGGTGCCCGCAGTCCTGGGCAGGCAGGCAGGCGGCTGGCCAATGTTTGCGGCGGTTGCGGTCCCTGGGGGTTTGGCGGCCCTTTTTTTCGAGCTGGCCCGTTCCCGGCCCTGCCATTAACCCGGGCCAGGCTATCGAATTACTACGGCAAAGCCCAGCGCTGCCGCGTTTTTTGCTGGGTACAGGACGGGCAGCAATTCACTTTGAGACCAAGCCCGACACTGGGCCTGGCTGATTGTGATGGCGCTTGGGGCATGCTCCGGTCCTCCCCTTGAGCCAGCTTTGGCTTCTGGACTGTGACGTTGAGGTGAGGAGCTCTGGGGGCGAAGACAAAGTACATCACACAAATGCCATTATTACAGAGGGCGTACGTAAGTGTATCCAAAGCAGGGGAGCCGGCTGTTGGCAGTAGTGTAATAGTAAAGCAGCAGACAAGCATGAGCAACAACAACAACAACATGAGTACCACCACTGAGCAGGCCTCGCGCGCGCCCGTGAAGCCTGCCAGTTGCAGCACGCTGTCGATATTAACTTGGTACACACGTTCGGACGGAATGGGCCACTACTGTACCGGTGCCCAGGTGCCCCGGCCATGTCCTCGGTCCTCAGGGGCAGATGGGGGCCCGCCAACGATGGACCTGGCTCCATCAAAGGGTTGCTGTGTGGAGACGAGCGCGCCGCTTGCAGTCGTTCGTGTTGCGTGATTGCGCGCTTCTGCAGGGGCTGCATGTCATAATCAGATGGCCCCAAGGGCAGGTGTTGCACAATATCTCCTTGGGACAAATCCATTGTGCTTGCCGGTGGACAACAGGACGGACGGACGGGCCGCGTGACTGACTATACTCTGCCTGTTGACTATTGTCACGACGCCTGTCCGGTGACGACGCACTGCCAGTCACCACACCACGCACCTGCCCCTCCCCCCCGGCCAGTCTGGTGGTTTGTTCCCACAGCGACACATTGGTTTGGAGACGACGGATTGATCGACAGCCACTCAGACACGCCGTAGCACCTGTCGTTGCATTGCTGCTCTCCCCCCCACCTGCCAATCAATCACGGTCGGCAGGGCCATCAGATGGAGTTCCCCAAGCAACCAGACAGGACCCTTGCTTTTCCTGCCAAAACATCACCTCCCGCACGACGTAATCGTCAATGCGGGCGTCATTCCGCCCGCGCACCCACAAGCGGCATAGCCGGCAGTCTTGGAATGTGCGTATGGAATGACTGGGATGCAAGTGGACGAGGCGAGCATTCGCTTAGATGTCGTGCAGACGGGGTCAAATCGATTGGCCGGCAATCAGAAGCATGCCGTCTCTAGGATCCAACCACAATGAAAACAATATGCTTCATCCCTGGGTGACGTTGGAAGAACGAAGACCTCAGTAGTTGGCAAATAAGAAGCAGCCAGCACGAGACCCAGGGGCTCAGATGTTGATTTTGTGTCTGAAACGTCATGTCTTAGCGGCCGGCGCAATCTGCGTGCCATCACAAAACGGTTGCTATACATACTTAGGTATTTAGCGTAAGCATATATGGTCTTCCCTGTGTGGTGCCGAATTCCGTATCTAGAAAGTGACACTTGTAACAGAGAATGCGAAAGCCCCAAGGGCCGCGCCATGAAGGCTCACGAGCAGCGATGGTTGGTCCCGTTGGCTTCAGACCACCCACACACTTAAGCGAAGGAACTGCAAATTTCGGCACGTGGTGATATTACTACACTTTTCGTACAAATTTGTGATACAAGAGGCTCAAAGTGCGTGGGTAAGCACCAAACTAAGTACAGTTCCAAACACCCTGGATCCATTTGGCCGTGTGACCCTCCTGAGAAGGTCGTAAAAATCACACTTCCGTACACCCACAAGTCGAGGCAGCGGCCCCTTGCTTCCGTGGTAAGTGCAACGCATGCGGCTGCTCAGTCCTCGCCAAGCTTAGCCCTCACCTTTGCTACCGAGTCTGGCCATGTTGGTAAGTGGAGAGTAGTCGGCGATGGTGATGCTTCGTTGTCGCACTCCCCATGCTGCTTGAGAGTCCTCCAAGACGGGCCCAAGTAGAGCTTGCCTCCAGAACCTCATCCGTCACAGATCTTCCTCGTCCATCAAACGGACGTAGAGGACACCTCGCCTTCACTCATACGTCCATAAGCAGGCCAAAGACGAACAAAACCGTTTCAGCCAGTGACATCCTAATGGGAGAATCACAAAAACATCCGATAAATCCCCAACCATGCCAGCCCTGCTGACGTCGCCGCGATGCCAAACCTGCGGCTCATCATGCCGAACCGGGACCCGCTGGCCAGGATCTTGGCCTCCTGCTGCTTGAGCTGAGAGTTGCCCGAGTAGTAGCTATACGCCGCGAGGCCGAGAAATGCTGTGCCGCCTGTCGCGCGCAGAAAAGCAAAGAGACCATGATAAAATTAGTCGCGATTGCCCGATTTCGTATTGGACAGAGAGAGCTTATGTAGCCTCCCCGCGGAGAGACCATCGCAGTAACGCAACAGAGACATACCAGTGATCCGGCACGGCAGGCAATCCTCGCCACGGTCCCGCTTGAGCAGCTCGTGCACGCTCTCGGGCTTGTCGAGCGTGCCGACTGTGGGCACGCCGTTCGCCATGGGGCGGAGCGGTGTCTGTGTGTCTTTATACAAGCTATCGGGAGGGTTGAACGACCAGAGGGCGTTGCGTTGGTGGTTTGGCTCATGTGATGGTTTGCGCAGGTCGAAAAGTGTGGCCGTCTCAAGCACTTTACTAAGAGGTCGGGTGTGTCGGTGGCAGACCCACTAAAACCGTACTTTACTCCGTGGTATCTTACTGCTGTAGCATTGTCCTTGAATTGAAAAGCACAAAATCAGCAAAGGCATGGTAATTATTGAGCCGCGTCGGGTTTTGTTCAGCATGCAGATTATATACATTGGCAATGCAAGAAAAAATTGAACAGCCGTCGCTCCCTATGTAATGCAGTACACACAAGCCCGAGCACCACCTCACAGCTTGAAGTTGCCACTCGAGACAGCGCTCGCGCCCTTGGCCTTGTTGCCGTCCATGTCGACAACCTCGCCCTTCTTGTTGATGACCTTGACGCCGGCCTTCCTGAGGTCTCCCAGCGTGTCCTTCTTGGCCTGTGCCTTGGCGCTCTTTGGTTTCTGGTTGCCCACCGGGCCGCTCTTGCGGATCCGCTCCTTCTCGCGTCTCCGCCGGCGAAGCTTCTCTTCCCGGCTCATCTCCTCCCGTGCGACTGGCAGGCCACTCTTTGCCACGACCTCGCCCTTCTCGGCAGTGTCCTTGCCAGCCTTGTAGATCTCCTGAGGCGCGAGAGTCTGGTCACCGCCGCTGACACCCTGTGCTGTCGCGGGCTGTGCGTCCTCCATGCTGATAGTGGCCACATCAGACACGACCGTGAGCGACGGCGCGGCAGCCTTGGGCCTGTAGTGCCAACTGCTGAGAGCGTCGAGCTTTCCGCAAACTTCCTTCCACATTTGCTCTACCTCCTTCTCCTCTTTCTTGAGCTTCTCGTCAGACTTGCTGACATATGTGTCCGGGTTGGAGTCCTTGACGGCCTGCTCCTCGTAGATCTCAGCCAGACTCTGTTTGTTCTTACTATCGTCGACATCGACAAGACCACGTCTTGTAGGCTGACCAAACTCATCCGAACCAGGCCTCCGACGGATGACTTCATCGAATTCTTGTGATAGGATGCGCCGCTTGATCATGTCCTCAATGCTCTCACTGACAGCAGCCGTGATGACAGGGACGGGTTTGCCGACGTGCTCAAAGTCCAGATCCTGCTCCAGCAATGAGTTCATGGGGCGATCAGCGGCCTTGGCCTCGCCAGCCATGGTCCATTCACGCTTGGCGACATTGGCCGCCTCGAGCTTGCGGATCTCCTCTGCGAGTTTGGCCTCGCGACGCTCGTGAGCCGACTTTCTCGATCGAGGATCGCCAGCAGATACATCTGATAGGGCATCGTCGGAGTCTTCTCGTTCGGACTCGTCCTCGAACAGATCTCTCCGGACGTCGGCCATAGCTCTCTCCACATCTTGGTCGTCTGGCGCTGATGGGCGGCTTTTGGGTTTCCGGGGCTTCTTGTCCTTGGAGCCCTTCCTTTGTGGAGGTGCGAAAAAGTCCTTATAAAAGACATCGTTCGCGTTGAGGTCGTCACCATCTTCCATTTCGTCCTCGAAATCCTCCTCGTCACTGGCGCCCTCAGGAGCATCAAGATCCATGTCGCCAAATGTCGCACCTCCAAGCTCGTCATCGTCATCATCATCCTCCATGTCTGACGGCATCCCGTCCTCGTCGCCCTTCTTTGGCTTTTTGGAGGCCGCTGGCTGAGCAGACATAGGGTCGGCGTGCCAGTCAATATCCTCGTCGTCGCTAGCCTGGTCTGTGTTGGGGTCGGCTTTGGCGTCTTGAGCCTCGAACCATTGTGTCTGCTTGTTGAATGTGTCAAGACTGAAGAAACCGTCGTTCAGTCCATCGGGATCCTCCTCAAACTCCTCTCCATCGTCCTCGTCCTCTTCACTATCATCTCCAATATCTTCTCCATCTTGCTCGTCGTACACGCCGTTGAGTTCCGATGTCTCGTTCAAATCCTCATCGTCTTCCACTTCTTCGGAGCCGTCCTCAAGGTCATCCTCGCCCGCTAGGTCCGAGCCAAGGTCTTCGGCGTCGGATCCCTCCTCCTCTTCCTCCGATAATTCCTCGTCAGACCCGACTTCAAAGCCGTCTTCGTCAAAGGCAAGTGTTTTTGACTCTCCGTTGACGACGGGGCCGCCGACCTCATTGTTCTCCTCGAGGTCTTGCAAAGCATCCCTGGAGTCTTGCAGGGTGCTGTCGATGATTCTGCGCGCCTGCTGCCATACTTGTCCACTCTCGAACCCGTCAATGTGCAACTTGCGGATCTTGAGCACATCAGCGGCACCGGCGCCGCCTTGCCGCTTTCGCTTCTTGTTGGCTTCTCTCACGCGCTCCTGCTGCTCGTCGCTGACCTGGGCGGCATAGGCATCCAAAGTGGCCTTTGCGAGCTGGAGCGAGGCATTCGGGATGGCGGGTGAGGCCTGAAGAAGGCCATGGCGGTTGCCGGAGCGAATTGTGTCTAGGAGGGCGAGCATCTCGGCTGCGCCCGTGGGCCGGGACGAGTCTGTAAAGGCGGATAGAAATGCGAGGGCCGGGGCACGCGTGGCAGTGTTGGAGGTCATGGACGAGTTTGAACTCCCTGCCATGGTTCCGGGCCGTCGTGGTGGCCGTGGTCTCGCTTTTGAGATTGAGGTTGGCGGCGGGCGAGGGTGGGAAGTGCTGGCGCTGAACCTTGAAGAACCAGGCTTGCACCTCTGCGCTTGCTTTCTCACGGGCCTGGGGAACGTGCCGCAGATCGAAAGAAAAAAATAAGCGGGACCTCACTGATAGCAAGACAGTCCCCACTCTCGATAAGTTGTTGGATAGCGTACTGTAGCCTGTCGCATCCCCGGGATCCACTTCAGTGGGTTGACGTGACGAGCAGCTCCCGCTCGCGGGGCAATGCGGCCCTGCTACCAATACCGCTTGCGACAAACATACCCCATTGCAAGCCCATATGAGCTTCTGCGTACGAAAGCCTATTCCTGTCGTTGAAGTGACTTGGGGCTGTTTTGCTACCGTACAAAGCAACCCTTGAGCACTCCAGGACCGTTCTAGGCCGAGCAAGACAACCCTCCCGCGGGGATGCCTCAGCAAGAGCCACGCCTACCATGAACGGAGCTATCGAGGCATTGCACATCTTTGATGAGCACAGGTGAGGCCGTCTCTTGACACACTTCTGCAGAGACCATTTTGCTAAAGCTCATCCAGACGGAGCCTCCTGTCACACACCTACACATCCCGACCACTCTCGGCGGCTCACCTCCTCCCGCTGTATCTCCAACACCCCAGTCCTCGGCCGAACGTAATATACCTGTCGAACACGAACCCGCCGACCCTCGTCTTCAGCTTGATACACGCAAACCTACTCTACCTCGCCACGACATCGACCGAGATAGAACCATTGCTCGTGCTCGAATTTCTCCACCGTGTCGTTGACGCTCTCGAAGAGTTCCTCGGAGCGCCAGTCCTGGCGCACAAGATCGAGGCGAGCTACGATGTCGTCGCACAGCTCCTCACCGAGATATGCGACGCCGGAACAGTCAGCACTACAGAGCCGAACGCCTTGAGGGACGTCATAGAGGTCGAGGGCTTGCTTGACAAGTTCCTGGGCAGCATCAATCTACCCGGAAAGCCGTCCTTTGCTGCAGCAAACACTCCAATGCCGTCCGTGCTTTCCCAAAACGCACCAGCACTGCCCTGGCGACGGGCGAATGTGCGTCATACTTCCAACGAGCTTTACGCCGACGTCGTCGAGACCCTATCGGTTACCCTCGCACCGTCGGGCCGGCCCATCGCCGCTTTTGCAAATGGCACGATAGCATTCACGTCAAAAGTCTCCGGGGTACCTGATATTTCAATGAACCTGACCGGGCCGTCTGGCAAGCATAATCTGAGCACCATCATGGACCTGCCCGTGTTTCACCCTTGCGTGCGACTGAGCAAGTGGAAGTCCAGCCCTGGCGAGCTCAGCTTCATCCCTCCGGACGGCCGCTTCACGTTGGCTGGTTACGAGGTGGACCTTCTGCCCTTGGCAGATGGCAAAGCCAGCAATTACAACCCGAACAGCCTGAAGCTGCCGGTCAGTGTTGAGGTCAAGACGGGATTAGGTACTACGGGATCCGATTTTGAAGTTCGTCTCAGCATCAACAAGGTATTTGGGGTGTCCGGGTCGATGGCGCCCGGGCTATCAAGCAGGCCAGGAGCGTCCGTGGGCAGAGGATTTGGAGGAGGGCCGCAACCGGGCACGGCCGCGTCGCCATCTCTGGAAGAGGTCACAGTCACGATACCGCTGCCGCCAGATGTGCGGAACCTGACGGACGTACGAGCGAGTCGGGGCGATGCCAACTTTAGCCCTGGTGACCAGAACATCGAATGGCACATCCCACAGAAGGAGCTCTCTATCGGCACATCACAATTCGTTCTCCGATGCTCTGTGGTGGGAAACCTGGCGGACGAGGATGAGGGCGACGATGAAGATGCGGACCCTGCCGGCTTTGGGTTTGGTAAGGACTACTCTTATGACGATGCATACCAAGCTTCGTCTGAGTCCAAGAAGGCACCTGAGAGTAAGGACAGCCGGGCAGATGCAGAGCGGGACGCGAGAAAGGTGGCGCAGAACAAGACGCTGATGCCAAGTTCGGCGTCCGTGAGCTTCTCGGTCAAAGGTTGGCTGGCGAGCGGGATCAAGGTGGAGAGCATCCTGATCGACACGCGCAAGAGCCGAGGTCTTGGTGAAGGGGTCAAGCCGTACAAGGGCGTAAAATACCTGACGATCAGCAAGGGCGGCGTAGAGATTAGATGCTAACAAGAATAAAAGACCAAGACTCGGATTCCCGAATGGGCAAACAAAACATGTCGAGAATGAGAATGTGCTGCTGCTGGCTGGCAAGAATCGGCGGCGGCGGCCCGCGATGGCCCGGGGGAAGGTGGGTCGTGGTGGAGCAGTTCCCCGTGGGCTCCCGAGGTCTTGCCCCGAGTGCCCGAGCTCTGTGCATCGTAGCTTCGGAAGTGAGCTCTCGTCTTCCGTCTTCGGCTGCCGAGCGCATTCAGGGTCCTTTCCCCCCTCCTCCTCGTCTTCTTCCGCCCTGCCTCGCGAGACGTTGTGTTCCTGGACCACCATCAAGACAAATCCGCACACGCCCCGACCATCACCAACAATGACATCACGCGCTGCTTCCCGATGATTGCAGCAATCCTCGATCCGCCGTAGCTACGACCAGCAGCAGCAGCAGCAGCGTCTGTTCCCCCCCCCCCCCTCCTCCCCCGCCAGCACCTGTGGTGACGATGATTCGAACACTCGCGCGCACCACGCCGTCCTCCGCAATCACCACGAAGACAGCTGTAAACGCCAGAGCCCCAACATGGCAAGGTAGCCGTAGGTCGGGTGCCTCCTGGCGCCGTCCCGTGCACACAACTTCCAGCTCGACTGCGACATCGCCACATGCACAAAGCATCCGCCATGCCTCGACATCGTCGGCACCAGCGACCCAGAGACCGCGAACCGCCATATTCTTCCCCGGCCAGGGCGTGCAGAAGGTCGGCATGCTGACTCCCTGGCTCGAGGCGTTCCCCAAGACTGCGGGCGAGATCATCGACGAGATCGACACGCACATGGGCTACAAGCTGTCGGCCGTGATCCAGGACGGGCCGCACCGCGACCTCACGGCCACGCCCAACGCCCAGCCCGCCATCATGGCCACCTCGATCCTCATCCTGCGCATCCTCGAGCGCGAGTTTGGCTTCAGCGTCCGCGACCGCATCGACGTCTCCCTCGGCCACTCCCTCGGCGAGTTCGCCGCCCTCGTGGCCGCAGGCGTCCTCCAGTTCCAGGACGCCTTGCACATGGTGCACACCCGCGCGCAGGCCATGGCGCGCGCGACCCAGAAGGCCCGCGACGAGCACGGCGGAGACTACGGCATGGTCGCGCTGGTCACGGAGCCCGAGTACCTCCAGGGCCTGATCGACGCGGTCGACGACTTTGTCGGCTACCGCAGCGCAGGGCTGCGCAGCAGCGACCCGGCCGAGTCGGCTCGTGTGCAGCCCATCGACCAGGTGCTCATTGCCAACATCAACTCCAAGAACCAGATCGTGCTGAGCGGCTGCATCGAGCGCATCAAGGAGCTCACCGCGCACGTGCGGCAGTTCCTCGGCCACGACCCGCGCGCGGTCCGCCTCAACAGCGACTCGCCTTTCCACAGCCCCATCATGAGCCCGGCCGTCGAGGTGATGCGCGATCTTCTCTCGCGCACCAGCTGCGTCCCCGGCCGCGAGGACCAGAACGTCGTGACATACCCGGCCGACATCCCCTGCGTGGTCAGCAACGTCTCCGCGCGGCCCTTCCGCGACGCCGACGACGTGCGCGAGCTCCTCGCCCGCCAGTGTCTCGAGACGGTCCGCTGGTGGGAGAGCATACAGTACCTCGACCGCGAAGAGAAGGTGCGGCGCTGGATCGGCATCGGACCCGGCAAAGTTGGGCGGAACTTGGTCGGGAAGGAGGTTGGCATGCGCGGTGTCGATACAGTAAAAGGAGGCGGGGTGTGGGCCATCACAGACCCTTATGAGATCGAGGAGGTACTCCGGGGGCTGGAGAAGACGGAGGCGATCAAGGAGGAAGAGGAGGAGGAGGAGCAACAGCAGCAGCAGCAGTAATGGATCTTGGGCAATCAACCCAAGCCGGGTCGCGATGATGAGCACGAGTTCCCGGGCTATGCTTCTCGAAGCACTTATAGCTTACGCCTATGACATTGTCTCCCCCCGTCATTATCCCTTCACACATCACCGGTCTATCCGCCACGAAAACTACGTCCGGGATTCCAGGTTCCTCGAGCCGCTGGGTACCTTGAGTAACATAGGTAATCAGCAATTCTCGCTTTTCCTTTCCTCCTGGCACTGGCCCTGGAATACAGCTAGGTGGCGTTGGGGAGATCTCTTGATAGATATGTACATATAGCGAGCACACTGGTATATACGTATCCAGCGCCACACCCACCGACATAACACATTACTTACTTAACAGTACTCTCTAGTACACATTGGCCAAACCTGATGAAAAGTCAGTCTTCTTCGCTCCTCATGCCGTGGTTGCGCCTGCTTGTCAGTGTCAAATGTCAATATTAACGTTAATTAGCGAACACACACACACACACACACACACACACACACACATCAATCTAAAACGAGGAGACAAAGAATGTTCTCCAAAGACGCGTAATGAGTAAACCGTCAAACCCTCCCACACAACAGGCTCACGCTCTACGTGAGCCTGCGTGTGGGTAAGGTCAACGTGGTATGTATGATATTAACGAAACGTGTAAATCTACAGCTTATGTGTCTCTTCGTCCCGGGGGTCCCATCATAACACAAAACACTGTACAAAGACCAAGGAGAGCTGCCAAAGACAAGAACGAAAATCGAGCGAAAACTCCTGCACACTGTCGCCTGTTTCTGTGCGTACGTGCGTTATGCCTCCCAGATGTGAAAATACCCCGTCCGTCCCAGTACAGGCAGAAAAACCAAAATAACCAACAAGCGCAAAGCCGCGTTGCGAGCAAGACCAGTCAGCCCAGTCTCCGCGGCATGCCTCTCACTTCACCCTTTTCTTCTCGGCGCGAATTGCTTCCATATCTAAAGCCTTGTGTTCTACACCTCTCCTCTTGCGTATGCGGACCTCCGAGACTCAGTGCGCCGTCCCGTTCTGGACCGTGGCGTGGTTCGCCGCCGCAGCTCTGGTTTGCCTCTTCACGGGCGACTTCTTGGGCGACTTCTTGGGCGACTTGGGAACAAGTACTTGGGGCGAGCGCGGGGTGCTGTCAGCAGTGCCACCGATCGCCGTCTGCCTGTCGTACTGGCTGTCCACGGCATCTTCGGCGTACTTGCGTGTCTCCTGGGCCCATTGATCTAACCGGTGCTTTTCGACGTGCTTGCGGAGGATACTGTCCTCCCAACGCATCGCCTCGAGAACCTTGTCGCGTGCGCCCTTGTCCGCCTTCTCCCAACGGCGGTCGAGGGTCTCTGTGTAGACACCGAGAGCCTCAGAGGGCGAAACACGGTGGTAGGTAACACCATCACCTTGATGTCCTACTCCAAGTTAGTCAATCTGAGAATAGAAAACAAATTTTGGGGTATGAAAGACTTACCACTGGCGTACAAAGTACAGAGTAACGCGAATAGGTCTGACTGGCTGATATATGTGACGACGTCATCGTCGTTTTTGCGAGACGTGTCGTTGACTTCCTTCCAGTCTGCGCGGAGGTAGCATCTCCTCCAGATGAGCCTCTCTGCCTGGACACGTTCGTCTCCAGCCAGTCCGTTCCGGGCCACCTGAAGGGCAAGGAAGAATTGGTCAGGCAGATCCTCGATGGTGTCAGGTGAGAGCTTGATTAGAGTAAGAAGGTCGATGAGGGTGAGCGGATCCAGAGCTTCGTGCTTCAGGAGACGCGTCAATGCGTCCTCAAAGATCTGCGTGAGGATCTTGTATTTCTTGGGCAACCCGTGGATGGGGAACGCCTCGAGAGCAAGATCAAGCTCAGTCTGCTCGTCCAACGCCGTGCTGATGACTGGCCGAATCTGGGTGTTGTAGAGATCGTTCTGAATGGTGATGATGGCAAGCTCTCGGTCAATTGCATCCATACGAGCGTCGGCGGCCACTGCATTGACGCTGGCATCTTGGGCACCGTGTGATGCTTTGCTGGACGGACGTGAAGAGACCTCTGCGAGCCTTGCTAGCTTGCCGAGACTTAGCTCGATCTTCTTGTTCCAGAGCTGTTGCTCCTTAGTGAGACCCAGCTCGACAAGAGTGTTGGCAGCATGGTCGACATCCTCTTCGCTGATGATATCGTTGATCCACGACACCTTGGCCAGCTCCGGCCGGTCTCTGAAGAAAAGCGTCTTGTACTTCCTGTCTCCCGGATACTCCAGTAGAGCATCAATACCGTAAGTGCTGAAGAGATAGTCGTAAAACGGAAACGCAAACGCCTCGCCGTACTTGTCGAAACATTCCTTGACCTTCAACTCCTTTTCGGATATGACCACTTCAATCGCGTCAATCTGTTCCTGGTTCAGGCCTTCGGCTAGCTGGTTCTCCTTCATGGCGTCGATCTCCCTCGTGAGGATTTCAGCCAGGGCAGGAAGAGACCTGTGGTGCTCCGCGATTACGATCGCCGCTTGCCAGTTCTCAGACTTGGCCAGCCCCACGATCTTGTCGTGACGGTCGAGCTTGTATATGCCTTCATACTTGTGGCCATCAGCAAGTTGGGCAGGGTCGTCGCTGGCCAGGAACGATCGAGAGAGCTCCTGGAGGGCGGTGAGATACACCTCAGTGACCTGTGGCAGGAGCTCACGAGTCTGAACAATAAGGGGCTGCTTCGCGCGCTCTGCTTCCGACTGCGCCGCCCAGTTTTGTCGCACCCATTCCGTGGCAAGCTCGAGTTGCCTTTTCACGTTGTTGGTGATGAAGGGATGACACGTCCAAGGTAGTGGGAGACCGGCGTAGTCGCTCGCAATTATGCCGTTCTCAATCTTCTCGTCGGATAAGCCATAGAGACCGAGATTGTCACGCCGGAACCTCCAAGCATCGCGAATTGCACTGTTGTAAACATCGCATGACTCGAAGATGAAACGTGTCAGGGATGATGGATCGAGGTTGGCCCGAGAGTTGTACTTGATGACCTCGTAAGCCCAGGCGAGGAACAGTTCCATGTCATGGATGTCGCGGATGAACCAGTGACGGACCTGGTCCACCTCGCCCTTTTCCGGATCAGGTATTGAACCCTGTTCTTTGCGGATGTACTCGACAACCTCAGCAACGAGGCTTTTCCGACCGCTTTCTGCGCGCGCGCTGGTGAAAGCCTCGTGTTTGCGCCAGACGGTACCGGCTACAAACATCTTCTCCGCGTTCCATAACAGCGTCCACTTGGTCTTGCGATCAAGCTTGATACCAATAGCCTGCATGTGGTACATGAGTTTCTCCAAGTATCGGATCCGCTCACGGATGTTGACATCGACTCGTGCAGCGACGGTGGATAAGTGCTGTCCCCGCGAAGCAAGAATTTCACGACTAAGTGCTAGCGCCGCCTGACCATACTCTGCGTCTGAGAAAGGCTGCTCCCGCGGGAAGTCAAATACTAGGGGGCTATCGTCCTTGACACCGAAGAATACTGCTTGCTCGAGCTTCGACTTGGCGGTCGTAGTCGGCGGTGTCTCGCTGGCAAATCGCTCCACGTCGGACACGCTTATGCGGATGGTTCCATATCCACGAAGCAGCAAGACGACCGCGGGGTTCTTAGCCTTGACCCTCGACTGACGTGCTTCTTCGGAAGATGTGTTGAAGTGATGAGGTTCTTCCAAACCCGATCCGATGACCTCTGCCGCCGTGCCTGCGCGGAAGTCGACCACGTCCTCATAAGTAGTGGAAAGCACGTGGCTATCCACCAAGATTTGGGCGTCTGGTGACTCGAGGGGCGCGGCGATGGACGCGATGACCACTGCATGGCTGAAAACCAGGAAGGCAACCATGTTCGGCTTCGGCAAGTAGAGGCGCGGTTGCTCGACCGCAGGTGATTTAAGCATGCAGTTGTAAGCCGTGATGCGCCGCACCATGCCAACGTTTACTGAAGGCTCTGGGTGGTTTGTTGATATAGAGACTTCGACGAGGACAAATCGGCTTGCAGATTTCCTGGTCATGGATGTGAGCAGCAACAGGTGCTCAAATCCGTCCTGGGGCTGGGCGAGTTCACTCTTCTCCGCGTATCTAGGCTCGACGTTCCTCGAGACGAAACAGAAGTCAAGAACCTTGAATGACTCGGCTGAGTACTTTGAGCTCTCTTGGTCATGTTCGTGGATGCTCTCGAGTATGTCGGCACGGGCGTCGACTTCGGCCAAGACATCATGATGGCCACCACGGTGTATCCTCCAAGCGTGGAGCTTTCCCTTGCTCGTGGCAGCGACTACAGTGCTCTCGCCAGGGTTGACATATCGTTCAGCTCTGACAGCTGCGAGATCACCTTGCGCAGCCGATGATAGAGCATGTCGGATGCTGCCGAAGAATCCACTGCTAGCCGGACCGAGAGAAGTGCGAAGGAACTGAGTCGAGATCTTTGGCCGTCCATGCGAGTCTCGTACACTCAAGTAAGCCAGTCGTCCACTGCTGAAGGTGAGGATGAAACCGGCGGAAGACTCGGCGTTGACAAGCTGGATGATGGTTTCACCAGAGAACATGCCCGTAACAGAATCTTCCAAGCCGTTACGTTGTTGCCTCATGAAATCGAATGTTGTGGCGCTGGAGATCGACTCCCAGTATGCAATCTTGCCGGTCGTCGGCATGACCACCACAAGCCCAGGTTCCGAGGAAGATGCGGATGGCGAGACAAGCGAGCCAATAGGGAGTGGATCAGAAGCATGCCTTGATGGCTGAGGCAATGTGAATGTGAAGGATTCCGGAGTCTGGGATGCAGCAGTGTACAGCCAGACGATGGCATGCGTGTGACTGACGCTGAGCGCGTAGCCGGTCGAGTTGTCCAGGGATCCATGCTGTTGGCTGGTCGCATCGTGCTTGAGACGTTCGGGCAGAGCCGGCAGCTTGCGCACTTCGAAGGCGCTGTTAGTTGTCAGTAGCGTACTGCCATCTCCCTTGTTTACCCGATCGGCAGGTCGAGTCTTTTTCGAGCGGACACTGAGCTCGCGAGAAGGCTGGCGCTGGGGAAGTTCTGCCTCGATCCCGTCTTGCTTGATATCGACAGACGGGAACTTGGCGGCCTTGACCTCGTAATTGTCCCTCGGTGGCGGGATGTTGGCATCGGGGTTGACGAAAGTCTGCTCGTTCAGAGGAACGCGCTGCCTTTTCGCTTTCGGCTGTTGCACGGAGTTGTCGGTGCTCTGGGGACGCTGGCGCCGTCGGCCTCGGGTCATGGGCCCTGTCGATGCCCGGTCGGAACCATTGTGTTGCGATGGGGAGAACATGGCTCCAGGACGCGCGACGACGACGACGTCGCCGTGTTTGCGCAGGGCGTCCGGGGATTAATAGAGAGGGGAAATGTAGTGTCGGGTGCCCGACAGCTCTGGATGGAAGAGAGTGGTGTTGGGGGAGGCTGCCTTGATGGGTAGAGTTGGCGGTGTTGATGGCGTCAGTCACTGGCGCGAAGTCTCCTCAGAGTTTTGTTTTGGGGAGGGAGAGCTCCAGGTGCGCAGGCAGCTCGACCGCATGTGGGCGTGACAGGGATGGGCCGCGCGTGAAGGAACGGTGACAAAAACCAAAGGGCTGCACAGGAAGGGAAGGCGCGGTGAAGAGCAGAAGACCGCGGTGGAAGCGCGGCGAAGAGGAGCGGACGATTGATTGCTGGCGATGAAATCAGACGGGGACTGGCGACAGACAGGAGCAGCGGCAGGCTCACGAGAAGTGATGATGCCTGAGCTGGCGGGTCGTGATTGGCTGCAATTTTCTGGTGAGCTTCAAGCTCTGCGTCCTTGCGCTGGCGGAGCTAACCCGAAAGTCAACATTGGGAGCAGCGTTGCCATGTGGAGGAGCCTCACAGTGTGATTCTGGTATGGACTGTGCGGCGCTGGTGCTTGACCGGTTGCAGCAGGCCCCTGGCCCACCGTGGCCAGCCCGCCACATCTCACACTGTTTGCTGCAAACTATTGTCATTCTGCTCTCAATCACGGCTCATCCTTCGTCGTCAAATAATTACACACAATCACATATGATAAGTTACGACATATAGCGAACGAGCCGGCTCAGGCGTTGGGATTGCAAGGACCATGTCAATTGGATGTCAGCAGTGCTTGCACCACTGCAGGATGTAAAAGGGGCTGTTAGGAGCAGCTGGGTGAGATGCATGGGCAGATGTTCGACGAGACGGCGAGAGTTGGGATGAAAAAAAGAGGAGATGCTTCGCTGGCATGCCGCGATTGTCCTATCACGGCGCGGTGTAGCTCCCCAGGCCTGGTTCATGCAATGCAGTTGTGCCCTGCGCGCCCAGCTGTGGCTCACCGCACTTGGGGTTTGGCTGCATTTGTTGGAGCACGCATTCAGTCTGAGCAGAAGCTGCATCCAGGCAGGAAAGGGACCTCTGATAAAGTTCTGTTGTTCCATGTCCAACACAGAGCCGCATACTGCCAAGGAGGGCAGTCGCAGCTACCCAGATGGTCGTATCTATCTGCGCGGATCTAGATACAGGTGCACAGCTCCGCTCTGCCGCTCTGTCATATGCATGGAGCAATTGCCGCGAAACAAAACAAAAAAACTCGAGGTCGTGTCTGTAGGGGACCTCAGGATGACCCCGATATCTCCAGCCCGCCAATCTCCGGGGGCTTTAGGCTGCGAGGCTCCCGGCACATGCACCCCAGCTTCCGGTGCTGCTGCCAGCTGCCCGCCCCGGCAGCCGCCCGTGTCGATGACCTCACCTCCCGCCCGCCGAGTCCTGCACCGGCCAATTCCCACCGGGACGGCCACATTCCCCCAAAACACCCAAGCCCGCCGTGGACTTTCTTGACGCCCCACAAGATTGGTCGTGGGATTGATGCAGTTGACGCAGGCGTTGCTGGACAATTGCAGCGGCACACGATGCCATGCTTTAGGGACGAGGCGACACACTCGTGAGTTTGTCGAGGGGCTCTCCTGGGCGCCGTCTCGCAAGGGACCCCTTTAAGTGCAGGACGTGGAAGGACGGGCATTTCACGACAGCAGATCCACGCACTCGTTCACGATGCGTCGAATCAGCGGGACGTCGGTGGCCATCACCGACCCTCTGGTCAAATACCAGGCGCTCATTGCCACCGGGCTCTACCAGCCCGATCCGTCGCAGCACCGCCTTGCTCTGCACCTGCACAAGATATACCTCCGCCTCAAGGACTACACTCCATCTGTCGAGTACCGCGCACGCCTCCGCGCCGTCAGTGATGCGCTCGACAAGCTCGATAAAGAGCAGCGGAGCCAGGACGACACGAGGTCTCTCGCCGTCAGGTCTCACCCGATCCGCCAGAACCCGCTGTTTGCGAGATTCTTCCAGCGCGTAGAGGGCAAAGGCAGGGACACTCTCGCGCTGACCAGAGTGCTCACCAGCCACGAGGAGGCCATCCAGATCGACTCGCCCCGCGGCCTGTTCCTCAGCGGCGAGGTTGGAACAGGCAAGTCGATGCTGCTCGACCTCCTTGCCGACGGGCTGCCCACGAGCCGGAAGCGGAGATGGCACTTTAATACATTCATGCTCTACACACTATCGCAGTTGGAGCAGCACAGGAAAACACACGCCGGCGTGGGTGTTGATGACGGAGACAGCCCCCAGCAGTATTCGCTGCTCTGGGTCGCGAAGGACATGATCGACAAGTCGCCGATTCTATTTCTAGACGAGTTCCAGCTGCCAGATCGAGCAGCCAGCAAGATCCTCAGCAATCTCTTCACCGTCTTCTTCCAGCTCGGCGGTGTTCTGATAGCATCGTCCAACCGCATGCCCGAGGAACTGGAAAAGGCAACCGGGTTCGAGTACACAGCCCCTGCTGCTTCGACACTAGGCAGGATGAGAAAGGCATTGGGGTTGTCTCCCACTGTTCGCAAGGGGAGAGGGGAGATGTACGGTTCGACAAGTGACTTTGCCAACTTTCTGGAAGTGCTCAAGGCCAGGTGCGAGTTTTGGCAGATGGAAGGCGCAAAAGATTGGCGGAGGCGAGAGGTGGGCAAGCCCGGTGCCACAAGGGCTTTCGAGAAGCCAGCAGAGTTTCTTCTTGGTGGCGATCTGGTGGGTTCTTCCACGGAAGCCAAATCTGAGTTACTCGATGCCGCCCTCTCGACAACCAGCAGTGTCATGCCGACAAGCTACTATCTGTACGACGACCAGACCCGAGCCCCTTGGGATAAAGCTGTGGAGGATATGATCAGACAATCATCACACCCTGGTTCTCTAGATATCCAATGGGCGCCACTGACCCTGGCCGTCTACGGGAGAGCAGTCCACATATCACGCCAGTATAATGGTGTGGTGTACTGGAATTTCGCAGACCTTGTGTCTTCGTACGGCCCCGCGGACTACATCTCGATGGCCTCGACGTTTCACACCTTTATCATTGATGAGATCCCCGTGCTCACAATTCTCAAGAAAAATGAGGCACGTCGTCTCATCACCTTGCTTGACGCGTTATACGAGGCGCGCTGCAAACTGCTCGTCCGCGCTGCAGCCGGCCCCGACGACTTATTCTTCCCAGAGACCAACTCGAAACCGGAGGGAGCTAGGTCACCAGGCGGAGAACCCACAACCATGGACGGGACTTTGGCGGCAAGGGACAAAAGCAACACAGCCACCCTGTCAGAGACAATCACCGACGATGCCATCCACTCCGAGACCATCGCCGAGGTCTTCCAGGACCAGATGTCGCCCTTCCGGCCAAACATCTCGACCTACACGGACGGCAGCAACACCGTGTACGACCCGGACCAGGACTCGGATTTCCACTCGGACCCCAAGACTCCCTCGCGCTTCGGGCCCGGCGGTGGCGGTGGCGGCGGGCCGACAGTCAACTTTAGCAACACGAGCGCCTTTACCGGCGAGGACGAGCGATTCGCGTACAAGCGCGCGGCGAGCCGGCTATGGGAGCTCTGCGGCGCGCAGTGGCACGCCCGGAACGGGGAAGGCTGGTGGCAACCACTCCCCAAGGAGGCACGGCACTGGGAGGGCAGGCCGCTCAGCAAGCCGATCAGGAGCAGCAGCGGCGAGGGCCTGTTTCCGAAGAAGGTGGTGCACGGGGATGTCACTATGGGGCCGGCCGTGGAGCTTGATGAGCCGGCGGGCCTGCAGAGGCAGAGGGTCGAGGATCTGCGGAAGGAGGCTGTTGCCCAAGCGGCTGGTCAGTCATGAGATATGTGTTCCATCATGGTCAGGCGGCATTCGCCGACAATGTGCTAGCGCCCTTTGAGGCTACAGAGTAAGGCAAACCAAATCTCTATTAGGAGAGAGACCAATTAATAACTTGCTGTATTTGACTCTTGGGGATATGCCGATGATGATAGAAATGCGCCTTGTAACTCCGCCCATGCCATAAGATCAAATACCACTGCTTGTCCCGTACTCTCATCGCCAGCCCGATCGAACCCACATTCTGTTTAATGCAACTCTTGCTAGAACATCCGGCGCGACTCGCAAGACAACAATGCCGCCTCCGAGTCGTCGGGCAACCCAGCCACAGCCTCCTCCTCCATAACCGCACCGTCACCGCCGCCACAAAGAAAAATGCCCCCCTTAGAGGCTCGTCACACCCGGCGCCCACGCCTCCCCGATGCGTCTCATCTCGTCTGCAAACTTGCGGCTCGTGATCCTCTTGCCGCCCCTGCCAGCCAGCGGCGAGTGCTCGTCCGGATCATAGAACGGGTTCTGCAGCAGCCGCACGTACGCCGTCTGCATGGCGCGGAAGACCACCTTGAGCTCGCCCTCGCGCAGACCGACGCCGCTGCCCGCAGCCGCCGCCGCCGCCGCAGATATCGACGTGTTTGTCATCATCATACCGCCTGACCCACCCCTGCTGCCCGCGGAGGCGGCGCCACTCGTGCTGCCGCCAGCGCCGCTGCCACTGCCACCACCGCCAGGTAACCGCCCGCGCATGTCCACCACGGCGACGAACTTGACGCCCGTGTTGGTCTCGAAGCCGTACGCGGCGAGCCGCTCGTCGACGGCGTGCAGCATGCCGAAGTCGCCGGAGAGCAGGGTGCCCGTGGACGCGGCGTGCTGGGCGCGCCGGGCAAAGACGTCGAGCGTGCTCGAGAGCAAGAGGCTGAACTGCAGCGGTGTGCGCAGGGGCGCGGAGGCGGACTGTGTGTCGTTGCTGCTGGTTGGGTTGTAGGACGGGAATATTGTGATGTGTAGTGGGTTGTTCTGGCAAGGCGGTCCACGGAAAGGAGGACAAGTATTAGCTGCATTGCGCTTGTACCTGGTCGTGCTGCTGCTGCTACTGCTGCTGGTGCGCCTCATGGATGGATGGTCGGGGCTTACATTGCGGCCTATGACACCTAGGCAGGCTATTGAAGGAATGGCGTGCGCCATACTCGGCGACTGCAGAGCGTGCTCGCGGACAACAGTGAAGTAAATGAACGGTATGCGAGTGCCCCAACGACAATGAAGCTATTCGTGGTGGGGTCCGGCATGCGGAAGAGGTGGACTGGTGAGGCCGGTTGATTCGGGGGAGCTGCCCAGAGAGCTGCTCCAGGACCCACCCTGGGCATTGTAGCCCCACTTCGGCACCATCGCACTACAGAGGGGCTATCGTGATTGGCCCCCCTTGCAACTTGCTTGCGATTCGCTGTCGTGCCAGCTGGCAATATGACAGATCCCACCACGGATCCAGAAGCAGCAGGTCCCTGGATTGAAGCTCGACAATTGACACCGCAACGACACTGCTGCAACGACTCACGAGGCCGAATACGTTCACCAGTCTAGCACCATAGACCAATTACAACATCGATCAACCTCTACGACATCAGCAGGTCGCCTCGAACGACGTCTTTCGCCCACCATGGACCCCTTCTCCGCCGAGGGCGAGCTCATCAACATCCACAACCACTTCCACCAGGGCCAGTACCAAGAGGTCATCGACTTCGACACGTCGTCCTTCTCCGCCGAGAATGCACTGCCCGCCAGAGTTCTCGCCCACCGCGCCCGCATTGCGCTCGGCCAGATCGAGGACGTCCTCGCCGACGTCCAGGGCGAGTCGGAACCCGAGCTCAAGGCGGTCGCCGTCCTCGCGCAGTACACATCCGGCAACAAGACTGATGCAGCGGTAAAGGCTGCCGAGGACCTCGCCGCCTCGGCCGGCGACAACGCCACTGTACAGGTCCTGGCCGGCACCGTCCTCCAGGCGGCTGGCAAGTCTGAAGAGGCTCTGGCCCTGCTCTCAAAACATTCTGGCAGCTGTGCGTATACATATATATCTTCACAACGACGATACAGAACTCCAGCCAAAGATCTCGATCTTGGCATGGGACGCATGCAGAACGGGGTCGCTAACCTTGTCGACTGGTGGTAGTGGACGCCGTCGCCCTCATCACACAAATTCACCTCGAGCAGAACCGGACAGACCTCGCCATCAAGGAGGTTACTGCGGCGCGGAGATGGGCGCAGGACAGCATCCTGGTGAACCTGGCCGAGTCTTGGGTCGGACTTAGAGTGGTGCGTTTACCCCGAGACGGTCGCTTCTCGTTCCAGCGAAGTGATTACTGGCTTACATCTCATAATTTTGCAGGGAGGAGAGAAGTACCAGCAGGCCTTCTACGTCTTCGAGGAACTCGCGCAGGCGCCCGCCACGGCGTCCATCATCTCGCTCGTATCGCAGGCGGTCAGCGAGCTCCATCTCGGCCGCACTGAGGAGGCGCAGGCGGCGCTCGAGTCCGCAGTGCAGAAGGAGCCCAAGTTCGCCGAGGCGATTGCGAACTTGCTCGTGTTGACCGTTGTTACTGGCAAGGAACCTACGGAATTGACTGCGTACGTAATCCTCTCCGATTTCCCACCGTCCTTTTCCCGTGACCTGGGGAAGTGCACTTTTGAAATACTTCAGCAGGCTGACCGAACTTCCGTGTAGTTCATTGAAGGCCGTCGCGCCACAACATCCTCTGCTCGTGGATCTGGAGGAGAAGAGCAGTCTTTTTGACAAGGCTGCTGCCAAGTTCAGCCCAAAGGTCTCAGCTTAGATGAGTCCACTAAGCAGCGTCCAACTTGCAATAGAAATCGACGTGAAGAAAGCCCAGAGAGGACACCTTGCCTGGTATCATTAAGCAGGCAAGATAGTGTTGCCCCTCAGTCCTACGTCCCTGTGCTCACAATAGTGCTGCTCACTGGTGAATGAACCTCACACAAAGCTCGATGACCAGGACAGTCATGCACCCCACCAGCTAACATGTGATAGCACCCTTTGTGCACGGCAGAAGAATTTGAGGGCGTGAAGATGACGGGGCGGCGGCGCGGTGACATCATGTCACCTTTCGCATGGCCTGACTTTTGTCTGTGAGACTGGTGTGTGTCGTGTTTCACTAAGTGAAGTTTGAGCAACCGTCCTCGGCCTTATGCATGCAAGAAGGGTTGTCCAAAGCACGCCACGAGTTCAGTGATGGTATAAGCCCTAAACCCAAGCCTGCCCCTTGGCACTGTTGCCCTCTCTAGGTTCTTTGTGCCGCATTGTATCTGTACGATGACGACGGCCCTGCAGCAGATATCGACCAAGAGCTGAGGGGTTACTGCATTGCAATGATTTGCTCGGACACGGGGTAGTGAATTGTAGAGGAGCGGGGGAACATCCGAAACTTGCAAGGACCCTTGACGGTGCATCAGGAACGACGAAAACCCCTCGCGCACTTGTGCCCTCCTCACCTCGGTAGTGGTGTGCTAGCACATGCCACAGCAATCCTTTGGATTGGTCAAGTTCGATAGCCCTTGGCCGGTTTTGGTGCAAGGTGCGCTCGAGGCCAATCACAGCACACTGCGAGTACTGACCATGACCGGTATGGACTCGGACAAGCTTCACCGCTATCTCCAGTGCTGAAAGGGCAATCTGCGCAGTGATGACACTGGCAAGCATTGCTGTCTTGGGATGCAGGAGGGGGTGTTGCAAATTTCAGACAACGGGTCATAGAAGCCTCGAAGTCGTACTCGAGAGGAACTATTATGCTCATGGAGGATGCAGGACTAGTCTGATCTGCTGGGGTGGAAGGTGGTGATCCAGAGGACGTATGATGCCCATCAGGGATGTTGGATTGAGTGCTACACTGTTTGCAGTCGAAAGCCGTATCTTTGATACTCGAGAGATTGATGCCGGTGGTGGGCGATGTGTGGATGTCCAGTCGTCAGGGATATCGAAATGCCGATGTCTTATCCTACTCTCGGTCACCCTCTCTGAAACGTGGGGACTGGAGATCTCGAGTCGTCCATGTTGGAAATCCGACAGCGCGAAGATGGTGTTCCCGGTGGATACTGCCATGGAGCCATGCTTGAGCATGTACTGGACGGTATTGTCAATTCCCTGATGGCGGCGACTCGAGCGGCGGGCGGTTGCCAACCACGAGAGACGAGCGGGGAATGCGGCAAGGAGGGGCTTTGGTGTTGAGGCGCCCACGGGCCCGCCCAGCTGCAGGTGGATGCGGAAGGTGGCCGGCGGGCCATGACATCATTGCAGGCGATTAAGGCTCGCACCCCGGAAGCAGAGCCCCGCCTGCTCCGGCATGCTGGGAGCAACCAAGGCATGCACTGAAAGCTGCAATCAGGCGACGATAGTGTCACGTCCCAAACCCTACAGGCGCAATTGCTCCTGGCCTACGGACAGCACATGGCCCCAAACTCTGTTTGCCTGTCAACGCCAGGGCAGATAAGGCTCCCATTGGTCGAGACGGGGCGGGAACACCCCTTGCGATGCCGCCGTCGACACCACCACCACGGCCATCTCTCGAGCACACACACACAATACACGCAGCGACAAGCGCCAGGGGAGCTAAGCCCGCAAGCCGCTGGTGTGGCAGGCACTGGCCAGCCCACCTCGGTCGATTGGCAGCGCCGTGGCAGGGTGCGTGAAGATCTTGCGCTGACAGCGGGCGATTTTTCCCACGGGAGTGCTAATGGGCTTTTCTGGACCTTCCCCTGATGTGGTCGAGACCCGGCGGGATCGGCGCTGTGCAGCGTACAGAACTCGTAAGCAGGGAGCCCGCAGGCAGGACAGGCCCGTTTTAGGAGGCAAAAGAGGGTGCTGCCTCTGCGCGCGAGTGACAGATGGCAGCATGTCGGCACAAGCGAGCGGGTGGGCACCAGAGTTCATCGAGATGGCCGCGATGGGATGGCCCGATCCAAGCCAGAGTCGTCACTGCTGCGCGTCGCCCCACTCTGCAGAGGACCCCCCCCCTGGCTGTGCGTGCCTTTCTAGTTTAGAGTTGCGTGCGCCAGCCAGTCAGCGGCCAGCACCAACAACACCGCGACCGATCTCTCTCTCACGCCTCGTCCATCGGTCAGCACCAACAGCACCGGGATAGACAGGCGCAGACCCTGGCTGGGCAGTCCTGTTTTTCCACAGTCACTGCAACATGTATGCGTGCGGCACGGGGTAGCACCCGGCATGCAGCAGGAGGCTGCCCGCCCACCAGTCGAGCCAGGCCGTATCATCTCATCTCGTGCTCCTCCTGGCAAGCGGGTCCCCGTGGGCAAAGCCGGGCCTCTCGAGCAGCCAAGTCCACTTGACGGGGAGGCGTCCAACTAGCGCCGAAGCCCTCGTCTCTCTTCCTCCCTCGGGCTTGACGATACACACGAGCGGGAGACTGCGGCGGAGGAGGGCCCGGAGGTTTTTGTGGGAGATGACGCCCTCACCCCGTTTCGGCCTCGCCCGGCACTTTTTTCACGATGCCCGTATTTTCGTTCTGTCTCGGGGTCCAGGCCTGTCTGCTGCCAGACACACCCTTATAAGTCACTACGTGCCCGTGCTGTTTTATTTTCCGCCTCGACCTTCTTCTCATTCTCATCATTATACACCACCATCAACCATAGACCAACACTTCTCGAGTGCTCACACTCCTCGGTCGACAAGCACCAAAAATCACCCGCTGTGGTACACTTAAAAACACATCTATTCGGTCCAACAGCCACGATACACAAAATGCCTGCCGCCATCACCCCTCCCGCCGTGCCTGAGATCAAGGCTCCGGTCGACAGCAATGGCATTCCCAAGAAGAGAAAGATCATCTGCTTCTCAGGTACGGCTGCCCCACCACCAGCAGGAAGATCGACACCCTCCCGGCCATAACACCATAATTTTAGTTCCCTCATGACGGGTCAAGAACTGGGCTATGCCCATGTTCTTCCAGTCAACGCGCAGCAGTATCATCATGATTAACACGTCCTTCCATCTTTGCAGACTTTGACGGCACAATTTTCATGCAAGACACCGGCCATGTCCTATTCGACAACTTTGGCTGTGGCGAGAAGCAGCGCGAGGTCCTCGATGAGCAAATCAAGACCGGCGAGCGTTCGTTCCGCGAAGTGTCCGAGGAGATGTGGGGATCCCTCAACGTCTCTTTTGACGACGGCTTCAGCATCATGAAGAACAAGCTCGACATTGACGTCGACTTCCAAAAGTTCCACCAGTACTGCATCGACAACGACATCCCCTTCAACGTCATCTCGGCTGGCCTCAAGCCCGTCCTGCGCAAGGTCCTTGACACCTTCCTCGGTGAGGAGGAGTCCTCTCACATCGCCATCGTCGCCAACGACGCCAAGATCACGGCCGACGGCTCTGAGTGGAAGCCTGTCTGGCGCCACGACAACGAGCTTGGCCACGACAAGGCCATCTCAATGACTGAGGCTCGTCAGCAGGCCGAGATGGAGTGCGAGGACGGCACGATCCCCTTGATCGTCTTCATCGGCGATGGTGTGTCCGACCTCCCCGCCGCCCGCGAGGCTGACGTGCTCTTCGCGCACCGTGGCCTGCGCCTCGAGGAGTACTGCGTGGAGAACAACATCTCGTACATCCCCTACGACACCTTTGCCGACATTCAGCGCGAGATTCAGAAGCTCAAGGACGAGGACGACAAGGCCACAGGCGGCAAGGGCATGCCCGTCCGCTTCAACCCCCGGGCCAACATGTGGCGCCGTGTCTCCAGCAAGACTGCCGTGCCCCGGCTCGTCCTGCTCTCGCCCACCCGCGAGGCTGATGCTTTCGTCTGGCCCGAGGCCGCCCTTCCCCTCAAGACCCCGACCATGGAGAAGGTCGTCGAGCTCAGCAGCCTCGACGAGGCCGTCGCCGAGGCCGATGCTACGGCGCCCAAGGCTGCTGTTGCTTCCGTCGCTGCTTAGACTGTTTCCTCGCTTAACAGATTTCTTTTCCCGTTCTTACTTTCTGATCCGTTTTTTTCCAAGAGCGGCATAACCCAATGCTGCAGTAGACGTCGTTGTCGTTAGGGACAGTATCCTCAGGCATGAGCGGTCGCAATGGGTGCGCGCGGTGTTATCGGCGTTTTCTTTTGGGATGGTCAAGGATAAAGAGAGCAGATGGCATATTCATGATATACGTCTTATCTAGATACCAAACAGAATTTCATCTACATATTTAAGACCTTCAGGATCTCTTGAACTGGCCTTGTTGTGAATCTAGATACCCAATGCATTGTGCCGAGTTATGGTCTGGCCCACGCTTATATGGGAGTTTCATGGCTGATATTTAAAAGTAATGAAAATAAATCAAGGACTGCTGGTGCGAATGACAAAAATTTTCATATGTGAAGAGACGTCTATTGGCATCTTTATTCATGCCCACCGCATGACAGCTGCATGACTCTGTTTCATCCGTCGTATATATGTAAGTTTGCTGCTGTCCAGGTTTAAAGCATCACGACGTCTTGAGGTGCATCCGCAAATACATGTGCTGGTGTGTGCATCTCGCTCTGCTGCCACTATCTTCTGGTTCTGTTCTGCCAAGGGGGGAATACTGCTCACAAGTGACTGGCTGTATTGTCATCATTGACTAGCCTTTTCCCAAAGTGGGTTCTTTCCCTCTGTTTTCACCGTGCAGAACACGTATCCTTACTTGATGCAAAGGCTGGCACGAGTCACCAAAAATAAAAAAGTCGACTTGACTCGTTGATTTTACGACAACCCTCGAGTGCTGACACCTCCCCCCCACACTATCCGTATGCGCTCATAAGCGCTCCGCCCCGTCCATCGGTCTTCGGCTGTTACCCCAGATCCGCCCCCAGCACGGCTTTTGAACTTGGGCATGCCTACCAACGTACCTAAGGTAGCTACATAGCACGATGGGACCAACACTGTGTAGCCCGCCCTGTCGGGAAAATCCGAGGGGCGCGATGGAACATATATCACTGTGTAGAGGACGACGAGTCTGGGTTCGAGATGCTTAGACATTGTTTCCAGAGAGTCGGCGGTGATCTACGTTCCGGTGGGCAGGGGATGGCCTAGTTTACATCTCAGGCGAGATTGACATAGGCATGACCTGCTCACCACAGCGGTTCATTCTGCAGAACGGCTCGGGAAGGGTGGGCGTGACGTTCCCAACGAGCAAGAAATTGGCGGCAATATTCGTCTTGTCCATGGTACAAACAGTCATGGTATGCCTATGCAACAACTTTGGAATAGTCGACGTTGGAAGCCCCCAGAGCCGCGAAACGGCCAACAATCAAGAATAGAATCAAACCTCAAAAACGTCCCAGCGAATAGGATGCCTCGGGAAGCCTGAAGGTCGATCTCCCGATGAAAGCTGGCGTGCGGGCCGCGGCTAGGCTGCGCTGAGTGGCTCGCGTCTTGCTTAAGGTTTGTTGCTCAAAACACATGTTCTTCCATGCGGCTAGTGCTTCAGTCGTGCGGTTCTCTCCGTTCTGTGCAGATGCCATGGGGACTTGATCAAGTATGAGAGCAATAGTCTATCACCAGCCAGTCCCACCTTTCGCGCGTCTTCTGGAGGCAACTGCGGCGAGGATAGACCAGCTTCTTCCATGGCAACTTCATAGCAAGGTCAAATATGTATCTCTTTGCTGTCTGGATAGATTTTGATCTGCGGTGTAAGGAATAATCGTGAAACTCTGACGTACTTCCGCCTAGTTCACAAAAGGCGGGGATTGGGCAGAATGGCAAGACATCGCGAGTTGAGACGCACTGTATGACCTCGGGGACACAACAATCTCTCTCAAACGGCTCCAGCTGCTCCCCACGCGAGCGAGGACGGTGACGAAACAAGCTCTTTAGCGTCTTTGCGGGGCTGGATGGAGGCGTCGTCATCGAACCTAGCACCCTTGGAAGTCAGCAAGTGGATGGCACCAGGGCCGGAAGCTGGAGGATACTCTCGAGGCAAGCTTCTGTCGTTGCTGTCACCACCCTGTCGCGTGCCAGGCTTGCGTACCCCATGGACGGTAGCTTGGCCTGAGCAGCTAGCGTGCCCGCCCTTTTGAGCCATTTTCTTGCATACCGTGGAAATGGTAATTAGCTTAGGGCTCCATGGTCTCTGGAGAGCTCTTCAGAGGTCGAGACACCGAGTGGTACAGGCCAGTCAGCAAAAAGGAGCAGGACGAGTTGCATCCCTCCAGGGAAGAGAATGCCTGCCTGCCCCATTGGCCGCACATCACCATCCGTTCCTGGCGATCAGCCGAGGAGGTCTCCTTCCAGCATGAGGAGGACTAGGCCCGATTGTTCAATTGATCCATGTACCCCTGCCACGTATCGTCCATGCTTGTCCGGCAAAAGGGACCGGCTGCTCGCGCCCCACGGCGAGTCCACAGATGAAGACATTCACATTCAAAAGAACAATGAATCCGTTGGTGCTGCGAATTGTACTGCAGGGATCTGCTTGGCTGCAGGGCGAGCGAGCCTGCCGTCTTGGTGACACGCGGGGCAGGCTGGGCATATGGCAGCGGACTGCACAAAATGCTTGGCCATGTCTTGGTGTCTTTGCGGATGGGGCGCGGCTCAGCAGTTGAGCCTTTTGCACCAAAGCGATCGACGATGGATCGCCCGACGGCTGACTGGCAGGGCTGGCGAGGATGGAACTTGGGACTGGTGAAAGAAACGGCACTGCAATTTGCAGCCATACCGTCCGCATGCATCCTCGGATCAAGCACCCAACCATAGATGGTGTACCTCTGGGTAAATATTAGCAACACCGCCTTACGTTCTCCTTGCGCACGCATCAACGTAAAGAGCCCACAGTGTTTCGTCAAGAGTCTTGGTGTAACAGTGCGAGCAGAGTGGCCCCCCAACCCGATTGAGCCCACTCGCATCCGCCCCGGGACGAGCGCATGGATGACGACTTGCCCTCCTCCAGCTTGAGCCAAGTCGCCTTCGCCCGTCGTCCTGCTCGCGTGGTCTGCTGGACTTTGACACTTGGAAGCCGTGTATCCGCCCCCCGTTCGTCATCCGTGAGGGGAACGGCCCACACCAGAGTGGAAGCATCGGAGCCGCTGGAGAGTCGAGCGCCTGCGAGACTGAGACAGAGCTGTCTCTGGCTGGGCCGGGTGGGATGGCTGCAAAGCAACGGAGCCTGGCACGGCTTGCACGGCTCAGGTTGCCCGTTGATACGATCGGTGCTGGCGGTGCTGCTGATGCTGGCGGTGCTGCGTTTGATCCAGGTCCCAGCCACATAACTCTACATGGCCCGTCCTCGAGTTGTCTGGCCCATGCGCGCTCCTGCCGTTTCTATTCTAATTCAGTGCCGTCCGATTCATCCCATTCCTTGTCCGTCCGCGACCCCCCAGCAACTTTGCAGACCGCAACACTGCTGACCCCCGGCAGCCCTACTAAGCCGTCTCTCAACCCGTTCCAGCCACTGCCTCCTCCTCTGTCTCGATTGCTGTGGCACAGAGGCATCCCAATATATAAGTCATTACCTCGGGGCCGTGGGTCGGACGGAGCGACACAGACCCCTTTCTCTGCGGCACATCCTCGAGCTCAGCCCAGCTGCCTCAGCCGCGGCGGACACCCCAACGCCGTCAGACATTTGGGCCTCCCCACCCATCCGCCAGTCGAGGACTTGGCAGCTCTCCCGCCCTGAGCATCGCGTCCGAGCTCGTCTTCAGCTCCACGCCGCCCTGCAGGGCCCGCCTGCAAGTTGGAGGACGGTACCGTACCACGGTAAAGGTATGCTCACTCACATGCCACCCTTCCAGCATTGCGACACATGCACGCACGTCCCCTGGCCGGTCTTACTCCCGTCCCCTATCTTCCAGAAGGAAGCCTTTCACCAGATTCTCGTCGAGGCGTCTCTTTGGTTCCCATTGACCGTCTCTGCTCCTCGAGCCCGACGCTGACCGCCCTCTCAAGACTTTATTTACTGGCGAGTCTCCCATCCTCTCCGGCTCGACGCCCCTCGTACCTCTTCTTTCAGCCGCACGGGCAGTCGCCGTAGTCCTCGACTGCTGTCTACAAGGCAGTGCATCTGCTGCTGGCCTCCAATCACGCACCTGCGCTGGAGGCCATCGTCACCCTTGAGTTGCTGCGCCCAGCAGGCCAAGCACTGCGCCAGTCCTTGACATCATCTATGCCTCGAGCTACCGGCCTGCAACCCCCCGCCCGCACACCCGCCCCTCCTACGCGAGCCTGCCAGGCGACGCTCTCGCGTCCACTCGCCGACCGATCATAGCCTCTTTGCCTCCAATAGCGGCCACGCACACGTCACCTACAGCCCGCGCCCCCCCAAAGGCCCCCGTCCCACTCACTGCCTTGGCCAGGTCCTAATAAGGCATCTCGAAGGCGGCGGCCGCTCCCGCGCAGCTCTCCACGATGGTTCGCATAATCCCCTCGAGACTCAAGTCTCGCACCTCTAGCTCAAACGTCAACGGCGCCTCCAGCAACACAAACAGCAGAGACCCAAGCCGTAGCGCCAGCCCAGCGAGGCCAAAAGGAGAGCCCACAATGTCTGAAGCCAAGCGAGACTCTGGTCTCGTGCTCAAGGTCACCGTCATCCGAGTACGTCCACATCGCAGCCCTGCAAAGCTGTGGCAGCAGGAAGCCCCAGAGTTGCACATACTCACATATACTTGACAGGCCCGAGACCTTGCTGCCAAAGACCGCAATGGCACTTCCGATCCTGTAAGCAACCCAGCCTCCAACTCTCGCCGCAAGTGAATCACAGCAGCTCGGAATCCAGCTAATCCCTCCGCGTCTGTTACACTAGTACTTGCAACTGCAATGCGGCGAGTCGCGCTTCGTTACCCAATGCGTCCCAAAGACTCTCAATCCGGAATGGGGTCTTGTTTGCACTGTGCCCATCAACGGTATCGACAACCTCCTTCTCGACGCTGTGTGCTGGGACAAGGACCGCTTCGGCAAGGACTACATGGGCGAGCTCGACCTGGCGCTTGAGGAAATCTTCGCCAATGGCAAGACGGAACAGATGCCCAAGTGGTATCCCCTGAAGAGCAAGCGTCCAGGCAAGAAGACGAGCAATGTTTCCGGGGAGGTCTTGTTACAGTGCACGATCTACGATTCAACCAACAAAAACTCCAGTGACGAAGAGATCCTGGAGAAGCTTCGTCTTCTTGCAGCCTCCAGCGTGCCGGAGGCCGGAGGCAGCTCTGGCATGACCTCCACTGCGGAGGGCAGGAGTGATTCTGATCTATCACCATCACTAGTCCCCGACATGTCCCCAGAGGACGAAGACGAAGATTATTTCGACGACGAGACCCCCGAAGACGAAGATCCCACCAAACCCGAGGCAATTGAGAAGCGAAAACGGCGACTCAGAGTCAAGGGCCTCAAGCGCAAGAAGAGGAACAATCCCTACGAGTTCCTGAACGGAGGGAGTGACGTTGTCGGTTTGGTCTTCCTAGAGATCAGCCGTATCAGCGATCTACCACCGGAGTCGAACCTGACCAGGACAAGCTTCGACATGGACCCGTTTGTTGTGGCGTCCATGGGAAAGAAGACATATCGTACCAAGGTCGTCCGTCACAACTTGAACCCTGTGTACAATGAGAAGATGCTCTTCCACGTACTGTCACACGAGCAGTCGTACTCCTTTTCGTTCACCGTCATCGACCGAGACAAGTACTCTGGCAACGACTTCATCGCCTCGGCCTCCTTCCCGATGCACGAGCTGATCGAGAAGTCGCCCAAGGCCGATCCGAAAACTGGGCTGTACCAACTGAAAGAGCCATCAGAGTATGTTCCTGTGCAGAAACCCGGCAAGCTCGCGAGGTTAGGACTGTCCAGATCCTCTTCATCTACAAGCTTGAGCAAGGGCCGCCCGCCGTTGTCCAAGACTCCCAGTGCTGCTTCCGGTGTCTCGCAGGTCGACGGAGCGCTGCCAAGCCGGCCGGCGCCCACCTCTGCCCCGACGTCTGGACAGCTGCAGCTCGAAGTGCCCATCTTGAATGCGGAGGTTGATGGTGGCGCTGCGGAAGCCGATGACTTCACTTCCTTCACCATCCCCCTGAAAATGAAGGACTGGGCGAAGTGGGAGGACAAGCACAAGCCCGAGCTGTTTATCCGTGCCAAATACATGCCATACCCGGCACTCCGGCAGCAGTTCTGGCGCGCCATGCTGAAGCAGTATGATGCCGACGAGAGCGGCGCCATCAGCAAGGTTGAGCTGACCACGATGCTGGATACGCTGGGGTCTACGCTCAGGGAGTCGACTATTGATGGATTCTTCAAAAGGTTTGCTCATACCGCTGCTTCTGGAGAGGCGAACCTTACTATGGATGAGGCCGTAATCTGTTTGGAAGACCAGCTTGAGGCTCGCAGTAAATCCCCGCAGACGGCAGCTGCGAAGCTCAAGTCAATGGTCCCCGATGCGAGCACTGTCAAGAACATGATTCCGGGCATGGGCAGCAACGATAGCAACCTGGCCACGCCCTCAGACGAGGACAGCTTCGTGCTTCCAGCACCCGAGTCCACCGTGCAAGGCCAGACGCCTGGAACTGCTACGTTGGTGGTTCCGGAACGCGGTTCTCCAGGAGCAGAGGGAGATGCGTTGAGCAAAGACGACCTCACTGCAGACCGTGGCGAGGAGGAACACGTCGTGGAGATCAGAGAATGTCCCATCTGCCACCAGCCTCGCCTCAACAAGCGCCGCGACAGAGACATCATCACGCACATCGCAACTTGTGCCAGCCAGGATTGGCGTCAGGTCAATTCCTTGATGATGGGTGGTTTCGTCACTGCCAGCCAAGCCCAGCGAAAATGGTACTCCAAGGTCATCACCAAGATTGGCTATGGTGGCTACAGGCTGGGTGCCAATTCTGCCAACATCTTGGTGCAGGACCGCCTCACTGGACAGATCAACGAAGAGAAGATGAGCGTCTATGTGCGCCTTGGCATCCGTCTTCTGTACAAGGGCATGAAGTCCAACCAGATGGAAAACAAGAGAAGTAAGAGACAATTTCCCAATGTGCTCATGCAATGGCTGCTAACCTTCTCGTAGTTCGCAAACTTCTCAAGAGCTTGTCGATCAAGCAGGGCAAGAAGTTCGACGACCCGGAATCCAAGTCTCAGATTGAAGGCTTCATCGCGTTCCACAAGCTGGACATGTCGGAAGTCCTGCTCCCCATTGAAAAATTCAACAACTTCAACGAGTTCTTCTACCGCGCTCTCAAGCCAAACGCTCGACCATGCTCCGCTCCCAACAACCCGCATATTGTTGTGTCTCCCGCCGATTGCCGCTCAGTCGTTTTTAACAGCATTGACGACGCCACGAGCATCTGGGTCAAAGGTAGAGAGTTCTCAGTCAGCAGCATCCTCGGAGACGCATACCCCGAGGACGCGAAGCGCTACACGAACGGCGCCTTGGGCATTTTCCGTCTCGCCCCCCAAGACTACCACCGCTTCCACATTCCCGTCGACGGCATTCTCCAGAAGCCCAAACTCATTGCCGGCGAGTACTACACCGTCAACCCCATGGCGATCCGGTCAGCCCTCGATGTCTATGGCGAGAACGTCCGTGTGGTATGCCCGATTGACACCGAGCTCTTCGGCCGGGTCATGGTCATCTGTGTGGGTGCCATGATGGTTGGCAGCACCGTCATCACTCGTAAAGAGGGTGAAGAAGTCAAGCGTGCGGAAGAGCTTGGGTACTTCAAGTTTGGAGGCAGCACGATTGTCATCCTCTTTGAGGAGGGCAAGATGGTGTTTGATGACGATCTCGTCGACAACTCAAGGAGTGCTCTCGAGACCCTGGTAAGTTTGGATATGAAGTGAGCTTTACGAAAGCTGGGTACGTTCACTAACGATGTCGCCACAGATTCGCGCCGGCATGTCCGTCGGACACTCTCCTCATGTGACGCAGCATACACCTGATATGCGCAAGGACGCCAAGGATGTGACTGAGGAGGAGAAGGAGGAGGCTCACCGGCGCATCGTGGGCGGGGACTCGTCCGATGAAGGAAGCCCGGGCAATGTACCGCTGGGAGTTCAGATTTCATGAGACGGGTAAGGGTTGCAGGCGATTTTTCACGACATTTACGATCAAGGACTATGGCGGAGATTAGAAGCAACACCATACAAAGCAATAGCAGACCCCTGCAAATACAATACACGTTCTGGGACGAGTGCAGAAGCATGATGAATGCGTCCGTCCAGTGAGTACACATGACGGGTTGTTGCTGGGGAACCACAGCCTGTGGTTGGGCACTCACTTCTACGGAATGAGGCGCAATAGTGCGGTGGTTGACAAACTTCGCGGCCAGCAGTTGCCAAAGTAATGCCGTTGGGCCGCAGATGGTCCTCACATGTGGAACTGAACTGCCCAGGATGTCCCCAGCAGGACGCTCAGGACTGCTAATTAACACTCGTTCTGGGAGAATGTGGGGCCAATGCCGCCCTGTCCGTCCGGGGCGGCCGCTCCCCACCGTTGTTGTGATTGCCTCTTTTTGTTTACTTTGCCCCGCACAGCAGCCAATCAGCCAGCTGCAGTCGCAAGGGTCCTCATATTACGTCCTGGTCGCTCATTCACGTCACGACCCCCTCCATCAACCGCGCGCGCACTGTCTCGTCCTTTTTTTCTCTACCCCAGCGAGAGCAGCATTGTCTTGGGCTTGACTCCTGCTACGGACAAGCACTCGGCGTACGAAGCGAGATTTTGCTTGCACCAATACTCAGGCGACCACCTCCATACCATTCCAGCGCGCCTTGCGATTCACGAGATCACGGCCTCGAGTTACATCCCAGCCTTGTCACAACAGATCACCATCGTACCGTACCGAAGCTTCTTGACGACTACGCTGCCCATATCTACCGATTGCAGTCTGATTGCCCGGCTCGCGGCTGTCCCATCTACGAAAGTTGTCAACCTCGAGAGGCAACTCGAACTCGCCTAGTGTGACAGGTCACGTTCAAGACGACCTGCTCGCACGAACGAGCAAGAGCACACATGTGATTGATCATGGCCGAGATGGATAACCTCAGGACGGCATCCTTGTACATCAATAACCAGCTTCTTTCACGAGGCCTTCTGCGAGATGGCCAGAGTATCGACTTCGCAAACCCAGGGGCCGACCCGGGCGGCTTAGCTGCCGCCATGGGCCGGATCATGAGCGTAGTCAACGATTTGATCTTGAAGAGAGACGTAAGTTCTTCCAGTCACCACTGCACGGCCGATGATCCCCGGCGGCGTATACTCAATACTGACGGGTCATCTGTCTCACAGCGCGATGCCGAGCATCGCGAATCGCTCTCTAGCACTCTCCGCACACTACGGGCCGAGACCCTTCGACAAACCACCGACTACACGCGGCAGGCGGACAAGCTGGCCGATGCCCAGCGGCGGCTCGACAGCGCTGATTCAACAGAGCGGGCGATGCGCACGCAGCTCAAGACGGCCGAAGCCAACATCCACAAAATGAAGGACGAGATGCACAAGATGAAGACGCTCGTGGCGCAGACACGGTCCTCCTGTGCCAACGAAGTGCGCAAACGCGACCGGCAGATCGAGGCGCTCAAGAAGACGGTCACCGAGGCTGCGCGGGTGCGCGGCGGTGCGCGCAGTCGCGACGTCGTCACGATCAGCGTGACAGGGGACTTTGGGGCCGAGAGCAGTGGCGCGCCTGCTGGTGCCACCTCCGAGGCCGAGTACAGCTTGCGCATGGAGACGAACGAGTTCCTGACCCGGCTTGCAAGGGGCCTGAGCGAGGAAAATGAAGGGCTAGTCAATATTGTGCGACAGACTGTGGACAGTCTAAGGGAGATGGGTGGCCTGGAGGCCAGCTTGGGCAGCAGCACATCGGGCAAAGGCGCCGAGGAGCTCGCTGCGGAGCTCGAGGGGATCATGGACCACCTACGCAACATCCTCACGAATCCGTCCTTTGTGCCGATCGAGGAGGTGGAGATGCGTGATGAGGAGATTAACCGCCTGAGGGCAGGTTTCGAGAAGATGGAGATGCGATGGAAGGACGCGGTCAGAATGATTGACGGCTGGCGCCGCCGCATGGGTTCGGGTGGCAAATCGGTCGATATGGAGGAGCTCAGTATGGGCTTGAGACTCAGTCCCGTGCGCATCCGGGACATTGTCGAGGGCGAGCCGAGTCGATCAGAGGCTATGGAGCTCTCCTGTGTGCAGGAAGAAGAGGAGGAGGAGGAGGAGGAGGAGGTAGTCAAGAAGCACACCCCATCTCGTGCGTCCCCGCCGAGACTTCAGCACGTCGCCTTAGCACGCACGAGGTCGCCAAGTCCTATTGAGGACGTCCAGCAGGTCGAAGCGACAGATCCTGAGGTTGATGCGATGCAGTACGATGAGGATGGAGTGGAGGAGGATTCTGATACCAGCAGTATCTACGAGGATGATCTTCTCGAGGTGGAGGAGGTAGAGGAGCCCAACTTTGAGGTGCTCCAGGAGTCTACTGGCCCGGCCGTGCCATCATCGCCGCTGCCAGAACGACCACAGTTGAGCCCACTAAAGGACTCCTTTTCAGCCGGCAACAAGATGCTCGGCGAAGAGCGACCGCACTTCTCACGAAAGCGCGGCGCCGGCGATGCTTCTGCGGCTTCAGAAGAGCCGGTGAACCAGACCTCGAAGGGGCCTGTGGAAGAGGACAAGAAACGCGAAAAGCGCGAGCCTGTGCCCCCATCCCGCAACACGAGACTCGCTGCTCGGAGATCGCTGGAGAAGAGCGCTGAGAGTTTCGAGCTGGCGTACGAGAGCCCACACTTTGGGAAGTCGAGCGAGAAGGCTTCAGAGCTTAGGCTGTTCTCGAAGCCTGCCCCTCCTCTGACATTGCAGGGCAAGGACAAGAGCAAGACGGCGGCGCCAGCAAGGCCGAGGACAGAGAAGACGGAGCAGCCTGCTGCTGCTCCGTCGTTTCCCAGGAATGCCAGAAGCAGGGCTGCTGCTACCTCCAAAAAGGTAACAGCAGCCACAGAGAAGCCTGAGGGTCCTGCAGAGAAGAAGCTCAGGAGGAGTCTACCTGACTCCGAACCAGACGAGGGTGGTGGCGCGAGGCTGCAAGTACTTGTGCCGGCTGCAGCGGACAAAGTCGAGCTGGTCGCGGCGCCTACCGGCAGTGACAGCAGCAGCAGCAGCAGCAGCAAATCAAATGCAGTGAACCTTGGCCCAAGACCTCAGGCACTGCAACAAACTTGCAGCCCCATCCGGCCTCAGGGATCCCGCTTGCTACCACCGCGCAGGAGAGTCCCTGCCATACCACAGAGCCCTCTGACCATGGAGGCCATTACGGCCAAGCTGGCGGCTTCCGAGCGGGAGGCGGATGCGGCGAGGGTGCGTGCCAAGCTCAAGGCTGCGAGGCTCGGGCGTAGGGCTGGCGGTACTTCGCCGCCAGGTGCCGCAGCGTCGCCCGCGAAGAACAAGACAGCGGCAGTGGCCTCGTCATCATCACCACCAGCCGTATCCGCCGCATCACAGGAGGAACATGAAGAGCCTGTCAAGAAGACCGTCAAGACGACCTCGTCGCCGATCAGGATCGTCGAGCCGGACTCGGGAGATGACCAGGAGGCCCATGACGCGGTGAGGGTTCAACCAGTGGTGGAGGACGGGGATTTGCTGGACGACCTGGCTGCTCCCGAGTCTCAGGAGGAGGTGGAGCAGCAGCATCAGCAAGGATCAAGTCCCAAGATCGAAGTCGTCAAGCGCAAGCGCGACAAGCGCCTGAACCAGGCGACCTCTCGCCGGGCGTCGAGGAGGCGGTCCACCCTGAGCCCGTGGGAGCTCGAGAGTCTGATCTCGGGGAACGTTGGGCCTCCTAGTCCGACACGGGGTTGAAGAAGAAAAAAACGGCCTTGGTCTCGGAGGGACTGGTTCATGCATTGACCAGTTCGGGATTGGGAATAGATAGGCGAAGGCATGGGCCCGGGGCGTTTGGGAAGGGCGGGAAGTGTTCTTTATTGGCAGGAGTTCGTTGTGTAGAATAATATACCATTGTTTGTTGTTGCTGATGCAAATCTCTGCCTGGCTCGGCCGATGTCATGTGCCCGGTGCTAGCTTCACGGTTCTGACGGGAGACTTGACCCTGCAAGTCCCTTCTCCGCAGGTGCACCTTTACTCGATATGGAATGGGAAGTGTTCTATCGACTCGCGTGGATATGCGGGACGTAGTCGTCCTGCTGGTGAACACAAGCTTAGATACATCAAGCTGGCTTGAAGCATGAGACCCTGATACAGCGCGGCTTTCCACGACCCTCTTTCGTCTTACTTGCAACTAGGAATGTTGATATGTTTAACTAAGAGTTTGGTCGAGGTGTGCTGATGTATGAACGTCAACGCCTGATGTGACCGGGTGTAATGATATGGCATGTTCTTATTCATCGCCGAGTTCTGCATATTTCTAGCATTTGACGGGCCTCTGAACGTGCAGAATAGTATAAGTGCTCTCTAGTTTAGAAACGCCTTTTGCAATTTCGCTGACATCGGGAGAAACATGGTTTGGTCGTTGTAACTTGGTGTATAGCTGGTCCTCGTTCTCGTGATCCTTCCGTTCCTGCTTGAATCACTAGAAAGACAAGAGAAGTCGACGAAAAGCTGCCAGTGGAAAGTGGTAAATATGCTTGGTTGCCCTGCCAAAGGCCTGCTTAACCTTTTTTTTTCCTTCCATTTTTTCTTTTTTTTTTCTCTTCTTCAACACTAAAGTCATATAAGCCAGGAGGTCTAAGAATCAGACGGCTGCCAAGCCTGAGAGGAAGGTCGTATCCTCCAGAGGGGCAGGCCATGGACATGCCACGCGGTGCATCGGCTGTCAACGACACGACACACGGCGATGTGGGTCGCTGCACACGATGCAACTATTCGCAACCCCAGCGCCGATCTCAACACCCCAACTTCAAACACTAACAACTCCACCACCTGACACGCGAAAATTGCCAAAATAGTCTCAAATTGTAGCCCGGAGTCTGGGGAACAAAATGGATGCAAAAGAATGGCAAAAAGGCGGCCCAGGGGGGCAAAAAGTGACCCTGACCCGATTTGAACGGATAACCTTCTGATGGCATTAATCGTCGTTATTCAACGATTTGATCCAAGTAACTGGAGTCAGACGCGCTACCGTTGCGCCACAAGGCCTGTTATGATTATTGGAAAACCCACCGCTTGGGTGCGTATATAACGCCTGCACGCATCGATGCCCCAATGGTGTAAGGCAGGCACGTCCGTCCAGGGCAGAACGACTCGCTTGTGCCTCCCTCTCGGAGACAACTACCTGCAACTTAATGACCCTGCTCTCCATGAAATTCTGGGGCGATTCAAGAAGCTTATGCACGTCTATACATTATGCATGGTTTTCGTCTCTAGAATGAGGACTTATATCTGTCGTGCTGCCCCTGTAAGAGTCCTCTGATTATTGGCTTTGTTGTTGACTGCAGGGAAATCCAAAGACACGCACTACAGAAGCATACCTGCCTGAAGTTGGGACCTTCAAACCCTGTATCATACTGAAGCGTGGCTACTAGAGGCAGCCGTGGAGGCAATCACAATGCTGTTTGCGTTCCTGCCGATGTTGATCTAACTCGCCAGACTCAACCCCGTCACATCACCTTTTCATGGGACTGACTTTGTGCATTACTTCTTCGACGTCAAAGCTCATTGCGAGCATTTTTGGACACCACCTTTCGCAGGAGTGCTTTTTTTGGAAGAATACTTTTCCGAGCGACGTTCGCTGTTTGATGATACAAGCAAATGCCAACAACCCTGTCTCCTTGGCAGCCGGACCGACACAGCAGCAAGGTTCTGCCCACCGGCATCCCTCGGACCTGCTCGCCCAAGAAGAGATCGCGCCAGTAATTGCGAGTGGTACAACACCGTCGATGTGTGGCGAGCGGTCTTGACGATATTCCTGCTCTTGGTAGGTACTTTGGTTCTCCAGAGCTCTCGCAGTCGATGTCGCCGTCTAGCGAATAGCAATTGTTGACAAACTGCATTCAAATCCCAAGATACTTCGGTACACCAGCTGTCTCGTCCAAAGTACAAACGTCGCCCGGCTTGTGTTGGCACCAGCTGAAAGCTCTCATGGTCGAGATGACCGCCATGCAGCGTCAGGCAGGGAGACCGCGGCGCCACCTCCGCTCCTCAAGCTCTGACCAGGACATCCTTGGCGATGCATCTCAGAGGGACAAGCAGACAAATTACAACATGGAAAGCAACGGGCTTCATACTTCACGTCAAGCAGATTCTGCGTTCTTGAACGATGATTGGAGAGTAAACCGGCGTCCACGGCGAGCTACAACTGGCTACGCCAAAAGTCCTGCGGCTGCCCCCTTTCCATCCCGCGAGCCCGTTGCGGACCACACACAACGACCGTCACGCCACGGGCTTCATGTAGACACTTCAGTCACCGACAGATTTGGTTCTTGCCGATATAGAGCCTCCCCGATCGACTCCGTCTTAATACATTCTGCTCCCGCCAGGGAAAAGCAGACGGCGCCTGTGCGAGTCGTCTCGTCCGAGTCTGATTCGTCATGGGAGATGATGCCAGCCACGGTTGAGGTCAAGTCTGGATCTCTGCAAAAGACCAGAGATGCAGGACGGTCAACTGTAACCAGACGCAACATACCACTGTTTCGCCTCCGGCACACTTCTTCAATGCACAGTTCCAGCTCAGATAACGAATGCCCTTCAACACTTTCCCCAGCGCTCTTCATCGAGCTCCGTCAAATTGGTGGCCACACGGCTCCATTTCGTCCTCGTCCATGGGGCCCCGATGACCTAGCTGTTCTAGAAAGCGCAACTTCGTCGGTACATTCTTCCGAGGAGAACGTAGACACTGGCTACTCTTCTGTGTCACAGGGAACGTCACAAACAAGGACTTCACGCGCGAGACTGCCTGATGAATCGAATCAAGATTCCAAAGGCGATGAGGTGGCAAATGAGCAGGCCCGTTTCTCAGCGTTGATTGAGAGACTACAAAAGTCAGCATCGAAGAAGCGAAATTCACCCACAGGATCGGTTATCGAAATTCGCCCTCCTCACTTGGCAGCAGGACCCTGTTCAAGTGGTTCTTACCAGTTGCACATCTCTCGCCCCAAAACCCCTGCGGTTTTGTCGGCATCAATGACCGCTTCAAATGAAGCAAAGCTGAATCCGAAGGCCCCAGAGTTTCGCGGGTCTCTCTTATCTGCTCCGGAGCCTCTAGTCTCGCAACCTTTCCAGTATCCACAGAGGCCCTTTCAACCTCCTTGGGGAGTCGACGGGGAGTCACTCCAAAGCTTCCCTGATCCTAATGTTACAAACGACCAAGCTCGCCATATCGTGCCCAGCTATGAAGTCTTCAACGAGACTCAAGCAGCATACAACCCCTCCGGCCTCTTTGTGCCTGTCGTTCCTCAAGATGAGAGTCAAATCACTTAGCAAGAAGATCTGAAGGCTCTGAAATCGTGTATGAGAGAGATTGCCGACAAGATTGAGGCTCTGACGAGAGCAAACAGCGGGACGAAGTCGGAACATGCTCACTGGTTCGGGGAAGGTGTTATCCCTCCGTTTCTTGAACCCAATCAATCTGCGGCACATCTCCCTGTACCATGCCCTGAACGATTCATGCCAGATTCCGTGCCTGGTCCATCGCGAGCACAACCTATGCCAGGAGAGCCTACCACTTCTGTTCGACAGGACCTGCTCGCCTTGCATGACCATCGTCATCTTACAGACCGACGCAAGCAGCTGGCGGCGTGGTGTCAGCCGACCCTGCAACATATTCTTAATGGAGCTCACTCGGGTGTTCATTTCTATCAGCCGCCGAAAGCCCTCACAAGAGATTCCTCCTACCCCCCTCATGCGCAAGGCCCGGTCCAGCCGCAGCCTTCTGCCCCCGCGGCAGCTGCCAGCGGCGTTACACAGCCTAGCCTCACAACCTTGCGCCCAACTCCAGAACAAATTCAGCAGTTATTCGGGCCCAAGCCAGTCCGCAAGCCACGAGGTCCAGTTCGCCCAGGCGATCGCCAGCATGGAATGCACCAGCAGCAGTATGAAGAGTACCTGGAGTGGAAACGGACAAGTGACCGAGCCTATGCTGAGCAGTGCCGCGAGAGGCAGGCTAGACGAGCAACCCGCTTACATGTTCGGCAGCAGCCGGGGGAATCAGCCGCGAGAACCGATGCTTGATATCTTCATGGGCACTATAGGGCATGTGGCCCTTTCAATGACCTTTACCTTATAGAACTGAAAGCGCTTTACAGAAGATTGGAGATTCGTGAGGAGGATGACAAAATCCTGCAGAGCATATGGTCTTTATCCAAACATCACCAATCAATCCAAGCTCAGAGTATAGTTTCATCATGTCAGATAGTGAGCGAGCAGAAATAGTGGGTAGATGAGGACCTAGCATGCTTCTCTCATCAAAACCAAAGAACTATGATTTGGAACACAACGTTGCCGCAGAGAATTATCGTACCTGCACATTTGGGATTGAGCTCAACTTGCCTCAAGCATGGATGATCGTCGTGACTTGCAAGCCGGATGATTGTGTACTGTGCGCCGTGTTGTATCCACACACTGTACCACCTACCATAGCTTTCATTCTGGAAGGTCCAGATTGGAGCTTCCCAGTCCCCACTAACATTCGCGACGACGACAGCAGAGAGCGCTACTGCTTGTTCAACAAACCGCGGAGCTGAACCATCACTTGCCTGTGGCGACCAATGCGTTGGACTGCATACGACTCGTGATGCGGTGAGGACCTCCAACATCAGCGACAACTCAGGTCGCCCGTTACCCTCCCGATGTGAAGCGCACAGTCGACCCGCGACGGCCACCACTTTCCGACATCCTGCTTGCTGGCCGACTTGCCTCGCTGCGACACGGACGCGAGGCCACGAAGGGGAGAGCTTCCTCTACCTGGCCCGGACTTTTCTCAATCGTTCGTGATCCCAATTCCACCACGACATGTCGACACCCATGCGCCACGGCCCCTCGCAGCAGGGCCGCACTCCGTCACAACATGCTGGGACGGCGCCGACACCCCAGGCCTCGACGCCATTCTCCAACTCACAGACACAAGCTGCCTTTTCACCTCGGGGGCCGCGATCGTCGCCCCAGCAGTTCAAGAAGTCGCCCGCGGCCAAGAACTCCCCAGCCAACATGGTGGGACATCCGAGCAATGCGCCCGTCAACTTTGACAGCCCCTCTGCGGCTGCTGCGCTCGGCGCACTGGGCATCAACGATCTCGGGCTCGACAACATCAGCATGAGCGGCATGGTCACAGGCTCCGGGCGCGGCAGCGAGGAAGAGTTCAGGAAGAAGCTGGACGATGTCATAGACATGCTCTGGGTAGGTAGCCAGCACGATTGCCATGCTTTGAAGCACGAGTAGGTGCTGACTGTTGAAGTAGAATGCAAAGAGTGCTCTTGTGAGCAACGACGGTCTGGAGCGTGTGGCAACACACCTCGGTCTCGAGTGTATGTGGGAGGATACGATAGGCGGAGGGGAAGGTGCCAAGACTCTAGTCATTGCCGGGACTGCTTTCTCGGTCGAGATCAATGTCAACAAGCACATTGTTCAAGAAGCTGCGCTTGCGTTCGGTGAAGAGATCCCCATCGTGGACAAGCATGTCGAGAAGGCGTCTGCTGTCCTTAAGGATGACCTCGTCCTCGCGCCTGGACAGACGCCGCTCACAAAGCGGTTGCGAGACTTCTGGAGCAACCTGGAACGCCTGAGGGATCTGGACAAGCTGAGCGTCAGCCCCGGCTTCAACTGCCATGAGGCCATCGCCGGTCTGTACGAGAGTCTGCACAGCCTCCATCAGTGGGACGTGACCAAGCTACGCGAGATACCAGAGCTGAGCGCAAAGCCGAACGAGCAGATAGAGGTTTGGGCGTTGGCCGCAAGAAACGGCGTACCACAGATGCATGTCCGCCACCGCGTCGGCCTCACACTCGACTACTGGATGGAGAAGTACAAGAGGGCTGCCACCCGCATCGGCAGGGAGGATGCAAAGACATGGGGCATCTACGTGAGCTGCACGCCAGCGGACAGTATCGCGTACAACCCCGTGCGAGTGTCCGACAAATGGATTGGGCCCAGTGTTGAGAAACTGAACCCGTCAGAGGAGGAGATGATGATGGCGGCGGGAAACCCAATCATTGACTGGTTGGAGCCGGCGCCCACGCTGCTACCCTCGAATGACAGCACAAAACCACAGTCAAGCATGGATCCAGCTGCCGATGGCATGCTGTCAGGCCCCAAGACCCCGGAGGTGGTCTTTATGGCCACCTTTGAGCCTCCCGTCATCGTGACGAACCACGCCGCACTCGAGATCTACAAGTTCTCCGGCACGCAGCCACAAATGACTACGACCACGTTTGACGCCTGGCTCTTCCCGATACCAAAGGGTACAATGTACGACCCCAGTGAGCCGCGTGTTATCGAGCATACTATGCAGGTGCCGACTTTTGCACGCCGCTTGGAGGGTCAAGAGCAGGACGAAGCAGAAGTCAAGTCCCACAGGAACACGCTCCATATATACAAGCCGGTCTATGGACAGGTTCTGAGAGCAGTTCCGTTCTCTCACCCGCGGGAGCTGGTCCAGATGCTGCCAACCTTACGCCAGTACGCATTTCTCTCGACACTGTTGTATCGCAGCTTCGCGCCAAAGCATGACGCCGATACATCAGGAGCGGGAGCATTACGGCCACAGCAGAGCCGGGCTAATGGCGCCGGCACGACCACTAACGGGACCACTCCAACAAAGAAGAGCGGCAGCACAGAAAACACGACGGCGATAAGCGACTTTGACAGCTTCATGTCTGGCACACAATCACAGCCAGCGCGCGGAGGTGCGACCGGAACAACGTCCGGTGAGGCGGATCGTTCATTGCTGGTTGACATCACCTTGACCGCACACCCCGTGCCGCGGCTCCAGGTCGTCTTCCCTTTCCGCTCCGAGACGGCCAATATCCAGCTCGAGATTCAGCCGGGCGGGAAAGTGCACATCATCTCAGACAATGTGTTTCCAACACATGGCATTGACAGCACGAGGCTTGGCAGCACGGGCAACAAGGCAAGAGGTGTGCTAGGATCGCTGTCCGCGGCACAGTGGGCCAAGAAGCTCGAGTTCACGGAGGATATTGGCGCCTGGGTCGAGCTCATCAAGCTTTCGCTTGAATGACGGCCATCTCGTGGATTCGAGTTGGCGAACGAGACTCAAGTAGATAGCACGTGGAAATATACCCTTATGGACGCACCTTGCGGTTCGAATAGATGCGTTTGATGTGAAGTCGATCATAGCAGTCTCATGTAACGTGATCCATGTCCATACTTTGGAACACTCTTAAGCTCCTTGCTTGTCTAGGTGTAAGAACAGCCTGGCAGGCTAGCCCTTTCATGATCGGGACTATTCAATCGAGCAACGCCCAGTCGCACGCGACAGCCCACCTCTCGAGACTATCGCCCAACGTGATCTCCCAAGTGGGCCTGGCTATGCCAACTATGATTCCAGGCTTGACTGGCCTCCTCTTGGCGATCCCTGGCGTCGTCCGGCCCTCGCCAGCGAGTATTATCTTCACCCGCAGATCAGGGCTCACTGCATAGCTGTCATGGTCTCGCCCTTGCCCGAGTGACGCATGAGGGTGACTTTCAGGCACTGCAGTGGTTACTGGCGCCACTGCGCCACCATCATAATCCATATTGTCGTGACTTTCGTCGACCTCTGCGGTTGTCAGATCGTCGCCAGGTTGGCCGGAAAATTCTGCTTCAAGCGCAATAATTTGATGTCCATGGACGAGATACATCCCGCCGGATCCTGCACTGACACGATCCTCCATGGAAGTCGTCACTTCGTCCACAACGACCCTCGCGAGCCAGTCCCCCTCTCGCTTTGATCCTGTTGCAGCTTCCATGTCGACGAGCCAGTCCCGAAGTTCAGAGGCGAGCCCGCCAGGTATATACTTATTTCCTCCTTTGTTGTTGCGTCGCGATGGCGAGAATGCTTCTGGAAGTGGATCGTAATGGCGCTCGTGTGGTTCAGCTCCGAAGCTTGTGCTGTGCTCAACGTCTTTCTGTCTGAACCGCGGTGCCCGATGGAAGGTGGGTTGTTGCTGCGGGCGTACTGAGAATGACGCTGTAGATTGTTGCACAGCCCCCAGATCCGCCCTCTCTATTGTTTGTTGGATGTCTGAATGATCTTGCTGAGCCTCCACCTGATAGTGGTCGCCGTCAATGTAGATGTTCATCTCGTCGTCTTCGGGGTTTTCCTCTCTTAAACGAGGGAGGCCGGGCTCTGCTTCGTTGAGCCCTCCATATGGCCCGACATCCTCATCGACCGCAGGACCCGTAGCGTCAGCTAATGACGGCGGGAGGTTTATATCTTTTTCTTCTTCTTCTTCTTCTTCTTCTTCTTCTTCTTCTTCTTCTTCTTCTTCATGCGGCAGCACAGAGGAGATTGATATGCGTCTCCGTTTAGGCGATGATGGACCTGGGTTCTCTTCTGCTGGTGGGGAACTGCTCCCGTTCGGATAATCGTCATCGAAATCCACCAGGCGAGCGTGCTTTGCAGCGTCTTGATCCCCAGGGCCGCCAGAAGGAGGCGATGACTCGGTCACTATCGATTCGAGCACATCACTGTCGTCCCTACCCGATCTCCGAGACGAGTGGCCCCGCGCAAAGGCAGCAGCAACGTGCGCTCCAAACTCTGGGCCGCGCTGCTCGAACCCGGAAGGTCCGAGAGCATCAGAACTCCTCTTATCCTCATCCTCTCCCGGGGACACAGAATGAGGAGGCAGTGGCGGTGAGCTGTCAATCAAGTCCTCATCGAACGAGCCCGTCCCTGGCCCTACGTTCTTGGCGCGAGAGGAGCGGAAATAGTGCCCGCTTGGAGGCGCAGCTGGGGTCGACGGCGGCTGTTCCTGCCGCTGTTGGGAGACCCTGGGCGTCGAGTGCAGAGAGAAACGGGGGTTTGCGTGGAACTGCTGCGAACCGGGATGGTGGTGGTGGTGTGCTACATGACTCTGTGCCGGAGGAAGTGAAGTCTTGGGCGTCTCATGCTGCTGGCGTTGTGATGATCCAGCTGTGCCGATGAGGCTGCCGGTCCCGCCATGGGATTTCCTGGGCACGAGAAAGCGGTTTGGCGTGGGTGTCTGGGAACATTGTCAACACGATGACTTTGGATTGGGCTCGAGAACGAAGCGAGGTGAAGCATACCGCAGGCGGGATAGGAGGAGGAGGCGGCATCTTGGTCACTGGACGTCTCGCGTCATTGCTGGTATGATCGCTCCGATGAGCCAACAATGAACCGTCGTGGGTGTTGTCATTTGCCCGATATGCAACCTGCCAAGTGGGATATAGCTCTGGAAAGCAATTCACATTGCGGCGCGCGTGGTGTGAATGTGCAGGCTCATGGGCCACGCATCGACAACATGTTGTAGTCGTGAAGGCCCACTCGGCCGTTCTTGCCGTCTCTCGGTTGCTTGACGTGACTAGTGGGAGCGAAGCACTGTGTGATTGGACCATGAGCTTACAAGGCTTCAACATCAAAAGCTGCGTCACCAACCACCTCTCATGGACTTTTTGAAAAGTCGTTCCAATTGTCTCATTGAGAATGCTCATGCCTAGAGGTACTGAAAGAATCCTCATTCCACCACCCAATGTAATACACCGTGCGCCATTTCTGATAGAATTCGTCCCATGTGCAGCCAAAAACTCCAACCATATGCCTGACAATTCCAGAAATCCCATTGACCGACTCCCCTCTACTCAAAAGAGCCCTTGCCAAATAATCCCCCAACAACGCCGGCGCGACCTTCCACTCCCTTCAATTTCTTCGCCTCGCGCTTCTTCTCCTTCTCAGCGACCGCCGCCCTTCTCTCTGTCTCCCGAGCAAAATAGTTGACACCGCTCTTTTTGCCCGCGTTCTTCTTGAGCTTGGCCTCCTCACCAAAGCCGGCCGCCTTGCCACCGTTCTGTTGCTTGCCACTAGCATTATTCGAGCCGCTTATAGAGCCTGCAACAGTCGAGGTCGACGATGATGACATGAGACTGTTGGTGGTTGCCCTGCGCAGGAGAGCTGGTACCTTGAACCCGCCGGTGGCAGAGGCAGCCGAGGCGAATGCTAAACGACTGCTGTTGCTGTTGTTGGACGCATTTGATCCTCCTCGCTTAAGTGCGATACGGTCCACAACGCTCGCTTTTGTATAGCCATGAAGGGTTCGGTTCTCCTTGTTCAACGAAGCAGTTGATGTTTGCTCCTCACCCTCGCTATCTGACCCAAAGTCTGTAGCAGGGATTATCGAAGCGTTTGGCTCCTCGAGTAGACTTGAGAGCGAGCGCTGGACCTCAGCCAGAGAGGAAGCTCGCTCCTCTCCACGAGCTCTTACTCGTTTAGTGACAGACGCAGTGCGCGTCGAATGATCGTCCATCCGTGAGCGTTTGCGACCCAAGTTAAGGCTCTGGCTGGTCGCCACGAGCTTCGATTGGCTATCGGGAACTGCATCACTATCGGTTCCGGTGGGTTCTTGACTTTGACTTTCTTCCTCGGCATGCTCGTCCGCAAAGTTATCGTCAAAATCCCAGTCATCCTCGCTGTCACGATCTTCAATACTCTTCATGAAGGCAGAGTTGCGAGGATTCTCGGCGATCTTGCCAATACGCTCATCAGCGAAGAGTGCCTTTTGCATCTTGGCAAACTGGCGACGCTTCATCCGACGCCGTGCTTCGCCGTCGTCGTCTGAATCAGATAGGTCGAAATCGTTGCCACCGCCACGGCGACGCTTGCGTAGCATCCCCGTAGTTATGTCGCGGAACAGCTTGTCGACCTGTGCCGCATCTGCGGCACGCGCGCGTTCACTACAACCAGAGTTAGCACATTAGAACAACCACAAATCTGAATGAGTGAGCTTACGCATGCAGACCAGCCAACTGCTGCTCGTCGGCGTCGTTTCCGGCAGTGTCGTCGATCATCATCTTGGCAAGCTCCTCGTCCTCTTCGCTTGAATCCTCGCCATCTGCACCTCCAAGTCCTGCGTACTCGTCCTCAGACTCTTCGGCCTGTTCCTCCACCATCTCAGTCGCCCTACTCTTCCTTCTGTCGAAACGAGCTTGCAGTCGCTTCTGCCTCCTTGCCGCCTTCTCCATACGTTTGAAAGCGTCCTCATCCGCTGCAGCTGCAGCATCAATAGCACTGATACCACCAACGGTCGCGGATGTTGCAGGTGTGGCTTCGCGGCTTGGAAGTGCCTCGGTGGGAGGGATGGTGGATCCGGGCGCGATGAGCTGCACTCGTCGCATGAGCTTGCCTCTCCTCTTTACCAGGGGCGATTCGGGGACGCCGTCGACCGTGGCGTTACCGTCCAGCACAGTCTCAATCGTCGACTGAGGCGGCTCGATGAAACGCTGCTTCAATGGAGAGAGTTCTTGGTAGCCGCCGTCTTGCGTCAGATCCAGGGCCTCGGACATCTGTGATCCTTCAGGGATCAGGCTGTCAAATCCGTGAATCTGTGACTGCGAGAAGTGGAGCTGAACTTCTTGTGTTTGAGTTTCGCCTCTGTTCAAGGTTGCTTCCTGCGTCGGCTGGCTGTTTAGAACCATGTTGCCGTCCTCTGCTTGCTCAGCTGTGGCCGAGAATTGCGAATCGGGAAAGTTATCGAAACTGGGCAGAAATTCTATTGGCGGCGACCCGCTGGCAGGACCGCCATCTTGGGTATCGTCCATGGTCCCAGCAAACATCTGCGTCAGCCCAAGACCTGCAGGTCGAGCAGCAGCAACTGGTAGTCCGGGGATGAAAGTCTTGGTTGCTGAACGCAGAACCGATGTTGGTACCTGGGGAGATTCGACAGATTGGCGCGCCGGCGATTCTGGCACAGCCGATTTGGGCTTTGGAGTGGCATCGACCTCGCCATCTTCGTCATCCGACACAATCTGGACATTTTTCCGAGAACGACGGGATTTCGGCGCAGGGGTCTGCAAAAGTGTATCAACACTCTCGTCCTCCTCCTCAGCATCTTCCTGGGCTTGAACCTCGAACAGAGCTGCCGAACCATGTGCTCCATTCTCGCCTGCATTAGTCTCAGCTTCATTCGCACCCTCATCATCAGATGCTATACTCTCATCCTCGTCACCTTCCTCATCGGAACCAGAAAGCTCGACTTCCTCGGCGTCGTCGACTTCACCATCGTCGCTGCCGTCATAGCTGTCGTCGTCACTATCGTCCCAAGCTAAGGGATCGAGCTCGCCGTTGGCCTTTTTCTCCTTGCGCTCCTTCTTCGACTCTTCTCGTTCACGCTGCATAATCTCCTCCACCTCCTGGCGAGCCTTGGCAACTATGTCTTCGATCTCCTCACGTTGCCGCTCGCGCTCCTCGTCTGTCTGAATGTGAATTCCTTTCGCACGCAGCTCTTCGAGGCGGCGGTCCCGTTCAAGCTTCGCCTGCTCGCGAGCCTTCTGCACGAGGGAGGTCTGGAGCTCAGTAGCTGAAATGGATGGGACTGCCCGTCGACCGCGGCCGGGGCCCTTGGGTGGTGATGAAAGGTTTGCGAGTCTCATGAGAGCAGTCATTGATGTCGAACACTCATCCTTCTTCGCCGGAAGCTTCTTCAGAATTTTGTCGATTGTGTTTGGCTTGGCGCTGACAATCTCAAGCTCGTCGTCGGAGTCAACCGTGACCAAGTTCGCCGGTACAGGCGGCATCTTCACGCGGACTTGGCGTTGCGGCGCTTTGCCTTTGCTCTGAGCCTGTTGCGGTGCGTTTGGCACCTCGCTTGCAGGAGCCTTGGCCGGATTGCTGACTTCCACAGTGGGCTCCTCGGTGGTCTTCTTGGCATCCGGAGGCGAGCTTGGGGGTGTGTCTTCGTCGGCCATTTCCACATCAGTTTGTTGCGGCGAAGTGGGCGAGGACGGTCTGCTGGATGTGTTGGGTGGGAGCTCCACGGGAGCGGCAGCCTCGGCTGGTGCTTCAGGCTGAACGCGAAAATTGAAACGCTCAAAGAGAGACGCTTTGGTAATCTTCTTGCGCGTCTTGGCCTCGTGCGCGAGCTGCAGACTTCGGGCCAATCGCTGAGTCTCGCGGTTCATTTCCTCCATAGCCTTCTTGCCGGCTTTGCGTGCAGGTCGTGATGCTTGCTGCGTGAGCTTGAGACCGCCAGCATCGTCGTCAATGTCAGATACATCGTCGTCCTCCTCACCATCTGACTTGTCGGATTTTGACTGCTCGGCCATCCTACGAGCGCGTTCTTCTTGTTTCTGAGCCTCCTCCCGCTCCTTGGCTTCCCTTTCTTGGCGTTTCCTCGCAACAAGGGCCAAGAAGCGGTCGTTCTTGGCCAGGTTCTGAGGCTCGTCGAGCTCGTCCTCATCGTCCGAACGTGCCGCCGCTGGGCGCTGAGGTGAGGGCGTGACAAATAGGCCTGGCGATGATGGGGCATCCGTGGCGGCGGCCGGTTCCGGCGTCCGGTTCCGAGCAGCTCGTATCCTCCTCCGCGGCAAAGTCTGCACCTCTTGACTCACTTCGTCGTGGGCATCTGTGGTTGAGCTTTCTGTGGCTTGCTCTGGAGACTTTGATTGCACGCCGGCGTGCATTCGTGCAGCCATGCGGCCGCGTGGTCTGATGATCTGCTCTTCCTCCTCGCTGCTCTCTGCTGAGCTCTTGTCGTCGTTGTCCGCACGCGTTGTTGGCGTAGAGCTCTTCTGCATCGCGGTCTTGAACAGGGCAGCCCTGTTGGGGCGGGAGTGTGGTTGCTGGTCCTCGTCTGAGCTGTCATCCACGGCAGCAAGCATGGCCTGGATCTTTGATCTGGGGCTCAATTGTGTTGGTGACTGGGGCGCGTCCCCAGCGGGTGACCCGGAACGTGGCGAGGTCATTGTCGTGGGTGTGTGTCGTCGAGGTCGGCGTGACGGTCTGTGTATAAGTCGGGGGCGTGGACATACGTAAAAACTGAGAGAACCAAAAAGTCGTGCACGCTCATATATGAAAAGATGCAGAGTAACTCAAAGGGACCAGTCTACCTCACGACCAGAGGCGTCTTGTACAATGCTCAAAGCAGTGGGGTGTGTGGGTGTTGGTGGTGTGCTGGAGCTCAGATGGGCTCTCATGGTTTTAAGGCTTGTGGTGCTTCCCGCGCGTTTCGACGCGTAAAGAGGTGCAGCCCCACAATTTCTTCCAACACGCCCGCGACTCCACTCCACACTACGCGTAGAGCGCGGCGCAATCCTGGGGAAGCACAGTGTTTCGCACATACCCCTGGCTCTGGCAACGTCATGCTCATACAATGTCCACCACGGCATGAGTTTTGTCGACTGGCGACGACGTTTGGCTCAGCATACGTGCATTGTGCCACCAGCGCATTTTTGAGACTTCTGTTGCCCACGTTGTGGCACTTATCTCATACTATGTGCCCATCCTCCTGGCAGAAGAGCGCAAACCAGCGTGACGAGGTGTACTTGAGCAACTTCAGTGGATGCCTCTTATGTACTATAGCAATGAGGTGGCAGGGCCTCACCAAAAGGCTCTATGTGTGGGGGTATCTGTAACCTAAATGTACATGGAACAAATATTTCGCTGGGAATACACCCTCCGCTTGTGCATGGCTGCATCTTCCGTGCATGTAACCGTTAACGCCTTGAAATGATTTTCGCCTTTTCGTTGCACCTCCTTGCTTCATGCGGGACTCGCAATGTCCCCATCCTCGTTTGCTCTAATGGCTGGCATTATCCGGACTCAGTGGGTGATTGATCGATGATGCTTCTGATATCTGTGCCAAGGCGGACAATCGAATCCACAGCCCAATCGGACCATGCAGTGGTGATTGAAGGTGCTCTTCGGCGAAGGCTTGTGACTCGGGGCGCAAGTCTGGTACTATCCTTGGTCCCAGCATGTTCGGACCATGTCCTGATGTCCGCTTTTCATGCAAGCCTTTTCGTGCGAGATCTGTACACTTCCAAATATCGTGGTTCATGCGTTGTTCATGATTCGAGCAATACATGAAAGGATGTCGTCATGCCGTAAGTTTCGTGGCGCTGATCATAGAGCCAGGCACGAATCAAGGATGCTGTCCAGCGACTGGACATCCTGGGCTTCTCCACCATCCCAGCCGTACTGGTCTGCGTCAACGTCCATGGCGTCAGGATCGTGGAAGCCATTCGTTAGGGCGGTCGTCTCCAGATTCAATTCCTCGAAAGGACCTGGTGTTTGATCCTGGATATATGTATAGTTGTTCCAGTGATCGAGCTCGCCCTCGCGGTAGCCGTAGATAATGGACCTGGTGACGATTGGTATCGTGGCTATGCCACAATCACCGAGTTCGAGAGCGAGTCGCAAATCGGCCATATCAAGTGGACCTCGCTCTCCAGCAGCACGTGCCTCGACGGGTAGCAGGCCGGCCTTGTCTCGGGAAAGCTCGCCTCTTGCCAAAGCCTGCTCTTCCCGCCGGAGCTGCTTCTTGTACTTGTGTGTCTGAATCCAGCTCGCACCGGACCCAAAGCCGGCACTGCTCGAGTCGCCCGGGCCATTGCTTTTCGTTCGCCGGAAGACTGTGGATAGAAACTCCTTGATATAAGTCTCGGCAGCCACAGACAAGTATTGTGCGGCATCACTTGTATGGCCACTGACGAGGCCGTTCTCATAGCACATTGGCAGCATTCGGGCCTCGATTGTTGCTTGGTCAGGGAATTCTCCGGACTCTACACCCAAAGGCTGACCGAACCTCTTCCGGATTTCCAAATCAAAGTCTTGACGACGGTTAGCCATAGGCTCAAGCCAGTCGGAATCAGGTACCAGCACTCACTCATCTTATTTAAGCCTGTAGCGCTCTGAGGAACATCCGGCGCGCGATGTGTCTTGCCGCGGTGATGCTCAGCAAACATGTTGGCCATGGACTCGAATGGATCAAACTGCAAGGTCACAGGTTAGCCAAAGATGGAAGGGTTTGTCTTTTGCATGGCTCCAAACCCACATCATTATGCGCAAGGTCTTTGATCCGCCGCCGGTCGCGACTGGGCAGTTGCATAACCTCTCCCTTGAGTCTCCGCTCGGCGGCATCACCAGTCACAGGCTTGGCGCCAGTGTTTGCGGTGGGTTTGTCATTAGCAGAAACCCATGGTGCAAGCCCCTGGTCGGGCATCTCCCTGGTGAGGTTTCCATATATGGCTGCAATCAGCTGGTTGTGGAGGTGATACCTGTCGCCATTCAGTGTCGCGAGAATCGGATCTACACGATCCGAATACTCTTGTTGATTGAGCTGACCTGTAGGTTGAGACACTGGTTAGCAGTCTGCATGGATTTGTGGAGAAATGGCGACGGTTATGACCAGATCACCAGGCAGGAGGAGGACGGCGCACCAAGTATGAATTTTGAGATGGACTCCTTGTACAGAGTCCATTGTTCGGGCCCGATGGCAAATTTGAGTGCGGAGTATAGCGGTTCGAGGTCTATACGTGCAGGAATGAAGTGGCTCGACTTTGTGACTTTTGGGATGGATGAGGAGGAGACGGTGATCGTTTTGAGGACGGGGGTCGTCTGCGCGACCAAAGGGCGGCTGAGCGCCGCTGGATCTATGTCAGGCATGGCTGCAATGGCTGCTGGGTCGGGCTGTGGATAGTAGCGAGCGGTATTGTGCGGGGCGAGCTTTTTGAGTCGATTTCAGCAGGGACAGGACGTGCTCGTAGGCTGCTCCTCGTCGTGATGTCGTGATGCGGAGGGCGGCGGGCGTGGAGCGCGGGATGCGGGACGAGATCAGGCGCGTCCGGCGGGCGTTGCAGGGGTGTAGAGCACGACACAGGCCGGCGGCGGCGACCAGAGCCCATGGGCCGAGTGCGCGACACCAATGCGATCGTGTTTCCGATAAGCAAGCGATGGAATAGAGATGCGAGGGCGGTGGTTCGCGATGCTGAAGGTGGTCGGCGTTCGGTGCCGCTCGCATGCGGTAGAGGTGAGGTTGTCCGAATTGGAGGGCAAGATTGGCGGCCGGTGCGCCGGCCCCAGAACGCAGCTACGCCCCGATGGCTCCAGACTTCAAGGGGCTTGGGACATATTGTGGGTACCCTCTACCCTGGGAGTCGCGCAGAAACACGTGCGCAGCCAAGTCGAGGAGACTCTCCAGTGCTGCATGCCTGATCATCTCCCTCAGTACGAGCAGCCACGCTCGATTGCACTGCATTTTGATCTCAACAGTGTCAGCTTGTCGTGCCAGGACCCGTGCAGCACCATTCTCCTTCAAATTTCATGGATGACCAAAATCGTGCGGGCGCTCATGTGTGATAATAGTATTCGGTCACCCCAGTTCGCGGGGCTGTCGAATAATAGGCCATGAGCGGTGACTCTACTTCTGCATTGCGGAAGAAACTTCTCAGGAGCTGGGCAATCCTCAAGGCCAGAGATGGATAATTTCCGAACTGCTAGAAATGATCGAGCGGAGCCGCATATTGTAACGTTGATAGTGTGTTCATCACGAGTGGCGCACTAATGCAGCGTGTGCCTGGCTACTGTAAATCGGTGGCTCTGCCAGTGCGCGGGCCCTCTATTGACAGATCGCAACTTCAGGGGTCCGATCCTGCGCCCAGCACCATTGACGCCTTTGCACCTCGGCTCGCGCTCCAACCACAGAGCCTCTCGCCGCCTCATTCCTGCTCCGCGACACCTGTTCAGAGCTTGGCCCTCGCCTATTACGATCCAGTCTTCTTTGAAGAGTCGGTCCTCTTGATCTTCTCTGCAAGATCTCTTCAAGACAATGAGGTGATTGGGACGCTGCCCACGTCAACCCCTCCGTGATGTCGTCAAGCAACCTACTATCCTTCGTAGGATGGTCTTTCCTCCCGAATGTACGGTCCCCCCTCCACACTCCAAACCAAAGGCTCATGACCTCCGATCCCGATAAACTAACACTTGTACTCGCTCAGCTCATTACAGGTTGGGTACAAACCATCTACTACGGCGTGACCATCCGCGCCGGCGAGCCCAAACCCACGCCGGGTACCCCGCGATATAACGAGCACCGACGCCGCATATACATCCTCGTCGTATCATGCTATCTTCTATACACAGTCTACGAGGCGGACTGGGTCCTGCAGCGCGCAGGCACCTTCTACTCGGATCTGGGCGTCCCCGTGGATGCTTCTGAGAAGGAGATCAAGAGCCGTTTCCGCCGCCTCGCGGCCATGCACCATCCAGACAAACTGGGCCCAGACGCCGGCTCGGACAGTGGCGACTTCTTCATGCAGCTCAAGACTGCGTCAGAGGTGCTCACCGACCCGGCCAAGCGGTTCGCCTACGAGCGCTTCGGGCCCGAGATGCTCAAGTGGCAACACTGCACCACCATCCGCGACTACATCATGCGCGGTGCCCAGGCTCTGATCCCGTACTACCTGCTCGCCGCCATCGTCATGTACGGCATGGGCATGATGGGCTACCTGGAATGGGGCAAGTACTGGCGCTGGCTCACGATTGTCGTGCTCTGCGTGTTCGAGCTGCACACGGTCACCCGCCCGGCGTATCCGCGCCTCGTGGCCGCAGTCATAAACCCGCTACTCACGCGCTTCACGCACCATGGGCCGTACCTGCCTTTCCAGCTCATCACTCTCGCCCGCAAGCTCAGCGTCACCTTCTACATCGCCCTGAGCCAGATCGGCCCGCTTGTGCTGCGGGGCGGGAACAACGCCAGTGGCAAGGGAGGCACGGCCGCCTCGACGGGAGATACGTCGGAGAAGGTGCTCCGGCAGACCCTGGACCGCATCGAGCAGGCGGCCCAGACCCTCGATGCTGACGCCTCGAGGCTCATGGAGCTCGAGATGGCACCGTTTGCGGGCGACCCGGCACTGGTCAATAGCATGCGAGGCAAGCTGCGCGAGTGGCTCGTGCAGAACACTATCCGCTCTGACCCCATGGTCAAGGATGCCCTGGGAAGGTCGTTCCAAAAGAGGCGCGCCGATGCGCCTGCTGGAGCAAAGGGCACTAGGTGATGGAGGATGGCTGGTTGTGTGGCTATTAGCTTGTGCCGTGAAAGCGGACACCAGGCATGGAGGCAGAATATACCCCGGACATTTATAGTTATCACAAGCAGCGCTAGTGTGAGAGATCAGTGCTTGTCTTACGATTTTCTAGGCATGCGTGTCCTCTAATCCACGTCCGGCGTGTCGTGGAGCCGAGCCTCCGATGGTATTATACACAAATAGACAACATGAGCATACAGAGTGTCTCTATCAATGCAGTACGCAGTCCAGTGTGGGCATGTAATCCATCACCACAGAGTTGCTCCCTGGAAGCGACTTCTCTCCATGCGTTTTGTCCTGAATGGTGAGCCGGCCATTATATACAGGACCCAGGTAGATTTACACAAACTCTGCTTCCGGAACCCCTGAACATCGTACTACTACAGTCTCTGACGACCTCTGGTCTCAATCGGGATCAACACCATCCCGACAAAGGCCGACAAGATCAGAATCGCGGACAGATATATAGGCATCGTAGTCCCGTCGCCAGGGACATTAGCAGCGAGGATGGGAGCGATGAGCCCCGTGACACGGTTGAGGAAGCTTGCGACGCCGGTGCCCGCGCCGCGGACGGGGGCCGGGAAGATCTCGGGCGTGAAGGCGTATAGCACGCCGTACATGATGTTCTGGCAGAAGGCCTCGACGCAGGTGAAGAAGAGCTGCAGGGACGAGGTCGTGCCGAACATGACAAACAGGAAGAGGAAGAGGGCCGAGACGAGCGTCGAGATGGCCAGGGTGCCCTTGCGCCCCAGGTAAGGCGAGGGCTGGTCAACCGAGTACGCGGCTAGTAGGCTCCCCGGGACGCCGACGGCGGACATGATGAAGTAGTTTCGGTATGCTTCCGGGGAGGTCGGGGTGCCTTCGTCGGCGACGGTGGGAGCGCTGTCCGTGCCGCCATGGGACAAGTACTGAGGCAGGAAGGCGTTGAAAAGTGGATAGCCCATGCCGATGGATGCCCAGCAGAACCAGATGAGGACTGTGGTGCGGGCGAGGAGCGGGTTGGCAAAGAGTGGCCGGATGTGGCTCAGAGACATGGAGGTCAGGTTCTTCCTGATGATGCTGACGATGGAGACCTGAGGCACGGGTTCGTGAGCCCGTCGATCCCCGTCCACCACGGCATCAAGGATTTCCTCTGTCAGCCATGTTTTCTTGCCATTGCGGTAAGCTATCCCGTGAACCACCGCAACGGCTTCTGCTTGCCGTCCTTTGCTGAGGAGGAACTTGGGACTTTCAAAAAGGTGAAAGAGGAAGAAGCGGAGGACGAACATAACCACAGTGATGACACCGATGGAAATGACGAAATACCGCCAGCCCGTCTCGACGGCATAATGCGTGATGTAGTACCACGCCAGGAAAGACGAGCACAACTGACCCACGGGCCACCAGACGGACAATAGCGTCAGCAATGAACTTGAGGCTTCGGGAAGAAATTCCAGAAACACAGCCCCGTCTACAGGCAAGTTGCCGCCGACGCCAGTGCCCATGCATGCGTACAGAAAGCAGACGCCACCCCAGCTGGAGGCGTAGCCTACCCAAATGCCGAAAATGCCTGTGATGAGGAGCGTTGCGTTGAACGCGATACGCCTGCCGATAATGTCCGCTCCCATGCCCCAGAAGAAGCTACCCAAGCATAAACCTGCAAACAATGAGCTGGTTGTATACCGAACCGTCTTTTCGGAAATGTCAAATTCTTGCGACAGCGAAGGGAGTGTCAAGGAAACGCCCTGGTCATCATGTCAGCGACTTTCGAGGGCGTGAGTTATTTTGATTCAGCCCCTAAGCACACTTACTTGCATCCACAGACTGATCGATGCGTTAGTAACAAGCAGGACTTGATATTTCTCGGCAGCGATTGACTTACTTGTCTGCAAACCAGCCAAACCCGCACAGAATGAATAGTTGCCAGTTATATCGGCCCATTCCGATATCCTGGATGGCCTTGTTGATGAGCTTGGACTTGACTGCAGCCGAGGAAAATTAGCTGATGGGATTTTCCCTAGTGGCTGCGAAAGTGTATCGTCGCATACGCTCATAGCTGGTCCACTGATGACCACGCTCGCCACCCCTGCGGATTTCTCTCCGAAGCCCCTCGATTGTGTACTCGGCAGCACTCATCTGTAGCATGCCAGTACCTTCGTCTTCGTCATCCTTGTCCACTGCGTCGTGAGAGCCGTCTTCCACTGCAGCCGGGTCGTACTCGTTTGGCGGCTCCTCGAACTCAGACTTGCCTGACCGAGCAGAATGGCTGTGAAGATGGGCCTCTTCCAGAGGCACCAGCACACCAGCATAATCATGGACAGACTCCTGTCGGCCAAAGCGCCACGCAAGGAACCTCATGATTCCGGCTCTGCATGCGAAGTGGAGAGTACTGGGAGGAATGAATTGTTCGATTTGGGCTGCGCACCAAAGATTTCATTCCAGTATTGACGGTGAAGTCAACGAACACGACTAAACACCGTCCCTAGGAGCTCTGAGTGGTGACAATTGGAAAGATGGCTCTGGACGCGTGGCAGCGTACAAATGCGGAGACTGTCGGATGGCAGCGAAACAGGTATTGAACTCCAGCCTGTGGGACGAGCACAGCACGGAGGACCTGTCTGCTTGGAGCCGAAGGCCGCGCGACTTGAGACTCCGGGAGGAAGAGGTTGCGACGGGACAAGGTCTCTGTCGTGGGCTGGGTGATGGAGGTTCGGTGGGATCAGTTACATGGAGTGCGTGATACCGAAAATTATGGTGCTGCTGTATCCCAGTAGATTAACACAGACTGCCGGCGTGCTTCAGCGTACGTGGCAGGGTCAGCTGATGGGGCTCTAGCGGTCTACAGGGCGGTGCAGTCAGCTGAGCATCCGGGGCTGCATGGAGTGCATGCATGCATGCATGCCCACTGGAATTGGTCAGCATAAATGTCATCACCACCAGGACCACAAAATTACGCACATTGTCATGTCTTAGACGACTCGAAGCGGCTCCTTCGAGCATGCTGCTTCCATTATGGCATCGAATCATCGGATTTGGGGCTTGCAACATTGATCTGCAGGTTTGTTACAGACGTCCCTCTGGACAAGACCGCTGGCTAGTTCCGAGCTCAAGTCAACTTATGCGGACTAAGCGCTAGGCGCTTCTGCTTGACTTCGTGCCTCCCTAGGGCGCCATTCCTGCCATCAGCTTCCCGGTTGCCACACACAAGATGCAAGCCCAATATCTTCGGTTTCCAGTTATCGCTTCATGAGACTACATGCATTACCAAGGTACGCTAGGTACTTCAGTAACATACCCCTCAGATCCACCACGAGGGTAAACACAACTGCAACGGGAGGCATCATGTACAGCGACCACAATAGCCACAAGCTTCTGAACAGGCTGTCAGATCACCCTCATCCTCATCCTCATCCCATTGTACAGCCGCGACTGCTACTTCTCGCTTCTTTACCTTACGCTCAAGCCCCCGAGCTGTCCAGGCACTTTCGACTGCTGAAGAGAGTGCGTGTCCCGCGTCTGGCAGCTGCTCGCGAATTTCGAGCTTGCCAGGTGTTGAGTGACACAGCTCGATCTTGCCGTCTGACCTATCTTTGACTTGTTTCATGATGACTCTCATGAGTACCGCCAAGGCTGCGAGACCCTCGGCATTATCCTTCTCCCACGTGGAGATTCTGCCACGGGCATCAAGGATGCGGATGTCATCGAACAGCCCACTCTTGTGGAAGGCGACGACGAAATTGGGGACTTGAGTCACCCATAGCCGTGGCAACTCACCGCCAAGGATGTCATCATCGGCTTTCCTCGCACTTCGTGTTTTGAGGTCGAAGATCGCCTCCTCGCCGACGACGCTTCCAGCATATTTGATCTTGAGAGTCTGGTTATTTGCTGGCTCGAGAGATGAGACATGAACCTCATTCACCCCTTGCACGAGGCAGTATGGGTCAGCACCCGGCACGACTGGTGCTGCGATTCCTCCCGTCGTCACCTTGTCTGGGAGAAACCCATCCGCCTCGTAACGAAGCAGAATTGTCAACCCGCCGAATCGGTATTTGATCAGCCGCTGATGGGAAGCGGAACTTTTGACCTCTCGGTTCCAATTTGTGTATGCTTCCGGGAAGGTGTGTCCGTAGCCCATGACGTCGGGAATAAGTTCCTTTGGAGAGTTCTCGCGGCGCGTGAAGAAGACGGTGCCTCCCACCTCTTCCACTAGCATTCGGAAAGCCTTGTCTCCGCCACGAGCAAAACGTGCCAGATTACCAAATGTGCTTGCACATAAGACCACGTCGATGCCCTCATCAATATTGAGCTGCGAGTCTAAATTCAATGCTGCGAGCACTGCTGGTTCGAGGGGGTGCTGGGGGAATCTGGCAGCATTGCGGTCTCGAAAGTACTGCCCACCATCCGGTTGTAATCTTCGAGGTTTCTTGAGTGGCTGCCACTGCGCCGGCATGCCTAAGCACGATGACTGTTAGCATCAGGAGCATCACTCCGAGACACGGAGCGTACCTGGCACCACAATTGTCGGCTCTGTGGCATCAAGCCAATTGAACGAACCAACGTGAGTGCACTCAGAGATGGAAGCGGACGACTGGTACTGTGCGGCATCATGCTTGAGGTCGCTGACTTGCAAGGTACGGATGCTTCTACCAAGTGGGAAGCTAGGCGGGATTGCTTGCGCAGAGCTCAGGGTACCTCGCGGATTGTAGCGTGTCCATCGCCTCGAGGCATGAACGCCGTGATGATGAGCAGCATACATTCTGCAAATGAGCGAGCTGTGAAAGCACAGCGCGAGTGGATGACGAGATTCGCTACTTCCATGTAGGTCAAGTGCGAGCACTTCTGCGATCATATCGTTTTCTTTGTGTCGGGAGAGCCGCTGGCTAAATACCGTTGGCATCCCTCAAACCGCCTGACTTGACACAGCCCAGCCAAGATGCCTCCGCAAAGGTTGACATGCAGCCAGAGCCGCGTTAGGCAGAAACCTCGTCTTTCGGTGAAAGCTTTCGCCAAAAGGTCACAGCCTTGTGCGTCCTGCTCGTTTGGACCGCATCGAAGCTATGTCGTGTTGGTCCCCCGCCCCCTTCCCCGTGGTCGGCCACCTGCATGCATGGATGGTTGGCCTCCCGCATGTTGCATGATGAGCTGGTCGGCAGCCGACCAACTCGCTCAAGAAACGACCCAATCCCGGCATCTGGTTTCGGGCTGGGTACGACGTGTGCCAAACCATGCTTTGGACCGTTTGGGCGCATATCAGGCAGCTTCTTAAAGTGCCTGGTCCTGTCAGGGATCTGCTGATAATAACTCAAGCAGGCCTTTTCTACTCACATATCAGTACAGTTCCTCACATGAGAGGAGCTAAAAGCCACTCTTACCACCGGGATAACCTTCAAAATCCTTCAAAGCACCAAAGGACATTACTTTACAGTCGCATCCGCTCCTCCACCGTCGCCAGTAAATCAACCATGGTTTCTCAACCGGAGAGCACTCTCCGTTCGACCAAGCTCCGGAAGCGCCTGAAGGAAATTCTTACAGGATCCACTCAGATACACACTTCAAGAGAGGCACAACTCTTCATCGAAGCCTTGAATGATTGTGAAGCACCAGCGCAGTGTGCCGAGCAGCTAATCACAAGTCCCCACGGCTTAGATGCACTTCGCACTAGTGTTCGCTTAGACGTCTCTCCTGAGTTCGTCCGCAACCATGCTATAAGGACAATCTCCCTGATCACTGATCCAGTGGTCGAGCGTCTCGCAAGTGGACTCGTCCGCACGAAGCTTCTTCTGGCTTTGATGGAGCCCCCAACATTTTGGGTGGCCCTACTTGATGTGTTCATGGCTCTCAAAATTGACATTAAGTACCACGAATGCTTCGCGGAGCTTGTATATGCAATTGCGACTATGCCAGAATTTTCCGCTGACATTTTCACCTCTGGGGTGAGGCGTGTCATGGATACCGCCCTGCTAAAAGAGTCCTCACTGGCAGCTGTGCGCGATCTTGCTCGCAAAATCGAACACGCGCTCTGCTTAAGGCTCGGGGTCGCTCAAGAAGACGAGAATTTCCCTGGCGGCGGCAGGCACGACAATGACTTTGCGAGCTTCAGAGATATTGCTATTTACCCAACACCAGGCGAGTTTGCCACTACTGCTCGACCATTTCTACGCCAAGCCGACCAGGTGTTTATGGTCGATGAGGCAAGTCGAGCAGAAGTCCACTTGGACAACCAATATAGACTCCTTCGTGAGGATATGCTTGGTGAAATCCGCAGCGAGATGCAGATCTGTCTTGGACAGAAAAAAGGTCGGCGCTCAGCACTCATCTTGGGACCTCTTCAGGCACGGGAAATCGAACTCGGTGATGACAGACGAAGCCGCAAGCCGCTCCTTGCTGTATCTTGCCGGTCCGGCATCCCTCAGCTTCAGGGTCTGAACATGAAGCAGCGAAGGGACTACCTGGCACGGCACCCGCGCTTCCTCAAGCGCAACACGTTCGGTGCTCTGCTCAGAGGAGACGAAGTCTGTGGTTTTGCATGTCTGGAGAGTAACGACGCCTCAATCTGCGACGGCATTCTGCACCTCAGATTTGATGACACTGCGTCACTTCGCAGAGCTCTGACGACGCTCAAGCAACCCGGTGATATACGCTTCGTTCTTGTGGATGCACCGGTGTTTGCCTACAGGCCTGTTCTCGAGCAGCTCAAGCAGCTTCAGGGTTCCCCACTGATGGATATGTTCTTGGGTGGTCCACAGCACGCTTGGGACGAGAAAAACACGATTTCTGCCTCTCAAGAAGTTCTCAGACTGAGCGAAACCTTGCTCGGGAGCGATGAACCTGCCTCAGTGCTTCGTAAAATGGATATTGAGGTGGATTCCCTTGATCATTGCCAGACTACAGCCATTGCTCATGCAATAAGCCGGAAGGTGACACTGATCCACGGGCCGCCTGGTTAGCCTGCCCTTCAAACTCACCCATCTTGCCGGGATATGCTTTCTAACAATTAACCATCACCAAGCACGGGAAAGTCATTCACTGGATCCATTATCGCCATGATTATCTACAAACTGACGAAGCTCAAGATCCTCGTAATGAGCTATACAAATCACGCTACAGACCAATTCATTACTGATCTCCGCGAAATCGGCATTGAAGAGGCAGACATCCTCCGCCTTGGCTCAAAAGGAAGTGAGGAGACAGCAATGATGTCTTTGGCGAATAAGCATGCCGCATTCCGGCGGTCGCAGACCTCGTGGCGGCTTATCGATGAGCTCAAGTCCGAGCAAGATGCGTCAAGAGACAGCATCACTTCACTGTTCGATCAGTATTTGCGCTTCGATGCTTCTTTTGAAACAATCATGGAATTCCTCGAGTTCTCCGACGATTTTGCACATTTCTTTGATGCCTTTACATTGCCCACAGACCTAGACGGGTGGCGCAACGTGGGGGAGAAAGGGAAAGAACTGAAGGCTGATTACCTTTGGACACGGTGGATACATGGTCAAGGACCAGGTGCCCTCGCCAAGTCTGTCCCGAAACATGCTGAAGTCGTTTAGGACATGGATTCCGGATCCCGCAAACAACAGCTTGATCAGTGGCTCAATTCTCTGCTTTCTGAGAGAGTCGATGCTCTCGGCGCATTGATCAGCAAATATGACGACAACCAATCAAAGCTCGACGAGTGTTCAAGGAAGCCAAGACTGAAGTGATTCGTTCCTCCAGAGTCATCGCTTGCACGACGACTGGCGCTGCTATGTTTGCCAACCAAATTCGAGAAGCCAAGCCGGATTTCGTGATATACGAGGAAGCTGGCGAGATCCAAGAGTGTCACACACTGACGTCGTTGCGCGAGTCGGTCGGCCAGGTCGTTTTCATTGGCGACCATAAACAGTTGCGGCCCAAGGTCAACAACTATGCACTCACTGTTGAAAAAGGCGATGGGTTTGACCTGAACATGTCAATGTTCGAGAGACTGATCGTACATGGTTTCCCTCATACTACTTTGCAGGCACAGCATCGTATGCATCCCGAAATTTCGCTGTTTGCTCGAGCGTTAACTTACCCTGATCTCGAAGACGGACCGAGAACTAGACTGAGAAGGCCCATCACCGGACTACAGGATCGTGTCATATTCGTGAATCATGAGCACAAAGAGACCGACATGGTCGAATTGACAAATCAGAGAGACCCGACCCAGAAGGGTAGCAAGGAAAACCAGTTCGAGGCTGCCATGGTGCTGAGTATCGTGCGCTATCTGGTACAGCAGGGGTACGGCACAGACAAAATGGTTGTTCTGACTCCTTACCTTGGGCAGTTGCGTCTGCTGCGCGACAAGTTGCAAGCGGAAAACGACCCCATACTCAACGACATGGATGCCTCGAGTCTGTTGCAGGCAGGCCTACTGACCGCAGCCGCCGCCAAGGCCAACAGAAGATCGCTTCGCCTGGCTACCATTGACAACTACCAAGGCGAAGAGAGCGACATTGTCATCGCTTCGTTGACGAGGGGCAATGACCGAGGAGATATCGGCTTCATGTCTTCTCCAGAAAGGCTGAATGTCCTGATCACACGATCACGGAGCTGTCTTATACTGGTCGGGAACATGGAGACGTTCCAGAAGAGTAGGGCAAAAGACGTTTGGGCCAAGTTCTTCACGCTCCTTCGCCGACATGGCCACCTGTACGACGGACTGCCCATAATCTGCGATCGCCACCCGGAGCGAAAGGCGTCGCTGACCACACCGGCCGACTTCGACACATCTTGCCCCGACGGCGGCTGTGTTGAGCCATGCGGAGCACTCCTGGCTTGTAATGCCCACAAGTGTCCCCGACGATGCCATCGTGTATCGGACCATGCACAAATGCAGTGCACACGCATAATTGATAAGAAGTGCGACAAGGGCCATCAGATACAGACGAAGTGCCATGCTCAAAATGAACCGTGTCTTGTCTGCAAAAAGGAAAGAGCTGAAAGAGAAGTGAAGAGAAGACAACAGGAGGAGATGGTGAAACGACAGCTAGAACTTGAGAGAGACCGTTTGATGCGTCAGGAGCAGATGGTTAGGAGAGACTTTGAACTTGAGAAAACACGTCTGATGCGTCAAGAAGCATACAGACGCGAACTCAAAGCTGTAGAGGACGAGATACTTCGCCAACGACGCCAAATGCAATCCATGGACGAGGAAGAGCGAGAGAGGAAGACCCTGAAGCAGAAACGACAGGATCTAAAAGATCTGGAAGCAACCCACCAGCGTCTCAAGCTCCAGAAAGAGAAGCAAAAGAAGCAGAGCCATTCCAAAGCTAAAAGCGAAAGCAACGAGCCGGTACTTCATCCCACTGGCATGCCAGACGCCGATGCCCAGGAGGGAGCACAGGCAGAATGGGCTCATCTCAAGCGATATGAAGGTGCTCAGAGTCAAGAACTCGATGAGCTCATGCGCATGATTGGCCTCGAGGCAGTCAAGGTGGAGTTCCTCAGCATCAAGAACACGGTTGACACCAAACTCCGACAAAACGTTTCGCTCGCCACACAGCGATTCAGCTGCTCTCTGCTTGGTAATCCTGGCACAGGTCTGTCTCAATTACTCTGACTCGATTCCCTCCGTGTGCTAACTCAATAGCAGGCAAAACTACTGTCGCAAGGCTATATGCCAAGTTCTTAACGTCGTTGGGTGTCATCCCTGGAGCAAGGTTCGAGGAGACCACTGGCTCGAAGCTCGCGAGCGGAGGTGTCAAAGGATGCGAAGGCATCATCCAAACCATCCTCAACGATGGCGGAGGTGTTCTCTTCATCGACGAGGCATGCCAAATGACAAGTGGAAACTCCCAAGGGGGCGCTGCTGTCCTTGACTACCTCCTGCCCGAGGTTGAAAACCTGACCGGAAAAGTGGCATTCGTCCTGGCTGGCTACAATAAGCAGATGGAGAGTTTCTTCGCCCACAATCCTGGTCTGCCCAGTCGATTTCCGATTGAGATGAAGTTTGACGGTTATTCAGACGAGGAGCTCCGCCGCATTCTGGAGCTAAAGACCAAAAAGAGCTACCAAGGTCGGATGAAGTGTGAGGATGGTTTCTCTGGTCTCTACTGTCGCATTGTCGCTCGGCGCATTGGCCGTGGTCGGGGCCGAGAAGGATTTGGCAATGCACGTACAGTCGAGAACACTCTAGCAGTCATCAGCAAGCGACAGGCAAGGCGACTCATGCGTGAACGCAAGGCCGGTAAGAAGCATGACGACCTGTTCTTCACCAAAGAGGACCTGATCGGTCCAGAGCCGAAGCTTGCACTCAGTAAATCGAAGGGATGGAATGACTTGCGTCAGTTGACGGGTCTGACGAGTGTCAAACAAGCAGTTGGTGCACTCGTCGACTGCATCCAGCAAAACTACCAGCGAGAGCTGCAGGAGGAAGCACTGATTGAATTCTCACTCAACAAAGTCTTCCTCGGCAACCCAGGCACTGGCAAGACCACTGTAGCCAAGATTTATGGACAGATTCTCGTCGATCTTGGGCTACTGTCCAAAGGAGAAGGTAAGAAGAATGGTGACGACAATAGCGAATGATCTCGGGATGCGCTAACTCGAAGTCGTTCCAGTCATTGTCAAAAACCCGTCTGACTTCGTTGGCGCGGTGCTTGGTCAGTCCGAACAGCAGACAAAAGGCATACTGGCCGCCAGCCAGGGCAAAGTCCTCGTCATTGACGAAGCATATGCCCTGTACGGTGGTGGCACCTCACAAGGTGCACAGGGTGATCTGTACAAGACCGCGGTCATCGACACGATTGTGGCAGAAGTCCAGAACGTGCCTGGGGATGATCGTTGCGTGCTTCTCCTCGGGTATCGGGACCAGCTGGAAATCATGTTCCAGAACGTGAACCCTGGCCTGAGCCGTCGTTTTCCTATTGCATCTGGATTTGTCTTTGAGGACTTTACGGACACGGAGCTGCGTACAATCCTTGACCTCAAGTTGCGGAAACAATCATACGAAGCCACTGGCCAGGGTATAGACGTGGCCATGGACATGCTCCGCAGAGCACGGAATCGTCCCAACTTTGGGAACGCAGGCGAGATAGATATTATCTTGAACGATGCCAAGACACGACACCAGTCTAGGTTCACCAAAGGAGTGACGAGATTTGCAAATCGCCTCGAAGCCGTGGACTTTGATAAAGATTTCAATCGCACAGAGCATGCTGCAACCAACATAAGGCAGCTGTTCCAAGGGACGGTCGGGAGCGACGAGATTGCGGCTAGATTCGAGCACATCCAAAGGACAGTCCAGGCCATGAAGGCACTCGACCTCGACCCAAAGGACATTGTACCTTTCAATTTCATCTTTAAAGGACCCCCGGGGACCGGCAAGACCACAACCGCGAAGAAAGTAGGCAAAATATTCTATGACCTCGGCTTCCTGGCGTCGGCCAAGGTCGAGGAGTGCTCCGCCACCGACATCATCGGCCAGTACATAGGCCATACTGGGCCCAAGGTGCAGCAGATGCTGGACAAGGCGCTTGGCAAGGTCCTTTTCATCGATGAGGCATATCGACTGGCCGAAGGTCACTTTGCCAAAGAGGCCATCGACGAGCTCGTGGACGCCGTAACCAAAGACAAGTATCACAAGAAACTGATCATTGTCCTTGCGGGCTACGAGGCCGACATCGAGCGGCTCATGACCGTCAATGAGGGACTCACGTCTCGCTTCCCGGAGATACTCAATTTCCGAGGCCTGTCGTCAGACGAGTGCATCACGCTCCTGACGCAGAGCTTGGCGAAGCGGCGTAAGAGTTTGAAGCAGAAGAGCGAGGCCAACAACTTAGCACTCGATGAGCTGGAGCAACCGACGAAAGAGTTTCGCGCAGCCATGTGCGATCTTTTCAATCAGCTGACGTCTCAGCCGGGCTGGGCCAATGCCAGGGACGTCTTGGAACTCTCAAACTCCATGTTTAGAACGGCGCTGCTCAAAAACACTCCTGGTTCGAGGACCGTGGTTGTTGACGCGGGAATCATCCGGTCCGAGCTACGAAAGCTATATGAGAAAAGACAGCCACGAGGAAACAAGCCTAGGCAAGGACGCGATCTGGCCAGCCTGGATCGAGAAATGCCGCTGCAATTTGCTCGACCTGATACCGCTCTTGCACAAAAGCTTGCCACAACACATAGCATAATGGCCGCGCCTTTGGAGGAAGAGAGCGCCTTGGAACAGGAAGATGAGAAGCAACCTGCACCTGGAGCTGAGGACTCCAGCCCAAACCGGAAGATGGGCAGGAGAGCGCACCGAGACGCAGGTGTCAGCGATGAGGTGTGGGACCAGCTGCAGCGTGATCAGGAAGCTGAAATAGAGAAGGAGCAGGAGTACCAAGCGTTGCTGGCAGCGAAGCAGGACGCCGAGGACCAGGCGGAGCGAGACGCCATCGTCCGGAGGCTAATGAAGGAGGAGGAGCGACGCAAACGGGAGCAGGCCATGCGTAAGAGACTGGAGGTGATGGGGGTCTGCCCCGTGGGCTACGCTTGGATCAAGCAGAGCCATGGATATCGCTGCGCCGGAGGCTCACATTTCCTGTCCAACGAGCAGTTGGGTCAGATGTCGTGTTAGGCAGGCGGCTTGGCAAGGCGGACAGGGGGTTCTGATGCCATTATTCACGTGATGAGCAGTGAACATGTCATTACTTATGCGCAATTACAAGAGTCCGGTGCAATGCAGTACCACATTGTCAGGCGTGCCCGTGTCACATGAGAAGTAGCCGTGGGATGATTATGGCCTAAGGTTGGTGGTGGATGACGGAGCCTGCCTGCGTTGCTAATTGCATGGGGCAGGCACCCCCACAGGTTCCCACGGCAGGGCTGCAGGGTGTCCCGTCCCTCGGGATGGCTTACCCTAGGGGGTGTAGGCCCCACCACGGGCATCATGGGGTGCCTGCTGGCTGCTGACACTGTGACTGCCCCGCACCACCCGCGCTCAGCTGCTCCCCGTGCCTGATCAACGGCACAGCGAGACATTCATTACGCATCCAGCACCAGCAGAGCCAGCCGCTCCCGCTACTACTACACGGCCAGTCCCTCAGCCTCTCTTCCCACAGCTCCAGGAAACACACCACTACATTTTCCCACACGACTACCCTACGCCCCCAGAGTCGCGCCGCCAGGGCGCAGCGTTTCGCAACCTGCCGCCTTGTCAAGCAAGGCCTGACATCATCGCAACCGACAACCCCGCATTCACACTTCCAGCCAGAGAGCTCGGCCAGCACACTGCGCCTGCCTGCCTACCATGGCCGCCCTCAAGTTTGCGCCCTTCGCCTCCGAGATCGAGCTGCCCTTCTACTCGGCCCTCTTCGCTCTCAAGCTCGACCATGACAAGCTCAGCGACTCGGCCAGGCCCGTCCTCGGCGTCTACGAGCCCCGCCCCGGCTCTACTCCCGACGACAGCGTCCGCATGCAGGTCCTCGCCAGCGCCCTCTCGAGCAACCAGTAAGTCCAGCCAGAACTGTACTTAGACTAGGCCGCATGGGAGGAGGCGGACGTGACCGACTGACTGACTGACTGACTGTCTCTCGCCTTGCGCAGTGTTCCGCACAACGCCGTCCGCGCCGAGGGCGTCATCCGCAACACAAACACGCTCGATGCCTTCAAGCAGGTCGACAAGACCGAGATGATCCAGAATGCGGCCCGGCAAGTGCGTATAACAAATCGCGACGTCGGTCTAGACTTTAGGGCACTGACACAGTGATGTGGCAGATCTGGGATGCAATCAAGGACGGCACCATCTACTCGGTCCCCTCGCTTCTCTCTCACTACATTATCCTCTCGTATGCCGACCTCAAGAAATATCGCATGACGTACTGGTTTGGCTTTCCGACGCTGCACTCGGATCCTCAATGGAAACGCACGAGCGACATCCTCCGACTCAACCCGAGCGAGAGCACGGCTCTGGTAGACCGTGTGGGGACGTGGCGGTACACGGTCGACAACAGGGAGCACGGCTTCTTCCTGGCCAAGAAGGTGCGCAACACCGAGCCCGAGGTCCGGCGGTCGTCGATCGATACACCCACAGAGGATATAGGCTACACATGGGAGGTTGCGTCCCTGCGCGACTTTGAGTCTGGCTTTTTCAATGAAGTCCCGGCAGAGGACCAGTTCGTGTGCTTCGTCGACCCGTCGTCATACGAAGAGCACCCTGCTTGGCCGCTACGAAACCTGCTGGTTTTGATCAGGCAGCGGTTCCACCTGTCCAAGGTTCAGATCATGTGCTACAGAGACATCCAGTCACGCAGGCACGAGGCGCGCAGCATTATATTGCCCCTTTCGATGGATTCCGTGTCAGACTTTGAGACAAACGAAATGCCCAAGGTCACAGGCTGGGAACGGAATGCTGCTGGAAAGCTGATGGCGAGGTCTGTCAGCTTGGCCGAGTCCATGGACCCTGCGCGGCTGGCTGACCAGTCGGTTGATCTCAACCTCAAACTCATGAAGTGGAGGATATCCCCGAATCTGGACCTCGACGTGATCAAGAACACAAAATGTCTCTTGCTGGGTGCAGGGACCCTGGGCAGCTATGTGTCGCGGAACCTAATGGGGTGGGGAGTGCGGAAGATCACATTTATTGACTACGGGGCCGTATCCTTCTCGAACCCCGTGCGGCAACCACTATTCACATTCAACGACTGCCTCAACGGAGGCGCACCGAAAGCGAAACGAGCCGCCGAGGTACTGAAAGAGATCTACCCTGGCGTGGAGAGTGAGGGCCATGTGCTCTCAGTGCCGATGCTGGGTCACGCCGTGACCGACAAGACCGAGGCCGACTTCCAGCACCTCCAGAAGCTCATCGAAGAGCACGACGCCATCTTCTTGCTCATGGACAGCAGAGAGTCGAGGTGGCTGCCAACAATTATGGGCAAGGCGGCGGGCAAGATTGTCATGAACGCTGCATTGGGCTTCGACACGTACGTGGTCATGAGGCACGGGGCGGAGCCCAAGGATGGGAGTGACGACACGCTTGGCTGCTACTTCTGCAACGACGTTGTGGCTCCAGGAGACGTGAGTACAATATGGCCACCGGACTAACTTGAACCAATACTAACTCGATTTTATTAGTCCCAAAAAGACCTCACACTCGACCAGCAGTGCACAGTAACACGACCTGGGATTGCCGCGATTGCCTCAGCCTTGCTCGTCGAGCTTCTTACCAGCCTCCTGCAGCATCCAGACGGCCCTCATGCCCCTGCTCCAGCTACGACAGGCGCAGATGGTGCCGGTCTAAACCCTGGTGATGAGCAGGCACTCGGCATCGTACCGCACCAGATCCGTGGGTTTCTCGGAAGATTTCAGAACATCAACGTCAAGGGCCACTCCTACCCGTGTTGCAGCGCCTGTAGCAAGCCGATCCTCTCCGCATACAGGAACGACGGGTGGAGTTTTGTCAAGCGGGCACTGGACGACAAGGAGTACATTGCCGAGCTCAGTGGCCTCGCCGAAGTACAGAGGCAGGCGGAAGCCATGGCCGATGATGTCGACTGGGACGAAGGCGATGAGCTTGACGGCGGGGGTGACGAAGAAGCGGTCATGCTTTGAGCTGTGCTTTTTGGAAAGAAATTGTCCCACAATGGCTTTCACAGTGCATCTCTGTATGACTAGTTTTTTTTTCTTTTTCGGGGAAATTTTCAATGCCTCCGAATCCGCAAGGGCGAAATTGGCTTCATCATTTGGCGTTTGTTGGTCGGCGTTCGACTGAGTCTCTGGCGCTGGGAAATAGTTCTTTCTGTGGTAGCAATCCGTCTTCTTGTGTTGTTCTCGAGCATAAAACAAGAACAACCAAAAAAAACACACAATCAGAACACAATCAAACAGTCAAAGATTCCTTCACTACGCACCACTTTTTCTTGTGATTAGGTTAGAAATCTACAAAGGAATAGAGACAGCTCTCTCTTTCCTCTCCCTGCTCCAGTGCTGAGCAGCACCTCGAGCACAGGAGAAAGCAGAACGGCCAAAGCAAAGGTCGCCGAAGTGGAGCCAGCATGTATGTGACTGAAGGGGACCCGCCGCCCCCCCCCCCCCCGCGGCGCCTGGGGGCCTGGAATTGCCCTTTCCAGCCAGCGCTACGTGCCGCAGCCGGTGCTGATTGGCTACCCACCGCCCTACGGGAAGGGTATACTCCGCAGTGTAGGTACATTCAGGCACGCACGCACGAACGCAGCCATGGGGATTTCGAACAGGCTTGGCTTGGCTTGGCTTGGCTTTGGGAGGCCCGGCCGGCGCTCACCACGAGCGACCATGTTGTGCTTCGGGGGCTTTTACGATGATGCCTCCGGGTGGAGTGTGTGAAATGGAGACGGTCTAGAGGGGCTTGTTGTTTTGCTTGGCTGCTGGCTGTCCTTGAAGGGAGTTGTAGTAGTAGTTAGTAACTGGATTGCCTCAACGCCGGGAATCTGACAGTCAAAGTGTGCACTTCAGACTTTCACGGGAACAAATAGACGTTTGTATGTGTGTTCGTAATTCTCTGTGTGGGTATGTCCCTCATCGACTGTTCAATTTAGCTATCGACGGCCATGATGCAACAAGCAATTCAAGTTTTGACAATTTGCTGCGTGCCGGCCTGCAACATTCTTCTTCACCCATAATCTGCGAATCACATAATCTAGAACTCATAATCTCCCTCTGCCAACCTGTTCTGTCTGTCTTCAGATTAATATTGTGCTGAGCTCGCCCAGCCGTACATGATCTTATGTAAAGGTCGTTTCTTCAATCCCCATCCGCAACGCCGAACTTAAAGAAAAAAGCAAAGAAGTGTCAAGACATGATGCCAGTTCGCTCCCAATCTAGAATGTCGCCCGAAAATGTGGAAATAGGATGAATAGATGCGAGTGGGGTATTGGGCGTAAATGTTGAAAGCAATAGTGAAAAGTGTCCCATGAAACGCCCGTTTAATGTGTCGTAAATGAAGAAAGGCAAAAAGGACATTCCCCGTCGTGTTGCATGTACTGAGAGAGCAGCATTCCCCGCACTTGTCATGGTCGGAAACAGAATCGTTACAAATGCTGCACTCCAAGGAGAGTATCGTCGCCGTCATCCCCGAGTAGGCTGCCACCAGAGAGGCGACCTGCCTCAAAGGAAGACATATGAGGCGTCTGCGCCTGGGCTTGAGCCTGAGCTTGCGAACGATCGCGGAGCTGGCGGATTTCTTCCATCATGGCGACAGACATGGAATTGCGAGCCGAAATTTCCCGTTCCAGCGCTTGCTGCTTCTCCTCGAGCTGCTGAACTCGCTTCTGGTAGTTTTGCAACTCCAGTCGCAGGCGCTTGTTCTCCGTGTGGACGTCTTCATCCGCCGGCGCCTTGCGCTTGCGACTTCCCTTGTCACTGCTGGCCACGCTGACACTATCATCGCGGTCGTCATGGACAACTGCCTCGGTGTCGGCGCCGAGAGGTGCAAGCGGGCTGCTGGTGTGGACGCGGCGGAGATGCTCGTTGAGGTTTTCCAGGCGGGAGAATCCCTTGCCGTCGTGTCTCTTGCAGTTAACATGAGGACAGTTGAGAGGGTTCTTGGGTCCGCCATGTTTGCCGTGAACTTCGCGCTCGTGACGCAGCAGGCCCCCAGAATAGGTGAAGCCGGGGAGTTTCTCGCAGCCCTCGGCTGGGCATTTGTAAGGGCGGTCGTGCTTGTCCATGTGCTTGCTCCATTCACACTTGCGCGAGAACTCCTTGACCTCCTCCGTGCAGCCAGCAGCCGTGCAGCGATACTTGCCGTCCCGTGTCTTCATAACCTCACGGTCCGGCTTAGGAATAGGCTTCATGCGGGGCGGGACAGGGGAGCCGCTCGAGCCTGTCCGGGACTTCCGCATGCCAGGAAGTGTCGTCAAGGTATCCTCGGGAGTGGGCGGGCCGAGAAAGGGCAGCGAGGGCGACGGAGATGAAGGGTCGAGTAGTGTCGGCTCGTCGTTGTTGAAGGCCTCGAGCTCGTGCATGTTGTGAAGAGGCGAGAAGCGACCACTTGCAAGGTCGTTGTGGCTCGCAGTGAGTCCTACATCGCTCGCATGCCGCCTGGGGGTCGCGGAGAGAGTACTCGAGGCATTGTGGTGGTTTGTGATGGGGTTGTTGGAGCTTGAGTATAGGCCGCCGGGTTGCAGCAGGCCCTTAGCCTGATAGTGACTGACGACGGTCATCTTGTGCTGGTAGTCTGGAAGAGCGCGGTTCCAGGGTCTGTTGGGACTGAAGGTGAAGAGGAAGTCGAGGCGGGCGCGATTGTGATCGCGAAGGCGCGGGGCGAGGGTGTAGAGGCGGCAGAGAGTTTCGATGCCGCCCTGGGGGGCACGCGCGAGGCGGAGGGAGAACTCGATGTTCTTGTAGCGGAGGGTTTCGTCGACACGGGCCGAGTGCTGTGCGAGGCGGAGGTCACCTACAAAGTCCGCGTCGAGGTGTTAGTGGGTCGGAGATGTTGTAAGGCTATGAGTGCGAGGCCCGGGGACGAATGCGAATGCAAGGTACGGGCCTCGGCCAGCCAGTTAATTATGACGACGCCTGCCGGCCGCAGCTCAGTTCAGCTGGAAGCAGCGGCGCGTGGGTCATGAATGAGTGCGAGCGGCGAGCTGAGCCAGAGGCCGCCAGCGGGTGACTCAGCGAGCTCAGCCACGCTTCTTCGCCACGCCACACGCGGCCCACAGGCAACGACTCCAAAACCTCCACTTCAGGCAGCGACAAGGGGACGGACGGGCGCTGCGGGATCCGGCAAGGTGTGTGCACTTACAACTTTTGGCAGGCCAGACTTGCACTGCGTAGCTCCATTCGCTTCCATCATCATCAGGGTCAGCCCCGACGCCATCGGCCGGCTTATGCACTGCTTTATATATCGAGCAACCCGTCAGCCTCGGATCTTGATCTCTCCCGGTCCCTGCAGCCTAGCCTGCCTGCCTGCCCGCCCCCCATCGGTATGACTGCAACCATTCCATGGCGATGGGGGCCTGCCTGTTCAGGGGCATCCTCTCTCTCCATGTGGCAATAGAAGCCGCCGAGCCATCCGCAGGCAAGCCAAGTCGCTCTGGAGGGGGGTTAACGGTGACTCACATCCAGCATTCTGTTTCTCGTGGCTGCCCTCGTGGCTGCTGCTGCTGCTGCCATCACAGCTCGTAGGGCCACGACTGCCTGCCGTTGTGTGATTCGACCACGACGAGAGCGCCGGGTCGATTGCCACTGGGCTCAGGACGGCAGCGGAGCTGTCGGTTGCCTGGCTCGTTCCCGATTCGCTCAGCACGGGTCCTTGTGCTGTGGTCGTGAGGCGCTGTGTTGTCCATGGTAGATCTGACGATGTCCACGTGAACCGGTGGCCGCCTTGTCCTTGTTGGTGGTCCTCGTCGTACGCTGGTGCGGGCTCGTCTGATAGTAGCATTGCCATGTAGGCATCCTCCTCGAGCCCACCGGCGAGCAGGGGGTTCATGCTCTCTGCCTGGTCTGCCCACGGAAGGTGGCCGCCCCCGTGAATGTTGTCCTGTGAGTAGCTCATTGTGTGCGTCACTCCGGCTCGGTTCAGGCGGGAGCTTGTGACTCGCCCACCACCTCGCTTGTGGTCGCCTCGACGTATGGGCCGCAGCGCTCGTGATGGTTGCCCGGTCCTGCAGGGCCTGGTTGACCGTTACGGTCGATGCAGCCTTGTCTCGTGATCGCTGTATCGTCCTTCGTGTCCGTGAGTCTTCACACGATACAAGGATTTAGGTCAGTGTGGCGTGTTCGTGAGACGGCAGCAGCTTGTAAATATCGATAACTTTGATGGGCATTCTCGAGTCAATCTCATGGACGAAAACCACCCTTCACTTCATTTAACTGGCACATGCTCCCGTATTCGGTTTCTGCTGGCCGGCTGGCTGGCGAGGCATCAACGGCGGCAGCACACGCTGCTGCCATCATGCTGGACTATCATTGTCACGTTTGTGCGCTCATAATGTGCTCGCTGGCGACCAGGGCCGTGTAGGACTGTGCAGTTCGTTGGTGTCCTGGACAGCAAGAACAGCATGGTGCCTGGTCGATTGTTGTTCCTCAAGCTTGGCAGATGCTGGGAGTGGCAGTTTCTTTCGCCGCCGTTCGTCTGCTCGACAGCGGCCGTCAGTCACCGTGTTTGCTGCCGCCAAGGCTGCCGTCTGCGGCACGAAGCTCAACGAAACGTGCAACCACTCACGACCCTCCGTTTACAGTACTTCTTCCACTTGATCCAACCGGATAGCGGAGCCGTCTCAAAGCCAGCAGTTGCGTCTGTGGCAGAATGTGTCGGTTCAATTCCCATGGACACAGCATCTTCTCCTTTGCTGCAGGATCTCAAATCGTCTGCATGCTTAATGTCATCACGAGGAATCGATGTGCAGTTCCGCAAAGCAAGCTTCCTCGCACTGACAGCGTCATGTGCGCGTTCACTTACATGCTAGCCTCTCAGCAGGTGCTGTGCAGGCCATATGATCCGTGGATGTTCTCCCCATCCAGTGTCACGCACGGACACTAGACTTGCCTTGCACCTTTGAGGCATTCTTCGTCCACGCTATGCAGCCTCACTAGGTTCGGCACAAGAACTATGTGCTTGTAGGCACACGTACATCCATGACAGCCAGCGCAACGCCAAGAGTAGGGCAAAGTTGTGGCAATGTTCCAGGCAGCAATGCCGAGGCATCCGGCGGAATAGTTTCCACAGCCTTCACAGCCGCCAGAAACAGAAACCGTCACGATGGTTCTCATGACCTGCCATGCTTGCAAGCTCCATGCCAAGGGTTTCTGCCTAATGGAGACCTTACCCATCAGATCTTTCGCGGCCATTTCCCAACGGTTCGCCTTTTGCTAATGTTGCAGCAGCCTCGTGCAGCCTTGCCGACATGCGTGGACATCAGAGAGTGGTTCTCTCGATAGCTGACTGCCTCGCTGCCGCTGCTTTCAGATTATTCATATGAGTTGCCATAATGGGTGGCTTGGCAGCGTCTACTGGCCAGTCACAAGTATGTTACCGGTGACTTGAGTATTTCGCGGCCGTTAGTGACGGCGTTGTTCTTGAGGTTTATAAAATATCTTCTTAGTGCCCATATTCGTGCATCCAGCTTCGGGAGAGCCTGAAGGTGGATGAAACAACTGTCGAGTTGGACGAGGGGAGACCTAGAATCGGTCGTATTTCAGTATCATAAGCGCAAAGGAACTCACTCAAATTTGTAGTCACAATACGATGACTCGAAAACAATAATGAGCACCAAGTCAATTTGACAAACATCCGTGTAGACCATCGCTCGAGTCCTTGGCACGAGATTTCGTTGATGACCAAGACGCTGCTGAGGTTGGGACAACCAAGTAAGACGCCTCTGGCAAACCGTCCCAAAAAGGCAGTTTGTTTAAGCAAGAAAGTGGTTGCAGCCACAAGTGTGGAGGAAGCAACGACCCCGGCGTGCTAGCGAATCAACGGTCGGCAACGCGTCCTCCACGCGCGCCCAACTGCGCCCCTTGCGCATTTTCAGGTGGTGGGGGCGAAACAACTTGAGAAGGGACCCCTGGACGCCAAAGGAATGTCGACCGTCTTTTCATCAGCGGAGCAGCACGTCACTTCTTCAAGACCGAGGCTTGCAAGGCCTCTGCTAACGGGAGTCAAGAAAATCCATCCAGCAATCAATCAATCAATCATTGCCTTTGCACCTGCTTCTTGTGGGACTGCAACTGTGATCAACCCAAGTCTTGCGTCTGTCCAGACCGCTTCCTCACCCATTGTCTCATTCGATACACTGAGTCGCCAGCACCTTCACCATGCTCATCGGCATTTGCGGCTGTAAGTCCAAAGACGCCCCCATCCTCCGTTTCAGCTGGTTCAGGCATTCTGACATTGTCGTAGCAAAATGTGCCGGCAAGTCCACTGTGGCCCAGTACCTGATAGACCACCACGGCTTCAAGAAACTTCGTCTCGAGGATGAGACAGCGGTCCACAAGAATGGTATCTCTTCCGGAACTACGGACTCTGCAATGCCACAGCAGCACGGCACACAAACACCAGACGCCGTCAGCAAGCTCGGCCGGGGGCAAAGTTATCAACAACAGCACAGCTTCGCCACCGTCGCAAGCCTGCTCGACCACGTCACCAAGCACTGGCGGTCGCGCTGGGTGACGACGGACATCCACAACGAAGCCGTCCTCGATGCCCTCAGCAGGCGACCCTTCTTCATCCTTCTCAGCGTCGACGCACCCCTCACAGTCCGCTGGCAGCGGTATAAGCAGCGGCGGCAGCAGCAGCAAGCCTCGTATAATCATCACCACCAATCCGTATCTCAGTCTCCATCTCCCCAGCCCAGCGGTGACAACGAAGACAGCAGCACCTCCCTGGAGACATTCGTCTCCGAATCCGACGCACACCTCTACGACCCGGTAAACGGCGTGCTGCCGCTCGTCTCGCGCGCCGCGATCCGCCTGCTCAACACGTCGTCGGACCTCGCGCACCTCTACGCGACCCTGGGCAAGCTCGACCTGACCAACCAGGACCGGCTCCGGCCCTCGTGGGACTCGTACTTTATGCAGCTCGCCTCGCTCGCCGCGCAGCGGTGCAACTGCATGAAGCGCGCCGTGGGCTGCGTGCTGGTCGACGGGACGAAGCGCACCGTCATCAGCACGGGCTACAACGGCACGCCCCGGCACCTGCGCAACTGCGGCGACGGCGGGTGCCCGCGCTGCAACTCGGGCGACTCGGCGAGCGGCGTCGCGCTGGGGACGTGCCTGTGCCTGCACGCCGAGGAGAACGCCCTGCTCGAGGCCGGGCGCGAGAGGATCAGGGAGGGCAGCGTGCTGTACTGCAACACCTGCCCCTGCCTCACGTGCAGCATCAAGATTGTCCAGGTCGGCATCGGCGAGGTGGTGTACAACCAGGGCTACAGCATGGACACCGAGACGGCCGAGGTGTTTAGGAGTGCTGGGGTTCGGCTGCGGCAGTTTTCTCCGGTGAGTGAAACCAACAACCATGTCAAGGGTATCTTCTCAAATGATTATGCACTAATAACAGAACCGTGACTCTACAGCCTGCCAACGGATTAATACATCTGGAGAAGATGGAGCTGTACTGAGCGCCACTAGCCAGTCCTGTTTCTGACACTGGGCGGGTTCAACAGTCTGCTCGAGACGAGCAGATAGTAGATAGGACGACAATCAACAAGATTCGCAGGGCCCCGGGCACGCCTTCTGGCAGAAGAATAGACAGGATAGCACTGCACTGGCGCACTTGATCTAATAAGACCGCAGGCAACGCACATGGTGCCAGGATTGACCACGGACAAAAAGGCACACGCAGATGTTCACAGAGGTTGGAAACTGATTGAAATTAGGGGAAGATTACAGTAATTCTTTGCTGTATGTAGTCGTCCAACCTCTGCTAGCAACACCTCAGGGGAGCAAATCCAGCCACGAGCATCTCGGTGATGCTGGCAGACGAAAATGTAATCTCCCTTGACCACGAGCGAGTGGACCGGGCGCACGCGAGAGGTATTGTGTCGCAGCCTTGAGCCAGGTGCCTCCACGCAGATGGGAGCAGGGAGGAGGCCGTGCTATGATGCTTGAAAATAGGCGACACTATTTGGGGCCGGAGGTCGCAGCGGACGTGTCGAGTCGAGCAATTGTCGTTCGAGGACGGGCCATTTATGGGAGCGGGTATAATGGTGGAGGAAAGACGAGTTGGTATCAATTGAGCGACAGAGGGCAAGCTGCTTATACGCGCGAGGCAGCGGCGGCTCTGGCAGCCTTTCTCTTGCCAAAGGCCTTGGTGAGCCAGAGACCCAAAAGGCCGACGGCAACGAGACCGACCATGACGAAGACGGCGGTGGGACCCTTGTTGTCCTCGGCCCAGTTGCGCTTGGCAAGGGCGGCGACGGTGGTGTCAATGGCGGCCATTTTGATTATCTGTAGATGCGGGTGGTTAGCGAATGCCCCAGAGGTCCTGCAGAAACAGCGCCTCGTGCTATGAAGCACCTTGCCGTGTATAGGTATGAATGGGCGGCCCGGTTGCATTACTCAAGGATATAAACCGTCGGGACCGAGGTGAAGGGTCGCGTGGATCGCGTGCCATAAGAGACAATCCTCAACAACAATTGATGCCAAGGACGCCCAAATGAAACCACCGCAAACAGCACGATAGCTGACAGCCAGAGGTACCAAGTCGACAACCCGTGATACTAGGAATCCAATTGACTGATTCTAGGTCGCAAAGGATGCATGTAATACGGGTGTGCCTTGCCCTCTTGTTGATGTCTCGGATTGTGGCGGCCGGGGGAGACGAATGCAGCGAGGAGCGCGGGCGGGCGGGTAAGAGACCTACAGGTGATGACGACGGCGTCGGAAGGAGATGCGTCGGGTGGATTGACTTGAGGTTGTGAGAGAGAGGAGCGAACAGCACCGGGCTCTGGAACAGACTTGGACTGGGCTGGCGAGGTGGACAGGCGCAATCGGGACGATGCTCAGAGTCAGGCGAGTTGGGGAGGAAAAGGAAGAGAGGATTGGGATGAGCGTGACGGGGAGATGCTATGTGGAAAAAGGACGAGCAGGTGTGGAGAAGGAAACAAAGGCTTGGCTCCTGCGGGCGATGGGGCGGGCGTTGTTTTCTCTGCGCGATTTTGCAGGCCCCCCCGGGTGGGCTGGCCGGGACTCGCTCCCACCGGGGCGCCGCGCTGGCGACATGGAAGACACCACCAACACCACCCTTCGCGGCGAACCTGTGGAGCGCGCGAGGCGGATCCGGAGCCAAGCAAGCACCAGCTGCTGCGGGCACTGTGCTCGAGACGATGGCCAGGGCCATCCATGAACGGCCATCATTGTCGTCCAGGCAGATCGCCACGGGGTGATAAGGGACGCTTCGCAGGGCAGGGCAGCATAAGGGACTGGACGTCGGCGGAGTTGTTGTTGGGCAGCCTCTGGTCATCTGCAGAACACAGCTTTGCGCAGCCAAGACCACCAGTGACTGCTCTCATCTTGCGAATCAGAGCAGGCGCGTCTCTTGGACACCAGGTACGTACCACCGGGCGCAAACTTGGGGGCCCGCCGAGCCCTCGAGTGTATGGTACTTGCCCATCCCAGCGACCGAGCGCGGCTTGGAATGTTTTTTTCGCTCCGCCGATCGCAGCAACCCCGTGGACGACGCAGCGGGCTCCGTACAGTGCCAGGCACGGCCCAGTCGAGCTAATACTCGGCACCTCCAGCTGCAGCTCGAAAGCTATCGGCGGGCGCGCGTTGCGCTTGCAAGGTTGGCCCAGGGCCGGGCGGCGGCCCCATGACGAAAGGCCATGGTACGCAGGTACATCCGCCTCCTGCAAGCCCACCTGGGCAGTCAGTGGGGCGCCCGTCCTGAGCGCTCCGCCAATCCCCCTGGGGGGGAAGAAACTGCACCAAGGGTCGCCCAGGCCGTGGTGCAACAACAGCGGAGCCCGTCCTATTAGCGGGGGCCAGGGTGATGCGATAGCCATCTGCATGCAGGCCAGCGAAATTGGCAGGGCTGCTCGCCATTTGCGGCACTTTTGGTCTCGCTCCTGGACGACCGTGCTCTCTTCTCCAGTCTTTTATTGCCGCTGCGGTTGCTGTTGCTGGGTTGCTTGGGTGGGGGTGCTACTGTTGTTATTGCTGCTGTTGCTGCTGCTGCTTGCCTCTGCTGGTGCTACTGTTGCTGTCGATGGCCGCAGCAGACTGGCACTTCAGTGTGCACGACGTCGTGCTGCACCGAAGTGAAAGGACCGACGTCCACGGGTACCTCTACGTTGGGTCCTGGCCCGCCAGTCATGGTCCTGTCGCAAAACTGCCGGCTCTGCCGCGTGGTTTATCCTGCCAGGACAAGAGCTGTTCTGGCTGTGGCTACTTGCTCTCGGAGCGTTTCAACCTTGCGCCATATTCTGCCCGTGAGGCACTTACGTGTTGCTGCACGTCGTCCTTGTGGTCTGCCCTGCCAAGCGAAGCGCGGGATTTGTCGTCCCTGGGAGGCTTGGGCGCAGGCAGCGACTTGGCTAGCCTGGCCTCGTCTTGCGCTGATCTCTTCGTCTTGATTGGAGAGCGAGAATCGCAGTCTTGTCTATTTGCTCACGACCTTTCTTTGCCAGGAGTCGTGCAGGGCGAGGAGCGGTCATTGTAGGTCCCCATCGGGTCATTTACAGCAGAGAACCACTTCATGCACGCCGTGATTTGGCCGGACGAGCCGCATCCAGGTCAGCCGGGCTTGCCTAGGTGTTATCGATGGGTAAGACCCACCTCTGCTCTTCCTGTCTACAAGGTACGCTGGTAATAGTCGCTCAACGAAGAGACGTGGTCCGCGATACCTCCATGTTTGCACGCACTGAGCTCGCCCAGCGATGAAACGGCAATGCATCGCAAAATTAAGGACAAAGAAAGAATTGCTTGTCCTGAATAGACGCGTCGGCAGTGGCCAGGGCCCCTTCTCGCTCATAACGATATCGCCCGGGATCAGAGGAATGAGGTTGGAAATTGGGGGGTGCTTCCGTTGTGGAGCTGTCGTCGAGGCTAAAGCACAGTGCCGCCTCGCGCTCCGATACGACCTAAGCTGTGCTGGTGTCGCTCCGTTTCTACACCGACGACCACAGGAGGACCGCGCCGCGAGGATGGGATGCGGTGCTGCCGCCTCCAAGAAAGCTGGGGAGTGCTGGGCCTGGGGTCGTTGGCGATAAGTGGCTGATAAGTGGCCTGCCGTGGGTGCCGCGGGAGCGTGGTGGTGGTCTGCCGCTGGCTGTTGCTAATTGGTGGTTTTCGTCGTTCTGGTGGGTGATGCGCGATGACGATGACGACGATTGGGCGACCCTGGCCGCAAGCCACTGCCTGGAAGCTGACTAGTGCCGTCGGCTTGCCCAGAGAGGTGCGAAACAGCTCCGTTGTGACAAGAAGCTTCGCAATAGATCTCGCCTAGTGGCCAGACGTCGACCATATCGAGTCTGCCAACGAAGAGCTCGACTTTATTCCGATGGACAAGAGCCCGCGCACCTATCCGAACGTGGATGACCCAGCCAGAATCTGCCAGCATCGTGATTGGCTGCTTGGCCCAAGTGTTGGAACCTCGGATTTTGGCTTTCTCAAGGTCTTCCATGCCACGAACACATGCAACAGGCGCCCAATCTCGCAAGTCTGGTGTCGCATGTGGGTAGCAGATTGTAAGCCGTCTTGATGATGGTCATCCATGCTTGCCCGTTTGCCTTCGTCCACCAAGCTGAGTGCCTCCGGGACAAGCAGCACATGACGCGGACGGCCTGCAGTTCTGTGGGAAGAAGAGGGAGCATGTTGCTTCGTCATCTTTATTCACGGCTCCGTAGACGTACCCGGGGAGTAGGACAGAAGTGGCCAGGTCAGTGTGCATCACTCGCATGCCTCGTCAGCCATCTTTACCGAAGCTTCCGCTGCTGCAGGTGATGCGAACACATGCAGCTGATGGCGTTCAAACTCGAATATCGCGCCGTTAGATTCCGCCATGCCACTTGCGTGCCGAATTTCGCAAGCAAGCCACGGTGCACGTTATCTTGGTGGAGATATGTAAATACCTGTCAGTTTCGATGCAGCGGAATCTAGGCTGGGCGTGTTCGAGCGGGTTTGCGTCTGTGCCGAGCACATCTGGACTGGTCGTGTTGGATAGTGTGTCGGCGGTTTTCGACCTGCCACAGGAACAGGCAAAGCCGCAGTGGCACGCATGTTGCTGGCATAGTACCAGATGTCTATGGTCTAAGAGAGAAACGTCAGATCGGAGGAAGAGCTACTTGCAAGATGGCGAAAACCTCAACCGATACCGGATAGGTAGACCAATCAGAGGCGCTTCTGCTAAGCAACCGAGATTGTCTGGACTTCCATGTTGGCTTTGCACTAGACTTGCTCGCAGGCGTCCCATGGCGACTTGACTACGCGTAAGCACGCTATGTTTCTCGATTGCCGGGACACAAACAAGCCCCGACTTATGCCTACCGCACGCAAACCACATGACTCGTCTTACCTTCAAGTCTGCACAACAAGGCTGCCACATGGCCGACGGTTCCTTCCCCAGGGCCTATATGAGCACAGTATCTCCATGCGGTCTTTCTGCAAGCACAAAGAGAAGTCGCCCTCTTCCAGACTCTCCGCTGTGCTTCCACTGCGAATGCACAATTGATTTTGTATATCTCACAGAGGCGGAACCAGCTGGATGGATGGCCAACATATCCAGCAAAGGTCGAAATGGCCCCCCAAGACCGTGGTGGACCCTATCACGATTTTCCATGTGACCTGCCCTCGGGCCTCGCCAGATGAATCGAACTCTTGGTTGGCATCGGCTGGCCGGGGACCCTTTTACCGACGACGTTCCCAGGAAGCTGCCGCAATAGACCCCAAGACAGTTAGCCACCAAGCTTCTGGGTCGATTGCCGGCCTTCAACTACAATCGAACTGCCCCAAAGCTCGGATTGAGGCAGCCGACTTTCGTTCTAGAGGGCGGCTTGCCTGGAAGTGCCATCCACGGACGAAAAGGGCCACGGCAGGTTCGCGCCATTGGGGCCATCCTGGCGCCGGCGTCCAAACATATCGAGCTCGGTAACTCTCTCCTTCGCAACTTCCACGGTCATACGTGGCGCCGCCCGAAACCAATCCAAGGGCATAAAGACATTGGCAAAGTGCTGAGATGCAGCTCAGTTGCAGATGCCCAGAAGAGACCTATCAATCCTCACTCTCGACGAGCCCAGGCTTAGCTTACATGGCCGCGGCGCGCTCCCCTGTCAAAGTGTCCGCCGTGGGCTGATTTGGATGCTGAAGCCGTCATGTCGTGAGAGACGATTGGCGGCTAGAGACTGCGGTCGGGGACCTAAGCCCGCCACATATGAGGGGTTGGCTCCGCGATACCTGGTTAGCGCCATCCCGACGTCAGCAGTAACTGAATGCATGGGCGTTGCACAAGCTTCGCTTGTTGGAGAGAAGGTGGCGGCACACGGGACTTATCGCGTCCAGTGCCAGGCCGACCCTTCGCAACTAGGTAGCTCATGTATAAAAAGGAGAGGGCATACCCAAGGGCCTGCCATATCTTGTGCGAGTCCGAAGCCCAGGTCGTTGTGACCAGCACTCGTCAACACATCCTCGCTGCCCTGCCGCAACGTCCAAGATGTCTGCAGCGCTCACCACCCTGGATCTTGGCTGGCTCACTTCCTTGCCCGGCCTGGCAACAATATTCGGCACCTATGTCCTTGGGCTCTCATTCTACAGACTCTACCTCAGCCCGCTCGCTGGAATACCTGGCCCCAAGATTGCTGGTGAGTCGTTGCAGACCCGAGGCCAACGACTTTAACCATAGCTGGTACTGACCATGGTGAACTCCAGCCCTCACGTCCTTGTACAATGCCTATCACGATCTGTTCGCGAACGGGGGAGGGCACTACATTTGGGTGGTCGAGGATATGCACCGGAGATATGGCCCCATTGTGCGCATCAGACCAGATGTTGTCCACGTCAATGATCCTGCCTTCATCGAGCAGCTCTACTCGCAGTCGCCCAGGGTCCGCCGTGAACGCTACGCCACGGTACTAGGAATGGCGCAGAATCCCGGCTCCATCCTCGGCACAAAAGATCATGATATGCACAGGCGGCGTCGCGCGGTGTTGAATCCATTATTCTCCCAGGCGAACGTGCGCCGCCTAGAGCCCATCATCAATGACACCTTGACCAACCTGTTTGGCCGGATGGACGGCTGGGCGCGCCAGGGAGAACCAGTTGGCTTCAACGACCCTCTCCGCGCAGCCACCAAGGATATCATCCAGGCGTACGCCTTCGGTCAAGGAGGGCCCAAGTATCTCGACATGGAGGACTGCAACAAGCCATTCTTTGACGTTGTCGGGCCACAGCCAATTTCGCACCTCAGCACCCATACCCTCTTGCTCAGCAAGCTGTTGCAGAAGATGCCTCCCGCCTTGATGATACGCCTTATCCCCCGTGTCGCTGTCTTCATAGAGTACGCGCTGGACATCCACGCGCAGATTGATGCCTTGCGTGGTGCCAAGGATCTTCCAGAAGGCCGCACAATCTTCCACGAAATCTTGACAAGTGACATTCCCGAATCGGAAAAGCAGACCAAACGCCTCGGCGAGGAAGCCTTGATCATGGTCATCGCTGGCTCCGACACCACGGCATCAACTCTGGCTTGCATCATGTACCATGTGCTGGCGGACAGAGAGCTGCTCCGCCGCCTCAAGGCGGAGCTCGAGACGGTCATGCCCAACCCAGACGATCTCCCTGCAGCGTCCAAGCTCGAGAGCTTGACCCTGCTCAATGCCATTATCCAAGAGGCCATCCGCCTGTACCCCGGCGCCACGCATCGGCAGGATCGGATGGCGCCAGACGAGGATCTCGTTTATACCAACCCAGACTCGGGGACGACATATGTCATCCCGCGAGGATACGGCATCGGCATGACGGCACCTCTGGTCAACCGCCACCCATCCATCTACTACCGGCCCAACGACTTCTTGCCCGAGCGGTATATTGAGAACAAGAAGCTGGACAAGTACCTGTTCTCCTTCTCCAAGGGCACTCGCCAGTGCATCGGCATCAACCTGGCCTATCAGGAACTGCAGAGCTTCACTGCCGGGATCTTCCGCAAGTACAGTCTGTACGACCCGGACAAGGGCGAGAATGGCCAGGGCGGGCCTACGCTTGAGCTGTTCGAGACCACACGCCGGGATATTACCATGCATGCAGACTGTGTTACACCCAAGCTGCCCCCGGGGAGTCAAGGCTTGAGGTTGAGGATCCGCAATTGAGCTGGTGTTCCAGAGTGCGAAGGGCAAGCTCGTGTTGCATAGGCATTCGAATATGTGCTAGCAATGTCAGCCTAACTTGTTGCGAGCTCAATACAGACGAATGAATGTCTTGTTGTCTTGAATCTCGACAAGGCACACCGCTGAATATGAGATAAAAGGGTTTGCATTTCCAGCATTATCGCCTTTAGGCTCAGTTATCATCACAGAAACCCCTGCGCATAGATGTATGAGTGTGTATGCGTATATGGTCATTGTAGTTGCTATAGCCACATGTAAATGCGCGTGTCTGCACGCGTTCGGTATATGTATAATATAAGCATTGTCTCGTGTCTTCAAAACCTTCTATCTCCCCCGCCGTACGTTCGTCCGTTCCCGAGATGTCTGTCTGCGTCTCTCTACAGCTTGGCCGACTCGGCGAGCGTGCCGATCTTGAGCTTGTCGCCGTACTTGTCGAGCACCGTCTTGCCGTGGTACTTCCAGAACTGCTTGGACGCGTCCTTGCCGGCCATGCGCTTGAGGATCTTGGCGCCGCCAGGGTGCTCGTCGAGGAAGTCTGCTCCCGAAAGTTGTGGTTAGCACGATGACATGCCGAGAACCGCGGCGCTGGGGCCGGCATGAAGACAATTCGCAAGTGGGCAAGAGCCAGCTGGCTGGTATGGCGGGATGCCTCTGCGAGCGGGTCGCGTTCGGCGGTGGCGGCGCACACCGATGTGCGCCAGTTTTCTTGGACGAGGAGCGCTGGAAGAAACAGGCGACGAGGGGCTGGGCTTACTTGAAATGTCGTACACGCCGTTGTCCACAGCGAGCCACAGGCTGTCGCCGTCCTTGTGCTCGCCAACCTCCTTGAGAGTGAAAGTCTTGGACATGGTTGCTGGCTGGTTTATCTGTGTGGATTTGCGAAATCAAAGAAGCCGAGAGGCGGGAATGGCAGACTGTCTTGCTCGTGGTCAGCTTGGGTTCGTGTCGCTTGTGTCTCATGGCTTGTGAGGTGCGGTGTCGGGGGGCGGGCAGGTCCGCTGGGGTAACGGTCCTATGCAGGCATTTGCGAGGACAAGGCCGCGTGGTTCTACACGTACAGCGGTGCGCAAAGATGCGGAGGTGGTCGAATGTGCGTGATCTGGAGGGAGACGGGGCGAAGCGGGCACGAGAGAGACAAGATCACGAGCGGTGCTGTCGCCAGTAATGTACCGCTGGCGGCGGATGACATGGGGCAGGCGCCTGGGCAAGGCCAGTGACGCTCCTTCCCCAGGCTGGGCGGGAGGGACCCGCAACCAGCGGCCTGGAGAACGAGGCGCGGACCTCGGCACAACCCATGGCAGGCCTCGCCCCCAGGCAGGTCCCACGCCGACAGTGTTAAGTCTCCACCGCCCATTTCGAATCCCAGAGCCCGGATTGGCTAGGGCAACGTGGATGGCACGGCCGAGGCCGTCTCTGCCCCGGCCGGCGTGCCTGGGGTCGCTTGCTTGCTCCGCATAGACAAAGGGAGCATTCGATTCTTCATGTGCTCGTCAAGCGCGACACGTGTGGTGTGTAAATGCTTGCTGGTCGTATTTGTACATGCAGCAGATTCTCTGGAGGGCAACGAGCTTGGCTGAAGTCTGACTGACATTTTGTGCAACCATCTATTGTATAATCACTCCCCGTTCCAACGCTCTCTTGAACAGGTCGGCGAATGCCGATGTTCCTTGACAGTCGCTCTTCTCCATCTTCTCCAGGGCTTGCGGCATCCACTCGGAAATCTTTTGGATCCGATTGTGGTTCTGCGTCATGGTTTGTCAGTGACTCTGTCGCATCAAGGGAACAAAACTTGCTTGGGTACACTGACCGATGGGTGTGTGCTGAGCCACTCGGGCGGCTCGAGCTGTTGCTGCCTTTCCATCCGCTTCCAAAACGCAAGAGCTTGCCGTGGATCGTAGCAAGCCTCCGACATCATCATAAGGCCAATGTAGTCCGCCTCTGTCTCCTGTCTGCGTCCCATAGGCCGGCCAAACAGCAGGTCCAGGATCGAGTTGCCCAGCCAGTAGCCACCGATGAGGGCGAATCCGCCGGTCAGCAGGATCACCGAGCCCAGCAGGATGTTGGTTCCAATCTGGCCCGACATGCGCTCCGCAACGTGTTCTGCGAGGTTGTGTGCGATCTCGTGGCCCAGGACCGCCGCCAGGCCATCTTCGTTCCTCGCGATCGGTAGTAGGCCACTGTGCACAAACACCTTGCCTCCAGGGAGTACAAAGGCATTTGCAGTGCCTTGAGAAAACGCAATCATTAGTCCAGGGTCTCCATTTGATACCGTCTCTCAGAAGAATGGTAGGGCAATGTACATATAGAAAACATGAGCAAGGCAATCATATACTTACCAGGATCATCAATCACTCTGATCTCCCAATTGGCATCCTCCATGCCAGACACTGGAATCAGCCTCTTCATCACCCTCTTGACCATCTGCACGCGCCAGTCCCAGTCGCCTAGGAACCTGCCCCCCTGCCGCTCAACGTCGTATATGATGCGCTTGACCTGCTCGTCGGCGACCTTCTCCACCGACTCCTGGCTGAAGCAGTTGAACCGCCGCCGCCCGGACACGGGCACCGTCTGCATGTTGGCAAAGTAGAACGCAAAGGCTCCCGCCACCGCGAGCACAGCGATCGCCTTGGAGCTCGGCGCCCGCGCGACGCGGCCGATGCGGCTCGTCGTCGTGAGCGGCTTCGCGCGCCGCAGTTCCTCATACGGGTCCAGCCGCACGCGACCTTTGCCGCCGCGGCTGCCGGCCAGGCTGTCGTAGTAGTACCAGTACGTTCTGTTCTCGTCCCGGCCGCCGCCACCGCTGCCGCTGCTGCTGCTGCCTGTGCCCGTGCGGTCCGAGGGTTTGCGATCGCGGTTATTCGGGTGGTTCGGGTGGTCCTCCGGCCATTCCCACTGTTGGGGCCGCCTGGGGCTCCGGGAGAAGCATCGCTGCTGCTGAGAGGCGTGTAGGCATCGTACTCGGGACGCAAGCAGTCGGTGCGGTGCTGCTGCTGCTGCTGCTGCTGCTGCTGCTGCTGACGGGCAACCCACCACGGGCTGCAAGGCTCGAAATGTCCGCATCCTCGCCGCAGCCGGGGTCAGCGCATCGAGACCCTCTGGTCCTCGTCGCGTGCTTTCTGCGGCGCGATTGGCGACCTGCTGGATGCCGGGAGACTGGGCGTTGGCTGCGGCGGTCCTGATTGATGCAGGTGTGAGCCAAGGCACTCGAAGCAGCCCCTCGGCCTTTGGTCACACAGCTCTCGTCCCCACCAGTGACGCAACGTGCATCTTCACAACCTCCAAGCTCCACTCCCATCTTTCACCACGCTCGTGATAATAACACCGCTCTCCATGGCGAACTGTGCCAAAACCATGGCTTCTTAATATCACAATATATACTCAATCAGAAAATTCGAGGCACCTACAGGTTCTTCAGAGATTACTATACTTGTTTCAAATTGCCGCGCAAAATGGGCCTCTGAGCAGACAACTCCAAGGCTATCCCAAATTTTTGTTCATGCCCAGCTGGGCACCCGAGGCGTAATCCATTGATCCGCACGACGATAACAATCCGCGGAACGAACTTCACTTGGAAGTTTGCATAGGCCATTTCGTCTGCCACTTGGTGTTTTTCCACAGCCCGCTTCATCACTACCCTCTACTATGTGGCCAGGACGTGGCGGATGGCACTGCCAGTCCGTCAAGCGTTATTGCTTACACCATTTCCCCGAAGTGCTTTATTTCCGATTTCCTGGCCAGAAGCGCCTGACACCATCCGGTATGCTCTGACTATACTTCAGCAAGAATCTAGAACAGTATTCCCGAGTCAACGTTCGTTCTTTAGCGGCCCTGTGTTCAAGCCTGACGAACCGCGGTAATTCCAGCACACCATCGCACCAGGGATCAGTCAAAGGAAAACCCCGCAGCTCTTGGCTAGCTCGTGAGCGACGACCATGTCTTACGAAGTTCTGAGCAGACTGTCTGGGGCACAAGCATGTTCATAGAAGCGTCGAATAGCTTGTCCCGGTGCGTTGCGAAGTCGTCGGAGCGTGGTCTTCGAGGTCTCACAATGGCCCCCAGCACGTCGTTATCTGGCGGCGATTGGCGAGCTCCTAAGTAATGATGTTTTGTAGTCCAAGAAGGACCACTGTAACAACATTTGAATTGCTTTCCAGCCGCCCTCCTGGCCATAATGGCACCATGATCAGCGCCGCTGGACTCTTGGGGAGGTTTTCGGCTGGGAACAGCCCATTACTCAGTGCCTCCGCAATGAACGGATGATTGGTGTCGTTATGACCGTCCTGGTAGATCGCAGCGTATTGCCATGGACATCTCTGGCCTCGACCCTGACAAAGAGCGGTAGGCTATTGTCGTTGGTGTACTCAGTTTCGAAGCCACGCTTGGGGAAAATCGCCATTTCCGTCATCTGGGCTTCCGTCATTCCTCCGAACTAGCGGGTCCTCCCAATGTCAACAGCAGTTCAGCAAGAAGATCTACGAGGCTCAGCGGTGGTACATACCAGGACCCAGGTGTCAACCTCGGTTGCCCCGTTCCACGAAACATAGATCTTGTCGGACACGACAGCGATGGATGGATCCCATGCCGGCGTGGCTTTGTAGTCGAATTTGTAAGCTCTATAGAGACCGTCTTTCCCGGAGACACTGTTCGACCAAGGGCCGAACTGGATATCCATGCATAGCTGGCCGTCATGCAGGAACTCGGTAATGCTCGGTACCACGCCCCACGAAACTAGGGCACCGCCTCCAGACAAGAGCTGAGATCCTCCCTTGGCGCGCGCCTGCACACTGAGGGGGTGGTACCACTCGTATACCAGCTCGGCAGTCATCTCCTCATAGTTGAGACGGATCCTGCGGACCCTGCTGCAGTCTTCTGTACAGCCGGGGCTGTGTACCTGAACCTGTTTCTCATTGCCGATTAGATGGTTGTCGAACATGATGATCTCCGTCTCGTCCTCGTTGGCGAAGCGCGCATCATGCTGGCCAAAGAACTCGGTTGCGCGGCCGCCGCTCAGGTCGCGAAACGTGTTGGACTTGCCGCCCAACTGCCAGATGGGCTCTCCCGACGTCCCGTTGACCAGCATGAGAGCACACAGGTGGCGGGCGTTGACGATATAGTCGCCGGTCTTCGTCTTTGACACTGCATTGATGTGGAAAAAGTCCCAACCACGGCCAAACCCCTGGGTCCCACCGCCATACGGCCGGCACGGCTCGGTAAAGGCAACATGCTCTGTCGCGAGCCAAGTGAATTTCTGCTTGCCCGTCGCCAGGTTCACCTCCTGGAACCCGCCCTCCATAAGCTCGCACCCCTCCGCGGGACCGCCCGCTGCTGAGCAATCCGTCACAATCTGATGCTTTTGGGTCATGAGCACGGTTCCATCGTCGGTGACTTTGAATTCGTGTGCATCTGCACCGCCCGCCAGCCCGTCGGGCTGGACCAGAGAAAAGACATCATAGTGATCGTCCAGGAGAACACCGTAGCCGCCGATGAAGCTCTCGTTGTGCGGGTTGGCGGTAAAAGTCAGGTACGTCGAACCGTTGTACTGCTGAGGCCGCACGTCCTCGCCGCCGATCCACTGCGGATCGGTCCAGACGAGGCTGAGGTCTTTGGCAGAGAGGATGGCAGGCGCGCGGTGGCCCTTAGCGAGGGAGAGGGTGACGAAGAGATGTGACTCTGGGCTGCAGAGGCTCTGGTTCCACGAGTTGACGAGGACCCGCGGCGCCAGCAGGTCTGAAGACAAGAACGACTGCGTCGGCCGCTCGCCGTACTTGCCGTTGTTGTAGTCTTCAGCGTCTGCGGCCTGCAGGAGCGGCTCATCCGCGGCGGCCAGGCTGATCACGATGCCGGCAATGGCAATGACGTGTTGTAGCATGGCGGCGTGACGCGGGAGGACTCAAGTTGCGTTGTTTGTCCTGGTCAGCAATCTCGTGCCATGTTAGAAGAGGCAACGGACATTTCTACAAGCAGTGAAGAAGGACATTGTCTCCAGCCAGAGGCAACAGGTCAAGTGTCGTCGTAACGGCCTCCAGCCTGACCCGGTACGGTACTCCCCTCGATCAATCAACAAAGAGTGTGATTGTCTTGCCAAGCCTGGGATACATCCCTCGGCCCAGTCCTTCGAGCATACCAGGTCCAACCACATCTGACCACATGATTGTGAGCATGGCCTGCGGAATGTTGCTCCTTGACTCACGGCGGGTTAGACAAAGGGCGAGCAGCCATTGATTACTTCCGTGCCTGGTGGTGTCCACGGAAACCACGTTTTGGGGCTGCCCTCATTCCAGTCTCGCCCTAGCGCGCTTCTCTTGCACGTGCAAGTGCGGCAGAGTCGAACATCGCGCCAGCCGGGACCACGAGAGAACATGGAGCCTCCATCAGGATTCTCGGTTCACGGTGGAATCTCAACCACGCTCTGATGGCAGTATCCTTTGTGTGAAATGGTCTTTGGACTACAGGGAACGACCAATTGTGGCGCGCAGGGAAGCCTAAAGTCATTCGAGCTCGCCCTCGCCTGCGTGGACCATCCCTTGTTTACCGCGCCGACCTGACATAAGACACCGCCTAAAAGCGAGACAACCCGTAAGTCCTCGCATACCCACCTTATTTTGATTATCTGGGCTGGGGCAAAATTTTCACGAAATTGAAGTCCTGTGACAGAGATATGGATTATTAATCCCAGTCTTGCACTCTGGATGTGTAGTTACTTTGATTTCAGTCCCAGCTGGTACGTGGTGCCACGGACTCGCCGACAACATTGAATGTTTATGAGTTCCGGGCACTTTCTATTCTCCACTAGAAACAGGCAAAAAACTATGACGTCCGCAAGCAATCCAGTTGGTCTAGTGTTGCACTCAAGCTAGCAGCGCTGTGTTCGTTGTCACGCGGAGGTTGTGGATATACCCAATTGGCTTTGACTACGAGTCAGGGCCGTGCTGTATAGATCATGCGCGGAACCTCGTGATGCAGGGTCCAGTTTACCCCTGGCTCCTTGTCGTGTTTGAACCTAGCCTTCAAATCCCGAGCTGAATTTTTTTTTATTAACATGTTGCCTTTGGCTGTAAATTTGGAACACGGACCCACCACCAACACAGGATAGGAGCGTGCCTTGTTGCAACTCGACGTATTGCTCTTTCTTTTGAGACTCTCATCAAAGGCGCCCTCTCTGGCTGCAGTGACTGCCCATACGAGCCACGACCACTTACTCTGCGGCACAGGCCAACCGAAGCCACTCGAGATAAGTCCACCATGCTGACGTGGTGACAGGGCCGGCAGCCCATGCTATCCAATCATCAATTTCCACCCAAGCAGGTTCCGGAGCAAGCACGATGCTGACGGCGGGGTTCGGAGCCGACCCTTTGGTCCTTGATACGTGTTCTCGGCTGGTCAAGCCTCTTGGCCCCTCTTGTTGCCATTTTGGGCAATTCATTCCAAGTGTTTGTCCAGATTCTGGTTGTCACACCCTGCTCTGGCCAAACCCAAGTACTGTTAGGGCTATCCCACCCCCAGAAATGCTCTGGGGCCGTCCGGTCTTGCCCGGCCTAGGAGACCCATGGGGAACCACTCGCGATCCAAGTCACAGAGTCTTATTCCAGGGGCTATAGTTGTCGATAGGAGCCTCGGGCCGATTCGTCTAACAGGCCTCGTCATCGCAAAGGCAAGCGGAAGTTTCCGCACAGAGTTCCTGCCTCTCTCTGCCCGGCTGAATGACCTCGGTGGTCGGTGAAAAGCGCACTTGAGTGGCATTGGCCATGACCAGCAACCCACGGGATGAATGTTTACGCCGTCACAGTCGATGAGCCCAATCATGGGGCCGTCAGTCAGACTAGGCCACTCGCTTAGGCCGCGTCGTTCATGTCCAAATCTGGGGTTTCGGACCTGTTCCACGATCCCCATGTCTTTGGTGGTCTCGCTTTGTCCCGGAGGCATGATAGTCGCAGCAGGAACACACACCCACCCACAAGGCCACATGGATCTCGCCTCGCTAGATTTTACCAGAAAAGAAGCCATGTGCCAGGGTTTTCGACGTTGATTAGGGCATGTGACTTTTTCCCAGCCCGGTGACCCTTGCTCATGCTCTTCCTTGCAGCTGCATCTTCTTCACGTCCTTTACCCACGCCCCGGGATCCTTCTACACCGGCAACTCTCCCGCCATAGGCGCAGACTTCAAGAACCCTGGGTTAAAGGAGCGTGCGCATGTGGGGGCCGCCTTGTTTGTGCTGTGTTCTCAAGGAGCCACCACCTACATGTATGTATGGAGGTGCCTAAATAAAGACGGTGACCAGGTCTCTCTTACTACTCCTCGCTCTCGTGGCCGGGAACACCCCTCCCCTCCCCCTCCTCCCCTTCCCCTTCTCTCGTCCTGCAGGAGAAGCAGCAGCAGCAAGGTAGAAGGGTCAGGCCCAGCTGCCCGTTTTGGCCCCCAGAATCTGTCTTCTTCTCCTGCCGCTGGTGCATGTACCGTACTACTAACATTGCCCGGAAATGGTCATCACCCACTCCCGCCCACACCACCCCCTTGCCAGCGACCAGCCATTCGCTGCTCCTCTTTTCACCGTCCGGGAGGAAACCGCCCCCCCCCCCCTTCCCATCCTCCAGGTTCGACCAGCCGCAAAGATCCAATATCAGCAAGGATTCCTGAGCTAAAGCCAAGCCAAAAGCAGCCCCCCCCCCCAGTCGTATGCAGCCCTACGCAGTATGCAGGCGCCGCCAGGAGACGAGACCAGACCAGGCCAGGACATCAAACCGTGCTGGACACGGCCTGGGCCCGGGGCTCACGATCCCCCAGGCACAGAGCAGGGCTTTCTTCCACCAACCAAGCACTGGGATTATTTCCCAGTGCTTTGGTGATGGAACACTAGCGCCCGTCGGACTGTCCCCGGCCGCTGGAAGTCCCTTGTAGGCGCTGAAGATTGCATTGGGAGTCTACAGCTCGATTTTGGTAGAAACTCGTGGTTGACACGTACATCGCACACGTTTGGGTGTGCTGAAAACAGACGAGACTGGCATATTGTAAAACGGGAGTTTTCAATTCATCCCTCAGAGTCTAATCTGTGGTGGTATATGTGATTCCAACTTGAAAACATTCTCCATGACAAAAAATTACCCATCCACATACGTGTAGAACTTCTTTTGTTGCGCCAAAAACGCCAGCTTGCTTGATTTCCTGCATTAGACCATATCCTTGTCCGTCGTCGTGTACTCAATATCTCGTTGGTCTCCGTAAAAGGCATCAATATCGAAAGGAACACCAAAGTGTCGAGTTCTTCAGCGCCGGGCGTAATGCGCCTCAAGACCAGCCATCCGGCGCCGCGCCGTGAGCATACTCTACGGTATCTGAGAACATATAGAGGTTCATGGCAGCATTCGGCTGGCTGACAGACGGGTCGTATGCAAGCGGCTCATGTTGGTATTGCAGTGTGGTATCCTGGTCGCTTTTGAGTTTGACATACTCTGCTTGCAGGTTGGCGTATGCCTGACTGAGCACGTCGTTCTTCTGCTGAGCCTCGTTGAGTAGCACCTCGAGATCCTTGATGCGCTGGTCCTTGCGTTCTCTGTATGCTCGTTGCGAGGCCCTATTCTGAGCTCGACGGCGCTGATTTTGACAAGATAACATGTCAGGGTCTGTGCCACTCGATCGCTTGCGCCTGCAGGAGTGGACTGGGGACTCACCGAAAGGACTGACGGCGGAGCGTTCTTGTATCGGTTCTCTCGCTTCCGCTTTGCCTTTGGGGCATTCTCTTGGTTTTCCGCAGACGCCGTGTCGGCAGAAGGATTGAAGTTTTCTGAAGCGTAGTACCCGCTGTACTGTATGTCGTACTGCCAGGATATTAGTGACCGAGCGGGCGGTTTTGGGACGGGTCGCAATCAGGCGACAGGATGCAGAAAGTCTTACCCCGGAATCGACAGGACTCGTGGACGAGGAAGTGCTGGGCGAGTCATGATAGTGCTCTGCCTCGCCATACATGTAGGAAAATGGTAGGCTAGGAGCAAGATGGCTTGTGCTGTTGTTGCGCGAGTTGTCCATCTGTGCGGTTCCACCTGCCGCGCACAAAGTGAGGGCAGCTGCTGGGCTGGAGACGGAGGTCTTCCGAGAGAAGGCGGGGCGAGATGCTGGCTGGCGCTTTTCAATGTCTGTGGGCGCGTGTCGCGGTCCTGGGAGAGCAGATCTACGGCTGAAGAGGAGGAGCTTCGTTCGTGAATCAAGAAAACTGGAAGGAGCACTAGGCGTCCACTGCGGGAAGGAGCGACGGGTGCATTATATGCTGACATGGACTGAACGGCCTAGTGGCCACACCATGCATGTGCTAGACGTGCCTGTCCCGACATCGCCTGGCCTGGGACTGTCGTTGTTGCATCACGGCCACCCTCGCCCACTGCGCTGCACCCTTGGGACATGGTGTGGTGATCAGCCCGCAAGCCCCCCCTGCACGCCATCCTGTCACCACCATCGCATGCAGCCGCAGAGCCAGCATCGACCGAGCCACCCGCGCCGTGGAGTCGTGGCCTGCACCCGCCTAGCCTGCTGCAGCCCTGCCATCCCGCTCGGCGGGTCTCTCTGAACGGACATACCGCACGCAAGGAGCCTGCCTGACCTGGCCTGGCCGACCCCGAGGCATCCCCAGCGAGCAGCTCGATGTCCCCTCCAGGTATCCCCGTGTTCCTTGGGGACAACGGACGGCCGACTTTCCCACAGGCAGCCTTCCCAGCTAACCTCTCCTGGTAGCCTTCTCAGAATTGTTGCTTCTCGAATCTGCCAAGCCTTTCCAGCAGGCAGTCTGCACAGATGGCGACCGCCACGGAGACCTACTGGAAATAGCTCTCCATCTGTCGAAACCACGTTGCCCGGTTCCTCACCTTGCCGTTTCTGGCGTAGGGTCCAAATGACCCAAGTCGCCAAGCACAAAGTGGGTACCTCTCTTCTCGTAGGCACTCGGCAGTCCTCATAGTCCTGATAGACTCTGTCCCCTGTCCCCCACTGAACAATACTCGTCTGCTACTTGAACAGGCTCATGGTCAGACGAGGAAGCTATCGGGACCCCTCTGCCGAACCATCCTGGTCTTCGCTTGAGCTGCCCGTGATCCCGAACCTGATTATAGGTTCACGACAAAAGTGCCAAAGCCAACTCACAGCCCTCACTCGCGACACGCTACTGTATGGAACTTGGTGCTTGTTTTGTCAGCATTTCTCCGTCCGAGAACAGCATATTGCCGGGCACGGCGTGCCCCGTCGAATAGCATTCGGCCGATCCCGGTTGGCCACCGACATCCCTTCCACACAAACGGCCAAGCTGTGCCAGGGTACGACAGCCACGTACCTGGCCCGCCAGAATGGCACACTTTCCACCAACAGATGCTCTTCGCCTTGCAGTTCGTGTGAGAAAGGGCAATGACTTCATTTCTGCCTACGGAGTGGTTCTCGCTTAGACTTGGCATGCGGGTCCACCGCCGAGGAGAAAAAGCTCCAGGCGTGAGATCTTCAGCCACACGGAATCATTATGCTCCCGGCTCTGATCAATGGACTTTCCGTGACCATGCCGTTAAAGCTCGTTGTTTTCTCGTTGGGGAAGCAAACAAGATTCATATCGAAAAGCTGGTCTTGAACGACCTCTCATGGCTCATACGCGACCATTGAACACAGGCTGGCTGGGGAACGACTGATCAACGTCCATCGTCAATATGCCATTGCTGTACAGTGTCAGTCCACACGGGGCCGCACTAGGGCCTGACGCCATCACATCTGTATTTGTCAAAGTGTGCGACGCTAGTTGATGCATCAGGGGACCGCCCAATCTAGGGGTGTGCAACGAAATGACCCTTGTCGCATATCTCTTTTGTGGTCCTGGTCGAAACTCCATCTTACCCTGGCCAAATTATGTCCATATCCAGGCATTGTTCAGAGAGCCTCGATCTACCGCATCCGCATGCGCAAGCCCATACGACCCGCAGCCAGCTACAAGAGGCGATGATATATGTGCAGCCAATCAATGCCTGCAACAGTTCGATCCATGCTGCGCAACAACTTCACTATTTCAAATGAAATCGACCTTTGTTGGTCGACCTACCAAGCTCCGAATGTTGCACCAACAAACTGTTGAAGTTCTCTGAGGGCTGGTCCTGCAATACCGACTTGGTCGAGGCGACAGAGCTTTGCAAACTACCTGTGAAGTCCCGATAGACCACACACGCATAAAGCTGGCCACTCTTTCACATTGCAATATGGCGCACCGGTAGTTGGAACCCGGAACCATCAACCATCGCGCAGCCATGAACCCTGTTCGATGGGTCATGCTTACATAGCACCCCCGCTCAATCAGCACAGCAGCTCTGCTGCAGATTTGGACAAGCTGCCTATGGTTTTTGCATGGTGGAACCTTAGCATTTATTCACCTAGCTCAAGTGGCTGGCGGGGCCCCTTCCACAATAAATTTCCACAAGAGTTTCGCCTCAAGTTCTCCCTTGGGGAAGACGAGCCATGCAGATGGCTGCCTATCGGGGCGGAAGCCGCGCTCGCTCGTCCGACATGGAGTGGGTGCTACAGCAGAGGCCTCTGAGCAGAACCAAGCTGCCCTTCACCTCAGCCAAAGTCCCACAGTGGTAATATGGCAATTGTGTCAATCGATGTCAATTGCACACTATGCTGCAGCATTGCTTAGGAGCCAAGATGGAGCGGAATGAATGTATATCGCACCAGGCCGCATCCAACCGCATCGGGCCGCGTCAGGAAAAGGCAAGCAAGAGAAGCGCCATCGTCGTATTTGGCAGGCATTCAATGGACTTCCGCCGGAGCTGCTGACCTCGAAGTACCGCCTTTGTATTGGGGCTGTATACCTGAGTCTTCGTTCTGGGGTGCTGCCAAACTACTGCTGGGCAGGGACGTCTCCGAAGGAGGGGCCGGAATGGACGACCTTCGAGACCATGACCATGTGCCAACCCACCCCCTCGGCCATCCCACCAACAGGACTAGTTGCTCCACACACGCCCCATCACGCATCCATCGTGCCCACCTCTGAGCTGGGGGGTGGGGTGCTGTTCCCCATTGTGCATCATCAGGGTCATGGTGTTCGATATTGCTCTGGCAGGCCGTGCTCCGCCACGGGCGACTTTTACCGCCTCTTGGCTTTGCACGATTGGTCAGACGAGTCGGCCCCCATAGGAAAAGGCGGACTTGGCGATTGCAGCCTGGGCGGTGGCCTGCAGGTGCATGAGCACCGCGACCCCGATCTTCCAGAACGGACCCCAATGCGGGAGGTTCAGCAACAATGGTGCGGTGCGGCTCGGTCAAGCCCACATCGGCCGAAATAGACTGACCCTGGTCACACCACTGCGGCTTCTTCATCTGGCTCTCTGCCAGTTTTTTCTGCTTTTCTGCAGTTCTGCAGTTCTATCGACCTTTCGCAGACGACTGGCTCAGGCACAGCGAGCACTCGGCTGCGGGAGCTGTACCCTTGTTGGGCCAACCCTCAACGCCGAGGGCGCGAGGACTTCACAGGCAAGCACGACGAGGATGCTCCCAGCAGAGACGATGCTCGCCTGTACGTCTTGTCCGAGGTGACGAGACGGCGGCGTTGAAGCGCTGGCTTCCTCCATCCCAAGGTCCCGACAGTGAGGGAAAGGGGCCGCACGATCTACCCCAGGATTCGGCTGGCGAGCCGACCGGGGTATGTCCCAAAATAACCTGCCACCCTTGAGAAAGTGGGGACGATTACCTCAGGAACAGGCCTGCAAGTGTGCTGGCTTAGCAAGCCAGGCGGCTCCACCCTCGCATGCACCTTCGGCTCGTCCATGCCTGCTCGCCTGCACTCTGGATTGGCTGGCGTCGCTATCTAGTCCGCCATCGTGCTAGTTCACGTCGCACGGAATGCCGCGTCGGACGGCAGAGTGACTCTTGCCGGAGCTGCCTGGTGGCATCAGAAGTGGCCATCACCTGCACCTACACCTGCACCCGCACCTGCGCCTGCACGAAACGCAGCCGCACAGCCAGCACGTATCTTTTGGCCCCGTTCCGCCTTCGACGCCGCATCCGCCGGTGCCCCTGCACGGGCCTTTTTGCGGCGGCCCAGGCAGGACGCCTGTCAGTGTGTGTGGTTGTGTGTGTGTGTGTGTGTGTGAGAACGGCCTGATTCCGGGGTGACAGTGCATGACAGAGAGAGCAGCCAGAGTGCGGGATGGCATCATGGGCGCGCGGCCCCAACAATGCCAAAGGGCGCAGGGACTACTGCAAGCCCCAGACCGCCGTTGTTTCTCTCTGAACCTTCGATAACTTAACACCAGTTGGTGACGAGGGCAGGGAACTTGGCCGCTCCCATTCCGCGAGTTGTCGATTGTGTAACACTCCCCATCCCCTCCCCCCACCCGGCGCTCTCTCGGGATTTGAGTGCGGCGCACCGGGCTTTGCTTGCTGAATCGCACATCACATGCTTGGGCTATGGGCGGGAGTCCCGATGGACGGCGAGCCGGCATGGCCGTCAGATAACGTCAATGTCGGTCCCACGGTTGGCGACATGTTGCTTTCTCTAACCCCCCTCCCCGCTCCCGCAAAAGCAAATCCCCGGCAGCAGTCAGCTTTGCTATCTCCGGCCGTTGTTCTGCAGCCGACGATCCCCCCGGCCCGGGGAGCCAAGGCGGCACGCCAAGGAAGAAAATATGACTCCGACTTTATGAGTTATGAGCCATGCATGGCTGCTTGGCCCAAAGTCCTCGGTGTTAAGCTCAATCGCCGTTGGACCATCGACGCGCGCTCTCTCTCACTCACTCGCTCAAAAAGGGCCACGCGTCGTGTGGTGGCTGTGACATTACTCGTCATCAATGCCCTCACTCCTCGGTATAAGCAGTCACGAACCACACACATCGTGATTTTCTGGACAGGCCAGCACTTGACTGACTGCTGGACCTCGGCCCACGCAAGTGATGATACCAAAGTCCCAGGGGGTTGTCGAATCACGATTGAATATCACAACTACTAGGCATTGAGATATATGTCACCTGCCACAAGACGACGAAACCCCCCTGGCACTTTTAACCAGTGCGCCTTTGCCACCCCCCCAATGGGAGCTTGGACTGGGCATCTCAGTCGCACATCTCAAGTAAATACCGCCACCGGGGCTCGTCAATTCGATGGTAGAGGGTTCATGCAAGTGTTGGTATACAGGTGAGTGTCTTACACTATCAAACAACAAGACCGGCTCGGCTTGCCAGACAAGCAAATGGAATATGTCGTCCATACAACATCCAAAAGCGGTCGATTCCGCTACCGAAGCCGAAACGGCCCATTCAGCACCAGCCTCCTACCGATTCGTCGTGGTCGTCTGGGCCGAAGGCCTATCCAGCAAGTCCAGACCCGCCTGAGCCTGGTCCACACCCTCGGGGAAGTTCAGTTTCTTGCTCATGGCAAGGCTCTCCTGAAACCAGCGCCTCGCCTCCATAACGTCGCCACCCATGCTCGCAATTGTGCCTAGATTGCACAAGGCGACGGCGCAGGCCGCGTCGCATTCCTCGGTGCGGGCCTCGCCCTGGACCTTCTCAGATGTGGCCTTAGCCTGGAGCGCCCATTGGCGGGCACTCGCAAGCAGAGACTGCCGCGTGGGTGGCTGTGCATGTGGTGATGATCCTGCAGCCTGGGCGTTGATTGGGGGTCTGATGGGTTGCTGCGCCAGGGAGATGGCCAGATTGTTCACTGTGTGATATGGTCAGGACTCCTATGGAGGATGGGGAGGGGTAAAAAGGGGGGGGGGGCAAATCATGAACCAGAGGTGGGCAGAGTGACTGACTTATGACTGCAGTATGGCAGCTATCCTTGGGCGAGAGCGTGATGGCCTGCAGGAAGGCAGGCGCCGCGAGGTAGTGATATGACTTTGACTCGTAGTGCTGGCCGAGCCCTGTGTGGTGTTTTGGTCAGCATCGATGCACGTCATGCTCTGTTTTTGCCACTTCGGTAGTTGATCACTCACTCTCCAGCTCAGCCCCTAGTTCCTCCTCGGTGAACCATGGTCCTTCGCCTTCCTTTACTCCTTCTGTCTGTCTTCTGTGAAGCTCCTTGAGGGTGGTCTCGACCGCCCATACCAGGCGCTCCCCTGCAAGGTCGTTCTCGAGCACATGAGGATCGGCGTAGAGGTCACCAAGCTTGGTGTTGATCTTGACCATCATCGCCAGGATCCTGTTGCGTTTTCTCCACAAGGTTTCGTACTCGAGCTGCTTTTCGAGAAGAGTGTCGGGCTTATCCGGGTCCTTGGCCTTCTCCTTGGCCTGCTCCAGGGCCTTTTGCATCCTCGGGCTCAGAGCGGCCTCCTCCAGCGGGACAGTCAGCTTGCCGTCCTTGCCCACCTTGCCGTCCCGGACCATCTGCTCAAACTTGTCCATCCAGCCGTTGCAAGCCTTGAAGAGCTCCTCGAGGACCTGGATCGCTCCTTTGTACGAGTGGAGGCCTTCGAGCCACTGCGCGATCTGGATCCGGATGCCCATGATCTCGTCGTGGAACGGGTCGATCCCATGCGCCTTGCACTGCTCGATGGCCTTGTTGTACCACTTCATGGCGAGCGCGGGCTCGGGGGAGTAGTTTGTGTAGTAGAGGGCCCGGCGGAGGGACTGCGCGACGTCGTCGGGGAAGACGGTGAACTGCGAGGATTGGAAGTAGGTGAAGTACTGGTATACCAGCATCACGATGCCTATGCTGATGAATGCCAGTCTGTGTGGCCGGGGGCGGGCGCGCAGAAAGTGAGGGAAGCGTCAGTACACAACACAACTACATGCCATGGTTCGTCTCCAAGAGGGCAGCGAATTCCCCCGTCTCACTTACAGTCCGAGCGCAATCACAAGCTCTTCGGGGCTCTGCCTGTACAGCTTGCGGAAGCCAGAGCCCGTGAATGCCCTCATGAGGGGTCTGAAGTCCAAGCCTTTCTTTAGGACGTGGAAGACCTCCTCTTTCGTCAATGGCTTCTGTTTCGGTGGTGGTGGCTGCTGGTGGGGCCGTTTCGAGTTTGTCGAGTCGGACTGCCACCGTACCTGGGCTTGACGCATCAAGGTCGCAATGACAGTGGCGTGGCGATTCCGCGTGGCCGTTGCGAGAAACATGTCGCTGAACGCCGGCTGCATCCCCGTTGCGCTTTGCGCCAGGCGGAGGCTGCCATGGCTGGAGCGCATTGCGCCGCGGAGGCCTGGGGCGAACATCGCGCGCGCACGCCCTCGAGTCACGATCGCGTGGGAGGAAAGAGACTGGTCTGCGCTCCTATATCGAGGCGTCGGAGCCGGAGAGGTGCTGCATGTCCTCTAATGGCGATCAGGACAATGGGCGGCGTACAAGGCTGTCGTGATCGTGATTGCTGCAGCCCGAGCTCTCCAAAATTATCAGAGTGACGTCTGGATACTATGGAGGTCGGCGGGTCAATCCGTGCGTGACTCCGTGCGAAGCTGCCTTCCGGGGCGTGCTGCGCCTGTATCTCGCACTGCCCCCGCGACTTCTCCACCGCGCCTCGTGCAGTGTCGCCATCACCAAATCGGAGGCTCATTGGACGAGCCTCGGCAGCACTTCACGGCCGCTTTCTTAAGCGGGGCACTTCATCTTCAGCTTCACGACACACCGCGAAGCGTTTACGCTCTAGATCAGTCACGGTTCCAGGAATCCGTCCATCCTTTTGAATTACCGGCCGGAAGCCTCTTGTACACTTCGAGCTCGCACTCCTACCCCGCCATCATCAAAGAACGAGCGCAACACATTCACCATGGGTGGCAAGTTCGAGCCTAAGGAGCCCGTCAACCTCGACCCGCCCAAGAATGACCCCATCTCCCTCGAGGAGCTCGCCAGGGCCAACGGTATGAGCCCGAATACTTCTTACAGTCACCGCGGATCGTTTTGCAGAAGCTCGCTGCCGGCAGCCTCACTCTCAACTCACAGGGCGACTGTGTGCTAACTCCGCAATCGTGCAGGTTCTGAGGGACAGAAGGCATATGTCGCCATCAAGGTAGGTATCTAACCGAGGTTCCAGCTCACAAGCTTCTCAGATTGACCTGATCACATTTCTCTCATGGACCCATGCGTGGAACAGACCAATCGACCTGACACTGACCGTTGTGCGATCTCCCAGGGCAAGGTATATGATGTGACTGGTAACAAGGCCTACCAGACGGGTGGTTCTTACAATGGTAGGTGTCCCATCCTCGCTCTGCAAACACAAGGGTTTCAGATCATTCCGAGACACGCACTTCCCTGGTGTCCCCCATACCTACCTAGCTTCCCAGCGTTTGGCTTGGTGCCAGATCCCCTCGCAGAAATCCTTCTTCCTTCTGGCCCCCTCAAGTTTCTCTAGACTTATACTTTTCCGGCTGACCCGATCCTTCTCAGTCTTCGCTGGCAAGGACGCCTCACGCGCGCTCGCCAAGACGTCCACAAAAGCAGAAGACGTCAAGCCCGAATGGCAAGACCTGGATGACAAGGAGAAGGGCGTCCTGAACGACTGGGACACCTTCTTCTCGAAGCGCTACAACGTCGTCGGCATCGTGGAGGGTGCCACCAACACCGAGTAGATCCGGCCTTTTTCTTTTCTCCATCGACGAATCTGATTTATTTGAGACATCGTTCCGTGGCCGTGACCCTTTGTGTGTGTGAAACAACGTGGATATACATGTCTGGCTTGCTGGCTGTGATCTTTGGGGTCTTCTGCAAGTGACGACGGCTCGGGAAATCGAGCGTTAAGCTCCAGTCGATCTGTGGCACTGGCTTATCGATGAATGTCACGATGGCTGGATCTCATATGCATAATGCATGGCAGTCATCATGTCTCCCAGCTGCACGGACTGGACGTTAAGAGCGATTATTCAAGAGCCATAGTGCAAGCCGGGACGGAATGAAGCCCAAGCTATGGAACGCTCGGTGACTCGGTCATTGCGGAAACTGCATACACACTTGAACTATTATTCCCAGTAGCCCGAAACTACAAGAGCGTTGATACATTACGTCCGCGCGCAAGTGGGAATGCAGTATTGAGTGCTTGTCCGGCATTTGCGTTGTTCGATCTCCTTGATACATGTTGTCAAGTTGCTATTTCTAACGGGCAATCGAGCCTCGGAGGAAATACCTGTTTTCATGAACCTTGGGATGCTATGGTCTTCACCGAAAGGCCTTGTTGTTTGATCATTATGAAGCCGATGACCATACACTCCGCAGTGGTGACCTCAGACTACGGCAGTATCTAGTTGACCAATACCTCCCCGGCTCTACCGCTTCCATGTTGGCCGGAATATGATTCGCTCCGAGCCACGCCGCCATGTGTACCAAGGTCCTTCCCGCCACCTGCAGCATATGGTCTCACTTGTCCTATGCCTGTGCCTCCATCAATATATCGAGTACGCATCCGTGGCCGGTGCCAAAACCAGCTGATATAGACAAGGCATAACCGCTCGCTGCTTGACGGAGAACTCCAGCACGTTGGAGTAGGCTCAACTTGCGCTTGGCTGAACCACACGCCCGTCGACAACCCGCACGCCGGCTCTCTCGCAGTTCTCGCAAACACGGCCGGTCTGCAGCCACGATGCGCGCAGGAACTGGACTCGTGCGCACTTGTGCTGCGGGTGGTTGCGTGCAAAATGGCAGTAGCATTTCAGGCGGTACACGGCGTGACCGCACTCAAACATGAACTCGTCGAAGTCGCACATCGTTGTGTTGGTGTCGTGGCTGGTCCTGTCTGACGGAGCAATCGTTGGTTGACGTGCATCGAGAGGTATGGTGGCTTGCCGAGATCAACATGGACTGCCTGTCGTCCGCTTCTTGGGGCTGGTTCTTCTTGGGTGCCACGGTAGACCCCCGAAATGCTCGTGATTGGATGGCCTTATTCCCCAAGAGTGACCTTTGGCGTCGTTGTACGCCAGATCTCCTTTGTGTCCTTGTTCTTTCCTTCGTGGCCACGATTGAGATCGCCGAGGGCTCATGTTTTGTGGCTTGGAAGACAAGTTCTGTCGCGCAGAGAACAGACAGGTTCGTTGATGACAAGAAATCCCATGGCTCTTTATAGAACAAAAACTTGCCAAGTGTTTGATACTGTCTGTGAGGTAGGCTACAGTGTCAACAGTGGTCTGGTTTCAAAAGGTCCCTTCGTTCTGAGCTCTGCGCCGACATCAATATAATCAGTGCTGGTCGAATGTCTCATCCAAAGGTGTGCAAGACATATACATCACCATATGCCTGGGTTTACTTGCCCTTGAGAGGTCATGTTGTGCAACATCCCGTGACCGGTGGGTTTACTTGCAGACCGCTGTGCAGAGATGATGAGGCTCGAGCGCGAGGTGATAGGTCATTCAAATGCTTGTCATGGTAACCGTCGAATTTCTTCCATTCGTAGACTGAAGCTGGGCTGCGGGTTACGAAGGCACCGCGTCGTCAAGAGCCATACAATAAGTGCCCAATATTAGTTGAAGAAAGATTGTGGCCGCCAACTCTCGCTCTCGCTGGAACAAGCACACATCTCCAGGCTTTCTGCCGCAGATAATCGAATTCGAATCACGCTGCATGGCATATGGGCCCTCGGGCCCTGGCTGATCTAGTGTGTCATCTGACAAGATTTGGTCTCGACTGTTCAAACAGAATCGTGTTAAGCACGTGCGACACGGGTACGCGCGTGAAGCACTACGTTTGGCGACATCTGGGAAGGAAACGAGCATAGCTGCCCATGCAAGGCCTGCTGCACGTACCCCGTCAACTGCACCTCAGCGCGTGCGGCTTCGCAGAATTCGGATGACACGCCTATGTTGTTTGATTCGAAGAAAGCATCAAGACCAAGCGGACGGCATGACCCCCAAACGGGGTAGCGCCTCGGCCAGTCTGATAAAGTCGGAGGAGTCATTCCTTGATTGCTCGTGTGACCTCGTCTTGTAAAGTTGGTGTGCAGGGTGGCCAGCACCAGGCCCTGCCCAGGTGTATATCTGCTGTTCCCTGAGGAAGGGTGGAGTCGGCAGCACTAAGCTTAACGACATTGCCATCCGCTCTATAAGAGGATGCGCAGCTGGGCCACGAGCTGCCATCATATTGTGTCAACTGTGCAGGCTGCTGTCTCTGCATCGAGTCGATCTCATCGAGCAATGAACGACAATCACTACGACTCGCATGAGACACGCTGGGGCGAGAGGTGCAGTGCCGGGCTGGAGCTCAATTGCAGGGACGCCATCGCGAACATGAGGCGTCTGGTGGTATTCACGTCTGTCATGCTGGGGTATTCTGCGAGCTCGTACAGTCAATGACTGCAGCGTGTCGTTGATAAGAAGCATGCTTTGTCGTCGAACAAGCCATGCGCGATTGCATGTGTGTGCATGCATGATTATGTCAAGCTCGAAAGCGGTGGTGGTGGCTTGGGTGTGGTTGCCTTATTTTCTGGGGTGCTGGTGCGCGGCGGGCGACTCCTGGGCGGCCGTGGTTGCCTTGCCTTGGCACAACCATTGACTGGGCACATGCGTGCCCTCCTCCCGTTCCCTCCGCCACCCTCCAACCCACGTCACATCCCACCACCTTCGAACGGCCTCTTTTCTTGACTTTTCCATCCCTCCTCTGATCCGCCATTCTTCGTGTCCCCCGCGGCAAGGAGAATCTGCAATACCACTCGGTGCGAGTCACATACTCGACGCTGAAACCCGGGACGGCAGCCACATTGTCCACTTTGTTCCGCCTCCCGCAAGCTGCTGCCTGTTTCTGTCGTTGCGCATTGCAGCCCTCGCCTTTTGTGCTGCGCATTTCCTGCCCATTTGGAACTCCCAAAGCCGGCTATTTCCCCCGATGCGACGGCTCTTGGCCCCTGCAGATCAAGTAGTTGTGTACAAGAATTTGGGCGGAGGACCACGAGCACATGTAATTATTCACGTTTTCGTATTCGCAGTCTTGGAATCGACGCTGATTTTCTCAAGCTTGAGCCACATTCCTCACTCCCGATCGTCTTGAGAACATGGCCATGACGACAGCAACATCCCGAACCAGAGCTGGCCACCCTGCTACTTAGCCCGTTGTCCAAGTGGTGCGGTGAACCTGTGTGACCGAGGTCCCCAGTGCTCAAGATTGATACGACGCTCTGATTACACACCAATTTTGTGTCTGGTTATGTAAAAGCACTACACGGCGGCGACAGCCCTATCCTTGGTCCGCAGCTCTATCTTAAATCTCATCGAAAAGTGTTGCCACGGAACCGTCATAATATCCAGCCATGTCGGCTCAGGACTCTTATCTCGGGGACCTCAGCCAGGTCTCGAATGCACCTGACAGACTGGGACGATTCCCGAATCCTCTCTCGGAATGGTATGGGGCTAATGATGGCCCTTGGGTCATGACTTCAACTGTCTCGAGCGCTCCTGGTGGACAGTTGATGCACCAAACCAAGTCATTTTCGGGGTATCGTGATCAAGTCACTCCGTCCGAGCCCGAGACAATGATCAATGCCACATTGCCATCAGATTCTGGCTACTTGAGCTTTGCGCAGCACAGCGTTGCTGACCCATCCCTCTGTGACGAGGGTCTGGATCGTGTAACGGAGACTGGCAGCATCATTGGAGGTTTTGGTGGCCTAAGTTTCGACTTCTCGTCCTTTGATCCTATACCTCAAACTCCGGTCCAGTTTAACCAACCGGTATGGCGTCCACCACCTATATCTGATTCAGCAGCTATACACAGAAGCAACGCCAGCGTGCCAGATTTGTGGTGCAGTGTTTGCAAAATAATGTTGAAAACCAGATCAGATAAGAGGTAAGTCAGAATGTAGACCTAATGGAGTGGCTGCGTGCGAGGACCTGACCATCAATGTCTCTGAACAGAAAGCACCACACGCGCCATACCAAACCACATCGGTGCTACGTGACTGGCTGTAAGCGCAAGGAAGGATTCGGCACTGCCAACGATCTTGAACGGCACGTCCGTAGTTGTCATCCGGAACAGCCAAGTACTGGGTATAAATACGTCTGTACGCTGGAGAAGTGTACCGAAAGGCACAAGCTCTGGCCACGGGCAGACAACTTCCGAGCCCACATCAAGCGCGTCCACAAAGATGTGCACTTGAATGATGAACAGCTTGAGCAGTATCGTCACAAGTCAGTTCCCTTATCATGCCTACAAGAGGAAAGTAAAGTATTGACATGCAATTACAGATGTCCAACACCCCCAACTCCGAACGCAGCCATGGGGCAACCAGGACATGCAGACTCTCACATGACTGCGAATTTGCACGCGGACGGTCTTCTGCCTCTGGACTCCTGGGCCTCTTCTCATAGCGGCGAGCTCGAAGATTCCAAGGAAGCGCTGCGTAGGTCGCAAATGATTGTCCAAGCCATGCCAGAGCAGAGCACGGTTGAGCCCACATCAGCACGAAGCCACCAGGAAGCGACATGGCCATCAAGAACAGACGGCGAATCTGCTGTCTCAACCGCCAGAGCACCAAACAAGAAGCGTAGTGAGCACCACGATACTATGGAACACGCCATCTATGGTACGCCTTATACAACTCTCATCCCGGGAGAGTCCATGGGCGGAGCGGAAGAGCTTTATGATGCCATGGACCCAGACAAGCACGACCATGTACCTGTCACAATTGATCCTGGTAGCAGCCATGAACTCCTCCTAAAGGGTGTGACGCCACATGGGACAAACGAGGTTGACCTACCACGCAACGGCGTATTGGACTTAGACGACGAGGATGTGATAGAATTGGAAGACCCGTTGCGATTTGATGTTGATCTACGCGACCAGGCTGCTGTCAGCAGACTTCTCGGTGTGCTGGAGCGCCGAGGCATCCTTGAGCGGCATGGATACAAAAAAGAGACATCTCCACCCCCGTCTGACGACGAGGCCAAGCAGGAGCCTGTATCCATTGCCCCGACTGGCTCGAAAATGTCTTTTGGGTGCCGCTTTTGTGTCAAAACCTTTTCGAGGCGTTGTGAACTTCGGTCAGTATATCGTGGTCCCCGCTCAGCGTCCTTAAAGCAGACCTCACTAACCAAGTGCTGTGAAGGAAACACGAGAAGCGACACGATAAACCCTTTGGATGCACATTCGCAGGCTGTACAAAGCGCTTCGGCAGCAAGAACGATTGGAAGAGGCATGAGAACAGCCAGCACCTCATGCGGGAAATATGGAAATGCGACGAGCGCCATCCATCTACACCCTCAGAGCCGTGCGGCAAGATTGATGGACGCCGGGAGGAATTTAAGCAGCATCTGACGCTTGCGCACGGTATCAAAGACCCCCATCAGATCGACCTGAAAATCGAGCATTGTCGGGTGGGCAGAAATTACGACGAGCGATTCTGGTGTGGATTCTGCAACAAGATTGTCCAAACCAAGTCCAAGGGTCAAAGCGCCGGGATGGAACGTTTCGATCACATAGGCGACCACTACGCAGGTCGTAGAGGTCACCCTCGCCAGAACCCAGAGGACTGGAAGCATGTAGATCTTGGGAACGCAACCCTGACTGATCCAGCGGCAACGGCCGACGTCGAGAACCCAGCCTCGGCATTTCATGAGGTGGCGACTCCGGGCTCGTCGGAGAGACGATCAATGTCATCCGCAAAAGGGAAAAGGTCGATAGACGGTGCCATGGTCACAACAGCCGACCAAGGTTGAAACCCATCTGCGCGACCCCAGATGTAGAGGTGGACCAATCTCAATGTTTCATAAGGGAGAAGATCTCGTTGGTAGTGATACAGCTGAGTGTCTTTCGTCGGATATCCATTGCGTCCATCTCTGCCCGCTCCTTTCCAGGTTCCAAACTTGGACCGATTTTTGAATTAAAAGAAATCTCGCCAGAACAAATGGTATGATGACTATTTTGTGGCCTTGGATGGCGTGATGATGCAGCCCCGCATCGCGTGATCAAACCACTTGCAATTCTTTCATGTGAGAAAATGGTTGATGGTGCCGCCGGTGCGCAGCCAGGTCGTGCTGCTCTGACAATCGGGCACAATGCAGTTCAACCAAGGAGCAGTATACTGCAAAAAAGCGGTGGCTATTGTGAGCGAGTGACTAGGACCCTTAGAGATTCCGCTGCTGTAAGTGTCGCTTGTAGTAGAAGGACTAACCCCATACTGGCATTACGCTACCCATCTCAACTGTCACTCCTCCAAACCTGGGGAACTGAGAAGCCCCGCATTTTGTAATCAGCTTCAATCAGAAGAGCTGTGGGCGAATACAACACGTCATATTTACGAGCTTGATAGCCCCTTGACTCCCAGAAATCCATACTCTTTATTTCTCCGGACACTTGTCGAAGGAGGCCGGTGCTCACTCACAACGCCCGCCTCGAAGCCAATCCAAAACTCCTGGAGCGGTGTAAACGAAAGGCGCAGGTCCAGATCGTTACTGCAACACGATTGACACACGAGCTCCACCACTCTTGGAACGAGGATGCCTCTGCCAGATGCAGACCTGCACCCTGTGGCCACTGGGCCTGCGAAGAGGATTGTAGACGTAAGACTGCCTCCCCCCCTTCTCCACTTGTTTTGGTTTCTGGTACAGAGCTGTTATTCCGACTGGCCATGTGACGATGCACATGGCCTAGAGCATTGCGACCTTCCACAAGTGGTAGTGAATAAAGGGACTGAAGGAGAGCCATGGCTAATTATGATGCGCCGGCCGTTCAGGAACATGCCGACGAGCAGCCACTTAAGCTCTTCGCAGGGTGGTTCTGCCCGTTTGTGCAGCGGGTGTGGATCACGCTCGAGGAGAAGAAGATTCCGTACCAGTACATCGAAGGTGAGCCTTTTTCTTTCATGCTGCGAGCACCAATGTCTTTTCAGATGGTGGTGGCGGTGGAAGAGGCGCTGCGGTAGCGATCGACGACGGCTTGCTGACTTTGTTTGCGTATGGATAAAGTCAACCCGTATCACAAAGGTGAGCAGCTCATGAGCATCAACCCGCGCGGCCTGGTGCCCACACTGCAGGTCGGGCCGGGGAGGTCGCTCTACGAGTCGACAGTGGTCTGTGAGTACCTAGAGGACCACTATCCGGAGCATGAGCCGCACATCTTGCCGCCGAAACAGCAAGGCAAGGCCGGCGACGACGATGCAGATTATCAACGTGCCCGGGCTCGGATCTGGGCCGACTACGTGACCTCACGTGTGATCCCGGCGTTTCACCGGTTCCTGCAGTTCCAGCCGGAGTCGGGTCAGGACGAGCGGGCCGCGGCCGAGCAGCTCGACAAGCTACGCGGGGAGTACAGGGACACGCTGCTCACGTTTGCGCGGGAGCTAGTCAAAGGCGGTGGCCCAGGCCCGTTCTTTGGCGGCGAGGACCTTGGGCTCGTGGACATTGTGCTGGCCCCGTGGGCGGTACGGACCTGGGTGCTGGACGAGTTCAAGGGTGGACTGGCAATCCCGGAGCCCGGCAGCAAGGAGGAACGCGATGACCAGGAGGCGTGGGCGAGATGGCGGACCTGGCTGGACGCCGTTACCAACAGGGACAGCGTCAAGAACACGACAAGCGAGCGGGAGCACTACCTGCCCATCTACAAGCGGTACGCGGATAACACAGCACAGTCGGAGCTGGCCAAAGCAACGAGGGCAGGTCGGGGAGTGCCTTGACCACGTGTTGGGGGTGGTGAGAATTTAGCTCAAGCCGTCCTACCTTACCTACCTTGCCTCGGTAGCTGAAGTTGGTAGATAGCTGCAATCAACATCCGGCGGAAGTTGGTGTTTTTGCGACGAATTCCTGGCAAATGAAATCTTGCGTCGTAGAAGTTGAGAACATGCCGCACAAACAGACGTCTGGCTGGGTCCAAAAGACAGGAAGCCCTCCTACCCCCGCGAAGGCTGGTTGGACAATGCCCCAGTCCTGGACAGCCACTGCACTGGTGGCTTGAGCTGTCATGACTTTGGCAGAGCACGAATGTGGCCGCCTCCTATGAGACTGTCGAGCACCAAGGTTGCCACCTCGAACACCGAAGACCTACAGTAGCAACGTCATGATCCACCCTGGAATGCTGTCGTGGTCGCCTTGACCTGTTTGGGGGCTTGCAAGCCATGCTGTTGTGAATTGGAAAATAGTGACGGGGGAAGGGTGTAGCCGGGTACTGGAGCCACCTGGGCAGCATCCACTGCGCTACTGTACAGGACAGGAGCTGCCTTCTGGGCGGGGCCTCTGGGGTTGAGGTTGCCCTCCAGGTGGGGCGGGTCTGTTGCCTGGCTCGTGCCTGCCTGGCGGCTGGTTGCCTCGATTCCAGTCTCCGCCTGTCAACTTTGAGCACCCCGACACGACTGCGCGTTTACAACCAGGCGTTGCGGCCCGTGTGCAAGCCATTCGAGCGCCATCGTGTTGCTTGTCCCGTTAGGCATCACTGTCCGTGTCGGTCAGGCACTTTGATCCATCGGACCCCCGCGCCAAGCAGCACCACCGACCCGTCGGCCACCAACGATCAGTGGTCCTGTTCGGACGACGGACCCTCGTGATGAGGCCGACCATGCCGCCTCGCTTGATGTCTCGCATCGGCCCGTGACGTGACGGTCTCGAGCCAAGGCGTGCGTGCTCTCCAGCAGTCCCTAGCCGCCCGTCTAGCACAGATGCGGTGGCTGCTGTTGCGACTGTTTGCACGGAGCTAAGGCATGTCTGTGATCTGTTCCGGCCTTTGCCTGCTGCCGAACACCTCCTGTCATCATACCGACTGGTTCTGGGACACTGACCACCTCCGGAGGTGTTTGAGACCAGGTTGAGGATGCCTTTGCCATTTTAGCGCAGCAACCTGAACCGGCTTCACCACCATAGGTACACCTCCATGGAATTGCGAGGCCCGATGGATCCGGGGGAAGCGAGCGACAGCATGGATGGCTTGTTCCTTGACGGGCTAGTCCGTGCTCCTTGGGGCTATCTGTGCAGGCGCTTCGTGCGAGGCGCGGGCCGTCGCATTTCTCGCATGTCTCCGGGACAAGGAGTGGTCCGCGGCCCAACACAACACCTCCCCACCCCAGGCTGGGAACCCTACCCGTGTACCCTGCTGCCTCTGCGTTCTGACATCCAGCTGCAGACTCTCTCAATCTGAGGACATGGGGGGCTTCACAGAAACGCCTTACCGGTCTTGGGCAGGACTGTGCGAGCATTTCGTCAAGGGGCTCCTCTCCTGCTGACAACTGGCTCCAAACTGGGTTCTGATCGCCAGATGCCAGCTCGCAACTTGTATGGGAACCATCTCACTTCGCCATCTCACTTCGCCCCCAAAAGGGTACATGTGCCGATGGGCTGCGCCTCTTGACGTGCAGCCTTGGGGTCTAAAAATCGACGATACGGAGTCTCTGGGGCTGGTATTGCGCAGTTGGCTCTGGCGGAAATGGCACGACGGGGGCGCATGCTTGACAAGCTGGTCCGACCGCCCTGACCACCCTGACGATGATGTCCTGTCTCAACCTTGCACGCCATTCAGGTATCCGTGACCGAGTGTATGTTGTGTCTCGACCCTAGGCAGACCACCGGCGGATAGATCACTGACAGGATCTCGCTCATTCATGGATGTCGCCCGAAGGTGTGTATTCCGGAACTCCTCGCCTTGCCGATGGAGTCCATTCCCTCTAAAGACAGTCCATGGTGCTGCCGGGAGCGCGAGTGACCGGCTGCCTTCGAGCAGCGATGGTGGGAGGTGTCGCTATTGTCCAAATGGATGGACTATTGATGCAAGCGCCCCCCTGTGATCCAGGGTGCTTGCGGATGGTGTAAATCGACTTCTGCGCGCCAAGCCCTGGTCAGACAAGGGTCATGGGGAAGAAGCAATATCGAGTGTCACATCTACTTGGCTTCGAGTCAGCCCAAAAATTGGAGCAAATGCGCCCGTGCTATCAGTGTACATGATACTTGTGCGGCTCTGCTCGAGATTGTTTGCCCAGCTTGTTGGACAGATGCGACCCACGCCGGTCGACTTTCGTAGTTAAAGGCGATCTACCCTCGGTCATACTGCCCCTGCCCGTCACTGCTACAGACCAACATCAGCTCCCACTCCAGTCCACCAATCCAGTCCACTCCTTGTCTTTCAACTGCTATCATTTCCTTGCAGACCTTCTTCACCAACCACGCGAACACATATGCTGCATGGGGAATTTTAGAACAGTCAAGAGGTTCCTGCACCAGAGCACAAAGCAGCAGTCATCTTGCTGTAAGCCACGAGTGCAACTCAGATTCTAAACATCGGCATACCGGGCCATCAATATGGCTTTCCCTGGCCACTTTCCCCGGACGGACCTCTACGAATATTCGGACCAGCATTTCTTACTGCTGGACAGTCCCAGCAGTGCTTACATCGAGCCCGACCTAGAGGCGTGGAGTGCCAGCACGAGCGAATGGGCCGAGACGAAACAGCCTATCCTGCGATTTCTCTCGGAACGTGACCAAGGCCCAATGCTCTTCCAAATGTCCGGATTCCCAGAGCCACACGGTATCCCACCGCTACCGGGGTCTTACCGAAAACCTTCTCCTCCGCGAACGACGATATCATCTACAGACAGCTGTGCTAGTCCTCCATGTGCTACAGACTTTCTGCAGCCACAAACGCCCCCAATAACCGACTGCATTTCTCCATTGTTGAGCCATCCACATCAGCTATCAGCTGGTGGCCATCTAAGTTACACAGACCATGCCGACAGCTGCATGAATACGTTTGATCTGGATTACCGGGTGGACGACTCAGCTGAATTCTTCAAACTCGAAGAGTCGAACTCGAGCTGGTCTACCCCCCAGTTTCCCGAGTCAACGCAGGACTCTTGGTCGCCATATGCCGGTCCACTTCTCAAGTCTGAGGTCGATCTTGGACAAATCCCGGCTCCTACAACCGTCGAACCATCGGGTACCGGCACGGGTGACGAGTTGGACCCTGGCGATGAAATCTTTGTGAACACGCAGAGCCAAGTTCATGACAGCCCAAAAAGATCGCGAAGCCAGAAGATGTCCATGCGATCTCCAGATGGGCAAGACTCACAGGCACGCAAGCGGAAGAACACTTTGGTCACGAATCCGACGAAGCGCCCAAAGACAGAGGTCGCGGCTTCCGAGAACTTGCCACCACTCAAGATGGGCGCTTCTCAGCAGGGCAACAACTATTCCTGTCACGACTGTGCGAAGCCAGCCTTCTTCAGAGACGAGCAAAGTCTGTTGAAGCATCGAAAGGCTCAGCACACACGCCCTTTCAACTGCGTCTACCACTTTGCCGGCTGCCAGTCTACCTTTGCCAGCAAGAATGAATGGAAAAGGCACGTGGTATCACAGCACCTCGTGCTGCACTACTGGATCTGCACTGAAGGGTCTTGCGCCCAGGTCCCTGTGATCGAAGACTCGTTGGGCTCCTCGACCCAGATGTACCCAGACGCGAACACAGACACCTCAGGTCGCCACGGCACCATCTTTAACCGCAAGGACCTCTACACCCAGCATCTCCGGCGCATGCATGTTCCTGCCGAGTTCAAGAAGTTGATGAAGCAGAAGAACGCACACGTCCCTGAATGGGAGAAACAGGTCAAGGAGCACCAGAAGAAGTCGCAGCGCCTCCGTTGTGCTCTGCCTGAGCACATGGATTGCCCTCTGCCCACATGCACCGACTCTTTCCATGGGGCCAATGCGTGGGACGAGCGAATGGAGCATGTTGCACGACACCTCGATACCACTGCCAGTAGTACTGCGGGTAGCGGTCATGCCGCGGCCGAGAACCCGACTGTCGAGTTCGGTGGACCCGGGGACCTCACTCTTCTGCATTGGTCCATGAGGCCTGACGTCGCCGTGATCCGCTGGAATAGACAGAACGGCTGCTGGGAGCTGAACAACCCCCTCCGGACATCTGCAGGCCCGAGGAAGTCCTCGACGAGCGCCAGAACCCGGCGTGCCCCAAGCCTTGATTCCAAAGAGGTGCCGGCACAAGATGATTACCCCTTTGTCCGCGGTCCATCCGAAGACGATGACGACCGAGACGCTGAAGGCGAGGACGACGATGGATACGTTATTTGAAAAAAGACCTTGACGCTACTGGTCAACTCCTCAACCGCATGCCGACCCAACCTTTGTCAAACTATCTTTCCTCATATTTGCTGGTTTTTCCAGCGGCGAATGGATGGTGTACCTGATGATGGACACCCCACGCTCTGTTTCTTTCTTTGCCTTAGAGCACGTATGTCTCATACGTCCAGTCGAGCAACTATTCCCCCTTTGGCTTTTTGACTTGGTCGTTTTGTTCATATTAGATACCAGCTCTTCTTGATTTCGCTCAATTAACATCAATTCTTGCAAAACCACATCTGTAAAGGCCGGCCTCGCGCATATAGATTCCCGTGTCACATGCCAAACACTGCAAAGTACCTTGGATTCCTCCCAATGACCGCATGAGACGAAAGGACCAGCCATGCCATCCTAGAGAGTGCTGACTGCTTACCGATGATGGCCTCTCGTGCATAGACCGAAGGGCAGTGATACTATAAATAGCTTCCGCCCACGCCATCCCAGAGAGGCGCTGCCAGCCCGGACAATTTACACCCCGCGGCCACCCCCACAAGGCATTCTTGACTGGAAACAATGAGGGGGGCTTATAGGAGGAAGTCTCATATGACCTGGGGTCTTCCACGCGGGCCTTCTGTTGGCGACGTCTGAACGCTGCGACTTGCAAGCCCCAGTATGCCCAGCTTTTGCTGCGGAGCTATTTCGAGCTCATAATAAACCAACTGTGCCATAGATAAGTGAACGAACAAGGCCGAAGCTCGGCCGTCATGTGGAGCACCGTGCATAAGCGCATGTGGAATCGTGGTGAAGAAAAGAGAGGATAAGCAAAAACCGGCCTTTCCCGTGTTATCATGGACGAGAGACCCCTGGGGACTCCTCTAATTACATGACCTGGAGGATGAGGAGTTGGTTGTGGACCCGCTGCTCTTGTGATCCCAAGGTGGGCCACGGCATCAGCTCTGAAGCGCAGCGAGCTGCAGTCTATTGTTGTTGGTGGAGGCGGCACCAGATGCATGACCCACAGAGCGGCAGCCGCCATGTGCTTGCAAAATAGGGATGATGATGATGATGATGATGATGATGATGATGATGATGATGATGATGATGATGATGCTGATGATGATAGACTGCGCTAGTATCGAAGAACGACCATTGATCTTGAGCTTGGCACGTCACCGGGGCGCCTCCCGTGCCGGACCGGTCTCGCGGATACTTCAGGACCGGGGGGGTCCCCATTGCCCACTCTCGTGTGTGCTTTTGCTTTTCGCGCTCGCCCATGCTGTGCCCGGGCCGGGGGAGCTAGATCTGAGACTTGCTTGAGCTAGCATGTGTGCACTGGCCCTCAGTTTGGTTGGCAGAGATCTCGCCCTGCCGGGGAAGATCCGCCTGGGACGTGTCAGGGATCCAAGTACCCGGAACCGACCGTGGGCAGGTCTCTGCACGAACCTTGGCTTTTGCGTGGTCCATGTGCGACTATGGACGTATGAGTGTGTCGGGTCGGGATGCGCCCCGGAAGACGAGAGGAAAAAGCAAAGGGGATGAGTTGGAGAAGACTGGATGGGCTCAGTGGCACGCACGCACGCGCGCATGCAGATGCATGGGTTGGCTCTGCCTGGCTGGAGGCGCGATAGCCGTCGAAGTCAGAAGCGCTACCGAACCATGCCGTGGTCTCAGACAGAGATCGACGGGTTGGCGTCTGGGACAAATAGTCGAGAACTGTCTGTCTACCTTGGGTAGTGTACGCGAGGAATGTCGAGTGCCCTGGAGTACCTGATACCTGGGGCCTGGAACCCCCCCGACCTCGGCACCTGGATGCTCCAAGGGTTGAGGCAGCTGGGGGGCGCAAGCACGCACGCACGCACGCACACGGGGCCTGTCTGGTCAGCCGCACCAGGGCGCTGCCTGTCTGGCCCCCTCGCAACTTCCACCAACCTGCATTCCTCTGCCATCCACCTCCTCTACTCTACCTCGAGGGACGGTACGTTCTTGTCCTCACGCGAGAGAAGCACTGCCCGCGACCTGGAACCCACCATCCATCCACAAGGCGCAGCCACCACGGGCCTCGAGAGCACGAGGCACAACCTTGGAATCCTCGACTGAAGGCACATCCCCGGTCCGCCCCCTCAGGATCTGCCCCTGCTAGTCACCCTTTAGTGCCCTCCTTGTTTCCCCAGGCGCAGGTGCCCAATCTCGACCCTGCCACCGCAAGGCCTCCTCCCGCGCCTAGCTCCCACTAATCAAGTACCCTGGACTAGTGAGCCTAGCATCGCTGGTCCCAGCAGCACCAAGACATCGTTAGCCGACGTCAACGCGGCACTTGCCAGCCATTGGTTCTAGCCTCTTCCCTCTTGTTCCAGCTCGGGCCTTAGTCGTCTGCAGGTCGTATAGCAGCAAACATCTCCCAACGTACACCGGTTTCGTCCAATTCAGCAGAGATTGCAAAAGGGTCTTCCTGATGACTGATCCCGCCAGGGACCCGGCGCCAGGTTGGGATCCGCTGCTCGCTTCCGAGACACAACCTCAGCCCCGGCCATCACGATCGCCCAGCCCCGTGCTTGATGCACGTTCGTCACTACCGCAGCTGCCACCTGCGCCACAGCAGCTAGTCCCGCAGGCGTCTTCCTCATCGTTTGACCCCACGGAAGACGACGATCCAGCAGCCGGTGCGGTACTGCCCGCTCGGCCGGACAAGGGCAAGGCTCCACTACGCGCTGATGTCGGAGACATATCAACAGCAGGTCCGGCTGGACTTTCCGCCGTTGCGAGCCAGAACACTAGTGAGCCTCTAGCGGATGATGAGGTCGATAACGACCCGTGGGGGTGGTCGACTCGGCCGCGCCGCCCGCGGAAGGCCAAAGCGGCATCTGCCAGCTTGCGCCCTGCTGACGAGCCTCGCAATCATCCCTCGGCAGGACCGAGAGCCACGGATGAGCCCTCTGCCTCGAACACTGGCCACCAAACTTGTCAGCAAGAAAGTGGAAGAGATCTCGGTGCCTCTAGCGGGGGGTCCGATGGCAGCAGGGAAAACAACCCAGGGCCGTCTTCTGCAACCGCTGACACAAGCACAACAGGAGCTCAGGAAGACGGCTTGATTTCGTCGTTCAGGCCATTACAGATTGGCGATCTGGGCTGGGAGGCTTCTTCGGGTCGGCCTCCTGTGAAGCTACCTATACGTTTCAAGGATGCTCTGGGCAGGAACTTCATTTTCCCCTGGGAGAGGGCGAAAACGTGGGAGGTGAGTACGTGTGCGGTTGCCTGTCCAGGCTCGAACGGGACACGTGGGAGATTCGGCATCATGGCTCCATAAAGTGGTTGAGGCGTATCAGCTACATTGCACCCTTGCCGAGCTTCTTCCTGTTGTTGCAGACGCAATCACATGCTGACCAACCAAGCAGGGCATGCAGACACTGATCAATGCTTGCTTCACCCATGTACCAGCTGTGGGCCCGGACGTCTTCCGTGGCCGGTATGACTTGTCTACAACGGCGCCATTCCCACAGAACATCCAGCGTGTGATGCAAAGCACAACTTCTGCGAGCACGGATAACTCTCAAATACCCTCGGCCACGGCAGACTCAACGGGGAATACGCTTCAATCAACCACTGCCTCGCGTTCGCCTGGCCCCGCCACGTCTCCGATCGTGACAGTCTCACCAGGAGCTGTGGCGGCAAATGGAGACGACTTGGCAAGCTCACAGACAACTACTTCACGAGATCTGGCAACGGTACTGCTGTTGCCGGAAGTCTGGGACATGTTGATAGAGCCTGGCATGCTTGTAACACAGCACATGTGGCCACTTTCCCCATCTCCCACTCTACCGCCGCCACCGTTGCCTCCACCGCCGCCCATCCCCGCTCCGGGCGCCATGCCTATGCCCGGCATGCATGGAGCGATGCCGCCGGGACTTGGCGGCCGAGGCGTTGTTGGGCCTGGCCGGGGCCGCGGGCGGGGCCGCGGTCGTGGAGCGGGGCCGTTGCCCGGAGGTCCGGGTCCGGCGCCACCGCTTCCGCCGCCACCGATGCAGTGGGGTCCTCCTCCAATGCTCCGACCAGGCGTGCGTGTCATTGCAACCTCTACGCGGCGATCGAAGACGAGGAAGCGACGAGCCTAACGGTCGATCAGAAATGCGAGACGACGTTGGAGCTGTTCCAGTCCAGACCCGACCCGAGGAGGGATGTGAAGGAGGCAGAGAGGGCACGTGCCGGTGGCGCTGCCAAGGCTGCCGACTTGACTTACAACCAGCGGTTCAGCGGACGTCAATGCCGGCGGCTTGGGACAAGAGAGACTTCGGCCTATTGGGCGGTTTGTACTGGCACCTACGTGTCATTGTGGGCTTCGAGTAGGCTCGGACCCGGCGCATTGTTGGGAAACTCCAGTCTGTATATTTGAACAGATATATCCACAGGTGTTGAAGCAAGTATGACTTTTGATGCCTGGTCCAGTCTTCTCAGGATCGCCTACACCCACGCATGGCTGGTGGCACTGATCTCAGGGCATTGGCGGCCGTGCGCTGGAGGATTGGGCAGGCCCAAACTCTAAAGGGTTTGGAGCGTAAGCTGTGGTGGGGTGATTGGCAGGCGATACGGAGCTAGGAAGACTGAGGGACAAGCTCGAGGAATGAGGGATGCGGGTTGCTTTGAGGGGTTCTGGTGGTGTTTCTGACACGTCCGCCGTGCCTTGCATTCTTGCAGAAACGATCTATCCCGACTTGAGCCTGTTCTTGGTCGTCCAAGCACCGGACATCTCGTTTGTCGGCCTCTTGCCCTCGGGAAACCCCTGCTGCGTTTCTTACGTCACCCAGCCCCACGGCCGGGCTAAGCTCACGCTGCTCCGCACTCTCCAGTGCTGACTCCAGCCGCCGCGCACACGAGGTCGTCCAGCACTGCCGCCTCAGGTGTACCCCGGTCTGCGGGACCCTTCCAGCTTAGCTCAATTGCCCACAGGCTGAAGGGCTGACCGCAGCAACCTTCTTCTCTCCTCTCTCTCGACTCACACTCACGGCTCTGCTTGCGGACCTCTGGCAACAGCTGCACTTCTCCAATATATCCTCATCCTGCCCCTCAGGACCGACCATCAACCAGCAAGTAGTTCCAAGCGGTCTACCACGCCAGACCGTTGCGGCGAGCAGCAGACATGGAGTCGTTCCAGACCCTCAAGCGTCGGACGACCGACCTCGTCAGCTCGATCCCCAGCAACGCCCCCTCGATGCCAAACGTCCAGCTCCCGTCCATGCCAAATGTCCAGCTGCCCGCCATGCCCGAATTCAGTCTGCCCTCAATGCCAAAGATTGGGGGCAAGCACCAGCTCAAGGGCACCTGGCAGCACGTCCCGCTCCCGCCACTGCCCCGCTCCTCCCACTCCATCGACGTCGTGGCCGGCAACGCCTACATCTTTGGCGGAGAGATCGAGCCCCGCAAGCCCGTCGACAATGAGATGCACGTTGTGAGACTGCCATCCAGCGGGGCTCCGGCAGACTACTATACCGTCAAGCCCAGAGCTGCGGGCAGCACCACATCGCCGTCCAAGCCCGAGACCATCTCAGAAGACGACGAGACGCCTGCTGCCGCGACACCAGAAGATGACGACGAGGAAGAGGAGGACGAGGACGAGGACGAAGAGGAAGAGGAAGACAGCGAAGAGGATGAGGACGAGGAAGAGGAGAGCGAGGAAGACGACAGTGATGAGGACGACAGTGACGAGGATGAGGGCAAGGACAAGCTTGAAGATGTCTCGCTCGCGTCACCTACAACAATCAAACCATCGTCTGTACCTGCCACAGCTTCTGTCGCCAAAGGCAAGGGCAAGGAAGTCGTCGACAAGGGCAAGGCCCCGGCGGTGGTGCCGCCAGCGGATGTGCCATGCTCGCGTGTCGGTCACGCCACCGCCGTGATCGGCTCCCGCATCTTTCTCTTTGGCGGACGCAACTCCAATGCCCAGACGCTCGACGAAAAGGGCCGCGTCTGGGTCTTCTCCACGAGGACAAACACCTGGTCGCACCTGGACCCGCACTCGTCGTCTCCGATCCCGCCGGCACGGAGCTACTTCGCCGCCGTCGCCACAGACAAGCCCCGCGATTTTGCCAGCACCCTCAAGCCCCTCCGGAAGCGCAGCCAGAGCTGGAAGCAGTGGGCCGAGGGCGACAGCGCCGAGGTGGGCATCCCGCAGGCCCCGATCGTCGGCCATGTTGCCGAGCACAGCACGGACGAGGAGGAGGACGGCTACGGCACCTTCATTATCCACGGCGGCTGCCTCGCCGACGGTGGGCGCACCAACGACGTGTGGGCATTTGACGTCCACGGCGCGACCTGGAAGGAGCTCCCTTCCGCCCCGGGGCCGGCCCGCGGCGGACCTGCTCTGGCCATTGTCCACCACCGACTATATCGCTTCGGCGGCTACGATGGACAGGGCCAGCAAGGCGGCCAGCTGGACGTGCTCGAGCTGAACCTCGACGAGTCCCATGCCGCCGCGGACATTGGCATCTCAGCCCTGCCCAGCGGGTGGCAGAGCACCATTTTCCCCACCATCACACGGACCACGACCAACGACGTGGGCGAGAGCACGGCCGTGACCACGGCGACCGCCGACTTCCCCGGCAGCCGGTCCGTGGCGTGCATGAACCTCGTCACGGGCGGCGGCGGTCGCGAGTACCTAATCCTCATGCTCGGCGAGCGCGATGCCTCGAGCCTGGGCCACGCCGGCGCGGGCAAGTTCTGGAACGACGCCTGGGCGTTCCAGGTGCCGCCCCTCGCGGGCACGGCGGCCAGCTTGACCAGCAAGATCTGGTCGCTCACCTCGCGCCTCGGCGGCGGTGGCGGCCACAGTGACCCGGTGCAGTCGCCGACCGGCCAGGCGCCCCCTTCTGACGGCGCGTGGAGCCCCGTGAGCATGGGGTCCTTTGATCCCGAGGACCTCCCCGCGGATGCTCGCGGTCCCGGGCCCCGGGGCTGGCTGGACAGCGCGTCGATGGGCGATGTCGAGGAGAATGGCATCGTGCTGTTCGGCGGGCTGAGCGAGGGCAACTCGAGGCTCGGAGACATGTGGATCTTTCGGCTGGAGTAAACGGAAGTTTTGTGGCTGCGAGAAAAGAAGTCAGTGAAAATATCTCGAAAAACAATAACCCGCGGGGGGGGGTTGATATATGTGGAAGGGGGCCGTTATGGGAGCGGAATCTTCTTGACTTTGAACGAAGCAAGTAGGAGGAGGGCCGAGACAAGATGGCGATGGTTGGAAGGCGAGGAAGAAAGGACAAACGAGTCAAAACGCGCCACGGTATGGAAATGGAAATGAAGAAGGGTCGCTCATGAACAAGGGTTTTTTACGATTTGTCTAGCTCAGGCTTTTGTTTGTTTTTGTGTGAAGTCGAATCTGAATGCATTTTGGTTCTTTCTACATGTATTATTTGGGATTCCGATATTTCGTGTCTGCCATCGGGGCTCGCCATCACCTTGGATGCTCATTCACCATGTTGTTGTGCCGTAGAGCCCGCGTTCAAGTCGCCTGCTCGCTCATCGTCTAGCGAGTCGTGAATGTAGTCGCACGGGAGGGCAAGCAGCGGGAGACTCCCAGATTGCCCCCCGGTCGGATTTTCAACACTCGGCACAGGCGGCTCTCTCAGTAACACTTTCCTCCCGTCGCCAATGCGACTTGCTTCACAGGTCTAGCTTGCCATCATTACAAAGCACTCCCCTCATGGGATTTGACCAGGGCAAATAAAAGTTTCGCATTTCCGCATCTGTATGTACAAGGTTTTCGAAGGGTTCAGATGGTGGTTCCCCCGCACGCTGCTTCAGGTGGAGACAGTAGATTGTTGCTGTCCAACTTTCTAGACATCCCATCTATTGCATCGAGTGAAATACGCCGCATACTTGGTTCAAAACCAGCCAACCAACCAAGCCCTCCCTTCTACGCTACACTACCACCAACAATCCCCGCCCCTCCTCTACAGGTCAGACCTCGTAGTCTCGATACCCCACGGCTGGCTCGTTAGGTTGGTCTGTCCGCCGCTGTGCTCGCACGACTGGCGACCGCTCAGAGGGCCCGGCGCGGGGACCTTCTTGGCGGCCGCCGCGTCGCCGGTGGCGTTGGCGCTGTCGCGCAGGGCGGTGATGAGCTGCCGGGTGGTCTCGGGGGTCAGGTCCTCGTAGTAGTCGTCGTTGATCTGGACCATGGGGGCGTTGACGCAGGCGCCGAGGCACTCGACCTCGATGAAGGTGAAGAGGCCGTCCTTGGTCGTCTCGCCCTGCTTGATGCCCAGCTCCTCCTTGATCGTCTTGACAATGACGTCGCTGCCGCAGCCGCCGAGCTGGCAGGGGGTCTGGGGTTCATCGGAATGTCTCGTCAGTAACTCGTTTTTATAACTCTTTCAACAAATGCCCGCCTTAGGTCTTGGTGCCGGCTGGTGATTCATGACGCACACACACACGAATGTGCCGCCTCTGCCCTGCAACCCGAGTACGAGAGAGAAAAGTCTCGACAGCCAAACAACAAAAAACAAACTCACCGTCGTGCAGGCCTGGACAAAGAACTTGCCCACGGGCGTCCGGTTGTACATGGTGTAGAACGAGGCGACCTCGTAGACGCGCATCGGGGGCATCTCGAGTAGGCGGGCCACCTCGTTCATGACGCTGATCGAGGTGAAGCCGTGCTGGCGCTGGCCGAGGTCGAGGATGGGCATGACGGCCGCCTTCTTGTACTGCGGGGGGTACCGCTTGAGGATCTCGGCGATGAGCTTCTCGTTCTGCGCGTTGAACTTGAACGGGATGTCGGCATTGTTCTCGGGTGTGTCGCGGTGCTAGAAGGAAAGAGGGGGCACAGCGGAGAAATGTCAGTCTTCTTGTGTGTCGAATGGTGCGGTTCGCCTTTTGCCCGAGCTATGACGGATCATAAAGAAGATCCAAAGCACGGCATGCAGTTTGGAGGACGACTCTGAACAATGAAGTCAAAGCCGGACGTCCTCCCATGACCACAAAGCCATGTTTGAGTAACAATTCCGATCTTCGTGGGGGGGGGGGGGGGGGGCGGGTTTCGAAAGCAGATATCGCAGACATACCACCATCAAGGTGTCGCTTCTCCGGGCGGCGGCGGCTGTGAAGTTGCGGATCTGGGGCCGCGGCGCGGCACGGGCGACCGAGCGGGCGGCCGCCGTCCTGAAGAGCATCGGGCACAGCTTGGAGGCCATTGTGGTGGTGTCGGGCCGGGCAATTGGCGGGTGTGCTGTGAGGTCCTGGGCTGGGATGAGCGCTGGAGCTTCGACAAGGAACGCCTCCTCCAACCTGCAATTATCATCGGACTTGCTCGAGGTGGATGACGCCTGGGAATCATCGGCTCATTGATTGGCCAGTTGCCACGGGCTGCAAGACCAGGGTGGAGAGAGCTGGGCGCCAGCTGGCAGCATTCAGCAAGGGCAGCGGCCCCACTCTCTGCCCCAAGCAAGCACGGCCGACCACCTCGAATAAAACCTTGGAACCCTCGAGGGGTGATGCTGAGCGCTATTTCATTGTCGTGCGCAAGGTCTCGGTGGGATTGAGCTCACGTAATCTGCCAAGGGCCCTCTGACACGGCACGTGGTTGACCGTGCCTACTGCTGTTAATACCAGTAAAGCAGTCAAGGCACAGGAGTTGCATGGGTAGCAATGGGACCTCTGTTCTGCACCAATTCCGGAAAGCGCTTGCTCGTTGTTCTTCTACTCTATTAGTCAATGGCGCGGCCAAGGCATGGCTCCATGGTGCCTGGCAGCTTGCACTGTTCCCCGACGCGTGTCCATCTCAGGCCTCGTCTTTCTTGGCCTCCTCCGTGCTGTCGCCATTGACGGCAGCAGCGGCAGGCTCCTTCTCCTTCTCCTCCGCCTCCTCCTCCTCCTTGGCCTCGGCAACGTCAGCAGCGTCAGCAGAGGCTCCAGTGCTCGCAACCAGCTTCTTGACGGCCTCGACGGTCGCCGCCGGACCGCCGGGCTCGGAGAGCAGCACCTTGCCGGACTTGTCGACGGCAAAGACGCCGCGCTGTGTACCCGAGGGCTGCTTCTTGAGGCCGATGGCGGCGATCAGGGTGGCGCTGGGATCGCACAAGAGCGGGTACGGCAGCTTCTGCTTCTCCTTGAAGGTGGTGTTGGCCTTTGGCGAGTCCTTGGACAGGCCGTAGATGGCAAGGCCGCCGCTGGTCAGGGGCTCGTACGAGTCCCGGAAGAGGCACGCCTGGGTGGTGCCTGGGAAGTGGATGTCAGCGTGATGAAATATGGGGGAAGGGGGGGTGCGGTTGTGAGTTGAAAGCAGGTGGAAAGGGAGACTTACATCCTGGAGTCGAGGCTTTTGGGTAGGTGAAGAGGACGACGCCAGACTGGCTCTGCTCAACGAGGGCCTTGAGCGTCGTCTTCTCTCCGTCGTTGGTCTCAATCTCACCACCGAAGCCCTCGAGGTCGATCTGGGCGCCGACCGAGGGGCGAGCACCTGGCTTAGCCGCCGGGCTGGCTGTGGCCCCGGACTTGCCGGTGACGGCCTCCTTGACCTTTGTGGCCACTTTTGAGGCCTTGGATTGCCGCTTGGGCGCGGGAGGCGGAGGGGCGGCCGGAGCCTTCCTCTTGCGCAATTCGACGGGCATGGCGACCGTGTTTTGTCCAAGTACGCTATCTGGAGATATGAGTGAAGTGTGGCTGGGCTAAGCTTGCTGGGGGAGGATAACACGGTGATGGGGGGGCCGGCAGTGACAAAGTGAGAGTGATGCGCCTGCTCTTGATGGTTCAGGCGAGATGGGCGAGCGAGATGGACAGTCCCAGCCACCAGGCAGGAAGAAGAAGAAGAGGAAGAAGCAATGGATGGTGCTGGCGGGCTGTCTCGACCATTCTGCGACAGGGCGAGCCCATGGCCATCCATGGCCACGACAACCACGGGGAGCAGCCCGGGCATCCAGATGTCGCGACGGCCGGCGCCAGGGGCCCAGATTGCTAAGCTCTGGCCGATGCCAACTTTGGCCAAGCAACTCTCGAGCAGCAGCAGCAGCAGCAAGCTTCCCCAGCTCCAAAAATGGCGCTCGTGTGGGCCCGCCACTCGTTGTCCACACTGAGCAGGCAGGCAGAGGCCCTGGAAGGGGCGCAGGAACAAAGGAACACTGCGCTGCATCCCGGCAACCCGCCGCCAGCAGCTGCACGCCATTGCCACACTGGCCCGGCAACAGAGTTGGAGAGGCCACTCCCGATGGCGCCTTGACCGCGCTAATTACCAGTTTCCCGGCTCCCCAACTGCTTCCCGTCCCGTCCCGTCCCTGCAGCAATTGTTGCAGATCGGGCTTCTCGTGACATCTCGCTCGCCGCCGCATGCTCCTCTGCCAATTCAACTCGAGATGGCTGTCGTCCTGCCATGACAGGCTTTTCAATCCCCCTCTCACAAATACGAGCTCTGCTTTCAGGAACACTTGAAAACGCGCAGTGAGTTAGTTGACACTGGTCTCTTGGTCTTTAACAGCGCAGCTACAGCTTGCCAGCACGATCTGGATGGCGCAACACACTTTGAGCAAGACATGATCCTGCAACACCCTGAAAATACAATGTACAAAACAAGAATTCGGAAAAGCAAGGAGGCTCAACCACCCTGCGCCTTACAACCGTGAAGCATCATACACCATGTTGTCTTGGATTCTGCCCACGAGAGGATCCGTCCACTCATGCCCTGGCCCAGCCTTTTTCCATCATCCCACTAATTATTCCCCTCCTTCTTCAAGCCGCAGCGTTGAGCTTGGACACCATAAAGTCGACCGCCTCATCAACCCGGCGGCCATAGGTCAGGTGCGGCGCAGCAATGATCAGGGTGCCCGAGCACACGAGGTCGCCCGTGTTGCAGATGACCTTGGTCTTGTCCTTGGGGAAGTTGGGGATCTGCCCGCGGTCCTGGACGTTCTGCGTGTCGCCGTACGTGACGGCCGCGACAATCTGGGCCTTGACGGCGTCGCTCTGGTCCTCGACGGCGCGGTGCACCAGCGCGGCGCCCTGGCTGTAGCCCGCCACGACGAGCTTCGAGTCTGGGCACTTCTGGTTCGCCTGCACCAGCAGGTCGCTCATCTCCCGGATGCCCGCGGGGTCGGCGCCGCCCGGCAGCGCGTTGGTCGACAGCAACGCCGCGTAGTCGATGCCTTCGGTCGCGACGGCATCGTTACCGAAAGCCGCCTTGAGTCCATCGGATGTGGGCGGGCCACAGACAGTGCCCTGTGTTACATGCATGTTAGTGACTGATAGCTCTGGAGCTGCATGGGGGAGGTGTTCGGATGAGCGGGCTTACCATGTTGCCAATCTCGGTCGAACCGCGAGCAAAGAGGAAGATGATGTCCCGGCAGCCGCCGGTCGTGAACTCGTTGACTGTGGTGCGAGTACCGCCGAGCTGACGGTTGGCAAGTCCGACAGGCGAAGCAACAACAGCCGAGGCCGCGGCGAGAATGGAGATGAAGGTCTTCATGTTGAACAAGTGTTCGGAAATACGTATACGATAAGTGATTGCGGTGCCTTAATTTTCGAGAATGAGTGTCGGGGCCGTCCAGAGAACCTGCAGTGGAGAGGCGAGGCGAAGAAGTGAAAGGGATATCAAGGAAAGGTGCTGATCGAGAGACTGTCTATCCGGACGACTTCATCTCTCACCAACGCGGACAACGATGGCCCTTATATGTTGTCTCTCCAGCTGATGCCCAGGCGCAACTGGGTTTCCATGATGCCGGAGTCCGGCAGTGCTGTGGAGTCAGGGACGCTGGCCGCCCGTTTCGACGAACATTCGCAGAACTTGCTCAATCAAGCTTAGCTGGGCCTGTCAAACAGCCGAGCCCCGCTACTGATCATGTGTGAGATCCGGTCAATGTCGATCATGATACATGTGTGGCATGCTCGATTTGGATGCGGCTGGCATTGGAGGACCCTTGTTGTAGCATGAGATGCGGAGACGAGGCCGCCTGCCGTGCCCATCCTGGTCACCCAAGTCAACCAGGCGGCCGTCTATCCCCTGCTGCTGTACTTTGTCGCCTCACATTTACAACTCGATCTCAGCTGAACACGCAGATCCCAACTGTCAAGTGAGCAGTCAGCAGCACATCAGGTGGAGAGCAGAGATGAAAGTGCTGGCAAGCGGGCTTTCGGGGTCCATGCGCGCTGGGCGCACGGCCGTACCCAAAACCCACGAGGCCGGGAGAAGAAGACCACAGACCTCTCTCTCTCTCTCTCTTTCTTTCTGTGTCTGTGACCGCCCACTCCCACTTATTACCAGATGAGAATATACCTCAATTACCCCGAACCTCAGGGCGCTCAGAAGAGGGTCTTGTGTGGTTACAGGATGTTTTAGTGCCGGGCAGACACAGCAGGTATTCTTACTCGCGAATCGCATCTGCTCCTGCTTCGGGCGACGGTGGGGCGCGCTGGCCTGATTCGGCCAGGCCACCCTGGCAGCGATCGGGCCCCCCCCCCCCGTTGATGCCGGTGTCAGGCGGCAGGCACGGCAGTTGGGGCCCATCCATGCATCGCCTGCAGGTGCTTTCCCCAAGGGGCATGGCCATGCAATGCCAGTCCCAAGTGCTGCGTGCACTGCGCTCTGCAACTCCCAACCTGCTCTCTTTCACAGTCGCGGAGCAGAACATGGTCAAGGTCATACAGCCAGGCACGCACGCTGCCATGGAGCTCTCAAGCCAAGCGTTCTCCCAACCCCCACGGATGCGACTGATCACACTTGGGCTCGTGAGATGAATCCGCGTCAGGCGTGTACCTTACCTAGTAATGCAGACGGCATAGAGTGCCCTGCGCCATCGAGAGCCTCGGTCCATGACGACGGCACCTCCCGGCGCGAGGAATGCCTCCTGCAACGGAACCGCGGGAAAACAATCGAAATCGACGATCATGAACTTCCCAACTTGAAACCCCAGATCTCTCGCAACATTGGCCTGAAGAGAAGAAGTTGCCAAGCACCTCATGGCACAATGGCGCGAAACAAACCTCTGCCAACCTCCAGCGGTTTTGGAAGAAGCGGCGGCGGCAGAACCAAGGCAAAAATGATGCTTGAGGCACCCATCACCACCACCATCACCATCACTACTACCCGCACTATTTTGAAACCACGAAGAACCAAGGCCGGACGGCACGAATCTGACGAGTCGGGCGGGGAGGCAGTGCAGGACTTTGACACACTCTCAAACGCGCCCCGCGTGGGCTGATCCGAAGTGACTGATCTGAACGTTCGCCAGGTCCGTTCCCCTGCTCGCCTACTCTATTTTCGCAGCGCGCGGTCTTGTTTTGTTTTTCATTTATTCTTTTTACATTTCGTTCCGTTCTTAATCTTCGTGCGAGGTCTGCACCGGTCATCAAAGCGATCAATCTCCTTGCCAAGACTGGATGAACCGCCCAAGATTTATGGTCTCGTGTGTCGGAAACAACTCCTTGAGGGTGGTGGAGTGGCGTCTCACCAATCATGGTGGAGTGGCGTCTCACCAATCATGGTGGAGCGGAACCACTTACATCTGAGGGAGCGGCCCCGTCTCGGTCCAGGGGCCGAAACTGCTTCAGCCTCCACCAACTTTGTCCAGTGCAGTTTTTTGTCACATATCATCTTTTTCATCATCATCATCAGGTGATATCCAATACGGAGTGTGAGCGGCTCCTGTAATGTCTCGAGGACAAGAGGTCATTTCATATTTATCTCAATCTCAGTAAAAGCTAGGTCAGTTGCAGACCATATTAGACGAGAGTCACGATGCTTTTCCGCGCCAACGATATGACCCAAGTCCTCTTGATCTTTCCGTATGAAATGGATACCGGATGTTTAAAGTGTCCCCACGTCTCATCCAAATCACTTTCATTCTCAACCGCCTTTGTGAAACATGTGCGAACGAGCACTTGGACACACGAAGACTGGAAAGTTTGTGATGATGCGAGAGCCAGTCACAGCTTCGACGAGGTTGGGCTTGGACACAACGCCGCAGCGGGATAAAGCGCCTGTGACCTTACATGTGCTTCAACCACATCATGGTGGTCTCTTGCTATGACAGGCCATGTCATATCCCCCCTCAGGTGCGGTTGCCCGGCTCGGCTGTGGTCGTTCTCCTGGGACAGACGCATGCCACACTTCCGTCAAGTTTGGGCCACCTAGATCAGCTGTGATGGCCTCTGTCATGGGCATTCGAGGTCCATCGTGTGTAAACGTCCGGCGGTTGTCCTGATGCAAGGACCGCTATGCATATGCGAAGTCGATCAGTCGAACAAAGCCATGCAGCACCGCAGATATTGAACTCGGCGGAACATGTGGTAAGTAATACTTGATAAGAGCAACCTAATCTAGGCGACATCACACACCATGCATGATAACATGTCCAAGGTGACCGTCTCAACCCAATCTTGAGCACACGCATACCAGTTCTGTCCACAACCCGTGCACCTGACGCACGCGGCCTGTATCACCCCCCTCGTCTGGCGACGACTCGGTGGGCAGCAGAAGCTCGTCCTCGTTGCCGTGCTTAGCTGCGGCAACAAGACTGTACTTCCGGATGGTCCTCTCAACCGCAGTATCGAACGAACTTATTACCAGGTCTTTGTTTGCATGCTCGATCGGCATCTTGCTAATCGCCACTTCCTCAATAAGAGCCGGGTATACTTTCTCTTCCTAGTTACCTACCTACGTAGGTTCTAAGACCCTCTGAACCTCTGAACCTCTGAACACTCGTCGTCGCCTCTGGCCCTATATGGCGCCTATCTTCGACAGCGATGATGAGGACACCAAGGGTCGCGATGTGACTTCAAATCATGGCCGGGAATTGTGGGTTTGACGAGTCGTACTGGTATTATCTCATGGCCTATTCATGTGGGTCGCTCTATGGAGCTTCCTGATGGATATAGAGATATCCCCTCGAGTCATCCTCTGGCCGAGACCTTCTCCGCGTTTTTCCGACAGACCGCTTCGAAGAAGTGTATCCGGAGCATTGGGCATATATGGCTCTCTTTACTCGATAAGATATTAGGCAAATGAACGGAATAGAACTTTGAGCGAAATAGCTCGATGTGAAACATGTCGATAAAGAGCTTGAGCGGCGCCGGTGGCACTTTGCAGGCCTCGCCTCCCTTCCCGGGCGTCGTGGGCGTGGAGATTTGCTCCATATCTGGCCAGCGACTCAAGAGGTCTGTCAAGCGGTGACAAATCTCTTTGCAGTCTGCTTCCCCCGTCTCTACAACTTTAATCCGGATGAAGGTTCGGTAAGATACGAGTGCCTGTTCAGCATAAAGCAACCAGTGCCATGCTCTTGCGTACCTAGTACGTTTCACCTCGGGCGAAAGTCGCGGCCTTCGATAAGCGGAAGCCGCGCAAGAGCGGACGTGAGGAAGCCGTTTGTTGTGTCCCTGTTGGCCACGCTTGAGGCCGAACTCGTGCCTGCCGTTCCTGACGTGCCCACTGTGAGCTGGTCCGAGCCGGGGACCGTGGCAGAGGGAGTGGAGATGGGGTCATCCTTGATATCCAGTGTATTCTGGCCTGATGTGTTCGGGAATCCATCGGCGGGAGTAGCGTCTGCGTCGCTGGTCTGGTTTCCACGCGTGACTCCAGTACTTGCTGTGGAGGCCTTCAGGAATAAGTTCTACGCCTAGCACCCTGACCCCCCTAGTTCTTGAACCCCTCATGTCTAGACTAACTGCAGACGGTAGGAACTGGGGAGAGTTATGAAAATACTTCGGGCCCCTGTTTGATCGCTCTTATCCGATAAGTTGGCGCAAGAAGAAGGAGGGGGGGGGGGGGTTCAAGAACTAGGAGGGGCCAGGGTGCTAGGTGTAGAACTTATTGCTCGAATATCGCCCGAGGGTTTGTGGCGTTTCTGTGTGGGAGCGCTTGCTGGTGTCGACTGTGAGGACGTATTATTTCGCGAGGTCGGCGGCGCTCGAGTATCTACAACACTGCCGAAACGGTCGATCGGCAGATTTGTCCGGTTGCGTGACGCAGCGGTGGCTGCCCGCTGGGGCCTTGACGAAGCTTGGGGAACAGTCAGTCGCGGAGACTGTCCATCGAGGCAGGAGTACTGACGCTGGTCCGCCATAGCTGGAGCTGATATGCAGATGGTGCTACAGGCGACTGGATTCCGATATGAGATTGGAGTACGACCCGGTGATAATAGCCTGAGTGTACAGAGAAGCCCTGCGTGCTGTGGTGTGGTGAAAGAAAAGGTGCGAGGGAGCCAGGCCGAACTGCGTTTGCTGGCTGTATTGCTTTGAGCCTGCGAGGAAGGTGCGGATTTGGTGTAGTCCGATATCTGGTGTAGCTTCCCGTACGAGGCGCACGAGGAAGGCACGTACGACGAAACTGCATTGCGGTGGGTTTATTGACAAATGGGGCTCTCCAGCACTTTAAAACTGCGTCTGCTCGTCTGCCGACAAGAGGTATTGGGCTCGCAGGCGTACTGTCCTCTCCCTCGTTCGCCTTTTTCTTCTTGCACTACCCTCAGTAAGATTGCAGTCGTCCCCAGTGAGCATCGCAACCCTAACGAGCCCTGTGAGGGTCACTCTGAGGCTCTCCAGACCTTACTTGTCGTGTTGTTTTTATCTTGGGTGTGGAACAGGCTTGAGTGACATACTCCTGCCTCCGATATCAGCTTCGGTGCAGAGCCTGTAATATGTCTCTGTATATGAACACCTATCTGGACCGTGTAGTTCCGTGGCTATACAGTACTATCAAGCCTTCGTGTAACAAGCTAGGGCCCTGATACTTAGCCCTGTGTATTTCTGAATATTTCATGTACCTTTCTTTTATGGCGTCTCGGTCATGATAACCACCTGGGGGTGGAGAAGGATCATTGCCTCGTGTGCCAGTCGAACAACGAAGGGAACGCAGAATAGACTAAGACCTATGCCTACGTGCACAGGCACCTTTTCCTGGCAGCTTGGATTCGCGCATTCCTCCATGAATTTTGGTCTCTTGTGGCACTTCTTCGTCATAATCGAGTGCTAGCACCACGACGAGCAGCATAAGAAAGGCAGGATGTGTCTTGCCCACAACTAGACGCATCTGCGAGAATTCCGCCGAGTTGACCATTGGCAAAGTGCTCGGGGATGAAGCCGGCAGCATATGCCTGGGGGCCGAAAAAGTCGACACTATCTGGCGGGAAAGAACCATGCCTTCTTGTTCGGGGCTGGTGCGGGCAGATTCGTGATTGAGGAGCTTGTCAATCCGCTCCCACGCCTTCCGAATGTGCTAGGCCAAGTTGGACGTTTCCTGATCCAGTATTAAACTTCTTGACTTTATTTTCATCGGGCTACTCAGACCCACTCTCGTATTCAGAATCTGATTCTGAGACGTCGTTGTCCTTTGTTTATGTCGAGTCGTTTTCGGTTTTAGTATCGACGGGCGAGAAGCTAACAGCTTTAGCGGGAAAACTCCCCGGCGCACAGAGGCCGAGTTTCTTGTGCGGGAGCCTATACTAACGCGACGCTGGTCCACTCTGCTCGTCAAAGTGGCATGCCTGGTAAGGCTTGAGTGGTCTGAGGCGTTTTGCCCGGGACGATTCGAAGCGCCTTCAGTGTTTTGGTTGTCATGATCGGGCTCTAGCTCTTCCCGAGTAGCGATGAAGCATGACCATAATTTAATGTTACGCATCTCGGTATTGGAGCCTTGGTCAAGACCCGGGGGGGGGGGGGGGGGGGGGGGGCGAGCGCACAGTTCAGACTCATTCTCGATCGAACGCCGGAGGAAGGGTACGGAGAGGGACCCTTGGCAGCTGAGCATCGACGCCGTCTTCCCGCTCACTGTCTTGGGGGATGGCACGGTTGCAATCCACGGTACAGGAAACCTCGCTATCACGTCCTTGTGGGTGAACTTCTTCGAGCACTCTCATCTCCCAATTGAAGTGAACTGGATCATCGATTTTGGCGGCGCTCTCATGAAAAAGACAGCAGGGAAGTGATGGTCCAAGTTCTGCTCGGTGACCAATCTGTATGGGCCAGTGTCAGAAGTGTCCAAGCCCAGTAAAATATATCTTTGGTTTCTATAGCCGCCCGAATGTCTCCCAGTCATTGATTTCGTGTGAGCTAGACGGCCTCACACCTCGACGGCGAACAGCATACCCAGAGCAGCGATGCCGCGTCGCGCAGTCCACTTTCGGCCTGGAAATATTTGGAAGACTACCGCGCTCTCATCTGGGGTGTGCATACTGGTGAGATGATGCTTCTTCTGCTCGGTGAGGTTACGGAACTGTTTCTACATATGCAAGTGATAAGTAGACGAGAATAGAGGGCACGGAGCTGGTAAGGATTACCTTGTAACTGCAGAAGGCTTTAGGGCTGTCGGCCTTGACAATCAGCGCACGACAGTTCTTTTCTTTTAATCAACTTATACGAGAATAACGATGCGTTTTCGCGCTAGCAGTATTACTTAAACTCTTGTGGTCTTTTAGTATGGGATTGGATATTATATGTTATCAAATATCATGTCTCGTCCAATCCACTTTCGTTCTCGTCCGCTTTTGTGAATTCCAGCCACGATCGTTCAAGCTTGAGTGAACTGCTCAGATTTGCCCGTGCTAATGTCGGCGGCAAGAAGGAAATCTGAACACCCACTCAAACATGCTGCTTAGTAGCGTTCATCTCCAATGAAAACATAATACTCAGACGACTTGCCCATTTTCTCCCCAATTCATCAAACAGCATCATCGTCCCATCAGACTGCCTAACAGCATGGGGCGACCGGCATCAGATGGGCCCACCCAAACTACGACACCATCATTGTGACCTCAAAATGGTCACAACGTGAAAACTCCCGACCGGGGGAGAAATAACGTCGCACAATTCCCACACCCACAGCAGCAGTTGCTTCTCTCAAGTCGATGACAAGGTATCGACATCGACCTAATTTCGTGACAACACGAGTAAGAGAAGGTGTTTAGTCCTCGTCGGTGACACGGCCCTCACCGACCTTCGTGTGCGCATAGCGCTGGTCAGCAACGACAGCCACGACCGGTGGACACGAGGGAACTTGGTCCTCTTTGTTTAACTTACACGAATAGCGCCGTCTGATGCCAGCCCTTGAGTGAACCAGCTTGGCGCGTTCGGGCTGGTGCGAGCCATGGCGTCGTGAGTTAACAGAAGCCAAAAACCGAACACAGGCTTAGCCAGAACGTCGAGAACCGCATATGCCAGAATCTCGCCGTCAACACCGATTTTTCGGGAGCCATCAGCAATGCCCCAGACACTGTGACGAATAATGATTAGTACTCCGCAGGCGCACAATACACTCCACTGTGGCCAGGAGAAGGAACCACAACACACAGAGACTTACATGGGATAGGCAGTCCAGAGTAGGAGAGTAAAGAGCGAAATCCCCCCATAAAAAGCCTTCGTCTTGCTATCTTTGCCCTGTACTGCTCGCCTGCCGTTAAAAGCAACGTTGTACACTATGGCGATATACGCCACGCAGGCAATGGTGTACCAGCCCCAAACCTGGGTGCCGGTTGAGCCAAAGGCGGCAAAGAGCCCGGTCAGGACCATGATGACATCAGCACCAACGGTGACGAGGATGTCGGCGCCGTTAAGTCCAGCCATCAGAGTCAGATCCAGGAGGAGGAGGGGAGTGGTCAAAGCCCACTGCATCGTGTTAGCGAAAATTGTCTGCTTAAAAAGTGTGGGGAGACCGAGCACTCACGTCAACGTAGCGCGCCCAAAAGACCTGGCGCTTGACAATGTCCTCGACGACACCGGACTTGGTGGTCTTGACCACGGTGGAGTGCCAGCTGAGACCATCGCCAGTAGCCATGGCAAAGTAGGATAGGAAGGCAATGGTGGTGATGGAGGCGGTGATGACGTGGAAGAGGCGTTTCTGGACGGGTACGCGGGCGGCCATGATGTAGAAGGCTACAGAGGAGAGGCCCATGAGGACACAAACGACCCAGAGCGCGCGGAAGCCCGTCTCGCTGGCCTCCTGGTAGTGGACATGGGGGATGTCGGGGATGACGGTGGGAAAGTCAGTCGGGCGGAGGTGAGTCTTTGTGGCAGCCTCTATGACGCCGGCGAAGTCGTGCTGGATCTTCATGGTTGCGGTATTGGGAGTGTGGATGCTTCACAGAAGGTAGACGGCTGCTGAGGCAAAAAGGCTTGAAAGGGAGAAAGTAGTATGGAAAGCTGTATGTGGCTCAGGCGCGGAGGCCTATTTATTCGAGTCTGAGGCTCCATCGTGAGGGGTAGGGAGTGCCCGCAGCAACGCAGACCGACCGGCTGCTATCCACGCGTCAGAGGCTGCCGGTCCTCGAGTGTCTGGGCCGTCGCAACACGGTCAACAGACATCTCACACGGTTCTCGATGCTGGAAGTTGGAACGGGAGCCGCAAGTGGTGACGTACAACAAGCTCGTGTGGGGAAAAAAGGCACGGGCAGCCGGGGGGTGTGGTGTTGCTGGGGCAGGCGCTAGGGTGCGGCCGGGCCAATCACGGGCGAGCGCCAGGTCGATTGCGGCATGCAGCGGTGCCAGCACTGGCAAATCCAATCTCGATCTCCACCCACATGCCCATGCCATGCCATGCCTTGCCAATGCCTTGCCTTCTGTAGGCTGCAGCGCAGACTTTCCCATCGTCAGCCAGCCTGCAGCCTCCAACCGTGACACATACAATTACATTACACTCACAGACACACACACACACACACACATACACACGCTTGATGCCCCAAGGGACCGTGCGGGGACCGTTCCAGGTGCTCCATGGCCAAAGGTAAAGCAAACCTACCGCATCCCTCGCCGTGCTGCATGCAACCAGCTGGCCAATGGCTCCTCCTCGCTCGGGTCACCCGGACGCCCATCCATGCCCTCTCTCCTCCCGCCAGCAAAGAACCTTGCATGGGGTGAGACGTTGGCCTAACCGCCAGTAGCCGGTCCCGATCCTCCATCGCGGAGCTTCCCCTCACGATTGGTGCCACCACATGGTTGTGCTCAGATCTGGCCAAAGTCTACGGCTAACCTGCAGCCGCGGCAAACCCGTTACGCTGAAGCAGTGGCAGGAACACAGATCACTCGGTGGGATTCGAGAAGACCTGTGCTGCGTACTCAACGGCAGCAGAGGACTCTGGCAATGGATCGACTCTTGAAGTGACGGCAAGTTACAGTCATGGGCCGGGAAACCCCAAGGTGAGCGACCAGGATGCGTGTTGCCCAGACTGCAAGCCAACCTAAATCCAAAAAAGAATATGTGGGGAACCGAGCAGTGCGAAACCAGATGCCCATGCGGGGCTGCAGGTCTCGGGAGCACTTCCGGCACGCCCAGGCGGCGATTCTCACCCTCAAATCGACATGGGGGGCTGGTCAGCCCCGGGGCGTTTCGTCCAGAGGAACGATCGTGTGGCGGTGCGCGAGATGTTGGCCATCGAGCGTGGCCCAGCTCGATCAGGAGATTTCGCCTGCCTTGGTAGTTCCTCGCGGCCGACCGAGCACTGCGCTCGAAGGCCTGACAATTCGCCACGTACTCGCTGCTCTTGGAGACTGCACCTGCTCAAGCTACATTACATCGTGCATGTACTTTGTCTGCCTGCTTCACAGCAACCTTGGAAGCTTCACAGAACAGGGGTGAAGACAACTTCCTGTGACTTGTGGCTTGGTCTCGGGGGCCATGTACGTGCCAGGATAAAGGGCTTTCGTCATGGCCATGCACGAAACTGAGAGGACATGCTTGACCGATGACGTCTCCTCCAGGCAGCACTGTGCTTGTGCTACTGTCTCGTCCTGTCACGGCATCCTCCGCCCCTAAGCCTGCGGACTGGGGATAGACATGGACGTCCAGGGGTTTCCAGCCCACGGTCAACGCAAGCTTGTTTCCTGGTGAAACTGCATCTCGCGGAGTGGCCGTTTGGCATCAAGCGAATGTCCTCGGTGAATAGACTGGTCAAAAGGGCGTGGCTTTACATTGAATCAGCATCACAAACTTGCCAGTCTAGTTCGTAGCATGAGCTGGCCGGCCAACAAGCACTGCTATGGTAATGCGTGCAGACCCAAAGTGCCGTTTTTACAGCCTGAAAGCCAGGGTACGGTCCCGTCTTTAGATCTCGATATCGGTCACGGAAGTCCTGAAGCTGTGTGCGAGTAATCAATACCTGTCGTATAATCAAGACCTACGATAAAGTCGAGTCACGAGAATCCCAACGACCACAAAGCGAATGCACAGCGAAGACGTTTACAGAAAGCGACGAATAGTCAGCAGGTCCTATATACACCAGCAGCGCAGGTGCAGGCACAACGGGTATCCCTCCTATAGAAAATACATCGTCAGCCTTTCGATTGCGATTGGAAGTGCGAAATGCATTGGGTAATACTTCCTGGAGGTTGTGAGGGCTTGGGAGGTCATGTAAGACAAGGTGGTAGCTTATAGTCGTCACCGCAGAAGTCCGGTGGTGATAGACATGGGGTATGCATGCGGTTATCTCTGTCCAGTCAGTATCACTTGCTGGGGGGCAGTGCATCATCACAGCCAGTGTGGTCGAGAAGGACAAGGACCAACACTCTTGACTGATTAAGTATATCATCGCCTGCCCAACTTCGAGTAAGTGGTAAGAGCAACCCTTTCAGCCCGTCTGCGACCAGGAGCTTGCTTGACACGACAGTATCCTGACATTGAGAAGGTTCCTCTCCAAAGTGATCAGGAGTATTGACAACCTGCGACACGCACGACATTGCTATCTCCATTCATCAACAGCCATGCCAGGAGCAGAGGTGAGCAATCAGCAGCGACTTGTGGGCATTCGGCAGCCACACTGTCGTGCTTCTGCGCTATGCGACGTGCGATGGCCCCAAAACTAACGCGCGACTACGCAGGAACCCGTCACTGCGGTCTACAACACCAACAGCACGACCATGCAGGTCCCAGACCAGCAGGCCGTGGACGGCCCACAGCAGCCTATTGATATCCAGGATGTTGCCAAGGAGAATAAGAAGCAAGACGAGAATTGTATGCTGGGAATTTGTGCCTGTCTGGGCAGTGGATGCTGTTGCTGATGCTCACGTGCTAATCGAGCTTGAGGACAAGGACAAATCCTGTGGTTGGTGTCCGGGTTTGCGAATGGCGTTTGGGGTCTTTAGAATGGATGTAACCCATTTAGATAATCAAAGCACTACGCCTTCTCATCATTTCAAGTGTGCAGCAGTAGCAGGAGCATCGACGTGCAACTCCGTCCGTGGCCGTTGAATTAGCAAGGGCTCTCTCTAATTAGTGTGGAAGTGGTGGAGAAGCTCCCGCCCGCTCTCGCTGCCCCACTTCGCAAACAGGCAGGCAACCCTCAGGCTCGAGATGCGTGGGGAAGCTCTCGCGAGCAACATCACTCGGCAGCTCCCAACACAGCAAGCACAGCACGTAAGCATCGGCGCATTCTGCATTCTTCTCCTGCGCCCAGCGTCACCAAGGCAGCAGAGTGCACTTGGCGGCAGTCGGCACCACTCCCTCTCCCTCTCTCACCATTCGACGCCGCGGCTATTTCTCCCAACGATACAAACGACCTCAAGACGTCACGCCTAGGCTGGAGAGGCGGGGCAGCCCAGCATGCAGCACCTCGCGACCCTGAAGGCATTCCCACCCTCGGGCCCAGCTCTTCGCAGCGATGCCGCCTACGATGAGGCGGTCACGTCGCACCTCAAGCAGCTGTCGCGGTTGATCAAAGACCACAATCCCGAGCTTGTGATCCATGGCCCAGAATTCCTAAAGGTATCCCTCCACTCCGACACTTGCCCGTGAACTTCCCGTCTGGCGCTCCTCATCGCAACCTCACTATGGACTCGGCTCCCTGCTGACATGGAACCTCGCTTCGCCACAACAGGACCTTGACCCGTCGATACACTCGTTGTCATATCTCGCCGTCCTCCATGCCCTCGTGCTCCCGAACCTGGTGACCTCGGCGCCACCTGAATTTCTGCTCGAGAAACTCGTCACATTCCTCTTGTCTTTCGACGCCCGCCAGATCAGATATGCTGGCAGCCATCTGCAGGACATACTCTCGGCCCTGGGCACCGGGCAGTTACTACCGGTATGCTGGAACTGTACCCATATAAAGCTAGCAGAGTGCCTCCATCGTGTGTGTGTGTAGTGCTGATCATATATGTCCGCAGCCCTCCGTGGCAGTCGATGCCTTGGCGACGGCAATCCTTCGGCTCGATCCCTCCGGTAGCATCCTCACCTCGACACATATCAGCCTAGTAAAGCTCGCTTACAACACAGACAATATCGCCCCGGCGCTGCCAGTGCTCGACAAGAGCATAGTGTACTATCCCGGCATGGCGAGTCAAAGCCAGCCGGAGCAACTATGCGACATGACACTGCCACCGCCTGCGTACATATCCCGATTGACCGGCCTGACCACGACACTGAAAGCTACCAATGTGCTTGAGTACGACTTGCTGTGTGGCATGGCATACATTGCCAGACGGTCGTGGCAGAAAGCAGCGAGTGCGCTGGAGAGAGTAGTCACATTTCCCACAAAGGACGGCGGAACCAGCAAGATCATGGTCGATGCGTACAAGAAGTGGGTGCTGGTCAGCCTGCTGAAAGCCGGCAAGCACAGCGAGCCCCCGTCGATCACAGGATCCGCCGCGCAGAAGCAGTACTCCGTCCACGGCAAGCTTTACACGACGGTCGCCGGGCTCTTCACAGCGGACGACGCAAGCGCGCTGAAGCAAGAAGTGGAGCGGAACAACACGGTGTGGGCAGAGGACGGCAACGTCGGATTGGTCCAGGAAGTCCTCAGCCAGTATCAGGCCTGGCAAATACTAAACCTGCGGGACGTCTACTCGAAAATCTCAATCGCCGAGATCCGCGACCAGACAAAGAGCGCAGAGACGGGTGCCGGCCTGCCCGAGAACGCCGATATCGAGGCTCTCGTGCAGAACATGATCATCTCGGGCATGCTCAGCGGGGTGGTGCAGAAGAACGACGACGGCACGTCTTACCTCACATTCCTGCCGCCCGCGTCGCAGCCATCAGAGCTCGAGTTCGCCCAGGAGCTAGCCAGCACGGCGCTGCGGCTCAAGCAGCTCCAGCCCATCTTCCGCGCCACCAACGAGCGGCTCGGCACCAACAAGGATTATGTCAAGCATGTTGTCAAGGAAGCCAAGCGTGGGGGAGACAAGGGCGACGCAAACGACGCCATGATGGGCTTCCAAGCCGAGGTCGATGATGAGGATCTCATGGGTGGCATCGTCGCTACTGGTTGATCCTACTTCAGGCAAGCAAGCCATGGGGGGGGGGGGGTTCAGGGCAAAACGCATGCATCGACTCGAGCGACCAGTGAGAGACTGTTAGATCAAGCATGAGCTTGGCCACTCATAGAGAACAGAGCCATAATGAGATGAACGATTAAAATAAATTTACCATGATCATCCGGGAAGACGACTGTTTTTCTGCGAGCTGCTATTGACAACCTCTGGTTGTTGAAGCGTTCCTGGTCTAAGATATGCTCGACTCGCAATACGTACAGATCGGAAATTTCATAATCTCATTACCACCGTATTCGTTGCTCTATCTACAAAGAATGCTGATGTACAGTCTCCCGTGAAGCTATCCATCATCTTTGGAACACCATTCCCACTTGTCAAGACAACAACTCAGTTCATGCTGAACTGCTTGATCAGATCAGCCAGCCGGGCTGATTCAGACTTGAAGTCAATCGGGGTGGCGCTCATGACTTGGTAGCGTACCCTGAAATATTATGTTAGCCCCGATGATACATCGGCGTGCTCGTGATAAAATGCGGTCTGCTTACCTCTGCATGTCGCCGTATGTGTCCATCTTGGCTCTGCACCGGAAGCTGAGCTTGGAACAGTTGGCCTTTTCGAACGCCGCCGCAAACGCCTGCTCGTCGTTCTCCTTGAGTTCCATGAGGTCGTCCGCACTCATGCCAAGAACGACGCGGCCGACTTCGTCGAAGCAAGACAGCCACATCTGGCCAGTGTGGTCGTTGACGTTGACGCTCATGATGTAACGGTATTCGGGCCGCGAGTGTGCGACGTCGCACTTCTCGCACCGCCACTGACCATCTCCCTGGTCGACAACCTTCTTATTGCAGCCCTCGTTTCGGCATGCGGGATAAGCAAAGTTCTCCTGCTTCACGTACACAATGGTGGCCTTGGTCGTGAAGTAGGCGGCATCCTCCATTCCAAGATTTTCATCCTTGACTTGGGAGATGCTCTTTGTCTGATCCTGCCGGCCCGTGGCCGCTCCAACAGTAGACATGTTGGTGTGGGTGGCGAAGTTGTCTGCACGACCTTGAGCGTCATACCAGCCCTTGAGCCGGTGCGCCTCGGAGATATCGGGATCAACAGTCATTGTGCCGGACGACAGGAGCGACAGTGACCGGCCTCCGAAGTCAGAGACCTTTGTGCCCTTGAACGCGACAATTGACTCTGGCGCTGTTGAGAATGAGGTAGCCGTCTTGCCCCATACTGTGAGGCGAATGGAAAATTGCGAGTCATCCACCAGAGTCAGCTCGCGCTTGTCGTATGGCTTGCCGGTGCTCTTTGAAGTAATCTGCGAAACCTCCCCGACTTCCTTCAGCACACCAATGATGTCTACAGTCGCATCCTTCTCAACATTCTGGAGCTCCTGGATGTTGGTGAAGTTGAACTTGACTTGCGGGACGCTGGACTGGTCCTCGGCTTTCTCGATGACAGTGTCTCGCTCAAAGGCAAGCTCATAGTCATTGGGGAGGTTGGTGAACTGCTTCTTGGCCAGCGAAACCCTGCAAGGATTGCTGATGTAGTAGACTTGACCCTCCTGCAGCACATCGTAAAACTGGTCACACTGCTCGTTGAAGGCGGTGGCCTTGATCTCGCCACTCTCATCCAGCAGGTTGCATGAAAACAGCTTGCCCTCTCCCGAGGCCTTGTGCCATGTCTTGATATCGGATTTCGAGGAGACGCGGGCCTTGATTGTCCACTTGTGCGAGTAGGGCGACAGAGACTCGATAGGGTAGATGACGTTGTTGCCGTGCTTGCCAGGAGCGCCGTTGCTGGCACCACCTGCGCGCGACGACATCGGCTCCGACTTTATCGCTGCCGATGACTCTGTCTTAGCACCGTAGAAACCGGTGCCTCCGATGGTGGTGTTGGCTTGGCCTTGTGGCTTGGCCTCGATGGCTTGGGGCTCGCCGATACGATCGTGGTTGCCCAGTTCTGTCGCAACCTCCAGGTCGAGGATAATGAGGATGCTGTATACCAGACGTGTCAGTTATGGTCAGGCGCTGTGCAGGTGCATTCATGAGTTTGCATACTTCTTGCCCTTGACATTGTTCGCCTGGTAGGACTTCACCCGAACGAGAACGCCTCTCTCGAGCGTACCATCATGGATGGCAGCGTTGGCCTCTGCGGTGAGAAGTCAGCTTTGATCGAGTTCTCGGCTGTCTCGGATGGCACTCACGAGTTGCTAGCATGCACTGCACGTAGTTCCGGATATCGCTGAGCACCACACGGTATCGCTCGGGCTGGTTCCCTGGTCCCTGAGCGGGCAGAGCTTTGACTTGAAGGCATTGCAAGACTGGGACAGGAAAGCGTTGGCCGACGTTGTCCGCATCGTTGAAAATGGCGCTGAAGTCATGAAGGATGATTAGCAGGATGTTCTCGTCAACATGCTGGCATGGCTTTCTGCGTACTCGATGGCGCCCTGCGTGATCGCCTGCTGGGCTCCTGCGACAGACATGACGGAGGGCTGTCTGCAGAGACGTGGCAGATGGAACTAGTTGTTTGAAGAATAGAAAATCTGGGTTCCGTGCTGGTCCCTGGCAGAAGACGGCTGTTGCGAAATGCGGATGTACTGATCGAAAATGGACCTCGAAGGTTGTGATGCAGGGTGTACACAATTATGGAGGGGACTTTGGAGGCGAACGCGACTTTTGGGGCGGCGACGCGTCGAGTCACGCCCGCTAAAGTGGTTGCTGGTGGCCAGTTGCCGACGCGGGGTCCTCAGGCAGCTCACAGTGCACATACGATGCAAGACACTGTCGTCTCGCAAGGAGCAACGTCACCCATCACAAGCCAGGACATTCCTGGCCAGCGTCGTTGCCCCGCTAAAGCTACGAAGCCAGCTCCAGGATTCCAGCTCATTGTCAGCAGTGCCTAGATTACCACCTCAACACTTTCAAACACCCTCACCACTTGGCTTTTGCGCTCGCACAAAGCCCGATAGCCTCGACGAGCTTCTTGGTTGTCAACTCTGCCCGTCCCATTGTATTGTACGAGTCCTCGAGTTCAAACGTTGCGACAGAAGAAGTATCCAAGCAATCAACCATTCGAAGCTCAGCTTGATCTCCACCATGTCGGCCGAGCCAGTCGTGGCCACCAGTGCGCCAGAGCACGACGCGCAGGAAGATGCCCCAAGCAACCCGACACTCAGCGAGCATTGCACCTCCGACCGGCCCACCCGTACGTTATTGGCCTACTTGTAGTTTCCGCGAGCAGACAGTCGCTGATGGCTTGCTGGACAGCTGCTGGAGAAGCTCCCAAGGGCGAGATGCGCAAGTTGGGAGGCGTTGATGTGAGATTCCGCACCAGGATTACTCTCCACGATCTTGGTGGAGTCCACGAGCCATGCTGACGAACGAACCCTACGTGGCGCGAATAGGTTTATCTCGCGAAACCGGAGTCGTATCCCTCCGACCCATGCAAGCTCCTTCTCCTTCTTACAGGCGGCACAGGCCTGCAATCGCAGAACAACCAGATCCAAGCCGACAAATTCGCGGCTGAGGGCTTCGTTGTGATCATGCCAGATCTCTTCGAAGGCGATCCGGCTCCCAATCAGTCCGCGAAGCTGCCCGAACCAGGGGCTGTCGAAGGAGAGACACAAGACGAGATTGCTGGGAGCTTCCTGGAGCAGTTCAAGCTCAAGATTGGAGAGACGGCCAAGTCATTCCTCATCGACATGTGGCTTGCGCGGCACACAGAGGAGAAGGTGATGCCGATACTCGAGAAGGTCATTCAGGCTGCGCAAGGTGAGTTCGCTGATGCAATTGGCCACGGAGGTGGCATCTATGGCGTGGGGTACTGCTTCGGCGGTCGGTATATCCTGCTGCTGGCCAGCGAGCGCAGTCCGAGCCAGACTGGTTGGACTGGTGCGCAGAAGCCTGCAGACGAGGAGGCGGGTCAAAGCAAGGAGGGCCCGTTGATCAAGGCCGGAGCGCTTGCACATGCAACACTTGTATCTCCCGAGGACTTCAACGGTCTCAAGTCGCCCATCAGTCTCGTGTGTGTAGAGAGCGATCCCATGTTCCCGGACGAGGTCAGGACCGTCGGCGAAGACACCATGAACAAGACTGGAGTCGAGCATGAGGTTCGAGTTTACCCGGGCGTACCGCATGGTGAGTTGAGAAGATCCCGCTTGCCAAGTGACGATTCGACTTGCTGACTCTTGATCAATTCTAGGTTTCGCCGTCTATGGCGACTATGTCGAGGCGCACATCAAGGAGGCGCAGGTCACTGCCCATGAGCAGATGCTCCAATGGATCAAGGAACATTAACTGGTCTGCTGGATGGAGGAATTGCCCGTTTCTGCAACGTTGTGCCAGCCATTGTGGAGTTTTGCTTTCTTGGAGGCCAGCAAGCCCGCGCGATGATATTTTTCAAGGCGGCCTGTGCCTCTGTTATCAATATCCCCTCGTAGTCAAATGGTATTTCTCCACGAAGTCGAGGCGTGACATCAGATCGGACCTCGACCTATAACTATGTCCGCCCAGGTGGGCCGTTGCCGCAGTGGGGCCTCCGCTTCCACCCCCACGAGTAACTCTCGCCGAATTGCACTCGCCTGGGGCTTCGGCAACGGCTCAATAGCCGCCGACGCCGATATAGGCGGTCCGGCGCCGGGGAATCTGCTGAACAAACACGGGGCAGGCCCGCAACTCCTGTTCTTTACCCCACGGTGGTTGCCGACGGGTGTTGCCTTCCAGCCATCATCATGCCTTGCTCGCCATCACCACTTCTCGCACAGCCAGCTGCCTCTCGGGTCCTTCTTGTCTCGCAACATCTCTCCTCGGCCCCCCGCCAGACAACTCCGTCCTCAGCCACATCACCGTCCCTCCCAGACTCGCCAGCAACCACAATGGCTCCCGCCCGGAAACTCCTCTACCCCACTTCGCTTGCTCTCGATGTCCAGAGCCTCGAGGGCTTCTCCTTCGAATTGCAGCCGTACGATGTCAAGCAGCCCATCCCCGAGGAGCACACAGACGCCGAGGTGCTCGTCACATGGTGCAACTCGGCCGACAACCTCGCGGACGCTGCGAAGCGGCTCAAGAACGTCAAGTGGATCCAGTCGCTTGCCGCCGGTCCCAATGACGTCCTCGCCGCCGGCTTCCCATCCTCGGTAAAGGTCACCACCGGCTCTGGCTGCCATGACCACACCGTCGCCGAGCACACGCTCGGCCTGCTGCTCAACGCCGCCCGCCGCTTCTTCGAGATGCGCGACTACCAGGTCCAGTCCAAGTGGCCCCAGCACCTCGGCGGCGCCCAGCCCGACCGCCCCAAGGGCAAGTTCACCTCCCTGCGCGACGCCAACGTGCTCATCTGGGGCTACGGCAACATTGCAAAGACGCTCGCGCCCTGGCTCACAGCCATGGGCGCCAAGGTCTGCGGTGTCGCCCGGTCCCAGGGTGTCCGCAACGGCGTCGAGGTGTACGGCGAGGACAAGCTGCCCGAGCTGCTCGCCGAGACGGACGCGCTTGTCATGATCCTGCCCGGCTCCGCCTCGACCAACAACGCTCTCAACGCCGAGCGCCTCAAGCAGCTGCCCAAGCACGCGTGGGTCGTCAACGTCGGCAGAGGAACCGCCATCGACGAGGAGGCCGTGTACCAGGCGCTCGTGTCGGACTCGATCGGCGGTGCCGCGCTCGACGTCTTTGTCAAGGAGCCCCTGCCCACCGAGTCGAAGCTGTGGACGGCCCCCAACACCATCATCAGCCCACACGCTGCCGGTGGTCGGCCGCAGGGCGCCGAGGAGCTGATCACATATAATCTGCGCCGGTTCATCGCTGGCCAGGAGCTGCGGAACATTGTATGAGCCAAGAGGAAGCAGAAAAGGAGGTTTGGGCTGATCCACGGGTACATAGAAGTAAATGCAGTCAAAACAAACGTCGAACCATATCTGACAATAAGCTCATGCGACTGTGGAGTACAAGCATCTTTGGGGTTGGCACCCAAGCATGTGAACTGAGTGTGACAGGACAGCTTTCTGACCTGTCTAGGCAGTTCTCAGGTGGCCGGGCATGCAAAAACCACTTGCATGTGCACGTCAACACGATAAACTTGTGGTGATCCGGACTTCAACCTGCTGAAAATGTCAGGAAACTATACAGAGACCAGGGGCATTTATTGAACCACTCTGGGGCACGCATCAGCCAAGCCGTTGTCTCAGAGACTCCGAACGAAGCGAAGCGAAGCCCTCGTTCGTACAATCTTGGGGATATATCTCCTTCAGAGCGGTAGCAACATCAAACGGGTGCCGTGATCCGCTCCATTTTGCTCATTTACATCTCCCGCAATGAAAGGGGCCCACAGGAGCACGCAGCCTTATTCCGTCCGTCTTCCGCAATGTCGACACAATGCTTCCATCTTCCCCTGGCAAGCTTTCGCAAGAGCACGCCCGGATAAACCCACGCCGGATCCTGTATCGAGGGGCCTTGCGGCAATGGAGAGGAACCAGGCTCTAAACCCACTCCGAGAAGACTGGTGGGTGCTCTCGAATACATGACAAGTGGTAGGACAAGAGATGTTCAAATACGAGGCTTGAGTCATGAACAAGCGGGTTAATCATTGTCGTCGTGCGTTGATCACGGCGCCGCCGCTCTTGTCATATCCAGCCAGCTGAGGGGGCCGTCGCTTGGTTTCGCTTCGGATCGGGATCTCGATGTTGCACGGGAATGGGCAGTCAGGGTTGGCAGTCCTCGGCTGGGGGCAAGGAAGAGGTGTGTGGGCGTGCATGGGTCGAGCTGGAGAGCCTTGTGCGATGTGACGTGTCCCTATCACGCTCGCTGGTTAGAGCTTCAGATACGAGGTTTGAGGAAGCATGAGAACGGATACTTTAAAGGACTGGGCGGAAGATGGAATTAGGCAATGCTGGCGGAATTGCTTGGCGGCGGCGGCGACGAGTTTGGTATCCGGTCTTGTGAGACGTCGGAACGATCAGGTTTGGGACAGATGAGCTGCCTACGACTCAGGTCAAATCTCTGGTACTTCCACGCGATGCAGTTGGACCAGATTCAGTCAAGAATTCCCGGTCTCTATGGATCATAGTGTGTAGGAGGACTGGGGCGGGAAACGTTGTGAAGTGTTTGATATTCTGGGTGTGAACCCGTTCGTAGTCTATGGTGGTGCTAGATCGAATTTTTCCAACGCTGTGAAATCTGGCACATGCTGCGATCACCCTATCCGGGGGCGGAGTTGGCAAGCTCGGGTCTCATGTCTCATAAAGCTCATTATCATGGCTGCAGGTGTATCCGTCGCTGTCCTTAAGATTCACGCGCAACCGCCCCTCATGGTGGCCTCTGCGCACTCGGTGGTGGCTCGAAGTCGTCGTTTGTCAGTCCCTTCTCCGGAGCAGCAGGCACAACTTTGGGACACAACCCGTACACACTTTGCTGGCTCTTCGGTGCGACTTTTAGATTGGCAAAGCGTGCCTCAGGTAAACGCTTGCCAGCCTTTATGCTCTCGAGAACCCATTCGACGCCCACGTACTTGACGGCACAGCCTCCAACCTTCTGAATCTCTCTCTGCAGCTTGCCTCCCGCGAGCCCGCCGCCAGCGCCACCCCCACCGCCCCCGAACAGTGAGGATGCCGTCGGCCTCCCGAGTATCACATGTGTGACCTTCCTCCGGCCCAGGTGCATTGACATGCGCCCACCGTGCTCGGCGAGGAGCTGTTTGAGCCTGTGGTCCGAGACGTGCGGGTGCGTGTTGCCGTTAACGTAGACCACAACGCCTGAGAACAAGCCTGGCCGGTCACTACCATCCGCGCGGCGAGCCTCGCTCTCTTCGTCCTCAGCCTTTCGAGCTGCCGCGAGTCTGTCTTCGGCTGTCATCGGATATGGTGATGCCATGTCTACATCCTGACTTCTCAAGTCTCTGGATCCCACCGGCCTAAGAGCCGACTGAAGCAGAGGCGATGAAGCATACGACGATGCTGACCTAGCTGTACCTGCCACTGGCAGAACCGACCGGTGTGCTGCCGACGCCACAAACTCCCGTTCAGCCACCTTCATCGACCCGGGCTTTGCGAGCATGCTGAGCACCGAGTGACGCGCGCGGAGCCTCGCCTCAGGCCGGACGAGCTGCTGGGACTCTTGGTCGTAGTCTTGGCTGCCTGCGCCGACGCTGTCCGAGATGCGCTGCCCGCCAGTGCCTCGACTTGCGTACTGTGTCATGAGCTTTGAGTTGCGCGAGTTGCGCCATCCCGTGCTGCCGCCGAGCCTGTTCTCGGCGCGCTGGTGGCCCGTCGCGGACGAGTTCCATGGGTCAAAGGTCCGGCTCAGGACCGGCTCGGCAGCCTTGGTGGGTGTCGGGGGCTTTGCGATGGACCTTGTCGTGACCGGCTTGGTAAGGCCTACCGTCGTGATGGGCTTCTTGCCGCTGCCGGTGTGGTTAAGGTTTGCACTGTCGCCATGGCTGCTGCGTGTCAAGGCAGGCTCCGGCGTTAGCCTCTCTATCATGTCCTTGGGGAGGGGTGACCGGTGAGGGACGAAGAAAAAGCAAAGTAGAGAAAGTGATCTGTCGACAGATCTAAGATTGATTGGTGTGACAGGGGTATGATTGCGTGACTATGCGGGTCATGAAGCTGCCAGGATGCTGGTTTCGGATGGGGGATGTGTCCACGATTTGTCCAGACTCATACTGTGTTCAATTATCCGCGTCGTTGACTCGTGCGAAGCTCGATCATGACGACAAATCGCCAAAACGGCGTCCTGGTCGCGACGGCGGGCTGTGGGGACCTGCCCACCGTGACACGTCCCTGACCCGCGAGCACGTGACTCGCACCCTCCCCCTCCCCCCATGTACGCTAGCCAGCCCGATGTTGCACAACCCACGAGCATGCTGTGCACGTCTTTCATCAACACCAGCTCTGTCCCTGCTGAAGCTCTTCAAAGTGGCTTCATGACGACTCCAACACTCTCATGTCAATGGACAGAGCGAAGACCAAGTCGATAATGACGATGGTGTACGTTTCACGGGTAGACGGCGTGCTCACTCCTTCAGCCCACTGAACCGGCCTTCAGTAATCGTTGCAAACAGCAAATGGTTTCGGGGCGCGCAAGCCAGGCATCGTTGTACGGATTACAACAAGCTGGCTTTGCCAAAATTCCCGCAAAAAGCTTCCAATCTTCAAACAGCTGTATCAATGGACTCACCCCAGCCCACCTGACGTGAGTCCCGATCTGGTTATCCTGCACCCGAGCGGCATGGTTGCATTCAGGCGTCGAGGCGTATGTGTCCGTGCGCGTGTGCTGGCAAGTCTGATCACACTCAATCATCATAAATGGGTATGAAGGGGCTGTCTGTGCAAGGCAGCGACGACGCCGGCCTGAGCTGGGTTGGACGGCCCAGCCTCGGGGCTGGGCGTGCGACCGTTGCGCGAAAGGCACGCTACTCAGGTAGGATTCGGGGTCCCGCTTGCGATGGCGAGTGTACACATGCATACGGAGTATGAGCACGTGGAGTTTTCGTGCGAGCCTGTGCCGCCTCTTTCTTTTTTTTCTTTTTTCCTTTTTCCTTTTCATCCCCCCTTTTTTCCTTTTTCTTTCTTTCCTCCGGCGAGATTGATCTCCGAAAGCAACGTAATCGCCAGTTTCCGTCCGTGGGCGTGGCCCGTCCTCAACGAGCCTGCTTTTTCCCTTCCTCCTTCCCGGAACGAGAAAGAGGCCGTGATCAGTGATCAGAAAGGGCTCAAGGCTCCTTGAATCAGGAAGGGCCTGCTCCCGTGGTGGAGCCGGCGGCAGCTGTCACACCAGGAAGACCTGGGCCCCTTGTAGGCCGGTAAGGATCTCGGCGGGTGTGATGGCATGGGGTCGTACAGATATCGTTAGAGGACAGGGCACCCGGGAGGGCCCAGTACAGTAAGGAAGACGGCTAGGGACTTTGTCGTCGCCCGAAGGCTTATTCACATTCCCTGCAACTTGGCCTTTTCCAGGGTCCGTGGCGCTCTGTTTCCTTTCTGCTCACAGTGGACCATCAACCAGGGGAAAGACCCGCGCGCAGGGGACACCTGAACGGAAGGTGAATTTGATGGGTTGCTGTGGAACTTTGGTCCTCATGAGCTTGAATATGGGACGTTGCCGTTGCAAACAGAGATGGTTGCCCTTCCGAGACGTCTCCTGTGACGATATCATGCACTGAAGGAATTGGATATGCCATTGACTGAAGATGGTTGGCCAGCACGCTCCTTTCCATTGTAGTGACCCTTCAGGAGCCGAGTTGCACAGTTGCCAGTTGACTCCCATACTACAGTGTAAAATCTATCAACATTGAGCAAGTCACCCGCGGGAAGCTGGAACGACTTTATCCACCGTTGTTGATGTGGCTCGACATGCTCATAAATCATCTATTTGGGTCCTCCTGGAATTTACAGTCCCCCCGTACTTGTGGGCGAATTTATAGGAATCGAATAGATCCATTATCTGATATCTGTGTTCGGGGTGAGATAATGACATGCTGTCTTATTCGCAATGGGTGTGTTGCAGAGATAATTCTTGGGATATTTTGCCTCTTGTGTTCATGTTAACACCAGGGAGTCAAAACAAATCATCTCAATCCGTAAAGAATAGCTCCAGACGCCTAAAGTGACCAGGTTCGTGAATCTGACCTGCCGACGCACGATTACTTACTGTCAGGTTGCGCTTTGTCAACTTGTACCGCTTCTCTGCTATGGGCAAGGAACGTCCTTTGAACACTTTCTCTCCTCCTGCACGACGTAGTGTCACGAAAGAAGGGACACTTCACCCAAAGGATCATGTTGACATCCCAGCCTGCCGTCAAAGTGCATCCTCCTCAAGCAGAAGCGGCATTCCCAGAACACAGAGTTCTGCGTGACCAGTTCATGGCGCGACGAGCCTACATCATTCCGGTAAATGCAGAGGGAGCGGAGATACTCGTTGGAAAATCAACACGGCATAGCATCAAGGACAGATAGAATGCTCCCGTCTCCACGACACTGTTCTAGTCGTCGGGCTAGGAAACCACTCGGAGGCATGGTACTTGCCCCAAGTCGTGAGCGATAGGAGCAATCTCACGCGCAGCGTTGGCGGGAACAATGACTACTTACCACCATCAAGGTGCTGCCGGGCACTGGCACGAAAGAATCATACTCCTGAAAATGACCACAATTTTTTTTCCTGTGTCAGTCGGGTCAGGCGGGTCAGGTCGATAATCAAAATACACTTCTAATGACGAGCGGCGGCGTAGAGATCAATCACTCTGCATACGGGCCAAGAAGACTTTTGATATATATTCCCCACGTCCACTTGCTTCTGGTTAGATATTTCATTGCGAGACTGTGCAGGTCCACCGCTTGGTTGATACCTTTGATATTTGCAACTGCCCCTCCTCCTCTTCGAATACCGCTGCCTGGGCACAAGGATATAGGCGCGACTTGTCGTGAATTAGAGGGAACATAGAGTGGGCACGGCAAGGGGGGTTGTTATCGCAGCTTCATGGCTCACAGCGCTGTCCGACCGCCGCCCCCATCGTCACTGTGTATCTACTACGTACATGCATAGGAGTTCCGGGCATATTGATGAGCTGTGAGCTTGAGGGTTGGGATTTCAAAAGCTTCACACTCTTGCGTGCAAATTCCTTCGCGGCCTCAACAATATCTTTTCGCTTTTGATTATGCCTCGACGTGTACGAGTTCCGTCACTATTCCGCAAACGTTATTTGGAAAGAGGGGGGGGGGGTGAGAACGAGGGAGCGCACTCTGAGTAACCTAGAAACCATAAACATCGACGACCCGAGTCCCAGCGTAGGAAAGAACATCCTCACCAAGAGATGTTCTCGAGTGAGCCATGACAAAGATTGGTCATTACTGACGACAAGACAGGCAGAATTTTTATTTATTTTTGGGTCAGTGGTGAACTGTAATTCACCGTTGCATCAACGTGTGAGCACATCACTGAGCTGAGCAGTGTACTTTCGACGTGGGCATAGGTTGTCACCGCGGGTTTCCGCCGGGCCCCCCTTTAGACTTCCACGAAGCCGGACTGACGGCCGCAACTGGAAACCAATCAGGCCATTCTCAACTTGTGTCAGCGCGCTGCCAGGCACCGGGTCTTCAACTGTGATTATCATAAAAAAATCAGAAGCCGAGTTGGGGGGGACGATCGCTTCGTTGATAGACAGGGCCGCGTAAGATTCAAAGGAACCTTAGAGTCAAGTGCCTTTTCAACCATCCCCCCCAAGGTTCTCTCTCGGTCTAGGTGGTCCCTTTGCAACGTCCTGACAACACCACGCAATCATTATGACTACCGTTTGCCGCTGAAATGACACGACGGCATGCCTCACCCGCCCTTCCGTCTGAAGGTTTTCTTTGTTTCCCCTTTTCTCTCCCTTCTCTCTCTCTCTCTCTCTCCACACCATTGAAGTTTGATCGATCGCGGCTTGTGCGCACGCGTGCGTGCGCGGCGGGTGCAGGCAGGCAGTCTGCTGTTGCCGACATATGCAAATCATCATACATGATTGCTTCTGCGCAGCGGCGGCGCGCGCGGCGCTGTGGCATCGGGTTCCTTGCTCGCCCTTGCTTGCTTGCTGGGGGGCAGGCACACTTGAGGCGGCCGACAACCCCGGCGCCCCCCGGTCAGCCCTGGCTGGAGCTGCTTTGCTTTGGCTGCTGCTGCTGCTGCTGCTGCTGCTGCTGCTGCTGCAGGATGCGGGACAAACGTGTGCCAGCGGAACGAGAACCTGGTTCGTAGACCTTCCTTCTGCCGTGGACAAGCCCTGAGAGGTGGTTTTCCCAAACCGGATGAGCTGCGCTGTTTCTTTGTGTGCAGGACCTCCCTGAGTCTTTTTGCTCTCGTACTTTGCTCGCCTGGCTGGCCAGCCTTAGGGGCCTCTCTTTTATTGTTTGTTTTCTAGATAAAATGTCTCCAGGCTAAAGATTCCTGCTCGGCTTTCCATGTCGCCTCGTCGAAAACTGTCCAGATACTTGGACCCTTCTTGCCTAGCAGCAGGTCGTCTGTCCATGCGCGCGCGGGGTCTTGTCGGGGAAACAGTGCGTTGGATTCCTAGTGGGATGTCTGCAGAGCACGGGGCACGACTGCGGGAGCGACCCTTGCATCAAAGTGCACAGATGGAGCAACAGGCAGGCTGTGGGCCTACCTAGGGCTGGATAGCTAAAGCTAATAGGAGCCAATTTATTATCAGGACCTGGCAATGTTTGTGCCTTTGCCCAGGAGGCCACCCTCGGAGAGCACACTTGAATCAGGTGTGTAGGAATCATGATGCGCGCGCGCGCACCCTTCCGACTCGCAAGCGACACTTGATTGAGAGCGAAGGGGGACTTCAAGTCAAGGCGGCGGGCGGAAGGGGACGAAAAAGTTCTTCCGACTCACTCGCTTACAAGCCCCTGGCCTTTTCTCCCCCCGGAAGAGGAAAGAGGAAAGGCAAAACCACAACGACATGGTAACCACATAATCGTGGTGGGTCGTCTATTGCTTGCTTGTCGAGAAGAGGAGTCCCGGCGCAAAAGCATTTTCGTTGTCGAATGGCAGCACCACCAGGGCTGCCGCCTCTTGCGACATGGTGCGTCCCTCTTCCACCATTGCATGATTGGCCATCCTGCAGGGCGATTGTTCAAGATGGGTAACCCCAGGTTCTGGAGCCCGAGCTAGATATGTACGTGTGTGTATGTAGCCCATATGTAAAGGCAATATACC